GAAGAAGAAGAAGAAGAAGAAGAAGAAGAAGAAGAAGAAGAAGAAGAAGAAGAAGAAAAGTTTAGGTTCGACGAGGGCGGAATATTTAAGTAGGACGGCAAGCATGATAACTGTGCATGTGCGCGACAGCTGCACGGCACGGCCCGTCGGGCATCCGACGCACATGCCCACCTGATTTGGTAAGTAGCAGTCTTTTGTTGAGCTAGTCGCACCTGCCACAATTGTCCAGCGTGAGGGAGCACTGAAGACAACAGGTGCTCACCTGAATCTGCGTTAAGGCAAAGCGCCCGACTAGGTACGTGGACTGACCAGTGAACATCGCGAGCATCCTGGCTCCAATGACGTCCGGCATCTGACCTTCAAAAATGGCTAGCATTGGCCGTGTACGCCGCATCCACGCCCGCAAAGTACTCCCTAACTTCCATGCGCGCTGCGTCCAAGCTCCTCAACAGTGTCCCAACAGTGTCGGGTGTAAGTTCGTCACCAGAACACTTCGTCAGTGAGGCAGCTTTCCAGATCGACGTGCTTCTATAGAATTTAGCAGTCGCCCGTCCAAACGGACTATGACGAGGCCCAGCCTGCTGGCCGTCGGGCTCTACAGGAGGACGTCAGCGCGCGTCTAGTATTTCTTACTCCGCTTTGAGTTAAAAGTAATGGAAAGGAAGGAAGAGAGCGGAGACCTCATCAAGCCACAAGAGCCCGAGAGGAGCCAAGGGGAAGAATCTTCGCAGACAACTTATAGCTTTCTTACTTGAGTAGTTAAATCTGACATGGGATGCAGCTGTGCTATTTATAAAGTCACTTTACGTCCAAATATCTGTTTCAGCTACCTAATTGCGTTTTCTTTTTTTAAACAAAAAAAAGAACAACATATGGGTAGTTGAAGTTATCGTCTGGACGAGATTGTATAATTATTAATTCTACACACACGTCCGGAAGATAGCTTCATCTACCCAAGGGTGTTTTCATTATAAACAAAAAATATTTTCGCGTATTTGATGGGTAGTTGAAGCTATCGTCCGGACGAGAATGTCGAATTAAAAACTCTACATACACGTCCGGACGATAGCTTCAACTCCCCATGTGTTGTTTTATTTTTAAGGAGCCGTGGTTGGGCGTTACACAGTAATCAAATGAAGGTGGCTCGTGCGCAGGCCCATTTGCGCGCCTGCGCTTTTCGCGAACATCTCGTCCCTCGACAGCTTTCTCGTGCACCTGTCGGACGCTCGCCTACCTCCCCTCCGCTGTACGTGCAAGCTATGCCTCCCAAAAGGCGCGCCTCGACGAGGCTACAAGATTCCGCTGCCGCCAACGGCACGAGCAGGAAACGCGCGGCTACCGAGAAGACGGCTCCTCGCCGATCTCCCAAAGACAAGAAGAAGAACAGCCCTACTTCTGCATCGACCCGCAAAACGTCGCTTGTTGACCTCCCCGATGAGTTGCTCTTGATGGTTTTCCAGCATTTTCGCCTGGCGGGTTTCCTCTATGGCCCTCTTGAAGAACAGGTCTTTTGGTACGAGGACAGGCTAGTCCTGTTCCAACAGCGCTGCGATGTTTTGCGAAATATCTGCCATTCCTGCAAGAGTCTGTGTCGCGTTGCCCAGCCGTTGTTGTACGAGGTCATCAATTGCTTGAACCACCCCTTCCGGCGATTCGACTTCCTACGTACCCTGATCCGCCGGAAGGACCTCGCCGCAGCTGTGAAGGAGGTCCACCTCAGACACGAGTTTGAAGACCCGAAGAAGAAAATGGCCGCACAGTATCCGGAAATCTTAGAGGCTGCAGCCGACGTCGAGATCGAGATGAGCCGGTCATTCGTCGGAGCATTACGCACAGGTCGATGCGAGGCGCAGATCGCCCTGGCCCTGAGTCTGATGCCGAATCTAAGCTACTTGAACGTCTGTCTGGACGAGAGGTTTGTCGAGGACTACAACTGGATGTTTCGGTTGCTGCGCCAGAGCTCCTTCAACATGTTGCAGCACGGGCCTGTTGGTCCCTTCGCAAACATCAAGACACTCGAGACGAGCTACGGTGGCATGGATTATGGATACAACCCCGTCTTCATATCCGACTTCGTTACCCTGCCAAATCTCCGCGAGATCATGGTCAGATCGGCCTGGTCCGGCGAGAGCGCATGCGGCATCAACTGGCACCCCAAAGAGAACAGCTCCAACATCACGACCATCAACCTCGACGCCTCATCCGTCACTAATGAATTCATTCACAAGCTGCTCATCGCCTGCAAGGCGCCCAAGACCTTCATATACAGCTGGGGCGGTCCGCCGCCCGTCGACTCCATGCACGAGTTCCCAGACTTTATGCGCGCGCTGCGCGTCCGGAAAGATACGCTCGAAACGATTCGCCTGGACGTCGTGCTCAAGGCCAACTACTTCGAGTCGCTCGCTATCGATAACGAGTACCTGCCGCCCATCGGCTCCTTCAAGGACTTTTCTCGCCTTACCGAGCTCGAGGTTCCGGGCCACCTGTTGCTCGGCTCGCCGCTGCTCGATTGGCAAAACTTCGACGGCCAGCATTGGCCCTCCTTCATCACCGATCTCGACTATACCACTCTCACCGACGTCTTTCCCTCTAGCTTGGAACGTTTGACGATCGATTGCATGGGCTTGGAGGAAGATGTCACGTTCCTCCTTCCTTTTCTGGATGAGTTCACCCAGCATTGTGCGGAGAGGCTGCCAAATCTCAAGTTCGTAAAATTGGTCGTTGTCGATGAAGACGATTTTCCTTTGTTACAAAAGGTGAAGAGGGCTTTGCAAGCGCATGGCATTGAGGTGTTAGTGAAGGATTTCATTGACGAGGAGGGCTGGGAGGACGATATGGAGGTGCGGTACGGTGCTGACGGAAGGAAGAAGATCACGTCGAGGCTAATTGGGGATATTTTGCACACTTGGCCGCACGCGGCAGCACAAACCGACTGATATGAAGCTATCGTCCGGACATATATGTCGAATTTTTAATTAGACACTCTCGTCTGGGCAATAGCTTCACCTACCCACAAACGTTGCTTTTCAAGAAAAGAATGAAAGAGAAGAAGAAGAAGAGGAAAAGAAAAGGTTTGGCTAGTGGCACATGGGGCTGTAATACTCTTCACGCTGGCCTTTGGCTGCAGTGCCCCTCTGTATTTGACGCTGTTTCTCTATGTAAAACTCGGTTTTGAGCCACTCGAAAACCTTTATACCATCGGAAGCCCTTCGTGCTTCGCTTGATTCCATCCGACTATTTCGAATTCGACCCCCAAATCATGTGTCAACTCAACAAGCCGTTCGAGATCCTCCAGGAAAGTCTGCTTAGTGTGATACTCCCCCATCATAAGAAGCTCCAAACGACGGAAACTCGGCAGGTCAGCAACGTGACGGGCGAGCGCAAGTAGGAACTGCGTCTTATGGGCGGCCGAAGATTCGGTGCATACTGACACGTCGCATTGAATAACCAAGCTCTCCAGAGAGGCTGGGAGGATGTCGACCAATTCGGAATAGTCGGGCGGGGGAACTGGAAGAGGAGCATCCGTGCCGAAGTCGTCGTCCCACGTGTCCAGCATTCCCGAAACAACTGCTTCGGTGATTTCAAGACGCCTCAGCCGAGTGAATGCTTTGAAGGAGCCGAACCGCGGCACAATGAAGCTTCGCCGGGCCATCTCCCTGAAGACTCCGCATCCGTCCGACACCAGTATCGAGACATGTTCCAGAGTATCGTCCCGCGTGCTGAGCACCCTGTGAAATTCCTGTGTTTCGGCATACGAAGTAGCTACTGCTGGGAAACTTCCGTAGGTAAAACGGAATGCCTTTAGTTGAGTGAAGGCCTTCAACGCGGATTCAATAAATGCATTACCCGGGCAGGACTTCCAAAACGCGAGTGTTTCGATGCGGCTGTTGGCCTGCAGGGAGAGATCGCGGTCGCCGTCCCTTTCCCCGAACCACGTGCCAGACATCTCTATGGCTTTCAGCGAAGGCAACCCCACGAAGTCCTGGATGAAGAGAGGGTTGAAGCCAGACGCATTCTCATTCCCATACCTTGGCCTGAGATGGCGCAACGACGAGAGCGGACCAGATCCCTTCTCTGCCGTCCGCCTAGCCATGCACAAAAACCATTTCCAGGTGTGAAACCACGTCTCATCAACCTCAAACTCCAAGGTCTCGAGGCTCGGGAGTTGGCTAAACAGCAGGGCGACATCGGCGCTGTTGAAGTTTTGCGTCAGGTCCCTCTGGAAAGAGGCGCATTCGCGCTCGTCGCCAATGTCCAGGGTTTTGGCCGCTTCGTGGATCTCCGAGTACTCGTCCTCCAATGGGATGCCCGAGAAATTGAGGGTGTCCTGCCAGTCGAAATACGCAAAGCGGGCTTCCTTTACGAGGGCGGCCAGGTCTGGGCGTCTGACAGCGGTTTGGATGAATTGCCTTCGGCGAGCGGCAACGGCCCCGTCAACCAGGACATTGTACAGCACATGGTTGGCGACGCGATGGAGCCGGCGGGAGACAAGACACACATTGTGCAGAGTGCGCACACGAGACTGAATCTCACCGTTGCCTTGCCAAGTCTTGAAGTCGAAGTCCCAGCGGTTGCGGATTGAGACGTAATCGAGAATTTCAAGCAGGAGCTCGTCAGCAAGGCCTTCCAGACTCATCCTTTCCCGGCGTGACGCGGCAGCCGTCGGCTCCGAATATGCAATGTCCGTCCTCGCGCTAAGCGCTGGCGTTTGAGAAAGCGTCGAAGGTGATGAGGATGTTGCGGTGACCAGACGGGGGATTTCCCCATATTTAAATCGAATTCCTGCTGCCTGTCGCGGTTATCGTGGCTTCGCACTGCACAGACCCGATGCTGATGGTATAGTGCTTACCTAGAAGGATCGCCCACTAGAGAAATCAGAGATGAAAACCAAGCGACTGACCGCCTATAGCTGCACATACTTTTGTTAGTCGAAACGCCGCGCATCTTTACCCTCTCGGAGGCTCTGCATGGCCCCCAATGCGCTATCCCCGCGCCAATCCTTCCCGGCGACGGCTACGCTACTCCGCGCTACCAACCGGAACATATGGACGGCCAAGACCATCTAACAGCTTTCCCCCTCACTACGTGCAGCTGACGTGCATTCATCCGCGCTTGCTATAAAGTGACATCGCCATGCCGTCCCAGGAATCCCCCGCAGTCCGCAGGAAAAGCCGGCGAGGTCTCATCAATAATCATGACGATACCTGACAATCCCACTTCTCATGCGCAAACGCCCTCATCATCACCATCACCACCATCCACTCACCTCTGCCTCCTCCGCATCCCCGAACTCGCCGAGCTCATCTTCCAGCACCTGCCTCCCCGTGACCTCCTCCTCGCGCAGCGCGTCTGCCGCACCTTCTACGCCACCATCCACGCCTCGCCCACCCTCCAGCAATGCCTCTTCTTCGCCCCCAAGAAGCGTCGCTACCCCCGCCATCCCTCGCGCCAGAGGAAGAACGACGATGACGAGGACCAGGAGCCAGACGACGAAGCGTGGGAGACCAACCCGCTCCTCGCCGCCGCCTTCCCGCCGTGGTTCCATCTGCGCTACGTGCGCTCGCGGTGGGACTGGCCGCAGGCGGCGTCGTTCGCCAACGAGCTGCCGTGGGCGGGCGACGCCGACCGCGTGCGCGCCTTCATGCGGCCCGAGGCGAGTTGGCGCCGCATGCTGGTCACACAGCCGCCGCTGCGCGACGTGCAGCTGCTCGTCAAGTGCGATCACGTGCGGAACTTGGTTAGCGATGACTATGTGAGGTTTGTTGGGGGGAGGAGGGGGAAGGGACGGTGGGGCGGGGGTGGTGGTGGTGGTGGTGGGGAGGAGGGGGATGAGGGCGATGGCGCGTTCGGCGAGATGTTGGACGATGCGCCGGGCGTGACGATGGGGTTTTTGTACGACATCACGCAGGATTTTGTGCTGAGGAAGCACGTCGTCAGCAATTTCTTCGTCCAGTGGCGGCCTTTCCTGCCGCCGGATACGGGCGGGTATGTGTCGGAGGAGGAGGACGAGGATGAGGGGTTTATCGATCAGCCGGACGATGTGTGCGGCTTCGGGACGCCAAGTTGGTGAGTAGGCTGCTGGTCTGGGTTGAGACGATTCGTGCGAGTGCTCATCGGTCACTAGGAGACGAAGGGATGAAGAACCTCGCGATATGCTTTCGATACACCTGAGCTATACGGCTCAGCGTAACGCAACTTTCCTTCCCACCCGGCTTCCGCAACTGAAGAGCAAGGGATACAAGGAGATTAGCACCTACCGGAAGCTCTTGGACACATCTGCTCACTTCATCGCCTCGGAAGGTTCCAGAGCAGATCAGCCCACGGACTTTTACGAAACCTGCGAGTTCCTGCACAAGCAGCACGGCGATACAATGCTGACCTGGGATATGGCTTGCATTGAGGGCTCCAAATTCAGCCAGTTCCCCTGGACGTACAACGCTCAAATCAACTACCGCGGAGAGACCTGGAAGTAAATTGCCGCAGGTGCTCGTTGAAGTGACTCACTACCGGAGAGTCCCAACAGCGGTACGTACACCATCACAACTTTTTTCTCGGTACCAGCAGATGCGCCGCACACACTCCTCGCAGAAGGACTTGGTAAAAGCAAAAGGCAAAGGCAAGCAGCACAGAAAGGATAAAAAGAAAGCACACTCGCGGCATTGGTGATGATGATAGGGCAAAAAATAAAAGAGCAAAACTACAGGCTCCCCCGGTGGGGAGCCCGCAGAAACCCCTCTCGACCCGACCGTAGGGCTTCTTAGAGGTGATTTTTTGCGATAGGCGGTGCGCAGCGACAGACAGGAGTTGAACTCGGAGGACACCAAGCATGCGGGCTTGGGATCCACCGGTGCTACCACTGGACTATGCCAGTGCTAGCACCGGCGGATGGAAGAGAAGTTGCAGAATTCAATTATATAGTAGGGACTCCTAGAAGTAAAGGAACCCGCTCTCCAGCGCGTGTTGAACGCCCTTCTTATCTCTAAGCTTTTCCCATTTCCTTCTCTTTTAACGCCGTTGAAGAGCCATATACATACCCAAACACTACTCAAAATCTCCAAATGGCATCCGACATCTTGACCGTCTCAACCATCTGCGGCACATCATGCACTCGAACAATATCCGCACCTCCCTGCACCGCCGCCGCCACCGTCACGGCCGTCCCCATGACCCTCTCTCTCGGCTCCTTCACCTCCGTAATCTTCCCCACGAACCCCTTCCGACTGCTGCCGACCAGCCACGGCAGGCCCCTGAACGCCGGCACGTCCCGCAGCTCGCCCAACCGCCGCAGCAGCTCGAGGTTCTGCTCCTGCGTCTTCGCGAAGCCGATGCCGGGGTCGAGGATGATGCGCCAGCGGCGGATGCCGGCCGCCTCGGCGACGCGCACACGGGCGGCCAGCTCTTCAGACACACCGTGCAGCACGCCGTGCGGGTACTGCGTCAGCTTGGTCATGGTGTCGGGCGTGCCGCGCATGTGCATGAGGCAGACGGAGCAGCCGAGGCGGGCGACGGTCGGCAGCAGGTCCGGGTCCAGCAGGCCGGCCGAGACGTCGTTGATGATGTGCGCGCCGGCGGCGATGGCGGCCGCCGCGACGCTCGCGCGGTACGTGTCGATGCTGATGGCGACGCCGGCGGCTTCCGGGAGAGAGCGCAGCAGCTGGATGGTCGGTAGGATGCGCGCGAGCTCCTCGGCGGGCGAGACTTGCGGGGCGTTGGGCCGCGTGGACTGGCCGCCGATGTCGATGATGGTGGCGCCGGCGGCGATGTGCGAGAGGATCGTCTGCTTGACGGCGGCGAGGTGGGCGGGCGAGTTGGGCTCCGGTGCGAGGTTGACGCCGCCGTCGGAGAAGGAGTCGGGCGTTAGGTTGAGGATGGACATGACGTGGGTGCTCCGGTCGCTTTGGAGGGCTCTGATGGGGGCCATGGTCGGTGTCAGGGGCGTCATGGTGGAGAGAGGAGGGTCGGACGGGGGGAGGTGGGCGAGGTGCTCTTGCAGAGGCTCTGATCCGGCGTTTGGTGGGATGGCATCGGGTATCAGTTCACAGAGAGGCCGCAGGACAAACTCACGCTCCAGCATGAGCTTGTGGGGAACGGACAGCCTTTCTGTCTCGATGACCTCGTTCTCGTAGAGCAGGATGTCCAGGTCGATATTGCGAGGTCCCTTTTCAATGACCTTCACCCGGCCGAGCTCGTTCTCAATGCTTTGCAGCCTGTCGAGCAGCTGCATGGGGTTGAGCGAAGTCTCGATCTGTGATGCATTAGTATCTGGTTTCAAATGTAGAATCACAAAGCAGGTCCCGTCACTTCACGTGTGGCATGCAAGTTGAAGTTGTACAGCAACACGGCAGAACAGGAAGTTGGCACTAACCTCGCACGCTCCATTCACAAAGCTTCCCTGGTCCTCTACATACATGGGCTTCGTCTCCCACAAGCTGCTCGTGCGCAGAATTCGGATATCACCTTTACTTTCCATAGCATTGCAGGCTTGCTCGATCATGGCTATCCGGTCACCTAGGTTACTTCCAAGAGCAACGAAAGCACGGTGACCGAGAGGACCATGGCGCAGCTTCTCAGCATTGGCCGAGTAGCTGCGCCAGCCAAGGCGACTTTCCAAAAGGGGCATCTGATAAAGCCGCGCAATTCGTGCCGGTGCTTTAGGGGTCAGTGCTGCGGGAGAACTGGCGGGGGACCTGTAGAGGTGGACAGAGCTACTCCATGCCGATGCAGGACGTTGTTGACGCGCCAGAACACGAGCAAGGGAGGGAGAGCGGCGAGTCGGCGCGAAAGGCCGCAGAGCTTTGTGCATGATTAAAGCATAAAGGGCATCGGTGGCAAGAGCGGCCACGAAAAAAAAAAATCGCCGGCTGAGTAAGGCAAATCTGGGGAAATGGCCTTGGCGTGAGATGTGGCGCCAGGTGGGGAGCGGTGGGTCCTCGGTCCAGAGACGGTGCCAGGAGCTGCCCGCCCTTTGAACGCACCACCCCCAGCTTAAGCCGAGGCACGAAGTCCGCATATGGCTACCACACCTTGCTACGGCCGAGGCGGCACCACCGCCATAAACCTCCTCCATTCCCGCTACCTCCGCACTCCATACGTTCCTCCCTGAGCTCCCAGGCCTCTCCGTCCACGCTTCTCGCAGCCTCTACAGTCCTTATCCTCCGTCAACATGGCTTCTCCACGTACGTCTGCTTCCCCAGCGGCCTTTCACATGCCGCGCTGTTCTGCCCGCCGACTGCAAGACTGACAACCCCTTGTCCGCAACAACAGAGCAGCTTCGCACCACCACGACTGATCTGCTCAAGATCAACCACCCGGTCCTCCTGGCCGGCATGAACGTCGCCGCCGGCCCCAAGCTCGCCGCCGCTGTTACCAATGCCGGCGGTCTCGGTGTCATCGGCGGCGTTGGATATACCCCGGACATGCTGCGGGAGCAGATTGCGGAGCTCAAGGGCTTCCTGAAGGACAAGAACGCGCCGTTCGGTGTCGACCTGCTGCTGCCGCAGGTCGGAGGCAGCGCGCGCAAGACCAAGTGAGCATCCCCCCCTCACATCCCCGTAGCCGGGGAAGCCGCCGCGATTACTATACAGCATCAGCTGACACCTCGGCTTTGCACTACAGCTACGACTACACCAAGGGTAAGCTCGATGAGCTCATCAGTATCATCATCGACAGCGGCGCCAAGCTGTTCGTCTCGGCCATCGGTGTCCCGCCCAAGCATGTCGTCGAGCGCCTGCACAAGGCCGGTATTCTCTACATGAACATGATCGGCCACCCCAAGCATGTCCAGAAGTGCCTGGACCTCGGCGTCGACCTCATCTGCGCCCAGGGCGGCGAGGGCGGTGGTCACACGGGCGATGTGCCGACCACGGTCCTGATCCCCGCCGTCGCCAAGCTGTGCGAGGGCAAGACGTCCCCCATGACGGGCGCCCCCGTCCAGGTGATTGCGGCCGGTGGTATCTACAACGGACAGACGGTGGCAGCGGCGCTGATGCTGGGCGCCTCGGCTGTGTGGGTTGGAACGCGCTTCATTCTTGCCGACGAGGCCGGCGCCCCCAAGGCTCACCAGGAGGCCGTCCGCACCTCCAGCTACGACGACAACGTCCGCACCATCATCTTTACCGGCCGTCCCCTCCGCGTGAGGAGAAATCCTTACATCGAGAACTGGGAGACCAACCGCCAGGCTGAGATCAAGGAGCTCACCGCCAAGGGTATTATCCCGGTCGAGCACGATCTTGAGAAGATGGGTGATGACATCGATGATGACACCATGGACAACGCCAGACCTTTCCTCATGGGCAAGGCCGCTGCCGTGATTAACGAGAAGAAGAGCGCCAAGGCCATTGTTGATGAGCTGGTCGGCGACGCCGTCGCGTGGATAAACAAGGGAAGTGCTTCTATTGTGAGCAAGCCCAAGCTTTGATGATTTAGCGTCGAGATCTTTTGTGTATACTATACAGCTATATGAAATGACCAACCATATTGAGCCTTGTCTTTCACCGATTGCTCGCTTAGGGCATAACTTTGCCGCGTTCTGGCTAGGCGTCCCCGACTTTGGCCCCCAAATAGAGAGCTGAAACATGATACAGTCCCCTCTTGCAGCCGATGGCTAGCGTGAATTTGCTTTTTGCTCATGCCATGGGTAGTTGAAGCTATCGTCCGGACGAGAATGTCGAATTTTTAATTCTACATGCACATCCGGACGATAGCTTCAGCTACCCACATATGTTGTTTTTCTAAGGCAGAGCTGGGGAGCCCCTGCTATCGGCTGCGAGAGGGGGCTGTAGAGTGCCGGAGAATTCGCAGATTCGTCCGGGGTTCCCCGGCCTTAACTGACTCGACTATTTTTTGCTGCGGTCTCGCTGCTCACAGACCGCAGCTCTATCATGCATTCGGAAGGTGGAGGCCGGTCATGTCGATGTTTTCAAGTCCGCGTCGCCACGTCACGTTTTTCCTTTCAAGCCGAAATCCCAATGCACCTTGCGCAAGCTGCCTCTTTCCCTACGGTCTATGTTTGTGGATGTGTTCAGCCGCACTTCCAGGGGCTTATCTGCAGTGTAGGTAAAGGTTTAGGATCGACACCAGTAGTCGTTCTTACGTGATGTCCGTGCATAAGGTACCATGAGGCTAGGCAAGAGTAGCGTGGCGCCACAGCGGGCTCTTATACGAGAGCGTGATGGCTTCTTCCTATTAGAATTAGGCTGCTGTTCCAGGGTTTTTATATTTCGGCCTGGTCCCTCCACTTTTCCCCTGTCGTTCATGCGTTAGCATCTTCACACTCGTTTGACTGCATGCATTTCGTAGGAGCGATGGCAAACAAGAGGATAAGATCGTTACTCGCATTAGCGGCGGCGCCTGTGTCTGTTTATTCTTTAGGTGAGTATGGATATCAAAAGATTTATGGATCTGCGAGACTAATCAGCGGCAGACGTCCTATCACCTCCAACAAATTCATCAGAACCCGCAGTGTCAAGCCTATCCTCAGACATCTCCACAAGCATCACATCTCCAGACCTACCTCCTCCAACCACAAGCCAGCCATCCACGCCATCAGACGACATCCCATCCCCCACCGAAACGCCCACGATAACACTACCCCCCTCCCTCGCCAGCGCCACGACCTGCCTCTCCTCCTGGTCCTCCTGGTCGTCCGCCGTCACCGCCTACACGGGGCCCTACTCGTCCGGCACCTACTCGCTCATCACGCCCGCCGTCACCCTCACGGGGCACCTGTACTACACCACTCCGGCGCCCGCGACGTACAAACCGCCCGAATGCACCTTCGCCGACCCGGACATCTGCGCCGCCCTCGCTTCTGGAGTCCAAATCATCGGCTCCGCGCCGACCACGGTCGTCTTGCCGGCCACCACGGATGTGCTGGAAGGAGATGTGCCGGCCGAGGTGCTGCTGCCGTCGCCGGCGTGCAGCGTGGGGCAGGCGGCGTGCAGCGCGCTGGCGAGCGCGGGGGTCGTGGATGGGTTTTGGGACGGGTGGGTGGTTGATTGGCGGGATTGCGTGATGGAGCCGCCGGGGATTGGGCCGGTGGCGTTGACGACGACGGATTTTTTGGTGGCGCCGCCGACGGAGGTGGTGGTGGGGACGACGAGGACGACGGGGAAGACGACGACTGGTGGTGGTGGGAGGAGTGGTAGTAGTAGTCCGCGTCCTACCAGTACGAAGGCGGAGGGGACGGGTGGGTACCTCGTCTCGGAGACGGAGCTGCTTCCTGGGACGGCTGCAACAGGCAAGCCTGAGGACGGTAAGGGTGGTGGTGTTGTTGCTGCCTCGCAGGTTGTGGCTGCTACCAATGCCGCTCAAGGCCCTCACACCATCGACCTCGTCATCTCCCCCGCCCCGAACAACAACGGCGCCGCCGCTCCGCCGTCATCGACCCGTCTCACGCTCCCTCCCATCGCCGTCGCCGCCACGCGAACCGATCCCATCCCAGTCGCCACCCTCGCCGGCCAGACGATCGTGTACGACCCAGCCCAAGCCCCGTCCGCCGTGTACGTCGGCGACTTCCCCATCCGCGAGGGCGGCCCGGCCGTCAATGTAGGCGGCACGCCGGTCAGGCTGCTACCGGGCGGACTGCTTCTCGTTGGTGGTGGTGGTGGAGGTAGCAAGTCAGGTTCGCCGACAACAACGATCACCCTACCCGCAGCGGCTGCGACCACGGACGTCCCCATCGCCACGATCGCTGGAGTGCCTGCTTACGCTGACCCTGCGAAACCGGGTGCTGTGGTCGTGGGCGGGAATGCGCTAGCGCCGGGCGCGAGCGTCGTGCTAGATGATGGTAAGACGGTCTGGCTCGGCGGGGCGACGGGGGATTTGCAGCTAGAGCAGGTGGCGGGGACGAAGGGCGCAGGGGGCGGTGCTGGCGTGACTGGTTCGTCGGTGCTTGGAGCGGCGGTAACAGCGGGAGGGGGGACGACGACCAGAAGTAGTAGACAGAGTGGTTCTGTAACAGCGGCGAGCGGGAGAAATGGGACAGTAACGACTTCAAGGACAACGACAAGCGGTGATGGGTTGGAGGGGTATACTGCTGTGCCGAGCATTCCAGCGTCGACGGTGGACGTGGATTCGAGCGGGATAAGAGTGTGGACGGAAAAGGTTGGGGCTTTGTTTGCAGGACTTATGGTGGCTGGCAGGATGCTTGTGTGAGAGGATGATATTTCGTTTGGGATTGTTTGGCTCTTTACGCTCTTATACCCCTCAAGATTTGTATAGTTCTTCATCTATTGTACCTCCCAATATCTAGTGAGTATGCTTCATATGGCAAGAATACGCTCTTGAATATGGTGCCTAATGATCCAGACTAATCGTATTACCCTTGAGAGAATCGAAGAGAACAGAAATGAAAAGGCTGGTTCGAATAGCAGAGCCTAGAAAAACAACATTTGTGGGTTTGTGAAGCTATCATCCGGATGCAAATGTATATTTTTTAATTCGACATTTGCGTCCGGATGACAGATTCAACGACCCATGACATGTGCGAAATATTGAAATGGAACTTGTTGGCTATCTTGAACGGCACCGTGCTTAAAATCTCGATTCGTAATGATCTCTAATTTTCAAAAAACTTTAGTAGGTGCAGTTCAAGAGATACGATGGAGGTTTGTTTAAGCGAACATGGTGTGGCTGGGCCACCATGTTGCAAGTGCGGCTTTGCGATCAAAACGCCCCAGTTCCACAGAGCAAAACATCACCATTGATTTCTTCAGACGCGAATCATCCAAATGTTGTGACCAGTTGATTATTTTTGATAGGTCGATTAACTACTAAATTATACATTGACGTCTATAATTCGTGTGGATCTACCAGACCCTTCATCATTACCCGCGAAGATTCCATCAAGCTGTCGAAACCGCGAAGATCACTCTTTACTTCCTGGAAGAGAACTCGGGAGCAGTGGTGGTGCCGTTGGGCAGAGTGTGAGACTCGGAGAGAACGGGGACGTAGAAGGGGTCGGCGGTGGCCTCGGAGCCAGCAGTGCTGAAGCCCCACTTGATCTCGAAGGGAGCGCTGCCGTTCAGGTGGACGATGGAGCCGATCTGGTACATGTCCTGAGAGAGGGAAAGGTCTGGTTTCAAAAAGTCAGAATCAATTGCAGAAAGTGGTAGATAGAGCGGATGATGACTTACTGTTCCAGTCCTGGTTGAGGCTGAAGTGGAAGTTGCCGCTGGGAGTGTTGTTGGACTCGCAGGCGTACCAGTTGCCCTCGCCGCCGACGGAGTAACCGTTGGCGTTGCAGTGGACGGGGCCGGAGTTGCCCTTGTCCCAGAAGATGAGGAAGTCGATGCTCGAGCTGGACGGGTGGCTGCTGGCGGTGAAGTTGGTGACCTCCCACTCGCCCCAGGCCTGGGTGATGTTGTAGCGCTTAGCGAAGGTAGGGACCATGCCGGCCGAGACGGTGGTGGCCAGGGCGGCGGCGGCAGCGAAGAAGGTAGAGGCACGCATTTTGGTTTGTGAGGAGGAAGATTGAGCGAATGGCAGAGATAGAGAATGGATCGACTGCGGATTAAGATCAACGGCTGTGGCTTGAGGATGGCGTTCTGGAGCCGCAAACTTTGTAGTTATATATCTATCGTTGTGGCAACGGGAATACGAGATAGGAGTCGTTCTTTGGCCAGTGCGCCGCTTAAATGACGTTTTAAGGCTACACCGTTGGGCTGAGATCGCCGCCTCACATCGCGCCGGACGCTCCGCGCCCTCGGCTCCGATTTGACCGCCACTCTTTTTTTAAAATACTCCGACGGCGACTCCAGGCGTTGAGCAGGATACTCCTCGGAGAAGCAGCTAGCTTGCCGACATCGCTGGGCACATGGCATTGCTCAGCCACAGGCTCAGCCACAGAGGCGTGCTCTACGGAGTGTGAAGGCCAATGGCAAGTTTTGAGATGTTTTGGCGACGGAGAAACAGTTTGTGCTTAGCTGGCACACCATTTCTTCCCCACCATTCTCGAAGCAAGCCATCGCACCACATCGTGGGGCACCGAATCGTGTCGAACACGTCGTTCCCCACATTCCTCGCTCGATTCCAGCCCGCCTTAGCCCCTGAAGCCATTTGCTGCAATGGAAAAGGAGCAGCCATGTTGAGGGAGTTTACAGGGATTCTCCAGTAGCTCTTCCAGCATTGCATGCGCTGTTGATATTGCAGCCGATGCAGTCTCGAGTCGAGGTGAATGGCTCGGAAATCAGACGGACCTGTTGTAGATGAATGCCGGCCTAAGAGCAAATGGCTTTGCGGATGCGGGATGCCTAACAATTATTCCCCCGAGAACTTCCCAGACTTCACATAGTACTCGGCCGCATCATGTAAAGCATGATGCCGAATAGTACTGGTAGAACGCAATTGAGAGTGTCGTGGACCTCCTTGACCGCATACTGGAACAGTGCAGAAGACCCGTCATTGCCCATTGGGGCCATTATTTGCATTTACTATTGCATGACATTGCGTTGTTCGCACACATACACAGCCATCAAGGAGAAACATGTGCTGTGGCTGTGGACCATGCGCGGATGCGCCGCGTCCCGATTCCGTTCACGATGCATGCGCGATCGTTTCCGATTTCGGCATTGGGCCCGATGAAGCACAGCACTGCCACAGCAAGCGCGGAAACAGAGGCATGTCCAAGCCGCAGACCAAACCCATCGAGGAGCCAGTTTTGTCACCAAGCCGCATGTTTGTTTCCTTCCCACGGAATGCCTTCTGTGGAGGACTGTATTTCCAACAAGTATGTGCGCGATTGAGTGAGAGAGCGCACGCAAGCTCGAAATCTAGGGCGATTGGAGAACGCTGGCAGCGGTCGGCGAAGAGCGGAGGCGGCGGCGGCGGTGGCAGGCGATGCCACAAAAGTGCTGTGGGCTCACTGGAATGAAGGTGAAGTGAGGTCGCGACGTAGCTTGTCATCAAGCACGCCGACGGTGATGGCGGGCATCACTTGCGACGCTGAGGCTGGGGACGAGCATTCCGCTGAGATGCGCTACCGGATGCTATATGGCGTTGGGCAGAGACTTTCGCAGGCGGAAGGCGCTGGAAAGAATATGAGGGCGTGATGGAGTAGTGAGGCGCAAGATGGAGGTGACGCGGATGGAGGCGTGGATGGCGGAAAGAGTCAGGTGGCGGTGACGGACGGCGAAAGGTCGCAGACAAAGCTCAGGCGAAGGCATGGCAGATGCGCTGGGGTGCGTCAAGAATTTCAGCGCAGTGAGTCGGCAAGTAAGGCAAGTGGGGCGGAGACCAAAGGCTGGGGTAGCGGCAGATCACGACTTCACTTCATGAGCAGAGCAAAAACACCAAAGCCTAAGACTCGAGCACTACAAAAAAAAGCCTACGATTGTATGTAGGGTGGCGTCAGGCCTCGATCCTCTTTGACACTTGGGAAACCGTGTCAACGAGTGTCGGACAAACTTGAAGCTTCCCACCCAGTTAATGTATCGCGTCCCTTCCGCATGGGAGTGAGGACAGCGACATCCGCTCCCAGGTTCGTAAGACTCGCACGACAGTCAGACACGGTAGAGAAGTACTGACGGATCGTGAAAGTGCGGCCCCTGCCATGCCTTCCGTATGGTGTCGTTAGATACAGCTCAACACCCCTCCCACCGCGATGGCCAACGGCTTTCGGAGTCCAGGGAAAATGTCTGCTCCCAGAGGCCCAGGGGAGGATAAACGACAACATCCCAAACCAAGCCCGCAACTGGCGTCGAGAGTACCGCTGGTTCCATAGGGTTTAGAAGGGACCCCGAGGGTGCCAGACCGGTTTCTCGAGGCAGAGCAGACCCGATGCCCTCGCAGATTTTGCATACCGGAGGGCGGGAGGATAAGGCCGGTGATAAGGGAGGTCACCTAGTGATGGCCAGATCCAAAGCCGAGCCGAAGCTCCGATGACTCGTACTTGCGAGCACAATACTCTGTCAGAAATGGCGCCTCAGCAGCCAAAGCCAGTCGAGCAGCGTTTTCGATTCCATCAAGGTTTCCAGTGAAAGGGGTGCAGGCCTTCTCCTCGACCAAGGGGTGAGGCTCTGGCGACGGATTGCAGTAGTATGAAGAAAAAAAGAAGAAAAGAAGAGGAGGAGGGCGAGGAGGATGGGTTTATATAGGCGAGCCTGTTGGCGAAAGCTCTGGCTGCAGCTGATGGCCGTCGAGGCAGCAACGGCGGACCCACCTGGCATTCACATGCCCTGCTTCATTTGGAAGGCACGATGGGTGAGTGAGGCAGCGCACGTTCACTTTTCAACCACTCACCCGGACCGTGCACACTATCACCATCACATGCAGCCAGCAGCTCGGCGGATGACGCAACCGCCGCGAGCCTGCTCGTCGAACATGGAAGGAGGTCGACCGGAGGACGGCATCCGGCGCTTCTCCTCAGGGCCAACGAGAAAGACACAGGCGCCTGAAGCACTTCCTCGATACCTGGCTTTCAAGATAGGCAGGCGCTCAGGCTCAATTGGCAGAGCCACAGCCCTGGCCGTTGGCAAGCGTGGCCGGGCTGCGCTGAGTCGCGTCTCTCGCCCGGTCACTTCTCAGTACTGACCGGACCCCAGCTCCCCTTCACAGACCAAGCCTAATGCGCAAAGATATCACTGATGAAGAAGCCCCAGCGCCATCCCGATTCCTAGATCTATAGCCCCCGCTACCAATGCAATCGCGAAGGCCCTCCATCCTGGCGCAACGACCTGCCTTTCCATCACTGTGGCCGAAGCCCTCCCCCACCAACACCATGCCCCATTGCTCACTCTCGTGGCTCTGAACAATTTCGCTTAACATGGACCCGGCCATGCGCCCAGCCTCGGATGATGTGTCAGTCATGCAGAGCATAATCGTGGAAGTGCTTTCATCTGGCTCGTCGCGGACTCGGCGGCTGCGACACGTCCATAACACTTTGAGACTGTGCTGAAGTCTTGGGTGGACGCTGTCCCCTCTAAGCGGGCGCCTTGAAACCGCGCTATGAGCTTTCAGGTCATGCCGCATAGTCCAGTGAGGCAGGGCAGCAGCTAACAAAGGGTCTTCCGAGGAGACTGAGGCGGAAGTACTTCACGGCGTTGCTCAAGAACACTATTCGTTGTTCGAGCGCGGAACAACACATTGCCGCCAATCTGACGAGCCTTGCCGCGAAGACAAAATGGTATTCGATCCTGTGGTATGTACGTACGGCATCGCACAGCAGTCATTCCAGGATGGGCCGGTGAGGGCAAGAAGCAGGAAACCTCACCAACGGTGATGCGCCGAATGCCGATTACCCTACAGACGCATGAACTTGCAAAAAAGCCGACAGTAGACGTGATAGATGGCGCATTTCATCAAAATGTTCAAATGATTGCTTTCGAGAGCCAGACCCATATTTCCCTGTTCATAATATACTTCTCAACACAAACCGCAACGCTTTCGTCGACACATTTCGCACACACACTTCATCCGTAGACAGACCCCAGCAAAGTACAGTCAAGGGGAAGAAGCCAAGATCGACAATCCGAAAGAGATAAGCGAGCGAGAGAGAGAGAAGGCCATCTCACCCGCAAACACTCCTTCTAGCCAACCCACCCCAGAGCAATTTTGTATTTTCATCTTCCATCGACAATGCAGCGACAAAAAAGGAAAGATGACCGCTAAAAACGATAAAAGTATAACGAGCGACAGGCACCAAGGAAGCTTATCTAATGCCATTTAATTCTCTTCTTACCAGTCACCGTTGCCGTTCTCTCGGTTCAAAGCAAGTCGTTCGTGATGCGCATCAACCCAAGCGAAGGAAGAAAGAGAGAGAAACAGAAAGGAGGGGGACCCGATGAATTTGCATGTTGAAAAGGAAAAAGAAAGCCGACAAGGAAGTGAAAGAGTCCTTGAGTTTTCCCTCCAAAAAATGAAAGAGGCTACCGAACAAGAAAAAAAACACCCGCACGCTTCACCCTCAGCAACCGCACTGGTATCACACATCTTCTCCACTTCCACCACCACCACTTTGTACCTTCCCCGAACGAACCAACTCCCTCACAACCCCTTAATATCAACCAGTACCCTGTCCCTCCATCTTGCACCACGGATGTTCCAGCACTTGACCGATTGTGATGCGCTGATCGACGTCCCGGTTCAGCATAAGCCGGATAAGATCGATGCTCTCCTCGCTCATGATGTACGGCACGCGAAGATCGTGATCCATGATCTCATCTATGCTGTAGAATGGGTTCTCCTTGTACACGATCGTGTAGAGCAGGATTCCCAAAGCCCAGACGTCCTGTTCCTTGCCGCGGTAGGATTTACCTGCCAGAACTTCGGGTGCTGCGTAATCTTTTGTACAAAGTTCGAGTCAGCCAAAGATCGAATGATAGAGAATTGGGATAAGTTCTTACCAATAGTCCCAACGAACACGTCAAAAGGACCATTCTTGATATACGCCGCAGAGCCAAAGTCGATGAGCTTGATATTTCCTTCACCGTCGAGAATGACGTTCTCATCTTTGATGTCCCGGTGCACGACCTTGGCCCTCGTGTGAAGGTGATGCAAAGCCTCTGCAACCTGCACGAAGATCTTCCTACACTCGGTCTCATCCATGTTGACACGGAGCTCGATGTAATCGAACAGGTCCATCCCAGGCAGACCGTGCGGCACCATCTCGATGTAGTAGTTGACGTCATCTTCAAAGAAGTCGGCCATCTCCACAATGTTGGGGTGCTTGAAGCCATCGCGGCGGAGGTAGTCGAGAACGTGGATCTCGAGCGGAACGGTACCGAGGCGGCGATCGCGAGTCCATGTGTCGACGAGAATGCGGCGTTTGGTCACGTACTTGATGACCATCTTCTTGCTGCCATTCTTGTATCGACACAGCTTGACCTGGCCATATGCACCTTGGCCCATTTCTTCGAGCACAACAAAGTCGTCAATGGTCTTTTTCTTGGCAGGGGTGCCAGGTGTTGCAGGTTGTTGCACGATCGTTGGCTTTGTTTGCTCTTGCTTGGGAGTAGATGGCGGTTCCGCTTCTTTGATTTGCTTCGAAAGCAACGACACAGGGGGGCTTCCTCTCCGTGGTGTCGATGAGTCGGCTTCTTCGGGGTGGAGCTGGCTGACGGATTGTCCGGGCGAGGGCTGATGGGGTGGAGTGCCAGGTCGCGACATGAGGGGCGTTACAGGACCGACTCCGTGGTTCACGGCGTGAAGTTGTCTTGAGTACGTGATCCAGAGAGCGTATACGACTTCTGAAGCGGGATGATGCTCGAGAGCTTCTTCGGTTTCGTTTTCAACAATGACGCTGTCGGAAAATTTGGGCGACTTTTCACTTTTGACCACACGCATCTGCACATCAACCATTATCTCCGCACCGTCCCGGTGTCTCGCAGGGAGTCCACTGGGTCTCAGGAAAACAGCAGCTGCATCTTCTCTACCTTCTCGCATAGCGAGCAGCGCACGGGCCCGGCGGAAACTGTGTTCAGGGATAACGATGCCGTCGACTAGGCTGACTTGATCCTCGTCGGTCATGATATGGAGGATCTTGTCGAAGCTGGGGAGCAATTCAGTGATATGCAAGCCATCGGGTTTGGCCTGGCCAAATAGCGCAGAAGAAAACACCGTATTGGCGCTCGATATTTGAAGCGTGGTGGCATTCAAAACGAGAATACCTGCGATGTGAGGGAAGCTTGAAACGCGGAATGTCGACTCTCCGGATAGCTGGTGCACGGTGATGGGGATGTTGATACTGTTCTGCGTTCGGGCGGTGAATGTCTTGAGCTCGGCAATCTGGTCGAAGTCCAAAGCGCCGGTGTTGGTGCCGGGGACGCGTGGTATCTCGGGAATCAGTCTTGCCAGGTCCATACCTCTGCGAACACGCTCGGTTCCCCAGATGGCTTCTATCGCGCCCTGCCCCTTGACTACAGATCCTATTTCGTCGACTGTCACGAACACCACGTCTTCCGCGATCTCCTCGAGAACCCAGATGAGGCCGCCGCGCTTTTCCTTGACCCACAGACTCGCGGCTCCCGTCGCACCGTTTCTTTTTTGGATGGGTACGACATCGCCGCAGAGCAGTACACCTCTGGACTTGTTGGCTTGGTGGTTCAGGCCACCCTTCACGCTCTTGCCTGTCGTAAAGGACGAACCACTCCCGTCGTCGGTCTTGGATCTCTTCTTCGGCGTTGCTCGCGACGACGGCTTGCTCAGCAGCTTGGCTGTGATTCCATTGCCCATATTAAGGTTATTGCTCGCAGGAGCGGCGGGCTTCTGGGCCGCTTGGGCTTCTAATGCCTTTCTAGAGCCAGCATCGGGGTCTCGTAGCTGGTCCTCCAACCATTTACGTCGCTCTTTCTGAACCACCTCCAAGATGCCCATCTTCCGCACTTCCGATCTCGTCACTCCGAAAACAAGACAGGCTAAGTCGTTTGCTGCGGTGATGGTCCATGGAGCCTGTGCTTCAGTGGTAAAGATAGCCTGGGCAGCCGGCGCCCAGCGGCTGCCGTGCCCATGCGGGGCATTGTGTGTGCCGGGCACGGAAGGTAAGGAGGGTGTTTGCGGAATTGGCTGTTTTGGAGAGAGGGTTTGACTTCCGCCCAGAGTAGTGGGCTCGGCGGCCAAGTAGGGTTGGGCTAAGGCGTCGTTTAATCTGCTCTGGATCCTAAGTGGTGCTGTATCGGTATATGTCCTCTTCAGCGCCAAACGGGACAGTCGCTGGTGCGGGGAAGCGCCGGGCGAGCCGGAGGCCTGAGAGGACGAGAGCACGCTCCCGTCGCTCTCCGGGGCCAGGGCCTCCTCCATGGTGGGCTTGAGGGCTGGGGAGAAGGCAGCGGCGCTCCTCGGGCTGTGAATGGGCGTGTTCTCGTCGATCGGCTCCGGACTTTCTGAACGGCCAAAGCTCTTGTCGAAAATATTTTCGCCCGACGAATCCGCGGGGCCAGTAACAGGCCCCTTCATGGCCAGGCCATGGGCCTGCAGAGCCTCCTCACCGATCAGGTTCGCGCGCGCCAGCAGGTCCATCATGCTCTGCAGCTCCTGGTCGCCGCTCAGACGGGCCTGAGCGTTGGCAATGCCCGGGTTGGTGGCGGCCCAGCCCAGCTTGTCCCGCATAAAGTCTATGGATCGCTTCAAGACATTCTGGCGGTTGTATATGAAATCCTCGGACTGGTGGGCGAAGGAGAAGGAATGGAGGGACTCGGAGGGGAAGCGGGAGAGGTCTTCGCTGAAGTTGAGGGCGGGCGAGCCGGGCCCGGAGGGCAGTGCGTGCGAGGCCGAGGGGTGACGCGTGGGCGGCAGGGACAGGTTGATCGAGGCAGAGCGCGAGGTGGCCGAGCTGGTGCTGGGACGCAGCGGCTGCTGCCGTATGCGGCGCAGGCCCGAGGCTCCCAGGCCATGCTCGTGCTCAGGAACGATGGGGGATCTGGCAGGTTGTGGTCAGCCTTCCGGGTGGCGGGATTGCGCGCGTGTCACCGACCTCGTCAGCCTGTCATAGTCCCGCGAGGTGCCCGAGTCGAACGACATGCGCGGGCGGACGGTGTTCACGGCGAGGGATGCGTTGGCGGGGCTGCTCTGGGACAGGAGGTTGCTGGTGCTCTTGTTCTTGGGCAGCTTGAGGTCGCCGGCGTCGCTGGACGTCTGTAGCGGCGGTAGCTGCTCCGGGGCCGTGGTGCTTGTGGGTTTGGAGCCTGCGGAGAAGATGCACATCAGAGCTGTCCTGCGCTGGTCTGAGCTGCGGTTGGTGTGGTGATCGGATGCGCGGGCGGCGTGGCGTGGAGCCGCCCGCTCTTCTACTCGGGCAAGTCACAACGGTCACGTCCCTGAGCATCATGTCTTGCGGCCTGGCGGGCAACGGGTGACCTGCGGCGGGTGTGGCGACGCACGCGGGCGCGGCTGGTTGCGGGGGCAGGCGGACAGCAGCGACGGGCCTCGCACTCACCATTGTCATTTGGCGTGCTCATAACCATACCAGGAGAGCTGACGTGCGGCCAGCAGGCGTTGGGGGAGGAGGGCAGAGGGGGGAGCCGGCAGAGGGGCCGGCGTGGGTTGGCGTGCGCGGGCGCGGGGGTTTTGGGGCACTCTTGCTCCAGCTACACAGATCTACGAGCGAGAGCGCGGTGGCGGTCGGGTCGGCGTGGTTTTGTCGGGCTGCCAATGGGGCTAGCCGGCGGGTCTGGCTGGCTTGTGACAGATCTCAAGGCCGCATTGGCGTCCAGCGTCGCACGAGGAGCTTCTGGTGATGGCAGCCAGCTGACGCGTGGGCGAGACAGGTCGGGGATGGTCGAGTCTGGGCGCGAGAGACGTTGCGCGAGAGCGTCTTTTCATCATCGCGCATTCTCCGCGACCTCCATGCGCTCAACAAAGCTAGTCACTCGGCTGACCTTGGACCCTGAGCACGCCTGCCAAGTCAGCGCTCATCGACGCCGCCGTGTACCTCGCGCCCTGCCGCTGCGGCCTGAGGCCTGTCCCAGCCTGTCCGCGGCGCACGCGTGGCCGGGCAGCCTGCAACTCGCCGCCGCGCCCTATCGCGAAAGGCGGTCGTGGCACGGAGTCGGCGCCCCTGGTTCGCAGCAGCCGTCGTGCTACCGAGATAGTCGCCTGGTGTTGCCTGCCTCCTCCCGTCCTTCCACCCGCTTCGTGCCACCCCATCTCGACTCCCCGTGCCGCCCCGGACCACGCTCCGCCCGTCCTCTTCCGTACATCCGCTGTGCTGCGTGAAGAATCTTCACCGGTCGAGACTGCGTCAGCGTGGCCGGTTGGCCCTGCATCCGTCGCAAAGTCAAAATCTATGGTACGGTACATAGGCACGGAACATCTGCTGCAGCCTGCCTTTCCCCGACCCTGCCTAGCTCATCGAGATGCTTAGGTGCAGCATGCACCCTCATCTTCATGTGAAGCGTCCCGAAGCCTTGGCTGCTGGGAGCTACACCCTTGGTGCCACGACCATAGCCTGTCGAAATGTTGAGCACGGTTGCTGCAGTGCTACTCGACCGCCCATTCGACGATTCTTCTTAGGACCTCTGTAGTTGATGCTGAAGACCATTTCCCCTTTCCTGCTTTAGCACCCTGCTCCAATTGCGTCAACTGTCTCTGCTGCAGCGAGGCAACTACTTTCTGAAAAATGACATCCTTCATCTCGATCATCTCCATGTGCACAGCAGGTTGATGCCACGACACCCAGCCACTCAGTACCTCAGGTTGTTCTTCTGCTCCTCCCAGAAATTCCGGCATGCCCTATGCATGCTTAGCTGCTCCACCCACCACTCTCCAAAGCTATCCTCCACATCCACGTCCACCTTCCCAATCCTTTCGTTTCTCTTCAGCCCACACAGAGCACACGGTTTCACGCTCGCAATAGCCCCTTCGGATTCCTTCGCAATACGAATCGGCATCGTCTCCGCGAGCTCCGGAATGGACCCAACACTCCTCCCTCGGTCGTCCTTTCCATTGACCTGCGCCACCACTGACCGCAGTCTGCCAAGCTGATCTTTCCACGCCCTGACAACATCTGCAGCTTCACGGTCTTCTTTGGTCGACTCGGTTCGATCGATCGACTGCAGCTTCATGCCACCGGCCCCAGCTTTGCCAGCTTGCCCGATGCTCATACCTTGAGCGAGGAACGTGTCACGCTTCCAACGCAACTTTCGGCCGGCAATGATTCGAGCTGCCACGGCGCCCACCGTCAAGTAACCTCTCAGGAACTTGACGACAGCTTGATCGGCAAGGATCTTGGGGCGAACGTGCGAGGGCTGCGTGCCGAGCGGCTTGAAAAAGGACGAGTGTGCTAGAGCAAAGATGGGCGGAAATAGTGTAAGTAGGAGGGCAGGAGGGGGAACATTCGTCGGCGGGAGAGAATTCGGCGCGGGGTCGGGTATGGGTGACGGTGTGGGGATGGAGAAACCGGCGGGCTGGGGACTCGAAGAGGCAGCCGGTGCTGGCGCGGGATTCGTGGGAATCAGGTCGTCCCAATCGTCATCCCAGCCTAGAGGCTGGCCTATGGGTTTGGATGGTGGATCCATCGACGATTTAGGCGCCGATGATTTAGCTGCAGTAACTTTAGGTGCCATTTTCGTGGCAGGTTTCGGGGCGGGCGGTGACTTGGTGGCGCCAAAGGCCGGTTGCGATGTTTGTGTTTTCGCGGCGAATTTAGCTGTCGTGCTGTTCTTCCAGTCATCTTGCTTTGACGTTGGTGCCACAGAGGTGAGGGGGTCTGAGACCTCTAATTCGCCCAGGAGCGCATCTATGTTCAGCGGTTGTGCCGTAGCGGGCACAGACTTCGGTTGCGGGGGCGAGGCAGGCTTCGGTACAGGAGCCGGCGCGGGAGTGGCAATCGGAGCAGATGCTGGCTGCTGAGGAGCTGGGCTAGGAGTAGCATCTTCAAAATCACCGAAATCATCATCATCCTCAGACAGGTTCTCGGCATCGAACAGAACATTGGGATCACGTGGGGTGGCCGGCTGGCTTGCGGGTACGGGCGTCGCTGGCGGAGCTGCAAATTTCGGCTGGGCAGCCGTGCTCTGTGGGCGCGATGGGACGCCAAAAGCGCTGAAGTCGAAGGGGTCGTTTTTCGAGGCGGTGGAATTAAAGATTGGCTGTGGGGCAGGCGAGGTTGAAATGCCAGAAGTAGCCTTAGCCCCGGCAGGGCTGGTCGACGTGCGGAGACTAGCCCACGGGTCCTGTGCCTGGGAGGTGGTATTAATAGATGCTGAAGTCGTTAGGGCTGCAGATGGGGCGGCATCTGCAAAGTCTCCCCAGTCGTCGTCATTGCCGGTCTCGGCTTGGATCGATGTTGGTAGAGCTCCGGGAGTGGCCGAGAGGCGTGGTCCCTGGGTTGGAAAGGCACTCACGCCGGTATTGAATGAATTTGACGCGGAAACAGAGGGGGCAGCAGGCTGACCAAGGCCGGCGAGGTCGTCAAACAGCGAGAAGCTCGCGGACCCTGGCTGCCGTGCTGAATTAGGTTGCTGCTGCTGTGGGCGGTTCTGCCCTGGTGGCGGCGGAGGACTCCCAAACTCGGCCAGCAGATCGAACGACATGACGAGCAGTAACCGACAGGATTCGTAAATGCAGGTTGAACGAGGGCGGTGGCGGGCTTCGTCAAGTTAAGCCGATGGTGTTCGAGGGAGGTGTACTTGACACAGGCCACCAGGTCGGTCGCGCCTGCCAGATCGCGCCTGGCGCTCGCTTGCCTGCCGGACGGGCCGAGACAGCTTCATCCTCCGCGCCCACTCGCAGTCCTCCCTCTTCGCCCCCATGCGCCCATCTGTTGGCAATATGCCCATGCACACGCAACTTCTGAATTGTGGCGCCTCCGGTTCCCGCCCGATACGGTCTTCCGCCCGGCCCGTCTCCACAACGGTCGAGCGCCGCCGCTTCTCGCCAGTCGTGTCGCATCACAGACCGACTCATCAATGCTATTTCAGGCTATCATGAGGCTGAAAAGAAGCACTGGCGTCGCTAGAGCCAAGTTATAAATTCAACAGCGACGCCATGCCCATTTACTTTCGCCATCGGCTCGCTCAGCTTCCAACCTTCTCTAGCAGCCGCCATCCCAGGCCCTCGCCTTGATCGTCTTTGCCTCAGATCTTAACTGGTCTGCGAATCTACTCGCCATGAAGCTCTCCGCCTTTTTTGCTGCACTTACCGCTCTGGCCGGCGAGGCCACTGCGAAAGCCGTATTCGCCCACTTCATGGTACGAGTTGAGATTGCTTGTTCGTATTGGCTACGCTTGCTAACCCGTGCTCGATTTGATAGGTCGGAAATGTGTACCAGTCCTACACAGTTGACAAATGGAAGAGCGACATTCAGCTGGCCCAGGCTTCGGGCATTGATGGCTTCGTGTTGAACATCGCCCCTCCCCTGAACGACGATATGCGCACTCAGATCGCTGCCGCTTTCATTGCCGCCAATGATCTGGCCAGCGAGTTCAAGCACTTCTTCTCCTTTGACTACCTGGGTGGTTCGGGTGCCTGGGGTTCCGCGGACATCGTCTCGCTCATGAAAGAGTATGGCCCGAACTACGCTTATCAGAAGGCTTCGAGGGGTGGTACTAACCTGCCCTTCGTCTCGACTTTCGAGGGCGGCAACTATGCCAGCGACTGGACCACCATCAAGTCGCAAGTCGATGTCTACCTCGTTCCGGATTGGACCGGCTCCGGAGCGGATGTAGTCAAGGCTAACATCAATGCCGGCGCAAGCATCGATGGTTTCTTCAGCTGGGACATGTGGCCGGAAGGTGCCAATGATATGAGCACCACTCCCGACAAGACGTGGCAGGGCGTCCTTGGCGATAAGGACTACATGATGGGCGTGAGCCCCTGGTTCTTCACGGACCTGGCTGGCTACGGCAAGCAGCGTCTCTGGCGCGGCGACGACTTGTGGGCGCAGCGCTGGGACCAGGTCATGGAAGTCAACCCCGAGTGGGTCGAGATTGTCACCTGGAACGACTATGGCGAATCTCACTACATCGGACCTATCTGGGAGGCTGGCATTCCGCAAGACACGGCCAACAATGCCGACGCCCGCTGGTATGTCGAGGGCATGAGCCACCAGCACTGGCGCGACCTTCTTCCCTATTACATCGCCCGCTACAAGACCGGCGTGTCACCGACAGTGACTCAGGAGAAGATCAGCTGGTGGTACCGCCTGTCACCCAAGGCCGCCGGAACCACGGATGTCACCGGCAATGATTGCTCTTACCAGACCTGCCTCGACCCCAACGCCATTGTTCAGGACGAGGTCTTTTTCACCGCGCTGATCAAAGATACCACGAACACCAATGTCGTCGTCAAGATCGGTGACAACGCTGCTGTCTCTCACCCTGTCACGAAGGTCGGTCCCAATCACTTCAGCCAGCCCTTCAACGGCCAGCTCGGCAAAGTCACTTTCTCGATCGTGAGGAATGGACAGACGGTGCTCTCTGGAACGGGCGATGCAATTGTCGCCGAGCCCGCCAACGGCGAGAGGAATTACAACGCGTACGTCGGTGGTGTGCCCGACACCTATGCGGAGCTTTGAAGACAACCAAGAGCATAGATAGGGACAGAATGAGTGACGAGGAAAACGTAGCACTTTAGTAATTGTTAACATGGCCGTAGTCTCGTAATAATTGAAAATGTCAACCTATCACCGCAGGTTCCACATGATTTGAGCTTTTTGTGCCCCGTGTGCCCCACAAAAGTCATACGAGGGTACTTGAAGCTGACGTCCGGATGCATTTGTACAATTAAAATGCTAGATTTACGTCCGGATACTCGCTTAAGCTACGCAGAATGAGCCGATATTTTAGGAGATAATCTGCCTGTATTATTTTTACAATCCGTTTGTTTTTTCTCTTATTGGTTCTTACTTACAATCCCCACACCACCTCCACAAACGTCTCCTGCACATGCATCGTTCCCGAGACCCCTTTGAGGTCCGAGTTGACACGGATATAGTCCGTCATGCTCTCAGCAACGCGATTAAACGTACCCGGAAGATCGTCGTTACTCATCAACTCCTTCCCAAGGCGCGGCGAGAGGCTGCTGCCATCTTCCACATCCCAGGTATATCCGTCACCTATTTCCGTAAGATTCCAGTCAAAGTTCATGAGGTTAAAGATAGAAGTCTCCTCAATTGTATTGTCCCCGACCCTAGTGATGAAAGTGTTATTTGCCCCGGGAGGTAGCTCTGAAAGATCAGCGGGCAGGTATGAATCGCAGTCGGCGCCTGAGGGTACTTCGCTATTGTCGGCGTAGTGCCAGCAGCCGCTCGCGTCGTTTGCAACCAGCCTGACTTCGCGAGGGGTGGTTCCAGACAAAACACCATTAGTCTGATCAAATGGAAATGGAAAGAAAAGAAAGCTCTGGTTAGCCGCCACTGTGCTTTTAATGCTCTCGAGGTATAGAATCGACATACCGATCTCACATGCTCGTAGACTTTGGCGCAGAAGCTGACAGTACACGACGTGAATTCCCATCCTGACTTGTAAACCTCCCAAAAATTATTCTCGTCATCCAAGTGCGCTCTACTCCCGTTTCCGCGCAGTCTCGTAATAGCTACGTTTTTTATTCGCGGATCCGTTCGATATGGGCTCGGGTTGACCTCTTCAGCTTTGGTGATCGTATACACATTTCCCTCGGTGGCATATTTCTCCTTTTCAGCGGTTCCATTTTGAATTACAAGGGAAATTCCGGCTGGCGTGGTGTAGTTGATCATGAGGCAACCCTGGCTGCTGTTGCCGGACTGCAAGCATTCTGACTTGACCGTGTCGGTGACGTCTGCGCAGGTGCTACAGTAGCCGAATGATACGAATGGAGGCCAACTACAATTGCTAGATGCGCACTCGTAGGTGAGTTCCGGACTGAGATCGTACAGCCCGCCGAGAGAGGCTCGCCAGAGGCTGTCTGTAATTATCCACGCAAGTTCTCATCAGCCACAGTATAATCAATCACATACCAGCTGCCTGTATGTTCCCGCAAAACAAAGACTTACGTGTCATGCCCGAGGTCACTTTTCTTTTCGCTGGGAGGTCCCGGGCGTACGGCATTGATGCGAAAGTGTTGTTGGCGTCTTCAATACTGACCAGCCGCGTGGGAAAAGATAGAATCTGCTGCGCAAATGGATCCATCGCCAGAGCAAAGATAATGATAGAACATCCGAGTGAGGCAATTCAAGGCCTTCCCTCCATCTCTAGTAGAAATATCAAGCTTCCCCAAGGCCCGCGACTTGCCGCGTCGAACGTCTCAAGGTCAATGAGTGGATGCGGCCCGGTCTGATAATGCACCCATCTCATCTGGCTGACGCCCTGGGCCACTACGAGGAGCATCGCCGATTTGGATAGCGTGATGAACACGGAAACTAATGAGTTCGGTGCTATCGAGAAACTCCAGGAGGATAGCGGTCGATCTTGAAGGCGAAAGAGGATTCCTGCGACAGCTGACATGCAGAGGATGCTGAAGATGCAAGCACTGATTTCCCATATCCAAAGGTCTTTGCACGTATCCTGAAAACGCCCCCAACGCTTCGTGAGTGCCGGTCTCTTCTTTGAATCCTGGTTTTTGGTTGCCAAAGTCCTCGTGTCCGGCTTTGGTATTAAAAGAGGAAATGATGCGGGCATACCCTCTCTGCCGCTGCTGTATGATGGTGAATTTCTCTCCATTGCTTGCTGAGTGTCTCAAAATAATGTGAAAGACTACTCGAGAATTGGGGGGTTCTATGGAAGCTTTATCTTCAACGTTATTTTGGAATGGCCCCCAACCTCCGATTCGCCCATTTCCTTCTAGTACAAATTAGGCGCCGCCATGCTGCTGTCATGCTGCAGTTCTATGAATTTAGGAAAGCCCATATAGGAGGGTTCTGCGTCTGACGGCTAGCGCACAAGTCGTTTCTACATGGGAAGCCGGGGGCCTGACCTATAGGACGTACTAACTAGATCCTTTGAAGCATGTTGCAGAATTTGAGCTCGTATTTCGCTGCAGCCGTGTCTTAAAGCGCACAAGATCACCGGTCAGCACTCCCAATCTCAACACCACGTGTGGGATCACCCCTACCTTGAGCCTCATCCTCTTCCAACAACTCATCTCCTTTTCCGAAACCGAAACGAATCGTTGCAACTCAGCGTCTTGGTTTCTATCAGACTCAGTCTAAGTGTTGTTATCCTGTTATTCTTTTTATCACCTTTTAGGCGAGTGTAGATGGTGTTATAATAAGATTAAATTGCGGGATTGAATTGATCAGGGTTGCTGCTGCTCTTTATTTTTTTTGGAAGCCAAAAAAAAAATAACGCACGCTGTAATATACATTCATGGGTAGTTGAAGCTAATATCCGGACGTGTTTGTACAATTTTTAATTTCACATTCACGTCCGGATGTTAGCTCCAACTACCCATAAGTTGTCCCATTTTTCCTTTATTTCCTGTGAAAGGCGTTAGGGAAAGTCTGTTGCTATCATTCATCATTTACCCCAATATCCATTCCAACGGTAACTTGGACAAGAGTAGATCAGGTGTTCACATGGCGGTGGAAATCAACCCGAATTTATTCTTGTCCGGAGTTTTCGGTTCACCCTATCAAGACTACCATTTTTGCATTAATAGACCTGGATCCGCCCCGAGCCCATGTTAGCAAATGGGTGGGATAGCACGAAGTAGAAGATATAGCTGTCCTCCAGCTTAGACCGAATCCCTCATGAACCTGCATACCGAATTTCCAATCCCAGTACCTCGATGTCCTATGTTCCCCGCAGCAGCCTCACCAACGGACTGCTGAAACCCTTTCACCTCCACATATTCGCAATCCCACGATTTCTTCCACGCACTGATGTGTGCCGTCCCACGCCAGGACTTATTCGCCATTTTGTCCGGCCAAGAGCTGCTCCAAAAGCGTCTTCAATCCGTCCTGTTCAGCAATCACATCGGCACCATTTGCAGGTCCGCCCGGAGCATTTCCGACTGTGTTGGCGTCCTTTTGGCCACCACCGATCATGTCAAGCATCGTGTGAGCCACGAATCCAAGGCTCTCCTCCAGCCTCTTCTCTCTCTTCGCGGCCACCTCAAGTTTTGCCGTCAGCTCCATAACCTGGGTCTGAGATTCCTGGAGTTTGGCACTCTCCCTTTCGTTCTCGGACTGCACCATCTGCGCTCGTGACTGATGATCTTTCAACGTCTCTTCGAGGACGCCAATCTTGCTCTGTTGGGTTGATGCTTCTTGTTCAAGAGTCTCTAGGATCTTCCGATCGTTTTCGTTTTGAGTCTGCAACTCTTGTGCTCGGGACTGCCATTCTTCCAGTGACGTCTGCAGTTCAGTGATCTTCGTGTTCGAGGTGCCGCCGCTGCGGCTGAGGCACTCGATGTTCTCCTGGTACTGTTCAGTCTGGAGCAGGAGGTCTTTACCGCGCTTCTCCAGTTCCTCGATTTCGATTTGCTGATCCTTCAACATTGTCGTCTTCTGCGCGTCGGTCTTGTTAGCCCCTTCTAATTGAGCATTGGCTCCGTTGAGCTGGTAGCGCAGATAAATCATGTGCTTGAATGCACTGTAAAAGAGTACATTGAGGTTGTCGAGCTTCTCGCTGGCGTCGCTGCTCTGCGCTTCCAGACCTCGGACTGCCTGCATCAATGCTTCCAATTTGGTCGCATGGCTCTGATTCCGCGCTTTTTCCTTTTCGACTTCGGCCTCAAGCTCCTGGATATGAGCGGCGTCCTTGCTCTTCTCTGCCTCCAGATCTGCGAGCCTGCGCAACTCCTTGTCGCGGACGTGGGGCGGTATCTGGACGCTTTCTGTCTTCGCCTCATCATACGATCTCTTCAGCCGCATAATGCTGCCTTGCATGTCCTGTAACGCGTTAATCCGACCAACTAACGGGGGGCCTTGTATCCACAGCCTCCATACAACTCTGACTCCACTTACCGAGAGAAACCGCTTGTGGGCCGTATCATCAATGCGCCAGTCCTCCGCAGCAGGGCGTTTGCCGGAGGTGCCCGTCGTCTCCCTCGCACCACCACCACCGCCCTCGTCCGCCGTCACAGAAATCTCGTCCACGCGCTCTCGCAGCGCATCACCCAAGTGCATCGTCGACCCCTCCGCCTCGGACTCCACCACTTCCACCCTTGATCCCTTGCCCTCTCCCTCTCCATCACAACCACCACCCACCACCGCCATCCTACCTCCTTCCTCCGTATCCACAACCTTATCCCCCTCCCTCACCCCCTCCCTCGGCCACCCCACCGGCGCCACTGGCTGCACCGCCCTCGCCTTCCCCGTACTCGTGAAGTTCAGCGGCCACCTCGCTGCGCAAAGCGCATCCCACCACCTCTTTCCCTTCTTATCGCCCCTTTCCGCACACGCCGCTTTCACGTGCTCGAGCACGCCGACCAGCTGCGCCGTGAGGATGACGTTGGCCGGCCAATTAGCCGGACTGCTGAGACGGCGGCGCAACGTGCTGCTGAGCTGCTGCCGCGGGCGGACGGGGTCGTAGGCGAAGACGGGGAAGGCGGCGGCGTTGGTGGGCGACCATGTTTTGCGCTGGCGCCGGGTGGCGAGGTGCGTGCGGCGGTGGCGGATGGCGACCCAGTTGCAGCCTGGGAAGGAGGAGTCGAAAGTGCGGTGAAGGACGTGGCGGGTGGGCAGGCGGCTCTCGTGGTTGTTGCGGGCAGCAGCAGCAGCGGGGGCGCGGGGAGTGCTGGTGGTGAGAGCTTCCTGGTGGGCGATGGGGGCGGCGTCGGTGGGTTTCTTGCTGCCTTTTGGCGCCGCAGTGGTCGTGGCTGTGACGGTGACAGGCTTGGTTGCTGGATCCTGGTGTAGTGAGGTAGGTGTCTGGGGTGCGGAAGCCATGGCTGCGCTGTGGATGGATAAGTGAGGGCTTCGCAGTAGATGTGAGCGGTATTTTGGTTTACCTAGGTGCCGCTTTTGATGGTTGTAGTGGTTTAAGTGGTTGGGTGAATGGTGGATGTGCTACGGACCAGTGAGAAGTTGGAATGTGTTGTGGTGTTGTAGAGAAGATGTTGAAAACCTCAGTACGACTGGAATATATAGACGAGCTATTGGCTGGCCGATGAGGAAAGAGGCACATCTCAGGGTCCATTCACCACAGACAGTACGGGAAGGTACAGAGGGGTATTGCATCCGAAGGTTAGCGTTCATTTTTTTTCGTTCATGTCATAGGCAGTTGAAGCTATCGTCCGGACATGTATGTAGACTTTTTAATTCGACATTCTCGTCCGGACGATGGCTTCAACTACCCATATGTTGTTTTACTTTGCTTTCACTGCTCGCGTTACTCGAGTGCCGTCCTTCTCAAAGATGATTGCGAATCATCACTTCTTTCGTACGCACCGTGAGGTTTCCAATGCACATAATGAGGGGAGTCATTGATTTTCCGAGAGGAAAAGCCATGCTTGTGATTTTTTTTTCTGCCAATGCAGGCTAATTGTATATACAAGAAGATTCGAAAAAGAAGCATGCGAGCATCTCATCGTCAAGAAGTGAAAACAAAAGCAACAACAAAAACCCAAACTCCAGTAAAGTGTGTCCATGAGGGCTACTCGAGGCAGTGCACCAAGCGTCATCATCTGAAGCCAAAGCTCCAAAAGACAAGCAACCGTTGCAGCTGTCTCGCGCCGGGGAAAGTTGACGGGGAGTTGAAAGAAGACGAGCTGATGAAATGAGTTTTCCTTTTCCACGTTTCCTTTTTTTGGTCACACTGTTTTTCCCATCTCTGGGTAACGGGCCCAGCCCGTGATGATGATGATGGATGGGAAGGATGAAAGTGCTGCATTTGTTTCATTCAAGTTTCACAATAGACGAACGAAAAAACCCCCTTCTTCTCCGTGCACCCACGTAATCCGCACGGACCATCACCGAAAGGGGTAGGTCGGTCGACAATTGCGTAATGATGGGCAGCGGACCCCGGGCGTTGGCCCCTGAGTTACCCACCACCCACCGCTTACGCATCTGGAACGCGCATCCTGCCGCGAAAGCCGATGACGGTGGAGAATGTGGCGTTTTTACGGGTTTGCTGTCGGAGATGCCGACTTTCATGCGTATCGTCGGGGGGATTTCAGCTCGAGCTTTCTAGTTCTCGCGAGTACCGCCCACGAAGAACGTGACGATCTTGTCCCAGACGGACTCGGACTTGTCTTCGGACGAAGACGTCGAGGCATTGCTCTCGACAGGGGCCGCCGAAACGGGGGCCGACGGCTTCGCGGCCCTACGCTTGGCAGTAACCAGGGTCGTAGGAGCGGGCGTCTCGGTAGCCGTGACCTGAAACCATCTGTTAGCATTTTGGAGAATCGAGTTTTCGGCCGGGGTTCGGATGCTTACCGGGCAGATGGTCACGTAGGCAGGAACCACCGAGGTAACGACAACAGTCGAGGTACCGCTCTCATGGGTGGTCGTGCTGGTCTGGAAATCAAGCGTGTAGACGGTCGAGGTCGTGACACCAGCAATGGGGGTGAGGGGAGTGAGGGGCGCACCCGGAATGGACGCAACACCGTCAACACCCGCCGAAGTGACCATGGGGATCGTCGGCAGCACCGTCGGGGTAGGAGCCATGGGGAGGCTGGTGTTGAGAGCACCAGGAGTAATGACGGTGGTCAGAACCGTGGGGAGCGCCGGGGTGCCAACGGGAGCCTCAGGCGTGTAAGTAACAAAGACGGTGACGTTCGAGGGCTGCACCGGCGTCTGGATCGGGCGCGGCGGGACCGAGAAGGTCTGGTTGCCATAGATCGGCGGCACGCCAGCGAGGGAGCTGCTGGAAGGAATAGCAGTGGCACCCTCAACATCGGTGGAAGCGGGCGTCTGAGTAGCAGTGACCGGGCAGATGGTGGTACCGACCGACACGATCTGGGTCACAATGACCTCAGAGGTCGAGCCCTGCTCGTTGGTAGTAATGGCGGTGCTGAGAGCAGTGCTGTAGATGGTCGAAGTCGACGAAGAGGTGATCGCGGCCTCAGTGACGCCCTCGACACCAGACGAAGCAGGGGTAGGGGTTTGGGTGGCGGTGACAGGGCAGATGGTAGTGCCGATGGACACAATCTGCGTCACAACAACCTCAGAGGTCGAGCCCTGCTCGTTGGTGGTAACGGCAGTGCTGACAGCGGTGCTGAAGATGGTCGAGGTCGAGGACGAGACGATGGCGACAGGAGTGACAGCAGGCTGGCTGGCAGACTGGATCTCAGTGGAGATGCTAGCCTGGCCGTTGGGGGCCGTGTAAGTGACGTAGATCGTCTCGTTGCCAGCCGGCGGCTGAGGAGCCGGGCTGGACACACCGCCGTCGACGGTGCTGCTGGCGACGGGCGTCGGAGTTTGAGTAACGGTGACAATGACAGTCTGGCCGTTAGGTGCGGTGCTAGTCGAGACAGCGGTGGACTCGGCGTTGACCGGCGCGGTGGGCGTGGACGGCGTGTGCGTCACCGTGGTGGTAACGACGTTGGGAGGCAGGGCAGTGCCATCAGCTGCGGTAGGCGTAACTGTGAACGTCACCGTGACAATTTCTTGAGACGCAGAGGTAGATGCCTCTCCAGAGACTTCAGAAGTGTTGCCGGGAGCCGACGGGGTGGGCGTAGCAGTCTCGGTGTGGGTAATGACAGTCGGGGGCAGAGTGCTGCCGCCGGGGGCCGTAGGAGTGATCGTGACCGTGACCGTGACAAGGTTCTGCTCAGACACAGTGGTCGTCACTGCGCCAACAGAGGGCGTGCTAACTTCACCGGAAACACCGCTGCTCGCGGGGGCGCTGGGAGTCACAGTAACAATAACGGTCTCACCGTTGGGAGCCGTAGAAGTGGAGGGAGCAGGAACAACTGGCGTGCTGACCTCACCAGACACATCGCTGCTGGCCGGGGCGCTAGGCGTAACAGTAACGATGATGGTCTCGCCGTTGGGAGCGGTGGAGGTCTCCGGAGTAGGAACGGCGCTCTCACCCGAAACAGCGGGCTGCGAGGCGCTGGGTGTAACAGTAACGATGACGGTCTGGCCGTTGGGAGCCGTAGAAGTCGAAGGCGAAGGGACCTCGCTGACCGTCTCGCCGCCGACGGGCACGCCAGGAGCGGACGTGGCACCCTCAACACCAGACGAAGCAGGGGCAGAAGGAGAGCCGGGCGTCTGGGTAGCGGTGACCGGGCAGATAGTCGTACCAATGGACACGACTTGGGTAACAACAGCCTGGGAAGTGGATCCCTGCTCATCGGTGGTCTCAACCGTGCTGATGGCAGTGCTGAAGATCGTCGAGGTCGAAGAGAACGTGGTCAGCACAGGGGTGGAGGCAGAGGCGACGCCCTCAACGCCAGAGGAAGCAGGAGCAGAGGGAGTTCCGGCGGGCTGAGAAACGGCAGGGATGGAACCAGCCGGGGTCGAAGCCGCGAGGGTCTCAGTGGCGGTGACGGGGCAGATGGTGGTGCCAATGGAGACGACCTGGGTCACAATGACCTGGGATGTCGAGCCCTGCTCATCGGTGGTCACAGCGGTGCTGACAGCGGTGCTGAAGATGGTCGAGGTCGAAGAAGAAGTGACAGTGACCGCGACGACCGGAGTGCTCACTTCTCCGGAAACATCCGAGGAGGCGGGCGCACCGGGGGTCTCGGTGACGGTGACAATAACAGTCTCGCCGTTGGGTGCAGTGCTAGTCGAAGGGGTGGCAACGACGCTAACGGTCTGGTTGTAGCCACCGACAGGCACACCAGGGGTGCTCACGTTACCAGAGACATCAGACGAAGCGGGCGCACTGGGGGTGTGAGTGACAGTGACGACAACAGTCTGGCCGTTGGGGGCAGTGCTGGTCGAAGGCAAAACAACGGCGCTGGTGCTCTCATTGGTTTCGCCGACAGGAACGCCAGGGGTGCTAACCTCTCCAGAGACGTTTGACGAAGCAGGGGCACTGGGGGTCTGAGTGACAGTGACGATAACAGTCTCGCCGTTGGGGGCGGTGCTGGTCGAAGGCGTAGCAATAGCACTGGTCACATCGACAGGAGCGCCAGGAGTGCTGACATTTCCGGAGACATCCGACGAAGCGGGCGCGCTAGGAGTCTGGGTGACGGTGATGATGACCGTCTCGCCGTTGGGCGCAGTGCTGGTGGAAGGAATAGCAACAGCGCTGGAGACCTCGCCGGAAACGGCCGGGGCAGATCCACTGGGCTTCGAGGTCCTGATGGTCTTGGTCTCAGTGAGCGGGCACACGGTGGTGGACACAGCAACGACGGAGGTGACCACAGAGGTGACGCCGTCAGTAGTCACGGTTTCATAGTTCGTGCTGAAGACAGTGCTGGTCTTGTACGAAGTGGGCTGAGGAGCGGAGGGAGACGGGGTGCTGGCAACGCCCTCGACGCCGGAGGAGCTATCAGGCGTGGACTCAGCGCTGACGGGGATCAGAGTAGTGATCTCCGTAGTAGACTGAGGCACCAAAGCGGTCTGGATGGCGGTAGAGCTGGCAGGGCAGTTGGTGACCTCAGGAGCGCACGAAGTGACGGTGATCAGCTGGGTGGCGTAGACAGTAGACGTGCTGACGCCGGAAGTAGCAGGGACAGTCGTCTTGTACGTAGTGGTCGAGACAGGCACCAGAGCCTCAGAGACAGCAGACACACCGCTTGACGCGGGGCAGTCGGTGACCTCAGGGGCGCACGAGGTGACAGTGTAGTACTGGGTGCTGTAAACGACAGAGGTCACGTCCTGGGTGATGTGCGTCGTGGAAGCATTGGCCAGCGGCGTGAAAATGGGAGTTCCAACCGGGGTAACAGGGGTGTTGATGGCCGGAGGAGACAGAGGGGTGGGAACGCCACCGCTCACATCCGAAGACGCCGGCGCAAAGGGGGTGGATGCCGAGGAAGGAGTGGGCACAATGGACGGGGCACCCGGAGTGGACGGGTTGGCGGCCTCAGAAACCGAAGGAGGGCTCACAGGGGCGGAGCCGCTGCTCGGAGTGGGGACCGGGGCTTCAGGCGTCGGGTACTGAGGAGTGGAGACCGGAGCGGACTCGGTCTCGCCGCTGACATCACTTGTAGCGGGAGCCGAAGAGCTCGAGCTGGGAGTGGGGACAGGGCCCTCGGGCGCAGAGTACTCGGGAGTAGCGACCGGGACAGCAGGCGTCGAGGCAGTCTCGCCGCTGACTTCGCTGGTAGGAACCTCAGGGGACGAGGCCGGGGCCTCGGGGGTGGAAGCCGGGACCTCAGCAGTCGAGGCCGGGACCTCGGGGGTGGGAACTGAAGATGCGGTCTCGCCAGAAACCTCAGAGGTCGGGACGGGGGTGCTCTCAATCGCAGAGGAAGGGGCCTCGTACTCCGGACCAGCGGGCGACGAGGGAGCCGCACTTTCAACCTCGGAAACCAGCTCCGTCGCCGAAGCCTCGGAGCCAGTGATGGTGGTCGTGTGGTGAGGGACCAGGGAAGTCGACACCTGGGTGGCCGAGGCGGGACAGTTGGTCACTGTCGGGTCACAGGAGGTGACGGTGTAGAGCTGGGTGGAGTAAACAATGGCGGTCGTCACAACATTCTGGCGGGGGATGTTCCCTAGAGAGTGAATGTGAGCGTGAATCACGGAAGAGACGGCTTAGTTTAGGACTTACGACCAGCCGCGGCGCCGAGAGAGCCGAGGACGGCCAAAGCAGTCGTGACCTTCATCACGGGTTGAGAACGAATGTCAAGATGCTTCTGCTAGTGAGCTGGGAAGTCTAAAGAACGAAAGGCACAGCCTGGTTGCGAGCAAAAAGAGCGTCAAGCAAAAAAAGAATGAATGGGCCTCAAGCGAGGGAACCAAGAGACGAAGAGAGTGCAGTGAAGGTTGGAGTAGGCGGATAGCGACAGCGACTCGGGCATATATATGAAAGTGCGGAGCTGTGGCTGGCGACATCGACCCTGCTCGTAACATGATCCAGAAGGAGCAAATCGAACGGTTCCAGACAGGCGGCATTACCCAGGATCGACGAGCAGGCGTCTGTTGCTGATGGTCGCCGGCATCTTGTCCCCACTATAGGCTGGGATGTGAGGCAGGGAAGTGTAGGGCGGTGGGGAGACAGCCAGGTCGGAAACGGCCGGCGGCGGTGGTCAAACTAGACGCGGCCGGGAATATGGCCTAATTGGAGATGTAGAAAGTAGGCGCTCTGGTCTTCACGTGCCTGAGGATTGGCGGACGTATCACGGCAGCGGGGTCGCGGAGCGGCGGGCGCCACGGGCGCCTGTTCCGGGGGTGGCTCGTAGCTTGGCAGCGCTATGCGCCATTATGCTATTGCTGGGTGGGCGGTGGCGGTTCTCGCGTAATGACGAAGGGGGTCCGAATCGTTTTAGAGGTCGGCCCGCGGGCAGGAACGCCGCCCGCTTTCGGCCTAGCCCGTTTCACGCGACGACTCCTCCGTCCACACGCGCAGGCCACCGTGGTTCGAGACTGATTGTTTGTTTCACTCGCAAGAGGCGAGTCTGCAGAGACAGTCCCACCTGCCCACCGCCTGCAGAATAGGGGCCGTCCCTGTCGCTCGCCGCTTGAGCCTCCAGCACTCGTTAAGTCCGCCGAAATCCGATGCCGCTGTTTATAGCATCAAGCTTCGGGCAAGGCGCCCAGGCCACGCACTCCATCACCACTTCCAACCGTCGATCCCGCCGGCAAACGCGCCCGAAACAAGCCTGGGCCGAGGCTCACGGAAGGCTGGGGCACGTAAAATGATGGGGATGACGCCGCGAGGGGATCCTGAACCTGTTGCCGGTGACAGGGCCTCAAACACCCTTTGCCGCCGCCTGTCCGGCCATTCAGCTGTTGACATCACCACATGCGAAATTAACCCGGTTTGCGATCCATTGAGCTGAACTGCCTCAAGCTTACGCGGTCCGCCTTCCCGTCTTGAGCCTGCAGGACATCAACACCAGAAACCTATGCACCCTTCCGCCTCCGCGTTTCGCCATTCCCTGGTCTCCAATCCACCATGGCCCGCCTTATTATAAGCTTACCAGCGCCTCGTCACTGTGCCAGCCACAACGGGAAGGCGTCGTTGCCGCCCACTTCTCGAGTCATCCCATCCCGATAACCTTAACCAGCATACCTGATCCCCGCAATCACCAGATAAACAGCCCAAAGTGTGGATCTTCAAGCCTGTAATCCAAGGCGGAGGAGGCGGTGCAGTCTGGCGGTCTGGACCATTGAGCACCATTGTGGCGAGAGCCTAACGCCTTGTGAAGTGACTTGATGCCCAAGAAGACTCCCGTACCACCCTACTTAACCACTCGTATCTTTAGTAGCAACCATTTTCGAATCCTGTCTATAGAGGAGAACGCATTTCACTTGCACTGGCACTGGAAATCTCCGTCAGGATCGGCTTGTCTCATCCTAGATTCTACATCTACGGCCGGCTGATCACTTCCACTTCCTTCGGAGCAGCGGAGCTTGTGTTGTCCAATATGGCAGGGAAGACTGAAAGCTTTCGTAATCCTCCGTGGCAGTGCCAGAAATCCGCACGCATTAGCTTCACACGCTTCTATAATTACTCAAGTCCTCCGATGTCGCTGGAAACTTCTATGGCAGAGGCTCAACCAAGGCGAATCATTCACGTATGACAATCAGAGAATCCCAATGGTTCTGCAAATCCCATTTCCTAACTACTACAAAGTCGGTGAGTCTCTAGCCTTGCAGTTCTGCCCATACTGTACTTCTTCCAAGCCGACCGAAATTTCCCGATACCACCCAAGAACTTTATGTTGATTATTTAATGCGAATGAACGCTAGAATCAACATGCCGCACCTTGGAAATGGTTGGAATGCGCATGGACGCTACTCGTCATTTCGTCGAGCTGAAGGAGCTGTTGTGGAGGCAGATGACCGCTCTCATTTCTTCCGATCGTGTGCTTCTGAAAACCTGAACTTCGTGTTGATGACTGCGCATGAACGCGTAAACCAACACTCTATGCCAGTTGGAATGCTCTAAGATGACTGTGCATGCACGCTACTCGTCATTTCGTCAAACCAAATGCTCCTGTTTCTGACTGCGGATGGCCGCTCTCGCCGTTCATTCCTTTTGTGAATGTGTTGTTTCTGAATACAGATCGACCGTATCCTTCGTGTCTTTCATTCAATGTGCTTGTTTCAAACTCTTTTGGCCGGCCAATCGGTGATGAGTGCGCATGAATGTACTCAACAGCGTTCAAATCAGCCAAAAGGAACCAGTGCCAATCGTGGCACCGGTGCGGGGTCGGAGCGGATGAAAAACCTTCACTCTGGATCTTCGTTGATGGGGGGGAAAGGAGACCCAGTGCCGTAGAGTAAGCTAAAACTATGCCATTACTCTCGCTCGTCAGCTGAGGCGTCGGAAGGTGAGTGCCGCGTCGGTGATGCGTAAGGAGGTCCAGCGACGTAGAGTAAGGTAAAACTATGCCATTACTCTGGATCGGGGTCGGAAGGTGGTGTGCCGCGATATTGATGACTTCCGGGGTCAATCGGGGTGCAAGCGGGTTGATGATCTTCTGAAAGTGAGGCGCAGCGATGCTCACGGCACAGCGAGGACTTGACGTGCAGTCGGGCTGGTTGTTGGCGCAATGGACCGGGGGGAGACCATATGAGCTGACAACATCGGAAGAAGCCTCATCTTGTGGCCGAGTATCTCGCAGGTGAAGCGGTTGTCGGAACACGGAGAGCGAAAGTCGACGTCGCACTTCGCGCAGACACGAAAGGCTACTGATGTCGATGGGGCGCTTGCGTTCGTCAGAGAGAAGAAACTCGGGTGGTGCTGCGTGCTCAGAAGTTTGCGAAAGAGCCGGATCGACCGACTCAGCCGGGCTTGTGATGACCGAGTGTCCTGGAAGCGGAGCAGGCCGAGAAGGTGACACGCGTACGGACAGCGAAGTCGATGCGCGTTGCAACTCGGGTATTGCAGATGCTGGAAGACGTTGACGGATTCAGTGAAAGGCCTTTCACTTCGTACGGTGTTTCAACAACGTTGCTTGGGCGGCATCTTCGGAGAGTGAGGGTGACCACACCCCAGATCTTTCTTTCGTTCCTACATGGTCGGGTTGGAGTGTTAGCGGCTGTGCTGTGTGGTTTCCATCCTGATGGAAGCATACTGACCTGTAGAAAGAGGTGGGGTGGGCAAAGAAAGAAGAAGAAAAATTTGAAAGGAAGCGGACAGTGCGAAGGTTTAAGTAGGCGATAGGAAGCTGTCCTTGGCGCGCTCGTCATGTGGCAAGCTGGGCTTTCTGGATGCCGGGGCAACGGTTGCCTTTTCTGTGACCACGTTTCGTTGCCTACTCCGCCTTCTCTTTCTCGTCCAACCCTCCGTAACCTCCATTGCTCTTCTCTCTGGTTTGGACCGGTCAACCACTTCGGATTCAGTGAGTTTGCTTCAACATGTTCTAACGCTGCGCAATCCAGTGTCTAATCTACAAACAGGTTTAAGTCATCGCGACAATGAAGGAACCTCCCGATGACGCTACGCCACCTAGACGGACCCGTCCGCATCTTGCATCTTCCGTTTCGGCTCTGCGACAGTCGTCTAACTCCATGCCTGTCACGTCTGCCGCGTCCGAACAAAGCTTTCCTGCTTCACCGCAGAGGGATCCATGTCCTACCAAGCCTGCTACTTCAGTCGCGCCCGAACAATCGCAGAGGGATTCATGTCCTACTGAACCTGCCATTCCTGACGCGCCCGAACAGAGCTTTTCCGCCTCAGCCGACCAGTCGCAGAGGGATTCATGTCCTACCACGCCTGCCACTCATGCCTTACTTGATCTTCCGGTTCTATCTGCGCAGCAGAGGGAAACATGTCCTAGCATACCTGCTGCATCAGAAGAGAGCGTCCCGGATCTCGGAGGCTTGACTTCACCTGCCGTACCAGACGAGAGCTTTGCGCGCTCCAACAAGTTCACTTCACCTTCACAGCAGAGGGATCCATGTCCTAGCACACCTGCTGTGTTAGAAGAGAGCTTTTCACGCTCCGAGCGCTCCACTTCGCCTGTACAGCAGACGTTTTCACGTCCTACCTCACCTCATCCACCAGAACAGCAGAATCCTGAAGCACCCGAGTCAGATGCGCAGTTCGCTCACACGAACGTCGGTGCTACCTCTCCCACAGAGTCTGCTGTGGAGTACCTGCAACAGACTGCGGCTTCCGATCGCAGCAATCTTGATGACGACCTCGCTACTCGCTTCGGCCCAACGATTATCTGCAGTCTGTGTAAGGTGGAGAAGTATTCGCCATTCACCGAGTGGCTACTCTGCCCCATATGCGATTCAGGAAAATTCGTCATGTGCAGCATGTGCTACAAGAAGAACCACTGGTGCCCTTCCTCCCGTCAAGACTCTCACACCCTCAAAAGGATGAACGTTGTTATGGAGATTGATTGGGGATCAGAGTCTGATGAAGAAATCTCACCGGAAGAGGAATTATTTGGCTTCAAGATGGAAGATCTCAGGTTCACATACTCGGGCTCAGAAGAGCGATTTTCCATGGCGCAGTACCGTACCAACAATGTGATGCCCCCAGGCTCTGAGACGGATCAGCTGCATTCCTTCAAGGCAATGCAGAACTATCAGCGAGGCAATGAAATGGTCAAACTTGGCGCTGATGCTGACATGTGAGAAAAATAAGCAGAACATGGATGACAGAAACGCTGATATTTTCTAGGGGTTTCAATCTTCGGTCCACCGATCAACCATTCACATGGGGCGACATTGAGTTAGACAAGCAACTTTCCGAAAATCTCCGCCATTTGGGCATCCGCGCACACGACGATCTCCCCATTCAATTGATGAAGGCGGTTCTAAACGACTTTCGCAATATCGGAGCCCACATCCCCTATGACATGGGTAAGATGACTGGAATGGTCACCACCCTGCTGGCTGCGACAATTCTGCACAACAAAAAGTTAGTGGAGAACACCAGCGAGGGCGAGTTGCTCCGCATCCGGAATCTACGGCGTCGTGCACCCGTCTGCATCATAGTCACACCCACACATGAACTGGCTATCAAAATCTACGATATGCTGACGAAACTCGCCCAATGGACTACCGTTACCATCTCTCTCGCGATTGGTGGCCAGAAAAGCCGACCCAGGGTCACAGATATCGTCGTGGGCTGTCCCGGAAAGCTTCACCATTTAGCCCAAGACTATTTCACAGGCCCCGCCAAGTTCATCGCAATTGACGAGCCGAAGAATTTGATGGACAAAAAATGGAAGGACACAATACACAACATGTGCTGGAAGTTCCGTGGCGCCGACGAACACACGAGGTTCCTCTTTCTAAGTGGGGAGCCCTTCGATCAAAGCACGTACGAGGGCTGCATGAAGCTTATGGGCTATCTGATTCCAGATGACGAACACCGCAATTCTCATGCGTCTGAAGGTACTCAATCAGATGATAAGACCGTACCCATTATCATCAAACCAATCGCCGTTTCCGAAAGACACGAAGGTGCTCTTAAGCAACATTTTCTGTGCGCAAGGACAGACGAAGAGCGCCAATCTCGTCTGGTCACTCTCCTTCAACACGCCTTAACGAATGAGTGCCGTTATGCTTATCAGAAGATGTTGGTTTTCACCAACCACACCAAAGAGGTTGATCAATTGGTGTGCGACATTGGCAAGAAGTACGGGAGCTTGGGGCAAATCGTCTATGGTCGTCACAGCAAACTAAAGCAAGTCAAGAGAGAAAAAGTCTTGGATGACTTCATCAAAGGCCACTGGAAGGTGCTAATCACGACTCCTAGCTTAGCTGATGGTAGCATCATCGAGGGAGTGGATGTGATCATCCATTATAGGCTTCCAAAGGACCTGTATCGCACCATCAGCTCGAAGACCACTTCTAAAGGCGAACTCAAGCTCGAGGCGTATATCAAGAGGAATCGCTGCGCCGGCCGTGTGGGAAACCGCGGAACTTCCTATGCGTTGTACGACGAGACGGACAGTGACCTCTTCACTCCTCTTGCAGTGTATTTGGAGCGCAGCGGACAAGTTGGAGATGCGGTACAGACCGTGAAACGTTTCGAAGATGGAGACTCGTTTTGTCAGAAACTAACTCCCCCCGCCTCACTGGCACACTATGAGAACCAAAGAAACACAACGTCACATGCCAAAAGCCAGAGAGTACGAAACTCGTTAGCCTAGACATAAGCATAAGGAAATACGTATATATAGCAGAGAGATTGCACAGTTAGAGAGGATAGAGATTCGTCTAAGAAATCGTGTCACAATTGAGCATTTTCAACTACAACTTCTTTACACGTTCCTTTCGGACTAGCTGCATCATTGAAGGGCACAGATGAACGCGCTGCATGCTGTTTGAAGCGTCTATGCGCACTCATCATCATGAAGTTCTTAGTTCTAAGCGTATCAAGATCGGGAACCTTTTATTTGCTAGGATAGCATTGAAGGAAGTATGGGTTGCATAATCAAAGGTTCACCGACTTCACACTAGTTAGGGAATTCAATTTGCATACACCAAGTGATGGCTCGTTAGGTGCTGACCACATTGAGGTGACTCGATTAGAAAGACGAATTTGTGCTAGGACTTCATCAACAAGTGATTCTTTGCATATTGAGATATCGTTGCAGATTAGGAGGTGTTTCATTCATATTCTCCTCAGTGAATCTTCTATGGAAGACATCGGTTCGGCCATGCTTTAAGCCGAGCATGAAATGCTTTAGCTGGATGGTAGCGGCGAGACAAGGAATATAAGTGAGAACTTCCGTGCCTGTGCTACAGCTGTTTCTTTGTGGGTGTAGTAGTGGCGCCTGGGGCCGATCGCTTTTCGAGGCGTCGGAACATGTCGACGCCCATGAACACAGCTGTTGGCTCATTAGCAATTATGGGACAGCCAAAGGGGAGAGTTCCACCTACAAAGAGCAAGATATGGCACATAGAGGCCGCTCAAGCTGAGTTTCTGTTCGTTTGTGAATGAGTCCCAGCTGAGATACTCGGCGATACAGGTCATGGTGGTAATGCCGGTCTGACAGGCGTAGATGAGCAGGTGGATGGGCACCTTGGGGTCATCTGACGTAGAGTAAGCCAAGAATCGGAACAGAGCTGCACAATGCTTACCTCGCATCAAGGCACCGACGGCCCAAGCGGAGAGTGGGGCGTGGTACAGAAGCTAATCACGTGTAAGCGCGACATCAGAAAGCTTGGCAATATGGTTGTCTTGACCTCCATCCATATGTACATGGAGAACCACGGGCTTTACAAGAGCAAAATTCAAAGTTAGCCGCGCCAGTGCGGGTTGATTGAAGCGCGGACGCTAGCAGACTTACGGAGGAGCGCTAAAGAAGCGGTCCTGGTAGGTATCGATGTACCACTGGCGCAGGGCCAGCAGCGGCTCAGGCTTCATCCATTCGGGGTACACAGGAAGCACGTCAACGCCTCCACGACCGCGTCAGCTGCAGATCCCCCGGGGGATGGGCGTTGGCATCCAGAGCTTACAGAAGACTATAGGAATGTGGATGGCGAAGAATGAGAGGTACAGCAGGTCGCGCTTGCGCGCGAATATCGACTTTGGCGCCGGTGCGTCCATTGAGAGGCCGAATTCGGATGGATGCTGACGCGTTCTCGTGTTCGGGTGCAGCGTGCGAGAAAAGAAGGAGGCGATGAGCATGTTTTGGTGTTGCGCTCGCTTGCAAGTGCCCGCCCGATTAGTCAGAAGCCTAAACTAATCCCTCGTTCAAGGCAGGTGCAAGCTGCCTTCCGCATCAGCGGTAGCGGAGGGCAGCTGGCTTCATCTCTCCAACTCTCCCAATGTCGTGAACCTGACTCTCTCTTTCCTCCTTGCCGTCGTGCATCTCGCGTGCTGCTGACCACCGTCCTCCTCGGCCTTGGACGCTTAAGTCCGAGAGCGAAGCTGATAAGACCGAGGTCGCTCCCCGGCCCAGGCAACCACACGAGTTTTGCTTCTTGTGTCCTCTCTCAAGCATCGCCGCTTATCAGATCGTCTGCCCCCAATGTCTGATGCTGCGGCCCAGAACACGCCCAATTCCAGCCGGCGCTCAAACACCCCGGAGGAGACGACCACCGAAGTCCGAAAACGGCGCAGGATAGCCCTTTCTTGCTACGATTGCCGCCGCCGCAAGCTGCGATGTGATCGCGAGTATCCCGCCTGTGGGCGCTGCCGCAAAGGCGGCCATGCAGACACTTGCTCCTACGACTCCCGCGCAGAGCCGCCTGCAGGAGCCCGCAATGGCCACCAGCCAGTCGCAGAGAGCGATGACGACCGAGCCGCCATCTTAAGTCCGACCAGCTCCAACACCGTTCCAAGAGCCCCGGTCGTGCCCGACGCCGCCCGGCACGGTTCTCGGGACAGCGCGGATCTGCTCTCTGTCCAGCGCAAGAAGATCGCTGAGCTTGAGACTCGCCTCGCTCAGCTCGAAGGTAAGGCCAAGGACCCCTTCAGCAACGGCCAGGCAATCCAGCATGCTGGCGACGAGCTTTTGTGGCCGAACCCCACCTCCTCCAACCGCCGCGGCGCCGAGGAGGAGGAGAGTGAGACTATGCTTCTTCGAGGCAAGGCATTCAAGACGGCGTACTTTGGCAGGAGTAATATTACCAGCGTCGTCATCACACATGTACGTACCAGACCACAGCCCCCCGCTTCCGTCGACATGTTTCCCGCAGTATGGGAGCCGCCAACCTTGGCCGAGTTGTCATTCCCAGAAGTACCGAGCTTGGTGGTCTCCATCTGCCGTTCTGCTACTGACTTCTGTAGTTCCCTGGCCTGCGTTCGTTTATGCAGGCCACGTTCAAGCAGTATCCCGCTTTGATGCAGGGTCGGCCAGAGATCAAGGCGATTCGCGAGCGTTGGAAAAAGCACAAGCTGCTGTCGACCCCGACTGTGGACCTAGAAGCACTCCTCCCGCCCAAAGACAACGTCGACCACCTAGTGCGCCACTACTTTGATACCCTTGAAACTACCCACAGGATACTCCATGTACCTAACTTCTGGGATGAATACGCACACTTTTGGTCTGAACCGTCCAGGCGTCGGCCAGAGTTCACGGCGACGGTGCTTGCTGTCATTTCCACAGTTATTACTGCAACATTCGATCCTCCAACTACCTATCGCGCCGACCGACCCATCCAGGTCGAGACAGCCATGGAGTGGATTGAATCTATTGAGCGTTGGCTATCGATGCAGAGTCGAAAGCATGCCGACCTAAGCCACTTCCAAATCCGATGTCTCTTGATGCAGACCAAATGCGTCAATTCGATAAAGTGGAAGGAAATTTGGGGTCATTCCAGAGACTTGATCACTTTTGGGTTGTCTACAGGTCTGCATCGTGATCCAAGCTGGCTTGTCAAAGAGACGACCATCTTCGACCAGGAGATGAGACGCCGCCTTTGGTGGACGATGCTTGAAATGGAGCTACAATGCTCCATCTATCGCGGTATGCCATCATCGTCGCACGGTCTTTTCACCGACACTTCGCCACCACTGAATGTGAATGATGAAGACATTGACAACACAGCCCGAAAGGCGCCGCCGACCCCTTGGCCTGTTCAAGAATTCACGGCGACCTCCTACCTCTATGTTTCGGCGAAAAGCATGCCGTTGCGAGTTGAGATCAACTCGGCCTTGAACAATGCAGCAGCACCACTCACTTATGACGAAACAATGGAATACGCTGAAAAGGTGGTTGCGGAACTGGAGAAAATCCCTGCTTGGAGCGGCCGAGATGACTCAAAGATCACTCGCATGCTCCTCGACATCCAATTGCGACAATTTCTTGTCCTACTCCACGAACCATTCGCACGAAAGGCCGGGTCTGATTCTCGTTTTCAATACTCACGCACAGCATGCTTCGACTCGGCAGCCTCCGTCATAGAACAACACTACAAGATCATGTCGATGGGCAACAAGACGGTACTGCTGCCTCTTTGGAACGATACGGCTCGTGCCGCCATCTCCATCATCCACAACGCTTTCATGTCGAGCCTAGCGCAGGACTACCGATTCTTCCAGAACCACAAAGCTGCGATTGCGGACCTAGTAGAGAAGTCTCTTATCCTCATTGAGGAAAAGGCCACCCGCACTGGCGCAGGGTTCGGCCACATGGGGCACATCTCGGCAGCTTACGACTTGCTCATTGCCAAAGTGCTTCCCGAAAAGAAAGACGAAGTGCTCAAGCACAATGTGGAAAGAGTTTTGAGACTACATCGGACCATGATGACCAGTCAGGAACGGCTTCCTGAGCTACCGTCGGAAACGCCGCAAGCCAATAATGTGAGCAGGCTTCATCTATTGTCAAATCTTAGGCTGAAATCGCTAACAATGCTTTTCTATTAAAGCAACCCGTTGTTCCGATAGGGTACACCACCGCTCCCGGCATGCCTAACGTCCAGCTCCCGTATGGCATCCAGATGGCGGTAAGTCACGCACCGCACTGCACCATGATACCTCCCACACCTACGAAACATCATTCTTCGCTATCCTTTTCCCCTTTTCTCCCTCCATTAACGGTACTGTAAATGCAATGACTAATCTGTTTTCTCATCATTCAGCAACCCGGTTCCGAGCAACAGCCCATCATTTCCTTCCCTGAGATTCAAGGTTGGGGCCTTGATGAACTGTGGGGATTTGGTCCCACCGATCTGTGAAACGGTAGCACCACATCTTGGGACCCAAACCTTATTTCAACCCCTGCATAGCACAGTCGTCACAGACGCTACCTTCGGCTCTATCTCCATTTTCATTTGGGCGAAATAAATAAGAGGTAACAGATATCCTGGACAGATATCTAAGGTGTTTGTACATCTTCTTGGCTGTTTCATACGTACTTGTTTACAGAAAGAGATGATTGCATAGTTACGCTAGTAGGGAGTTGGGGTATCGTGACCATTCAAGTTTGTGTTCTCTCGTGCCGCGGCGTTCTCGGAGCACTTTTGTCTTAACTTTTTCTTCACGAAAATGGCGGGAATCATCACGGTCTTTTTTTTTTTTTTTTCGCAAAGTCTCACGTCGGCTACTCGGATGTTTATGTGCTGCTCACGGCAGGTATATATATTCGTTTCCTGTACAACAAGTATCTCTTTCATCGCTTCTTTCATGTATGTACTAACATCAAAGACGATTCTCGACTCTTAGTCCGCCAGCAAGTGTGTGGGCATTTCCTCCCCAAAAATTCAAGCACGCTCTGTCCCCATATCGCCATAGTAATAATCAAAGAAAGAAAAAAGGTGTGTGTGCACGCTCATCATTCTACAGCAAAAGCCACTTCAAACCGGAACCGTTCCAGGCTTCCGCCTGACCTCGATGCGGGCGTCGACAGCCGGCACGATGTTCATGCCGATCCACCTGGTCTTGGGGCGCTCGGCCAGGGGCTTGATGTCGTAGTTCTGGACGAGGTAGGCGAGCAGCATCTTGAGCTCGTGGGCGACGAAGAAGCGGCCGGGGCAAGCGTGGCGGCCGTGGCCCCAGGGGAAGTGGGTGTCGCCGGTGGTGACCATGCCCTTCTGCTTGAGGCGCAGCCCTTCCTCCATGCGGTCAGCGCCGCGCTCGTCAGCGGTCTTGGCCTCCCAGGCCTCGCGCTCGCGCGAGTGGCGGAAGGCGTCGAAGGCGTCGGGGCGGTCGAACAGGTCCGGGTCGTGCTGGGCGCCCCACAGCGGCAGCGACAGCTTCGCGCCCTGCGGCACGTGCCAGCCCTCTGCGGCGTTGGTGATGCCGGCGGGCGCCACGACCTTGCGGCCGACGAGCGTCTGGGCGAAGGCCGAGACGCGCATGCTCTCGCGGATGGCCGAGTCGGCGCGCAGCAGGCGGGCGAGGCCGTTCTTGTTCCAGGTGCCGGTGGTGTCGCAGTCCTCTTCCTTCCAGACGCGGGCCGCCTCCTCGCGCAGGCCGTCGAGGAAGCCGTCGGCCGGGTCCGAGGCGAGCAGGTCGAGGATGGTGGCGTGGGCCGTCATGACGGTCGTGTGGATGCTGGCGAAGTTGAGGGGCGTGATGCGCTGCGTGACGCGCACCGGGTCTAGCTCGTCCTGGCGGTTCTCGCGGCGCGCCAGCCGGATGTGCCAGCTCAGGTAGTCGTTGGGCTCCTCCCAGTTCTCGTAGCCCGGCGCGCCCGCGTCCTTGGCCTCCATGTCGGCGAGGCGCTGGCGGACCAGCGGCAACGTCTGCCGCGCCGTCCGCTTCCAGTGCAGCCAGTTGGGCAGGCCGAGGACGGGCCCCACCAGCGGCTTGAGCGCGGCGGGGATGAAGGTGAAGAGCAGCATGTTGCGCACCACGTCGTTGGTGAAGCCGACCATGGCCGCCAGGTACGACCTGTCGCGGCACAGCGGCGCGCCGACGAGCATGCGGTTCGTGACTTGCGGCACCAGGTCCAGCAGTGCGTCCCACACGTTCACGCTCTTCCACTCGGTCGTGTCGAGGCCGAATGCCCTGTCCGTGGCATCGCGTACCTCGGCGTCAATGGCCGGGATCAGGGGGTTGAGGTTGCGGGCGAGCGAGCGGTGGATGACGTGCTCGTGGTAGGGATCCGCCAGCAGCGCAGGCGTAAGGAAGGAGTAATCGCCATTAAGGGAGTCGTAATGCGAGGCAGAGGTAGAAAGAACGTTGTCAGGCTGCTCGAGCAGCCAGGCCATTTGGCTACGCGGGAGGACGAGCTCTGGTGGGGCGCCCGGAGTCTGGCTGGGGAGGATGAAGGTGCGGTTTTGTTTGCTATACTGTTGTGCCGAGTTAGCCCTCTGTATACTCTCTTATATTTCCCTGTATCTTTTTTTTTTAATTTCCTTCCAAAATCTGCTCCCATCTCTCTCTTCTCCCTCTTCCTCGACCCTCCTCTTTTTGTTAAAAAAAAAGAATCACAAACATACCTTCTCATACCCCTCCTTCACCCACGTCGTCATGTGCACAACGCCCATAACCATCGCCTTCGCACTAGCCAGCAAGCCTCCGCCATCCGGCACCTTCTCTCCCTCCTTCTTCGTACCTCCCACCCATGGAACGCCGCGTGGATACAAAGGCTTACTTATCACCGCCATCGCAAGGGTTGACGCGACGACGTACAGCGCCAGCGCCGCGGCGACATTGCTGAGCGTGATCTGCGAAACCAGACTGGTTGTCGTTGCGTGTTGTTGCGAGCCAAATTCCGCGCCGTGTGAGGCTGCTGTTGTTGCGTTGTGAAGTGGTGACGCCATGGTTGGTGTGCCGGCAAGGCCCGCGTGGAGTGTGTTTTGTAATTCCTCGGGTGTTTGGAATTGGAATGGGGTGGGCAGGTGGAGTGGACAGAGGCGCGAAGATATGTACAATGATGTTCAGTGATGGGCGGCGGAAGGTTATAAGGTGGATGACGTAAGTCCACAGGGTCGGAATGGCCGGACGCGTCTTTGATGAGGTGGGATGTAAGTCTATTTGAGAGGCGGGGGAGCGGTGTCTCGCGCGCGAGAGCTTGAGTCTATGACGGCCGTGAGTCGTTGGGCGTTCAAGCGAGTCAGTTCATCCGTCATGAACAGGCGAGTCAGAAAAAGCGCAGCGGGGAAAAAGGATTAAAAACAACAGCCACGAGACTGGGCGTGCGGCGAAGACATGGGTGAATTGCTCCATATATATGTCGACACCACTCGACGCGGGGTCACGGCGTAGGGCGACAGGAAAGCCACCATGCCCCCGGTCCATGTTGATCCTTTCGGGAACGCGAGTTGCCGGGGATGACGATCCTGCAGATTGGAGAGACCAAAGCTCCCACACACGAACGCTACTCGCGCTGTCGCAGTAGCGATTTGGTTTTGGCGCCGCCGTGAATGGTTGGAATTCTGGGTCCCTGTTTGATCTGCAAAGGGAGCGTAGCCGCTGCCACGCTACGTTACCTCTCGTCGACTGTTTCAGGCAGGTGTGAGAGCGGCACCCGCCCGCGCGCAAACGCGCAGTATCGCAACCACAGGATGCAATCCGCCGCAACTCTGGACGAAGGGATCCCTTGCGGGCCCCTCGCGCCCAATGTGGCAGGAGTAAAAACGACGCAGCTCTTCACCGCTTTCGACTTGTCCAAAGCAATGGCCCAATCACGAGCCATCTCCACACATTAGCCACAGCCTAGCGTCTCAAGCGAAAGCGATAGCGAGCTACTACACCCCGGAGACCCTTCTTCCCGGACGATCTCGACGCCTTGATATGTGGCCACCCTTCGATGCGGAGCGAAACGATTTGGCGCGCCGCCATCGATCAGCCACTCCCAGAAATGAGAGCGATCAAAAACTTTGCGGCAACCACTTCTCCCCAACACCCCTTGCGCTTTGCGCGCTTATTTCCACCAATGATCCTGCTTCATGACACCACGCCGAAGTTACGCGGATCGGGCGGCCGACTATAAGCTTTTCCAGAAATTTTCGAAGGTTCCAAGCGTCATACAACGTTGTCTTATTATCATATGCTCGCATCAATGCCGTGTTCTAAACTGTGTAACAACCATTCTTATCAACACCAATTACCACACCATACACCCATTGTCGATTACGACATTTTGTTGCCTTGAGACAATTTGTACCACATGTTGTCACTCCATACACAGCTTTGCATCCACTGTATACGTAGCTTACATCATCATTTAGCAAGCCTCTTGACCTTCTCCAGCCTCTCCGTGATGTCGCTCCCCATCTTGTAGTTGATCGGACTCTCGCTGCCCACGAACACGAAAGCATCGTACATGCAGCACCCCACGACACTTCCCGCGACCGCCGCGCCCCACGGACCCCACAGCCACCAGAACCCGCGCTCAGTGAACATGGGCGTCTTGTACCCGACCATCAAGCACACGAGGCGGGGCCCGAAGTCGCTGGCCGGGTTGAGCGCGACGCCCGTGTTGAATCCCAGCGTCATCTTCTGCGCCGTGACGAGCAGGCCCATGACGAAGGCGTGCAGGCCCGCGCCCGGCGGGTTGTTCTGGTCGTCGCCGAGCGCCAGCACGCTCATCATCATGACGGCCGCCGCGATGAACTGCGTGAAAAAGGCCGTCGTCGCGCTGACGAAGGCCTGCGGCTTGCTGTAGAACGACGTCGCCGTGTCCACCAGGTCTGGGTCGACGTGCCGGATCGTGTCGTGGAAGACGCCGAACGCGAGCGCCGCCGCGCAGATGCACGCGAGCAGCTGGCACAGCCAGTAGACGAACATCTGCTTCCGTGGGAACCCGCGGAAGAGCCAGAGCGAGAACGAGATGGCCGGGTTCATGTGCGCGCCTGACACGCCGCCGCCGAGGTAGATGCCGAACATGAAACTGATGCCCCACGCCCAGCAGCTGGTTTCGTAAGAACCATACGTACCGTTGGCGAGGTTGACTTGGAGTGTTGCACACATGCCGAGGAAAATGGAAACCAATGTCTACGAGAGTCAGAATCAAACAACAGGGCTTGGAAGCTGTCACCATGACTTACGCAAAGAAACTCAGCAAGAGGCTCGGGGTGTTTGGCGCGCAGCCTAGCCCAACAATTCCGCAGTTCGTTTGGATCCTTTTCGCCCGTTTCTGCCTCTTCCTCCCTCTCGTACTGTCCGAGAGGTTCAGCGTCGATGGCCCAATCAGTATTCTCAGCATTATCTTCTTCCTGCCCATTCTGCCCGTTGGTTTCCGTATCATCCGCGTTACTCTCATCCTCAGCGTCATAGTCTTCTCCAATTTTGTCGAAGCTGGCAAAAGGGCCCACATTCTCCTGAGATCGTCCGTAGCCATTCTGTGGGGTAGGTCCATCTATGCCAACCTGGTCTGCGGAAGCTTGATCCTCGGCAGTCTGCTTCTCGTTGTACTGGTGCACCTCTGTCTCTTGTGGGCTCTCGACGGTAGTTTTGCGCTGCGGATTCTTCCTAAGTGCATGTTTTTGGGCTACATCTCTCTGATGTTTCTGCTTGCTACTTAGTCGATGGGGTAACTTCTTCGCTAGACTGTGTGTAGGCTTGTGGCTATGTTTCTCCGGATCCTGCGGACCCGCTTGACCCATCTCCGGATCCAGGTTCTGGGCAGCTTTTTTCTCCGAACTCTTGGCATATTGGCGGACAGAATGAGGGAGCGGGCCTCCAAGACCGAAGACAGGGCGTTTCGGCGGTTGACCATACCAAGGGTTCTGCTGGTAGTAATCATCATCGATGGGAGGCTGAAACTTTGCATGCGGAGGTATGTGGAAAGGTTCGTCCGGTCGAACTGATACATCGTGCAATCCTGACCACTTAGAGTCGGTAGTCTTCTTACTGCTGTTACGGCGAATGTTGCAGTTTTGCTCTGTTGTGCTTTGCGTTAGCAGCAGCAAAATAATCATCCTTGAGAGACGAGGAGGATAATTTCGGGTGCAAAAATGTGACACATGTGGGTAGTTGAAGCTATCGTCCGGATGAGAATGTCGAATTAAAAGCTCTACATACACGTCCGGACGATAGCTTCACCTCCCCATGGTATGTTCTTTTTCATTCCACCCACCCATCGGCTGCGAGAAGGGACTGTAGAGAAGTGAGGGAGACAAGGCGGTGATTGATTCCCATGTAAGACCCTGTTTCTGACTATTCGCCACCATCACCAATAAGAGGTAGCAAGACAAAACGCATTGCACGCTACTCACCATTATTCTTCCTCGACTGGGCCACTTGCTGCAGCTCCTGCGGTGTTATGCCATCCATTGCGTCGCGTACAGCTTGCTGTGACTGGAGAAGTTGCTGAATTTGCCTCTGGCTCTTCTCAACCAATGCCAAAAGGTCATCGAGCTTTTCCTTATTGACTTGTGCCGATGATTCATGCTCGTCATGGGCAGCTTCTCCCTTAGCTGGGCCCCGTTGCCCTGGGAAGAGTAGGTGCTGGCCATCTAGCTCCGAGTAGGTATCATCATTGCTGGAGGTTCGTTGAGCATTGGAGAGGTCGCTGGTCGATGGCACTTGGGACGAGCTGTTTGGATGGGCCATAAAGTCGCATTTGTCCCCTGGGAAAAGTGAGCATAAATCTTCAAAACGCGCAAATAGAAACAGGCCGTACCCCTTCCGCTTGGCGAAGACATGTTGGCGAAAAACACAGAGAATCAAGTCAGTAGATGAGCAACATCCTAAAGAGCAATAAAGAGAAGGGCAAAGGGGATAATGTCAAGGCCACGGAGCCTGACGCAATCACCTGCGGCCATGGATAGTAAGAGATTTTCAGAACTGTCTGGGAAGATGCAAGTTCCTGGGCTCCAATTGACGTAGGGATAAACTTCGTGGCGGCCGCGCTTGGAAGTACTGCCGCGGGTAGAGGCGAAAGCGGTTAAGCTCTAGGATTAACGGCGTCTGGCCACTGCAGGTCCCAGGAGGAATACCAGAAAGCCTGTGGGGCCTCCTATATCTCGAGGTGGGGTTTACGCGCGAGCAGAGGCTGCTCGCGCAAGCATTGCGAGTGGATCGGCGATGGTGGGCTCCAGCAATATTCGCACAGTCGCACATTGAACATCGAAAATTGGCAGGCTCTGCATGTTAAATTTGAGGCGAAGTGCCTGTCTGTTTGATCGATTCGTCCAGAAACCGTTCCGGCATTGTGGAGGCAGGCGATGGGCCAACAGGCGCCCGACATAAGGGCCAGACGTCATAAGTGGAGCGATTCGCGCGGAATCCGGGACTTGCGAAACGTGGCGGCGTAAGATCGCGAGATCTGGGTAAGCACAGTAGGCACGATGGCGAAATGATGACTCCCATGCGAAAGTCCACACATTGACCAGTTCCATTGTTCACGCAAGGCATGCGGCTGAGCCGCCAATCTGGGGCCTCACTACCGAACAGGAGACGCTTTCGACGTCAATCACATTGCTTTCAGTGATTTCTCCGAGATCATCGTGGCAGTGTTGGATATGCGGAGATACTCGATTGGCTGATCGACAACGCAGATACCATCTGCCAGGTGTACGCGCCTGCTCTAGGAGCCAATTTCGTTGGCTTTCTAGGCGGTGAAGGGCCGGGGCTGAGTGTCGTCTCATGTGCGGCTGAGAGGAGATGAAGGTTGAGGTGTCTCGAGGCGGCTGGGGCGATCTTCAGGTAGCCCGAAGCATGATTTCATCGCCCCACCCGAAAAGGAAGGGCCCGCTCTTGGCCATTTCCACCGCATTCCTCACTTTCCCATCGCTCGGCTTTCTGATTTCACTCCTCGACCCACCTCTTCTCGGTGAATCGCGGCGGCTACATCGTACTTGGCATCGACTTCAACGGGCATTATACCACCAGGAGACAGATCATCCTCTTCTACAAATACACGTCTCATCGCCGATGTACTAAATAAGTTAACCTTTCTTGAGTAGTCTCCACCTGCCTGCAATCGCTTTTTAGACTCTTATTCACCTTTTCGATGTTTGCCTTTGCTGATTTCTGACGATTTACCCAAGCATTATTGAAAGGCCCTGACCCTCCCAATTCTGTTCTAGCGTGAGCATAAGTCTTTACATGTCTCACAAGAGATGTTTCACATTTCAACTGTTGGAAGCCGAACTCTGCATTCAAGTACATTTTTTCAATGTTAAATCATGCATCTATACCCTGATATCTGCCCACCTGGAAAAGAGAACAATAACATCTCTCGCAGAATGCGCCGCTCAATAAGGTAAAAAGCCCTCGTTACCCACATGTAAGCCTTCCCACATTCCAATCAAATCCGAGAAAGAACATCTCCTCACGACGACGCCTGGAAGGTATCAGCAACGCTCTTGCTCGCCTGTCCCGCCGCATCGGCATCCTGCTGCATGTTCTTCTGCAGCTTCGTCTGCTCCTCGGCAATCTTCTCCGTCTGATCGTCACCCTTGGCCTGCTTGATCTGCAGATCCATGATCTCAAGCTGCAGCTTGAGCACCTTGTTCTTGATCTTGCCCACCTGGAGCGCCTTGCCCTCGTCAGTGTCCTCGCCTGCCGCCTCGATCTGCTCGTTGAAGCCGCCGGTGCCGGTCTCCGCGTCCTCGGCCGTCTCGCGTGCTTTCGAGATGATCTCCTGGTCCTCGTCCGAGATGTTGGCCGGGTCCTGGTCGGTGATCTGTGGAACGAGAGTGTTAGAGAAAATGAACAAACGAAAAGGTCAAATAGTTCCACATCGGAGCGTCAAAGGAACTTACGGGGAACTTCTGGTTGACTTCTTGGAGAGCGTTGCCAGCCACGCCGTCCGAGATCTGGAAGTCGGCGTAGCTCTGCTCAGTGAGGAGGGCACGCTTGCTGAGTCCATTGGCAGAGCCCGGGACCGGAGCAGCCAGGGAAGAAGCCGTGAGGCCAAGGAAGAGGGCAATGGTGGAAAAATGCATCGTTATGATTGGTCGGTGTTTGTTGAGTAAATCGAAAGAGACAGTAAGGGATTATTAATCAGCGTGTTCGCGCAGCGAGTGACTGAATCAGAGAAGCAGAGAAGAGATCGCGATCAACGCTGGAGGAAGTGTAAGCGAGTAAGTGATGATGATGATAGCGGTGTAGTCGGAAAACAACAGGCATTTATTATACGTTCAAGCTCATGGCGGAAGCAAATGCGCTCGGCGCGCCAAGAAACTTACCGCTTCGAAATCTTGACTTCACGGCATTGACGTTGCGGCTCTGAGGCGTTGCGCGCATTGTTGCCCACGGGGTGGAACACTGCGGGTTGCATATCCGTCTGATACAGTCCCCCCATGAGCGGGCCAGCCGCCCACCCTGTCAGTGGTCGTGCCTTGCAGGGGTTTTTTAATGAGCGAGCCAATCAGAGCTCCGGAAAACGACAGGGTAGGTGGCTGCCCCGTTGACGAGTTCCCCCTTTGTAACCAAGTTGGGTTACTTAAAAAAGAAGCTTAAGGGAGTGGGGCAGAGGCGAGACTGCACGATTACCAGCGGTTACTTCCGCTCCAACCGATTGATTTCCAGAAATGCGTTGGCGACCCAAGCTTGATACTGAGCTTCATACTGCCAAGCCGGGTCCCACGTGTGGTGATACCAGCGGCACTTCTCCTGCAAACTGTTTGAGCCGACCATTTCCACCATTGAGAACCCAGCATTCGCACCTCACGGCTCGAAACCCGCTGAAAAGGAGATTGCAAAGGCTCTAAGCGATTGCCGCCGACAATGTTAAACACTATGCGCGCTAAGTTCTTGACGCAAACCCACCCGCATGCCGCTGATTCCAAAACGCTGTGCAGCCGACCGAACTGATATATCCGAAAGAGAATGCGCCCGCGTCCAATCATGTAACTCTATCTCTACATGCTATCCTCCCTCCATTTGCTGCGCACCTTCTGCCAGCTATCATGCTCAGCTTTGCCGCCGAGCTTCTCCATTCCCAGCCCTCTCTCTACCCACTCCTGGCTACCCATCTCTACGAGTCTGCTCAAGGCGCGGGCAAACGCGAAGCGCTCTTCGTCTCCGGTGAAAATCGACGAGTTCTTGAGTGTTGCCATGTTCATGCCCAAATCATCCATAAGGCTGCGCATGGCGTCGGGGATATGCTCTTCATCCCCGTCGGACTTGTTCTCCTTCTTCGCTTCTTCAAGCTCATCATGTGTGATAAAAAGTTCGTTAAGAGGGTTTGCCGTGGTGAGAACAAGTTTCGCCTACAGCATTCGTTAGACCATTTTTACACAAGTTCAAGAACATGGGCACATACCCTGCTTTCGTAGACGGCATCGATGAAGGTAATGAACCTTCTTGCCAGGTCACGAGACTTGTGGCTCATTCCAGGAACATCCGTGACGATAAAAGCCTCATAGTTCCTCATCAACTCAAGGTAGTCACCGGCGCCTGTTGCGCGCCCGATGAGCTCGTTGAAAGAGAACATGGCCGCCTTCCCACTCGCCCTAGGAACCGAGAGCTCACGGCCCCAAACCTCATGTTTAGCCTCGTGAGGCGGATCGTTCTCAAAGTCGCCGAGGAACCGGAACCAGCGATCGGCGTGTGTTTTAGCCGATTCGTCAAGCGGGTGGTGGTACACTCCCGACGGCGGTCGCGGAATTTTGCGGTAGTCTGTTTGCGAGTCTAGGTTGATGACGCGCAGACGCGACTTGAGGAGTTGGATGCAGGGCACGAAAGACTCCCGCTGAATTCCGTTTTTGTACAGATCGTCTGGGTGTCGGTTTGAGGTTGTTACAATGACAACCCCGTGCGCCATCAGCGACTCCACCAAGCGTCGGAGAATCATGGCATCCGCAACGTCGGTGCATTGGAATTCGTCAAAGCACAAAACCTGACTCTTTGCCGCGATGTCCGCCGCCACAAACGGAACGAGATCTAAATCGTTTCCATACTTCAACTTCATCTTATGCAACTCTTTATGCACCTGCTGCATGAATCCGTGGAAATGTATCCGAGTCTTGGTCTTTATGTTCTTGGGCAAAGTGTCGAAAAATAAATCCATCATCATGGTCTTCCCGCTGCCGACGTCGCCGTACATGTATATGCCCTTCGGGAGGTTTTCTGGAATGACTGGCTTCCATCCTTCTTCTTTCGAGCTGAATAGAGAGCCTAGGAGGGACTTCTTGGGTGGCTGGAGGGATTCTATTGTTGGATGGACAACGGGCGGGGGGCTGTATTTGGAGAGGATGACATGCAGGGCCTGCAGATTATCGATGATGCCTGGGTGCCGCGTGAGCTAGGGCTGTGGTTTCTGAGCAGTGACGGCGCGTACCTCGCTGGTGTTCGTCGTCGCGCAGGCGTCCGCTTTCGACGCGTGAGTTATATTCGGCAATGGGGCCGTGGTCGTAGCGCTTCGCTGTGGTGGAGAGTCAGCAGCGACGCATGCGGGTCAATATGGAGGAGGAATACCGTTGCTCACGGCCTCGACAGTGGCCAGCCGCCTCGCGCAGCTCGTCTGGAATGACCTGGTAGCCGGTAGGGCGGGTGCGCCACTGCGTCGGGGCAGTGCCCAGCGCGCCGGTGAGCCCTGAAGACGTAGTGTTCTTACGCTCCGCGCGCTGGCGAATCTGCGCGCACCCGCTTGGCGACCGTAGGCTGCCCGCGCAAGCATGTGGGTGCCGCGCACGGCTTCTGAGACACTCATGTTGACGGGGATGTGGACGCCGTTCTTGTACGGTATATGCAGGCTTATGTCATAACAGAGCGGACGGTGACAGATTGCGAAGAGACGGCTGGCAGTGGACGGAGGCGCGGCCGCGGAATGGGCATGTGAAGGTGTCCGTTGAGGGATTGACGGCGGGAGTAGATTTAGGTCTGGGAGCTCGGGCTTTGCAATCGGCACATGCCCATCGGGACCGGTTATGCGCCACGCTTGGATGAAAGGGTCCCTCGGTCCCCGCCTCGGCCAATGACGTAGAGGCCGGCGCTATAAGATAGTGACTGGAGCAGCCTTCAACGGCACGGCTAAACCTCGAGGGTCCGCGCTTTCTTTTATCTGAGCTATTTCCAGATGTCTCTGCACAACTACACACTCACGAATTGGTGCACAAAGTCAGCAATGTCAGCAGCGCAGCCTCAAGTCGAAACAGAACGGATCACGTGCAGCCAACAATGGCCGACATAAGCCCGCTCAGCCTGATAGGGCGCAAGGCTCTGGCTTCTCCGCATTGGCGTTGTACGCCGCGCGGGACCTTCAGGCTTCATGAACCCTGCTGGGGCAGGTAAACATTGCATCGGGAAGCTGAAACAGTGATATGCCATCTTCTTCGACCGCTGCAGCTGCCGTGTGCAGTATGGCGACGCTCGACGGCCGCACAGCCCGGTATCCGCAGAGCCGCAGCCTAGTGCGGCCTCTTGCCTGCCCTCGTCCCTCCTCGCACATGGCTGACTGAACTCGACTTCTCCTCCGATCGCTTACTCACTACCCAGTCTCCAACCCTCCTCCCGGCCGTGTTCCTGCGCGCGGCTACCTACCATCGCTGCCTACCTCGTGCCTGGGGCCGGTCTCATGGCTTCAGGCTCATTCGTTATCGTCGCCGCCCGTATTTCGTATCCGCCGCGGTGTGCCAATGTCGTCCTTCCACCGCCGGCGTGAGGAGACGGAAGGGCAGCCCACGCAGGCCTGGAACAACCTCGCCGGACTCAACCAAAGCTTCGCCGCACACGACCTTCCATCCGACCAGCATTCCCTGTTCACCATCGAATCCTTCGACTACGACGTCGACCAGGTAAGCGCACTCCGCTGACTTGTTGGACCCTACGCTCATCTCCCTCAGTCCGTCTGCTCATGGGACAACAACAACCACACCTTTGTAACCCCGCCGACGAGCACCGGCTCTCACAGTAACGCCGGCGACTATTGCAGCACCACCAGCAACCAATTCTACCCGTCGACTGACGATGCATGGGGCTGTAATCGAGCAATTAATGAATATGACATCAACCGAGACGGACCGGACCCAGTTGCCTTCGATCCTCAGCTGGATTTCGTAGATGGTTTTTCCTACGTAGAGCCAGTCAGCCAGCCTAGCTACATTGATCCTACCGCATTCTCTGGCGATGTGATGGACATGGGGAGTTGCGAGCCTGTTCTCGACGTGCGCCCAGAGCCCCCGAAGATTACCATAGAGGACACAGGGAATATGGGATCATGGTTAAACAGCATGTATACACCTGGATTGGGAACCACGGACAACACCATCCCACCACGGCCGGGCCCTTCGTCCATGTCGGCGATGGCGCTAGACGTGACATATCGCCCCCGGGAACTGGCGGACGACCAGGTGTCGGAAAGTAGTGTCAACACGTCGCATACCAGTCACTCCTGTCGGACATGTTCTAAAAACTTTGGTAACAAGGACGACTTACGGTAGGAGATTTCGGCCCCGTTTCGGGTATCCGCATGCTAACGGAATCGCGCAGACGTCACCAGCGTTACCACGACCCAAAGAAGCATACTTGCAGGATTTGCGGGAAGGGCTTCGTGCACCCTAAGGATCTCCGGCGCCATAAACCAACCCATATCGCAAATAGGCCGCAAAGGCCATGCCCGGTAGATGGATGCACAACTGCCACCGGCAGGCCGGACAACTTGAAGCGACATATCCAAAATAAGCACCCGGAGTTCGATATCGACGCCTGGACAGCCGCCCGCTGAAGAAGCCCAGAACGACGGCCGATAATTCTTTGGGAGTTGTGGAGGGAGTTGGTTTGGTTTGGCGTTTGACTTTAATAGACGGGGCTACTGGTTCGACGCCCATTGGTTGCCAGCCAGGATTACCGTTGAATGTTGGATGACATAATGGGTCGGACCAAGGGCGTATTCGTATTGCTTTTTGGTATACGTCGGCGGAATGCGGGGCTAACAGCGGAGTTTCTTGAGGGCAGCAACTTCTCTCGCTTTTTTACTAGTCATTACTAACGGAAATCATGGAGGCTTCATATCTGTTTGACGGCAACTGTGACGGCCAGCCGGCTTCTCGGGCGTTCGGTGGGCTCGGCGAGTTGCGAAGCCGGCTGCCGGATCCGCGCGTGGAACCGGGCAAACACCTTCGCGACGATGGCCCGTTAGGAACAAGGCTGAGCGGCCGGCGCAACGACGGGCGCTGCGCTGTATCTTTCCACGGTCTTTGCCTTTCGTCCTACGCTGACAGAAGCCTAGCGCGGTTGCATCGGCCTTGGCGGCAGCGCAAGAGGCACGCGAGCATCCGGCATCCCTGTCAGGCCGGGAGACGCGTGTACCTGGGGCCTTCTCATTATTGCAGACGCCGGAAGGGGGCCAATTCTTGGGGTAGTCTCCAGCCCTGTCAACTGGTCAGCCCTCCCGTCACCAACACCGCCAGTGCGGCTGTGTCCACCCCAACTCTCCCTCCGCCTTCCTGTCTCTACTGCCGACCATCTCTTCGATCGCGTTGAGTGTACATACGAGTCAACACGCCACTTTCTGGCGAATCCGTCGTCCTCTTGTACAGCCGTCACAATGAAACCGGACACGATCACTTACCCCATCGAGGAGCCGGTATGGAACAGCAAGCCCGCATGGGTGCTGCCCGGCTGGGCCGAGCCTTTGGTACGTGAAAGAAATGCCATGGACGAGCGAAAAAGATCGCCGGCACTGACGATCCGTTGCAGATGGTCGCGTCCATCTTGTTCGGAGCCATGTACATGACGAGGCGAAAGGGCTATTCGATCCGCCGCAAGCCGAGGGGTTACAAGTCGATATTGGATGATGAGCCAGGCTCTGGCCGCTCGAGCGACGAGTTGTTGCGGTACGATTCCGAGAACGACGACGACGCCCAGGACCCGATCGCTGCGGCCAAGCACCTCCCCAAGCAACGCAAGTGCTGCTGCGGCATCGTCGTACAGACGCCCAATACCTCGCGCTTCAAGAACAACGTCCACAGCCGTATCCTGCAGAAATTCCCCTTCTTGATCGAGATGTTCTACTGGATCATCAACTACGCCTTCTACCGCATGACCGCCATCACGTCGCAACGCATCTTTGCAAAGAGCGGTATCTGGAATGTAGCGCAGGAGCATGGTATCAACGTGCTCAAGTTTGAGCACTTGAGCGGGTTCAGCTGGCTTTTCCCGGTCCAAGAGCGTCAGGTACAGCAATGGTTCATGCACGGCCACCAGGACGCCTTGACCGCCTTGAACAAGGCGTACGCGCTGATCCATATTCCAGGCACTGTCGGGTAAGGATCTACAAATATCTTTCAGTGGGGGTTGTATTGACAATGTTGCAGGTTCATCTGCTGGTACTACTACATTGCGCCGTCGCATCCGACCTTCGCCGTGGCCCGCCGCACCATGACCCTGACCAACTTCCTTGCGTTCATGACTTTCATCTTCTACCCTTGCATGCCGCCGCGCCTCCTGCCGAGAGAGTACGGCTTCCTGGACACGGTCCGCCACGACGACGCTCAGAGCGTTTGGATGAGCGGCAAGTACGTCAACTCGCTCGCCGCCATGCCCTCGATGCACTTCGGCTACGCCTTCTGCATCGGCATGACCCTCATCTACCACTCGGGCCTCTTCCGCCGCACGCTGGAGCGCGGCGAGATGAGGAAGTCGACGTTCTGGAAGCTGTTTTACCTCATCCTCGGTATCGCCTACCCTTCGTTCATCCTGACCGTCATCGTGGCCACTGCCAACCACTACATTCTGGATGCCGTCATCGCCACCTGCTATGTCTTCATCGCATACGCCTGCAACCAGATTTTCTTCGTCTTCCTGCCGCTTGAGGATTGGTTCCTGTGGTTGCTGAGAGCCGAGAAGCCGATTCCCTCGACCGGCGAGAGGTTCAGAGAGCGGGGCGGCAGGCTGTAGATGCTGTGAATAATGCTCATATATATATACTTTACGAGGCGTTTGCATAGAGCGGCGCAACGACAACTATCTATCGACTTGGACGGCATATTAGTATAGTTTAGTAATACCCTCATTATGACTTTCTGTTTATCGAAATTCAAAATCTGTAGAAATTAGCAGAAAAAGTTTTGCCCAATCTAATTATTATTCCCACGCGACCAGTGTCGATGCAGAGTACGGCTCGTGCCAAGACCGGGGAGGGAAGAGCTTCCGGCAACCGGAAGCTGTGAGCTCTCGTCTGCAGGCAGAGCTCCCGCCCGGGCCAGTTTTACACCACTCTCACTCTCGAATCAACACGCGAACCAGCCACGGTCGTTTCCCACTACCCCGCCGGACTTTGACCGCGCCCTTTCGTTCGGAGTTCACCGTCGATATATTATACTTCATGCTTCCTTCTCGTCGTACGGTATCGCCAATTGAGCTTGCACCGGGGCGAGCGCGCATTCTGTCGCGTTTACTCGCTTGCAGCAGCACACGCGTCGCGCAGCGTACGAACCACCCACCCTCGGCGCGACAACTCGTACAAAGGAATTTGAAAAAAGCGCAAAATAATGGCGGACCAAGCATCGAACGATACGCCGCTCGAAGGCACACCGGCGGCCGACGTCGAAATGGGCGGCAGCGGAGAGTACGCGGAGGACAACACTGCCACAAACAACCCCGACCAACAGGCCGGCAATGAAGGCGACGACAACGACGAAGGCGTCGAGATGGCAGAAATTGAGCCCGAGACTCCCAAGGTGGTCAAGTTCTTAGAGTAAGCACAAAATGCCCACATCTTGCGCAATTGTTTGAGCGGGGAAGAGAAGACATTGAAGCTCTGGTGGAAGGAATTGAGCTGTGAACTAACCTTGGACAAGTCACTAATGACGCGTTTTCTTCAATCTCTCAAACAGCTACTTGAAATCGCCCATCATTGAACTTGTCGTCGGTAGAGGCGATAACCAAACATTGCTCACGGTGCACCAAGCGCTGCTCACCAAGTCGCCTTTCTTCGAGGAGCAATGCGCCCGGTTCACCGACGGTGACACCGTAAGCAACACCACCCTCGAGGCCCTCAAACCCAATCCTGGCGTCCCCATTGACCTGCGTTCCCTACGCGCAATCTAGCACCGCCGCATTGAGCTCGCCGACGAGGACCTAGACGCCATGGGCTCGCTCCTCGAATACCTCTACCACAACGAATACTTCCCGAAGCGCCTCAGCGCCGACAGGGACTCGAAGCTGGAGCCGGACCCGACCGTGTCCGGGCCGGACGTCGAGGGCGTGCAACTGCTCAAGCACGCGCGCATCTACACGCTGGCCGAGAAGTTCGGCCTGCCCGACCTGCAGTCGCTCGCGCACAGCAAGATCCACCGCACCGAGAGCACGCCCAAGGGCGAGATCGTCTACGCCCGCTACGTCTACGCCAACACCAGCCCCGAAGACCGCACCATCCGCCGCCCCGTCGCCGCCTTCTGGGCCCACCGCAGCCACGTCCTGCGCCACCACGCCGAGAACGAGTTCCGCGCCATGTGCCTCGACTTCCCCCAGTTCGGCTTCGACGTCCTCAGCATGGTCCTCGACGCAAAGGAGAAGCGCAGCGGCGGCGGCAGCAGCGGCGAGCCTGTTGTTGGCGTTAGTGCCAGCAGCGCGAGCGCGGAACCCCCGCGGTCCGCGAGGAAGAGGGCGAGGGTTAGTTATGGCTAAGCGCCTGAATCCCCCGGGCGGACGTGGTCCTTGGTCAGAACGTTGTAATGACGAGGTGATTTTAGGGTGGATCATTCCGAACTTAAGAAAGGAAAGAAAAAAAGCAAACATAGGGGAAGTTTGCGCTTTCCTTTCTTCGACATCTAAGAGAACATTTCGATTTTAAAAAGACAGGCTATGCGAGAGCGGGTTTTGTACAATTTAAAGGAGGGGGCATGCACAAGCCGAAAAGGCATCGTTCGTGCGGAGGAGTCATGGACTGCGACGGTTATGCATGGCAGGTCGACTTCGCAGTCAAAGAGCGCATCATTTCTTTCGATCTCATTCTTCAAGCTGAAGAACGTTACAGGGCTTGCATATCATCTGAAGGACTCAGGAAAGGGGCGGGGTTGCTGGATAGCCGTTTACTCAGTCAAGATGTGTAAAAGAAGCATTTCGACTTTAAATCAAAGCAAATAACCTTCAAATGTGGCAAGACGATCTCGAAGTACAGTCCTCTCTCGCAGCCGATGGCCAGTGTGAAGAATAGCAAGGCCCCAGGCGTAACTATGCCTCAGCTCGTTCTTTGAAAAAGAACATTTATGGGTCGTTGAAGCTATCATCCGAAAATGTGGAATTAAAAATTCTACATACACGTCCGGACGATAGCTTCAGCTACCCATGACATGAGCGAAAAACAAATCCACACTAGCCATCGGCTGCGAGAGGGGACTGTAGAAATACGAGGATGGTAGCAAAGCGGACATGCTCAGGAGCCGAAATCAAATTCACGCCGTTACGCGCTCAAATGGCGACCAATGCTCTCTATCTAATACAGTAGTTGACGCCTTATATATGATGTTTTTTCGTAGTATTGGAAGATGCAAAATCCGCATGTTCATCGCGCTCATTGTCATCATCAAGCTACTTCACACGCCAATCAAGCACCTGTGTTTCTATGTTTCCCTCACGACCTTGTCGATGGCGGCAGCGACGTACTCTACGTTCTTCGTGTTCAGGCCGGCCATCGAAATACGGCCGTTCTTGGTCATGTAGACGTGGGCGTCGGCGCGGATCTTGAGCACCTGCGCCTCGGTCAGGCCTGTGAAGCTGAACATACCAATCTGGTCAGTGATGTGGTTCCAGGTGCCGGGAGTGCCGAGCTCCTCGAGCTTGCCGCGCAGCGCCTTGCGCATGTCGATGATGCGGCCGCTCATGGTGCGCAGGTTCTCCTTCCACTCCTCGAACAGGGCGGCGTCGTTCAGAACAGTCGAGGCAATGCGGGCACCGTAAGCGGGCGGGTTGCTGATCTCGGAGCGTTGAAGGATCTTGAGCTGCGAGTCGACGCGTTCTACCACGTCGCTCGCGTTGGGGCCGGGTGCGGTCACGAAGTGGAAGCAGCCAGCACGCTCGCCGTACAGACCAAAGTTCTTGGCATACGACTGCGCAATGACGAGCTCGAAGCCCTGCTCAACGAAGTAACGGATGGCCCAGCCGTCCTTGTCCAGGTCGCCGGATGCGAAGCCCTGGTATGCGCAGTCGAAGAAGGGGAAGTGGTTCTTCGCGCGAATCACCTCAGCGATAGCCTTCCACTGCTCCTGTGTAGGGTCGACACCGGTAGGGTTGTGGGCACAGGCGTGAAGCAGAATGACGCTGCCGTCAGGCGCACCCTTGATCGCGGAGAGCATGCCATCGAAGTCGAGGCCACGGGTCTGGGCTGAGAAGTAGGGGTAGGTCTTTACGGGGAAGTGGACATTGGTGAAGATCTGGTTGTGGTTGGCCCAGGTAGGGTTCGAGAAGTAGACGGTCTTGTCCGCCTTGGTGTTGTAGAACCTAGCAAGGAAGAGCGCGCCAAGGTGGACGGCGCCGGTTCCAGAAATCGTCTGCAGGCTGGTGACCTGTTTGGTGTGTCAGTGGGCTGTTTCCTTGACTAATAGTGAGTCAAGGACGCATGCGCCGGAGCGGCACAGCCCTCAACGCGGGGTAAAAAAACGTACACGCTTCTCAGCGATGGCCGGGCTGTCGGCACCCAGAATCAGCTTCTGCGAGGCAGAGGTGAACTGGGGCATGCCCGCGATGGGCAGGTACTCGTGGTTGAGCTCGGGGTCATTGCGGAGGATCTCGTCGGCCTATAGGATCGCTTCCAGTCAGCGTCCATCGTCACACGGAAACAGGCGCGGGGTCAAGCAGAAGAGCTGCGCGCTCACTCACCTTCTTCACCACAGGCAGAACCCAGGGCTTCGCGTTGTCGTCGCGGTACGCGCCGATGCCCAGGTCGACCTTCTGCGGATATGTATCCGCGCGGTAGGCGGCCATCAAGCCGAAGAGCGGATCTTCGGGAGCTTTGGGCACGACATCGGCCTGGAAGACGGTGCTCTTTGCAGGAGACATGTGGGCGGATAACTGCTGCAGGCGCGAGCGCGACGAAGACTGCGAGGGGGTGGGAGCGACGGAGGTGGGGTCTGCAGAAACTGGCGGGAAGGTGGGAGTTGGTGGTGGCATGACGGGCTCTTAATGTAGGGCAGCTCTCCGCGTTTCGTATACCCCGGAGGATCGGCTTATCGATTGAGCGAGCGTCCCGCAGCTACTCCGCAAAAGGACAGGCCACACCAGCGGAACCGCAGCGCCTGACTGCCTGGTTTTCGGACTGATGGATGCACGGGGCGAAGGGAGCTCTGGGGTAACGAAATGGTCTGAGGGATGCAACGAGGGGTGGAGCGCACGGGTGGATTGCGTCTAAAATTTCCTGGGGAGGCCTGTGAGCCTTATAATAGCCGTCACGCGAGGCATGGGTCTCTCAGGGTTTATCTGAGGGGCCCGAAACCGAGGTTCCGCAGCCACTGATGGCCGCCAGAGCTACCCGTTGACATCACGCGCGCCGCATTTCCCGCGGGCCTCGCGCAGTCACGCTTTTCACATGCAAACCCATCCCCTCCCATTTGCTCGCTATCTCTCATATAATCAGGTCCCACACCACTATGGTTCCGCACATTGCGCACGTCGCGTAGAAGATGGCCTGCGCTATGCTCCTCCTCTCCGTTGCTCGCTTCAGCTCCTTGTTGCCGCTGCCCACGTTCTCGGTCGTAAGATGCGAGTCTTGCACCAGCTGGTCAATTTGCGCCTGCTGTTCGAACAGATTGGTGGCCAGCGTGCTCTGCAACTCCGATATCTCGAGGAGGGACCGCTCAGTAGCCCTGCCACCCTTTGTCAGCCTCACGATCTGGAACATGAGAGAGTGCTGTTACATACCGCACTTTGTCGAGCGTGTCCTCGTAATGCTTGAGCATGTCTTGGTTTTCCTCTGCAAACAGCTGCAGCTGTTCCTCGCTCAATTGCTGCTCGACCTGCTGTCCGGCCTTCTCGTCCATACTTGCTCCTTTTCCGCCAGAGTAGCCACCAGTCGGGTCGTCTATCGTGGGCATCTGCATTCCCCGTGCCTTGTATAGCACGCTCTTGCTCTTCTCCCGCTCTCTCTCCAGCCGAATCTCCATCATCGAAGCCTGGAAGCCGCTGACCTCTTCGAGCTTCCGGCTGAGGAACCATATGACACCATCGCGATGTATCTTAATTGTGTTCTGCTTTGCCTCCTCGAGCTCCTCCTCCGGGCTCTTCGCCGTGATTGCGCCTCCGGCTGCCCATCTTCCAAGCGCTCCTAATCCTTTCGTCGCGCGCTTCCGCAACGCAATCGTCTCATCCGCGGACTGGCGCACTTTTTCTGCGTCGGCGAGATTTTTAATCGCGCCGCTCAGCTCTCGGAGCAGCTGTTTTGTCTCGGCATCGATCTGCTCGCGTTGCGCATCGGTCAGGTATTTGCGCTCTTTTTCAGACCGCGGGATCGAAGAAGACGAGTTGGTGCGCGCAAGTTGGCTCCGACGCGGAGGTTGCGCTGCTGAAAGGTAAGACTGGCGAATGGAGTGGAGGTACTGGTTGAGCTCGGAGATGTGCTTGTTCTGCGCTGGCGTCAGAAAGGTGCAGCCAAGTCGGTGGTGCGCGGTAGCTCACGATGCGGTAGGCTTCCTTTACAAAAGCCTCGACGCCATCCAAGTCAAACGCATGGGGCTTGATGGGCGGTTTGTCGTGCCGCCGCAGGGCTTCGTTGAAAGCGGGAGAGAGATCCATGATGTGCTCATGCAGGTTGCAGCTCGGGGAAGCTCTGGTCCACGTCAACGTAGCCGCATCCGCTTGGCGTCGGTCGAGCTTACATCCGCGTTATTGCCGAAAAGGTCCAGGCATAGTAAGGTATCCCGACGTGGAATGGCACCCACCCATTCGTTCTCATCAGCGGACCGCTCATTCGTCGCTCGCCATGCCGATGCCGAATGCCTTCGAGATTGCACCACTCCCGCTCTTGCCCTCTCACCGGCCCCATCCCCACCGATGTCGGTTAAGCACTGATAGCCAGGCCCTTCCAGCCGCACCAGATACTCCGCCTGTGCCTAAAATGCCTTTACTCCGCTTTTCTCCCTTTCTTTGGGTCGTGAACAATCTTTCTCCCCTCCCAAATTCTTCTCTCTATTCTGAAGACTTGGGATCATGACATCACCCGTTGGACATGAGACTCTTGAGCCAGCTGAGACAGCTGTTGCTACCAACACCGCCGATGAGCTAAAGATCTCGGCCTTTTCTGATGGAACCGACGATCAGCGAGGGGAGAAGAAGTTGGAGATTGAGCAGCATGTCATTCATGCTTCACCAGCATCCTCGCGAAGACCTTCGACCTCGAACGGGCCAGAGCAAGAGATTGCTCAAGATCTCGAAAGAGCCAGCACTGCAGCATCGGGGCCTGTTTATTCAGTGTTCCCAAGGAAGATGAAGCTATTCATCGTATTCATGGTCGCCTGGGGCGGATTCTTCTCCCCACTCTCCGCGAACATCTTCTACCCCGCCCTCAACACTCTAAGCTCAGAGCTTCATGTCTCCGTCGAGCTCATCAATCTCACTCTCACTACGTACTCCATCTTCCAGGGACTCGCGCCAACCATTTTTGGAGACCTTGCCGACATGGCTGGAAGAAGGCCCGCGTACATAATTGGATTCATTATCTACATCGGAGCTTGCATTGGGATCGCTCTCCAGGACTCGTATGCTGCTCTAATGGTCCTCCGCTGCCTGCAGAGCACCGGTAGCAGCGGTATGATAGCTCTTGCAAATGGCGTCGTAGCAGACGTTGCCACCGTTGCTGAGCGAGGAACGTGGATGGGCTGGGCAACAGGCCCGATGATGATCGGGCCAGCCGCAGGACCCGTAATCGGTGGCCTTCTTGCCCAGTTTTTGGGCTGGCGCGCCATCTTCTGGTTTCTGGTGATTATGGCTGGCGTCTACCTCATCATCTTCACCATCACATGTCCAGAGGCTGGACGCAATGTCGTCGGCAATGGATCTATCCCACCCCAGGGATGGAACATGTCCGTCCTCAATTGGCTCTCCGTCCGCAAGGCTACCAAAAAGGACAACTCGATTTCTCGCACAGTTTCTCGCGAGAGCAATCGTATTGCGCAGCAACGTCTTGCCCGGTCCCGCAAGCTGCGCTGGCCCAACCCTCTCAACACCATGAAGCTCATCCGCGAACCTGATGTCGGTCTGCTTCTCTTCTATAACTCCCTCGTCGTAAGTGCTCTCTCCTTCAGCACCATGAATTGCACAAAAAAGGAAAGTTACTATTTCCAACCCCACTTTAACGATGGCGCATATGTGGGTAGTTGAGGACCCCGTCTGGATATTTCTGTACAAACTTGAAAGCCACACTTACAGTCCCCTCCCGCAGCCGATAGCTAAGTGGGATGAAAAAAAAAACATATCATGGGGAGGTGAAGCCATCGTCTGGACGTGTATGTCGAATTAAAAATTATACATACTCCTCCGGACGATAGCTTCAACTACCCAAGGGTGTTTTCATTTGAAACAAATATCATTTTCGCTCATATCATGGGTACTTGAAGCTATCGTCTGGACGGGAATGTCGAATTAAAAACTCTACATACACGTCCGGACGATAGCTTCACCTCCCCATGATATGTTCTTTTTCATTCCACCCATCCATCGGCTGCGAGAGGGGATTGTACGACCAGACATACGTTTCAACTGCCCAAGCATGGTATTATTTGCGAACACAGAAAGATAAAAGCAGTTGCAAGTTATTGTTATCCGCCAATCACGACCTACACTTACACCCACACCCACACAGTACACCGCCTTCATGGACGTCGCCGCCAGCGCGCCCTTCCTCTTCACCGCAACCTACTCCCTCAACGACCTCCAGATCGGCCTCTCCTTCATCCCCTTCGGCTTCGGCGCCCTGCTCGCGCCGCTCGTCAACGGCCGGCTGCTCGACTGGAACTACCGGCGCACCGCCGCGCGCATCGGCATGACCATCGACCGCAAGCGCGGCGACGACCTGCGCAGCTTCCCCATCGAGCGCGCGCGCATCGAGGTCGCCGCTCCCTTGCTCGCCGTCGGCCTCGCGTCGCTGACGGCGTACGGCTGGGTCATGGACGCCGAGGCGCGCCTCGCGGCTCCGCTCGTGCTGTTCTTCCTGATCGGCTTGACGCTGACGGGCACGTTCAACGTGCTGAATCTCATGCTTGTCGACTTTTACCCGCTCAGCCCGGCGACGGCGACCGCCGCGAATAATCTGGTGAGGTGCTTGATGGGCGCCGGAGGCAGTGCGGTGGTGATTTTGATGGTCAAGAAGATGGGGAGGGGGTGGTGCTTTACGTTTCATGCGCTGGTCGTGTTGGCGGCGAGTCCGATTCTTTGGGTGCTGATTAGGAAAGGTCCGGGATGGAGAGAGAAGAGGAGGGTCAAAACTGAAGAGGTGAGGAGGAGGAAGGAAGAGAAAGAAGAGGAGAGGGAGAGAGCGAGGATGGAGGAGGATAGAGCAAGAAATGAAGACTCAAAGGAAGCGACGCACGAGGAAGAGGAGAAATAAATAGTTAGTTTATCACGGGCGTAACGCAGATAAATGCCTCGGCGCTACAAATACGGAATGAGAAATGTGAAAGAGGAGCGTCTGCATGGATGTGACAGTCATAATTATGAAGAGAGTGACCGCGGAATTCAATGGTGCTTTCCAAGCTCACTGTTGCATATAAAGAAACCAGGCAGATCTTTCTAATGCCTAAGGGTTAATTTAAGTATATCGGACCTATGGCCGAGTGGTCGGGCAGCCAAGCAATAAGATGCAATGTTTGGGCATAGTGAGGTTGCCGCTTCCACTCGCACCTTACCTCGCTAGGAGAAGGGGTAAAATTCCTGAAAAGGGGTTTTATAGCGTGTAGCTCTTGTGGCGTGTAAGCCCTGGCGACTCCCGATCAGCGACGCACGGCAGTCCAATCTGCTGAAGCGAACGGCAGTCATTGTCAGGCATTGACTATGAGTGAAAGTGAATTTTTGCTCCCCTAACGAGTACTATCAAGCACGCTAAGTGTAGAGTATAAATTTGTTTTGCACCGTGGTGAGTTTCAAATACACGCAGCTAACCGTAAGCTTTGTTTATACAGTCCCCTCTCGCAACCGACGGCTAGCATGGATTTGATTTTTGCTTATGTTATGGGTAGTTGAAGCTATCGTCCGGATGAGAATGTCGGATTAAAAATTCTACATACATGTCCGGACGTGAATGTATAGTTTTTTTTTATGTCTATTAAGATGAGTCACCTTCCGTCGCTGAGCCAGATCAGCTCTATCACTTTCTGTTACACCACGCCACAACATACCCCACCTCACTAGATCCTTCAATCTGCCCCGCACCGCCCCGCTAAAGTAGACAGAACCATCCTGCAAGCCAACTCGTTGCTTTCAGCGTTGCATGCGGTCCGAGCTGTAGGATCTTTGAAGGACATTGTTGTAGGTGCAGATCAACCGTAAGCAACACAGCTGATCCTTACCTCACAACCACGGCTCAGTTATCTTCTCACCGCCAACGCAGGTGCGGACACGCAGCTGCCTAGCGCCAAGACCAGCCCGCATCCTGTGCCGAATCCTTCACCCACAGTAGCTCCATTTTGCTTAAGAACCAGCACCAGCGGCCAAACAAACAAACCTCATACCGTCTCTAGCCACCACCCGCACCATCACAAAGATGTCTTCCAAAGAACCTCCCACCATCCCCACGGCCTCCTCTGACCCCAATGCCCCCACCAAAACCTACACCGCCTCCTGCCATTGCGGCAAAATCAAATTCTCCGCCAAAGTCTCCCCACCGCTTGAGGGGGGAGCGCACGAGGTGGCGAGCTGCAACTGTTCCATCTGCACCAACAAAGGATACCTGCTCATCTACCTAGCCAATGATGCAATCACTTTCGAGAGCGGACAGGAAGAAATTAAGGTAAAGTCGATGCACGGCGTCTTGGGAGCTCACTTCCTCTGTGCACGTTAGAATAAATGGCAGTAAATTGACCGTTTACTTGCCAAACAGGGCTACAGCTTCAATAAGAAGCAGGTGGAGCATTGCTTCTGCCCGAACTGCGGATCGGCTCTGTTCATATCTTCGATCAAGCCGGGCTTTTTCGAGGGCATGAAGGCTGTGAATGTGAGTGTGCTACCCAGTCCTTAGGCATTCCTTTTACTCTCGTTCGGAAATATGATCACTCTAGATTGACCCAACTGTACATAGGTCCGCAATTTCAAGGATATCGAGATTGACGACTTGAAGCTGAAGAAGGCAGATGGGAGGAGTTACTGATTACTGTATTGGGGAAACGAGCTAATGACGTCATGCTCGGAAGAAGATCCCATCTAAAAATAGCTTTCGCGACCAACAATTGTGAAAACACCAAAATCAACTGGGGATATCTTACGTTGGGTATTCCACCACTGAGGTGAATGCAGCGCGGAAAATCTGCAACCGTGTTTCCCAGTGTGATTCGTAAAAACGCGCGCTCGTCTAATGCCATTGCTGTTGAAAAACGCCCGGAACTGCCAAAAACAACCTAACTTTTCCCTTGAAACTTTGGATCGTAGTGCGCCAGGTGGTATCTCTCGTAATTGTCGTTAACCGTTGCTCAGAAGCAAAAGTAGAGAATCGATCCGGCCGCCGTCATGCCCACGCCAACCCACCACCAACGATCTGCGTCCGTGTGGTCCGGCTTCTGGCCTAACATCCTGCGCTTCAGCGGAGTGAAGACTTCGTTTGCACGCTTGATCTTATTGCTCGATTTCGATGCTGCCGTTGCCTTAGCGCCAGTGGCGAGGCTCGACGTCGGGAGCATCTGTGCAGGGGTGTAGGCGAGGTAGAGGGGGATGACCGGTGTGCCGTCGAATCCGTAGAGGGTTAATTTCTTGACATTGTGGTATTTGTCCGTCACGATGCTGTATTGCTACGGCAAGGGTCAGTATCCTACCCAAATGCCTGGCCCTGCAATTGGCTCTCATACCTTGAATGTCTCGTTTTGGGTGTATTTCGTGTACACGCCTGTGTCGTATCTGCAAGGGTCGGAAAGCAGCTGCCTTCCGTCGCCGAAAGGCGTTAGGTGTAGCTTGCCGTCAGAAGTCTTCTCGAAGGTGCCGTGTTGCCATTGCATAATTCCCTTGGGACAGTTGGGTGCCGCGGCTGCAGTAGTAGGCGTAAGTATAGGTCTACGGCGCGTTGTGTGAGAGACGCACGGTTCGCGATGGCACGATATAAGGCCTCTTCCCAGAAACCGTCCGAGGTGAAGGAGTAGGAAATGCCTGGTAAGGCAGGCTCGATCATGGAGTCGTTCGTCGGGTTGTAGAATCCCTATGCGGTAATGCGTCAGTGTCTGGGGATCTTCGACCGGGTCCACAATATCTCCACAAAAGGGCGACGCACCGGCCCGGTCAGCGTTTTGTTCGATTTGGATGACCAGGTGCCGTACAAATCGGCGTCCGCAACGCCCTGCGCAGCGACGATAGTGGCGCCGACGAGCGCGACGGCAGACGACAGTAGCATGGTGGCGGACGAGTTGGTGGGCGAGCGTAGCGAATGACTCGGGTGGGGGACGGGATGTGCTCGGTCGCGGGCAGTTATGTGTTGTGGATGAAGCCTGAGCGTTCCTCCAAGCGCTGACGACGCCCAGGACAGGAGATACAAGCCAGAGCGGGCCCGGACTCTCCCCTGCCCGCGCGCGTTCAAAGCAAGGGTTTTGCCCCAGATCTCTCAGCCACACGCAGGAACCGCAGGAACCGCGCGTGCGCAAACGGAAAAGCCCCCCCGGACCAGGCCTGGCGGCGATCGTTCTGTTCGTCGCGCTTGTCATTGGCTCCAGAGCCGGCCGCGGCTGAAGACTCTTCAACCAGCGCCATCTCCGCCCTCGCAGGGACCAGATTCGCCCGCCGATATGGCGTCCGCACAAGCCGCGAAGAAGGAACTGCGCAAACAGATCAAGCAAATCTTGGCTGTTTTGCCGCAGGACGTGGTTGCACAGCAGAGTCAGCAAAACTCGTCTAGCACCCCCATGCTGCTATTGTGCTGACGGCCTCATGCAGCCTCTCGTGCCGTCGGAGCGCTTTTGGCTTTACCAGAGTACCAGGCGGCCAGGCGCATTAGCGTCTACCTGTCTATGCCTGCAGGAGAGATTTCCACGGCAACCATAGTCCATGACGCGCTTGCCCAGGGCAAGAAGGTCTTTGTGCCATACACGTATCAGCGTTCTGTGCAGCCAGAACTGAAGCCCAAATCAATCATGGACATGGTCGAACTTGACTCATTCCGAGACTTTGAGAGTTTCCAGCCGGATAAATGGGGCATCCCAACACCAAGCGCAGAGTCAATCACAGGTCGCAAGAACAGTTTTGGGGGCCAAGGCCTCTCTGAAGGTGATGCTAATCCAGTCAGTGGGGCAGAGTCAGGACTGGACCTGATCGTCGTGCCTGGCATGGCCTTTGATGCCGACTTTGGTAGGCTGGGGCACGGGAAAGGCTTCTACGACTTCTTCCTGGACAGAAGCCAGCAACATAGCCAGAAAGCTTCTGGCGTCCGCATGCCCTTCCTCGGTATGACCGCAGTCCGTCATCTCACCAACGCAGATGTGAAGGCTAATTCGGAGCAATTAGTTGGACTCGCATTAAAGGAGCAGCTACTGCCGCCGGCTCAGTCCGTACCTATGGACGCGACCGATTGGAGGCTTGACGCACTCGTGGTCGGCAATGGAGAAGTTCTTCGATCCACCAAGGCCCAGCCTAACGCGTCCACGCCGTAGTCCTCGGAGGGAGAGATGAAGCTGTCGCTCTCCAAACCATACATTCTTTTTCCCGTTACGCCGCACCTGACGCCCTTCCCCATACGCAACCGTGATTTTATGATATCCCGTGTGTTCATTTCTATTCGCCCACTCAAGCCTCAACGCTCTGGATGAGAGAGACGTTGTCGCCCTTGAGGAGAATTTGGCCTATTACCCTGTTAGCAGGCTGATGCATTTGATCCCACTTGCGCAGCCCCGCATAACGAAACGTACCAAGCGCGCGGCGCGCTTCCTGAGTGTCCTTCGTGGCAAGCTTGACCTCAACGGCGTCGTCGATGACAAGGTTCATGAATTCGTCGAAGCCCTACGTTGTGTTAAGTTGCGTCGCATATTACCCAAGACGTGTAGCTGCTTACGCGAATCTTGCCCTCGATGCGCATGCCAATCTGCTCGAACAGCCAGATCTGCACGGTTGCGCGCGTCTGGAGGAGCTTGAAGATGAAGTTGATTGGAGGCAGCAGGACCTTGTTCCTGTTTCCACCACCGCGGCCGGCCATTGTGAACGAGGTAAAGCGAAGATTCGGGAGGGGTTCGTGGCGTGCAGCGGGCGGCGTGGTCGAATGGCCCAAGGTTGGCAGGTGCAGAGCGGGATGGGCGGTGGTTGCAGCTGCGGTTGGAGCTCGCCGTCGCCAAAGTTGTTTGCAGCGCGCTCTGCGCCAAGCCTCGGGCGGCGGAAGGCGGGCCCCAGTCACCTTGCAAGTACGTACGACAACATTGGATTATTTTTCCACTATGCACCTTTCCTGCGCCTAACGAACATACCCAACACCCCTCTCCTCCCTCCACGGCCACCTGCGTGCTCCGAAGAGGCTGCCCGGTTCCACCGCGTTCTGCGATCCTATGCGCCTTACGTAGCGGCACCCCTCAGTCCGCCCCACCTGCTTGTCTAAACCTCCGTCACCACCCCTCTGCGCCGACCATCCAAGGCCGCAACCATGGCTGCCAACGGTGCGGCGGCCCAACAGGCCTTTGCGCCCGTTCTTGCAGCGCTCGCCACCATGCAGAGCAACGTCGACCGCACTCAGAAAGGCCAGGCTCACGAGTATCTCGAGCAGTTCCAGAAGTCGGTCAGTAGACATCGCCGCCAACACGACGCCCCAAAGCCGCGCTGACACGACTCGTCACCAGGAGGAGGCATGGACCACCAATTTTGCTATACTGCAGTCGCCCGACGCCGCCGTGGAGGCCAAGCTGTTCGCCGCGACGACACTCAAGGGAAAGGTAGGTTGTTGAACCGACAAGGCCCATGTCAGGAGCGCGCGCGTGCTGATGCGCCCAGATTGTGTATGATCTCCACCAGCTCCCGCGCGAGTCGCTTTCGCCGCTCCGCGATACCCTTCTCAACGTGCTCGCCGCCTTCCGCGCCGGCCCCAAGCCGATCCGGATGCAGCTCTGCGTGTGCCTGGCCAACCTGGCGATACAAATGATGGAGTGGAAGGATGTCCTGCCGCTGGTTGTTTCGACCCTTGGAAACGACCCTCAGAGCATCCCCTGCGTCCTGGACTTCCTGCGGGTCCTGCCGGAAGAAGTCACCGAAGGACGAAAGATTAATCTCACTGTACGTTCGGCCGATCCGCCACTTTGCGAGCCCCCGACGGCGGTTTTTCGAAGCACGATCAGAGTCTAATCCATCATGACAACAGGAAGATGAGCTACAGGAAAGGACAAAGGAACTGCTGGAAGACAACGCGCAGGAGGTCCTTGGCCTGCTGGGCCAATATTCCCGTTCATCCGGTGAACTTCTTGCCCTATTTTCTGTTGGGAATGCAGTGCTAACTCCCGCAGATGCCGCTTCGAAGAACCCTCAACTTATGGATTGCATTCAATCGTGGGCACGTGAGGTTCCCATCAACGACATCGTCAACTCCTCCCTGCTGGATACGGTCCTGAACGGCCTCTCCGAGGACGAGCCTTTCGAGTCTGCTGTGGAGTGCATCTGCGCTGTCATCCGGGAGACCAGGGATGTCGACGAGTGCATGAATGTCATCTCGACCCTCTATCCCAAGCTTATGGCTTTAAGGCCCAAGATCGAGCAAGCCGCTGAAGAGGAGGATACTGAGGTGTTCAAGGGCATTGCCAGGGTTTTCGCCGAGGCTGGTGAGGCGTGGGTTGTGCTGATCGCAAGGCTGCCCCAGCAGTTCCAAGGCCTGGTGGAATCTGTCCTGGAGGTCGCTGCAAGGGACAACGAACGGGATGCTATTTCTCACACCTTCAACTTCTGGTACGAGCTCAAGCAATACCTGACCCTGGAGAAGTACATGCCGGCGAGACTCGAGTTCGTCGCGGTCTTCTCGAAGCTCGTCGACATCATGATCGGCCACCTGGAATACCCGAAGCCGGAATCTGGCGACGAGAAAGATCTATTTGAGGGCGACCGTGAACAAGAGGAGAAGTTCCGGGAATTCAGGCATCAGATGGGCGATGTGCTCAAGGACTGCTGCGAGGTTATTGGAGTGACGGAATGCTTGCAAAAGTGCTATGCACTGATCGAGGAGTGGGTCAACAAGTACGGTCCTCAGGCGTCGGCTGGTCACGTTCCGGAATGGCAGAAGTTGGAGGCACCGCTGTTCGCCATGAGGGCTATGGGACGTATGGTCCCTCAGGACGAAAACATCATGCTCCCACGCTTGATGCCCCTGCTTGTTCAGATTCCGGACCAGGAGAAGGTTCGTTTCCAGGCCGTCATGGCCCTTGGGCGCTACACGTTGTGGACCGCTCAGCACCCGGAGACTCTTCAGCCTCAATTGGACTACATTATGGCAGCATTCAACCACCCGTCTAAGGAGGTCGTCCGCGCCGCCGCCTTGTCATTCAAGTTCTTCTGCAATGACTGCGCGCCTCTGCTGAAGGACTATATTCCTCAACTCCAGCAGTTTTACACCAGCGTGCTCGACAGGCTACCTGCAAGTAGCCAGGACGAATTGACAGATGGCGTTGCGTCTGTTCTTGCTGAACAACCTCCTGAGGTCCTCTACGATTACCTCAAGCTGTACTGCGATCCCGTTCTCAAGACTATTATGGAGATGGCACAGAATGCCACCGATGATAAGGCTAAGCTCGCTCTTGCTGGTAAGTTGACTCTTTGCACTCACTTCGACATTACTAAACGAGACAACAGACAAGCTGCAAATCATTACCATCTTCATACAATGGGTCCAGCCCTACGTCCCCCCCACTCAGCCACATCCTTGCGTCAGATACTGCCAAGAGATCTTCCCAGTCTTCGCTACCCTTTCTGATAACTTCACGACGTTCTCGCCTATCCTTGAGCGCGTGTGCCGCTGCTGGCGTTACATGGTTCTCTCCTACCGCACTCACATGGCGCCACTGCTTCCCCAGTTAGCGGACAAGCTAGCCTCAGGATTTACGTCATCAAGGCAAGGCTGCTTCCTGTGGGCGACCGACTCCATCGTGAGGGAGTTCGCTCCTGGCGTCGAGGGCATTGACTCCAACACTCTCGCAGCTGTTTTCCAGTTCTATTCTCAACAGGCGACGACTTTCCTAAGGGCGCTCAGCGACCTTCCTCCAGAACAGTTGCCCGACGGTAAGTATAAATTTTTGGAAGTTGTGGGACCATCTAACTTGGGTGCAGTCATCGAGGACTTCTTCCGGCTGTCTGTGGACGTCCTTCTATTCTTCCCTGATCAGTCCGTCACGTCTCCGCTCATGCCTTCGATCATCTCGGCAGCTACCACGGCTCTCACTCTCCTCAAAGAGGAGCCTCTCATCGCCTCGCTGCACTTCCTGCGCGATTTCCTCGCCTACGGCACGGACAACCCGCCTTCATCTGACTGGGGCGACGAGCCTCGTACCAACCCTCCCGAAATTCAGACGGCAGTCAAGCATCTGGTCAGCGGTCAAGGAGATCAGCTAACCCAACGTATCATGACGGGCATGATGTACACGTTCCCTCGGGACTGCTTCCCAGATGCTTCGGGCGTGCTGCTTGAGATGTTCAACCTGATGCCGGCGGAGGTGGCTCAGTGGATCAAGACTACCGTCAGCATGCTGCCGCCTGGGTCTATCAGCCCGCAAGAGGCGGAGCGGCTGATGAACAACATCAACCAGTATTACTCCCTTATTCCCGAGAAATTCACGTACAGTGCTTCTGATGGAAGAACCAGGCGCATCCAATCGAACGAAGTCCGCAAAATCCGCACGCTGCTGCAAGACTTCACTAACTCGTACCGCCGCCGTAACGTCGCGCCTCGCGAAGGCCTGGGTCGTCTCGAGGCGACCAGGTTCCGCTTCACCGGTTGAGCGAGACGGCATCTTCAAGACGATTACGATAGCAAGCATGGGTCGGACACGGGTCTAGAGGGGGCTTGTAAAGTTTAGCATTTTCCTGTTTCGTGCAGCGGATTGGGGCTCAACAACCGCGATGCGATTGGTGGGACGATGGATGGTCTTTTCTTCTTTCTGCAGCTTTTACTCTCGAGCTTTAGGTGTCGATAAAGTCAGGATTAGTGGCGGGGTTGAGGGGGGTGGGAATACGAGTCGATCTTCAGGAAAGAAACAAGACGGAGGGACAAAAATTCTGATGCATTGCAAGTAGGGAGTTCTATGGCATACGGTGCGGGTTGTAGGCTTATACCGACTAAAGGGATGGATACGGAACGCGGGGCACGAGGTATGGTTGGCTGGCCGCGTCGGCGACGTTTGAGAAGTTCAACAAAAGATTATGAGATGGTTCTTTCTGAAGACCCGAGTTTGACTGGGATGGCACGAAAATCCTGTGTTCGCGCGACTGCGGATTATGTGCATCACGCTGGTTTGGCCCGAGTTCATTAGCCCTGGCGCCCGAAATTTAGAGTGTTGTGAGACCAGATGCCGATGACTCACCGCTAAGATCGACTCCGCCTCACGCACCGTACTACTTAGGGCAAAGCAGGTGGGCAATAGGAATGCGATCCTGGATGCCAACCCCACAGTCGTCAATACGCGTTTCCTTCGACGTCTCCGCCTAGGCTACGCGATAGACACGACCCAATCACATGTTATGATGGAAAGCGTTCGGTCGTCAACGAACAGGATTGCAAGCGATTTGATGGGGCTCTCGGCCGGCCTGTCTCATGATACCACATGTCGCATAACGCGGTAGAACAGCTAGTAGCACTGCAATGGTTCTAGAGCCCAGCCGCAGCGCCAAGACAAAAGCGGTAATCCGCCTACCCTAAGCGGAAACCGCTGGAGTCTGTGCAGGGACACCGACGGCCAGCCACTAGGAGAAAGCATTCTCCGCACTGCCACCTCTCGCTGGCCTTAAATACCCCTCCGCTTCGCAACCTCAGGTTGACTTTAACCCTCGGCGGCTTTTCTCCTTCCCCTTTTACTTTTCCCCTCGGGCCTCGATTTGGGGAGGCCCTTTCTTTGTGTTTCCTTCTGATAACAACAACAACTGGACACAATGCCGGTCTGCCTCAGACTCCCCGCCTACTACTACATGCCGAGTCAGCTCCGCACACCAGACTCCCCAACCTAACACAAGTGGGTTTTCAGACCTTGGAAACCACAACTGTTTTGCATCGGATCTCACCGGCACCTCTTTGGACTTCGCTTTCGCTCACGGCAACTCTTCATCGGATCTTCTCGCTTCCTTTACGGAACCCTATCACCCGCTTCCTCCCTCGTCTTTCCCTGACGCCTTCTCGAACGGCGGCTTGGACGCCGCATCGCTCGATATCTTTGACGGCCTACAAAACGATCCGCTTCTGTTCGCGCTTGATGGCGCAAACGCCGCATCGAACTACTCCTCAGACGAATCTCCCGACAACCTCTTCTCGCAACCTACTATGTACAATGAATCCTTCCTCGCCGCTACCCTGAACCCCTTGCCAGGTCTGTACCTTCTGGTCCCCTTCTGAATCCACGGGACTAACAGCCGCCAGACTCCTTCCACCCCTTTCCTGCCAGCAACGCTTCTTCCCGCCCGTCTCCGTACTCTACCATCGAGTCGGCGTTCTCCAACGATGCACCAGCGCGTGTCTCTACGTCTCCCGCGGGCTCTTCTGATTCTGCGGGTGGCAAGCGCAAACGCGCATCCTCCGGTGACGAGCCAGTCGACGGAGCTCTCGCCGACAAGCGGCGCCGCAACAACCTTGCGGCGGCAAAGTATCGACAGAAGAAGGTCGACCGGATCTCGGAGTTGGAGGATGAGGTGAAGGAGGTGTCGAAGGAGAGGGACGACCTGAAGCTGCAGTTGGCACGCAGGGACGCGGAGTTGGAGGTTTTGCGGAAGCTGTTGCTGGACAAAAAATAATGTCCTGCACTTCCCTTTCACCTTTGTTTTTTTCTTAAGATCTGTCTTCGGGAGCCTTGAGGCTACGCTGTCAGCGTGTGCTTCGGCCAAGTTGTTTTGGGGTTTAGGGATTGGGAAAGGTTATGCGATGCTCAGTCGATGTCGGTATCGATCAACATGAGATTGTTCATTATTTTAGATCGGCAAATGTTATCGTCATGGCTGCTTCTGAAAGTTCAAAGGAAAGTCTGTCAACATGCCTCACAGTCCAGAGTGCTCGCTGGTCGAGATGGTCGAAGGATTCTTGGTGACTCAATTCTCCATCTACATACTACATGCCGTCCCATTTATCATCAACCATCCGTAGCACAGAAGCCTCATCAGTATGGTGTTTTCTGAACTCATAGTCTCCAACTCTCACTCATAATGGCTCACCATCGCAGACAATTTTGCTTATACTCGAGGCCTGCCTGCTGAATCCACATGTCCGCCAGGTCCGAGCTTACGGTATTTCCTTTTATGACTAGCGCGCCAAGCTATGAATCATAATTGCTCATCCCCACTCAGCGCCAGGCTGACGAGGGGTCCTGCCTCCATCCCCCGTCTTTTTGGCCAACAGGAACGAGCCCTAACTTCTCCTTTCGTTCCAACTTTCGAACGAACTCTTGGACAACTACGAACGTGTCTTCCTTTGCATGCTCGCTGACTTTCGAAGGTTTTAGGGCCCGTGCGGGGCGGAATTTGCATTCCACGTTTCATCAACATCAGGATCATCCATTTGAGCAAGAGCTGAGAGTCAGCATGGAACCTGTCAGTTTGCGATCGAGAGCGGCTCCTTTTCCGAGGCTTAAAATTTGGGTTTTCGAATGCAGAACCGCTCCGTCATGGACCCTGTAGGAGGCTCAATACGCTCTGCCACCATTGGCTCGCTGACTCAGGTAGGCGCGGCATGACGAGTCCCTGACTACATTTTCTACCGACCCATCTTTCAAAGGAAAGGTCACGTTCGCCGGCTTTCTCCCAGGGACTTATTGCCTGCGCGCGAGTGGTTATTGGACAGGCGGAAGCGTTCCGCGTGCATATATCCGCCATGGCTTCGACCGAAAGAGAGCTACGTACCCTGGTATCGCCCGTTTATCGCCACTAAAGGAAACTCCCGATCTCACTTTTCTAAAACCGCAACACGTCGGGGACCGCGTCTTCAAATAGCACCCCTACTGCACCTATCAGCTCGGCCTCAAATATCCGGATTTACGCGAGGTCCGTGGAAGATCGGATAGTGACGGGGGTGCAGATGGAATGTTCCATCTCGTTCATGCGCATTGCGTGTCTACGCATGAAGTTCGGTTTCTTTTTTGAGGCTCTGATCAAACGCCGACAGCCTAAATTTGGATTACCCCAGCGCATAGGCGCAATTGCGCCCGCCTTGTTATACAGCAGCTGACGCAATAGGCAAGAAGTCAATGAAACAGGACTAATCGATACGAATACGTCATCATTGGCGGTCTTTGCCTATACGAGGTCGGCTCGCATGGCGTTGCAGCAGGGGAGTTGAAGAGGTGAATGCACGCTATCTCTGGAAACAACAAGACCATCCCGGCACGCTGCAATATCAAACGATCCGACGTCGTGGTCCATCTAGTAGCTCCAAGTCTCGGCGAAACACGGCCATTACTTATCCGATTTGCCCGGCGTTTGTTTGGCTTGGCTGGCGCTATCCCGGCTAGGGTAGCAGACGGGCCCGAAAGTGCAAAGTGAGAGAAGCACCGTCGGTGTATCACTCTTTCTCCAACGACGGAGTAGAGTTTATTTGAGCTAATGCAGGGACGTCCGAATACGCTTGCGACCTGCCGTGTCCGCATTGGTTTCATTATTGCAGTCCACGGCGCCGGTATGTCTGCTGGAGGCGGACCCGACGGGCTGGAAAATCCACGCTGCACATGCGATAAACGCCTTCTGGCTTTCGTCACGCGCTAATGTATCGCCGGTCACAGCGCAGAGTTTGCGATCTGATCCTGAATCTGTGTGTCGTTCTGCGAGTGGCAATGATCTCAAAGATCGGTGAAGGTATATTTGGATGGAGGGGTTTCGACGACTGAGGCGTCACCAGAACGAGTTGTGCTCGGCGGGTTTTGACTCAGGCGGGCAGCCTATCGGAAGGCGCGCGCCTGTCTTGTACAATAATGAGCGAGGAGATGGACGGCGAGGCGGGCGGATCCTGCGGGCGGATGCCGGCTGTGCCAACCAATGGCGGCGCCACCCCCACCATCCTGAGCCATAAGCACCAAGGAAAAATGAGAGGAAAAATAAAGAGAAGCCGTTTGAGGTGGTACGACAGGAGCCACGCGCGGTAAAGCGAGGCCGTGTGCTCCGAGCCGTTGTGCCCTCGTCATCAGCTAATAAGCTAGCCATGTGGGCAGGTGGGCGGCCGTATCCGGCCATGTCCCATATTGCCTTGCTGCGGCGCGGTGCCAATCCTAACGGCCGCCGCGCGGCGCAACGCACACAATTGCGCCGTCGTCGCATTTGCGACGGTGCCATGCTCCGTGGGCCTGGTCAGCGGCGTCCCACTTGGGGCCCTATTGATTTTTTGCGCGGAAGGATTCGAGCAATCTGCAGCTGGCGGGCAAGCGACGTTACACACGCGCTACCGCGGGCCATGTGACAATGACGGCGAGACAGAGGCACTGAGTCCCGGCGCGGCGGGCGGGCTGGTTATTTTCGGCAGCGGCTGCTCTCCTCAGCAGCATCGTCAGGGCAAAGGCCGCCAGGCAGTCAGCAAGCCGCCCTGCCGTCCACGCGAAGCCGTGAAACCGTCCGCGTGGACGGCCTGGGTCCCTGCAACGCAGCGCGCGCATGGCCGCAGCGCAGCGCAGCGCAGCGCAGCGCTCCGTTTTTCATCAGACGCCGACTCGCGACTCAGCCGGTCCTTGATTGATGGAGAGACTTTAATGCGATGGCGATCGTCGCCCGCAGGTGGAGAGAGTGGAGGACCGACGGTTTGTTTTGTGCGCGGCGTGCGTTGACGTCTGCCCTGGCGCCCCTCTAGGCCCGCGCCAAGCCGCCCTGCGCGAGTCGGCCGCGCTGCCGCGACTCGAGTTCCTTCCCTTCGCGGCCAAACCCACAAGCTCGACCCGGCCGACGGGATGAGATCAGCTCCCGCCCGCGGCATAAACATGGCCCAAGGCATTCGTCAGGCCTACAGGCCCTGCTGGATATTTTTAACAGTCCCGCGTGCAGAGGAGCCATGTCCGCCGCCGCCGCTGCGGAGGATCCCGTCCGCGGTGGACTGTGCCCTGCCTATCTGCTCTGCGCAAGCTTCTCCGCATTTGACGAGTGGAACGTTGCGAGGCAAAAAGATTAACCCATATATTGGCTTTCGCACGCTAATTACTATAGGCCGAAACGCTGTCGGCCCGTTGCTGGACTTTTGGCGCGGCAAAACCAAGGGGATTGGCAGCTCTGGTCGCCCGTTTCGTATTCTGTATAGCGAAGATCCGGGCGCGTTGGTAAGCGGGCGGAATCGCTGCGCGCGACGCGATATTGCGCTCGTCGCGCCCGTCACTGACCGGTGGCTCCTCAAGCGAGCAGCAGCCGTTTTCTGGTGGAGGGCGCGGATGGAGCCGCGGGTCGCATCAAAAACATGGCTGCCCGGTGACGCAGCCTCAGATCGGAGCGGGGGACCCCATCCAGCTGCGCAATGCTCCGGCGGCGGGCTTGGGTGGTACGGACTACAGGGCGCGTGGAGGGCTACGCACGTACGATGCATGAACTCATCAAATGGGGCAAATTGCGCCAGGCGTCTGGCAACAATATTGCCAACGGCGCGCGCGCTGCCCCCGGCGCGGCGGTCCCAAGGGTCGCCCCCGAGTGCTGGGCCGGGAGGGCAGCCGGCTGCCGTTGGCCGTCTCGTGGCGTGAGGCCTGGTGCTGCAGACAGGCGTCGCTCAGCCAGCCGCAGGCACGCGCCCTGGAGGGAGTTGGGGCAGGGGCGCGGGATCCGCAGCTTCGGAACAGAGCTAAGAGCTAAGCTTTGCGGTAAAGTTGGCTGGCCCCGGGTAGATCGAGAGGTGATCGCTGAGCCAGCGCGGCGAATCAGCGCGGCGGGCAGCAGCGCAGGCGGCGCGGGGAACGCGGAGAGACCCTGCCCAGCGCGCAGCTGCTCGTGGGCGCTGGCCGGCCGCGTAGGGGCTCCCTGGGCCGGCGCAAGGCACCGCGCCAAGCAACCCGGGCGCGCCAAGGCAGCGTGAGTCGTGAGTTCGGCCGCAAGGTGCGAGGCCTCCAGACGGCGGGGCAGCGCGCGGCGGGAACCTCCGCCCGCGCGGTTGAGCGCCGTTGCAGGCTGCGGGCAGACAGCTCGCGCTCGCAAGCGCCGCGACTCGCGCAGCGGCTCTGGGCGCACGGGGCGCCATCCGCCGGGGCAGGCGCAACCTCAGTCCATCACGATGGCCTGCGTCCTTCCCGAGTGAGCGCAGATAATGGCTCTGCTTATCACGGCCGCATCGGGCAACGTGCGAGTCCACTTTCCGTCCCCGCCCACCCAGAGCCCTACCGCGAGGCTGCGTTATAATAGCCTTAAGCTTTCCAAAGACGTTGCCCACGCGTGTGCCACCACCATCCAATCCCCCCTCCACCCAGGTGATGCCTATTTTAAGTTGCCCGACGCCAGCTGCATGCCCATCCTCGCCTCTAGCCTCCCGCCACTAGTCTCCGCGCCCAATTGCCAGCCGACCAGCCTGCACAGCTACCCCACTGACACTGTGGCGCCGGCCCACTCCTTCATTTGCGTCCGTACGCCCCTAGTCCAGCTGCCAGAGAGCCCTGCGGTCCGATTGAGCCTCGCCCGTCTCTTTTCACCACTCCTGTCCGCTCCGCCAGCCCGCCCAAACCGCCAACTCGCCCTCAGGATTCCCTAGCAAAACACTCCCGCCCTTGCTCGGACCTACTGCCCAGATCGACTGCGGATCCCGTCTCGGTCCGCTCTCGCCGAAGACGAAATCGACCGGGGTGACTGACCACCAGCAGACCGGAGCTGCTTACGAACCCTCTCTCACACCCAACCCCATCAATGTCGGCCGCCGGTGGTGGAGGTCAGGCCTCGCCTGCTTCGCACAGCGAAACCGTCGATACCGCTGGAACCACCAAAGATGGCGCCAAGGCCAAGTCAGCTGCCGACTCGACCAACACCAAGGCCCGCAAGCGGACCAAGACCGGATGCCTGACGTGCCGGAAGCGCCGCATCAAGTGCGGCGAGGAGCGCCCCATCTGCAACAACTGCATCAAGTCGAAGCGTCACTGCGAAGGCTACAACCAGCGCGTCATCTTCAAGCCGCCCATCGGTGACTGGCCCGGCAGCGCCCCCGCGAGCACCCTCCCCTACCACAGCGGCGTCATCCCCGGCGGCCGCCCCGTCTACCAGCAGCCCTTCCCCGGTCCGCAGGCGGCGGGGATGCCGTACGGCGCTCTGCAGCCCGGCCAGCAGCAGTATCCGCTGCCGCAATACGGCCAGTTCACGGGCGTTGACCCGTTCAGCGGCGGTGCGTTCACGAGTGGGCTGGTTCAAGATAGCTCATATGTCGCCCAGGCGCCCCCATACAGCCAGCCCATGGACCCCGCTTATCAGCAGCGCTCATATTCCATGGGCGCCATGCAACCTGAATACTCGCAGCAGCTTCATCCGCAGCCTTCATACCCCTCCCAAGCGCATAGACAATCCGTGCAATTACCGTACCACACCACCGCGAACATGGGACAAGGAATACCCGCATATTCACCGACACCACAAGATCAACCATACGGACAGCAGAGTCACGCACCGCAACAGACCCAGTACAGCCAAGGTTTCCAGTACCCTTCAGCGACCACGGCGGCTGATACGTATAGGCAGCCACATCCCCTAACCCAGTCCAGAGAGGTCCTCCAGGCGGCAGATCGGGATGTTTTGGTATGGCAAAAGGTAGCGAGTGGCCTGGCGAACGAGGAAGACCGTCTTGACTTGCTGTCACCCGAGAGCGCCCCCGGCTCGCGTCCGGGCATGCCTCCGCAGTTTCTCCCCGACGCCGGCCAGACAGGTATAGGTATGCCGTTCATACCCTCGCAGCAGCTCTGTTTTTAAAATTGGTCTGTTTGTTCCGTGGATGGTGAGAGCCATTGATCGCAAAAGCAATGCAAGGACATGTTTGTAGTGGGCTAACGCGCTGATTTGTGACAGGACACCCCCCACCGCCCCCCTCTCACCAGGCCGTCCCGATCAAAAACGAACTGCGACAGTCTGGCTTTTCCGAGCACCACCCCAGCCCAACCGAAGCCCTCCAAGAAGCCGCGGTAGAATTTGAAGACGACGATTACTATGACGTGCAGTCAGATGACGAGATGGAACTGTTGCCGGCACAAGAACAAGCCCTGGCCCATGGTCAGCAACGCGACTTCGAAGTGATGATGCAGATCCACCGAGACAGCGTGAACGAATTGAACGTCAGGCACTACAACACCTTCCTCTACTCGGGCATCTTGGATCAATATCGCGCCGAACAGGTCGCAAATCCTCTGCGAAACCCACAAACCGCCCGTGTCTTTGCGCACTTCATCCATGCCACCGGACCCAGTCTTTCCATCTTCGAGAGAAGAGTTCGAAATGCCTCTGCCATGTTCAGTGAACGCCCGGTCCACCCAAGCCAACAGTCCCTATGGACATATACGCTTCCGATGATGGCGCTGAACCACCAGGGCCTGCTGCACTCCATGCTTGCCTTGTCTTCGCTACATATCGCCAAGTTGCAACACGCTTCAGTCACGCCCTCGTTCAAACACTACGCCTACGCTTTGAAACGCGTGCATCATGCTGTGGGACACCCCAAGAAGAGACATCATGTCACAACGCTGGCGGCGTGTCTCATGCTGGGCCTGTACGAGGTAATGACTGCCGATCACGTAAAGTGGAATAGCCATCTGCTGGGCGCGAAACAGCTCTTCGTCGAGATCGATTACGCCGGAATGACAAAAGCATGGCGCAAGAAAAAGGCGGAGGAGGATGCGTTTGAGCGGAATTTTGCCTACGAGAACCCCGGTCTGACCATGCAGCAACCACGGTACCTGAACAAAGAGCCGAGCAACCTGCCGGACGAACGGGTTGTCAGTATGCTCACCGGACGCCAGATCCGCTACGATGACTTTGGGAAGGTTTTCGATGACCAGGGCAGGAACGGTGGCAAGGCTCCGGAACCAGATCTCACGCATTACGAGACATACCAGGATTTGTGGTGGTGGTTCGTGAGGCACGACGGGTTCCAAAGTGTCATCAGTGGCAACGGGCTTCTGTAAGTCCGAACGCAGCTAGACGGTGATTCTGGCTAACTCATCACAGTATGGACTACACCAGATGGTCAGACTGCCCACCGCGCGCGCCCCTTGGTAAACCCGATGCACTATACGGAACGCACGACCACTCCCTGCTCCTACTCGGCCGCATCGCAGAGTTCGCGTCAAGAGATCGTGAAAGGAAGATTCAGGCGGTACAAATGAATGGCGGTCAATGGAGGCCTGGGCTGGGAATGCCAGGACCTCCGGCGGGGTCCGGTCCTCCACCTGGAACGCAATTCCCTCAAGGGCAACGGCCGGGAATGCCACCACAACAAGGATCACCAGGCGGTGGCGCACCGCCGCAAATCCCCTTCTACGGAATGGCGCCCAGCTCGTCAGTGCGGCACATGCCTTCCGCCTTTAAGCAGGAACAGTCACCATCGCCCGACCCATCCGTCAAGCTCGAAGACCAAGCCGGCCTCCAAGCCGCCACACAAAAGGCGCTAGCGGAATGGCAATCGATGCGCGAAGCCCTCTCGCATTACGCCTCGCACCTGGGGCCAGCCTTCGCTCCACTCTCCGACGAGTTCTCGACGCCCATCCCCAGCCCGTTCGGACCGGCCCTACAGTACCGTAGCTTCGACATCGCGGTGCTGTGGGCACAGTACCACATGCTTGAGATCATCCTCGCGCGGTCGCACCCGACGATGCCTCCAGCAGCAATGATGGCGGCGGGCGTGGCGGCGCAGCAGACGGCGCACTGGGCCAAGGACATTGGCCGCATCGTCGCGGGCATCTTCAGCGGCCTGGGCCCGCACGGCGCGCCGCTCAACCCATCCATCGGCGCCGCCCTCATCGAGTGCATCATGCCCCTCTTCTTCGCCGGCATCCAGTACGTCGACGCCGCCCAGCGCGACTGGCTCGTCGTCAACGTCAAGGACATCGAGGCCCGCACCGGCTGGGCCTCGGCCGGCCTCGTCGCCAACGGCTGCCAGAAGGTGTGGGAGAGGGCTGGCCTTGCCGGCCGCGGCCCCCCGTACGTCTACAGGCGCGAGGATCCCGACAAGAACCCGGACGAGCGCATCAGCGGGCGCAAGGAGGAGCGTGCGGCCAGCGAGGGGAGGAGCTTGACACAGGAAGAGGAGGAAGCGGCGAAGAACGAGCTGAGCGATCGGAGGTATATCTGGACCAATCCCGGTACCAGGGTGCATTGGGCGATGGGCATTTTGAGCGAGGAGCAGGACCTTATCAGGCCGCCTGGGGTGTGAGGGAGGGATTCTTGGTGTGTGTGGTTTGCACTCAATCGGTGCTACTTTTTTCTTCTGTTTTTACTTTCTCGAGTTGTGTTACTATCTTCTTTATATGTGTGTTTTCGGTTACTTCTCTACTTCTTCTTATTTTTTTTGTGCCTTTTTCTTTGCGCAAAGCGATGGGAACACGGACATGTCACTGTTCAAGGGAGTTTGTCGTCCTGGGGTGGGAAAAACATGTGAAATCACATGTAATTAGGAGTTTTGCTTTTGGGTATGGCCCCCTCTAGTTACTGAAGCGAAGGGAAAAAGAGTGTTGAGAGCAATGGACTGGAGAAAATGTTGTTGTGGCTTTTGGGGTTTCTGGTTTGCCATGTCTCAGCTGAGCGTGAGAAAAGAGCGAGAAAGGGTCAATGTAAGCTTTGTGGAAGACTCGAAGACAGAGACACCATCGTCAAGATGACGATGGTTTATAGAAAGTTTACCTTGAATTTCTTCTTGGCCTCGTGATCAGGGTTTATTTCTACAGAGGAGTATCGCATCCGAAGGCCAGCGTGAATTTGCTTTTTGCTCATGTCGTGGGTAGTTGAAGCTATCATCCGGACGAGAATGTCGAATTAAAAATTCTACATAAAAGTCCGGACGGTAGCTTCAGCTACCCATACGTTGTCTACTTTTTTTTTTTTTCAACAAAACGGAGGCAGTTTCCCTAGACACCGCAATACCCGTCTGTATATAAGTACTATGGTTGATCCATTCTGTCACCTAAGGGATCACGCAGGATTCGATGTCCTAGCTGGTCCTATGGTGGATGGTCGAGTTCGATGCTTGGCCATCACCACCTCTCCTTACCGGGGGGGAAGGAGAGGGGGAAATTTTCCGAAAGTGGATTTTATAGGGGACTGCAGGCAACTGCAGGCCCTGAATTTTTGCTGAATGGTCGTGTGTTCGAACTTCGCTTTGATAATCTGTTATTTTGATTGACACTTATGTATATCGTTGGGCGCAGGTACTGTTATGTTTCGACAGCTCATTATTTTATTCTCATATCATTACCTGCCTCATATACTACAACCCAACGCGAACAGCAGCTCACGAAAACACCCGCTCGCCCGCTTCCAAATATCCCATACCACAATCATGCAGGAAAAAAGAGTCAGAATGAAGTGTACAATCAACCCATGCATCTCTAAACAGACTTGGAAAGAGAAGGATAAACCCGCTCCAGCAGGAAGACCCACCAAACCCACACCCCCAAACAACAACACACAAAGACATCACATTTCGTCTTCCTCCGCCGCAACGCTCTCATACCTTCCACCCTCATCCGCGCCACCACCTCTTCTCGCCCTCATCTTCGGCGGAGGCTCGTACACCCTCGTCCAGTTGATCCTATCGCCTCCCAGCACCGCCTCTCCGTTTTCACGCTTCTTGAACATCGGGGCCGGGTCGCACCAGAAATCGCGGCAGTTGGTGATGCAGCCGCGCGTGAAGGGGTTCTCGCGGCGCTGGGCGAGGACGGCCTGGGCGTTCGAACCGTGCAGAGCGGTGGCGATGAAGGTGTCGATGCCGAGCATGCGTTTCCACTGCTCGAGGCAGCCGGCCTTGTGGTGGCCACGACGGCCGTGTGCTGGTGCCCCATCAGGGCCGGCACCAGCGGCATCAACTTGGCCGCCGACGGCGGAGGTGCTGCCAGTCGTGATGAACGAGGTGAGCGGGTCTGGCGGGCCGTGGCCGTGGTTGTGGCGCATGGCCTCGAAGGTGGTTTGAGCGCGGGCGACCTGGAGGAGCTGGACGACGAGGAGCATCGTGACCCAGATGAGCTGGAGACAAGCCCAGATGGTGAGGATGATGGTGAACGGATCCTTGTGGAGGGTGGAGCACAGCTCAGGGTCGAGGACGTTGCATTCTGGCGTTTCGGTCGGCGGCGGTAGGGCTGTCAGGTATGACAGTACCAAGCGAAGTAGTGAAAGGATTCCCAACTCCAGGCAGGAGATATACAGCACAAAGTGGCGGTGGTTATTGTTGGCAACACAGTTATCGACCCAAGGGCAGTGATGATCTTCCTTGGCAACACAGCGGTTGCAGCGTTTGCAGTGTTTGCTTCGCAACGGACGACGCACCATGCAGTGCACGCAAAAGTTCGCCTCATCGAATTTGCGGGCCTCCAGCAGCTCGTCGATTACAGCTTTCTGTTGAGCACGTGAGCTCGACTTGGGGATATACCCGGGATCTGAAAGCATGGTTAAGAAGTAAAAGTATCCCGTCAAGGAGTAGAAGATCATGAAGAAGATATTTGTAAAAGGTGAGGTTTTGAATGTCCCTGAGAGATGTCAGCGTTTTTCATTCGCCAACTGCAATGCAGGGGCATCTTACAGGGCAGAACATGTGTAATGTAGCGCACGCCAACCCAAAACAGAGTGGCAGCAAAAACGCCGGATAGAAACGGCTGAACGTGCGTTAGCGTGGTCTTTCTCAGAGTCGGTGGATTCACATACTGTTCTATGTACCGTCTTCATGTCGCCCGGTGCCCATCTCAACAACTGCTGCGCGGCCCACTGCAGCATGTACGACGCTCCAAGGGCCAAGGGAATAGCGATGTAGATGACCATATGGCTCAAGATGTAAAGCACGCATATGAGCATTAAGAAGGGCCACAAGAAGAAGAACTTGTTGAGGAAGGCTCTCCTGTCCTTGACAAAGTTCTGTAGCGGGAAGTATTTAGGGGTAGCATCGGGATTGTAGCCAGAGTCAGAGAGGGCCTTGTGCCATTGGCGGACAGTATTCATGTCTTGGGCGGTGATGGCAGGCGTCTTGCCGTCGTTGTTCTCGGCAAAGCGGTCCGACCCATACTCAACGAGCTTCTGAATGCAGCCCACGCTGCCCTTGACTAAGGCCCAGTGCAGTGCGGTGAAGCCTTGATCGTCGCGCGCATACACGTTGGCGCCCCAGCGCACCAGAACCTCGACGACGGCGGGGAAGCCCTTGTATGCAGCCCACATGAGTGCGGTGTGGCCCTGAGCGTCGGGGATATCAATGGGGAGATCTTGGTGCAGCAGCAGCACCAACTGGAAGACATTGCCGTCCAAGGTGGCGCTGTGTAGGAGGTTGAAGCCTTGATCGTCGGTAAGCAGCGGGTCGGCGCCGCGCGAGAGGAGTAGGGCGACGATGTAGTAGTTGCAGCGCTTCGCGGCCCACAAGACGGGTGTGGCTACGGCGTCGCCGCCCCGCGCGTTCACGTCAGCGCCCGAGTTGAGGAGGAAGTGGCAGAGTGCGTAGTGGTTATTGATGGCGGCCCACTGTAGAAAGACTCGGTCAGCACTCAGGCGGAGGCGGGCGGAGGCGGGCGCGTACATGGAGCGGCGTGATTCCCTGCTCGTCGCGGTAGGTGGCATCGTATTTGCCCGTGTCGAAAAGCTTCTGGATGGCACCAATCTCGCCGAGGCGCGCCAGCTGCATGAGGTCCTCCTCAACCGGGAGGGTGGGTGCGGCGTGCGACATGTCCTTCATCTCATGTTGGTCTCCGGGTGAGGCCTTGGGGTCGGCGCTGGACGAGGGCGTGGAAGACATGGCGAGGGGCGCGCGCGCGGCGGAAGCGAGTGTAGGCGGGGGAAGAGGTGTTCGAGCGAAAGAGCAGTCGGCAGCGCAATATCATCAGCGGCGTAACATCATTAGGCGTGCGTTGTGTTGTAGCAGTGGAGGCCGCGGAACGTCGAGGGCGGCTGTGACGGCGATAATTAGCAAGCCCGGCGCGCCAGCACGAGGCGCAGCGCATCCCCGGCTGCGATCCAGGGCGCCACGCTCCACTTTTTGCTTTCACCACCAATTGCTTGAATTTCCAGCCAATCCATGTCCCAGCTCTCTAACAAAGACTAATTATCCTCTGCACGGCCACCGTGTCATATGCAGACTGCCAAAAATCATCATGGTATTTTCGTAGCATGTACACACCGCACCCGTCCTAAACTTTTGGAAGGAGCCCTCGTCCACCGAAACAAAGAGCCAACGCCATAGGAGATGCACACGCCCAGCTATCCCACAACCTAAGTAGACTTCTTCGCAAACTCGACGCGCAGAATAAGATGGCCAAATCCGTCTGCCTGCTGTCAGCTTATACACTTTATCGTTTTCTCTCTGGGGGTGCTTACAGCCGTCCACCTTCTCGCACGCCACTCTGGCGTCGTCGCGGTCCGCGAAGCTGACGAACGCGAAGCCCTTCGCACGGCCGGTTTCCCTGTCCTTGGCCAGGAAGACTCTGGTGACGTGACCGAAGCGCGAGAAGATGTCGCGCAGGTCCTGCTCCTCGGTGAACTCGCTGACCTGTACCATTTGTCAGCCACATTATCCCCAGCACTCGAGCCCACGCAGGTATACGCACGTTGGTGACACGGAGCGTCGCCAGATCGTCCCGCTCGAACTTGCCGCCCATCTTCTCGCCGGTTGCGCCGGCGCGGCCACGGAGGTGGGGCGGAACGTAGCTGGAGGTGCCGCCACCCAGGGCGCCAGCAGCCTCGGGCTCGTCCATGTCGCCAGGGCCGGCGCCGGGCTCGCCCTCGGGGGCCATGGTGTCCTTGAAGGGACACTTGGTGGTCCAATGGTCGCCGGAACAAATACGACACTTGATCTTGGCGTCCTTCAGGTTGGCCTTCTTCTTCTCGTGCTCGCTCTTGTCATCGGCGGCGGCCTTCCAGTTGGCCTGGGGGCGGAAGACGATGTTCTCGGCGACGCTGGTGGTGTCGGTCTGCGGGCCGGCGGGCTTGCCCTTCTCGTTGCCGAATTTTGCCCAGTGCTTGCGCTCGGCGACGCGGGGGTTCACGACCTGCTTGACGACCGTCTTCTTGATGCGGCGGGTGGTCTTGACCTTCTTGCCATCTTCGCGGACGTAGTAGCTGATGAACGTCTCGGTGCCGTCCTTGTTCTTCACGACCTGGGGCGCCGGGAGAGCGAGCTGGTCCTCGTCCTCCTCCTCGGCCCAGTCGGTGCGTCTGCGCGTGGTCAGCCCGGGAATCGCGCGGGGAGCGCGGGGAGCTCACCCTGCGACTTTCGACATGGTGGCGGTGTGGGTGGTTGTGGTGTTGGCGGTGGGAATTCTTTCGCTGTGTGGGGTTATCGCCGGCCGTCGAATATGTACTAAGTTGTGCTTTGGACTGGGCGCCCTCGCCAGAGCCTGCGCAGACGCGCTAGCTGCTGACTCACGCCGCCGGGTCGCCACGGCGCGTCATCCCATCGAACGCGCTTCGACGCGCTGTCTGGTGCTACGACTCTACACTCCTGCAAGGCACCAGAATTGCGACAGCATGCACTGCGAACGGGAACATCATGTCCTGTCTTGCTAGCTCGCGTTCAGAGACCTGAGACCGAGCTTTGTCAGCGCTGACTTCGGCCTTGCGTCCCCCCGAGCGGGCTTGCATTAGCTCATTCACTCAACTAAGCACTCGGGCTCGGCATTTCCAGGTGTACTTTCGTCATACACCGATTGCAGCTTCAACCATGTCTAACAATCAACACTTGTATAAATTGAACTCAAGGAACTTCGCTATGGACATCATCAACTCAATTCTACAGCCTTTCTCCAGAGCCATCTCACAAAATCACTCTCAATTTACCACTTCATCAACACCGCCCGAACACTGAATTATCAATACCAAATCACCACTTCTAAGCTTTGAATCAAAATGTCGAAGACACTCCTCATCACCGGCGCCACTGGCAAGCAGGGCGGTGCAGTCATCAAGGCCCTCCTCGCAGCAGACGCTGACTTCAACATCCTTGCCGTGACCCGTGACACTTCCTCCGAATCCGCCAAGGCTCTCGAGAAGCAGTCCCCCAAGGTCAAGACCATCCAAGGCAATCTGAATGACCCTAAGGCCATCTTCGACACCGCCGGCTCGCCTATCTGGGGCGTTTTCAGCGTCCAAGTCCCCCACGCTGCCGATCAGACGTCGGATCCGGAAGAGGTCCAAGGCAAGGCCCTCGTCGACGCCGCGCTAGCTTACGGTGTCAAGCACTTCGTCTACACCTCCGTCGACCGGGGCACCTCTCGGCCCAACATCCCGACCAACGTCCCACACTTCGCCAGCAAGCACCACATTGAGGAGCATTTACTGGCCAAGGCTGAGGACAAGATGACCTGGACCGTCATCCAACCCGTTGCATTCTTGGATAACTTCAGCGGCTACACTCTGCAGTTCGCGGCGGCCTTCGCTGCCATGTGGAAGAGTTACTTAGGCGAGGAGAAGAAGCTCCAGGTCATCGCGAGCTCCGACATCGGCAAGGTCGCCGGCCGTTCCTTCATCCAGCCTGAGAAGTACGCCGGCAGGAAGATTCCGCTGGCCGGTGACGACCTCAGCTACGGTGACGTTAAGCGCATCTTTAGCGAGAAGACCGGCAAGGAAATCCCAGAGGCACCCGAGCAGGTTGGAAGGGGCTTCGTGGAGAGCAGCGCCGACTTGAAGGCGATGTGGGTCTGGTTCGGTACTAATGGTTTTGGAGCTGATATCCCGGCGCTGAGGACGGAGTTCCCTGACCTTTTGGACTACGGCAATTGGCTAGTGAAGGAGGGCGGTTACAATGCCTAGTGAGCAAAAGCGAAGGCGAACTTGTTTTCGATAACGCGGCATTGAAGCGACTGCGGGCTGAAAGTTACAATTAATGATCTGTCCTTGAATTGTTTGCTACATGATTTCATTTCACCATAGATTTCTTTCTCCTAATTAATAAATAGAAGCTACTCTATTGAAAATATTGCTTTCAAAAACGTAGTTGATATTCAAGATCAAATAATTGATTTTAAAGCAGAAAAGGACAGCCAAAACCAGTAATCCGGTATAATATGAAAGCTTATCGTCGCAATGGATGCCATGGACTCTTTTACCAGCAGACATTCGGGGGTGTAGTGGACCGAAGGAGCGGCTGGCGTGCCGCTCCGTGCCACCAGAAAGCTTGATCTAATACATCGTTGCTTCTGCACTTATCACATCTTAGCAAACTCTGTCCTCCCACAATCTTCCGTTGTTAGCTGTGCGCTTGGTACCATTCTCCAGCCGCATTCATAGTCTTTTGGATTTGTTTGACAAGCATGTATGCCGTATCCTAACACGGTAGGCGGGAAGAAATTCACCTTCGCAATCTTTTTCTTCGTGGGGCCCGATGACGCTCGACTTACAGGCAGGGGGAGATTATATGCTAGACGGGGGATGTATAGTTCTTTATTCCACAGCCAAATCCAGACGATTATTTCAACTACCCATAACACAAGCTTGAACAGGCATTGGTAAATGAACAACAAATTCGCGCCAGTCTTCGGATGCAACACCCCTCTACATACAGTCCCCTCTCGCAATTAAAGGCTAGGGTGGTTTTGAGAAAAATGACATGTCATGGGTGTTGAAGCTATCGTCCGGACGTGTATGTAGAATTTTTATTTCCACATTCTTGTCCGGACGATAGCTTCAACTACCCGCATGTGTTATCTTTCTAAGGCAGAGCTGGGGCACAGTTACGCTATATTCTAGAGCCCTTCTATTCTTCGCACTAGCTATCGGCTGCAGCACCCCTCTATATATTTCTGAAAAACACTCGTTCCTTGCCCGCCGGTTAAAACCAGGATGCTTCCAGTGCCAAAGATCTGCAGATCACCCCGCTCCTTTCTCCGACCAGCCACCTTCGTCACCCCCATTCTTGTCGATAAGCGGCCGTTTCAAGCCCAAGCCGAGCCGTGCATTCTCCGCAGAAGCTTCGGTCTCGCCACTGCATTGGCAAAACAAGATAGCTACGCTGCCTATCAAGTGACAAGCTGATATGAAGCCGTTACAAGCTCATCTGCCGCCAATGCAAGAAAGCGTGGCAATCTATGCCAAGTGCGATCAACATGGGATTTCTTGGGCACTCTTTCTGTCAACCTGATATTACCACGTAGCGGTGATGGTCCGATGCTACGTTACGGGATTCCTACCCCGTCAGGTGGTGGGATTGTATACCCCGCAGCGTAAGCAATGGTAGGTGGTGCATGCCGATATCCAAATAAATCATGCACCATTTCGCCTCAGACAGCTTTTCCTTGCACTCCAATCCACCATTCACTGCGGGATTTTGTTCCATTCCATATTGTACGCCTCTGAATGTACACTTAGCACCAAAAAATCAGTCCTTAATATGTCTTCTTCCCACCCACCGAGCATCACGGACGAGAAGTCCTCAGTCCCTACAACTGGAAACAAGCCATTTGCGGACATCGATTCTGGTGAAGTCGTCACTGTAGCGGACAAGGAGATTCTGCCAGTGAAGACATCGCTTCGAGACGCCGACGAGGCCCTGGCGTTTCTGCAGAACCATCCACGCGCGACGGAGATCACTGCAGAAGGAGCGGCGATACTGGAAGATGAGGAGACAAGGAAGAAGCTTCTCCGGAAGATCGATTGGACTATCACTCCACTCCTGGCGGGGACATACTTCTTGCAATTTTTGGACAAGAATACATTGAGTTATACGAGCGTGATGGGAATGAGGGAAGATACGGGTCTGAAGGGGCAGCAGTATAGCCATGTGAGCATGCTGTTCTATATTGGTGAGTGCGGTTACCTTTTCTGCATGTTGCCTCTTTTTTTTTTCACGTCTTTGATATTCACAATTTCAACATCGAGTATTTGACTAAGACCACACGTAGGTTTCCTCGCTACCGAATTTCCTACGCAATACCTCGCCCAGCGCGTCTCGCGGCTGGGCCTCTACCTCGGCACAAACATTGTGCTCTGGGGCATTGTACTCTGCGGCCACGCGGGAACATCGTCATTTGCCGGGCTTGCTATCTGTCGCACCCTGCTCGGCGTGTTTGAAGCGTGCGTGGCGCCCATATTGGTGTTGATTATCGCCATGTGGTACCGTAAGGAGGAACAGGGAACCCGCGTCTCGTGGTTTTACGTCTGCAATTCAATCACCAAGATCTTTGGAGGCCTGGTTGCCTACGGTATCAGTTGGGCGGAGGGCTCAACGTCATTTGCAACTTGGCGCATCTTCTTCTTGGCTATTGGTGCGCTGACTATAGCCGTGGGCATTCTGGTGTGTGTTTTCCTGCCTGATTCGCCCGTCAAGGCGAAGAGGTTCAGTGATGCGGAGAAGGTGGCGGCACTGATGAGGGTGAAGGAGAACCAGAGGTGTGTAATTCCATCTCTACACGGCTTTTCACTTCTGATATACATACTAACTTTTCTCGCTCAGTGGAACCCAGAATAAACACGTCAAGAAAGATCAGATCATTGAGGCTTTCTGTGACCTCCGCGTCTGGCTCATCTTTCTCAGTGTCATGCTCTCATCCATCCCCAACGGTGGCATCTCCAACTTCAACAACATTCTATTGACGACTTTGTACGTATTTCTCCATTTCTCTGTCTAAATTCCACTCAAGAAACCTTCTCCTACGTGATCTCTCAACGCTAACCCCCATCCCTCCACGCAGCGGCTACACCGACCAACAAGCCCTCATCCTCGACGCCCCCAACGGCGCCATCGGCATCGTCTTCGTCCTCGGCGCCGGCTACCTCTCGGACCGGTGGAACGACCGCTCCACCGTCATGCTGCTCTGCCTCATCCCCACCATCCTCGCCGCGGCCCTCATGTACGGCTTCGTCGACGCCGCCGGCCACCCCCACAACAAGCCCGCCCTGCTCGCCGCCTCCTTCCTCTCCGGCACCTTCGGCGCCGGCTTTATGATCAATCTCGCGTGGAATGCCTCCAACATCGCCGGCCACAGCAAGAAGGTGACGGTGAACGCGCTGACCCTGGTTGCCTTTTGCACGGGCAACGTGCTTGGGACGCAGACGTTCAGGAGCGATGAGGCACCCGGGTATGCGAGCGGGAAGATTAGCATCATGGCGTGTTTGGCTGCGAGCTGTCTCGTGGTTGTGGTGTTGAGGCTGTACAACGGGTGGTTGAACAAGAAGAAGGAGGAGGTGCTGGCGGCGATGGAGGATGGGGAAAGGGAAGCATTGAGGGAGAGGATGGCCTTTGCGGACGAGACGGATAGGAAGAACCCGTTCTTTAGATATACGCATTAGAAGGCCGAGCTGACCGGAGAAATTCCTCCTTGTATGGGCAGTTGAAGCTATCGTCCGGACCAGGATGTATAATTATTAAGGCATAGTTGCTTAGATTTCAGGGAACTGCTATTCTTCGCGTCAGCTTTCTCCTGTAATGCTCCTCGGTATGTGCGGCTAAATCTACGAGGAACAGAATCGACACTTAGAATAGCAATGTGTATGGCTCTTGACGGTCCTACGCGAGGGCCATATATAAACTCAATTAACCAAAGGGCATACGTCAACAAAATCAAGAATGAATATAACTAAATCGACTGGATTAAGAAGGCGCTGCATGCACCAATATTAGGTTGGGTATCGTACGGATACAGCAATGCAACGCCAGACCGAAGCAAAAACTACGAAGCGCACCATCTGATTGCTCAGCACCAAAAACACTCATCTCAATGCTGTGCCAAATACACGCTTTTGCAATGCAAATTGACACAGAAAGAAGTTGCGACGCAAAAACAGCGGTAGGGGAGGTAGAGCGCGCGAATAAAAGCAAAGCAGACGATCTAGGGTATGAGTGTTACGGACTCGGAACGAGGTGATGCAGGGGGTGAATTCGCAAGCAATGCAATGTGAAAATTTGGCTCTCAAACAGGAGCCCAACGTGCTAATGCTGACAATGTCAACCGCTCTCTTTCGAGAGGTACTGGTGGTAGCAGTAGGAGGAAGACTGGTGCCGATAAACGAGGAAATAGAAAACCCATCCGTAGAAGCAAAAACCGGCCCTCCAAAAACCGTGGTCCGACCCAAACGTCCCGATCCCCCAAAAGCCGCCAAAGGAACTCTTCAGAAACCGTTTCGTTCAATCATACAAGCGTCACCGTCTCGAAGCTCTTCGTCAGTATCGTGAATGTAAGCCGTGGAACCCTTTTCCTTTTTTCTTTTCTTTTTTTATGCAGCCGCAACCTCGGGCTTGGCCTCGTCGCTGGCGCCGTTGGTCTGCTCCGAAGGGCTACTCTCAAGCTCCTTCAGCCTCGCGTCGGCCTTGTCCTTGGCCTCCAGGACGGACTCGTACTTCTTGGCAAGCTTCTCGTGGGCAGCCTGCGTAGCGTCAAGCTTCTCCTCAAGCGCCTCCTTCTCGGCATCAGCCTTCTTGATCTGCTCCTCCGCGGTCTCGAACTTCTTCTCCGCATCGGCCTTGGCCTGCTCAGCGGCCTCGAGCTTGCCAGCTGCGCCGGCAGCCTCTTCCTTGAGAGAGTTGACCTCTGCCTCAGCGGCAGACTTGGCCTCGTTAGCAGCGGTGAGCTGGGACTCGAGATCAGCAACCTTGGCGGCATCGGCCTGAGCAGCAGAAAGCTGAGATTCGAGCTCAGAAATCTTGGCAGTAGCGGACTGGGCCTCCTCTTCAGCCTTCTGCACCTTAGCGTCAGCCTCAGACTTGGCCTGCTCAGCAGCCTCGACCTTGCTCTCAGCCTCCTTCTGCTTAGCCTCAGCGTCGGCGAGCTTCTCGTTGAGCGAGGCCTTCTCAGTTTCGGCGGCAGAGATGTCCTGCTTCAGCTGCTCAATTTGGGAAGCCTGCTCCTTGACCTCATCGAGCTGGACCTTGGTCTCGGCGAGCTCAGTCTCAAGGGCAGCCTTCGCCTCGTTGGCAGCAGCAACGTCCTTCTCAAGCTGCTCTTGAGCCTCCTGAGCGCTCTTCAGGCCGGCGAGCTCCTCAGCGTGGGACTCCTCAGCCTTCTTGAGGGCCTCCTCAGCAGCAACAGAACGCTCCTCGGCGGCCTTGGCCTTCTCCTCGATCTCAGCGATGGTGGCAGCGGAAGCGTCCTTAGCGTCCTGGACCTCCTTGAGCAGGGACTCAAGCGAGGTGAGCTGTTCCTTGGCGGCGGTGTGCTCGGCCTGAGCGGCCTCGAGGTCGGTCTTGGTCTGGTTGTGGGCGGCCTCAAGCTCGGTCTTCTCGCTGGCGTGGGACTCGACTTCCTTGGAAAGAGCCTCGATCTTGCTCTCAAGCTCCGACTTGCCCGAAGTGTGCGCCTCGATTTCCTTGGTGAGCTCCTCGACCTTGGCATCGACCTCAGCCTTGCTGGAAGTGTGCTCATCAACAGCCTTGTTAAGCTCCTCGATCTTAGCCTCGAGCTCAGACTTGCTGGAGCTGTTTGACTCAATCTCCTTGGTGAGTTCGTCGAGCTTGGTCTGCACTTCGGCCTTGGAAGCGGTGTGCTCCTCAATGGCGTTGTTGAGCTCCGCGACCTTGCTCTCGAGCTCGGACTTCGCAGAAGCGTGGGCCTCAACCTCCTGGGTGAGTTCCGCAACCTTAGCCTCGATCTCGGACTTGCTGGCGACATGTTCCTCAACCGTCTTGTTCAGCTCCTCAACCTTGCTCTCGAGCTCGGTCTTGGTGGCGGCGTGGCCCTCGATTTCCTTTGTGAGTTCCTCAACCTTGGCCTCAAGCTCGGGGATCTTGCCCTCGAGCTCAGAGACCTTGGCCTCAGCAGCGGCCTTGGCGGACTCAAGTTCGGCGGCAGTGGCCTCGAGCTCAGAAACCTTGGCGTTAGCGGCCTCAGCGTCGGCCTTAGCAGACTCAACCTGGCTCTCGAGCTCGGCGACCTTGCTCTCGGCCTCGGCCTTGGCAGCCTCCAGAGCAGCGACCTTGGCCTCAAGCTCGCTGATGACGGTCACAGACTCCTCAGCCTTGGCAATCTGAGCCTCGAGCTCGGCGATCTTGGATTGGGAAGCCTCGTGGGCGGCCTTGGTCTCGCCGTGGGCGGAAACCTCAGACTCGTGAATGCCCTTCGTTTCAGTGTGGGCGTTCCTCTCGGTCTCGAGAGAAGCAACAAGGCTGGCGACTTCGACGCTCTTGTCGGCGAGCTCAGACTGGACGCTCTCGAGAGCAGCCTGCTTCTCCGCAAGACCGGCCTCGGCCTCGGTCAGCTTGTGACGCAGTTCATCAAGCTCCTTTGCGCCATTCTCAAGCTGAGCCTGGGCCTCGGCGGAGGCGGCGGAAGAAGATTCCTTGTGGGCCTCGTACTCCTGCTCAAGCTTCTCGGAGTTGGACTTGACAGCAGACAGCTCCTCCTCCAGGGTGGCGATCTGGGTCTTCAAGGACTCGGCGGCGGCCTGGGCCTCCTCGATAGCCTTGGCGGCAGCCTCGCTCTTCTCGTTGCCAGCAGACTCAACATCGTTCTTAGCGGCCTCGAGGTCAGCGGAAAGAGCCTTAATCTGCTCGTCGAGCTTGGCGCTGGTGGCAGCGGCCTCCTCCTGGAGACGGGTGGACTCAGCCTGCAGGGTGTCGTGCTTCTCGGCATGCTCAGCGGCCTCGGCGCGGGCAGCAGAGAGATCCGACTGTGCGGCAGCGAGCTCAGTAGCAATAGAGGCGATCTTCTCCTCCAACTCGGCCTTGAGAGCCTCCTTCGCGGCGTTGGCCTCCACGACAGCCTTCTCCGATTCCTCACGCAGGGCGGCGAGCTCCGACTCGGCTTGCGTAGCCTTGCTCTCAGCTGCCTGGTGCTTCTCGGAAGCATCGGCCAGGTCAGACTTCAGCTTTTCGATTTGGGAGTCCAAGTCAGCCTTGAGCTTCTCGGTGGTGGACTTTGTTACGTCGTGGTCGCGGATGAGAGCGGTGATCTTGGCCTCGTGCTCGTGCTGGATAGCATCCTGCCAGGGCACACTGTCAGGTAACCGGATTCCCCCGCTTCCGAAAGATAGAAAGGTAAACTTACCAGCTTGGACTGATACTCCTGCTCACAGCCCTCCTTGACGGAATCCCTCTCGGCCTTCCGGGCATCGGTGATCTGCTGCACCACGACGCTGACCATGTGCTCCTCGAGCGCAGCCTTCTGCTGCATGAGGGCAGTCTCCTTGATCTTGTAGTCGGCGGCGAGCTCCTCGGCGCGGTGCTGCAGGGTGCTGACCTCAGCGTCGCGAGCGCCCAGCTGATCGTTTGTCTTCTCGAGCTGCTTCTCCATCTCGCTCAACTGTCTCCTCAGCTCCTCAGCCTCGCTGACCAGCGAGTCGCTGCGGGGTGCATCGTCGGCAGTCTCGGGCTTCTCGGGCTGTGCGGTGCCACCGAAGAAGTAGCGGAACATGTTGCGCTTAGGTTGCGAGGGCTTTTTGTCGGACGAGCCGTCGTACTGGGCGGCCTGTAGGGCGTGTGTATCTGAGACGGCAGCTCGCTCAAGTTTTGCTCTGCGGGGCTGCTGGGCGGTGAAGGTCTCTGGTTGGATGGAGTGCTGGGAGCGACTGCTTGACGGTGACGCTCTAGACGGCGATTCGCGCTTCGAGGTCGAGGGCTGGCGCACTGGACCTCCGGACTGGGCAAGCTGCTGGTCTACCTGCTGCTCGAACTGGTCGCCCACAGAAAGGATGGTGCTGAGGTTGGCCCGATCGCGCTTCACGCTCTCTCGGCGGCGGACGTTTTCAAATTTGCGAACGGCGCGTGAAGTGCCCTTCTCGATGTCCTCGATGATCTTCTTGGAGGGTCTGCGAGTGATTTGCGGGCGAGCCTCCTCCGGGGTGCTGTTTACGGGGATAAGTAAACAAACGAAGACCGCGGCAACGCGTGGGGGGGAGGGGAAAGGGAAGATAGTGCAGGGAAGAGAGGAGCGGGAAGAGGGGAAGAAAAGGCGGGAAAGGAGAAGAAAAATTTGCTGGCGTGCTGTCTCTGTGGAGTGACGGTGGATAGCGCCGGGGCGGGTGGGTGGATGGCTTACTCGGAGCTGCGCCGGCCTTTCCACAGGCTGGTCATGTTGATTTGCGGCGGGTCAAGGGTCCGCACGGCCCTCGCGGTACATAGATATACGTACTGGTGGTGAACGTCGGCGCACTGCACAACAGCAGAACTCTGACGGAGCGGGATGTGAAAAAGGCAGGAGGGAGGCGCGTACAGTTAATAATTATGCTCCCAGCAGGCACAGCTGCGACACTCCAGAACATGCCTTCCATTGCACTATCCCAGGCGCGAGTTAAAATGGCGATGTCAACATGCGGAAGCTATGGTGCTTGGGCCAGCTCCTGCAGCGCGCCAATCAGCGCCCGACACGACCGGGGCTACGAACAGCACAGCAACGGCGAGCCTGCCCTCTGCGAAGTGTGTTGCGGCCCTGCGGGCACCAACAGCAGCAGCCTGCCGGGCGCTGCCGGGGCGGGCGCTGTGACGAGCGGGAATCCATGGCGTAGCACGGCCGCGGCCCATAGGCGGCCTCGAGCACGCGCGCGAATCCTGGCAGCCGCCAGCGGAAGCGCCAGCGCGTAGTGCTCCCATCGAAGAGCCTCAGTGTGCTGCCACAAGCGCGCGGGACGGGTTTCGTGTTTAGCACTGCTGCCCGTCCTTGTGTGACTGCAGAACTCAACAACTTTTCGCAATGGCATCGCGCGCGCTGTGCGAAGGCGGTCAGCGTGCGTCCCCATACGTCAGAGCTAGGTATGGCGTCACGCGTCGTTTGCTGCATTAATCCTCGACACAACTCAGCACATCCTTCACAAATGCATTCTCTTGACAAACAGTGCCGCTCACCCGCCATCCACGCCCGACCCTATCAGCGAATCGAGTTATCGCGCCGAAAACCCAGTCGTCACCCAGCCGGCGCGGCCGTGCGTGATGTGCCAGCAGATGCAGGACGTGTCTGGCGCTCGTGCGTCGATGCGGTGTGTGCGAGCCGGCCGCGCGCCAGGATCTGCCATCCTCGCCCGAGCTTTTCCCTGCGCGGGACAGCCTCTACCGGTTCTGACTGTTGCTGCAGGGACTGATAGAGCTGGGCGTGTGTGCTTGTGATAGAGCTGATCACTGGGCTATCCTCGACTGATACCAGCGCCAGATGCATTCGTCTGCAGTGGGCAGCATCACGAATCTAGAACTTCAATCAGGATGGCGATTGGGTATCAGCCCAGCCTGTCTTACTCTCGCGTCAGATAAGTGAGGCGCCTAGGAAGATGAGTTGGCAGGGCAGCGCAATCATGGTGTTGAACACATGAAGCCGAAACACAGAACCAGCCCTGTTTCAGAGTCGACTGGTTGTCACCGCGCGGCGCAAGTAGAGGGCTGCAGCTGCGTGGCCGTCGCTCCACCACTCGGGACGGGAGATCTCCAACTCTATGCTTCGATCTATCCATGGATGATTCAGTACCGTACAACAGACAACTCCGTTATCAGGGCAGTCTCCGCAATTTTCCCCAAGGGCCTGGAGTGTACCCTCTTTTCCCTGACCATCACGCGGTCCGCCACCGCCAACGAGCTATCGACTGTGGAGTCTCACAGGCAACCAGCTCCCGGCAGTGCCATGATTTCCCATTGACCCAGCAACTGGTGATCCCCCACGGCAATCATCCGCCACAGCCAAGCTGGTCCAAAGCCACAGGCACGCTATCTTCACCGCCTCGATGCCTGACTTTCTCACGACTTCTCCGCGAGACGGTTCTCCACCTTGCTCTTCTCTGCCGCCTTGATGTCTGAAATCTCTTCGCGTGTCGAGTTGAACTTGGCGCTGACTTGATTGAATGGGTTGTCGGGGTGCGTTTTGAATTCTTTGTAGATCATCTCGATCTTTTGGTTGCGGCGAAGGCTCTTGTCGTCCTTCAGCTCCTCCAGCCTGCGCTCCTCGTACGCCGCATATGCCGCCTTGAAGCGACGCTCCGGGTGCCTGTCGACCTTGTCGTCGCCCTTGCCAGTGCCGAGGGAAAGCGCGTCGAGCGCGTTGTCGATACCGGAGGCGTTGAGGGTGGCGCCCTTCTTGGCCGGAGCATCGAAGGCGCCGAGAGCGTCGTCGAGACCACCACTGCGCGTCTTCTTCTGTGCCGTCTTGTTCTTCGAGGGCCCCTTGCTGGGCAGCGAGGCCTCCTCCTCGCGCATCAGAGCGTCCTTCTCGGCCTTCTTGCGGTCGGCCTCAGCCTTCTTGGCTGCCGCAGCTTCACTGTGCGCCCAACCACGTCAGACCTTCAGATACACATGAAGACTCGGCGCTAGGCTTCGGGGGCCTAGCTCAGGTGCCCATACACCCTTCAGAGTGTTCTGTATGCCGGTGACTTACGCCTTGGAGTTGTTCTTCGAACCCTTTGCCCATTCGGCATCCTCGGCAGCGGCCTTCACCTTGTTGGAGGCCTCCTGCTTCTTGGCCGCGGCCTCGGCCTTGCGCGCATTGCCTGCGGCCTTCTTGCTGTTCTCACCGGCGCCCTTACCGCCTTTCGCCATGTTGTGTGCTGGTGTCGCGGCTGACGCGAGCTCTGGTGCAAGCTAAAACTGAGACGTGGGTTGGGCGCCGAGATCGCCGGGTGGGTACGTAGAGCTAGCGAGCGGTGAGTTAGTGGTCGAGCTATGGGGTGGGTGGATGGCGTACGTTTAATCTAGGTAGATGGTGGTAAAGTTAGAGGCTGGGGAAAAAAGGTAGGTTGCCTGTCGGGCCAAGAGCTTGCACTGCGATGTCGCCGCCCGATGAGTCGGAGGAGGGGCGCGAAGATTTAGCGCCCGCCCGTACGTCAGTCAAGCGGGGTCGCACATGGCACGAACGCCACAACAAACCCTCGACCGCACCCGGCCGCCTTCACCCGATGGCTGTTTGCGTAACGAACACGATGCGCATGTCTCGAATACTGATAAAGGTCCGGATGGCTCAGATGAAGTAGTGACGCTCTTCTGCACCACTGGTTAAAGATCGGTTTGTTTTACATTGCTGTAGTCAACGCAACTACAGTCCCCTCTCGCAGCCGATGGCTAGCGTGGATTTGTATTTTGCTCATGTCATGGGTAGTTGAAGCTATCGTCTGGACGAGAATGTCGAATTAAAAATTCTACATACACGTCCGGACGATAGCTTCAACTACTCACATATGTTAATTTTTCTAAGGCAGAGCTGGGGCATAGTTATGCTATGTTCTAGAGCCCTGCTAGCAGTAGTTGAAGCCGCCTCACCCTGCTACGGCCCGCCGCGTCTTGCAGCGTCCTGAAGCGTCATCCCAGACCCAGCAGTTGAAGCTGCCTCACCCTGCTGCAACGAGTGCGGAACTATTCTGACTCGAAGGGGGTGATTAAATTATACTGGAACTTTTTCATGCGGGTGGATGTTGAGAAGCTCACTGAGAAGTTGATGGGCGCTATGCCCAACAGTACCATCCTCGCACTGGGCACTCGGGATCTTGATGTACGAGACATCATAGATTTACCTCGCCTTTCTGACCACGTTCTTCGCCTACCAGGAAATTACATCTACATCACAGAACTGGAAGAAAAGTTGAAGGCGTATATCGGATCAGCGAACGGCCAGTTTGGAGTCCTTGGCCGTTGGAAGAGTTACAACGACGACGTCAAGAGGGCCAGACCAACATCCTACCCATTTCAGAATGAGCTACGTCAGAAGAAAACCGTTTGTCACCTTCGATCACTGTGGAATGCGCCCCACAAGAAAATCAACGTGTTCTACATCGCATACGAGAGCATATCCCAGATCTTCTTCAGAGCCGTGGATGTACCGGCTACGTTTGCATGCAAGTTGCTGAACGCAACTATCATCAAGAGTTGGATTACCAACGTGACCAATCGCTTTATCTCAGGATTCAACCCTACGCTCCCAAGGGCTTTCCTCCCCGGCTATAACCAACTATGATCCATTGCGCAAGGGACCCCCGGCGTAAGAAGAATCAAGGAAAAGATCGTTTGCATTCGATGCCAGCGCAAGTGGACGAAAGATACGACGTTCCATTCCCTTCATTCGGGTAGCCCTCTAGAGCAATGGCTATGTTATAATTGTTATGGCTCGTGGAGGAGACATGGCATGATTCGCACGAAAGAACATGAGCTCCGTCGGCTCAGCTGGCCGAAGAGAGTGCCTAAATCAGGAATGACTGAGAAACCGAAAGACGGGCTCTGCAAACACCCGCACCACCAGTCAAGAACGAAGGACCCCAAGGCCGAGCGAATTTGGAATTGGATCTGGGTGTGCCGCACTTGCGCGGAGAGGGAACACCGTAGGGACACGAAGGAGGCTAGGAAGAAGAAGAAGAAGAAGAAGAAGAAGTAGCAAGATAGCTCTACATGGTGAAGGTTGAAGGTGCTTTCTTTTTATCCCTCCGTTGTCCATTTCCCAAGGCTGATACTAATACACCTCGCTTTATAACTAGGCGAGTATGCTATGTTTGCTATTTCACTTTCCCTCCCAATACGTAATATGTAGAAGAAGAAAGCTGCTGAATGAATCATTGCAACAAGAAACTCGTGTTATGGTGATGTGTCTGAGAGGATTTGCGGCGCGCCGCGATAGGTGGTAGTAGGGCGCGGCGGATGGCCGTTTAATAAGTACGTATTGAAGAGTTCGTCTACCTCACGTGTAAAAGACGAAGAGCGTCCTCCTCGAAGGCCGGAACAAACCACCAATCCCAACCACTCTACTCCTTTATTGAGCGCATGCGAGATACCCTTGTATGGTCGATCTAATAACTAAAACAGTCTTGGTCACACTAGTTTGTGCAAGCAGGCCGTAACATCAAAAGAGGGGAAGATGTATAAACTACAAGAAAGCGACATATATGAAGTGAGGTTTGTACATATTATCTAAGTCTAGTACTACATCTCTTCAGTTGCTTAAGAGCCTGAAGTAAAAATTCACTTTTTGTTGGTATCTCTCATTCATCCGTTCATCAGTTCTCATGTAATCACACCAAACGCCATGTGACACAAATGAAAACGACCCTCAAGCAGAGCTCTGTGCTGCGGTGCTAGGCGTTCTGCTCGGTTCCTCCCCCTTCTCCACGTCTGCGTTTGCGGACTGTGCTGTAGCAATCCTTCCTTGCCTCTCCTCATCACCGCTCAGTATCTTCTCCCACTTCGCCCTCTCTGCCGCCCCCGCGGCCATCGCGTCATCGCAGCGCCGCCTAGTCGAGAAGAAACTGACAACAGTGCCGACCAGCCACCATGAGAAAAGAATGGGCAGCGCGCGGTAGTTGACATTGGCGCAACCCTTGCTCCAGATCGAGGTCATGACGTCGTAAAGTTCCTTTGCAGGAAGCGCATAGCTCCAATGGTAGAACCCGGCCGTCAACTCGAACGGCGCTACAGCGGCACCTACGTTGAGGATGATCCAGGTAAAGACGAAGAAGGCAAGGAATGTCATGGGAATGAAGGCTGTAATCGCGTCATATACGTAGTAGTTAACGTGCATGAAGAGCCACAGCACCATCCAAGTTAGAGCGAAGTCGCCAGCGCTCACGGCCCACGATTCCCTGTATTCCCATGTGAAGGCCGTCGTGACTAGAGCGGCTGTAAAGGTGAAGATGACAGAAAGCACCGAGCGTGCGATCCAGTTGTCGAGGCGAGGAAGACGGCTGAGGAATTGCATCTGCGCCGAAATACCGTTCAAGGCCATGACGAAGAAGAAGTTGATCAACATGGGCATGATGACGCCAACAGTGTTGTAGAAGACGCGGGTGCCGTGCGTGGTGGGTTGGATGGGGGCTGCAACACCTTGGATGGGGTTCAGGAGGGCCTGGACAGCAGCGGCATCGGTGACGTTGACTGCCTGCGCAGCGCGAGTACCATTGATCTTGTGGTAGACAACGCCAGCGGCAGTAGCGAGCTGCGCGAGGTTCGACTGAACATATCCTTGTGAGAAGGAAGGATACCGTGCACCATTCCAAATATAGGTTACCGTGTCGGCGGGGTTATAGGAGGTGGCAGCGTCACCACCAGCCAGAGCTGCAGAGAGACGACTGCTGGCGTCACGATGAGAGTAGATTGCGCCCCTGGTCGGACATTAGTAACTATGTTCCGAATCAAAATGGAAAGGTTGCCTCACCAGTAGTGTCCCTTGCACACCGCCTCGCGCACGTCTGCCTCGGTAGGATATTCCGAGACATCATGCTGGATGAGAGTTGGGAAAGTGTTTCCTTGGAATTGCTGGTAGGCGCCGTTGACAGATTGACCAATGAGTCCGCCGTCAAAGTCAACCATCAACATCTTGAAGTTGTGGACCCTGTAAGTGCTTTTGAAGACGACGCCGTATAAATAAGAGAGATCGGCGAGGAAAAGAAGGTTAAGTGCAAGCATGGCCACGACCGAGGCCATGACGAAGCCTTTTCTCTTGTCGTTCCAAAAGTCATGGCTGCGGTGGATGCGATCTGTAGAGCGATGAAAGAAAGATGAAAGTCCTGCCATGGTGTTGACAATGGGCAGATGAAACAAGACTTCAAAGAGACGGCTGCGGAATGTGGAGAGAAATCCCAAGAGATGGGTTGCAGCGAAACGTAGTTATAGGAGAGCGGCAGGCGCCCATGGCGCGATCAACATCGCCTTACGACGTACGGTCCCCATCTGCCTCGTCAACAGGCTCGGCCGAGGCCAGGGATTCGATCAGTCGTGCCCTTTCTGGTTTGCTAACGGCGAATGTAGGAGCAGCTGGGACCATCTCGGTCGCTCGGACCAAGCAAACGCCGACTTCTAGACAAAGGCGGTTGATACGCACGGAGACTTCCTGCAATCCGAAATCTCGGCCTCGGGCTCGCTAACGAAGCGGAGGGATGCATAGTCACATCACGAACCCTGCGACGTCTTTTTTGAGGCGGATGAGGTGTTGTGTCAGCCTCCAGCGTAGTCGGATTCTCAGCCACATCAGTGCTTACTTATCGCCGTTCCCGACGCCGCATTGCAAAGGGGCTGCAAAAGTCCTTGTCGGTGGTAAGATTTCTTGGCCGGGAGCTAAGGCAACAACTAGACACTGCGCCTGACCCTTCCCCACTCTGCATCAGATGAACCTGTTTGATTCGCGAATATAGTGTGGAAGTCGCCGCCACAGTCCTTCGCGACCGAGACGGACTAGGGCCGCGATGCGTTCCGTCGTCTTGGCACGGAGCCCGGAGATCGGAGCGCGCGAGCTTTGTCATGGGGTCGTGGCCGTGGCCGACCTTGCTGTGCGAGGCCGAACTGCCTGATACTGCTGCACCATGGGTGGGTCCCTCCTTGGATCCTCTATTCGAACGTTGGGCATCCGTGAATTTATACACAGATGTCTGCATTCCGATTGCCCGCAGCCCCTGCTGATGCAAGACGTAAGACTGCACGCAGTTGCAGGGACCAACCGCAACCTTGATTGAAGCGAACGCATCATGCCAAGGTGAAGACCCCGCATGAATTCATCCGCTGAAGATGCGTACGTAGGGCTCGCCATCGTGTCGCTGAAAGGGTCAAAACTGACGAGCTCGACCATTTCCCGTGCGTGCACAGCGCCACCGACACAGAAACTCGTAGCGTGTTCCCGCTGTCTGAAAGTCGAAGACAGCTGGCGATCCGCGGGAAGGTCAAGCTGCAATAGGAAAGCGTGTGGCGTAGAGCGAGATGCCCAGACGGGCGACAGTTTTCCCCGAGCCGCCGACGCGGCGTGACTCGGGGAACGCGACGCGCCTGTTCTGCTCGGCGCGACGTTCCGCGGCACAACCAGCCTCAACACCTACGCTCGAGCTGCCCTGCCCGCTTTGCACGGATTCCAGCCCGTTTTACGTGCCACGACCGCCGCTATTGTTTTGCATATCCACAGCGCCAGCATTTTACGCAGCATTGGCATTTTCGAGCGCCTCACGTCATGTTCTGCACCGCCTAGAATCCCTGGCCAGCCCCGACGCGTCTTGGAGCGCGTCTTATGCGAAGCAATCCCGCGCCTACGCCATTCTTCACGCCATAGACCTATTCGAGCCGCCTTTTGCGACATCTTCCGTCCTTTTCGACACGTCTGAACGGCCTCACAATTCACCACCATGTACCTTCCGAGGACACTGATCGGGCACCTTTACACTCATCTTCTCCACACAACACATCCGCTCTCTCCGCCTGTTCTCCTCCTCGTCTCCCTCGAGCCTGACGCACTATGTGCCTGCCGCATCCTCACCGCACTTCTGAAACGAGATTACATTCCCCATAAAATCCAGCCCATCGCCGGTTACAATGATCTTGCAAAGGCCGGTCAAGATTTGGTCCGTCCTATGCGCATCAGTGATGGCGGCAGTGGAGGTGTCGTCGTGTGTTTGGGCGTCGGAGGATTGGTCGATCTTGAGAACCTGCTAGGGTTAGAGGGACAGGATGGCACAGACTTCGGCGGTGTTGAGATCTGGGTTATGGACGCTCGACGACCATGGAATCTGAGCAACGTCTTTGGCGGGCGAGGAGACACGGCTTCGGAAGAAAATGATCTCCCGACGAAAGTTCCAGGGGTAGAACGTGGCAGGATCTTGCGCTCCTACAAGCCTGGGAAGGGGGGCATCGTAGTCTTCGATGATGGGGACATCGAAGAGGAGCTTGAGCGTGAAAGAGAGGCATATACTGCCTTGGAGCAGATGCCGGAGCTTGACGGGGTGGACTTTGATGATGACGAGAGCGACACAGAGGAGAACACCGGCGAGGAAGCACCACCTATATCAGGTCAAATGAGCCGCAAAAGAAAATCGTGGGGCGATGATGATGAGGAGAGTGAAGGCGACGATGAGGAAGAGCGACCAGCCCAGAGGCGGAGAAGTAATTCGGTAGGATGCTCCGCGTATCCGGTACTCAAGCGGCTTGCTAACAGGTTCAGTCGACGCCGATTCCATCTTCACCTTCTCGACCTCCCCGCCGCGGCCTACTTGTCACAGCAAACTCCTCCGATTTTTCACGCTCAGATTCCATAAGTCGCTCAGTCTCTCCACCAGCAGAAAAGCAGCCTTCGGCGAAAACACTCCGTCGCCGCTTGCTCAAGCTCCGTGAGCAGCACAACCGTGTCTTGGACAAGTACTACTCGCTAGGCACGTCGTACTCGGAGCCCGTATCCTCTATTGTGTACAGTCTTGCATCAGAGCTTGGCCGAGAAGATAACGACCTACTGTGGCAAGCAATTGTCGGAGTCAGCAGCTTGGAACTATATGGCCGGACACCAACCGGAATGGGCCTGTCATCATCTTCGAAGCAAGGCTGGCACGGCTCAAGAGGCGATCGAATCCGAGCTCTTCTCCAAGACGAAGTACGGCGTCTAAACCCAACCGACCCAAAAGACATCGCCCGCGAGATGAGCTTAGGAGAATCAGGCGGAGTCATTCCGACACATGCTCGCTCACCAACAGACATGTCTATCCGTCTTTCACCAGAACCCCGTTTCTTGCTCATCAGGCATTGGAGCTTGTATGATAGCATGCTTCATTCGCCGTATCTTTCTGCAAAACTCCATCTTTGGTCAGACCAGGGACGCCGGCGTCTCCACAAACTTCTGGCAAAGATGGGAGTCAGTCTGACTCAGTGTAAGCAGAGCTACACTCACATGGACATGGAATTAAAGCGCGGTTTACGAGAGCGACTTCTCAAATTCGCTCCCGTATACGGACTTGACGGCCTAGTACCCGAAGCAGCAGAACGAGGTGGCGGAAAAGAAGGGTGGGGCTTCGTTCGTTGTTGGGGCTGGAAAGCATGTCTTTCGGCGGTAGACGTCGGGGTTGTGCTTGGTGCAATTCTCGAAGTTGGGTCCAATAGCAACGCAACTGGAGCTGGCTTATCACATTCTTCACCGCAGTTACCGCCCACTCCACAATCGTTGGACAGTTCCGGCAGCCAAGGTTTCCTGCCCGACGCCCCCAAATTCGACGATGAAGCCGCCCAGGACGCCATTTCCTCCCGGTTCTGGACCGCATACGACTCTCTCACCTCTCCCAGCCTCATCACCCAACACATCCCCATCGCACAACATCTTCACCGGGCCATCCTCCGCACCGGCACCGCGCTCATCGCCAAACACCAGATCCGCCATCTCCGCGCGTTCCGCATGGCGGTCGTAAAGGAAGGGCCGGATGCACCACTTTTCACGCACGCTGGTGCACTCGTCAAGCTGGCGCTATGGGTTGCGGAAGCGGTGCAGGAGATGGAGGGTAAGAAGGGACGGGGCGGCGGCAACGAACTGGTGATGGCGGGTCTGGACGAGGCCCGTGGCGTATATGTCGTTGTCGGTCTCGGCGGCGGTGGCACGACTGTCCAAAGCAAGGAGAAGGAGAAGAGGCGGGCAGAGCGCCAGAAGAAAAAAGAGGAGAAGCGCGAGGCGAGAAGAAAGGAGAAGGCAGCGGAGAGGCAAAAGGCGTTTGAGAGGCGGCTTGCCAATGGGGAGGAAGTGGACGACGACGACGAGGACATCGAGACGGAGGAGGAGGACAGCAGTGAGAGTGAGAGCGAGGATGAGGAAGACGAGATGGACGAGGGGAAGAGAAGAAGTGCTGGGCGAAATCGATTTGGGCTCGCGTTCCAGGAGGTCATTGAGGAGACGGGTGCACGCGTCAAAGTCGATAGCTTTGAGCACTGCGTTGTGGAGGTGAGAAAAGAAGATCTGAGTGGCTTTTTGGAGCAGCTGAGTATGAAGGCTATCGTGGGGTAACTATGGGGAAAGGCATGCATCAAGGCGGGACGCGAGGTGTTCGGAGTTGCGGTTTATTCATCAATCTGCGCATTCATACGTAGCGCGTGAGGAGGCACTACCGGACTGCATTTTTTCTTCTTCGGATCTGTTGCGCTCATTGTCGGTGATTTGACAGGATGTAGGCGTTCGCGTATACACTTTCTCGTGTACATGATACCTGCGGGTATCGTAGTCGGCTTGACGTTCCACCCGAGAATCTACGCACGTTTGTATAAGGCACTATTACAGATAGATTTACTAGTCGTGGGGCTGTTTCTTGATAGGCTCGTGTGCTTTTGGTGCTGCAGCCAACATGTAGCTATCTAGCGAATCACCGCCCACCCTCGGTTGAGGTTGTCGCGCTACCGTTCCTCCAACGTCACTTGACCAGGTCATCAACGCAACTGATACGCTACCGCCCCCGCGTCAGTGCAACTACGACTAGCCCCAACAATCGCATCATATTTCAACCTTCTGACACCATGGTGGACCTCTTCTTCTCTCTTCACCGTTTCAGCATTGCAAGCGCCGCATCTCTCGCTTCGCAACTGCGCACGTCATCGTGCTGAGGTCTTTCAAGAACCAGGGTAACCGGATCGGGCTATAAAGTGCACATCACAAAGCCTTATCTCAGTGTGTCTGTGCAACAGTGGGGAAGCGCATCACTCATCCACCTCCAACCACCCGGGTCCATACAGAAGTCACCGATCGCGACCCCACAGTCTTTCAGCAGCCGTCGAAATTCTCTGCATTTGCGAGTCTGAGCCCATCTGGCCGTAAGCTCGTCCGCAATGGCAACCGACGCCGACAGCACCCAGCCGCTGCTTGCGTCCAGCAACGATGCGCCGAGCTACGGCATCAGCAGTAGCAAAGCCCAAGACACCCAGGGGCACGATGGTGCCGTCCACGGTGTCGTGCATTTCGCGCCTGGAGACCCGGAGGACCCTCGAAATTGGCCCAGGTGGAAAAAATGGCTTATGATCGGGCCCATCCTCATCATTGACCTTTCGGTCAGCTGGGGCGCGTCCGGCTTCTCACCAGCCAGCAAGAAGTTTGCCGAAGACTGGGGTTTGTCGCCTGAGGCAGGGACGTTGGGGTTGTCCCTCTACGTGCTGGGTCTGGCATTTGGGCCGATGACTTTGTGAGTCTGATTAGCCATTCCACCGTAGATTTGATTCTCTAACTATAAGCAGGGCACCTCTTTCTGAGGTATGATCCTCCTAATATTGCTAGAGGACGTGCAATTCTAACAAAAATATAGTACTACGGAAGGCGCCCGATTTACATATACTCTTACTTTATTTTTCTGTGCTGCCTTGCGGCATCAGCTTTGGCACCGAGCCTCGCATTTTTCATTCCCATCCGAGTATTGTCTGGATACAGTGCTAGTGTAACGATAGGTTTGATGAATTTCCCCTGTTCACAGACTAGTTTATTTACGTTTCCTCAGCAAACTTCGGTGGTACAATTGCCGATCTCTACCATCCGCACGACACGGGCCCAGCGATGTCTCTCTACCTCTGGGCAGCTACTGCTGGCTCACCTACTGGATTCTTTCTGATGTCTTTCGTTGCCCAAAGCCGGGGTTGGCGCGACGTTTTCTGGGCTCTTCTCGGCATCAACGGCGGCCTTTGGGCCATCATGACGGCGTCCCTACTCTTCTGCGGTGAGACTCGGCATAGCATTGTTCTTTCCCAGCGTGCAGAAAAGGCACGTAAGCTGAACCACACGAGCAACATTGACGTTCCGGATCACCTGAAGAAGAGAGGCGTCAAGGAGCTTTTCACTGTCACTCTTACAAGACCGTTCAGATTTCTGGCATCTGAGGCTATCATCGCGTTCGCTGCCCTTTATAATGGCTATCTGTACGGTTTGAGTTTCCTGTTCAATACGGCATTTGTTCTTGTCTTCGGGCAAGGCCATGGATTCGACACTATCGGTGTAGGAATATGTTTCCTCGGTATCTGTGTTGGTATCAGCCTCGGTCCCGTCACAAACATCTGGCAAGAGAAGTATTATCAGAGAAAGGTCCATGAGTCTGGAGGCAAGAATGTGCCGGAGGCGCGAGTCCAGATGGGGAAATTGGCTGCTATTGGTAAGTTGGGCCCTGATACATGCTTTTTTCCCCTCGAAAATGGTGAAAACAAATACTAACCTACCGCAGCTTTTCCTATTTCTCTTCTCTGGTTTGCTTGGACCACTTCTCCTAGCATTCACCCACTCATCCCAGTCTTGGCCTCGGCACTCTGGGGCTGGTCCTTCTACACGCTTATCCTCATGACATTCACCTACACCGAGGATTCGTACAAGGTGTACTCTGCCTCGGCGCTCGCCGGCATCGGCCTCATCAGAAACCTGTTCGGCGCCGCATTCCCGCTCTTCGCGCACAGCATGTTCACGCAGCTGGGGTATCAGTGGGCAAGCACGATCTTGGCCGGGCTGGCGCTGGTGTTGGTGCCGATTCCGTTCGTGTGGAGCAGGTACGGCAGAGTGTTGAGGGAGAAGAGTCCGTGGGCAAGGGAACATATGGATGATCTTGATGGGGATGAGGGGGACGAGGAGGCGGCAGGTGGGGAGGAGGCGTAGAGGCCTCGCCTTGCATACTAACCATTACGGAGTGAGTGAGGCGCGTGAAAACTTTCACGGCATCAGCGCAGAGAAAAGTCTAACTGCCACGTTGGATTTACGTCTATTGGTTACGAACAGAGGGGTGCGGACTTGACGGTTGACAGGAGGAAGATGACAAAGTGTCCTGAAAGGGGAAATTACAAGCGCTTTGGAACTTTGGAGGCGTTCAAAACAGCTGCGCCCCTCTCGAAAAGCTGAAGCATTTTTTCAAACGCATGAGTATTTTATCATTATCTTTGGGGGGCTTAAGCATACAACTCTTTGAAACTGGCTATTTTCCAAAGGATCTTCTTTGCCGTATCAGGGTCCAGCAAAGCTACACGCACACCATGGTAGAGGGCGGTACTCGACGCTGGTAATGTGTACGGCTCAACCACGGTGCCGGTGCAACAACTGGATGGAAGTCGACTACTCTCGTTAAAAGTCAAAATCACATTCACTTATAACGCCGCGGTTCCTTGCAAGTCCCCGAATACACCTTGCGCAATCAACGCCATCAGTACTTCCCCGATTACGAACCTACTCTATCTATTAGCAACTATAGCACCATGGGAGAGCCAATGTCCAGTGCAACCATGAACAGGCCGGATCAACCCGTCCTCCGCTTCTCAATGCACTCACGGGTCAATCAGCTCCTCCACGACACGACCGACGAGCTCCACAGAGAACGATTCCAGATATTCAAACAGCTCGACCTCATAAAACGGGTGATCGGTTCCATTTCGATTGAAATCACCGTACCTCGTGACACTGGCGAAGTCAGCCCGTCCTCAGCCACGACTACTGGTGACGCCACCGGAGCAAGGGATGACCGAGGTCACAGCAGCGAGTTTGTCTCGCCCTGCGAGGAAGATAGAGTAGATGATGCCCGCTTCATCACTTTCCTCCGCCTCTACAAGACCCTCAGCGATGCCGCCAGCCTCAACGCCGCACAAATCCACTCCATCCGCCGCCAGGAGTCCTCCTTGCTCGAGACGCTGACCGCCTTCGGCACCAATCCCATGCTACAAGCACGCACGCTACGCATCATGGTGACGGCGCCGCGCATATTCAACCATCGAGCCAGCAGCTGGTTTGGCCGCAACGACGATCCGTGGCTCAGGGCATGCGTTGCGTTCTACGGCCACGGCAAGGGTGTGGCTGAAATGTCCCACAAAACCACTACTGCTGCTTCTGGCCGCAACGACTACGACTACGATGACGATGACGACGACGACGACAACGAAAAGGTCACCTTCGCGGCCGCGGTGGCACAGGACTTCCCCGTGACACTAACCACCCTTGGCATCGCCCCAGGCCTGCCCTCTTACACGCACGCCTGGTGCCCCGTCGAAAAGACCTACCTTCCCCTCACCGAGCTCTCAGCCGCACCTATCATCGAGCGCCGCAAGCGCGACAGGACGTTCGTGGCTGCAGACGTCCGGAACGTCATCCCGATGAGCAAGCGCGTGGCGGCGGCGTGGGCGGAAGGGAGGTTTTTCCTGATGCCTTTGAGACTTGGGGGGGATAGTAATCGCAACAATAGGGGAGGAGGAGGCGGCTGCTCGGCGTGGTCTTACCAAGTCGTCCTCACGTCCGTGGAGCGCAGCCGAGGGAGGGAGGCTTGGATGGAGAGGCTGGACGGCATGGTGCTGAAGTGGAAGAACGGGTGCAGGCCGAGGCAGGAGCTGATGCACCTTCGGTTTGTCCAGGACTTGTTACGGTTGAGGAAGGCCCTGAGGGTGCAGGGGGTGGAATATACGGAGGCGTTTTTGCTGGCAGAGGACTGGAAGAGGAGAATGGCAGGATGGGTTGGGAGGGAGTGGAGGTTGCCAAGGGACGAGGTGTGGGGTAGGTGCTTCTTTGAGGGGGATTCGGGGATGGCCCATGCATTTTCAACGGTTATGGGTGGGGAAATAGTGGTGGGGGGACAGAGTTGGGATGATGAAGTAGTGAAGGATGTGGAAGAGTGTGGGTTTGGGGAGGTGATTGAGGATTAAACGGTCGTGCGCGGAAAAGTTCGGTGAAGAATCGGGAGCTGATTTCACGCAAGAATCTTAACGAATGAGAACGAAAAGCGCCGGGTGCTATGGTCTTGTTCCAAATGGGTACTTGGTAGCGTTGTGCTGAGAAAAAAAAAAGGGAAATGACGATAAGAATCGCGTATCTCAATAGCGGGCCCTATATTAGCGAACAGGTAGCTATATCAGAGCAGTAGAGAGATACAATAGAGGGGTTTCAGACGCACATTGCTTCGTGTTAGGCTTGCGAATTGTCCATAGTGCATGGGGACTGTACTGTATGGCCTCTCTTGGCTTTGGGTTGCCAAGCTGCGGACAGCCAATCAGGGGCATGAGAACGCGTTTGCATTTCTGTTTCCGGTTGGTCGTCCACAAGTAATCTCGTCATAGTCAATAGAGAAGACCGGGGCCAACATGGAGAAAACACGATAGCGACTTGCAGAAGACCTTTCTTTTCCGTTCTCTAGTGCATGCGGAAGCGTGCGGAGTCCGCGGCCCGCCAATGGGCAGGCCGTGCGGAGGCCAGCGTAGTCTCGAAAGGGAAGATTCAATATGAAACCTATACTGTGTCGAAGATCAGCGTTCGTTCACACTACCGAAACGACGGGTCAGTGGGGCTTTGTGGCTACGCAGCGCTGGGAAATGGAAAGGCGAGGCGCAGTGCTGTCTCACACAATAGACGGCGGCGAATAGAGTTGGGGCTGGTGTCGGGAAAGGCGAGTAATGCAGTTAGTCAGCCAGGGGGGGCCGGCGGAGCGTTTCACAGGGCTGCGCCTTCCGCGGCGGATAAAACAGCGGCTTTTGACATCATGCCCTCCCAATCTAGTCATTCCAGCCTCCAGCGCCCCGCGACGCGTCAAGCTGCTGACGAACCACGACTCGTCTGCACCCCGGGTTCGTGCGCCGTCCAAAAGACTCCACACGCCCCCCTCAACTCCCGCTGCAGCTCAAAGTAAATTCCTCCGCCAATGCCGACGCCTCCCCATGCGCTTAGCTGCATCACGTGTCGCAGCCGCAAGGTCTGCCAGCCCTCAATGTCTCATTCCACCGCCGCGCAGCTGACGACTCCAGATCCGCTGCGACAAAGTCCACCCGTGCTCTGCCTGCCGTCGCGCTGGCGTTGAATGCGTCTTCCCCGCCCAGCGCGCCCAACGCAAAAAGCACGGCCGCCGCAATGAGGAATTGCTCCGCCGACTCGACCATCTCGAGGGTCTCGTCGACCGTCTGGGAGGCGAGGTAGCCGTGGCTGCGCATGCTGCCAGTGGCGAGCCACTGCCGCAGCCCGAGCAAAAACTTCCCGCCGAATACATGCCCAGCACCTTGACGCCCCACCTGCGCCAGCCACGCGGCCCTCCGCGCGAGGATGGCACCTACCCTGTCATGAAAGAAGACGGTGGTCGCTATCTAGGCGAGGACTTCTGGACTAGCCTCAGTACAGAGGTACGCTAGTTTGCTCTCGGACACTAAGGTGGAAAGCCTAATGCCGCATCAGGTCGAGGGTCTTAGGGAGCTCCTGAACGAACCAGAGTCAGAAGAAGAAGAGCAGCCTGAAGCTTCGCAGACAAGCAGAAGCCCCCCACCCATTCATGATGTCTACGAGAAACGCCTGATGAACAGCCTTTTTGTCTTCAGCGGCGACATCGAAGCGACAGATCTGAGGTGGCTCCATCCCCCTGGCCCACAGATATTGAAACTATCCGACGTCTACTGGGACCGTGTTGATCCAATCTACAAAGTCCTGCACCGCCCCACAACCGAGCCGCTGCTACACGTTGTGGCACAAGACAGTGCTTCCATTCCCAAGGGCGCTGGCTACGAGGCTTTGTTGTTCGCCATCTACTTTGCAGCAGTGACCTCGTTGACTCCAGAAGAATGCCTTCAGCTTCTTGGAAAGGAACGGGCGAATCTTGCCGGTCAATTCCGTCATTGTTGTGAGATATCCCTGGCCAACGCCGACTTTCTGAACAGCACAGACCTGCAGGTCCTTCAAGCATTTGCTCTCTATCTTGTCAGTGAAGCCTACCCCCGATTATTTCGACACCAGACCCAAGCTTCGCACATATACTGACCTTTCACAACAGGTCGTTCTACGCTGCCACAACAAGACCCGTTCGGTATGGACGCTGGTCAGTCTCGCAGTCCGCATAGGTCAGGATCTCAATCTCCACCGTGATGGAACTGTCACTGGATTCTCTCCTTTTGAGACCGAGATGCGCCGACGTCTCTGGTGGCAGATTGCTGTACTTGATATCCGCGCTTGCGAAGATCGAGGCTCCTTTCCTCTGATAGACCACCACCTCTGCAGCACCAAAATGCCCCTTAACATCAACGATGATGACATAAGTCCAGACTCGCGCATCGCACCTCCCGAGAGAATAGGATGCACCGACGTGAGCTTCTCTCGCCTCTGCCAGGAAGCCTCCATGGTAGCGCCCAAATTCTTCAGCCCAGTTCCCGCAGACGCAGACGATGACGAAAAACGAGATCACTGGCAGACACAAATCCAGCAGGAAGTTGAACGCTTCAAGGAGCGTCTCCATGAGAAGTTCATCATCCACATTAACCCCTCTGTCCCAATTCAGTTTGTCATCTCGCAGGTCGTGCAGATCGTCACGGCCGAATTCTGGCTACTGGTTCACTACCCAATCCAAACCCGCCGCTACGCGTTCAAGTCCAAAGCCACGAAGCAGGAAATCTTGAGCACTGCCATAACTCATTTACGCGTCGATTACGGATTGCAGAGCCACCCATTTTCGTCAAAGTACAAGTGGTACTATGATACGTATGTCCAGTGGCATCCGCTCGCGGTTACTCTCGCAGAGCTCTGCGTCCAGACCCGCGGCTCACTGGTCGAAGAGGCATGGAGAATCGTCGACGCTGTGTATGATCGCGCGCGCTCTCGCGTCACAGATGTCTCGCTCTGGCGGCCAGTCAGAAAGCTACATCAGAAAGCCCGTAGAGCCCGCGCAGCAGCTCTCCGCGGTCAAGGTGGCATTTTGGCAGAAGATGACGACCTGACGTCCGGTAGCCATGATGCCTCGGAGTCGCCAGCGTCCATTTCGGAAAGGTCTATGCCGCAGCTCCCACTCGATAATCTTGGCAGGTATCTTGCCACTGCCGGCCAGCAACAGCAGCAGCAGCAGCATCCACAGCAGAGTACCGCATATCACTCTGCACTGGCTGACGATAACCTCGCTGCCTTCACCCAAGTTCTGCCCTCATCTTCATCGCCAACAGCAGCCATGGTCGCTGGTGGACAACAACTACCACAACATCACCATCCCCACCGACAAATAATGCCGGCAGCCACATCAGCAACTACAATACCCAGTCAGCATTTGGACGTCCTTTCTGCCGTGGATTTATCGGCCATGAACCTCGACGCGGCATATGGCGGGGGCGATCCGGTCAACTGGCCGGACTGGGATGAGTTTGTGCGGAGCACTTGGGCTGCTGAGGACCCTAACGCGCCGCAGCAGAAGACGAACACGCCCGAGTGGTTACTGGATATGGGGATGGGCGATGATGGTAGTGGTGGCGGTGGGGTAGAGTACAGATGATGGTGCTTGTGGAGTGAAAATGAACGCAACGTAGTGTGAGATAGATGCGAGATGGGCAGCGTTGGAGTTATTCTGGAGAATAGAGCCAATAGATACCCGGGTTTCTAACAGCGGCATGGACCTTCATTAATGACGTCAAGGACAGAGAGGCATACACTCTGTAATGGCAGAGCAATTCCTGCCGAGCTTACTTCTTTCTTCCTTTCGATACCTCATCCGGACTCTAGCGGGTCTCTTCCCCTTTGCAAAGTCAACTAACTATTGAGTCAAGCGATTGGTGAGCCTCAGCTACCGAAGCTTTCCAGACCGTCCATTTAAGGAGACCCTAAACTTCGCATTCATCGATGTATCCTCCATCCGTTATGGTACTATTGAACTTTGACGCACTGCTGGCACGATGCTTAGGCGTGGCTAAATACCATCCATTTCTGGCGATCTACGTCCACTATTCTCAACTGTGCAGTGTGCTATCTAAGCCATCTCTACTTCATCCTGTTTGATTCTTTCTACAATGTAGCATTCACCCACGGCCTGTGTCACGTCTGAGTCACCGGTATGGACCTCCTCCCAAGCTCATCGAAGCGGCACCCGGGAAGAACATAAAAACTGAGTGGTCAACAGCCTACTTGATTGCAAAAGTCACATATTGACTCGGCTACCTCGTTTCCCGCGGTTGCGGTAATAGAGACATTGCGCAAGGACTCAAGCTTAGAGGCATCCATATCTATCTGAATGGCCTTTGCGCTCTGCAGCGTCCAGGCTCAACTCCACTTGTTTCTGCTTTAGTGTGTGACCTGCGCCAATGCGGGGTCTGCAGCCATGTGGAGTGTCGAGTGTCGATCGACCTGCCCGGATTGAGCTGGGGATGTGATCAACGCCGCTTTGCCAAGGCCGCTCGCGTTCGGTGGGTAATGCTAGGCGTCGGTGTTCTTGCGAGTCGATGAGCCGTGTCGTCACGCAACCCCGCTTCGGGCCTCATCGAGCTGTAGAGATGTGTGGGTTTCGCGGTGTAGATTACTTACGGACTATGCTTTTAAGTTGCTACCTTATAGTGTTGTCACGCTATTGGGTGACTTCGCCGCTCTTTCATATACCATAAATTGATATCTCGGGTGTCAAAGGATGCGGCTTATTGGCCTCCTTACAAAGTCTTCGTCGACTTGAGAGGCATTGGAACATTAAGCTGCTCCGTCAAATCTTACGTTCCGTCACACCTGATACAAAGGCTGTCCGATTTAGAGGGAGTTCTGATCTGTTATCCAAATTTAATTATGAAAGGATGAGGATCAAACAGTCATCACACAAGAGCATCCTAAGCAATGTGGTCAAGGTTATTTCAATTTTCAGCCATAGATAGTATTAACTACCCACCTGTGGACTTCCAGGTAGGATCCTCGCGGTTAGTTCAAGCAGTGAAAGAGTAAGTCCGGAAGAGCGGGCCATAAAAGACCACACTCTAGAAGAAAGCCCCAAAAATGCCCATTACTGAAACCAACCCATCCACTCCTTACCCTTCACTCCAGTGGAGACTTACTCCAGTGTATCGTAAAACACGTGAGAACTAGTCATTTTAAAAGCAAAAGTCAGTAGCGAGAAACCTTTGCCTGATTCGTCATGCCACTATGCATCCAAATTGTAACAGCTTCGCCAGCCATGACCCAATTACCCAAATTGATGGTTTAGGCGCCAGGAGGAGGCGGCGGGGGCTGGTCGCTGGGAGGGGGCGGCGGTGGAGCGTCACCAGGAGGAGGGGGTGGCGGAGGGCTACCAGCACCAGGGAACCCAGAGAGTATGGGAGGCATGCCAGGAGGAGGAGCCAGGCCCGGGGGTGCGCCCATAGGAGGCTGGCCGTAGCCCGAGCTCTGGTCATAACCACCAGGATAACCGTAACCCCAAGGCTGGCCGCCTGGAGGTGGCGGGGGAGCGCCAGCTGATGCCTGTTGCCAGGGAGCAGCACCTGGAGCCGGAGGGGCGCCATAACCGCTCTGCCCATATCCACCATAGCTGTCCGAGTTGCCGCCGCGACCGCCACCATTGGCCCACGGCGGAGGAGCAGAGCCGCTATCGCCGCGCTCACGATCCTCACGAGGCTGGCGCCAAGGAGCAGCCGCACCGGTCGGGCCACGCTGCCAGGGCCTCACATCACCGCGATCACCACCACCGTAGCTATCATTGTTGCCCTCATAGGCGCCGGGACCAGCCTCAATGCGATGCTGGGGCGCGCTGCTGCCAAGCTCAGCCATGAGGGATTCGTACTCGCGATCCATGCCGTCGCCACCACCAATCCTAGCGCTGGCGCCGGCACGGTCGCTGTTACGCCAGCTAGCGCCGCGCTGGCGGTCGGGACAATCACGAGCCATGTGACCAGCGTTACCGCAGACACGACAGATGATGTTGGCTGTGAAGTTGCGCTGTTCGGGACAATCGTACTTGCGGTGGCCGATTTGACCGCAGTTCTGGCAAGCCTGGTTCTCATCGTCACGAAGGGTACCGTTGAGAGCAGCCAGCTCACGCAGCTGGTTGCGCTTGAGCTCGTTCTGGCCTTCGGGGATCGAAGCAGCCTGCAATCTGTCAGTCTTCACTTTAGGTTTGAACGAAGCGGGGTTATTGCGTACAGTTTCGATGATGTTGTGGATCAGCTTCTTGGCCTTGTTGACCTTCTCCTCGGTGTCGGCCATGATCAGGCAGTGAAGATCCTCCTCCTGGTTGCTGGTGTGAGCGGCATCGGAGCGGCCCTTGCCCTCCTTGACGGAGCCCTTGCCACGGATGGCAATCTTGGCACCAGACTCGGCCTCCATCTTCTTCAAGGTGTTTCCACGGGGTCCGATGAGTAGTCCGACTGTTAGTAGAAGAAAAGAGCTAGTGTTAGTTAACGGATTCTTTTTCATTTTCGAGTAAGTGAGTGAGTTAGAAGGTGGTTAGTGAAGTGAGCAATACTGCGCATTACACGTAATGCCGCAGATTTAGGTAGAGAAGACGCAGATGTGCAAGTTAGAAATCGAGGGTTAGCAATCATACTGAAGTTAATCTCCGGGTAGTCATTGACTGGGACGTAGACCTTCTCCTGGGTCTTGGTTGGGCGCCTGTAGTCAGAAGGAGGATGGTAGTTAGGGATGACTTTCATCGCCTTCTCGATGAGCTTGTGGCGTTCATCCTCCAACTTCTTGCGGTAACGGTATTCGCGGGTGTTGACACGACGACCAAAGTTGTCATATTGCGGGGGAGGCGAAGGCGACCTTGATCTAATCAGTATCCACCGCGAGAAAGCGCCGCCGGGGGGAGTTGGTCTTCACTCACCTATCACCGTCAGCCGGGACCACGTCGTTGATCCTCAGCTTCTGGCTGATCTCCTCAATGCGCAGGTGCAGGGTGTAGGCTTCCAGCTGCTCGGCGGTCATATGGGCGGTAATGGCGGTGGTAAGACCCATGAGGCCAGCGGCCTTGTTGTCGGATGCATCGCCCCAGCGGTTGCGCTTCTTGCGCTTGCGGGTGCCATCGGGGTTGAGCTCTGTAAAGGGTGTAAGTAGGGGTTGCTTGCTTGTACGAGAAGTGGCACTCACCGCGAACAGGGCTACGGCCGCGCTTCAGGTCAGAAAGGCCGGTGGCGGGTGCAGAGGGGTCGTAGCCATCCTTGTCTTCGGAAGGCGTCGTGTCGCCGCCAAACCTGCGACGAGTGCCGAGGGGGATGTTGTTGGAGCCGGTGATGCCTTGATTGCGCCAGGACATATTTGCGATTGCGCGCGCGATGGAGTTGGCGGGACGGGCGCGAAAGGTTGAAGGTGAAGCGGAAGTAAGAGAGGGCGAGCTGTTCGTGCCGGGCGCAGCAGCGCGACTTTGTAGGCGTCTTGGCGTGCAGGAGCCGACTTTTGACCGGCCACTGGTCGCTGACTCATCCGCCTAGGCATGCCCGCCGCATTCCCCAGACCACACGGGAGCTGGGCAAAAGACGCACGTGGGACCACGACCATCCGCTCTGTCCGGTTCTCTAAGAATCAGTCTCACCTGCGCATCGCTTTGCCCGCGAGCTGTGTGCATAATGCCAGATGTCGGGTGTCCGCGGCCTCATGAAACACGGCGATAAAATTCGCCTCTAGCGACAGCGCCGCAGGTCGTGTTCAAAACGAAGACGCTACCTTGAAGTCCCCGAAAGGTTTGCAGTGCTAGGCTGCGTCCTCTTCTGTAGACAGTATTCCCCAGACCTTCGGGGCGGCATGACGTAGCAATTGCTATTTCTAAGCACCCCGCCGCACCTGCCCCTCACTCCACTCGTGAACGCCGCGCGGGTCCACGTATAAATCCGCTGCTCAGTCGTCTTACTCCCAGTTCAACCGTCCACCATCTCCGCATCCACAATGGCCGCCCAAAGCCCCGACATCACTCTATACACCAGCCAGACGCCCAATGGCATCAAGGTGTCTATTACTTTAGAAGAGCTTGGGTACTATCTGCTCGTGTAATGTCATGGCTCTGCTGACGCCCGACAAGCCTGCCCTACAAGGTCGAGAAGATTGAAATCAGCAAGAACACGCAGAAGGAGCCTTGGTTCCTTGCCATCAACCCCAATGGCCGCATCCCCGCCTTGACCGACACTTTCAGTGATGGCAAGAGCATTCGCTTGTTCGAGTCCGGCTCCATTATGCAGTATCTTGTTTCGCGCTATGACACCGACCACAAGATCTCTTATCCCCACGGATCGCGCGAGGAATATGAGACGAATAACTGGCTGTTCTTCCAGAATGCCGGCGTTGGTCCAATGCAGGGCCAGGGTAAGTTTTTCTGACAGCCGACTCTGTTGATTGGGTCCTGACCTCCTTGCAGCAAATCACTTCACCCGCTACGCGCCTGATATTTTTGAGTACGGCATTTCGCGTTACCAGAATGAGACACGGCGCCTTTATGGTGTTCTGGACAAGCACCTGGCCGAGACGGGAAACCAGTACATCGTTGGTGACAAGTGTACCATTGCCGACATTGCTCACTATGGGTGGATCGCTGCCGCTGGCTGGGCTGGCGTCGAGATCGATGAATTTCCGAAGTTGAAGGCCTGGGAAGAGCGTATGGAGGCACGTCCGGGCGTCGAGAAGGGCCGCCACGTGCCCGACCCGCACACGATCAAGGAGTTGTTGAAGGACAAGTCTAAGATGGAGCAGCACGCCGCTGAGTCGAGAAAATGGGTGCAGGCTGGCATGAAAGCCGATGCTCAAAAGTGAGTCTTCCATGTACGCCAGTTCGTGCATGGATTGATTATACTGTGATTGCAGGTTATAGGTAGCTACTTGGACCTTAGGTCTCCCACAGTATCATTCAGTTTTTCAGAACGTCTCTATGCTTACATAATGCATGCCCGTCTCCCGACGCTGTGATGAACGTCTGGTTGACGCCCTCAGCTGTGGGTTGCCAGGTCAAACTTACGGCTTACATCTAGAATGGAAGGTGCGCTTGAAGCCCTAAAGAAGAACGACGTACATGGTGAGCCACGAGATGCGGGACAAAGAAAAACACCAAAGGAAGTAATTTCGAGAAGGGTGGCTCGGGAAGTAAGCAAACAACGCACGGAGCCCAAGACACATAGCGGACAATTGCAGAGTCAAAGCCTTTACAGGGACACGTCGCCAAATATGTCGTTCATTCTTCAATGGTGATGGAAGCCAGGTGAGGTGAGTGGAAGCGCTCAGCACGTGATTGGTCACTGAGAGAAGGGTCTATAAATGCGTCTTCTTCTGCCAACCGGCAACCATTCCTCCTCAACGTTCGGTCACCTTCCGCGCTTCCTTTGCGCAGTTCCTTTCTAAGGCGCCGGCGTCCACTCCACTCACTCCATTCCTCCCTCGAAGATCTTGCTGCGCCGCAAACCGCTTTCACGAGAACACCATCGCCGTCACGCCAAGATGTACTCGATCGAGTCCATGGAGCCGACCGAGGACGTCGCCTATGTCCACACCTTCGCTGACCTGTCGAGCCTCTCCCGCGATGCGCGTCTAGCTCTGTGCTCACCCAAGCATGTCGTCCAGCTGAAGAGCCTTGCTCCGGAGGTTTTCGAGTACGTCATGCCAGCGAACGTCTTCAAAGCCTTTTCGCCTCTGGTCTTCCAGCAGGCTTTCCAGATCCCCGGTGAGGACCATGAGGTTCGGCGCTCCGTGCTCATGCTGGCGCCCAGCGGAACCGATCCTGCCGCTATCGAGTACATCTGCGATTGGATGGTCTCAACCTGCAACCAGGCCGACCCCTTCCGTCTGTCGGTCAAGGGCAACTTCTTCGCTTGGGTTGAGCTGTTGAAGGCCGCGCTTCTCCTTCAGGTTCATGCGGCCGAGACCGTCATTTGGCCGAGGCTGGCCTTCTTCATTACTGAGGAGCCGCTAGAATTCCAGCATCTGGACACGATCATGAAGAACTTCTCCATGAACAGCAAGATTGTCAAGCATCTCCTCCACAATGTGAGCTACCGCCGGATCGCGGGTGACATCACCCCCAGTTGCGAGTTCTTCGTCCAGAGCAACGAGTTCTTTCAAAACTTGCTCGGCCAAGTCGCCCACCAGCAGCAGCAGAGCGGCGCCATGGCCATGGGCAACGTTCGTAACTTCAACCGCTGGAACTCGCAGAATGCCGCCTACCGTCGTCAGCGTTTTGAGGAACAGCAGCTCCAGCAGCATGACCAGCCGGCCTTCCGCTACGCTCAGCACCACAGCAACAAGAACCGTCGCCACAACGGCAACGGCTATGGACATGGCAACAACCGTCACAATGGCGTTGGCGGAAAGCACAAGCGTGAGAACATGGAGGACTGGGCCCGCCGCACAGCCGCTGGAGCTACCTGGGACGATTCTCCTGCTGCTCACCAGGGTGGTGCTTACGACGTCCGCGTCCTCAACCCGGGTGAGGCTACTGCTAGCGGCCTCATCGCTTAAGCTCAGCAATCACCTCACTTGATGTGTCCTCGTGGCTGATCTGCTTTACTATCAGTAAAGTGTCAGCAAATACTCTTGTGGGCAAACCTACTGTTTCCCATATGTGGCGTCTGTTGACTACATCAAGTAGGGCAACAGGCTGATGTTCTGCGACCGCTCACCCACCTAATACCGATACTGCTCGCTGGGTTGAGCTGGTTTTTCTATTACTGGGTTTCTTAATCTGGCGCTCAAGGAATCAACGGGAACATGGATCGTGGTGATCCAAAAACATTCGGGCGTCAATACTGGCAAAGGCTCTGGACGAACCATGGCTAAGGTCTGTTCAAAATGGGAAATGGGATACCCGCTGCCTTTTCCACGGGATGGTTTGGCTTTCATAGACAGGCTCTGCAGAACACGGATCGGCATTGAAGTCAATTCTATAGCTCTGCTTACGGCAATCTCAATCTCTTTGCTCTTCCTTGTGATGTCGCGCCCTTCTACTCCACTGAGAACATCGAAGATCCGATTGATTGCTCTCCACGATACCTGCGTCTTTCTCCCAGTTGTCTCGATTCTTCCCGCCTACTTCAAAGTGACATAACACCTCGTCAGCACCTGCGTCGAGTTGCCAAACGGCCTCGTCACGGTCCCATCCTCATTCTTCACCACGACCTCGCCCGTGCGCACCTCTGATACGGCTTCGCCCTTGAACGGCGGCGGCGGATTCGTCCACACCTTCGTGACGGCATCATTGAACGCCTCGATCTGAATCCCGCGGAAGCCCTTCTCGGCCGCCCAGCGCATGAGGAAGTGTGCCTGGCGCTTCATCAGGCCCAACCCCTCGTAGTCCCTGCGCGTGCTGGTCGAGTTGCGGAACAGGACCTGCAGCGGGCCGGTCGCCTGCCACGACGCCGGGTCCCTCGGGTCGTTTGCGATCAGCATGCCGAAGCCGGCGCCGTACTCGGGCACGATGCCGACCAGGTCGGCCAGCTTGGACTGGTCGAGCGGGTTGATGCTGTCGTAGCTGAGGGCGATGGACACGAGCGGAAAGTCCATCTGGTCCAGCAGCGTCTGGGCGTCCAGGCCCTCCGGGTCGTTCTCGCGCTCCACGTCCCAGTACAGTTTTCCACCCGTGGCGGCCGACTCGGGCCGCTTGAACACGTACTCCTTGTCGAAGACGCCGAAGGAGAGGCCCGAGTCGATCTGGTGATCAATGAGATGGCCGCACGTGCGAAAGAGGCCTAGGTTTTTTTTGACTGCCTCCGTGCCCTTGTAGTTGGCCGCCCACATGGGTCCGTAAAACATGTTGGTGTGGCAGAGGATGGCTTTCGCCCACTCATTGTGCTCCGGGCCGAGGTTGCGGATCTCGAAGCGAGAGGGGAGGTCGGTTGTCACGGTGGTAGTCATGGTGACGGTCATGTTGGGCTCAATAGATAGTTTCTTTGGGAGAATTGGTATGAAGATTCTTCGTCGTCTCCTTTCAATATAATACTTTGAGGACCCTTATATCTGGGCCGAGAGCTAGCGCTGACGTGAGGTCGCCCGGAAAATTAGCCTTCGCTTCACAAGACGCTGCTGCTTATGATAGTCTCAGACGCGGGGTTCTGGGGGCGGCAACTTTGTTAGACGAAGTAGCATCGACTGATATGTACAGGGGTGTGGATAAATGGACTTTCCGTCATTTTCCCGACGTCTGGGCAGGCAGTCTGACTGCAGGAACAGCTGTTGGAGCAGTGGAGGTCGTCTTGGGTGGTAGCCGGGAACTACAGTAGTGTATCCTTGGGGCTGAGTCAAGTATTACAAGACCACTCGGCGATTTTCACCAGTGACAACATTATTAGAAATTGCTGAAGAAAAGTCTCAATCATGTGTCCTGACAACAGCAAGGACAAGACAAAGTCGCTGCCAACGTAAGCGTCGCGCTTATCGACGCGGATTTGCATGCATGACTGTAGATCCATTACCTGTCCAGAGGCGTGGGGAAATCAAATGCGGTCTTGGAGGAGCAAAAGTGGCGCGATTGCTGGGTAGGTGTTGGAGATAACGACGTCTCATATTGCTGCTGATATTCGCCTGACGAGGAAATGCACGAAGCAATTTCGTAGGTCGGGCACGAAGAGTGTCCGTGGTCAAAACAAGCGTCTAGCGTCTAGCGCATGGTGGTGATTGGCTGTCAATGGTTGTTTGTTACCTACGGTCTTCGAGATCCCTACTTGACAGATGTTCCCGCTAGGCCGGATCGGATCTGCGAGTGCATGTACGTCGTCCCTTCCGGGCTTGGCATGGACAGGGCCAGCCCACTTTTTTTTGCCGTCTCAGCTGCAGGGTGTGAGGGAGAAAAAGTTTCAGGGAGCATCGCGGTCTGCTGGGCGTCCGGTAGGGAACCGGCCGAGAGGGAGCGAGCCCAAGATCCGCGCGTGATCCGGATGACGTCGAGGTTGATAGCGGTTCGGTGTAGAGAGCGACGGGCGGCAGAGGCTCGAGGTTCGTCTACAGCGGCAACATCGGAGAACAGGCGGTGGCAGCTGTCGCCATACGGAGCATCTCAGCCCCAGGGCCCCGCTGGCTACTGCATGCAGCGCGGTCATGACGAAGTCGCGGGCGAGTCAGGCGACTGGAGGAGCACGGGGTGACCTTCGATTTTTCCAGACGGTGGCTACCCTGGATTGGATTGGCTGCGTGGCACGCGGACACAGCCTCGACGGCTGGCTGCCATGGGTGGTGTGCAAGCTGGAGTGGAGCCGCGATAAAACGCCCTCGAGCCTGCTTCGGGCCTGTGCTTGGCATGACGGCGCTGGCCTCTGGCAACGGGCAGCGCTAGCGGACCCCGCGACCGCCCGCCCTACGTATCAACACAGCTTCCACAAGCCTCACTCTCGTCTCCCAAGACAACCACACCGCAATTTCCGAGCCATCAAAAGCAGCCGCGTGCGCTGCCTGCACTGCGCCCTCCAGTGTTGAACTGCGCCGATGGCTCGCCGTCTTGGGAACCCGTTCGCCTTCACCCCGAACCCCGTGACTTTCTTCGTCTCTGCCATCTATCTGGCCGTCGTCGCCTCGCTGCTCGTCGTCCACCATGTCGTCCCGCCTGCCCCGAAGAACGACGTCCCCGTCAAGGGCATCAACCTGACCGAGTCGTGGCGAGATTTGCAGTATCTGGCGGGCGGTTTTCACCCCTACAACTCGCGTAGGAACGACGACGTCCGCAATTGGCTCCTGGTCCGCATCGAGCAAATCCTGGAACGGAATGGCGTCAAATACTCCACCAAGGGCTTCCACGCCACCAAGGGCTCCCCCGTCGTCGTCTACAACGACATGGTCTCCAATGTCACCTTTTCCAGCTCCAACACCAGCATCTACTTCGAGGGCACCAATGTCATGGTCTACATCCGCGGGTCCGATGATGTTCCCGACGACGTCGAGAACTCCGGTGTTGGCGGCGTGCTTGTGAATGCTCATTACGACAGCGTTTCCACCGGCTTTGGTGCAACCGATGATGGCGTTGGCGTCGTCACCGTCCTACAGCTGATCTCCTACTTCACCACCCAGGGCAACCAGCCCAGAAAAGGAATCGTGGCCCTTCTCAACAACGGCGAAGAGGATTGGTTGAACGGTGCCAAAGCTTTCACCCAGCACCCGCTGTCTTTCTTCCCCCACACTTTTCTGAACCTTGAAGGTGCCGGTGCCGGCGGCCGCGCCACTCTTTTCCGTAGCACCGACACCGAGGTCACTCGTTTCTACAAGAAAGCCAAGAATCCCTTCGGAAGCGTCATCTCCGCCGACGGCTTCAAGAGGGGCCTGATTCGCAGCGGCACTGATTACTCCATCTTCACTGCCGACATGAATCTGCGCGGCCTCGATGTTGCCTTCATGGAACCCAGAGCTCAGTACCACACTGTCGAGGATGCTGCTCGGGACACGTCCCTTGATTCCGTATGGCACATGCTCTCCGGCGCGCTTGAGACCATGAAAAGTCTCACCTCTTACACTGGAACCGAATTCGAAGGCGGGCCAGACGGCACTGGACGAGGATCAAACGGCGTCTGGTTCGATCTCTTTGGCGAGGTTTTGGCCATCTTCGAACTCCACACGCTCTTCGCCTTCTCTGTAACATTACTTGTCGTCACGCCGTTGGTCTTCATTGGGCTTACCGCAATCTTGGTCAGCATGGATAAGTGGTACCTCTTTGCAAGAAAAAAGTATCTCCATTCGTCAGATGATGACGACGCATACCCACTGTACGGATGGCGGGGCTTCTTCCGCTTTCCTGTTGCATTCGTCGTGGCTACAGCTGCCGTTGTCGGCCTGGCGTACCTAGTTACGAAAGTTAATCCTAATATCGTGTACAGCAGTCAATATTCTGTCTGGAGGTATGCTCATCTTCTCGTCTCAGAATATCTTTCAAACCCCTCCTTGCGCACAAAGCCGCTGACAAAGTCACAGTATGATGCTCTCTGCATTCCTCTGTATTACCTGGTTCATCCTTCGTGGTGGAGCTGCCATGCGGCCCTCGGCACTGACCCGGATCTACGGACTACTTTGGATCTACGCTGGTTCTTTCATCCTCTTGATTCTTGCAACTGTCGCCGAGAATAATTTCAACTTGGCGGGCATTTACTTCATTGTAATTTATTTTGCCTCGGCCTTCTTCGCACTCCTAATTTCCTACCTGGAGCTCTTCTCGCTGCCGAAGAAAAAGGCCTATGTCCAACATATTTCAGAAATCTCCGACAGCCCCGGCAGCCGCACTCCAGGAAGCATCAGGACTTCTCTTACGCCTACCTCTAGCCGGCCACTCACAGCTGCTACCGCAGTAGCAGATCCTGCAGCGCACCATAAGGCCAGGGAAGATCGCCGGAACAGTAACGAAGATGATGACGCAACGGAAACGACTTCTCTTTTGCGGAGTGAGCAACATCCCCGAACTTTCAGCCGCGGATACGGCAGTAGACATGGCAGCAGACGTGCCTCTCTTGATGCACGCTCCGTCCTCTCCATTTCGACCAACAGACGACGTCCTCTTCATCCCGAGCCTAGTTTTCCTGGAGAGCAAGCGTGGAGTGGCAAGCTGCCCCGCTGGACTTGGCTGCTGCAGTTGCTTCTGCTGGCGCCAATCAATATCATCCTTGTTGGACAGGTTGCCCTACTCATTACTAGTGCTCTTCACCAAACCCTTGCAGATGGTTCTTCCGCTCTGACAGTGTACCTCCTCATCGCTGTCTTTGCTGTCCTCCTCCTTATTCCCGTCCTTCCGTTCCTCCACCGCTTTTCGGTCCGCATCCCCACCTTCCTGTTCCTCGTTTTCGTGGGAACCCTTATCTACAACCTCGTCGCTTTCCCCTTCAGTCCGGCGAACAAGCTCAAGGTCTACTTCATCCAACGCGTCGACCTCGACACAGGGATCAACGAAGCCTCTCTCACCGGCCTCGACGGCTTTGTCCAGCCCATCATCGCGCAATTGCCCTCAGCTGCCGGTCAGCACATCAAATGCGGCCCGCCCGACACAGCCAGCCGTGCTGGTCTCATTAAGTGCTCTTGGAGTGGTCTCACTCCGCTCGTGGTCCCGCGCGACGGTCATTCCAAACACCCCGTGCCACCAGGCGAAGATCTGAAATACCTCTCCAGCTGGGTCACGTTCAACGCCAGCCGCACAACGCTCGATGAAGGGGACGAAGCGATGATTGACTCGACCGTCGCGCCCAACACAGCGACTATTGACGTCGTCGGCCGAAACACGCGCGCCTGCCGCCTCTTCTTTGACCCGCCCGTCACCGACCTGCGGGTGCGCAATGCTGGTGAAAACCAGAACAACCGCTACCCACGCACCGGCCCCACCGGCGCTAACGAGCTCCGGTTATGGAGTCGCGAATGGGAGCAGCCCTTCACTGTCGATATTGGCTGGGATGCCAACGACCAGAATGGCAGCCACTGCGGGCGCAGGCGGTGTCGCAACCACCACAGCGACGACGATGAGAACGGGGACCGATTTAGGGGTTTGGATGGCAAGGCACAGTGCATCTGGAGCGATGCTAATGAGCCAGGTGTGATACCTGCACTTGATGAGATCAGGGCAAACATACCGAGGTGGGCGATCGTGAGTAAGTTGGCCGATGGCTTGGTGGAGGGGACAAAGAGCTTTGCGATCTAAGCAAACTCAGAGACGAATGGAAATGACGTATGCATTGTGACGAACAAAAGGGTATGGTGGGTCGGTAAAATATTCATGGAACAGTAGTAATGGAAGGAGAGACGACCGACGGGCAGCAACCTCTCTTCCTTTTCCTTTTTTTGTTTTCCTTTTCTTCCTTTTCAATGTCCCATTTTCCGATTATTCGGACGGGTACTTGACCCATTGCCCGGGACGCTTTTTTTTCCTATCCGTGTATTTCTGTGATCATTTTCGCAGTTTATGCTTAAGAGGCGTTCTTATCTGGGCTTGTATTTTCGGGCGGCTGTGTTTATACGTCTCCTTTTTCTCTTCCTTTTCATTCCCCTTGCCGGGGACCGCCTTGGCTTTTGTATGATGAGATCGGTTATGAGTATCGTTGAAATGGGAGAAACATGTTGAATCATTTATACTTGTTCACATGACTGTGTTCTATCTCATGATATACTATATTAGTTCAGTCGACTAACCGCCACGCCTTATCAGAGATAACGAGGACACTAGCTGAGTTTCAAAAAAAAGATGCGGTCGTCGTCCGCTCCGATAGTACATCTGTCATGTAACACCATTGCTCAGCCAAGTTCTGGATCAGCTTCCAAGGAACCAATACCGCGCTAAAACACGAAGCGCATGTTCTGGCCATGATGCTGGACAGAACGCTTGAATGATCACGAGAGAATATGGTACAACAGAAGAAGCAAGGTTCGAAAGATCATGTGTATATGCGTGCGGGGCAGTTGCTGCAAAGGGTGCAAGTTTAAACGTCGTTGTGAGACGTCGACGAGCAGGTAAGCAGCGAAGCGGGCAATTGCCGTGTCTACCATTCCTCTCTTTTTATTCGTCCCCGCAGACATAGAACAACCAACATCTCAAGACGTCCTCTCTCCGCATTCCCGAGTCTTGTACTTCCTCGGCTCGCACAAAGCAGCCACAAGAAGATTCACCCACGCTTTTCCCCCGCTTTGCTGCATTATCCAAGCGAACTCACCTCCACCACCGCCCTATATCACCCACCCACCCGTCAAGATGTAGGGCGAGCTCAGATGATTGGAAAGCCGGAAGCCGCCCCAAGTCGCGTGACCGATTCTCCATGCGGCCTGCCGCTTTCCCCCGTGAAACAAAACACGGCACACACATGCACGTTGCGCAACCCACACCACACGTACATATATTCCCGCAAGCCACACTTTTCTCACACACCCACATCCTTTCCTTCCCGTACCTCCCACACCATGACCGCACATGCGTGTGACACATGCCCCCACAGCACCACCCGCAAGCGCTCAAACCACGCCATCCTCCCCCCAATCCCGGGCCGACTTCAGGCTATTGGGCGCTTCATTCCTCCCACCCTTTCACCGTGCGTGCGTGTGTCGGCGCTTACGTCCCATCCCCTCACCTGCGGCGGGAGAGGCGTTTCTTTCCGCATGAAACAGTCTTTGACGGTTGGGGGCCGCCGAGGCTGAAAAGCGAGACATGTGTGTGTGCATGCCCTAATCTCTCCTGCGGGTCACCTTTCTCTTGTGTCACCCACCCACTACTCAAAAAAAAGAAAAAGAAAAAAAAACCATCGCAACTTCCGCATTCTGAGTACAAGTCCCGGGGCGTTCTTGCATGTGCGCGCTTACTTTACCCACGCAGATGCGTGGGAAAAAGGAGAGAACCAAGAATAGTCGATGTTCCTTTCGCCCCGCCTAAGCGCTCCTCCATCAGAGCATCGGGATGCTGCTTTGGAACTCTTACTGGTCGACGGTTGTCCTCCCGACTTTTTCTTCAGCCTTGTTTTCGTGTGTGATAGGCAACAACAATTCATTCTGCCGCCGCCCCTCGCCTCGGCGATTATACGCGTCTGCGCACCATCGAAGGCATTGGGTAAGCTGGTCGATTGAGTGTAAGAGTCATCCTTATTCATTCTCACCCACGGCAATGGTTGCCCTGCAGGGCTGCTGTGGCTCGCATGCTGACCGGTTGGAGGAGGCTGCACAAACAAGGCTGAGGGGCGTCAGAGAAAGGAAACTGCAACAACATGATGCATGCACGTCGGAGGCAAAATTGGAAATCCTTTTGCTGCACAGATTGACCGGTAATATGTGTATCTACACAAGGCTGAAGGAGTCATACGCAGCCACCGTTCCTCAAGATGAGGCTCTCGCACTGCTGCGTGTTCGACGTACTCAGCCTCAACCAAATGGTGAGGGCTATTCCCGACTAGTGAATCTTTGTAGCTCATGGAAACTTCAATTTCATATCACTACGACCACTACGCCTTGTGTGCATCTTTGCATAGTGCCTTCCTTTCCGACCCACGGTAAATAGTACTAGGAGCAATGAAGCGTGCAAATAATCGAAGTTGTACGAACGTACTGCCAGATGCTCAGTCCAGCTTTGGCAATTCGACCAAACAGCGAGGGTATATGATCCACTGCGCATCCCTTGTTTCCCAAACAGCCAGGCCTCCCTAACGAGAGGAAAAAATCGTGATGATAATAGCACCTTAGAGAAAACAGCCGACAAACAGTCAAGCATACCGAAACACGAACTGACCTGAAAATAAGCCGGAAAGAAAGCCGGAAAAGATAGTTCAAAGACAGAAAGCCGTGAACTTCACTTTTCATTCGAAAGAAATCGTAGGCGGGGGGTGGTCGCATATACAAGGATCCCACTTTGTATGTACTGAGCAGAAGAAGAAAAGTGGAAATAAAAGTACTTCTGCTTCAAGTCGTGGCTCGTCAATAAAGTTGATTCTCCTGAAATAGTAGGAGTCCCGCGATGGAGAAGAGTGCGGAAAAAGTAGAGAACCCAGACCGAGAAATGGGCAGTTGCACAAAAGCGAAAGATCAAAAAATAGTACGCTGCGGGTGCGCACGCGTACTGGTCATTTACACCCAGGACTCCCTTTGCCGCCGTTTCCCCAGAATTCATGCGTTTCGTTGTACAGGCCGTTTGAACTGTTCGATACGAGACAGCCGCCTTTGACATATGAGAGCGTTCAAAAAAAAGAAAAAACTGAAATCACGACTTCCCTGCCGAAGATTCCTCTTACCCCATGCATTTCGCCTGAACGATCCGAAACCGCCAATATTTATTCGTGCAATGTATACCAGAAAAAAAGTCGTACCGATCATTAAACGCGAGTCGAAGACGATCGAATCCGAGCCGGTGAGCATCAACAGATTTAGAAAGAGCAAAACTTGAAAGCAAGCCCCTCTAGAATCAAACAAATCCCCTTGACTTACTATTCCCTCTTCTCTATTCTCGCAACGCAGCCTGAAACAGTGCAAAAGGCCGCTACATGACTGTCTGTCCACGGGCCATAGGAGGTCGGGGCACCTCTACGTTGGGAAAGGCATACGCGCTCCTTTCGCGGGCGCCCCGAGGAGCGTAGCGAATGTCGGCCTCGGTGAATTTACGAGCGTACTGAACGTCCTGGGCGGTGTAGCTGTCGCCACGCCTCATCCCGGGGCGGACAGTGGGAATCTCTTCCCGACGCAACGGCGTCCCAGCATGTTTCGGGATCTCGGCGTAGAGGACGCCTGAGCGACTGCTGCGCTCGTAACCACGATCGTCATGCGACTGGCCACGCGCATAATCGGGGGAGCCGTAGGTGCGACTGCGACCACGCTCATAGACATCCTTCTGGGGCGATCGACCCGATGGAACTTGTTGCGTGGTTGCGCGTGACAGATGTGGCCTGCGCGTTTCGGTCTCGACGGGGTACGTGTAGCGAGCGGTCTTCTCCTGCTGCAGGGTGCGGGCGCTAGGCATCCTTTCGCGGCCACTGTCGTCACTGTCACGCTCGGGGTGCCTTTCGCCGATTGGAGAACGGCTAACGGGCTTGCGGGTAATACGCTCGCTGCTGCTTGTCGGCTCAACAGTGACAGTGTTGTAGACATCATCGTCCGTGGTCACTGCAACGCCGCCATCAGCGCCATACCGGTACGCAGTCCTCGTCATTCGAGATGCGGCTGCATTTCGGCTTTCCTTCTCTTTTTCCCTGTCAGAGATAGAAGGCGTGCTGGGCGATGAGTAGCCAGAGTCATGCATGGTGTGCCTTGGAGCCTCGGCGCGCATGTCGGTACGCAGCTTGGATGTGTTAGCCTTCGACTTCTCCTCGTGGCGCGCAACTTTCGTGGCGGGCATTGTCTCAGCCCGGCGCATCTTGGGTGGTGCCTGAGTTTCGTCTCTTTCCCTGCGCACGTCGTACGAATCAACGGTCGCAGATCGCTGAGTCTCGCCGCGCAGCGTTTGCTTTAGGGTAGCGGGCGAAGAGTCAGCCTTGTCAAGTGTAGGTCTTCTCGGATCCTCATCGTACTCGGCTTCAGCCGATCGCGTCGGCTTCCGCGACTTGTCCCGGCTACCGTGTCCGTGCCTGAAGCCTGAAAGGATCCACGGTTCTTTCGAAGCCGACCGTTTGGACGAGCTCTTTTCCTTCGGCCGGACCTGGGCATATTTTGTTGAGCGACTCGCCGAAGTGCGGGTTGGCGCATCATCTGGCGGAACAGATGTACCGCGATGATGTTTTGACATGTACTCCTTCGCTGCCGCGTCTTGGTCCATGTACTTCCTCTCGTACGAATCAACCTCAGGCCGACGACTTGATGATCTGCGAGAGGTTTCCCTTCCGCGAGCAGCAGCACGTTCCCGCTCTCTCTCTCTAGCCAGTTCTTCGTCCCGGCGCGCGGCTGCCTCGGCCTGTCTCCTGAACATCTCTTTCTCGCGTTGTTTCCGGTCCTCGTCTTCGGCGGCTTGACGCAGAGACTCTTTTCTCCTCCTATCCTCCTGGCGATAACGCTCCTCGGAATCGCTGTCATTGTAAACGGGTACGAATTTCTCTGTGCGTTCCCTCCTCTTGGTCTGATCCCGGGACTTTGCGCTGCTGTTGGTGGTCACGAAGATGTTGAAGGCGCTGGGACGACGCGATGACGACTCTTCCCGGCCGCGACTATACACATACTGGTGCTTGGTACTCCGGGACTTGACGCGAGGCTGCTCATCGTAGCGGTCATCGTCGTCGTAGGCGGCGCGTGTTCTTGATTCCTCGTAAGCTCTGGGCGTGGGGCGGGTGGCGTAGGTGGTGCCCGAAGGGGTTCTGATGTCGTAGTTGGCAGCAGGAGATGGACGGGCCGTGTCGGCCTTGGCAGCACCTCTCGCCTGCTGCCTTTCCATGGCCTCCTTCCGCAGCTCGGCGAGGCGGACCTGAGCATCGTAGCGTTCCCGCTTGTCGTCGTCACCGAGGATTTCGTAGGCTTGCTGGATCTTGTGGAACTCGGCGCCCTTCTCGGCCTTCTGCGCAGGGTCGGGGAACTTGTCAGGATGCGTCTTCAGCACCAGCTTGCGGTAGGCGGTCTTGATGGCGGTCGAGTCGGCATCTTTGGAGAGGCCGAGGGCGGCATATGGATCGGGAGGTAATGGAGAGCCCATGGCGACTATTGGCTGCAGGGGGCTCGTGCGGTGGTGCGTGGAGGAATTGCAGACAAAGTGCAGCAGCTAAAGCAAAGGAATGAATATGATAGCATTAGGTGGTGTCGGGAGCGGATGACGGCCCAGCGTCAGTATGCGGGCGTTGACGGGTGTGGTCAGTGGTGAGGGCGCGGGCCCCGGCTTGTAAGGAGATCGTGGAGAGACCTGTGCCCCTGGTCTGGCCGCCGATTGTCGCCCCACGAGATGCGCGCGAATCAGTGGGTGCGAGTCGGATGTGGTGGACGCAGGTAGGACGTGGCGAACGCGCAGGCTTTGTTAGGCTTGGTGAGGAAGCAAACGGAGTGGCCGTGGCAGGAACGAGGCTTAGCCCAGGCGCGGAATGCAGGATCGGAGCGGTGAGGTGCGTGCTGCGACTACGTCAATCGCGACGGCGGCGCTCCGCACTAACAGGGCTAAATGCTCCAGGCACGCGGCTGCTGCCAGTTTGTAGAAGGAGCAAGTGGCGGGGTGAGAGCGGGCGCTGGACGAAGGCACAGCGGGTGGCACTGCGGGCGCGCAAAAACCGTGTGGCCCTGGGCTGCTTATTGATGCTCAGCAACATCCAGGCGTCATTGGCCTTTGCAGCGTGCAAGATCCTCGTGCACTGCGTCCGATCACGCCTCGCGTCCAGCCCGGGCCCTCACTCGCCCACTCGCATCTGCCCCCAGCCCACTCGCCGGCCAAGCGCATCGTGACCCGTCCAGCGACAAGCAGCCAAATCACAGCCAGCCCGCGGGTGTCGCGGCCGCCGCGGCGGTTAACACAGCGCCCAGCCAATCGCCGCGCTTGCCCCCCTCGTAGCCGGCCCTCCCGCGGCCGGCCTTCGCTGCGCCCTCGGTCGCATCCACCAGGTCGCACGCTTCTGGAAATGTACCACTTTCATTACGGATCCGCGGGGAACAACGTGGTGTGACAGGCAACCTGCCAGCGCCAACCTCGCCATTCAGGTCCCGTACACGGCCCACGGCCATGGGGCTGCAGGATTGCGCGCTGCAGCCGGCCACTCCAGGCGCTGCCATTCCGGCGGATCTAGGCAAGATCTCCTACTGATCGCCCTGTCCAACACTCTCAAATCCCTCACCCAACCCGCGCTCTCGATCCGTTCCGTACTCCGGCCCCCATGACCCTGCCGGCCGTCAGGGATCGCCTTGCTGAGCTGGACCGGCACTACTGCTGCGGGGCGCGCAATGGGATCCAATCGATAAGACAGCGTCTAGCCGCTTGCGGGCACGTGGGACTCCTTACGTGTGCTGCCATGATTGCTGGTGCAGGCTTCGGGAAGCCGCTTGAAGCTGTACCCATTGTGGGCCATGATGAACTCACGGTACATCACCGCTCGGCCCTGGTGCAACGTGAACCTCTCCCGGCCGCACGGGTAAGTCGATGTCGACGACGATCGGCTTGTTGAAACGCTTCGGTCCGCTGTTTCCGTAGTAGCTCTTCGCCATTATGGCTGCGTTTACGATGCACGTCTCTCGCCTGCCCAGCCTGCCCTCCAGCGCCCGGCTGTCCAAGCGAGAAATGAGCTGGCCGCCGTTTTGAGCTGTCGCAATCGCCGTCGGAGGCTGGAACGGTCTGAAAGCGCTCTCGACGAGGCGGTTGGCAAGAATGACATCAGGCCGTGACGAGGCTGTCTGATGAACTGTCGAGCCTGCGAACGACACGCTGTTGGACACGACGGGGCTGGTGTGGACGAAGTCGTTGTCTATTGGGCTGCCTCCCCTCACGCTGAGGTCCACAAGCGACTGCTTGTTGCTGCCTGTCCCCGGGTCTGTCCAAATGTCCGTCTGCTCTTCCAGCACGCCTGCCATTGGCAGGTCGATCTTCCAGCGGACGCGTTCAGATCCTCTCCCTTCATGCCGATGCCCGCACACATGCAGACCAGGGCGTATGCGCATAAGAGCCTCTCGCAAGGCTCTACAGCCATCTGCAAGGCCCTTGGAGTTGGTGTCACAATGGAATTGCGGGGGAGCATGGGTGATCAACACATCCGTGTCCAACGGGATCCCGTCCCACCACCTGGTCCCGTCTTCGCGATTGTACTGGAAGGCCCACTTGCCGCATTCCGGCGAGTACGGACTGCCGAACACATTGAAATAGGTGCGTGGCCCGGCAGGAGCTGTCAATTGGATGGTGCGAGCCTCGTGCTCGAGGTAGGTTATTGTTGGGGATGATTCCAGAAGCTGGGCGCATTCACTGGGATTCTGGGGAAGCTGATTATGGAAAGATGCGCCGTGCTGATGGTAGAATGCTTCGTCTAGGGTAACGTCGTGGTTTCCTGCACAGATTAGCTGATGGCTTGGCGGCGACGCAGCAAGAGGCATACCAGCCACCACGAGCTTGATCTCGAAATCGGCGTTCTCCAGCCATGTGACGGTCTTGCGAAGCTCTGAGATGCTGCCCTGATTGGTGAGATCGCCCGCATGGATAAGCACGTCCCCTTTGGGCAGCTTGGGCGTCTGGTTGTGCGTGTCAGAGACGCAGACGAAACGCGTCCTGCGGAGGCTGCGCTCGGAAGTCATACGGCGCGCCCGCGGCCTCTCAGACAAGGCGATATAGACACAGGAGGGGGTGCGGCGCAAAGGGTTGCTGCAGCTCGGGTCGCGTGGTTGTCGGCAACTGAAGGAAAGAAGCGTCGGCCCTGACGTCGAGCGCAGAGGCCGGACCGCGCCCTCGCCGCTTTTCCCCGCAACGCCGTGCCCCAACGCGCGCCCGTCACGGAAACTTATCCGGGGATGGCGTGGAGTTCAATCGCTGTTTCCTGCACCGAAGCCGGGCCCCGCTGACCTGATGCGGCTCGAGCTGCCGGCTGCCGATGGGGCTTCAAAGTCTTCAAGACGGCTGCTTTGCCATTGACTGTCCGAACCAACAACCATGGCTCCCATCAAGAACCTAGAGTATTTTCGCGTCGTGCCCAGGTGGTTGTTTGTCAAAATCACCGACGATGCCGGCAACTTTGGCTGGGGTGAAGCAACGTTGGAGGGGTGCGTGCCAAACCCCCCACCAGAAAGATTAGCGCTCACCAAGTCTGCAGTCACACCGAAGCCATTGAGGGCACCTTGAACGAGTTCAAGACACGCATCCTCGGCCTCGACGCCGACGACATTGAGCACATCTGGCAATTAATATGGCGTCTCGGTAAGTTCCAAATTACAGCCTCGGGATGCCAATTAACATGAATCCAGGCTTTTACAGAGGCGGCCCCGTCTTCATGAGCGCTCTGTCTGGCATTGACATTGCTCTCTGGGATCTCAAGGGCCGCAGGCTAGGCCAGCCAATCCACCAGCTCCTCGGCGGCAAGGTCCGCAATAAGGTCTCCGTCTACGCCTGGATCGGCGGCAACCGGCCCAACGACGTCGAGGCCGCGGCCAAGGCGCGCAAGGCCCAGGGCTTCAAGGCCGTCAAGATGAACGCCACCGAGGACATGAACTGGCTCGACTCGCCCAGCGTGCTCGAGTCGGCCGTCGATCGCCTCAAGACGGTGAAGGCGCTCGGCATGGACGCCGCCATGGACTTCCACGGCCGTGTGCATAAGCCCATGGCGAAACAGCTCGCCAAGGCCCTCGAGCCCTACCACCCGCTCTTCATCGAGGAACCTCTCCTATCAGAGCACCCGGAAGGCGTCAAGCAAATCTCGGAGCTGACGACCTGCCCAATCGCCCTCGGCGAGCGCCTGTTCAACCGGTGGGACGTCAAGCGTTTCCTGCAAGGTGAGTGATGACCCGCCTGCATCCCCTGCCAAATCGAGACTGAGGCTCGAAACACAGACGCGTCCGTCGACATTTTGCAACCCGATGTCTCCCACTGCGGCGGCATCTCCGAGATCAAGAAAATCGCCGCCATGGCCGAGGCGTACGATGGTAAGTGAAGTCACTGCCTGCAGACGCTGCCGCTTCCAGCCTCGCTCACCGCTTTCTGCGTAACAGTCGCCATAGCGCCGCACTGCCCTCTGGGCCCCATTGCCCTGGCAGCTTGCCTACAGATCGGAATCAGCACTCCCAACCATGTGATCCAGGAGATGTCGCAAGGAATCCACTACAACACCGAAGCGGGCGATTTTGACATCCACAGTTACGTCACCGACGCCAGTGTCTTCACCGTCAAGGACGGCTACGTCGATGCCCTGACCGGCCCCGGCCTTGGCATTGAGATCAACGAAGAGCTTGTCCGCCAGGTTGCACAGACAGCAACGCCCTGGCCCAATGGAGAGTTCTACGGCCCTGACGGAAGTATCCGAGAGTGGTGAGTTGACGCCTAGTTTGCGAATACATAACTAGATATAACAACCGAAAGCTAGCGCAAAGAATAGACTGACATTCCACGCCAATTATCTTTACGAGAAAATCTATTTGTGTGGCGAATGGAATCCATCGTCTAGACGTGAATGTGCCATTCTACCATTTTCTTTAGCCAATTACTTCAACCACCTATCACACACATTTAGACAGGCGTCCGATGCACAGAAAAACAAATTCAGGCTAGCGTTCGGCTGCAATACCCATCTCTAAGCGATTCGGGAAGTATGGCGAGATTTAGTTCAGGGCACTTGAAGGCTTCGTCTAAATTATACGACGAGTCAGCAACATGTGAAAAAAAAGTAAAGGGTCAGAAAAAGAAAAAGGCGGAATGACACGGCCCGCTGACGGGATGACCCTCAGCTTTGATCCCTTAAGCATCTGTCAGCGATGACGAACAGGGGCTGCTGTGGCGGGGTTTGAGTGTGGCGCTGTGGCGAGTCGAGCCGCGTTAATGCTTTTTTGAATCTTATCTGCATGGCGTGGGGGTAACCATCCGGTTCCCTCCGCCTGGATGAGTGATACCGTAAGCATTACGAGCCGCATACTTCCGCACTGCGCCACCGCAGCTGTCGGTTCCACCATAGCTTCGAGAACGCTGAGATGCAGATACGAAAGACCTGTGTACGGACACGAATCCAGCTCTCGTCTATTTCTCGTGTCCTGAGAAGAGGGGGAAAATCTCCTCATCAGCGTTCGAAGTCACGAGCCAATGTCGCAACGCAAGCATCCGATTTCCATAAACAGATACAACCTAGGCGCAATCCTCCGACGAAAATGCCTCCAACTCGCTCAGACACACCACATGACTGATTCAATGCTATCTCAAATCGATACACAAGAAAGAAAAAGAAGAAACAAGAAGAAAGCAAAGAGAACCCCCGAAACCCCACCCACATAGAATGTTATGCCCTGTTTGAACAACGCCATTAACTCTCCCAACGCATCCTGTGGTATCGAGCAGAACAAGAACCGCAATGCCAACTCCACCATCTCAATCCGCCCAGCAATTAACCCCAACCAGCTACCCACAACTCTCCGCACGTCGTCAAATCCAATTATCCATCGCCCTCCTCCTCTCCTTTTCTTTTTCCTTCTCCCTCTCCTCTCTATCCCCCATAATCCATTCCAGACCCCTCTCCGGCAACCCCTTCCACTTCTTACCGTGGTGATGGCCGCTCGCACCACCAGCAGCCGGTGCTCTTCCCCCGCCGTTGTTATTGTTGTTGTGGTGGTGGCTGCCTATGCCCTGGAACCGCCACTGCCTGTCCCTCGCAGCATCTAGCCGGGCCTTGAAGCTCGCCGCACCCGACGATCCCATGCCTCCGAAGAGCGCCAACGACGAGGCGGCGCCGCCGGCGGTGGCACTGGGGTACGCGCCACCCGAGCCGCCCGTGCTCAGATCCACGACGTGCTCGCTGGGCAAGGCGACCTCCGCTTCACGGAACTCGAGTGGCTGTCGAGCGTGCTGATCTGCCCCGGGTGGATGCGGTAGCGGAGGTGGCGGGAAGAGCAGTATGGCAGACGTGGTGGGGTTGCTGCCTGCGCGTGAATGGGAGCGGGCGGAACCTGGAGGTCCATGGAGGCTGGTGGACTGCTTGAGGCCGAGAGCTGGGTGGGGATTATGGTGGTGATTGGGTAAGTAGCCATGTGTTGCAGATGAGGAGCGCTGGCTGCGGGTCGTTTCGTTAGAGCGGGAACGTACGTGGCGGAGACGATTCCTCATGCTTTCGACACTGCCGATTTCCATGAAGCGGCCTTGACGATTTTCGTTCGATGGCGTCTCGAAACCCGGGCTGGACGCGTTACGGCGGTGCTGTCGTAGGGGCATACTGGCAAGTTGGTCGTCGCTGTCATGATTATCGCTGGCGCTGGAACAACCACCACCCAAATTGTTGCTGCTGTGATAGCCATACCCCAGTCCGACGGCGCTATTCAGGCCGATGGTATCGGAGCTGAATTTGCGGCCTATACGTCGGCTGGCGAGCTTTGGGGTGGCACTCTGGACACGCCTGACTGCATGTTCTTTCTTGACTGAGGTGCTGCCATCAGGCTGGATCGTAGTAGTGAGTTTGGTTGCCGGTTTGTACTTGCGTGGTGAATGTTCAAGCAGATGGCCGAGCTCGCGCAGGTCTTCCGCCTCGGCACGCATGCGGTCAAGAGATTGCATGCGAGGTGCTGCAAACGCTCGGCCTTGGACGGACCGTGACGGCCGCCGGGACAGTGTACGAGCCCGACGATGAGCAGGATGCCCTCGTTTCTCTTCGATTGCAGCCGCTACTTGAGCAACGGAATTTGGAACAACATCAAGCGAGTTCTGTTGGTGATTAGTGGCGGCGAATCCATGGTGGAGAACTACAAGCAAGCATACCATGTGTATCAGGACAATAGGGAGCTGAACAGTGACAAGTTTGCTGTAATATGTCAGGGACTCGAACTCGAACCTTCCTCGCATGAATCAAGAAGCCCACCTGTGTGTGCTGCTGACTACAATGTTGAGGAAGTAGCGGACTTCAAAGAACTTGCCTGCGTTTGGTCAGCAATGGACTCGGCCAAAGAATTAAAGTTAGAATCTTACCACATTTGACAGTTGCATGTCCGCGCGGAAGCTCCAGGTCGCATGTTCTTGTGACAGTCGTATGGGGAGCAACTCCAGACCAGCCGTGCATGCCCTGCTTAATGGAAGTTTTGGCAAATACCGTGCGTTCGTTGTTATCAAAAATCCGAGCCTGGCCGGCCGACTTTTCCAGTGTCGAGGCTGCAGTCTTTTGTGACTCTTAGAAAGATAGGTCCCCAGCGGAACAATGAGAGAGACTCACATGTTTGTAGCATAATATATCCCTTTCCAGCTGCAGCTCAAGTTTCTTGATGGTTTTTCGGCTATTGTTTGCAATGTGCACGTCCACAAATATGCATGTTCCGCTGACCCAGACTTGTCGGTGGAGTCCAGCTGTGACTCGTATGGCTTCAATGCCTCCTTCCTTCTGACGCATATACTCATCCGAAGCTGTTAGCGGGCTTGGTAGGGACATGAGGGCCTTTTCTGCTGTACTGATTTCAGTATCAGCTCCAATGCGTAGTCCAGAGGGATCTTACGATCGTAAACGGAAAGCAGTGAAACTCCCTGTGAGGTTCGAACCAGATATTGAACGCCTTTGTCCCGGACGAGAAGAGTGCAGCACAGCACATAGCGAATGCGAGCAAGCTTTGACTGAAATGGTGGTGGTCCGACATCCAGCGGTAGGCTAATGCTAAACGGCATTGTTGTGGTGGAGGGGTTCAGAAGCCAAAACGGATCGAGCGGAGACATTTGCCTGACGGAGTCCACCATGTTGTCTGGCGGTGGGTTCTCTGAGTCGATCAGCTCTGTTGCCAGGTTCATGAATATATCTCTCTTTCCGGTCCACATTTCCTCCACCCCCAGAAGGTCCACCGAAATTCTTGCGATTGCCAGAGCTCGCTTATGGCGTTGACGCTCTGCGTCCTCAACCGTAATGTGGACATTGCCCTCGAGGCTACCACCTCCCACAAACAATGGTGCTGCAAGATGTATATCAACCGATACGCGAGGGTGGCGGTGCGTTGGGAACTCAACCATTTCATCGGAAGCATCCCTCAAGAACGTCCTGGAAGGAATTCGCTGCACAACATCCGAAGAGACTGGATCCAGGCGCGCAGCTACCTCGCGTACTGGTGATTTTGAAAGTCCCCGGTTGGGTATTGTGAAACCCCGTCCCCGCGGAGCAGGCGGGGGCAGCAATGGACCACGATTCATAGGGTTCGCTCGATTCTCCCGACTGCGCGATGAGCCCCTGGCCGGTATGTTTGCGATAGGTATACTGTAAACACTAGAACGGTCGCTGCCTGGAGTGTGGAATGGCGAATGACGCCCGCGGCGGTGCTCCGAACGCTGGCTGCCTGCAGGCGAAGGAGCGGTTCTGAAAGACGGTCTCCGGGTGAGAGAGCCTTTCCTTGATAGCAACGATCCCTTCCTTGTTAGAGAACACTTGCGGACCACCCCGCATTGGGTAGGCTCTGATGGTAAAGGCTTGCGGTTTGTCAGTTCAAGCAGGCTCGGTTCTGTGAGTTCGCGGATATCGGAAAGAGGACGCGTTAGAGTCGACCACGGCGGTACACCTGCTGTTGACCATGCAGGTGCCTGGTTCATTTGTGGGGTATGGTTCCTCGGGACAGGCGCCTCCGGAGTTTGCACCGATCGATTACGCGCGTGAAATGCGCTCTTTGGGAGTGCTGAGTGTGAGAGCTGAGGGCGAATGACTGAACGTGGAGGGCCCTTTTCGGGAGGTGGTTGAACTGATTCTGAAGCCCTCAGCATCTCTCATCGGCAGCCCGGCCAACTTAGACGAAGTACCATGAAGCCTTTGTGTGGGCGGGCCAGGCTTGGTGATGTCGACGCCCGGAACGACTGGATGCGATCTCAACTGCCGGTCTTGTTAGACGTGAAGAGGGGCGGATCTGGAGAGCTGGTTACTGGGTGCATGAAGGAACCCGCGACGCGCCTAAGTGGTATACTGCATAGTTCTGACCCGCAAACTTGTGTCAATCGGTGAGGTGAATGTTGCGAATCGGAATGTCAATCCACAGGGCTGGGTAGATCGATCGGACGGGAGATCTGACTGGATGTTCGCACCTGCCGTTAGGTACCGATGGCCGCAACAGCAGCTACGACAATGACGAAGCCTGAACGAAGAGAGCCAAACACGTTCCTTCCACGATCGAAGAATAAGCTTGCCAAGAATGCTTGATTGCTGTTCACTCGCATACGAGCGGTCAGTGCGGCTGAATTACTGGGTGGTGTCCAGATAGGCGCGGCTCGATAACTGGCATTATTGGGAACTTTCGTGGACCTGGAGACATTGCCTTCGTTCTTTCGTAACAGAAAAAATACAGTGGAAACATGGGCTGCCGTATTTGCCGACGTGATATAGACTTAAGTTGTGATTATCATTGAACCGCAACCACACCAGAATCTACGTCGAGGTCCCAGACACTTGACTCCTGTACTTTTTCATGCATCGCTTACTAGCGAGCCGTGTGCTCTGCCCATTTTGTGCGTTGATATCCTGGAAGGTAGGATTCGCATAATGGCCCTTCAAGTGTTACCATACCCCTATAAGGCCAATGACACGGATTCCGATCGCTCCCCAACCAACGGTGTAATTCCATGGATGAATCTTCGAATTCCATTGGTCGTTTTACTCCGAAATCTGAGTGGCGACAGGCCACATGATGAACATATCGCTGACATTTCCAAAAGCCCTCGGATTGGATGAGTGAATCTCGATAGGTCCGCGGGCGCCTCTGCTTGGTGGATAAGGCCACGGCTCCTACACGAACACAGGCGCCACACATTTTGCGGCAGAAGCGTTTAACGTTTTGAAACGAGTTATTGCATGGGAAACGGCAGCGTGCCGAGACATGGCTCACAATGCTATGATGATCGAGGGTCTATAACAACGTTAGTAGATACGGAACGACGATACCCTACTCCGTACAATGCTGATGGCGGCTGAAGTTCGACAAGCGGCCTGAAGGTGCTGGTTCCGGTGCGAGTGAATAGTAAACATTACGAACTGCGGCTCAGACGCGCATCTCCCGGGAGGCACAGTCAGACTCTCCGTTCGAGGCCCCGTCTGGCGGTATCGGAGACCGGATCCCGCATACTGGTGGAATTGCGAGCGGCATCATAGCACCCTTCTCAACCATCACGCGCACCCAATACCGGCTTCCGAAGTGTTAGGGGGAACAGTGGTGCGGCAAGACTCACGATGCAGCGGAAGGATGGAGAGGCACGCGCGCCGCAATTGGCATGGCGCACAGGTACATCACGCCAGGCTATGCCCGCTCCGTCACCACAGACCGGCGATGATGAAGGGCCTCGGGCTGGGCGGGGTACAGCCGAGAGCAGGTGACCTAACATACGAACTCGAGCCACCGACAGGCTGATGCAAAACGTGCGCATAGAGGCCAGGCCAGAGGTCAGGGATGAGCAGCAGGCGTTCGCTGGCGTCACGGGCGGCCAACACAGACCCGCCTGGCTCGCCCGAGCCATCGCCAGAGGTCAGCCGCCGCGGAGAGTGTGGGGTGCAGTCGCCTCTCTGCAACGCGCGGTCGCAGCAGCAGTCGTCAGCAGCAGGCAGGCGCTGCGGCGCGAGGGACGCGAGCTCCTGGGAGGGAGAGGGCTCTTCTTGAGCGGGTGCTCAGCCGCATCGACGTGCTCCACAGCGAGCTCCGAGGAGAAAGCGGACGTGCACGTGGACGCTTGGCCGCTCTCAGCAAAGGAATCCCGGCGGGCGCAGACGCCAGGCGGCGGGCGCGACGCTGAGTGGTGAGCATGGCAGACTGCACGCGGGCTCGGGTCGTGTGCAGCAGCAGCAGCTCTCGAATCGCAGGCAGGCTGGAGGCTGAGGAAACGGGCGCGGTGCGTGGCAGCTTGAGCGGGCAGGGGCCGCGGTGCGGTGCGGGCGGGCGGACGATGGCGCTGATTGGGCCGCGAGGGAGGCCTGGCAGACGAGGGGCAGGCCACAGCGACAGACTGCTGGTCGTCGCAGCGGCGGCGGGCGGGCTTTGAGGTCGGCGGCGCGCTCGGAGAGGCAGCGCGCGGACCGACGCAAGAGGGCGGGCGGCGGCGCTCTGGTGAAAAAGTCTGCGGACGGGCTCCGACGTCGCATCTTGGCCTCAAAGACTTTGAAATTCCCCCGGCCTGCTCCCCTCTGGTCCGCTCTGTTTCCATTACCCAACGTCTTACCTCACGCCAACTTTGCCCGCCCATCCACCGTCAACGCGAGGTTATCTTTCTATTATCAACATTATCAAACGCCCCGACAAACAGACTCACGTCAAGCGCCCCGGATCGCCCGAACCGGCGCAGAAGCGCGCGTGCCCCCCCGACTTCGCGTCTGTCCCGCCGCCTGACTGGCCCAGGGCGCAGATGGGCGATAACAACACCGCCAAAGATACGCCTGCCGCAGTAGGCAAGTCGGAGGAGCCGTCGAGGGATGGCTCGGCCAGCTCTATCGCGACCACCCCCGAGCCCGAGGCGGAGTCATATAGCGCCCAGGAGCAGCCCCAGCAGCAGCAGAAGCGCAAGGGTGGGCGTAAACCTGTGAGCTCTCCACCACTCGCTGCACATACTTCGCACCCCGCGCTATGTCTCGCCCACCGGTGCTAACTAAGCGTCGCAAGATCTATGCCACTTCTGAGGAACGCAAGCAGCGCAATCGCCAGGCCCAGGCTGCCTTCCGCGAGCGCCGCACCGAGTATATCAAGCAATTGGAGAGCACCATCAAGCACCATGAGGAGACGCTGCAGACGCTGCAGCAGAACCACCGCAGTGCTGCAGACGAGTGCTTGATGCTTAGGTACAAGAACTCGCTGCTGGAGCGGATCCTGCTGGAGAAAGGTACGCCCACCTGGGTGCTTCCACAGCTACACCGAGTCTGATACCCCGCAGGCATTGATGTCCAGGCCGAGCTCCGTGCAAAGACGGGCAGTCCGCACCTGGGTCCAACCCGCGTGCCGCCCCCAGGATCCGCCGTGCAACCGCCAATGCAACGGGCCATTATGAACCGGCACCAGCAGGCGCGTCGCTCCTTTGCAGGTTTCCCCCAGAAGGTTGAGGGTGCGCAGGGCTCGCCGCTCGCCCAACCTGACGGGTCGGTGCCAAACCATTCGCCCCATTCACAGCCTACTCCAGCTTCTCACATGTCTTCTCCGTCGACTTCTGCCACGAAGTCGCCCAATTTCATTCCTACCATTTCGCCCAATATGGGTCCTGTGTCTCAATCGCAGCAGCAGCAGCAGCCACCTCAACAGCAGCAATTACGTCCACAGCCAGCTAGGTCACAGTACAACCCGCTTCCGCACCAGCGCCCCTCGTCTCTCAACACGCAATTCTCGGTGGGCAGCGGCCTGCCGAGCGCGTCGTCGGTCAACAGCGCAACAGGGAACGGTATCTCGGGGAACGGCCCGTCCGCCTTTTACCCGTCACCGTTCCAAAGCCACATGGACCAGCTCGGCAAGTTGTCCCGCTCCCTGATACGTGCCTGTAGGCATAGAGCTCTGTTCGTCCTAGATTGACCTCCGTGCATACAGAACAGGAATACGATGCGCAAGCCGACATGATCGACGACCGAGACGCCAGCGAACACTCCGCCTCCACCGCACCGTACCCGCAGCAATTCCCACCGAACATGCAGCAGCCACAGACCACGCCGCAGCTCCCGCCCCAGGGGTCCGGGCAGATGGCACCACAGCAATTCCACGGGCAGCAGGATCAGTACACATCGCCACAGGCGCTGCAGCCGGCCGACGGCCAGCACAGCGGCTATGCCATGTCGGGCAACATAAATCACGGCTTCGACCCATACGATCCGATTCTCGACGCCGACCCATTCGGACTCTCGGCCAGCATGCACTTCCCGACGCAGTTCTCGTACCAGACGGGATGAATGTACAGATGACGCTCTTCACTATTTGACGAGTTATGTTTTGGACATAAAAGTACACCTTGTAATGTAGCGGGCGTTTTTTGCGGGCCAGGGTCTGGGAACACGAAAATTGGGCACACGGAGGCGTCCTGAGACGGGCCAGAGGGCAACTGTACAGTCAGTTGATCGGGGACAGTCAGACGAGCAGTTGTACACGGCGCAAGCGCGCACGAGGGATCGTCCTGATGCGCCGGCTCGCCCCGATGTACATACGTAGCTATTCCAAAGACAGGCCGCCAGTGCGCTGCGTCATGCGGCTGACGGTGGAGCAAGGAATCCATTGCTGTCCCAATTCGTGCTGTGCATGCCGTTGAAAAAGTGCGTGTTTCGTCGAGAATGGGGGAGGTGGTGCTGCGAAGGCTGGTCTGGCGTCTTGTTCCGCGCTCGCTTAGGCTTGGCCCGACCACAATGAGATAATTTCGTCAACGTCCAACCACGGCCCGGCTCGACGACACCACCCATCGTCCTCGACCGCGCACACACGTCCTCGCAGTCGCGACATCAGACGGAGAGTCCAGATCCTTTGCTCCCGGGGTCCGACTCTCGCACTTTTCTCCAGATCCCGACCAGAGTGCGTTCCTAGAAGGACAAGCGCGAAAGGCGCTTTCTTCGTCGCCATGTCTGGCAGCATTGCATCCAAGGTCAGTACAGCCATCGCGGCCGCGCCCGCAGCTTGCACCGCGAAATCCGCAGCTCTTGCGCCCATCAATGCCTGAATTTTGCTAACTGGCGCCCGCACGCAGAACCTCTACGAGCTCCTGGGTAACTCTCACCTGCTGCAACCCCGCAACCGCGTCCGCAAATTTCATCTCACAACTCTCGCTAGGCAACGACCCGGAGCTTGACCCCGAGAGGAAACAGCCCGAGCCGCCCACCAAGGCCATTGACAAGCCCGCTGCCCGCACCGGCAAGCGCAACGCTGGCGGCGACGCCCCGGTCAAGGACGCTCGCACCACCGCTCCCCGCGGCGGCCGCCCGCAGTTCTCGGGAAGCGAAGGAGGTAAGAATGCGAAAAAAAAGATGACCCGCGAAGCTCCCGTCTCGATTGCATTGTGCCGGCAGCCCTTCGCAATTGACATGATCCGCGGCTGACGCCGTACCCCGCAGCTTTCCGCGACCGCAACGCTGGCAGCGCCAACAACCGCGGCAAGCCGACTGACGATGGCCTCCGCCAGGACCGCCACCCCAACCGTCTGAGGGGTGAGTTGCGCGCATGACGCTTATTGTCTCAGGTCTAACTGAACGCAGGCGAGCAGCGTGGTGGCCGTGGTGGCAAGGGTCCCCGCCGTGACGACCGTCACAGCCGTACTGGCGTCTCGTAAGAAAAATCAACCACCCAACTGCACCCGATGACCTGAATTCTGACCCGCTTGCAGCGATCACCCCAAGCAGGTCCAGCAGGGCTGGGGTGGTGAGGACGGCCCCAAGGAACTTGCCGACGAGCAGGCCGGTGAGGCCATTGCCAAGCAGGAGGAGGATGCCGCTGCCGGTGAGGCCGCCGAGGACGCCGTCGAGAACGGCGCTGAGGAGGAGAAGGTCAAGAGCTACGATGACTACCTTGCTGAGATCATGGAGAAGAAGGCTGCTCTCGGCGCCAACATCGAGGTCCGCAAGCCCAACGAGGGCGCCTCCAAGAAGTTCCCTGAAGGCAAGGCCATCGAGCACGCCGAGGAAGAGGTCTTCTTCATCGGTGATGGTGGCAAGAAGGGCCGTGAAAGGAGCAAGAAGGAGAAGAACCAGCTCGACCTCGGTGACATCTACGGCCGTGGTGAGGAGCGCGGCGGTTTCCGTGGCGGCCGTGGCGGCCCCCGTGGTGGCCGGGGTGGTCCCCGCGAGGGTGGCTTCCGCGGTGAGGGTCGCGGCCGTGGTGGCCGTGGCGGCCGCGGTGGTGAGCGTGGCGGTGCCGTCCGTGGTGGTGCTCGCGTCAACCTCAACGACACCAGCGCTTTCCCCAGCTTGGGCGCATAAACGAGCCGACCATCGAACACTCGGCGTATCCTGATCCCAACATGATCGGATCGGACTGAAACTGGATTCACTACTCTATGCTAAGCTATCTTCGGGCTGCTGGCATCATATCAAGCTTTTTCCCAATATTGCAACTATGATGGACATCGAGGGCTCGTCTTTACTTACTGGGAGGAGCTGCGAGGTGTATTCAATCAAAAAATGGACAGACAGGCAATGTACGAGACCTTTTGCAAAGTTGTGCGTCATCCGTTTCTGGGTCTTCATGTGATTTTTTCCTATGGTGCATTCCGGCTTGCTCTTTGATTTTCCAATTATTCCCACTGCGCTGAGAGGGAGTAGGGTGACTAGCTCTTGAGGGAAGCTTTTCCATGTCTCTGGTGGTCCAGCAGCCTTGGCTCTAAGTTGTTCAAGGTAATTTCTCAAGTGATCGCTACTCAACGAAACCCCGAACCCCCATGCACCTGTGGTGATGGAGAATGGCATTGCGCTGCCGAGTGACCCATGGAAATGCATGGCACGGAAGTCTTCCGTATTTGCTTAGGTATGTCTACTTGGGGCACTGCTTGACACCTTTCCTATTGCTACCAAGTTCATACGATGACGCCATTGTATCAGACGAATCGTGTGACGTTCAGACAAACTTTCCTCACCTAAAAATCTTGACCCCCTTTCCTCTTGCATGACGCCCGCTTCCGTATTGCTTTGTGGCGGCAAAAGAATAAAAAAAAGCGCAGAACGAAATGTTGATGGCTATTGTGTATTGTCCTGTTGTATCGTTTAAAAAAAATCCTCGACTCTTGGTCATGACTTGACAGGACAGAGTGAGACCCAATCCTCCCCGGCCCCTTCTTTTCTCTCCGGCTCTGCTCACAAGGTTGAATGTGTTATGAACCCTTGTCAAAAGCAGCAGGATTTAGTCTATCTTCAAGACATGACTATCATTGTCGAACGAGTGTTTATGAGTATAACAATGCTTGTTGCGAAAACGCGAGCAAAACACCTCACACCTGTCAGTGTGTAAGAGACGAGAATTAGGAGTTTGGACATTTATATATCGCGCAAATGGCAGCTCCTTCCCGGCTGTCTTTAACGAGCACGTAGAATCATTCAGGTGGCTAGCCGCCGTAAGTGCTATCCCATGTTATTCATCTTCTGCAGCTCAATACCGTTGGATCTGCTGCTATGTCCCAAGGAACACTGTCATGCGTTGTTAAGTTGTCTCAGGACCAGTCCCTGAAACATTCCAAGTCCACCTAAGATATTATTCTAGACACAGTACACCGGTACATCACCAGTAAAAGGCACACCACAGAGAATTTTTGAACGAGGGGTTTTATTGTTCTTTCTTATACACTACAGCGTGAATACTCGGACCATAGTGGCGTCGCGGCATGGAATCCTCCCATCGTGACCAGCTACTATCAATGCCAAAACCCATGCTTGTTCAAATTGCCGCCGACACGCCCCATTCGGTATTGCCCGTTTCCCGTTTCCCCATTTCCTTCATGCTACTAGCTGTGCGTAGGACGGATGCTCGCTTCTTGTCCTCGAACCACTGATCCCAGCCCTCCGATTGTCCCATCAATGCCGCCCGAAAAGAAAAGAATCTGCAAGCTCCTTTTCCCCACCCACACGCCCTTCCTGCTCAAACCAAACAACTTGAGAGGAGAGGTATAAGAGGTCATTGTCGTTTCCATATTCGCCCAAGATTCCCGAGTCACTGTAAGAAGAGAAGCGAAAGGTTTCTGACATAGAAAGAATGCCCAAAAAAAGAAGTCTAACCACGAAAGGAAAAAAAGGCCCTATCGTATCATGACAATAAGTGCTAGTCAACACTTGACTACTCATACAGCATCCGAAAAAACTTTGTTTCAAGCCAAAACGCATCAACCCTTCATCGTCGCCAGGAAATTGTCCAAATCGAATTCTTCCTGGTACTGGCGTTCGTCCCAAAGCTCGCCGAGTTCGTCCAAGAAGCCCTTCTTTCCCTTCTCTCTGACCTCGCCGGTCGCGTCGACGGCATCGTCTTCGTTAATGGTGTCATTGTTCGCGCCGCCTGGATTGGACATGTCCGCGCCATCTGTCGATAGGTTGAAGAGGTCAAGGATTTGATCTGTTTCCATGGTGCCCAACCCGGCGTTTTGTTGATTCACGACCGTACTAGCAACGTCGATCTTGAAGCGCTGGAGGCTAAGAATCTTCTCTTCAAGCGTGCCGCGGGTGACAATACGGTAGACATTGACAACCTTCTTCTGGCCGATGCGATGGGCGCGATCCATGGCTTGCATGTCCTTTTGCGGGTTCCAGTCGTGTTCCACAAAGATGACAGTATCAGCACCAGTTAGGTTGAGGCCCAGACCACCAACGCTGGTGGTGAGCAGCAGAACGTCGTAGCTGGGATCGGAGTTAAACTTGTTGACGATCTCCTGGCGACGGCTGGCTTCGACACCACCATCGAGGCGCATGAATTGTACGGAAGGCAACATTTTCTTGAGCACAGTGTCCTGAACCATGTCCAGCATTTCCTTCATCTGACAGAAGATGAGAGCGCGATGCGGGGAAACGGCTTCCGCGGCATTTGGAATGTCGCCATGGCCTGCGCCTTCCGACGGTGTGGTTCCGATACCGCAATCCAGGAGAAGATCGCGAAGGGCATTGAGCTTGGGTGCATGGGCGGGATCGGAAAGGTTGCTGCCGCTCTTGGAAAGGTAGTTCTGGATATCCTGGTACTGTTTGTGCTCCGGCTTCATGACTAGCGCTGGGGAATTGCATAGCTTGCGCATGTACTGCAAGGCCTGGAAGATATGCTGCTTGCTTTCCTTGTCGCTGCTCGTGGCTTTTTCGGCAATAGTCCTGCCCTCCTTCTTCGTGAAATCTTCGAAAAGCTTCCGCTGCAAGTCAGACAAGTCGCAGTAGTAATTCTGCAGGATCTTGGGTGGAAGATCATCCAGAACCTCCTCCTTCAGACGGCGCAACAGGAAGGGAAGGACCTGCTTGTGCAGGGCTTCGATCGCCAAAGCGCCGGCCTCCTGCTCCTTTGACGATGACTTGGAGAAGCGCGAAGCGGCGATGGGCTTGGCGAACCGATCTTGGAAGACCTTCTCCGTACCAAGGAAACCAGGCATAAGGAAGTCAAACAAAGACCAAAGCTCCAAGACATTGTTCTGAATAGGCGTGCCGGTGAGGATGAGACGGTGGTTGGAAACGAGGCGCTTGACGGCCAAGGTGGTCTTTGTCTTGCTATTCTTGATGAGGTGACCTTCGTCAAGAACGCAGTAGTTCCAGTTAAGAGGAGCCAGCACTTCGATATCATTACGGCAAATATCGTACGAAGTGATGACAATGTCGGCGTCAGCAAGCTGACTACGGACCTTGGCACGCTCTGCAGGCGGGCCCACGTAGGCGACGGGACTCAAGAACGGAGCGTAAGTACGAATTTCCTGCTGCCAATGACCAGAGAGAGTAGGCGGGCAAACAATCAAGGATGGTAGACGACGGACATCAGGCGATTCTGTCTTCTTGTACTCCTCGGCACGGTTGTGGTGGTCGCTTGCAACGATGCAGATAGTCTGCAAGGTCTTTCCAAGACCCATGTCGTCGCAAAGAATGCCGTGCAGATGGTAGCGATTAAGGAAAGCAAGCCAGTTGACACCGTCTTGCTGATAAGAGCGGAGCTCTGCCTTGATCGCAACTGGGATCTCGAATGGCTCGACCTTCTTCGCATCAAGCATTTGAGCGATGAATTTCCGTTCACGATCTCTGCCCTTCAGGAGCTCTTCCGAGAGACCTGGTGGATCGGGTATACCGGCTTCAAGAGGCACAAGCTTCACAAGGGTGGCGAATGTCGTGGTTGCAATCAGACGGACGTCGTTGTCAGAATCACTCATACGGCCCAGGACAGGGACGATGAGGAAAATGACATACGGTAAGATTCCATCTTCCATGACGTGAATGAGATGGTAAATGCACTCGATGGCTCCTTGTCGGCAATGAACGTCGACCGGATTGCTGATTGATGGCATGACCTTCTCGACAAGCATGGTGATGCCTTGAACCGTCATGACGCTGCATATTGTTGCAAAGCACTTTGCAGCGGCGTACCGGAGGACCGAAAGCTTTGATTGCAATGCCTTTGCAATAAGCGGAAGCAGATCGAGGACGAAGGCGTGCAAATCGGTGTGGAACTTGCCAACCAGCGCGCGTAATGTGGAGAGACCGTCGACGACTTCTTGGCCGAGTACGTTGTCGGGGTCCGTGATGTCGCTTGGTAGCTCATCCTTCGTGAATGCCTGCTTGATGGGTTCTTCGATGAGGGTGCGAAGGATCGGGATTCTCTCGAACAATTGACTGCCGAAGTTGACAACCATCTGCTCCAAGGCCTCCTTTGCACCGCGTCTGGTGATGCGAGCCGCCTTAGCCTCCCTTTCGAACTTAGCTGCATCCGGATGGTCTCTGATATCTTCTTCCTTCTTGAGAGAGAGGATGCCAACTTCTACATCAGCATTAACGTGGAACTCGGGAGTCTCGGCAGTCTCCATGCAGCAGAACTTGACGAGGTTTCCGACGACCTTCTCAACAATGACACGCTTGCCACTGGAAGCAACGTGGTCGACGAGGACTGCAACAGCGGCAGCGGATCTCTTCTGAAGTTCTTGGTTTTCTTCGTTCTTGACGCTATCCATCATACCCTTGATGGTCAGCGCAGGCTTCTTCGGAATCTCCTGGAATGCAACAATTGCGGCAGCTGAAGCAGCCTTGATGCGAATGTCTCTCTCCTGCTTCACGGCTTTGGCTTCGTCGATAGCAGATTGGACGTCTTGTTGGGCAGCAACCAAAGGTTGAGTTGCGGCAACGCGACTCGCGGGCGTCAATGACTTCTTGAGCCTCTCAAAGTCGGGACCCACGATCTTCTCGCCGTCCGCAATAGAGAACGCATATTGACTGGCTTCTGGCTCACCCTGCACGATAACGGCCAATTGAGGCAGCTTTGCAGGAGCAACGTGGCCGAGATCGCGGAAAGTGTTGAGGAGGGACTGACACTGCGCCCGCACTATTGTCAAATAGCTCGTAAGATCGCCGTAACAACCGGGTCGCTCGTCTTCGACCATCGAGCGAAGAGCCTTGGCAAGATCCTGGGACAGGTCATCCTTCTCAGCTCCAGAGGCCTTCGCAAACTCCTCGCTGATCATGCATGCAGTAAGCTGCGAAGTGGAGAAGGCTGAGTGTAGTTGGGGTATCAGCCTGGGGCCGAACACCCCTTGCCGTGATGATCTGGGCCACAACGCCATGGCTTTACCCAGTGCCTGAGCTGCGAAAATCTTAGAGCGAATGAGCGTGTCCGCACCAACGAGATCCACATCGCCCTCCATCATCGGCGCGTCAATGTTGTGCGCCGAAGGCGGAGGTGTGTCTTTCTCCTTGTGCTTTTCCACCCTGCGGCGTTTCTTTGGCTGACCCTCAGAAGGCGTTGCTGACACGGGAGATATTCTTCTTGTCGCATGGCCGTTAGGGGCGTAGGATTGACCAGAGGGCCTGATGAAGAGAGTGGGGTCCATGGGGATAGGGTGACGAGAAACGCCGATGGGGTGGACAGTCAGAGCGACCAAAGGATCAATGTGCGGTTGGAACTCATTGGCAAATGCATCTGGACCTGTAGTAGCGAGGACCTCGAGATGCTTATTCCAAACCTGCAGGGAAAGTTTTAGAACTTGTTCATTGCGTTCGACGAGTAAGTTCTGGTAAATTAGTCGAAGAGCTTTTCCATTGATCCAGCCCTTAGTACCCTCTCCCTCAATGTCAAGGAAAGTGAGAAGAGCGCGTAGGACAGCGGAGCGCACACTGGTGATGGTGTGGCGGAGGAAGGGGAAGAGGCGAGGGACTAGATGGGTAAATGATTGTTCGGGATCCTTGGCTGCGTTGAGTTTCATGGCGTCTAGGACTTCGGTAAAGCTACACAGCTTGGCGAGAAGGTCCATGACTGAACCTGTACTGGCGCTAAGGTCATCGCTGAGGTTCGACAAACAATCCCAGACGATGCCGATAAGTTGGTTCAGGGCAGCGGGCCTGAGGTTGACGAATTCCTTGGCGACTGGTATCAGCGTTGCTGCACTGACGGCACGGACGTCGTCGTCGAAATCGCCGAGGCCCCGCATGACGGCGCTGAGAACACCATCCATGAGAGAGGGGTCCGTCAGGAGCAGATCGTTCCGTACGGCAACCAAATACCTCATGCCGATCATGCCACCGTGGCAAGCTTGCCAGACGCGCTTCTCATTGAATTCGTCTTGCATCACCAAGCGGTAGAGGACCGTGTACACGGCCCGGACAAGGTCGGAGGAAAGGTATTGTAGTACCGCACCGAGCGTCTGACCTGCAGTCTCTCGGATGGGTGCAACGACATTATCTGACACATAGTCGCCGAACCGGTCCAGCATGAAGACACAGCAGATCCGACATGACATGTCATCCAGCCATCTCTGGTTCTGGAGGTCGTTTTGCCTCCGGCTCTTTCCGTGCTGCCTTCCAGCGCCTGCTCCATGTACTCGGACAACTTCTCGAAGACCCATTGCTGCGCCGTGCCTGATCTCCCAGTTGGGGTCGAAGAGGTCCACGGTCAGGATCTCGCACAGCCTATCGTAGGGCCACTCCAAACCTTGCTGCTCCTCTTCGGTCTGAATCGTCGACTTCTCGGGCGCGGCGGCTCCCTTGAATTCGGACACGACTTTGGTGTCGTCATCGTCGCCGTGGCGTTCTAGCGAGAAGTAGTCGTTGACCTTGCTCTCGGTCGCCTCCTCCTCGGTCTTAACCTCAGTCTTGACGGGGTGGGGCTCAGCGGGGGTTTGCGGGTAGTCTTGGCTTGGCCTACGTGTTGCAAGATCAATGACGCGGACCTTGTTAGCTTGACCCTTGAGATGCATTTTATTCTTGCGCTTCAATGCGTTGAGCTGTCTCTTGCTGAGTGCATGGCCATTCTCGTCGACTGGAGTCTGGGGTGCGTGGTCGCCGCTTGGGGACACGGCGGTGTTGTGGCTGGGCGAGGACATGCTGTTTTGGCGTGCTACGCTCGTGTCGAGTTTGTGCATGCCAGGCGTGGGTGGCGGCATGCTTGATCTTGAGTTTGCGGGCGCAGCGATATCCTCATGGGTGACGATATCTTCATCCATATAGTCACCGCCAATACCGAGACGTGCTTTTAGGCTTTTCTTTTGGTAGGCAAGACGTTCTGCGGGATCCATAGCAGCCAACTTGAAATCATACTCACGGCCGGCGCTGCCGAGAAGGTGCTTTCCGTTCTTGAGGATCATCGGAATGTCCAGGGTCTCGAGCTGCAACTGGTCGTCGGACAACGGAGGGAGCTCCACCTCCTCTTCTTTCTTGACGGAGCCATTCGAGTGGCCGTTCGTCTCTGACTTAATGGGCTCATCTTCAGCGTTAGGATCAAACTTTTCGGCGTTCTCGACGATGCCGCCGATAGCCTTCGCAGCAGCAGTGCGCGTGTCCCATGACTTGGAACGCAAGTAAGGGATAACTCTGGTGAGGAGGTTAAACAGCTCCTCGGGGTGCTGCTTCTGGATGTCGGCGAGCTGCTGGGCAGCGGTGTTCCGGATGAGCTGAGTGCTCCCCGTTTCCAGAAGACTGTCGTGTCACACGGTCAGCAGGCGGTCTCAAGGGCGATCACGCGCATCAGGGCGCAGAAGGCGAGGGAGCACATACGTGACTAAGCGATCCAACCTGTACCGTTACCAGTCAGCGCGACAGTTCTTTCAGGGGCCCCGGGGCGCCAAGAGGCCCGTCCAGCGATCCGTGGGGGGCCGGAAATGACGATCGTCATGTGATTGGCTGCAGGGCACTCACCGGGACGCCATAGTTTACGCCTCCTGCCAGCTCCAACACACTCGGACTGATTAGCTAAGAGCGCGAAGTCGTGTCCACCGCAGCGGCCGCAAGACGGCGATGGAAAAGATTTGTTGGTGCGCTACGCGGGTCGGTGGCTGGTGCAGGACCATCACACATGCATTTCGCGCATCGGCGGGGGGCGCGGGTCGGGGGCGGGGGCCGGCTCGGGGCTGGGTTGTGTGCTGCGGCGGAAAAACCGGGCGGCGTCTGATGTTGGTGCGGTGGTGACATTCGCTCTGGCGGGCGCGCGGTCGTAATAAGTATTTGCGCGCTCGTGAGAAACGGCCCTTGTCGCGTAGGTTCCGCTAGGCCGTTCCAGGTCTAGCGGCACTCGCTCCCGCCGCTAAGCCCAGGACGTGCTCAAGATCAGCACTCTGCCATCGGCTTTGACTCCAACAACTCCATGTGAGTGGCCGCCGCTGCGCGCGTCTGGTTGCGCTCTCTGTCTAAAGAATGCTGCCTCCGCCGCGCCCTCTGCCGTCGCCGCTGCCTGTGCTGCCATGTGCGCGAGAAGGCGGCCACGCGCGCTGACGCTGCCACGCCGCGCCTGGGGCCTTTCTGGGGGCAGGCGCGACCCTGGCCGCGACCACGCCCGGACTGCGGCCCTGCCGGGATGCACGCTCAATTTACGGATGCGCAGGAGATCACTGCATCGCCGCACACATCGTCGTCTCAGCTCGCCGGCCCCTTCCCCGGCCTGCGATGCCATCGCGGTATCTACTTGTCTTTCTCCTGCCTTTCTCTCGTCTTTTCACGGTGCGCAGGCAACAGTTGGTTAAGGACAGCTGTCATCAGCCTCAGCCTTGTCTAGTCTGGCCGGGAGCCTATCTAGTCTCTACCCCGGAACGCCCTGCGCATCCACTCAGCCGCGTTGCATCAAAGCTTCGCCATCGCCTGTTACCTCGCCGCCGATCTGTCCGCTCCTTTCGCCCACTCCCGCAGCACGTTCTTCTTAACCTTCCCCGTCGACGTCTTCGGAAGCTCTCCCACCACCTCCACCTCCCGTGGCACCATGAATTTGCTGATCGCACTGTGGTTCTTGGCCCACGCGATGACGTCTTCGCCGTTCAGTGCCTTGCCCTGCTTGACGGTAATGAACGCCTTTGGCCTTTCGCCCCAGTGAGAGTCTGGGACAGCAACGACACCAGCTTCCAAGACATCCGGATGAGTCACAAGCATGCTCTCCAACGCTACAGAGGATATGTTCTCGCCACCTTATCGCGTCGCCGTCAGCAAAAATTTGATCGCGGCGCCAAGCATATTAGGCAAATGCCGAAAACTCACCGCTGATGATGATGTCTTTCGCCCTGTCCAAAATTTGGAGCGCGCCGTCAGGATGCCATACCGCCAGGTCGCCCGAGTGCAGCACGCCGCCAGCGAACAACTTGCTGGTGGCTTCGGGGTCTTTGTAGTAACCCTTGGAGCAGATATTCCCAGCGAAAACGATTTCTCCGATTTCAGTCCCGTTCTTCTCCACGTCGACAATCTGCCCCTCTGGAAGTTCCGTCTTAATCACGCGGATGGGAAGGCTCGTTACGAAAGCATGACCCTGCCGCGCCATCCTTGCATACTTTTCCTTCAGAGGTAACTCCTCCCATTCAGGCATGTGATATCCCTTCGTGATAGGCCCGTACGTCTCAGTCATTCCATAGACATGCACTGGATGGAGGTTCAAGTTCGTCATGGTCTCGAAAAGGTGTGCGGACGGGGGACTTGCAGCCACGGTCACTCTGACTGGTTGGGGAAGACACTCTGCCTCTTCCGCGGCGCACAACAGCGTATTAACCGTTGGTGCGGCATTAAAATGTGTGATCTTTTCCTCTTTGAGCAGCCGCCAGATCTGGGGGTAGTCAACCTTTCGGAGACAGTAATGAGTCCCGCGCACCGCTGTCACGGCCCAAGGAAACGTCCAGCCTATTGCATGTCAGTCAGGCATTAGTCTCGCGAGTCCATTGGGTGCAGACGCTAGCCTCAATCGAGCTTCGCCAGGGAGATTTGACCTACCACAAGCGTGAAACATAGGTAGTGTCCACAAGTACCTGCATCTGCCGTTATGGAAGTTCAACCCGCTCTCCACCACGTTGCCAATTGCGGCCAGATACGCACCCCGATGCGTGTACTCAACGCCCTTGGGCCGCGCCGTCGTCCCGCTAGTATACGCCAAAGCAATGACGTCGTCCTCGTGAGCTGCCTGCGCCTCTAAGCCAGACCAGCCCTTGTCGCCCTGCTGCTTATCGTATTGCAGACCCTCAAGCACAGCTTCATCGAAAGGCCCACTTAACTCGCCCTCAGTGGCATCCGTGTCCGTGTCGACGAGAATCGGGACCGAGGGTCTGCAAGAGCGGTAGCCATCGAGCAATGATACGAATTCGGCGTCGACGATGATAATTTCCGCGTCCGAGTGCTGGAAGATGTAAGATATGTCCTCCGGTTTGAGACGGTAGTTGACGGCTGTGATCAGGCCGATTCAAGTTAGCCAATTTTGGTTTCGATGCGTTTGGTGGAGCTCGAGAAGCATGACTTGGAAGCCTAGCCGCAGCTCCCAAGATTGGATGGCGCTGCAACGAATTTGCGGTGAGCTAACAGGGCAGATGAACCATTGGTCTTGTCGCAGATGCACAGCGGAAGCCCAGCCACCTTCGATTCTCCGTGAGTGCTCACACTCCAGCCCCATCTTTCCCACCCAGCGCATGTATTACGGCTCGTCTCAAATTCCACGTACCAATGTTCACTGCACCCGCCGCTGCGATGCCGAAGAAACTTTCTAGGAAAGCCGGGGTGTTGGGCGCGAGTATACCGACACGCTTGTAGGCATGCTTTTTCAGGAAATAAGCCAGTCCGCGGGCGCGATCTGCTGCCTCTTCGTACGTACGCCGCAAGGTGCGGCCGTTAGCCGTGACGTGATAGATCGCTTCGGCCTACAATTCCAAGACGATTGCATTAGCTGCTAAGTTGACACCGAAAGGCACGAATTGAGAAGTCCTTGTGCGGAGAGTACGCCAACGTGTAAGCTGACGGTGTTCAAGTGTCGCTGCGAATAGCTGCGGGGTGCCGAGAAGCTTCATAGCAGAGCATTTGGAAGAAGTGGAAAGGAGGAGGCAGCAGTACATTTGGTTCTATGGCTGCCGCACGCGGCAAGAAGCTGGTGGGCGAGAGCGTGTGGAAGTTGTAGCGGTGGTTGTACTCCTGCACGTTGCTAGTTTCATGGTTGGAGCTGGTGTTGCCCTTAGCCGAGGGAGTAGTAGATGAGGGGAAGAGCTGCGCAGCGAGGTTCTGCAGTCGCAGCAACGCGCCGGACATGTTCGAGGCGGGATGGAGGGAATAATCACAGCAAGAAGTCGCAAATGGTAAGACGAGTTCAAGGAAAGAGGGTAGTTTTGTGGTTGCAGAGACACGGAAGTCAGGGCCGGCGCGGGGGATACTACCGACAGCCGGCCGGTGCGGAACTGTGGCAGATGCATAAGGTTCGACGTAACCGCGCAAGCGCGAGAATGGGTCCAACGACGACACATGTGGAGGAATGTGGGGAAGCGAATGAGAGCTGTCGATCGCACTTGGCGAGTCAGCTCCGCGTACCCGAGGCTTTGAGCGGAACTGGTGGCCGGTTCCCCAAATGCCAAAGCCACAAGGTTGCACTGTTCCTGAGGCTAAAAGTGACGTTAGTCGGCCTGATATTGTGCTTGTTCCAAGACGGGGCTTTTGCAGTTTTCCATTTCTTGAAATTTACTACAAGCCATAAGCGGGGAAGCAGCAAAATAGGTATTTTTGAGAAGCCTTTTTGGATTGTTCGAGCATATCCATCCCATGCCTCCCAATCTCGGTCGTTGAATTTTTCGTGTGCCGGCAAGTCGAATCCGAGAACGGAGGAGATTCACGACCGTCTCCACATTCCCATGCATACGCGCCGAACCGTGCCCACTACCCTTGCACTTGATGAAGCCATGCCACCGGTGACCATAACCCGAATCTAGTAACCGAACTCGGCAAGCTGAGTCTTGACCTTCTCGTCGACCTTCGCGGTCTTCTGGGCCTCCGCAAGCTGTCTCCTGAGAGCCTTCTTGCGCTCGTAGTAGGCAGCGCCCTTGACCTTCCTCCTCTCCTCGAGCCTGTATCACCCCAGTCAGCTCCGGACCGCCACAACAATCCAGACCTCGCAAGTATACGTACCTGGAGACGACATCCTGGTACTTCCAGCCGAACTCGTGACCCAGACGACCGACGGTGCAGTACTTGCGGCCAGGCTTCAACCTGAGGACGCGGAGGGCCTGGGGAACGACGACGCGCTTCATGTGGTCGTAGGGCTGGGGAATACCCTCGAAGGTCTTAAGACGCTCCATGGCGGCGGCGCCACGGGCGGTCTTGTGGGGAATCATGCCGCGGACGGTGCGCCAGAACATCTTGGAGGGAGCGCGGAAGTGGAAGGGACCTGGGCGAGGGCATCAGTAGGCGAGCGGAGGGCGCGCGTGGAGATGGGCTACTAACCACCACGGGTGGGGTTGTAACGGGTCTGCTTGCGCAGGAAGGCCTGGTACTTCACTGTTGTCTATCCGTCAGCCGTGCTCCACCGTCGAATTGCGGCCGGACCGCCCCGAATCGCGCGTTCGCGAGCATCCGTGGACGGTCGCCAGTGCTGGACGTACACTTCGCGCGGAAGAACTCTCCGGAGATGTTGAGGGCCTCGCAGCGGACGACCACGATCTTCTGGCCGTTGAGCAGCTGCTTGGCCACGGTGCTGGCCAGGCGGCCAAGCAGGTGACCCTTGCCGTCGATGACAATCACGGGCTCGAAGGTCGACATCCTGCTCGATTTGCTGTCGGGTGGGTGGTGGTTAGTGGGATGTCGCTGTCGTTGGTCGTCTCGGTGCGCAAGGTCGGATTTTCGAGTGGTGTTCACAATCGGCCGTGCAAGCGAGTGCGGCACGGATTAACCAAATAATCCGCCCGACGCCAGCCGCACCGACACGCGAAAAGGAGCTGCGATCCTCGATCGAAGCTGCAATCTGGATGCCACGTCGAACATTCCGCTTTTCCTCTCCGCGCGGCGTTGCTGTGTGCGACCGGCCCATGGAGCCGTGGTGTTGCTGTCATGCGAGCTTCAAGGGTCCTGCGCCTCACCGCCCGCCTGCCACTCCTCTTGACTCCCACCAGCTCTGCTTGTGATGCGCACATCCACGCTCCGCCGGCCCGTCCCCAATCTATTACCCGGCCCGGCTCACTTCTTATTTTAGCATTAACCCGTGGTCTCTCGAGGCTCCACACCATGCGTAACAAACCCTCGTACCTAGCAAGCACGCCCGAGTCAGCGTGCATCACTTTGGCTCCATTAAGCCTGTCTCGTTCCACCTGATCCTGACTCTCTCACGACTTAAAGATGCTGCAGTAATTTCAAAATGGCAGACGGTGCTCTCCTATCCATTCAACATAATCTCCCAACTTCGTGCCGCTGTTAGCTAGGACGCAGCACACATCAAATATTTGCTTTAATTCAACAAGCGTTGGGGTTTGCAGCGATTGCTTTCACAATACTTATGTCTCACCCTGCTGAGTCGACAACTATACCAGACAAAGGTAGCTAGTGTATCCATTGCCTTTCCACTTCATTGGGTCCCCAGCATATGCTGCATCATCTCCAGGATTGAATGTCGTTGACGGACAGAATACCTGACGGCGATAAACCCACCCATATTGACGCTGACTGAAGGAAATGTACATCTTGTCCTCATAAGTTGCATTGGCAATGGTCTAACAGTTCGTTTTTAGCGGTTCTCACTCAAACTTAGGCACAATGTCACCTGTACCATCATGCGCTTCCACTTATGTACTTAGTTAATCGCCCCAATCTATCCTATACAGTTTGCTCCCGGGTCCAGGAAAAAAGTTTGGGATTTGATGAAGTGAGGAAAAGCAAAAAGGCCCATCCTACGCCGTTTCGATCAAGCCCAGGGGCATCCCGGCGCCCATCTTTGTCTTCTCAACAAGGGATGTCGCTGAAAACCTTCTTCCCAGCTTGCAGCTGACCGAATCAGGAAGTAAATCCCAATTAGGGAATGCATGATGACCACAAGTGACCTCCGCAGTACCCTTGGACACAGATTGTCGAAACCATAATGGATTGGCATTTGAGGGGCACGCGAATAGTGTAGACTACGCACACAGAGGTGGGACTAAGCCCAAATAGGCCTTCTATTCTGATTAAATACTACGTGCGGCTCTTCGTACTTCAACACAGATCGATCCGACCACTCGTGTATTTTGTTTGAAGGAATTCTGCACTTATCATATTCAGAGTTCCTCTGATGCCTACATCCGGGCCATAATCCGATTGCTGGTGAAGGTATAGCAACGGCGGCTGTTTCTCTTTAAACGTAAGAAATCTCCAGGTACGGGAGCGCCGTCGGAAACCTCTGACTCTCTATAGGGTGCTCCCACTGATTGACGATTGACCTCTCGGCCTTTTTACCACGACCATCCAAAAATAGGTGCAAAGATCGTATGGTGATTGTATTCTCGCTATCTGCCGGTATTTTATCTCCTCCGCGACGCAGATCCACTCCCACCTCCTTATACGCTATTAGAGCCATCTATTTGCCGGGAAATCAACACCATTGGTAGTTAGATGTCAGCGAGGGATGATAGATGGCAAATTCCCTAATAAGGAATGCTAAGCCAAGCGGAGGTGGTAGTGGAGGTGAGTGTGGATCTGCGTCGCGGAGATAGACCTAACTATTATTTGCTTAGTACCTTCTGGAAGTTTGCCTACCTGTAATCTTCTTAATTTTCCACTAAAATGTGTTCTCTTTCATTGTACCTTGGTGCGCTTCCCCATGGAGAACGAATCGTATTAAAACAACACTTCCAAAGTAAGTCAACCACACCAGGTATCTCACGCAAAAATTTCGTATTTGTATGACCAAGGACTGGCCGCTACTCATTGCGCCCCTGCCATAGTGTCACTCGACGTTGGCCAAATTACATTACTATATCCTGCACTCCCGTCTCAAGTCATTTGATCTCATGTTGCACGGAACTAATAGGACGAGCGTCCACCTTCGAGTCCGTGTTGCTGGAGGGAGGTATATACCACCTCTAGACCCCCTGGCGGTGGCCGGTGTTGGCTGGGAGCAGATATGCTGCAACACCTCGTTGCTTACAATACTCACAGCTCCCGCGGCTTTCCCGGAACCCGAGAGACATGAATCTAAGTCAAGCCGTGCTCCAGCCGACTTGGACAATGGACCGCCCGATGTTCTTAGGATTTGGTAGCATCCTTATAGAAAAGTATGAGGATCCGACCACGACAGACGCTCCCTGCAAGTTTTCTTTCTTTTTTTTCTTTTCCCCTAGCTCCATCTCTACTCTTTTTTCTTCTCTTTCCTTTTATTTTCATAGTGTTAAATGCCCCATAGCTAAATAATTGTGTGCAGTAACGAAATTCCTACTGATTACTACGAACTGGTTGGAGCTATTGGACTCATAGCTCTCTTGGAGAGGAAAAAAAAGATTTTCAGATGATGACACGAACCGAAACCGTTGACACAACTAGTAGACCCAGTAACAACGCAATACTTATATCGTCTGCATTGTATGATGTGGGTATATCATCTCCTAGAATTCACAGTTTGAACGACCGGTCTATATCCTACCCTGCAACAGCTTTCGTAAGCCTTGCATCTACATGCATTATCTACCTGTCCAATTCATCGTAGCCTTGTCTGCCTTCAGCATGAATTGTGTTCGAAGCGCACTCAGAAGACTGCAACTGGATGTGGGTGAATTCCTTGGAACTTGCAAGAGTCAAAATGGCGAAGTGTAGGAGAAAATGCGGGACGTTTTAGCTCATCAAAGCTTTGTTCGAGCAGCATCTCGTTGAAAATGAAAGCATTATCCTGAGCAGTTCAGCACCAAGTCCAAGAAGTTTCATCTTCGGTCTTGGCCACGGACGTCACCAATTATACGGCATCTACCATGACGGTCACGTAGTATCTACATTTAATCAAGGCTAATACTATTAGCAAAACGGAACGGTGGCATATCTGATATCAAACAACAATGCTCGCTCTGAATGGCATGGTTTGCCTAATCTCCTGATAAGTGACCAAGACACCATGCATTAAGCCAGCAGGAGACGGCACTTCTGTCCAACACAAATGCCAATGCATGGCGCCAACCCCTCCACCTCCGCTCCCTCCGCGGCCGCGGAAGCCAAGTCCGCACTCGCTAGCCTGAGCAGCCACGTACCAGACGTGGAACGACACCAAACCCCAGCCACAAAAAAGATGCCCGTGACGGTCAAGGCGTCGCAAATAATACTCCGCTCGATAGTGCCCGGATTGGTTCTTGGTGAAACGGCGCGGCACCGCCAGCGGAGTCCAAGACAAGGACCAAGCCCGCCGAGTTCCGCCGCGCTGAACAGTATGTCGAGCCACGCGGCCTTGTCGCCGTCGTCTTCCTCACGCCTCGTGGCGAGCGGAAGACTCCAAGACTGCGCGCCCAGCGTCCGGTGAAGCGGGATGTCGTGAGTCAGACGGCCGTGGGGAAGATATGGGCGGTCCCAAGACGCGGTTTTCGTCTGGGGGGGCGCCAACCATGCACCCACTCAGCGGCGGAGTGGTGCCCTAAAAGCCTGGGCGCTGGTGCAGCGGAACGCAAACCAAGAGACTGGGCACAGACGGCGGAAAAGAAGGGCATCAGGCCGCGCGCACAAAGGAAGGACAAGGCAGCCCTGTCACCGCCATTGCTTTTTTCCAAGAAGGAACTGCAGGTTACGCCACAGCTCTCTTCCCCCTCCCCCAAGGCCCCAACTGAGAGAAACAAGAGTTCACTCCGAAACTAGTTTCCGTGCCCGTCTCTAAACCCGCTCCCTTACGTTCCCGTCGTCCTGCCCCCCGTCGTTTTTCGTACTCGTTTTCACAGCTCGACTTTCTTCGATGTTCCAGCCAAGAGAAATCGCAAGAGAGTGGCGGTGTCTCGTCCCTTCCTCGGCGCCAACACCCCGTTCCCCCCCTCTTTCCCTACCATTTTCCGCCAAGAGCGGCGCCCTTGGCGAACCACCCCTTCGCACCCTTGCATCCGCTGCCCCCCCTCTCCTGCCCCTCTTGGCGGGGAACGGAACCAGCACGGCATCCTCGACGCCATGCCGAAAGCGACCGTCTCGGCGTTCCAGCCGCGCGTCCGATGCATCCTTGTTGGATGGCTTTTTGGTTCTTGTGTCACAGAAGAGAATGAGAGGCTAGAATGGCTGCTGCACACCCTACTCTCTTCTAGAAGGCCCTGATTCCCCTTTTACCTCACCGCTCAGCTTACGTCGAGTGGGGCCAATAATACTGCACAGCGCGCAGGGCCATTTTGACGTGCTTTTCGGGACCACGATGCTGGGCGCACATGCTTTTCTCGGCGGATGCGAGTTTATATGGTACGAGGGCCCGACTAAAAACTGCTGGTGGGGTTAGCGGCCCGCCCAGGTAAGCATTATTCCCCGGACACGGCGACATCCGAGTCGTAGTGTGCACGAAAAAATCACACAATGTCAGGCGGGGCACGTCAGCCAAGGGGGAGCACCGCCTTTCCGTGGTTTCGTTGGCCGTGGCCAAAGTCAGATTCTACTCGCCCCAGCTGAAGGAGTGATCGCCCAATCCCTAGACGAAACCGACGGTTGGTAGGATGCAGCCGTGACCTAAATCGGCAGGCTGATTCTTGATGCAGAGGCTGGAAACAGCTCCGGCCTGGGCGCCACACATGCTCCTCTCCGAAATTTATTCCCATCCACCGCGGCTTTCGCCTAGCAGCCTATCAACAGCCCTATCTACCTCGACGCAATATCCACATCACCGCTATCGAGACATTGAAGGAATGGAACAGCAGCAACACCAACAAACCAGCAACAGCATTAGTCTTTTGAAATGTGCCCACCCCTGCACCAGCTACTAAACCGCCTCGTCTTGCTACACAATACAGCTCCTCTTCCTCCTCTGTAACCAAGTAATGAGACAACGAAATGAAACATCTCCCCCATAAGACACTAAACATATTGCAACATGTTGCCTTTCAAAGGAGTGGACTTTCATGCGACGATTCCCAAATGCTGACACCGAGCCCATGCAATCATCATTCAAACAGAAAGATGCGAGCAACAATGCTCGATGCAGCGCTAGGAAAATTGATGATCGAAACGACGTGAACCAAAAAGCAAAAAAATGAAAAACTCCCAGACTGAGAAGAAAGTTGGAAAAAAAACTTGACACTGCCATCTTCCTTTTTTCCACCCATCCCACCACGTCTCCCCTCTTGACAACACCATTCCATTCGCCCTTTTCCATCCACAAAAAGCCGTTATATCTTAAAACCGCGGGGTATCATGAACGAAGCGTAAGCAATGCAATAAGGCAGTGCGTACACCTGGTACATGCACAGTATGCGCGTATGACAACCACCGCAGACTTCTGAGGTGTGCGGCGAACCGGCGCCGCTTGTCTTGACAAAATCAGGTAGGACAAGTTCCCATCCCACCTTCGGGCTCTCCCTCCACTTCCAGGTGCCACCAGCGTCGTGTTTCCTCTTCCTCTCGGAGCCGAGGTAACCACAACCCTTGCACCCGAAAGCTTCCACATATTAGTTGTATGCGACGCGGAGCCGTTCTCCGCGTCCAGTCGGCCCTCACCAGCAGCTTCTCCCATCATCCACAGTGCTTCCTCCTCTTATAGCTGCACTCGAATCGACCCCTGCGACCATCATCGCCACATTACTCCTCCTCTTGGCGGCTTCCTCGCACCTCCACCTCTTCCCCTTTCTTCCGCCGCTAGCGGAACCCGAAGCCCATCCCCTGACCCTGACCCATGCCACTTCCCTGTTCAGCAAACATTCCCGCCCATTCCTCTCCCGTGAAGAGATCATCGATGTTCATGGACCCCGTGCCGGCCATCGCCATTGGTCCACCCATGCCTGCCCCGCTCGTTGCCGCCATGCCATCCTGCATTCCCACACCAGCCCCAAACATTTGGCGTCCGTGCGGATGCGGTGCGTGCATCGCGCCAGCGTTCATGCCAAACTGGGTTCCGGCAGCGAAGATGAAGGGGCTCGGGTTGTGGAGTTCGACGTCCACCGTGTGGGGGTCCGCACGTGGGGCGGCGTTGGGCGGCATGCCGAAGATTCCGGAGTTCCTGTTACTGCCGGCGCTGCGGTTGGAGACGGGTGTTCCGGCGCCCCCCGATCCGCTGAATGCGAGGAAGGCGTTGGCAGCTTCGCCAACCCTATTGATGCTGCTGAACCCGTTATTCTCAAAAGTCGTCATAGGTTGGTTCGGGTAAGCAAGCGGGTCACCGGACGGGAACATCATCGCGCTGAGGTCAGGAATCGGAGGGTTGAACCCATTGATGCGGTCGATAAACGTGTTGTGTGCGGGCAGAAAACCGAACTGGGGCATCTGCGAATGTTGTGCCTGCCGGAACACTGGAGATGGCGTCATATTGTGCTGCACGCCCTGCGGGTAAAAGCTGTGCGTCGTGGGCATGCTGTGAGGCAGGGCAGTCCCAGCCCCAAACTGGCTCTGCGGCGAGTCGTCGAGATCCGGAGGCTGAGGAAAGCTAGGGCGGAACGAGCCTCTCGCACGAGGATCTTCAAGGTTCTTCGGAAACGTGTTGGCACGCCGAGGAGGAATTGCCTGAACATCATGTAAGTCTGGCTCGGATAGACCGGACATAGACTTGTCATCGGGCTGGGGTGACGGGGCTTGTCGACGCTTGCGACTCGCGGCAGCAAGTGCCAGCTCTCGGCCGCGCTGAATGCGTTCCGGCAGCTGGTCAAACACAGCCTGCGTTTGTCAGTGGGTGTACGTAACAATGAAACCTTCAAACCTACCCTGAGGGTGCTCGTGCACCTATCTGCGGCCATGCTCCGCTTGGCAAGACCTTCCAAGACATCCTTTCCTTCGTATGCCTCTTTCAGCACGTCCTGACTCGTGGGAGACTCCGGGTTTTCGAGAGCGAAGTAGACGAGAGTCATGATGGAGAAGAACGTCGTATACATTGTGAACCAATAGCAACCATTGAGCATCCCTCTCTTTTTCATCTCGGCAGTGATGTGGATGATGTTCCGGGACACGCTGATGCAGGCGGATGCACAGGCGTACGCGCGTTTATCCAGGGAGGCGCAGGTAGGCGACTTCGAAACGTAGTGAACGAATGGACGGTAAAGCATCATTTGCGTATGAGCATATGCCATGCGAAGAAGCTGCCGTACGCTGTCTAGGGTCAGTGTCGAACCATCGTTTCCGATCGGAATCTGGCGCTTACCGAGTGACGAGGATGGATGCCTCCCCACCAGGCTTCAGTGCCATCGGCAGGTGCTCCATCCACTGCTGAAGGTCTCTCTCGAGTTCCCTGATGTCAGCGTAAGAGACAGTGTAGGACATTATCTTCTGTCCCTGGAGGATGTGCGTCTTGCCCTTGATGGGGTAAACGACACGGACTACTTTGGCGAGGATGTCAATAAGAGTAGTATGCGCATTGCAAGCAGTGATGAGAGAAACGTGGCCAGGAGGCTGAGTCAAATATTCAGTCTCCGTAATGTACTCGTCATCAAGCTCAGCCGGTAGTTCCTGATCAACATCCTCGTTGCTCATGGTATGAGGCAATCCCAGGAGCGCTCCTACGTAGATATCCATCTTGCGGATGACCCAGAAAATTCGCTTACGAGTCTCATTCTCGATGGGGTTGAACCGGTCGTTCATAGAACGGTGCAAGCCCATGCGCAGGGCAGAGCGGAGGGCAATCCCAATGTAGGCGTAGCAAGTGGATAGCTTGGCAGAAGATTGCAGAAACAGAATCATGAAGATGACAGCCTGGAGCGCATGCAGATCACGGCACATGGCAATGTCCAGGATGTTGCGGGCGGCCTTGAAGTATTGAACGCTGTGAAACGGTGAGCAAGGGCGAGCTGGCACGGCGGGACACGGGGCGTGGGGCTTACCCTTGGTTAATGGCGTTCTCGTAGCCTACCTCGTCCAGGTCCTCAGAGGTGCGTGAGAACAGGGTTCCTAGGGCGAGGACGGTGTACAGCAAGGGCAGGAAACTATTCTCGGAAGCACCATATTCTTCAGGCGACTTGCTATACAGCGTCTCAAAGCTCTTCCAGAAGCTGGGCAGATGCACAACACGTAACAGGGCGCTGGCATCGTTGAGAGCGGTGTCGCACAGTTCTCGGGCTTTCTCCTTAGACGGCAGCTCGGCACCACCGGGCACAGCATTGTCGACAGTAGCAGGTGAATCCTGTACAGACTTAGGCGACTCGAACACGTGGGAGAGAGGGCGGGAAAGGGGAAATGGGGAGGATTCGCCTTCGCCTCGGCCCATGAAGTCGAACCTCTCACGCATTCGACGCACGAAGCTCAAGCCGGACGAGTGGCCGTGGTAGTCCCAGTAGCCGTGTTCATCAAGGTCGAGTTGGCCGGTGGCGCGCACCATCGACTCGAGCTGTCCTTCCTCGGACTGGGCTTGCGGGTTCATGGTGTCGACGCGCATCGGGCGGTCGGCCGTCTGGCTGTCTGGCGCCGCGAAGGGGCGGGCCTGGGGCTGGGCCTGGGGGAGGGGAGGCAGCACACCTTCCTGCAAGCTTGCTACGAGGGCCGGGTCGTCGAGGTCTACGTTGGGCAGGATGGCGCCCAGCAGGGCCTCGGCGCGCTTCATGCGGTTCTCCAGCGCCTCGACGTACTGCGGGGCCGCATTGCGGCGGCGGTTGGAGGGCTGGTCGTAGGTGCACTCTGCGGGGCGTCAGCTCTCAGGCGGCTCGGGGGGGACGTCGTCTGCGGACGCACCGTAGCTGTAGACGGTGCAATGGGTGCACGGCTGCTTGCCATCGCACTTGATCTTCTTGCGCCGGCACTCATCGCAGGCGCGGGTGACGCGGCGGCGCTTCTGCATGGGCACCTGGGGCCGCGGCGCTGAGGCGTCGTTGCCATGGTCGGCGGGGCTGGGCTGGTCCTGGTCCGGCTGCTCAGAGGCATCGCGGGGCGTGTTTTCCGGCTCCTGCGTGGTGGTCGGCGTGGCCCACGGCGTGGTGCTCGAGGCCGACGCACTCGGCGCGTCCTCGAGAGCCATTGTCTCTGAGGGCGTGTGGGCGGCCATGCAGTGCTGTGTGGGAGAGGTGGTCTAGGTCAGAGTCGACTCCGCGGCTCGGGCGAAAATCCGCTGGGGGAATGGGTTTTAATGTGACCAGGGCATATCACAGGCTGTGGAGAACGGAGCCGCCAAGGGCGTTCGGTGGCGGTGATCGCGGGCGCGGCGGTGTTAAGGAAGCACCGAGCGCGGGCGTGCAAATCGCCTGCGCTGGCGCCAAGCGGGCGTCCGCCGTTGGGGGCTCGCACACGCAGGAGGCGCCCCGCAGGTCGTGGGTAGGGCTGCGCCGAGCGAGGCCAGGGCCGGGCGGGCTGTGTGACTGGGAGATCCACCGGGTAGGGAAGGACGATGTCGCGGCCGCCGCGCGCATTACTTCAGCAGCGCCCTATTGCCCAGCGCTACGTAATGGATGAAGCTTGGCCTCGCTTATCGAGGGATAGCGCGTACCTCCCGCTCCCCGACGGCCTGGGGTGGGCCAAGCAGGCGCGCGACGCCGTGTCGAGAGTGGCGGCGCTGCGGCGTGCCGAAGCGGAGTGCTTGGCCGCGCATGGAGGCAGCCCCCCACCAGCGCTGCCGCTTTTTCCAGAACCCTCGAACCCGGCCGCCGTTGGCCAATCCGCGCCGCGCCTGGCGGCAAGCATTCCGCAGGCCCGCGGAAATAAGCGATCTGTGTGTTCGCGCCGAGTCAGCCGCGCCTCGCTCCCAGCCGCAGCCCAGCTCACGCCGGCGGACGCGCGCCTCAGGCCCAGGAATTGCTTGGCGCCGGCCTGCGCTGCCCGTCGCGCACCGGAGACGCTTGGCGCCCAGCGAGCACAGCAGGGTGGAGCTGCCTGGGGCCACACACCACCGCCGTGGGCCCTTTGCGCGCTGCGCCTTGCAACGTACAGCGGACGGTCCCCGTGATGTGGCGCATTGTCCACCGCAGCTGCGCGTCGGGGCGCAGTGGGACGTCAGCTGCCCGCCCGCCCGAGCTTCCAAGCAATTCCCGTGCCCTCCGCCAGCACCTGTCGCCGTATCGTTACTGACGGCGCGCACGCGCTATCAGGTCGTGCTGCTCGTGGGGGGGATTCCGATAACGCTCCTCGCCCTTCCTAGGCGTCTCTTCCCCGGCCGCCAGATCTGCGCTCGCATGAACTCTCGGATGACGATCCGCAAGCTTACCGGAACCCAACCATGGCTCGAGCAATTCGTCAATTGCTGACGCTGCCTGTAAATGACGCTGCATCCGGCCCTGCCCATTTGACGGCCCTCCCTGTCGCTCCTCTAGCGCCGCCCTAAACACCTGCTAGGGCTGATCGGCAGGGACTGATGGAGCCGTGGATGGACGCTTCGTGCGTATGTACAGCAGAGAGTCTGGCCCATGCTGCTTTTGACTCAGAGCCGTCGCCCGCGGCCGCTATAGCAGCACTGCTGCTGCATCATCCCAGCCTGCACAAACAGCTGTAGCCTCTTCAGGCACGTTGAAATCCGTTGCCGCTTCCAGCTAGCCCGCCCCATCCATGGTCCCGGGCGCCGTCGACGTCCACAACGCGAATACGTGGGTCGTTGTCGGCGTGCCGGGACTTTGCGTGCTGCTTCCCCACTGACGGATTCTCACCATAGACCACCCCGTGCCATATTTCCGCATGCCGCGAAGACTGCCGTCGTGGTTGGCCATGATTTCTCCTCGGTTTCGCCGAGAATGGACTGAAACGCATATACACAACCCTGCCATGTGGCTGCCAGTCTCGGCAAAACTCGACCGTCGGCGCCTGGCAGGCCGGAGATGACCATCGCAGCCTCGGCACGACAAGAATAGTAGTGTCGGCCCAAAGATTGTAGGGTGACGAATGTGGGATCTTGCAGCACGCGAAGGCCTTGGAAAAGGATGACGCGTGTTCATCCGTCACACAACGGCAAATGAGGATGGAAATCTGACCTGGGAGCCAAGCAGCAGCAAGATCCCACATGGGTCCCAGGAGCGAGTGTGGCGAAGGCAGCGCAAGGGAGGGGCTCTCGCCAAGGCCAGACAATCATGATGTCCTGCTGCAGGTCACAGAGACCCGGCTCGAGCCGTAAACGCGGAGCTAAAGGACTCGAGGCCTGGCGGGAGCTCGCGACGAGCTGGGCCCAATCGCAACGTGTCTGGTGACCCGGGCGGGCGTCTCTGGGGACGCTGACGGCTATTCTTCCCTCCCTGGCATGGGTTTGGCGAGGACTTTCATGACGGGCCCCTTTTGGGAATACATTACGGCGTAAGGACAGGCAGGCATTGGCCGGCAGGGACGGTGCTCGAGGATCCATACCCGGCGCAGGCGGGTGGTAATCTTCGGCAACAGTTCAGGATGCAGGCTCGCTTGGCGAGCGTGTGCGGACAGCACCACTGGGTTCGGCAGCTCCGAGGCGTCGCACATGTTTCGAGATACCGTCATCCGCGACGTGAGGTCCAAGCCACGCTGGCGTGCGGGAGCAGCCCCGCCTGGAGAGGCTCATGCAGTCCAGTGACCTGCACAGCCCCAGCGGAGGGCAGGCCTCGTGGGCGGGGGATCTCGCTGGAGTGTGGCGAAGTGCATCGGGGACCCAGTATCTCGTCGCAGCAGGCGGGACATGGGTGCATTCCAGGCAGCGGGCCGCTGGGTGCCGGGCGTGGCTGGCGGCGGCGCTCTGGGGAAGGCATGGGCAAGGGCGGCGCGGAAACAAGCCTCTCGGATCAGGTCAGCGGTGCGATCTGGGTTGTGCGGGCGGACAGAAGTGCGCGACGTGGAAGGTCTAAGTGTGCCGACTAACCGTGAAGCTGTTGCCATCGAGTCGCACACCAGGTCGCTTCGGCGGAAATGTGGCCAATCAGGACGCGGGGCGCGCACCCTGATGGCCTGGTGGCCCCGGCGCGGGCCCGCCGCCTTCTAAAAATGCAGGCGGGCTGCGGATGATGGGTCCATCGGGCAGCAGATATATCTGAGGTCACGTCAATAGCTCCAAGAGGCGCCGTCGGGGGCACACTGCGGAGCGTGGCCCGGCCGGGAGCGCAGAGGCGCGCCTGTAGCTGCCGGCCTGGGGGGCCGGGTCTGGAGCAGCAGCGAGGAAAAAATTTTCGGGGCAGACCGGGCTGCGAGAGTGAAGCGCTGTTCAGCAGACGGCGCTGGCAAGTGCTGAGCGGCTTGGTGATGCGTAGGGCTGGCCGGCAGCGGCGCGAGGTCGGGGGACGTTGCGGAGGCCAAAGGCTTAGCCTCTGCCGCCAGGCACGCAAACGCCCTGCCATACGTCACCGCGGAACCATGCCTCACGACTCGCCTGCCCGCTCGGCCTGGCGCTCCCGTGTGATTACGCAGAGATCGTGTCCGGAAACACCGGCAGCTGCGCTCTCTGCCTGATCCGCAGTCTGCCCGACGGCCCTCTTCACGTGCGTTTGCTTGGCCAAATCCGATGCGCGTTTGGGTTAGGTATCTCTTATAGCTTCCGCGCCCTTCTCAGGGCCGCCGCCTGCCCCAACCGCTGGCGCTGGCGCCGTGGTCTAGATTGCTGCCTGATCAGCAGCGCGGGTCAGCGTCGAAAACAGACAGCTGCAGCACCGTCTGCCAGAGATGGCCATGCGCTAGGTACCAGAGCGCGTGGGCAACGTGCTTGCGGCTTGGAGCTAGCAGGCGGATACGGCGGTGCCTCTAATCCTTCGTCCACTGGTTGATCCCCAGATCCTACAAGCAAACCCCCGAGTCGCAAGAGCAACAAAAATAGAAGCACCGGCTAGTCAATGCAACAGTTGCGGCTGAACGAAGTGGACCTGCCCTTCATCATTGCTGGTTCGATCGTTGCTGTTTATGGCGCCAGGTCGTCGGGAGTAACGGCACGTAGCTGCAGGGGCGTTGCCGCCAGCTTCAATGGCGAGAGCGGTCGGGAGCGCACAGGGCCAGGGCTAAGCAACGGTGTTTGTTGAGCGGCAGGCGAGTCATCATGTCGCGCTTTCCTGCTCTGCAGCCATGCTGAATCGAATACTGCTCCCAACCATTGGCCTTGCGCGTCCTCTCCGTCTCCCTCTAAACCCTCATGTGCCGGCCTCGTCACCGCCAGCACCAGTCTGGTAGCGCCCGCTACCCGTCCGGGACTTCAGCTCTCCAGACTTTGGCACCTCCCCACCACCCAATTTCGCACTTTGCGTCATCAGCGCTCACCTGTCCTAGGCGAACCACAGTGAAGCCCGACTAGCCGCCCCGACGCGTACACTCTGCACTGTCATTACCTGCTCATCCTCGACCCATTACCTTCCCTCGACCCTCACATCAACCCCACCTGCCGAATGGATGCCCACGCTCGAGCCATACACTTGATACTCTGCGCCGAGCTGGGAAGGCCCGTCAGTGCACGTTTCGAATGTGATGGCATCGCCAACTCGGTCCTATTCTTTGACGATAGGGGTGGTGATCCAAATATGGCTTGCAAAGGAACCTTCCAGCTTGGCAATTGCCAGAGGCGAGCTCATGCCCCACAATGTAGCTAGCATCAGGGGGCCTGAGAAAAAGAGTATGATACAATCAACGTCACAAGACGGAATATCATCTAGGGACAGACACGCGCACGACAGCCACACTGGCGCTTTCCGAACGGATGTGCCTCGTCCGTGCCGCATTCGAGATGACTCCTTGCGCAAGCCACAGGAGGTTACGTGGCGCATTCCATGTGCGTTGAGGCACAGCGCCCAGTCGTACAGAGCCTGCATTCTTGGATGCACAAAAAAGGAGACATGAGGGGCTGTGTTCGATGTGGGCGGTGCTGACAAGGGTTCTTGCATGCCTAGCACATTCGTTGCCCATGCCTAGCAAGGCATGAATATGGCCAGACATGCTTGCTGCGCCTGCGAGGCTGTGCTTTGGTGATAGACGCAATTATCGGCGGTATGTACCGCCCTGGTTGGTCTGCTAGAGAGATGAATCCGCAAGGGTTCCTTCGTCCAGCTTCCTGTAGCTAGCCATATGTCAAGAATGGCATCAATCTTATCGCAGAGAGGAAGTGTTGACGGATATCATGCGAATTTTCCAATTCTTCCACAACTGTTGACTCCTACAGGCACGAATTGCAAGCTGTCTAGGATTCTGCTCTGAGAACTATGCTGTGGTTTTACAACAGTCCAGATCCGTCGTCTTCCTTGTACTGACCAGCAGGTACTAAGCAGCTCAGAACCGCGCAGAGTTCTGGTGCACTTCTCTCAATGAGTCACCCCATCGAATAAAGCGAATCTGTCGTATTTGGACGGTTATACGAGAATTTCGCAAGAATTCGAATACAGACGGACAGCTTCCATCCTCCTACAGCGACATCTCCATGTAAGAGTCTCTTGAAACATCGGTCTGCTTCATGCTAGGCCAAACCACCCTCAACCCCAGATCGCGCTCGTATTGTGGAAAATGCTGAAGTGTTGGCCATCAGTCCCCGCTCAGCAACCCTTTGCCGTACGCCAAAATTCCTGTCCCCCACAGCTATCGTAGTATAACTTTCTACATTACACCTTTGTCTTGGGCTTGGATATCTCGACGGTATCAGAGGGAAGGCACATTAGCCAGGCTCGCTCTTCGTAGAGTGTATGCTGGACGGTAGCGGAGAGACGGATTGCTGTTGCCTCCCAAGGAGGCGGATGTGTTGTGCTGAGACAATGGCCAGTTTGTCAGTGGATATCTGTAAAGCGTCGAAAGGAAGTAAAATCCATGGTCGCTGAACTATCTTGATACTCTTACCGCCGTCGACAAAGGCAGGCGCCCCAAGAAGCTTGGATCGGTGAGCACAGAGTATGCTTGACTGTTGGCTACCTTGTAGGTTTGTTCGAATCCAGACCCTTGGCGCGAAGCCTGAATGATGATAGTTGGCCTTAGGTGTTGGTGGAAGGTCATCCCTTTGAGCTAGCTATCGAGATTCCGGTAGACTCGGATGAAGAAGACTCTCTCCTTGAGTAAAATATAGTAGCCTAGCCTCAGGTATAGTGAGTGTGTTTGGGTATCCTAGCATACCCACAGCCGTTAAAGTGGGATGTCTTGAGCTTCAGTGGGAGGGAGGTTACCATAGGCAAGCCCCGAGCGAGCCTTCAGAGCGCCATGTTGCTGAGGAATTTGCACCTGCGGGCTACTCCCGCGGATTAGTAATCCAGTTACCCCGTTAACCATGCGTCTATATAGGGATGTCCTTGCCACGCTTCTTTCTATTTTCTTAAGCTTTTCTTCTTTTCTATCAGATAGCAATATACTCTTTGGTGCACTACTCTAGAGTCGAGCCTACACAAAGAACTTTACCTTTTGGTTCCGTGGAATATTGGCGATGCAGAGAGAAGCACCTCTCGGTTATTCGTCCCTGAGACGGAACACCTTCCAGGCAGCTCAATCAATATTGAGTTGGACGGAAGACGTATATGTAAAGTGATGGAACGCACAGAAACGAGGATCACATAGGACTCCTTACGCAAGCTGGAAGAAGCCCTCCAACGCAGCCACCCGCTCCTTGCTCAGCGCCTCGACATTCTGCTCCTTCAACCGCAAGCTCGCCGCGCACCTTGCCACCAGCCTCGCGCACTAGTTGCCCCTTAGTTCTTCAAACCTCTCCTCCATCTCCGCGAATCCCCGCCTCCAAAAGTCCCACCTCGCCAAAGCTCCACCCGCTCCCGCCCACCCCAGCCTCCTTCGCCAGCTCACCGAGCTCTTCATCATCCTCTTCCTCCCTCACGCATCCCCAGCCCCTCGCTGCCATCCACTCCAGCACGGCGAGCTAGTATCTCCGTGGCACCAGCACCACTCCTATCGTCGTCATCGTTACTATCCTCTATAGCGGCACGCAGCAGCCACAGCGCCGCGAGCGCCAGACGGTCGCGACCGTCGGCAGCGCGGCACGCGCCCAGGCTGACAAGGCGTGCCGTGAATGAAGCAGGATTCCGGTGGGTGCTGGGCCAAGACGACCGCTCCCGTGGTCGTAGTCGGGGGATTTAACTGTTACGTAGGAGGAAGAAGACGAAGAGGAGGTGGTGGTGACGAGGATGGTTTTTCCAGGTGGTGAGAAGATCGGTGTGAAGAGAGCGAGCGCTGCCGGAAGAAGCGGCCGCGGCGGGGAAGATGGCGTGCTCGACGACGGTTTTGGATATTGATCCCGGCTTCGTCCCTGCAGCCGCTCGGTGGGCGGAAGGATGCGATATACCGGACCACGCTCGCGCGCTGCAGGGACGAGGAGGACCAACCGGTCCATAGCTTTGGCGCTTTCTCGTCGTCCGCAGCCGCCATGTCGACTGCATGTGCACATGCTGGGAGAAGGTGACGCCGGGTTCCTTGTAAAGAGAGAGTTCTGCTGCAGGGGTTGAGGCTTCCATTTTACTTTTTGACTTGGTGAAACAGGCAGAGGGCGAGTGGTATCACAGCCGTCTTTTGGCTCTTGGAACAAGGAAATGACGTGCAAGTGGTGCAGTGATATATCATGAGACAGTGAGTGACTGGAGCTGAGAATCCTATGGGGAACCCGACCACACACAACAAACTTATGACGCAGCACATCTTTGATATTCGGGTTGTAGGGTTGCAAAAGCAGTGAAGCGAGCGAGCAGACTAATGTTGTCTTTCAACTATCCGCCAAACCCTAATCAAGAGCACTCGGCAAGGTTATCTGGATCCCCGTCGTCGTAGTAGCATATAGCATCCGCGACTGTGCACTTTGCGTGTGTCAGAGCTTGGTGTGGCGTTGCTTCACGGGATCACTTACCGGGGAATTCGGGTCACAAGGCTCTTCCAGCTCGATTCCATCATCTGGCTCATACCTGCAAGCCCCGTGGCTATCGTCCTGGCTGCACTCCTGTGAAACAGAGTCAGATGACATGGAGATGAAGGGAAAATAATCCACTCACGCCAAAGTGCTCTTCAGACTTGACAATCGAGGCGATGCCCACAAGGGAAAAGAGAAGCGAAATAGACAAGAGACGCATGGTGACAGTGACTGTTGGCTCTTTTCGTTGCTCGGGATGGATTTATTTGCGGAAAATTGGCTGTGGTGAGGTTTACCCTGATATATATGATGTCCTTATGCTCACACTTTCACAAAGACCAATGCTAGCATTTCTCAGCTGAAGTATCAGGCAATCAGATAAGTGGGACAAGACACTCATTGAATTGGCCGAGTCTTCCTGGCTGTACCAGGGCGGCTCGCTGCTGACTGTATTCTATGGAAGGTAGTGTAGTGTAGCAAGACTAATGAGAGGGCCCATTACTTGAAAATTGCGGGATTCCCTTGCACTTGCCTCCGTAATGTAGGTGTGCTTAATAGACTAATTCTTTTGAGAAACGAGTCCGTATGTATTTTTGCTGGCTGACGAGCCAAGAGAAAGATAACGTTACAGCGACCCTCTGTCACATTACTTCACAGCCTTATTACCAGGAGATGTACATCTTCTGTAGCAGTACACTAATATTAGACATCTCTGAGGAAATTTTTGGCTGGTAATGGACTCTTGGCGAGCCTATCCAGTGTTTACACCATACATGTATGTCTGAGGACACCCAATATACGCCAATGCCTGTCCCTCAATCTCTTTGAACTCCTAGGCTTTCCTCCTTGCGTAAAATCTGCTCAATATACTATTTTCTCGTCCATTACTGCCCCGCGTTTTCGTATCTTATCTGGACTTCGTGCCTTGTGGGTCGCAGCTCGCCTTCACTTCTCTGCCAAGCCGAAGACAAGCCAGGTGCTTCGGTGTAAAGCTTGTCTTGGATGTGCAGTGTGGTTTATTTGATGGCGAGTCTCGGGCATAGGAATACGAAATGAGATTCGAGGTTATGGAAAAGCGGCGTAATGGCTTCAAGAAGTGTCTGGTGAACTGGGTCAGCGCACATTAGCACCCGTGTTGCTGTTACTGTTGAGCAGGGCCATAGCTTACCTCCCATGACACTGTACAATGAGCACTGATCTCCGACTACTTCATCACGAGGGTTCATGGAGGCGCCGCGTTGTATCCACTTACCCTGCCCCATCAACAGCTCAGCCTCAACTTTCCACAACAACAAACCGAGAATCTAGGCATCAGCAACGGGGATACCGTACGCTAAACTCTTTCTGACCGCCTCGGCAGCCCACTCTGTACTCAGGTTTAGCATTTACGGTTTCGGGTTTAGTGCTTTCTCAAAGTGTGTTATATTCCGGTCATCCGTGCCGGTTTCCCGCGCCTGGGGAGACAAAGGGCAATCAACACACAGCGTGAAGCCATTCCACAAAAATCCGTGATTACGGTTCCCTGTAGGTAATGGCTCAATTTCTTCTAATCTTGAATCCTGCAGCATTCCAAAGATGCCGGGAATAACAACTGGCTGCTTGCAAGGCTTGTTGGATCAACTCCTGACATGAGACACTGTGGTGCTTAAAGAATGCCCCTGGTGATTTTACTGCTGATCGCAGTTTCTGACCACAGCCCAACTTAACGCCGCATCACAGTGTTCTCTCATCTACAGCCATTTGCGATTGTCACATGGGCGCAGCGCGTCGTCACTGCTAGCTATGAAGAAGCTTCAAGAATGACATGCAAAGTTGACAGACGTGAAAACCCATAGTATGATCTGTTCGAGCTGCCGGGTCCATCTTTCCGATACGACTTCCATAATTCCTTCTGCCAAAGTGTGTTCAATGCTCACAAGCTTAACCAGCGTGCGGACAGGGGTCAAGTTGGCTGCCCACGGGATCGCAGTCGGTGTTACTCCCAAGTCGCCAGCAAGTCGCTATTTCGGAAAGTTAGCCAAATTGACTCTGTTGTGTGTGTTTCTTGCAGGACAAGTTGGATAGGCCCAACTTTCCGTCTGCACACTCGCAGTAGTTTCCAATGCCATTATCCGGGTCCGCACTATGGCCAAGCGTCAGCCCTTAAGCTTAGCCAAGAGATATTGGTCGCTATGGAAGGCTTACTGGTTGTAGCATGGCTCCTCTTAAGCAAGAGTGAGGCCGGAAACGGCGGGGAAGGCGGAGATGGAGGCAAGGAACTTCATGTTCTGAAAAGGGGTACTTGCTGACTAGATTTGTGTCCCTTGTTGGAACTTTGAAAAACTCAGAGTGCTACTCCTGGGTGGAATATTTAAAGACTTCCTCCTCCGGCCGATCCGACATTCGTACTCGTCATGCCTCCGAGGGCCAACAGTCGAGTCTTACAGGATGGAAACGTCACAGGCGCTTCTAGTATTGGGTGCCTAGTCATATCTGTGCTCAAAGTATGGCTGCTGTCCGCGACTGACATGGACTGACATGGGAATAACTGCGTCACCAGTACTACGCAGGATAATATTATGACCACATCTTCCATTGCAGCTCGTCTCTTGCAGCCTATCTCGGGGTGTAGGGTCTCTTTCAGCTTTGGGATAAAGGAACGATCCTACGGATATATACGGGGCTATGAAGTCATTGTTCCAGTCAATTCATTGTTCAAATTCCTACATTGATTTAGTGGTTGCGGCGAAGCACCGAGAAGGCTGAATCAAGATAAGCAAGCACAAGCAACCGAGCATCGTACGAGCCAAAAATTAAATCATCTGAACACAGTGCTAGTAAGCTTTGCTGTATTCGACGATGGTGGATCAATTGGTGTAGTAACTGTGGAGGTGGCGGTGGCGTCGACTTCGCAAGCCACAGCTTAGCTGTCAGTTACGCCCCACCAAAGGATATTCCACACGTTCTATGGAGGTAGCAAAAGCATATGTCCGGGTGTGCTTGTATAATCATTGACGAATGCGCAGAATAATCCATAAGCTATCTGTGGGGCAGCGTAGGATATACACGCACCAGTAGCTGACAAACAGCAAACAACGAACGAGATGAGGCGAATATCATGAAATCCACTAGCTACTCTGCTAATTATAAACCTCAAACTTACGCTCGAGGGCTTGCTATAACTATTCACTTGAGAAGAGCGCGGTGTTACAACCACTTTGTGGCCAAATGCGAGTTAGTATATGAAAATTTGTTAATTAAACAACTACATGCTCGGTCCTCACGCCATATCTGCTATGCATTGAAGAACAGAAGCTATCGAGAATGTTTGAAAGCATAGCATGCCCGCCAAATGTAACCAATTTCATGGAGATAAAGTCAAGAGCAGAAGGGAAACTAAAAAAGGCAGTACACGGATTCTTCCAATGCTCCGTGCCGCCACTATTAGGATCGAATGAACATTTTCTATATGAACGGTGACAGAACAGACGATCAAAGTGTCTGGTTCAGACGTTCGAACTAGGAAAGCAAAAGAGATATGAAAAAAGAGAGAGAAAGAGAGAAGGCAGAGGGTACAAGGCGCGCTGGGATTCCTGGTCTGAACGCCTCCTTCTTCGCTTGAACGCTTGCAAATGCACAACAATCGGGAAGGAATAACTTTGAGAAGAGGGCATCAAATAGGCAAGAGACAAGGTATAAAGAAGAAATACAACAAAGAATAAGAAGAAGAAAAAGAAGACCGCACAAGCATCGATGACACAACCGGATCAACTTGCTGCCCAGTATTTCGTCGTCTCGAGCAAGGAAGAAAGCCCTTTTCCCACGTCCGATTTTCCCCATCCGTTCCTTTCCCAGTCATTGCCATGCTCGTGTCGTGTACATGAGTGCCCGAATCTCGCGTTAAATCACATCGTCCAACCCGAAAAGAAGAAGGTTCCGATCGCACTTATGATATCCCAGAAGCTTCGATCAAGCGCCCATCGCAACCCTCAGTGACCTTCCACCTGTCCCGTTCCATGACCCAAAGAATAAGAAATGCCGATATGTATGCTTCCGCTGATAACAGAGAAGCAGAGACGGTCGTTGACTAACGCTTCACAACCTCATCAAGTCTTGAGAGCATGTTATTGCATTCCTTGACCAGCTCCTTGCGCTTGGCTCTTGCGGCCTCATCGCCCTGCGTCTCAACAGCATCCAGCTTCAGCAACACTTGGGCGAGAACCGTCTCAGTCAAGCGCTTGTGGTCGAACTCGAGCTTGGCGGCGTCCTGCGGCGGATTGCTCAGGAACTGCACGCACATGGGCACGAGCGTGGTGTGGAACTTGCTGGACAGCTCCTGGAGCTTGTCCATGGGCGTCTGCGGGAGCTTGTGCGGCGGCGTAGGACGGTTGTTCGACGACGAGCTGGACGGACGAGGCGGCACAGCGGAGTTCGTTGGCACACCCAAAAACTCGGCCTTTGCGCCGCCGCCGACGTAGGCATTGGTCGGCTCAGGGGTGGCGCTCTCGCTGCGGCCACCGTGGCCCTTCTTGCTATGCTTCTTCCCGCCGCGGCGGCGCTTGTTCTTGCTCTTCTTTCCCCGCGACCCGCCGGGCGTCGAGGAGTCGGCGTTGTCGTCGCTGCTCTCGCCGCCCGACTCAGCGCCGTTGACGTCGTCTCCGCGCTGCCCGTACGGACTCTCGCTCTTGGACGAGGAGCTGAACGGCTGGCCTTCGCCGACGACGCACAGGATCTCGCTTTCATAGTCGGAGCGCAGGCCCACAGAGCGCGCCTGCTGGTCGTCCTTCAGCTGACGGCCCTTGTAGAACAGCTTGATGCGGCGCGCGTCGTCGACATCCATCTTGCGCGCAGCCGCGTCACGGATGTGCTTGACGCTCAGCTCACCCGCGTCGATGGCGCCGCGGGCGAAGTGCACGGGGTAGCTGACGCGCTTGTGCTTCAGCACCAGGATGTCCGTCTCGCCATTCGCATTGCTGCGGCCGGAGGGTGGAGAAGCAGTGTGGTTGTTGGCGGCATCCGGGTTGGCGCCGAGGTTCTTCTGGGCGGCAAGGTCCTCGCTGGTGATGTAGCTGAAGTCGGCATCCGACACGGTGGTGCTTGCTGGGTCGCCGCGACCGAAGGGACTGAAGCGGCCGCCCCACGAGCCAAAGCGTGAACTCCACGACATTCTCTTGAAGCCAAACAAGCCAATCAGTATTCCCGCTAGCAGCGTCGCGAGCAGAACAACCAGCGACGTGGGATCGTCTGTGTACCGTTGGGCGGCGGCGGCAAGGTAGTCGAGCGGGCTCCCAGGCGGCGAGGGGCCGGGGTTGTCGTGTAGCAGCTTCGGAAGCGGGAGATTATAGGTGCGGACGAAGTCGTCAAAGGCTCGTTGCAGGTGTGCTATGGATCGGTGGGCGTTGTCCAGGGCGCGGGGCTTGGGGGCAGCAGGATCGCGCTGTTGGATTGCCTGGGTTACGCGGGACAGCAGTTGTGACGCCACGGTTGCGACGGTTTCCGAGACAGCGGGGGAAGGAGTTGGGTGATGTAGGCTAGGAGCGGCGATAACGCGACTCAGAGACGAAGATGGCGGGAGGATGAGTTGCGTCGACGGCTAGTTACGGTGGGTGGTGATAGGCTGGCAGCAAGGACAAGGTGAGGCTTTCTTACGCCCACTTTTTTGGGATCGGCGCCTTGCCGAGCAGCGGGTCCGCTCAGCCCTGCTGCCGCCCAAGCGCTGCAGAAAACGAAGCCATTGCCTTCCAAGAATTTGATTTTGCTATTGACAATCTGTAAGAACCGAGCAAAATGAGAGGGAACCGCTATCCCAAGCAGGGAAATCAAGGCAAAACCCCAGCAGCGCCCGCTTCGTCATTAAATCCGTCCGATGCACCAGACCCAATCCGTGATTAGCCAGAGTAAAAAAAAGAAAGGAAAACAGCCCATGATGAAATAAGGCACCGCGTGCTCCGGCGCCAACGCGGAAATGCTGCCAGTGACGAGCGCCGCTCAACGTCAAGCGAGCGGATCCTCGGCAGGGTTCCCTGGAGCAGGACAACCACTGCTCGCAACAGCAATCCCAGCCAGCCGCCTCAGCGTGCCAAAACCACAGAACGGACCTCGGACCGTGCCAAACATCTCACCAATTCCTGAGCAGGGGGCGCCTGCACCGTAAGCCCTCGTGTTGTTTACTCCACTTTTATCAACAAGCCAGAAGTCAAAGCAAACTGCCGAAAATGCTGTCGTTTCTCGTATCAAACAAGAGTCCTGTACGCCTGCCGATGAGTCTTCTTCTCGCGGGTCAATACCATACCTACACCCTGCGCTTGGGTTGGGCCAAGGCATTCAGCCTGGCCTGGCTGAGCACTCCTCGGCCAGCTTCTCTGCGCCGCGGCGTCTTGTTGCTAGTCTCTGGCTTCTTCGGGGCAGCCTTGGCCGTCGTCTTGACCCGCTTGGCCCGACGGCCTCCGTCTTCATCCTCGTTTTCCTTCTCGCTCTCCGTGATCGCGCTGGGAACGTCTACCTTCCGTTTCTTGGCAGACGTGGAGGTGAAGGGATCGGGCAGAGCAGACGAAGCATTGCTGTTGCGAACGTGGCGGATCGTAGGTCCCTTGATTCCCGAACCGAACTTAATGGTCCTGTCGGACCGGAAGGTGAAGTCGCCTTTGCCCATGGGAGCTGGGGACAATTCTGGCAGCTCAGGGTACTTGACTTCGGACGGTGCCTCTTGCGGAACCTCTGATGAAGCGCGAACATTGTTGGGTTCATTAGCCCTCTCAAGTGTGCTCTCGCTGAATACAACGTGCTTTTGCACCGGCGCAGTTGCCGGAGCTTCCGGAAGAGCCTTGTTCACTTCCGGCGGAGACGTCATGTGCGTTCCAGCAGCAATCTTGGCCGGATCGTTGGAGTACTGACGGACGGGGCTGCGAAGAATCGACTTCATCGAAGGCAGACGGGACATAGTCTGGCTCGCCTTGCGGAGATTATCCATCAGGGATGCCGGCGTCTTAGAGGGAGTCTTGAGCGCCTGCGCGGATGGAGACCGAGCCAATGTAGGGATATAAGACGTCTTCTTAAGCGTCTTGACGCTCTGGGAGCGAGCAAGAGAAGCCTTTGTTGGAGTGGTGAGGTGAGACAAGGAGCGAGCAATGCCGGTGTTGCCGCGAGCAACAGTGGCACTCTTCTGCTTAGCTGACTGGTGGGCCTCGCCATTCTCTACTGTACGGCGGGCTGCAGATGCATCATCTTCCTTACTGTGCTTGACCCGCTTGGCTGGGCTGGCGTTGCTGTCGCCGTCTGCCTTGCCAAGGTCTGTAGTAGATTTGGAGCGCGGCGTCTTTCCGTTCGTCTTCTCCTGGTTGTCCAGCTCGGCCTTGGATGGCGAGCGCTTGAGCGCAGTGGCGGCAGGTTGAAGGCGATCGCGGTTAGCGCGGACGGCCGATGGGTGGTTGGCAATCGAGTCCATCTTCTTGAATTCAGCCATGTGGGCAGCGCTGAAGCGGCCGGTCTTGCTTGTTGGCGTTGCGATTCTGCGGGCAATATCCTCGGAATTCTCAATACCAAATTTCTCTGGGTTGGCTGACATCTGAGCCCGAATCTTCTCCGCTTCCTTCCTGCTCTCCTCCATCACTTTCTTGGCCTCGGGACTGAGATCGAGCGAAGGACGGCGGAAACGGAACTTGAACTCGGGCGTTGAGAAGGCAGTAGCAGGCATCGTCTGTTGTGACTTGGTGGGGGTCGCCTGTGTAATTGGGATCTTGCTAACACCCTTTTTGACAGGCTCGGTGGCGGCGCCCATATTGAGAAATCCTAACCACCGTGCCTCGTCCAGAGGCTTGGCGGTGCTATGCTGATGGTGGTGTGGATGCATCTCGATGCGGCTGGGCTCAATCTGGGTTTTGCTGGTCGGGGTGCGAACAGCTACCTTGGGGACATGCGACTCTGTACGATCAGAAGCCTCGGAAGCAGCGGCTTGCTCGGGGCTCGCAGTCTCAGGCTGCTCGTCGACCTTCTCGAGCGAAGGCATCTTGGGCGTCGCAGCAATAGCAGGCGAGGCTACATCCTCTGGAATGTAGTTGTTTCCACGGCGCTAACAGATTGTCAGTCGCTGTTCTGAGTGTCAAGCACACAAGCACGACCAGCTGTGTTGGTCGAGGAGCATTGATGCTGGATAGACAAATCCCGTACCTGCGGAGTGCTTCGCAGCCTCGAGGACTGGCGACGTGTATGAACCATTGCGGAAGCGTGCCAGACAATCGCCGTCCGAGCAAGGATCGCGGGCGACGCGTGCAGCGAAAAGGGTAGTGGATCTCGTAGTCGGTCGGGTCTGGTAGTGATGTGATGTCGCGGGTAACGGACGCGGAGAGGTGGATGGTGGAGAGATGGAACCTGGGGTGACGCAACGGCAGCTTCAAAGAAGGTTCGGGCCCGTGTTGCGCGGTTGGCGCCCTTGTAAACAAGCGGCCGCCGCGAACCAAGCGCATCACCACGTGACCTTATCAGCCCTACTGCCATTCACGAATCATCATCCTGCCCTCCTGTCGCAAATCGATCGCCCACATCCTGCTGTGCCTGGATGCCGTGAACCCAATGCACGTCATCCCCCGTGGTGGAGTCACGCCAGGGTCTTCGCAAATTAGACACATCCCTCTTCTGGCCATCAGTTTCCACGCTTGTCCTTTAGCATGAGGACCAGCATGTTTGTGTCCCCATCTAGAGCGTGCGCCGTTTCAGGTCCGTCCTGGCGTTTCACCCATCTCCATGCGCGTCTTCCTTCACATCCATGCGACGCTTTTAATCAATCTCAACACGGCTCACGGTGTTACAGAGGTATGTTTGTACTGTCCAATTCATTGATTGGCTCCTATGTGCAAAGAAAGAACTCAGGACCCAAAATTCAACGGAGAGAATAGGAAATGCCCTCGTAGGCATACCCACTTCCCGTTGTCCATCCCATCCCACCTGGTATCTTCCTTTAATCCCCTCCATCAGCACCGTCTGTTTGTTTCCCACAGTAACACCAAACGGTAGACATGGGGCGTCTCGACACGCTCCAATATACACGTACCCAAAAATCGCGCCAGGTTTATTTATTCGTCATGACCGTCAGGAAAATGAAAAAAGGGAAGCGCAAAAAAAAAAGAACAAAAGCAGCAGAAACAGCTAAACAAGGGGCAACAAGGTGTGGTAAGGATGAGATAAGCGAATGTAGACACTACGATTGTAGGTGTGGTGGGCAAAGGCATTCTTCGTGCCTGACGAGATGTGAAGCAAGCAAAGTCCCAAGAAAAGGAGAACTTTCCCTTTTGAAACGCCAACGCTGTCGCTCTGGAAAGGCGAGTAAGAAGCGCGCATCCAAGAAGCTGAAGCAGCAACCCGAGAAAGAGGAAAAGGTTGGAAAACTCAGACATAGGAGAACACAACCAGAGGAAATAGTAGCGAAGGGTTGGCACCGAAGGCCATGTTGAGAAAGGAAAATATTTGAAGGAAAACGGGTAGTAGAGGGAAGTTATTATGATCGGCCTTGATGCAAGCATCTGCATTATTGCTCGAAACACTGTTTCCGCCACATTGAGGCGAAGTTGATCCACAGGCCCCAGCTGTGGCGGCCCGTTCGGTTCAAGACGCTCGAACATTGAACCTTCATTCGAAGGGATGAACAAGACCTTGACGTGCGCAGTGCTGTGCAGCCACAGTAACTTGAGACGCGGCCCTTGCCATCCTTGGCAGGAGAGCAACCATGCCGGTGTACGGACTTTTGAAAAAATTGTCTCGGCTCCACAGGTCAAAGACCAGCGCAATCCCAGCTAGAGCCTAGAAGACCGGTGGAGCTGCGAATTGTGGCGGAACCGGCCCCAGAGGGCAATCATAGGACATCCCAAATGTTCCTTGTGATGGGGCTTACGCCCGATTGCGGCGGGCTCCGGGGGTCGATGTCCGTAGGGTTTGGCGTACTGCATCTTTGGACTTCCCAATTCTGACTTGAACCCTCTTTTTTAGAATCAAGCATTCGGCCAGCCTGAACTGGCGGGGGAGAGCCGAATGCTTCCTCCAGGGTGAAGTGGAAAGGATTTTGAGTGAATTCATGTGCTCTTGGAGACATCAGCGTTGCGGCTTCGTTTGATGTATGCGAGCTGTTGTGGTTGGGCAAGCGCGCCTCCATCTCTGTTTGAAAGGCGCGGAGACGGCGCTGCGATTGCAGGTCTGGATTCGAGTACTTCGGTCGAAGTTTCGGCTCGGACGCGGATAAGTGATTGTCATTCTCGTGGAAGTTCCACGTGCTCGGCTCGGGGCCGTCTGTACGCGCGCGGCGAACGCCTGCCATTGGGCTTGGTTCTTCGGACGGAGGTTGAGCAAATTTCGAGACCTGTGGCGGTGTCGCTGGCCGCGGCGAAGGCTGGGAACCTAAGAAGCCGAATCCTTGGAAGGGTGATTGCTCGGGAGAATCGACTTCCGTAACCGGTGGAAGAATTGCGTGCATGCGAGGCGGAAGTCCTGGTGAGACTCCTGGTTTGCTGCTGGTTGCCTGATTTTGAGTTTCAGGCTCAAGTCCATCGAACGGATTCTTTGGAAATTCGAACCTTGTTGGCGAGAGGAGACCAAAGTCCTCGTCACTTTCATCCTTTGTCACAATCGGAGCCATGTGGAATTCTTCAGAGATGGGGGACCCAGAAGGCTCATTTGATGCGCTCGTCTTATCACCCTGCGGGAAGGATCGGCTTTCGTTATGGCGATCATACATCGAAATGACAGAGTCATTTGGCCGCACCTGCCTTGGAGGGTTGTCGAAGGAGAAATTAGCTTTGAGTGGTGAAGCCAAGGGTAATGAGTCATCCATTTGAAGGGGTTTCAGAAGGGAGGAGTCGGCTCGAGGCCCGGGATTCTTGGATGCAAAAGGCTCTGCAAGCGACTTGATCTTGTTCTGGCGCCGCTCCTGTAAACTTGACTTGCGCGGGCTCATTGGCGGAGCCGCTGCGTGTGATGCCTGTGCGATCTTGTTTGTCGGGGCGGCGGAAGTCAACCTATCCAAAGCTTCCTGTTGATGTCCAACTGCGGCGGTGCCTTCCATTACATTAGTGGTTTGAACGGCGTTCGTGTTGTCATCATGATCGCCATCCTTTTGCTGTCTGATCGGGAACTGGCGTGAGAAATTTGGAACCTGGCGCAAAGTAGCATCGCTGTCGGATCTGCCCTTCTCCTTGATGAACCTCTCTTCCCTGTCGGGCTCGGGGGTTGAGCGAGCCGGGTGCTGGATGGTGACGACCGGAATGACATGGCCCTTGGGATCAACAAATGGTTGCTCGATGGGAGAACCAAGGGGAACATGTGCTGCATCCCAAGTGCGACGGAAGCCGGGCGTACCCCAATTCAGACCCGACGGAGCGGAAGTGGGGCCTGGCGAAATGGGTATCATGTTGCCCGTGCTTGCTCGTTGCGGCACAGGGTCGGGGCCGTAGTCAGGTGGCAAAGGCGCTGTGGCTGGAGTCCGTGAACCAGACGAATCCGCGTCAAATCCAGATTGGTCTTTGCCCCTAGGGCCCATGGGGTTCGGCGAGAGCCTGCGGGGGACACCGGCCTTGTAGCCCTGGCTGTGTCCATTGGCACGGAGCAGGCCATTCCTGAATTCCTGGAGCTGCATGATCAAGTTCATGTTGGGCCCAATCCACTTGCTTCGCTTTTTAACGGCATCGTACGCTTCTTGAACACTGATGCCAGGATTCTTGTACAAGCCGTAAGCCACGATCAAGCTAGCTGAGCGACTGACACCGCATTGACAATGAACCAGGACACGCTTGCCCTGCTGTACGCGGTCGTCGATAATTCTGACTAGCGTGTACAGGTCGGGTACAATGTCGGTGTTGTGCTCCCAGGGGATGTGGATGTACTCCGGTTTCGAGAATGACGTGCGTGCTGTGGATCGCTTCTCCACCTTATCTCCGAAAGAGGGCGTGGCTTTGGGGGTTGTCGGGGAACTTCCCTGCGCCTCTGCTGAGTTCTCAGTGGTTGCTTGTCCTACCGGTCCATCGGCTGAAGTGCGGTCGGAGGGTTGCGTCAGCTCGGAGCTTCTTGGCGACGTCGGGTTTTCTTTTGAAACAGCCTTCGCATCCCTTTTCGCATCCTGGGCGGCTTTCTTGAACGGATTGACAACTTCGCTCGCCACATTGAGCACAACATCGTAACGGGCAGCGATTTCGGCGGTCGGCTCGTAATAAAGGTCGACACCTGATTCGTAGATGCAAATTGGACCGTTGGGATACGCCTCCGGCTTCTCTTCGCGTGATTGAGGGACATCAAAGTTCGGTTCTTGCTCTTCCTCCTCGTCCTCCATTGGAATCTCAGCAAATCCCTGGGGCGGCGCTTTCGCCCGCGGTGGCGGGGGCAACTCCATGCCACCAGAAGGAGGAATCGCAGGCGAACATAACGGAAGCGATGGGGAGGACTGAAAGTGCCGTAATGTGTTGGGCCTCTTTATGGAAGGCGTAGGCGGGATCGAAAGCGTGGGGAGCGGGCCCTTTGTGTTTGTTTGCAGGGTCAAAGCCAGATTGCTGGGTTTTCGCCTTGGCGGAGTCGGAGGCTTGACGAAAGAAGGCGACGGCGGAGCAGAAGATGACGCAGGCGGGTTTTGCACAGGAAGTGCAGCCGTGTTCGCAGCACGTCCAAGGCCGAGAGTGGATGACGTGTTCACGGCCAGGTTCTTCAAATTGCGAGGCTTTTTCGCCGGTGTCGTTGGCCGCTGAAGCTCGAAAAACTCGCCTTTGCTCTTGTCGGTGGAGGCATTTCTTGAACGGAAATCTGGAGAAAACGACGAAGGAGACGCCTTTGCCGCGGGAGAGGCTGGCGAGGGACCCGGCGAAGGTTCGGTAAGCGAAGATCCATCCATAGTCGAAATAGTCGTTGTTGGAGATGAATCTGTTGATTCCGAAGCAGAAGTGGACGTACTTCCCCGATGTTGATGAAACCCGGTGAAGGCAGTATTCGGGTTGTAGAGCACAGCGCTGCTCGTCGCCGGCCGCTTTAATAAGTGGTTGTGCGCGACGGGCGCGTTGCGCTCCTGGTAGCCTGGCATCCCTCTAGTAGTCTTTGATTCCTCTCCAAAAACTGACATGAAAGACGGCAAATGGGTAGCATGGGATCGTGAAGATGTCTGAACGGGCATGCCTGAAACGTACCCAGCCGGGGTTGCGCTTAAACCTGCCGTACCACGTTGCCCGTCCTGTTCTTCGGGATGACACGCGCGGTACGCAAAGCGATATGACGCAGACGGAGGGCGGATACGGTAGTTGACGCTCTTGGGAGCTGAGAAATTAGACGTTATTTCTGGGTAAAAGGACCTTTTCAGAAGTGTGCGGTCAGCGCAGTTGTTCAAGGCAGCGGCCGACGCAGCGTCCGGGAAGCACGTTGGGCAATATGACGGAGAATGAGAGTAGCTATCGAAACGAGAGAAACACAACATGGGCGAAGGCTCCTCCAGGTGCTGCTTCGCAAGCTGTGCAAACAATGCTTGTGTTGGCGGAGTTGGCAGGCCGGCGACCAGCATGCTGTGGGGCTCAGCGCAGCGAGTGTGAAACGCTGAGGGCAGCAGGTGGAGTTGGCCAGAGGAGCGACGGGGGGCGGAGGCGGGCGCAGGCGTGCGGGTATACATACTGGACTGTTGGCGGTGGCTCTGTGGGCGGGTAGCTTGAAACGAGATGCCGGATCTCGAATAAGCGCTTAAAGGAATGACTGGCTCAACGGAGGCGCCGGTGCGCGGGACGCGGTGCGCAGAAGGGAGGGATGCAGTATGAACAGGTGCGGCGGCGACGTTGGCTTTGTCGAGGAGCCGCGCTCACGGCGGAGTTAAGCAGAGTCTCGCAGAGACGGCGGCGTGCTCTCGGTCGGGCGCAAGGAAAAAGGGGAGATTTCAGCGGCGGCAAGGCCTGCACGGGGTGCTGACAGCAGGCGCTGCAGTGCTCGGCATCCAGGACAGAAGGGCAGGGTGGTGAGGGGGGCGGGCGCGCGGTGGGAATGGGTTGATGGAAGCAGCAGAGAAGGCGGCGCGAATGGGTTTCCTGACCCAGCGCCCCGAGTTCCAATGTGAGTGGGCGCCTACGGCCTACGCAAGGGCTATTTTTGGGGCGGCCCGTGCGCGCGCGCAAAAGCGGCGAATCACGCCCCCAGGCATGCAGAGCGCTGCAGCGCCGTGGAGACGGGCGCTGCGTCGAGACACGACTGCGCCCGGCGTCGCGCGCTGCGCTCCCCGAACCGCGAGCTGCCCTCGAATCGCCGCCCGCTGGCGCCGCTCGCCAGCGCCAGCCGCCCCCCTGCGCGCGCCTCTCGTGCGTGCCCGCGGGCTGGCTGGCTGTGCCGCGGCGGCGGCCCACTGGCGCTGGCATCAACAAAGGCGCGCAGGATCGTCCACCTGAAACGGACAAAACTCGACTCGGCCACGAGACGGCCAGGAGCCTCATCTCGCAGCCGAGGGCTGGCGCATGCGGCGACCGGGGTGCGACGCCTTCATGTGCCGGGCGTTGGTTGCCTCTTCCGCACCATCCTGCGAGTAGGGTGTTTCAATTCTCGAGGCCGATAAACGACGCCGGTCCGGACGACGCGCCTCCTTGCTAGCTCAGCGTGCTGATCGCCATCTGTCCGCGCCGCCTGCGAGTCTAAAAGCTTGTGAGATTCGATTGCGCACTCCGCCAGGAGCCGCATCTCAGCAAGGCACTGCTGAGACAGATCGGGAGCAGCCCAGAGTGTCAGCCTGTTGGACTGGCGGCGCCCCCGCCACGCTGGGTTAAGTCATCATATGTCGCCCATTAGTGCTTCCCGGAAACAGAAAGCGATCATCTGTAACGTCGCGCATTGCGTAGCGAGATGCTCGGTGAGGCGAGCCGGACGGCTGCAAGTCCAGCCCTCGCCGCAGACAGGAGCCTCTGCCAGAACGAGCCACGTGAAAGGAGAGCAGGCGGCGCGCGGTGCCTGGACACCCTCCCGCTGTACAATTACCTGCGCACCATGGCCATTTCGCTTACCGGGGCATCCCGCACGGCAGTGGACAAGGTTACATGTGCAAAGGCATGGCTATGTGCCTGTTTTGGTCATGGCCAAAGGAGCAGACTCGTGCGTCCAATTTACCGTCCAGATAATTTGCGCGGGAGACGCTCTGGGGCCGTCGAATCGACACAGTTACAGCCTGTACTGCACACAACCATCTGTGCGCCGTTGGCAGGGTGGCATCTGGCGACCCTAACTGTGCCCATGACGGGCTTTCCTCCGTGGGAGGATTGCGTGCCGGGCGGGAGTAGTCCGGGAGCCAGAGGTTCGGTGCTTCTCATCTCTGCAATGAGAATCTCCGAAGCTATTCGGGAATGCAGTCGAGGAAATGCGATCTCGCCATCAGCGCGCGATTATGTAGGACTGTCAGCGTGGGCTGGCCCAGGTGAGACCTCGAGAAGGCGCAGCACCCGCCAATGCGTCGCAGCGTAGAACAGATGACGGAGCACCAGGCTAAACAAATGACATTGATGAGACCGATTACGATTGCTGCGTGCCGCCAAGGCAAACCACAGCCGTTGTCGCGAGTCGCGTGCCTCGTATGGCGCGTTGCGGCGGGAGCTGCGTGGAAGCGTCGTGAGACGAGCCTCTGGCAGGAGCGATGCACGCCGGGCCTTGGCGCGCTAGCCCGCAACCAGCCGCATAAGCGAAGAATCCGCACCAAGATTCTGTCTACGTCCACCGCGGCAATTTTCGACCTTCAACCACGACGGACTAACCACCACCAGCACAGCAAAGATGACGAGCCGGCCTGTTGTCACCATTATCTCTGCCGATGGCAAGGCCAGCGAGCAGACGCACCCCCTCCCGGAGGTGTTCAAGGCCCCCGTGCGCCCGGATGTCGTCCAGTAAGACCGCACGCAATGTTTTCAACATCGGACACCAGCATGGCTGACGCAGCGCAGGATCGTCCACACCGGCATGGCCAAGAACAAGAGGCAGCCGTACGCCGTGAGCGAGAAGGCTGGCCACCAGACCTCCGCTGAGTCCTGGGGTACCGGTTAGTACACACCTCGAGCGCAAAATCCTCGAAATCCGGAAAATCTCGAAAATCGCGAATTGAACAATGCGCGCGCTCGAAATTCCGGAAGCAAGAACACCAAAAGAACGTAGACTGATGGAAAACCCACACAGGCCGTGCCGTCGCCCGTATTCCCCGTGTCTCCGGTGGTGGTACCCACCGCGCTGGCCAGGCTGCCTTTGGTAACCAGTGCCGTTCCGGTCGCATGTTCGCTCCCACCAAGGTCTGGAGGAAGTGGCACCAGAAGATCAACGTTGGCCAGAAGTGAGTTTTTTTGAAGGAAAAACGCTATTTGGAGAAGCATTGGCTAATGATGAATATAGGCGTTTCGCTACCGCCTCTGCCCTCGCTGCCTCTTCCAGCCCCGCTCTCCTGCTGGCCCGTGGTCACTCGGTTTCCACCGTCCCTGAGGTCCCGCTCGTCGTTTCCTCGACCGCTTTCGCCAACGGTGCCATCTCCAAGACCTCCGCTGCCCTCGCTCTCCTGAAGGCTGTCGGTGCCGGTGCCGATGTTGAGAAGGTCAAGGCCTCCAGGAAGATCCGCGCCGGTAAGGGTAAGCTCCGTGGCCGCCGCCACCGCCAGCGCCGTGGCCCTCTTGTCGTCTACGACCCCGAGTCGGATGGCAAGGAGCTCGTCACCGCTTTCCGCAACATCCCCGGTGTTGAGACCTCTTCGGTCTACTCCCTCAACCTCCTCCAGCTCGCTCCTGGTGGTCACCTTGGCCGCTTCATCGTCTGGACCTCCTCCGCCTTCCAGGCTCTTGACAAGATCTACGGCTCCACCACCGAGCCCTCTGCGCTCAAGAAGGACTTCCTTCTGCCCTCCCCCGTCGTCAAGCAGGCCGACATTGCTGCCCTCATCAACTCCTCCGAGGTCCAGTCCGTCCTCCGCCCTGTCAAGGGTGCTGCCATTACCAAGCGCACTGTTGTCCAGAAGAAGAACCCGCTCGTCAACAAGCAGGTTCTGCTCAGGCTCAACCCCTACGCCAAGCAGTTCGCTGCCCAGAAGCTTGGTCAGGAGAAGCTCGAGCAGCCCAAGGCTGCCAAGACCACCAGCGAGTTCATCACCACTCTTCACGAGAACTAAGGATGATTTTACGCGGTGTATGTGGTGGTCCGGGTGCACTTTTTCCTTTCCTCAGTCTATGGTCTAATGAGGTCTAGAAATGGCCTCGTCAGGTAGCTGAAAAAAGTTTAGTCAAAATGGGATGACTAACCAGCTCAATTATGATATCCACTGTTATGTTCAATGTTTAAATGTTTTGTGTGATGCCCCGGTTGCAAATTTGCATGGGTTGCTCCTATAAGTTATGACTTGAGAACTAATTTGTCTGTGTCATAACATAAAAGCTTATTAACTTTTAGCTCCGCTATTCATTGAGTTTCTTGTTGGCTCCTGAAAGCATAATGAAACGTTGGTCAAGTCTCACACGACAGTACATCGCGGGTAGAAATTTGAGCTCACCCAGTTCATGCAGATCTACCAAGGCGCATGTGGAAGGTCCCCTCGACAATGCTGTAGTTGTGAGGCACTAAGATGTTGTAATTTTGCTTTCTCGAATACATTGTAGTCATAGAAAAGACGCAAGGCACTTCAATGAGGGATAACGAGCACGCAAAAGATCAGTTTGCAAGTGGTGTCCAACCACCTTTTCCTTCTTTAGCTTGAGCTGAGCAAGCAAACTAAACTACTAGCTATCATCTAGTGTGTATCATATGCCGCAGGAGCTTCAGTCGCAATGCCAAATCATCATTAGTGTCACTTCCTGCGGCACCCCCGGATGAATAATTCGCAATCCAATCGGCCGATTATCCCACAACTTCCACGTCGTACGTACGTCCGTCCATGTATTCTGCCGCCACCTGTGCACTCAGTCCCACCCTTTTCATTTGAATAACCTTCTCCCGCCCATTCTACCCGCCGTCCTCTCCCTGCCCTCCAGACTCAAACCCAAGAATCCCATGGCTCCACCTTCACGATCCTTCTTGTACCGCCGCAGCGCCTCCCGCAGGTGGTCTGGCGTCAGAGGGCCGCGGTCGCGCTCAGCCAGGCGCTCGCTCAGTGGCGTGTCAGGGGGTATGGGTTTGCCGGCCTTGCTGTCGCTGCCGCTGCCGTCGGTGGTGTTGGTGGTGGCAGTGCCGCCGCTGGATGCCGGGACGGTGGTATCTTGTGACGCGTTCGGCGTAGGTGTCTGTGAAGGGTTGGGGTTGGCCGTGCCGTTGGTGGTGGGGGCGGCGGCAGCGCCTGGCGCGGGACTAGGAGTACCGCTCGGGGCGACAGCTGGGGAGGATGGAGGGTGCGCGGCGGCCGGAGGCGCAGGTGAGGTGCTTGCACTTGGTGGGGGAGGGATGCGGATATTAGAGTAAGGGTTCGGGTTGTATGAAGGATGAAGGTGTTGGTAGCCGTAGGGATTATGGTAGGCGCCGGGTGTCTGAGCTGGAGCTGGAGAAGGAGGCGGCGGCGCCTGTGGTTGCTGTTGAGGTGCGGGAGTAGGGGCTTGTTGCTGGGGCGAAGGTTGCTGGTTTGCAGGCAGGCGAGGATCGTCTATGGGCGCATACTCTGCTACGGCCTGCCATTCTTGCTGCACGGTGCGGGCGCGCTCGATCAACGATCCAATGAAGACTTTGGTGTAAGAGTTGATGGTGGTTACGACTGATTGAGGCACGGATTGTGAGAGTGTCTGGTTGGTGATCTGGTACAAGAGCCGATTAGTATGTCGTTCTTTGAAAAGACCCGAATTAACATACCTTGCGGACGGTCTCCTTCTTCAGCTTGACTGCACGGTATTTCGCGTATCTGTCTGATTGATCTGGATCGAGCCGATCCACAAGCATCCTGTCGCTGGTTTCAGTCGCAACGATTCCATCCAAGTCGAATGAGTGGAGCATACCTCAAGTGCTCTTTCTCTTGCTTCTCATCTGCCTCACCTTGGCCTTCCAGTACAGCGTCGAGCGCTTCTCCGCCTTCCTCTTGATCTGCCTCCTCCTCTTCGTCTGCCTTATCTGCACCATCGCCGCCGCCTGCTTTGCCTCCTCTGACGCTAGTTCCCGTGGTGCTTCTCACGTCGTCGTCCCCGCCCTTGCCTTTCCGGCCCTTCTTCCTGGTGGTGTTTGTGTTCGTTGTATATGTACTGTCAACACTGGGGGAGCGCGAAAACTCAGCGCGCCCGGACTCCTCGGGTGGGAATGACGTCTGGCGCAGACCGGAAGGACCTGTCGAAGGCTTGCGACGTTTGCTTGGGTTGGCCGGCAACGGGCCACTGATCGAGGGGCGCTTCTTCGATAGGTTATATCCGGACGGCGGCGACGCCATGGCGGGCAGTTGAGGATGAGTGTGAAGAGAGTTGCGGGTGGGAGTGTGAGGCGGCGGCGACGTTGTCGGCGGCGGGAGCTGTCGAGCTTTGGGTGACGCGCAGCGTCGGAAAGTGCAGGCCACCGCGCGGAAGTGGAAAGTGCCGGTAGGGCTGAGGCGCGCGTCTCTTGGACACCACAGAATTGCTCTCCACTCTAAAAACAGACCAAACTCTTGGAAAGTCATGATTGGTTTCTCTCGTAAATACCTCATGAATTTTAATTGATCGTTGGACTCTGTCTAATTAAATTCATGCGTGGATATCATCAGCATGTAGTAAATAATAATGAAGACGAATAAATGCGGCCTTCAAGGTCTTCTTCTCCCAAATATGAAAAAAAAAAAAAATTAGAGCCTCACTATATTGGACAAGAGCCCTCTCCGGATGCTCCTTCACCTGGAGTCATTGCCCGCACCATCCCAGGCACTTCTCTGCCTGGCTCTACGCCAAGAATCTCAAATAGCTCCTCCCTTTTGAACATCACCGCAGTGTCTTTCGCACTCGGCCCTCCCGCATCTGCGTTCCCACCACCCTCGACCAATGCCTTCACCACCTCTCCATGCCCCTTGAACACCGCCCCGGCAAGCGGGCTCTGACCGCGGCCGTTGATAACGTTAGGATCGGCGCCCTTGCTCAGCAGCGTGCGCACCGTCTCAGGGCGCCCGTGGTACGCCGCAAGCATTAGAAGGGTGTCGCCTTGGTGGTTTGTCAAGTTTGGCGGGATACCGGCGTCGAGATAAGCCTGGAGCGTAGAGGTCTCGCCGGCGCGTGCGAGATCAAAAAGCTTTGCTGCGAGTTCCAGAGCGGCGGGTGGAAGCTCGCTAACATCTCGTGGTGCCGGGTTGCTTGCAATTGATTCATTGGTAGGTGGCATGTTGCTGTCGGGAACGGGCGTTTGTGCTTCGGTGTTTGCGGGGAGACCCATGATGGCAGCTCTGTAGCAGCCAAGTATTTTCGAGCGTGTGACAGTCGTGGAAGAACAATTGAGGGGTTGATACGTGGTCTGTAGGCAAGTGAGTTTGCCGTCAAAGTGGGACTGCATGGGAAGGAATCCTACATAGTCGAAGGCAGTACTTGGCGCCACATGGTAATCGCAAAATGCGATGATGACATGCGCGACAAGCTCTAATCAGGGCCCAGAACCTCCGCGCTCAATAATCCGCTCCACATCAAAGGTTGTCGTCCACAGCATAGCATTTGCCGAGAATCAAATGTCGCCGTAATCCACGCCACAATCAGACAAATCGTTCGTTTAGCATGCTACGTAGAGTCCGCTCGAGTCTGCGCTAATTTGTTTTCAGACACCGCAGCCCGGTGTAGAAAAAGGCATGCGTATTATTCCATTGGCAATGCCGCTTGTTCTCACTATAAGTACTTCATGAAGGAACTCAATATTCTCCATCATCGCAAATACCAGTCGCATTCAAGCATATTGAATCAATCGTCTGAACACAAACCTGCTCTGTCGCACCCAACGAACGTCCCATTGCGACGGCCTGAGATCTCTAGAACCGAAATCAAGAACAGCCGAAATTCAGGTTTTCAATTGGCTCGAACCTACAGCATAACAACGAGTCCACGAATTCACAGATATGGCCACCAATCATATTTTGGGACTCCCATCCGGCTATACTTTCCACGACGCCCCACCCCCGCTCGAGGTCTACCTTTCCCTGCGGCGCGTTAGCGGCCTCTCCCCTAAAACTCCGGCTCAAGGCGCTGGCGCGCTATCCGGTAGCTGGGCTTGGTGCACCATCCTTTATTCTGACCCCTCCTCCCCTTCACCGCCGGACAACGCTCCACCCAAGTCTGAGGTCGTTGGTATGCTCCGCACCATCGGCGACGGCGGATGGTATTTCCATCTTGCGGACATGGCGGTGTTCCCCGCGCATCAGCGCAAAGGATTGGGGGAGGCGCTGCTGCGGCGTATGCTAGCCAAGATCAACGAGAGCGCACCTCCCGGCGCGCTGATCTCACTGTTGGCAGATGCGCCGGCGAGGAAGTTGTATAAGAAAATGGGTTTTGTGGAAAGCGCTCCGAGAAGCCTGGGGATGTGGCTGGAATCTGGTCAGACGTCTTCAGAGGGACCAACGGAAGGAGCAGAGGATTCGAAATAAACGAGGGACGACGAAGTGCAGACACGGCTGGCCCCGCAGAGGTTGGTAAAGCTTGTGGAAAGGCGATGGAAAATACCAATCCATTAAATCGCCAATTGTTTGTACTTATGCGCCGCTTTTTGAGGATACAGACCCACACTGTACGCCTGCTGAATGCTAAAATCTGGTATCGACCGTCCCGCAAATGGTGCTATTAATGACCTGCAAGCTTCTTCAGTCATCATCTTCAACCCTGGCCCGCTTGGAAGACCGGCCGTCTGGCTCATCCACGCCTCTCTTGCCACTTCCAGCAGCACCCTTGGTAGCCTCCGAGATCATCTGATTTATGTTGAAAGGGTCGTCGGTATCTTTCTCGAACTGAACAGGCCCTTCACGTTGCTATTGAAATCGTAAGCTCATGCTGCATTTTTTTATTTGGGTTGATGAGTCCACTTACCTCGGCGGTGTCCGCGCCCTTGAAGCCCTCCTTGACTTTGCCGAGCACCTCGAACCTGCTAGTCTTCTGAATCTTATCCAGAGTCTCTCCATTATCGTCGTCGTCATCGTGGTTAAGCTTCGGCCGATAGATGCTGTGAAGAGCATCTTGAGCCGCAAAAAGAGGCTTGTCGTAGGCTTGATCCTCGTTGAATCCGGTGTCGAATCCACTTGTTTGGTTAAACAGTCGCGAGTCGTACATGCTCTCCCCCGACGCACTCGGCTTTGCGATTCCGAGCGCAACTTTCTCAGAGATGTCGCGGTTCTGCTCCCTTGCCATCATCTGGATCCTTCGCTCAGTTCCCATGCGTGATTGCCGCAACTGCTTCTCAGCCTCCCGGCGGCGCTCTCTACGCATCTCCTCTCTTTCCCTCTGAGCCTCATCCCCGTCACTCTCGGACCTCGATGAGTATTCGGAAGGGCTTCTGCTCCTCGAGCGGGAACCGGCATCTCGTGAATCCCTCCTGGAGCTCCCTGCAGCTTGCTCGCGTGCTTTCATGGCCAATGAGCGCAGGTGCTCCTCCTTCTGCAGTTTTTCCTTCTCGGCTAGCTTTTGCTGCATGAGAGCGCGCTGCTTAACCTCCTCTCTGGCGTGTCTATCCGCGGTGAACAAGGCCTCGGCGAACTGTGCAAATTTGTCGTTGATGGTGACATCCTGCATACCACGACCATCCGCCGCCAAACGCTTGTCCAACGGCACGGTATAACCCTTCGGGTTCTTCCAGTTAGAGACCGGCGGGGGAATCCTCCAAGCTTCCTGGTCTTCGGCCGTCAATTTGCGAGGCGGCGAGTGCATGACCGGCGGCGGCGGGCTCGGCGGTCCACGGGGGATCTTCTTATGCTTGAACTTGGGCGGCTCCATCGGGTCGACCTGTCTCTCCACAATCTTCATGATCCTGTCCTGCTTCTTGCTATTGTCCCCCATCTGATTTGCAGGTGTGTATCGCACATAGGTCGGCGCCTTGCGTGTGGTGCCAGCAACGGTCTTGGGCTTCTGCGCTGCAACCGCGCCCGATACCAGCTTCGCCAATGCCTCCTCGGTCTTCTTCTTCGTCTCAGCAACTTGGTCCTCTGACGGGCGGTCGAGAGAGATCTCGCCGATGTCAGCACGCTGCCGCAGCGGGATAAGGTCCTTGAACGATGCATGCACAATGCGGTTCTCACTATGGCCCCGCCTCGCGATCGCATCGTATTTAACCTTTCCTTCTGAATCGACCTGGATTGCGAGCGCGTTTGAGCTCGATGTGCTTTTCCTGCCCATATCCAACGGGTACTGTGCCACAGGGACCTCGGGGAACGCGCCGCCATCTCCATAGTCTTCTTGCGAGCGAGGTCGCCATCCTGCGCGCTGGCCGTACGGGGGCGGGCCGGCTTTCTTCAGCACGATTTGCGTCTGGTCGATTTCGGAGGCGCCCACGACGCGCGGGCCGCGCGGCTGGGCGTGGGCGGGGAGGTCCTCATCCTCGCCGGTATACTTCGGCTTCGGTAGGGCGCGTGAGAGTGAAAGACCGGCGGACATGGTGATGTGGTGGCGGTCGGGCGCGTAGATTGACGGCAGACGAGGCGAGTCGTCGAGGTCAAAACGCAACAGCCAGCGCGTCTTGGCAGCCAGCCCAAAGCTCTGACGCAGCCTGGATGCAGCTAGTTGCTGAGTCATACATTACGGTATCGCTCTCCTGAAGCAGCACGCCCCTTGCCCACAGAAGAGTGGTTGCTCGACGGTGAACCTGCCTAAAGAGTACTGGCGCGTTTCAGATGGCGACCGAGCGCGACGCCTGTGCTCGCTGGCTGCTCTTTTCTCGAAAATTCAGCTCGCGTTGCGGCCGGTGTGTGCATTGTGCATTATCGCAAGCGAGCCCGTGCCGCTGCCCTGTGAACCGCAACATGGACAGGCCTGCGATGTTCTTGTGCCAATGCAATAGGGAGGCTTTCGACAAGGAGACGGGCGTGCAGGGTCATGGCCTAGTGGACTCGCGCTCGTCTCTGCCGCGCTGCAGCGATAGTTTCAGGCCCAGGCGGCTATGGACTGTGGACTTGGCGGGGCTACGTTCTGGGGTGCGGAAACGCATCTGGCAGTTTGGTTTCCGAAAAGCGCGTTCCTGCAGGAGCATCGAATACGTACGCGCCCCGCGGCGAGAGTCGGGGCGCTAGCTCGGCGGCTGCGATTGTGACGATGGTGGATTTGAGGCGAGGCGTGCAAAATGACGGACCCGCTGCGGTTAGACTCTTGCCAGCCTCTGCATTTGTGCCTGACAGGCATGGTCTAACGGCGGTGATCGTGCTCCCCCATGCCCGCCATCTGTGATACGCTTTGCAGCATCACGTTACTAGGCCGGCGATAGGCTGCGGGCTCCCAGCAGGGTGGAGAGGGGAAAGGCACGGCGTGCGGCATGCTTTTTCCTCCTCGGCGGCTCTCCTGAGTGCTGCTGCCCTCATTCTTGAGGCCCGTGAGATTCTTCATGCAGACGAGGACGGCGAAATTTTGTTGTTGTCCGCGCGCGTCGTCGTAGCAGCGCAGTGCACCACTTGGACCAGCCCCCCCGGACAAGGATAATGGAAGCCCACATCAAACGGGTGCCAGCGCGCAGCTCCTCTCACCGGAGTTTCAGCACACCACGAGAGCCAGCCGCACCACCGCCCTCATCGCCGCATCACGCTTTGCTCTCAGCCCTCTCGCTGCAGCAGTCTCCACGATCGCTGCCGCCACGTCCCCCACTCGCCCTGTCCCCGGCGAACAGTGCGTCTCGGCACCGTGACCGACATCTCCAGCACCAACAACACACGCCGCCTGCCCAGCGCGCCCCGAGCACCGACAGCTCACCCTTAGCCTCCGGCACGCCCTCCTCAGCCCGCGCTCGCCGCTCCAGCACATCGTCGACCGCAACGCGGCCGACTCCCAGCAGCGTCTCGTCGTCCGGCTCCTACTTCGGTCCGCACGCCCCCTCGAGCGCCGACGCCCGATCTCCCGCGTCCCGGAAGCCTCCCGCCTCGCACAGCAGCCATGGTATTGAGACCTCGTACGGTCCGCCAATTGCCCTGATAACGCGACGACGATCCACCACATCCGACGTTGCGCGTCGCTCTCGCAGCCCTGCCGACGTCGCCCTTCTCCAGCCGCAATCCGCGCCCTTTTCGACCACCGAGCCCGCGCCGGCCGCCAGCCACCACCATACGCGCACCAGCAGCGACAGCACCGTCACTACACCCGTACATCGCAGGAGGGCTTCCGTCAGGATCAGGAGCCTCCCCAGTTCGCGCGCCTCGAGCCCCGATCCGCAGACGCCCGCGCGCAGGAGTAGCTCAACGAGCCGCCGGAGTGCAATGGCTAACAACAGCTTCTCCGACGGCCAATCCGACTACGATTTTGCGTACTCGCACCGCAGCAGGCCTGATGACCGCAGCGGGGACTATGTGCGCGACACGAAGGGTTCAAGTAGCGAAGACCTATTTCTAAATATTGCGCAAGACAGCCCCCGCAACCAAGACGGGGATGATGATACAGTCCGGCTTGAGCGAAGACGGGTAAGTCAGTGCACTTCCCCAATCAATCTGCGACGCATCCCTGAGTCGTGCCTTAATCGCGCGCCTAAATGCGCGTTTGCGTAAGATCTGAGCCCACTTTCCACTCGCTCCCGCGGCCCTTATCTGCAGCCTTCTTCCGATTGCTCGCTGTCTTCCCGCCGTATTGCTTCTTTGGCTCACGCTTGGCTCCCTTCATTAAGATGCCTGCATAGTCCTACCCCTTTGCTGATACATAGAACAGTCGAGAATCGCCCGCATGAACAGGCAATCCCTCCCCGCGAATTCGCTGAATTCGTCCGTCTCCCGGCCTACCATCGACACCAGCATTAAAACCCCTACCATCCAGACGCGCATTTCGCACATTCGGCGCTCTTCGCAACTGCCCTCGCCGTCCTATAACTCACCATTGTCAGCGCGCGAGCCTCCTCCTACGTCTGTGACCGCGTCATTCCCCGCCGATGGTTCCCGTATCCGTTCTTTTGGTATGAGCTCATCTGGCTCTTTTGGGTTCTCGCGATCACGAGACCAAGAGGAATCCCCCAAGGATAGGAGATCGTCCATCCCGGACCCTGCTCGCGCTGCGACCGCAACGCGTGACGCGGCGGCCCGTGAGAGTAGATACCGGTCAAGCAATCTTACGTATTCTTCTCGCTACAATCAACCCACCAGTCAACCCACCACTCCGTTGGAAAATTCGCCTGAAATCCTCTCCAAACCCGAGCAGCAGTCACGTAACAGCGACGGCCACGACGGGTCTGAATCGCTCGACTCCACCACTGCCACTTCCACCGTCTGGGACGAATTGGATGAACTCAAGTCCCGCATCAAGAAACTGGAACTTACCGGAAAGATGCCTCCGACATCGGGAGCGGCCGTCACGAGCTATACCGCCTCTGAAAGACCGCGGACTGCCACTACTCAAGCAACGTCTGTCACCGCTTCGCCTAAGCAGCAGAAGAAGTCGAGTGTCTCACCGCCAGAAACGACGGTGTCAGGTACAGTTGCAGGTGCCACGGGCTCCAGCCACCCTCTACTCCATTCCGCCCTTGCAAAGTGCAGGGACACGATGAGCCCTGCATTTTATCGCATTTTGGAGGCGACTGCCACGGACGCGCTTGAGCTGGCCGCTATGACCAACGGAGCTAACACGAGTTCCGCTGCCTCAAACAGTGGAGTGCAGACGGGCGAACGTCAACTTCGCAGGAAAGCGGACAACATGTGCCGCAGCTTAACCGAATTATGCATCGCCCTGTGCGACAACAACAACCAGAATACGGCTCTTAAGTCGCCGAGCTTTGCACCTCCCAGCCGGAGACAAAGCGTGCAGATGAATGGAGAGCGCGATAGGGACCGTGAGCGGGAGCGTGAACAGCTTCCGCCACGGGGTTCAAGCGCAGAACCCGACGAGATGAGGAACAGCCCAAGCCGTGCTCTTAACCGCATTGAAGCCCGCCGTACTAGCATGCTCCTGTCCGGCAGCGGTGGCAACAGCCCGCGGGATGGGCCAGAACGAGACAGGACCACCCCCACGCAGGGCAGCAGGTACCAGTCGTCGAGGACTGGCACTTCGCTTCTCAACGGCAGGCCCCGCCGCGCAACGGTCACAAACGATGACCAGCCGGAGATGGAGGAAGACACGCAAACTCTTCGTGTGCCCTCCCGGGCTATGACTGATTTCTCTCAGAACCGCCAAAGCCACAGCAGCCACAGCAACCGCAGTAACAGGCTGTCCAGGGAATACACTTCCAACGTGCCTCTTCCTGATGGCGCCTCGATTGCGCTGCAGCACGCTACCTCGATCAGGCGCCCGAACGGCGCTGTGCCGACCATCGATAGCCCGACCTCCCACGCTCCTTCGTCCGCCTTCCTCCGCGACCGCAGGTTCGAGCGAAACTCGACCATTGAGAGCCCTCGCACTAGTGATTTCGGCAGTGAGGAGCGGCGCCAAAGGTTGAGTTTCTACTCGAACTCTACTCCGCGGACGTCCGTTAGCGCGGCGCCAAATGGCATCGCCCGGACCGCGAGTTTGTCCCGGCGCCTGAGGCAGGAAACCTAACTCGAAATACCCACCATAACCTTCTCGACGCTCCCTCTCCTTCTTGAAATACCCTCTTTCACAGTTGTACAGACACTGTGCCCTTGCTTGAACCAGATTTCCTATCTACTGTATAACAGCGTTTCCTTTGCATTTCTGCGGCGCTGGACTTGCATGTCTGCTTTTCCTTGTTCCTGATTCCTGGCGTATGCTTCCATATGTTTGGCGCATTGGAATATTTTGGACGAATGCAGACGACACGCAGCGCATCACGACGGCTCATCTGCTGGTTTCTTCTCGTTTTCCCTCCATGTCACACTGCACGAAGCCTCCATCTCCGACCCATGTCCGCCCGACGGCACCAGCAACATTCCTTTTAGTGTTTATTGGTCACGACTAGACATCTGTTTTGTACCTATTATTGCTTTCCTTGCATTTTACAAAAGTTCGCCCGTCGGCAATTTCCTTTTGCTCTCGTATGGAGGCTTGTAGGAATACGAGTTGGGAGCAGTAGTGAAGAGGATTGATTAGTGGTTGGGCGCGAGAGCTTCGGCGCAGTTGGCAGGCATGGATTGCCTTTTGTTTGGACGGAGTCGATTCGGATACAGGGACGAACGACGACGACATACGATACCCCCTGACGGGCCGAGAGCATAGAGAAAGAGGGCTTGACACGCAGAAACGCGTCTTGGGTTTTCTTTAGAACAGCTTTCTTGGAAAAGGAAGAGCATGCGGAGACGAGCCTGTTTTACTGGATGAAATGTCTGTTACTGTTTTTTTGTTTAAAAGCGTAGGCATGGCAATGTCATATCAGTTTATCGTCCGTACGTCCGGGAAGTGTGTAGTTCTGACTCGCAGGGAGAAGGGTTAATCCGCGCCTCTGGCAGCTGCGCGACTGGCTGGCTAAGAGAGAGTGTCACGGGTGACGTTTTGGAGCGGTTTCCAAGATTTCGGTCGAGGCTTGCAGGGATGCAACCGTCAAAGCCACCAGCCACGAAGCGAGACGGCTGACGGATGACGTACCCAGAAACGCATCATCTGCCGTGTCACCATAACACACGTCTGGACTTTGTGACCTGCCTTCCTGCTTTTGGGTCCGCTGCCTAGCGTGGATTTATTGTCCGCGTGCACAGATAAGTGTGGCGGCAGTCATCCACCTAATTCCCCTCTTGTACTTTTCTCTAGTCACCACACAATCCGCTCAAGGGTCAGAAGCGAGACAGCGTACACAGCCTAGTACACGCGACCACCGTTGAGCGAGCACGAAAGATAGAGCAGATCTTCGGCAATCTTGGTAGGTTATAATTCACCTGCTGTTCTTTCCCACGTCGTTGGACGTTCAGACTAGTCACCTTTCCTTCCCATCCAGAACCCCTACATACCCCGCACCGCGCATCCATTTGTGAACAGAATAACTTTCGACGCTTCTTTTTCTCCTCGTCCAAGACCCTAGACTGACCGCCGTCTGCTCCCCATCATGGCCTCCATACAGAATATCCCCCCTCCTTCACCTAGGAAGCAGCGCTTCAGGAAGGTCAAGAAGGCTCCCAAGGACGCGATGGAGTGGACCAAGAAGCAGTACAACCAGCAGTACGACCGCTGGGTCCCGTGGCTCGAGGACCAGTATCTCAAGTACTTCACCAAGGACAACAAGGCCAGCTATGCCACCAAAGGTTCGTTTTTCTCTTTTTTAACTCCACACCCGTCCCCCCTCTCTTTTCGAGCAAGACCAAAGCTGACCCGCGTGGTGATTTTCCTCCCCCCCTCTAGACCAGCTCGCCAAAACCAAAGTCACGGGCGACTCGCGCGTCGACAAGGTGCAGGACGACGTGTCGGGCGCCGCGGTCGGCCAGGTCGGCCAGGGCGGCCTGGCCCAGCCCGTCGGCGACATCGTCAGCAAGGAGGCCGTCAACCGCGCCGAGCGCGGCGGCAAGGACGAGCACGGCGGATACGTGCCTTCTGTCACCGGCGATGGCGAGCCGTCGCAGCTGGACAAGGTCGTCGAGCCCGTGGCCGAGGGCGCCAAGGACGCCGTGGCGGAAACTAGCGAGGCTGCGAGCAAGACCGGTGAGGCTGCGGGTAAGACTGGCGAGGGCGTGAAGGAGGGGGCTGGGAAGGCGGGTGGGTATTTTGGCGGTTGGTTTGGCGGGAAGAAGGCGGAGTAAGGGGAAGTGTTTGTGGTGAGGGTTTGGTGGACTCTTTAGATTGATATCCTGATATACCCATGTGCGCAAGGAATGAGTCTGGGTGGTTTGTAATGGGCTTTCTGGGTCATGGGATTTACTTTTTGGATTGATGACAATTGATTGATCCTTCTTTTTTGTTTCTTTTATGAATGTTTATGCGAAGTTCATGCAGATGACCCACCCTCCGTTTGGCAACGGTAGATGCAGATTATGCTTTATTCCATTCATATAAGAACGACAATACTTGGAACAATTCTTCTTTCGAACCCGCCGCCTTCAGTTGAGAAATTTAATCCGCCTTAACTGACTCTGCCTCTGCTACGAACCTTTAAGATGTCATCACCCCAGGCTCAACATAGGGGTGACCCGCACGAGACTATCGCGTGCCTGCACGATATGATTCACGACATCTATACTGGAAAAGATGCAGCGGATATTCTCGTCAAGCATTTCGGCCAGCAAGATGTGCTCACAATGGCAATAGATACGATCTACAACCAGATTCAGCAAATATTGCAGAAGGACCGGGAAATCGCAAGGCTGAAAGATGAACTGGTGAGGAAGGACGAGAAAATCAATGATTTATTTTCCCGGAATGTTTGGAGATACAGGCTTCCATAAGGGAAAGAGTAATGGGAAGAGAAGTGCGTGGCGCAAGCAGTGCCGGCCAATTTGAGAGGCGTCGCCGGAGCATCATTCCGGTAATTGGATGATAAAGTGTTTGAGAACTTAATGGGTAGACGTGGTGGACAGAACGACGGCAATCACCATCTTTTTGGGGTTAGTTGATAGTACCTTGTGGTTGCCCCCTCTTGATTGTCTTGTTACGATGAAGAAGAGTCACGGGGCTAGGTTAGACCAACTTCCTGTTTGGGATGGTATAGTGATGTGGGAAGCACTACGTCTACTAGCTTCCGGGATTACGCCGTCGGACGGAGCATGCATGACCAGCTCAATGCCCTCTACAAATTGCTACATTTACTGCGGGTTGAGTCTATAGTGATAAATGGAAGTGATCTGCTAGTGCACAGAGCCTCAAAATGTAGATGAGAATAGATAACAAGCCGGGAGGGAAAAGAGCACCAAGCATTATCTTCACCGCGTGGGACGATCTTCAGGGGAGGTTAAAGGCTCCTGCCCCTTTATCTAAGCAACGTATCCTCTTCGCCATCGTGAAATCGTATCCAAAAACCATTCAACTACTTGATACCCTCAAATCTTCTTCTCTACATCACCTATAAAGCCTCGAAACAAAAGTAAAAAAATCCCAGAGGAGCCTCAAAATGGACACCAACAATACCGCCACCCAAGACCACAATGAGCTCTTCACCGCCAACAGCGAGCGGGTCACCAGTCTCTGCGACAAATACGACGAGCAGCTCAAGATCTACGAAGGCATGATCAGGGACAAAGATGGGCAGGTTAAAGCACTGAGGGCGATTCAGGCTGCCAACGACAAGAAAATCGCAGATCTGGAGAAGCAGTTGAAGGAGATGATGGGCGAGCTGCACGATATGAATGACTTGGTGCCCGAATGAGACGGCTGAGATGGAGTGGTATTCACCAACTGGTGTGCAAATAGATGGATATGGACGGTTCGGAAAGGGAAGGGCAGAAGGATTTTGCAAAGCCGGTGACGGGAAGCCTGAGGAAGCTTTTGGGTGGTCATGGTGGCTGGGATTGCGAATTTCGGGTTTACGGGTTAGAAGTGGAGTTTAAGGTCTCATCTTGCAAGCGTTCAATTTCATGTAAAGTAGGGTCGGGGCTTTTAGCTGACAGCGACAAATCATGTTGACACAAAGTTACTTCAAGTGAGCTGCTCGTTGTGATTGGCGGTATCCCCGTATCTTCGGAATTAACCGGTGGTTAAGCCCACTGATTGTACTGCATCTGGAGAAGTCCGGTTCGGTTTGGGCGAGAGAGGCGTGATTGACTCGCCTCGTTCGCTGCGCCTCACAGCATAGGATCCTTTCCCGTGTAAGCCACTGTGCATTCCGCTCAATCAAATAACCAAATGTATTAAAGTCTGTATCACATACCAAGTAAACAATCGTGCTTAAGTGCGAATGCGCTGTTGATACCAATATTTGCCTTGTCAAAGAGGATGATATCTCGCGTGAGAAGATAGCTGGCACTCAGTAAGCTCCTTATTCGCGGGTTATCTCCCTCTTTACCGTGGCAAATAATCTGTAGAGCTTGAGAGGATTAAAGATTACTATAGGCCGTCACCGTCGACAGGGGAATAGATGCATAAAACCTATCCCCTGTATTAGAAACTACTAAGTTTAGACCCTCACTGAAAGCTACTTAAAAAAATTAAAATGTTAGTTGGGTGAAGATTTGTAATCTCGGAAGGCCGTCATCTCATGTAAAGAATATTTGAATGGTTTTGTAGCCGTGTTGATAAATGTCTCGCGCTCTTTGGCTTGCTGCCTTGAAAAAAAGTTAACTAAAAATGAAAGCGGGCCACTATGTCTACGGTGTTGTATGTGAGGGGAATAAGGTGCATTGACTGGCGTCATGCTTTGCTTGCATTGAATTTGATTATTGGACGGCTACTGCTTACTTGTTTGTCCTCTCGTCACAGAGTTGCGTCATCTTCTACCACCGCCTAGTATTTTACCTAGCCCACCGGCTTTGGATACCTTGAGAACGTCGCGGTAAGTCAGGCTTACTCTTGTTCCACGCTCGTTCTTGCCATCCGCTTCTACATATTGCTGCGGGTTGCCAAGAAGCGACCAGTTGGCTACGGTGCCTGGCCCAAGATCAGGATCTATTGCTACGGGTGGGATGCCGTGGAGTGTGGTAGTGTATGCAGAGCCGGTAGTGACCAGTAGGGATCGTGGCTCACACACGATGCGCCATTTGGTTTGGCTTCCGTCCTTCTCTGCGACCGGCTCTTCATCTTGCTGGTCTGCTTCTTTCTTGTTCGCCTCCCACACCGACTTTGAAGTCACCTCTAGAACCACTGTACCGCCAAGGCTCACCGTGGCAACAATAGGCGCGTAGGCAGCTCCGTCCTCATGCGGCATGATGCCCTCGCCTCTTCTGTACTCATTGACCAAGCAGTGGTTGGGAGCGCCATGTGGAGTATCTTTGAATATGCCAAGCTTTTCGAAGTGCTCAAGGATGGGTGTGGGAGAGGTGGTCAGGTAGGGTGGCAGCGGCGCGGCGAGCAAAGTGTTGTTGGCGGTCAGAGTGGAGGGGTGCGCCTGGAGGCGGCGGTGCGAGAGTACAGTCCAACGGTTGGGAGGGAGCTGCTCGCACGTCAGTCGGCGCAACTCGGGTGCGGTGCGAACTGTGTACTTTGCTGAGAATCTGGTCTTCGTCGTAAGAGGTGATGAAATTCGGAATGTAGAACATGGAGTCAGGCAGAGACGGGATGCGCGCAGCAGCCAGCGGCTCAGCGCCAGAGTCGACAGCCATGTTGTTCGAGAGCAGAGCTGGTTAGTGTTGGTGCAGCAGTGGGGGTGATGTGGTTTGTTCTATGGGCGCGAGCAGGCATGATGGAAAGCGCGCGAAATTGATGTCGGAGATGAGAGTCACACAAGCTTGACGAAGAGCTCCCCGCACCAACAAAAGTCAGCGCTCCGACTGCCCCGCCATCCAACCCTCCCCCAACCCCACCTCCGCTCATCATCGTCAATCAGCTTCGCAATGGCACCCAAGGGTAAAGGCAAGGCTGGCGGCAAGGACTCGGGCGACAAGGGCTCCGGAAAGCTCAAGCCCGCCACCAGCATCAACGTCCGCCACATTCTCTGCGAAAAGCATTCCAAGAAGGAGGAGGCTCTGGCCAAGCTGCGCGACGGTGCTAAGTTCGACGATGTCGCCCGCGAGTTCTCTGAAGACAAGGCGAGGCAGGGTGAGTGGCAGCCGTGCCTCTAGTTCGGGACAGAGCTGACGACAGCAGGTGGTTCCCTCGGCTGGAAGACGCGAGGAAGCCTCTTGGCCGACTTTGAGAAGGTCGCTTACGAACTCGAGCCTAGCACCACAGGCAATCCCAAATATGGCGAGGTCAAGACTAGCGAGGGATACCACATCATTATGGTCGAGGGTCGGAAGTAGAGGCCAAGGATAGTCAAATGCAAGATACCCATGTAGCATCAAGCAACCATATTGAACGCTGCAGAACGGCCATGAAATACGAGCTGCTGTTTCCACTTTTCGAGCTAGAAGTACCATAAAAGTAGGGGCCAAATAGCACCGTCACACGGCACGCTCAAATCAGGGGTCCGTAATAGCGTCAGTCGGGGATGATCGCTCGCGGTAGGGCAGATGATCTCGCGGAAAGCGGTTAAGACGACCATCTCCACAAAGTCGATAAGCTCTCTGTAGCCAGCTGACTCGTTCGCTATCAAGCGGAGGATTTCCGTCATGGCTTGTCGGAAAAGGCCGGGGATGTGCGCCACCTGGACTGGAGTCACACCAGGCGGCAGGAACAGAGATGGAGGCACAACATGGGCGGCAGAGGTTAGGGGGCATGCAGGGACCTTTTCCGGCGCAGAGGCACTCGGGGCTCCACAGGCGCGGCGCGGGACACGGCTGAGGACAGCCAGTCAGACTTCTGGAAGTCTTCTAGCGCTGCAAAACTGAGAAGCTCCGCGCGCAGCGGCAACGGGGCAGTGCTGACGGCGCCGGCGCAACGGCGGCTGCTTTGCTCTGCGATTATGCGCTTGGCTGCCATTCGCCGGGCTGGGCGAGTGAAACGGTCTTGTTCGCGAGTGACCTGCGAAGATGATCGCGTGCCGGGGCCGCTGCGCTGATAGGCCCGCACGTGGCCCTGCCTGAACAGCGCGCCCGCAATCGATTGTGCGATAAGACCGGGGCCTCCACTTTCTCCAGAGCCTACAAGTCTACGCTGCGCCTCCGCCTGCGACACGAACGACCTAGATTTCGTTTGCGTGGAGCCAGGACCCGTCGGCTTTTGGTCACTGCTTCTTGCCGCCTAAGAGCTGCTGACTTGGGTTCAGCCGACACCCCGCCCCGCTAATCCACCAACCCGACCATCGCGCTACCACGCCTTTTCTCCCCATGAGCCCGTAGTCTCCTCTTCTTCGCCCGCGCAGGCCCGCTGCCAGAAATTTCCATCCTCCCACCCGAGACCTTCGCTTTCATCTCATCTGCGGCCGGCTCCCGCCACTTTCCCTTCGAGCCCCGTCCCGAAGCTCAGCTTGCGTTACAATGGCTCAGGTCGACTCCATCGATGCCGTCGTTCGCACGGCCGGTGACGCTACCGCTACCGGCCTTGCCCAGCCTTCGTCCGATATCATACCAATTGAGCGTCCCAAGCTCAAGGGCCGCCAGCGCCTGCTCTCTGGCCTGCAGCGCATAGGCTCCTCGCCTTCGCTGGCTAAGATGGGCAGGTCCTCGTCGGCATACCGCGGCGGCAAGGCTTCCATGTCCTGCGTCTCGCTGTCAGCAGCTGGCTCCCCTTACAGCAATTCCTACGGCAGCTCGTGGTCCTCCGAGCTCTCCAACGGCTACTCTACCGCCCCTACTTCCGTTTCCAGCTCCCCCGCTCCTGAGACACAGTACCTGGACAAAACCCGCATCCGGCTTTTGGACGGTCAGAGCACCCCTTCCTCGGTCCCCCTGCCCGCAGACGTCAAGCCCGTCTCCCGCCTGGGGACACCCCTCCCCGGCGTCGACGAAGACTATTTCTCGCGTCCGGTGCAGCAGTCCAAAAAGCCACAACCCCGCCCCAACTTCAACTTCTGGGGGGACATGCCCCAAGAGCTTCGCACCGAAATCCTCAGCTACCTGAAGCCTAAGGAAATCGTACGCTCCTCTTCAGTCTCCAAACAATGGCACAAGATGTGCTTCGATGGACAGCTGTGGGCCCGTCTCGACGTTTCGGAATTCTACCGCGATATTCCGGCCGATGCCCTGGTCAACATCATCACTTCTGCTGGCCCTTTCGTGCGAGATTTGAACCTTCGCGGCTGCGTCCAGCTACGCGATCGATGGAACTCCAAGGGCCTTGCTGATGCTTGCCGGAACCTGGAGAACTTTTCGCTCGAGGGTTGCCGTATCGACCGGAGCTCGATCCACTGCTTCCTGCTGCAGAACAATCGCCTGGTCCACATCAACCTGTCTGGACTGGCTGGCGCGACCAATTCTGCCATGAAAATCCTTGCAGAGCATTGCCCAAAGGTTGAACACCTCAATATTTCGTGGTGCAACAACGTTGATACTCGCGGCATCCGCAGGGTTCTTGAGGGTTGCCCGAATCTACGGGACCTCCGCGCTGGCGAAGTACGTGGGTTCGACGATGTTGATTTTATGTTCGAGCTGTTCAAAAGGAATACGCTCGAGCGGTTGATTCTCACCAACTGCGATAGCATTAATGACGACTCCCTGAGCGCTCTCGTAGAGGGCGTCGACAGCGAAGTAGACGTTCTTTCCGGCCGGGCAGTCGTTCCACCTCGAAAGTTGAAGCACTTGGACCTTACCAGGTGTCGCGGACTCACGGACAAGGGCATCAAGAAGCTCGCGTACAATCTCCCCGACCTGGAAGGCCTCCAGCTCTCCAAGTGTTCAACCCTCACAGACAATGCCCTGCAAACCATTCTGCCGACCTTCCCTAAGCTCACCCATCTTGACCTTGAGGAACTCGACGAACTCACAAACCCCACCCTCCAGGCTCTTGCTTCCTCGCCATGCAGCGCCCATTTGTCTCACCTGAGCATCAGTTACTGCGAACTTCTTGGCGATGCAGGAATGCTGCCAGTACTCAAGTCATGCACCAAGCTCCAGACCTTGGACATGGACAACACACGTGTGTCGGATCTCGTCCTTACCGAGGCTGCCGCCATGATCCGAGCCCGGAACAGGGCAGCGCGGCCACTGACTGGTTCGGAGCGTCCGACGGTTGGCCTGCGCCTTGTCGCGTACGACTGCGCTAACGTGACGTGGACGGGCGTGCGCGAAGTGCTGAGCCGCAACGCCGAGATCACGACGCCTCCACGTGGCACCACATCTTCCGGGCCCACTTTCCCGCGCGAGATCATCCAAATCAAGTGCTTCTACAATTGGCAACCAACCGTGGAAGAGCATACCAAGCGCGTTCTGCGGGGTGACTTCCAGGCCGCGGCAAGGCTCGAACGGAAGTGGGCAGACTGGATGATGATGAATGAGGAGGCTGGTGCTGGCGGCGCCGGTGGAAGAAGGCGTAGAAGGAGAGCGCGTGAGGCACAAGCGTTGCATGAGGACGAGGAAGGAGGCGGCGCAGGCCTCGGAATCGGTAGGCGGAGAAGGGCCCGAAGCGGCCCAGGTGGTTGCACGGTGATGTAAATGTGTCAAGAGGCGAAAGCACTGGCGCATATGTGTTGATGAACAAATTGGCCAGACACTCTGGTACGCAACGCCAAGTTCGGCGTTATCGATTGATTGTTTTTGCTTGGGCTTGGGAACTGGTAACATGGAATTCGGTGTTTTGGAAGCGTACGGGACGATGGCGTGCTGGGAAAGGCGTCACTCACTGTTTGAGCTTGCTCTTGGTTTGCTATCTTTGGCTCCTTTCTCATTTGTTCTCCCTCACTTACTCCTTCGATCCGACATGTTCTCGCGTCTTTGATGGCGCTCATAGCGACGGGGTTTTTTGTTTCTTTGCATGCCAATAGCTGAGCTGGGCCCGCATTTTCATGGATTACGGACACTTCATCTTTGTTTCTCTGCCCCCTACTGGAAAGTTTTCACTCCCTCCTCGCCGACTGGCAGACGGGCCTTTCCTCAACGCATTACCTACTCGGGCTGCTCTTTGCCCCTTTATCACATAGAATGAATAGCGAAGCGCCGAACATATTTGTTTTGCCTCATTTCTGTGTCATAGCTAGCAAGTCTACTACTTCTACTTTTAGTACCACTATGTTTTGGTCCACCTTGTGTTCTTCCATCAGGTGGAATATAACTAAATTGTGGTATACATGTATTTTCCTTTCCTGCCTCTCGTAATGTCGGCACCAGCGAGCTAAAAACGACAAAGCTGATATGAGAGACAGAACCAACAAGATAGGCAATATTATTTTTTTTTGTACTCCAGACTGCATAATTCTCCAAACTCATACTTTAAAGGGTATCTTCCCGCCGTCATGTACACGTGCCAACCAGCCAAATATACAAAGGAAAAGTATGGTTTCAACCCCTTCACACGTGCGCCGTGTACTCCAGCCCCTCCGCACCCCTATAGTCGAACCTGTTCCCACTTGTTCCTATCACCTCTGCCGTCTTATTGACCTGCATATTACTATGCACGATAGTGATGCTGCTACCATCATAAGTAGCATGCGGCGGACTTGGTGATCTAGTCCCTTGACGCACAGCAACTTCTCCAGCGCCATAGATCATAGTGGTTAGTCCTCCTATATCCCCACCACCATCACAGTTGACCCTCTCCTCCGACCTCACTGTTGCTTCCTTGGTAACCCTTATCCCGCCCAACGCATCGCTATCGCTCCTCCCCCTCCCCGTCGCGCCGCCCTTCATGCTGTCGAACTGCCGGCCAACTGCCTGCCCACCCTCAGCCTCTTCTCCTCCTCTTTCCACCACAACGGTCCCCCCGACAACAACAGCATCCATCACCGACGACGAAGCCACCGACCCATTACGCCCACCCTCTCCATCTCCATCGACAATCTCCCTGCTACCCACGACAACGATCCTCTGCTTACTATCCCAGCCCTCCTCAGCCCCCTGCTCGACGTCGTCGCCGTAGTCGTCATCGTGGAAGGTCGTCGGCAGCGCGTTTACGCTACGCAGCTTGCCCCTGCGCGCCGGCTTGGACAGGCTGCTCTTCAGCGGGAGCGAATTGCCGCCGCCGCCGTTCGACGATGATGCGGGGCCGTTGTCGCCGTAGGGCCGGCCGGAGAAGCGGCTGGACGACGAGTAGTGGTAGACTCTCTCGACGCCGCGGCGGAAGAGCGGGTAGATCATGGGCGCGTTGCCGATGATGACGGCCACGAAGGTTTCGCGGCAGGCCCAGCTGCCGGCGGCTTGGGCGCCGTGGATGGGGTCCTGTGGGGCTTATGTTAGAGGGGGGGGAGAGAGAGAGAGATGGGGATAAGAGAGCGAAAGGCGAAAATGATGAGATGGGAACACGAACCTTGATGACCAATGCACATCGTAGGATACCGGCCATCATGACGAAGACGCCGCCACCGAATATCAGGATCAGCGATAGCTTACGCTTGATCTCTAGGTTCGCTCTCCACAGCATGGGCAGCGGGATGGACATGAGGTACGCGTCCGTCAGGACGTTGAGGACGACGGTGACGTAGAGGTCGATCTTCGAGATGGCGGGTTGGCAATGATCTGGGAAGTAAAAACGAAGCACTGTTAAAAATGATGCAATCCCGGAAAGTGCTGAGAGGGGGGGATTTGGGAAACCTACTGCCGGGATCGGGGTAGATCTGCCAGTTGTTGCTGAATGGCTGGCAGCCAAGCAGGATGGAAAGTTCTGTGGCAAGGTACGTCGCGGCGATGAGGACGTAGCCAATCTTCACGCGTATTTCTAGATGGTAGATGCCCAACGTCAAGCGCGAGTAGAAATGGCACATGCACAGCTTCAGCGTCCACAGCAACAGCGTGTACAAGCTCCATCCGACCAGCTGCGTCTTGGAGCCGCCGACGCGCAGGTGGTATTCGTGCGAGTGGGGGTCCAGCGTTCGCCGCTGCTCGTCCGTCATGCCGTTGTTCGCCAGACCCAGCCACCAGGCACCCACGATGTACGCCGTTGCGGTTTCGAGGGAATAGATGACCTGCGATGGATCCCGAGCAATTAGTCAAAAGCTCCGTGAAGGCGTAAGTGGGAAAGAATGGGCCTGATGTTTCCATGATCAACAGGGGAAACCTACAGCGGCACCGCACATGAGGTAATCATCGAACTGAAGGTCCCTCACGCCCACCGACGTTGTACGAGCGATGATTCTTAGTGCAATGGCCACAATGCCCACACTAAGCAGCGAGAAAGCCTCGGTGGTGAAAGACGAAGCCATCTTTTGTCTCTTGTTCTTCCGTGTCGTACACTGCTTTCAAGGGTGAGGCACAGCAGCGGCAGTGCAGCGTAAGAATCTGCACCTGCGATGAGATTGCATCAAAAAGGAAGGCTAGCAAGAAGTCTTCTGCGAGAAATAACGGACAGAAAGACCAGTCGGAATAGCTACAGCCGGAGGACGTGTTGAGGCGTGAGGTTATTATCGCCCACACGGCCGGTCCCTTGCCCTGTCTGCCCCCCGGGCAGAGCACCACTTTTTTTTCGGGGCATTCTCACAATTCTCATTGCTGAGCTCGATTAGGTTACAGAAAGCCGCTTGAGCGGGGCTCCTGAATTGCAGGGTTCTGGTGCATTGTGAGGGCTTTACCGAGAGGCAAGGATTTGCAGCTCTGCATGGAGGCTTCGGATTATTGTGGACCGGACTCTAGCCCTGAACTCTAGAACAAGTGATTGGCAAAAGGGCGACAAGGCAACGACGGCGACTGCAGGCAAGCTATGTGGAGAAAGTATAGCCCAGGGCTAATTGATGCTCCACTGCTATTTAGAAAGAGAAGAGGGACCGGGATTTTAATGGCGCAGACGTTCAAGTAAATGAGTCGAACGTCGACGGGAGATCACCAGGAGGCGCCCAAATGTACGGTAACTGTGCAGAATTGCGGCGACTTCCTGGGAGCATGTCCTCTTTCATGGCCCGTGAGAGCGGGAATCGTTGAAAGCGGGGCGAAGATCCTCCTCGGCTATGTACTGAAAGACGGGCGCCGTAGGGCCTCGACTGCATTTCGGCCGAGAAGAAAAACATCAGGTAAGCGTCAATGGGTCGATGAAGCCGTGTGCTACGGGGCTGTCTTCTCTGTTAAGACAAGAACAAAGAAAGAACCCTAGCGCTGGGTCGGGGAAGCGTACCGCTGGGCCGCGCGACCCTTGCTGTGCCCTATCGGCGAATGCTACCTCGTTGAGGAAATTGGCCCCCGCCCTGGCGGCTGTAGCCGTAAGCCACAAACATTGGTGGTGCGCTGCTGTGCCGCAATGCAACAGACTTCACACCTCTTCTCTTCGCCCTACAAGACAGATAAATCGCCGTCCGTGGCAGTTGCTCGAGCCTGGGCCCCAAAGACGCAGTGAAATCCATGGCAGATTACGACCTCATCGTCATTGGAGCTGGTAAGTCCCGCTCAGCCCCCACCCGACCCCATTGAACTTTGCAACATCTCATCTCGTTGTGCCTTCTCTTCGTTGACACCCTCGTCCAGGCTGGTACGGTCTGGCCTCGGCCAAGACGTACATCGAGCTGCACCCCGATGAAAATGTGCTCGTTCTGGACAGCGAGTCGACCATTGGCGGCGTCTGGAGCCGTGACCGATTGTACCCGGGGCTGAAGTCCAACAACATGCTCGGCACATTCGAGTACAGCGACTTCCCCATGGATACGCCCACCTTCGGCGTCAAGCCGGGCGAGCACGTTCCTGGCATCGTCGTGCACCGGTACCTGGCCGCGTACGCCGAGCGCTTCGGCGTTTACAAGCGCATTCGCTTCAACACGCGCGTCGAGTCTGCCCAGGAGAGCAGCGAGACGGATGGCTGGACTCTGAACGTGGCAAACGTCGCTACCGGCGAGAAGGCGACGTTGAGCACGAGGAGGCTGATTGTCGCTACCGGCCTGACTTCTCAGCCTTACGTGCCGACCTTCGTGGGCCAAGAAGACTTTGGAGCCACCATATTCCACACCAGAGACTTCTTGGCCCACGCCGACACGCTGAAGACTGCACACAGCGTGACCGTTTTGGGGGCGGCTAAGTCTGCCTGGGACGCAGCGTATGCCTACGCTGCTGCTGGTGTTCCCGTCGACATGGTAGTCCGCAAGAGTGGGCGCGGTCCCGTCTGGATGTCGCCTGCCTACGTGACGCCGCTGAAGAGGTGGCTCGAGAAGCTCGTCCACACCCGTTTCCTAACCTGGTTTAGCCCTTGCATTTGGGGCGACGAGGACGGCTACGGCAGCGTAAGAGGCTTCCTGCATGGCACGTGGTTGGGCCGCAAGATTGTGGACGCCTTCTGGAACATCCTCGGAAACGATGTCGTCACCCTCAACGGCTTCAACAAGCACCCAGAGGTCAACAAGCTGAAGCCGTGGCACAATGCTCTCTGGGTTGGCAGCGGCCTCAGCATCCTGAACTACCCCACCGATTTCTTCGACTTCGTTCGCAATGGCGCAATTCGCGTGCATGTGGCTGATGTGACGCGCTTGTCCGAGAAGACAGTCCATTTGTCCAATGGCGAGGAACTCAAGGCCGACGTTCTCTTGTGCGCAACCGGCTGGAAAGCATGCCCCATCAACTTCCAGCCTCCCGGATCCGCCGCTGAGCTTGGTCTGCCATACTACTCCCCGGTTCCCGACACTTTGGCCCAGAAAGCGGATGCCGCCATCCTCGAGAGATTCCCGCGCCTGAAGGACCAGCCAAACGTCAGCAAGTCTGAGCGCGGCGAGAGCGAAGCGCCGAACCAGCCATTCCGTCTGTATCGCTTCATCGCTCCTCTTTCGACCCTTCAAAAGAGGAACATTGCCTTTGCCGGCATGGCCATGACCATCTCCACTTCAATCTCTGCGGCGATTCAGGGGCTGTGGATCTCGGCCTACTTTGATGGGAAGCTGGATCGCCAACCTTCCGAGAACGCAACGTGGGAAACCATGCTGCATTCCCAATTTGGCAAGTGGAGGTACCCGTGCGGCTACGGCTCAAGGCTTCCCGATTTCGTCTTTGATACTGTGCCGTACATGGACTTGCTTTTGCGTGACGTTGGTCTCGAGGGCCACCGGAAGAAGACCAAGTTTGCCGAGATCACCGAGCCTTATGGCCCAGAAGACTACAAGGACTTGCCGAGTGAGTGGGTGCAGAAGTACGGCGGTTCGGCATGAAAATTCCGCATGATGGGTTATGGACGCGAAAAGAGAGGTTGAAAATATAACATGTTTAAGCCTGGGGTACTCAACTTGTATTAACAGCAATAAAAAAAAAACTTTCGCGTTAGGGTATCCTTAGGGAAAAAGAAAAAGGACGTTTAGGCGACCAGCACTCGCCATCCTCTCCATGAAAAATTCGTCTCTTGAACACATGACGGGATCAACGACACGGCGTCCCGCATGTAGATAAGGGGATGCAGTCACACCTGGTGCAGAGCTTATCCACCCCTTCCCTGTGATCTCTCAGCACCTTCAATGACATGGTTTTGATCTTCCATTCTCCATCGGTCCGCACAAACTCAAATTCATAAGGTCCACAATAGTCACAATTGACGGTGGTGTCTGTGTCTTCTTTGATGGTGTCGACTTCCATGGTCATGGCGCTCAGCATCGACTCCTTAGGGGGTTCGTCTGGCCTTCGATACCACAAATTGGCCGTGCCCGTCGCGCGTTCATCGGGTCGGTGGGGATCGAGTTCCAAATGGACGTCGGAGAAGAAGGTACTGGTGTACCAGGATCCAGTCATGCCCATGGCGCCGCAATAGATCTCCTTGCGGCCGCTCAGCTTGCCGAAATACTCGAAGCTCAGGACGGCATCTTCGGCGAAGATCTCGCTCCAGGTATTCCAGTCATGGGCGCTGGCGTAGGTGCAGTAGCCGCGCAGCAGAGCGGCCAGGCAGGCTTTGGCCGTGCGCTCAGCGACAGCGGTTTCGGAGAGCGAGTCGCGGTCCGAGTCGTCAGCTTCAGCTGCTGACGGAGACGGCGGGGTCCGGCTGGGGCTAGGCGGGTGATATGCCGGGCGTTTCCTGTTGCGGCGCTCAGGTTGGTGGTGTTTTAGGGGCGCAGGTGAGACGGAGCGGGATGGGGCGGCGGCGGGTGACGGCATGGTGTTTGCACGGGGCGCCCGAAACGGAATGGTTTACGATCGGACGGCGCGACGGCGATTGGATGCGACAACGACGTGTCAACGACAGTGAACGGCAGTCGTAAACTAGGTGAGATGGAGGGTTCAGGGCTCAGCTGAACAGGTTTCGTCCGGGCGCACACTCATAAATGCTCAAAAGCCGAGGCAGGGTCATGCGCTTCAGATCCTTCGCCTTTCTGCCTGAAGCACAGCAACGGCGGGGGGGTTGCAGCGAAGCGCAGGGCATGAACGAGAGACGCGGGGAAGATTGTGGTGCGGAGTGGAGAGAGGACATGCAATTTGTCGAGCATCGGGTGAGAGATCTCGGATGCCCGTCGTTCCCGAATTCCGCGTCCTACCCTGGTTAGCGGCCCGACTGACCTACCTTCTACACGCCGCCCCGTCCAGGCAAGCCATCATCCTCTGCACCCTCATCCCGCCTCGACCATGCCCGCTCCAATCCTGCGCCCACCGCACGCCTCCGTCTGCGCTGTGGCTCCGCCAGCACAGGCAGCAGCAATGGCCCTCCCGAAATCGCAGCCGCCGTGGACCATTTAAAGCTCGAGCGTGCTGCCATTTCCGGCACCAAGACCATCTCTCAACATGTCGGCTCCTCCTGCTACCCTAGAATCGCTTGCCACGCGCACTGCCTCAATCCAAGACGCCATTGCCCGCGTCGGCACCGCTGCCGAGTCGTATGCCGAGATCTCTCGCAAGAGTCTTGGCGGCGATTCCTCCGTTGCCGAGACTACTGCAGCCCAGAATGCTCTTGTTTTGGAGGCCAAGAAGCTGCTGATCCAAGCCCAAGGCCCACTCGGCAGCCTGTTTGATCTAATACAAAGCGTATGTGGTCAGGTGACTGACTCGGTGCTGAAACCATGCTAATGAATTATCTCAGACCTGCCAGACCGCTGCCATTAGCGCACTACTGGAGGTTGGCGTCTTCAATGCCCTTCCTGTGGACGGTACGCCCATGACCGCGGATGAACTGGTGCAAAAATTACAAGTGCCTGTGGAAAAGGCACTTTTGGGTGAGTTGACCCAACCCCTCAGAATACCAGCAGTCAATGGTGACCATTTGCCCAAGTCCGCCTCCTACGCAACGTAACCGTCACGGGGCCCTTGGTTGAGGTCGATGAGGAGACGTACGCCCAAACGCCTTTCTCTACCCTCCTCACAAACCCCGATTTAGCTGCTACTTATAAGCACATCATGGACGAGGGTTGGCCGTCAATCGCCTTCATGACTCCGTACTTCCGCGCCAACGGCTGGAAGCAGCCCATTGACACGACTAATAACCCGTATACTTTCGCTCACCGGACCGGCGGTAAAGAGATGTGGGCGCACATAGCCCAGTTCCCAGATCGCCAGGCCAACTCGAACCGAGCCATGAAGGCACGGTCGTTCGATGGCGTCTGGTCCATTGGCCTGTATCCGTTCGCCGAGAGACTAGCCGAATTATCGTCGCCCTCCGACAACGACGACACCCCGCTCGTCGTGGATGTCGGCGGCGGTGCGGGCCACACGTCGAAGACAATCAGAGAGCTTTGCGCTGGTGTCAAGGGTCGCATCGTGCTGCAGGACCGCGCCGAGGTGGTCGAGGATGCGCCGAAGATTGAGGGTGTGGTAAGCATGCCGCACGACTTCTTCGAGCCGCAGCCAGTCAAAGGTATGGCCCGTAACATCTTTTTTGTTCCCTCATCCTTTACTCTATCATTTGCGTGGTAAAAAGTGAAGTGACTTTACACGAACTAACACCCCCTGACTACAATAGGCGCGCGCATATACTACCTCCGCCGCATCTTGCACGACTGGGCCGACCCTTCCTGCGTCGCCATCCTGCGACACCTGGCCGCGGCAATCACAGATCCAGAGTCGTCGCGCATCGTTATTGCGGAGCAGATTCTGCCGACCAAGGGCGTCCCTGCCGAAAGCGCTATGATCGACATGCTCATGATGACCTTCACCGGCTGCGAACGCACCGAAAAGCAGTGGGAGGAGTTGCTGGCACAGGCAGGGTTGAAGCTCGAGCAGTTCCACAAGAACCCTGGCACGCTGTTCGGGGCGATTGAGGCGAGATTGGCGGTGTAGAAAAGGCTTTCGTGTACCTGATATGGTCCGGTATATGTATCAGTATATTGGATTATGGCTTGTCAGGGGGTGCGCAACCCAAAGGACGAGCAAAGGACGAGCAAGTGGTGTATAGATCTCTGCTCCGAATACTAAAATTGCTTCCGCTCTCCCATTGCCTAGTCACTCTCATCCCTGCTTAAACGCCACGCAAAGAAGAGGCCGATTTTCATCACGAGTGACTATTTTACTGCCTACGAGCTTGTCTCGGTTTCCCGATCCCTGCGGAAACGGTACTCACGCCGGACGCCACGTGAAGGCGCAAGCTCATCGCCCGGCTTCCTCCACATACGCCTCTGTAAATAGGAGAAGGTATACGTTATAGGAGTAAATGGTTTCGGATATATGACTTGATACATGGCAATGGGCTTGTCTTGGTTTCGTCGGTCCCAAAGGGTACCAACTACTCACACCGGACACCACGTGAAGGTGCAAGCCCGCGTCCAGCTTCCTCCACGTACACCCGTAAAATATACCGTAAAAATAGCAATATATAACAGCAAAATGTAGAGAAAAATATAGAAATATAAAGGAATAAAGAATAAGACTATTAAGAATAGTATACGAGAATACAAAAGATACAACTTAGAGATAGAATAACATAACGAAATAGAAAAAGATACATAAAAGAAATTTTTTAAGCGATATGTGTTAGAGAAATAAAAAGATAGCGAATGTAGAAGGTAGTTAAGGCAGATAACGAAAGTAGATAGTAAAAAGAGCCAGTAAAGTAGATAGCGAGTAAAGAAAATTAAAAAGATATTAAAGAAAATTCTAGAAGTAATTAATAGAAGCAGATGATAGAGATATATAGCGAGAAAGATAGTAAGTTAAGTAGATAAGAAGTAGGTAGGTGGTAAGATAGATGACGAGATAGGTAGAAATGTAGGTAGTAGAAATTGCGGAGGTAGGTAGATAAGATAGTGGAGATGAATAAAGAAGATAGAGGTAAATAAATGGTAGAGATAAGTGACGGAGGTAGCGGAGGTAGATGGAAGGAGTTGAAGGAATATGGAGGGATATACAGGAAGATGAAGTGCTAGACGGTAGAAATGGTGGAGGGTAGATGGCGGAGGTAGTAGAGGTAGATAGAAGGAAATAGAGAGAAATGAAGGGATATAGATTGAGATGGAAAGGTAGACGGTAGAAATGGCGGACGGTAGATGACGGAGGTGGCGGAGGTAGCGGAGGTAGATAGAGGTAGATGGGGAGAGATGAAGATAGATAAAGATGATTGAGATAGATGGTAACAGATGATCGAGATAAATGGCAATAGATGATCGAGATAGCTAGAGATAACGGAGATTGAGACAGATGATTGAGACAGATGAAGAAAGTAGCGGAGGTAGATGGCGATGCAGATGATGTACAGATACGAGGGAAGTGGTGTTAAAGATAGGGAGAAGAAGATAGAAATACAGATGGAGTGTAGATGCGAGAGAGTAGATGGCAAAAAGGCTGTGGAGGGAGTACGGTGGAGAGAAAGAAGAGGAAGAAGGTGAGTGAGCGACGACTTTTTATACGTAGGAATTTGTGACCTACTAGCGCGGTGACGAGCTCTCTGGCGAAGAAATTTTTTTGAAGGTAACCGCTGTTAAGTTGCAGCCTGTTGCTGTCCCGCTGTTGAAGTGTTGCACGGACTGATCCCGTGGTCGGCGTCGGGGGACGTGCGCAGCTACCAAAGATCAAGGCATGGTAAGGGCCACAGGACAGATACATAGACGTGGCGAAACACGGTAGCTGTCCCTACGACTCTGTGCGCGGCCCACTATACCTAGATTGAGGTCGGAATTGATCAGCCGATCATCGTAGTCATGCGTGTGACGAGCTGGTGCGAACTACGACCCGTTGTCATAACACTTAGCATCGCGGCGCTCCACGGCTAACAGCGGCAGGAAAAAATGGGCAGAGAACGTTCCCAAAGCAACAATTCCGTAAAAAAGGAGAAAGCCAATGCGAGGCAACGAGAAAGTGTGGTTCAATTCTTCGTCATGCAAACCCCGATAGCGTGGAACTAAATGAAGAGGTCACTCCAGGTTGATAGACAACTGCAACAGAATCAGAGAGCGGCCCAATGATGTAAGTGTAAAAAGTATTTGGAATAAAACAAAAGGCCCGTGATGTACACAGTAGCAGTGGCTCTTAGGCAGGGGTGAAGAGCTGGTGCTTATTGGTGGGATGTTGGATTAGTGTCTACCGCAACTCATGAGAAAACCGAGAGACCTCAAAACTAGTTGCACGTTCCTTGCCAAAACACTAGTTCTTTGAGGAACCATTGGCCAGTCCGTCAAGGGAGCCATTCGCATCCGAGGCTGAGAGCGGGGAGGAAACGGCAGAGGAGATAGACATGATAGATGCAAAATCCTCAGGCGGAGTCCTTCCCATGCCGCACTCAGTTCCGATGGAGAAGTCTTTAACTAGCTGCGAAGCTGTCGCGATTCTGCGGCGCGTTCCCTCCTCATCGCCAGCATGAACCACTCCCAAATACAACTCGGTCGAACCCAATTCAAGATTCTTGAGAGGGGCGAAGTACGCGGCGTCATCTCTTTCCTTAGGAACGGGCATGTGGAAATAAGTTATGGGCCTTTGCGTGTTTTTCTTGAGAGTGTTTGCCACGTCAACGAGAAGGCCCATGTCTTTTGGTTCGAAGAAGTGGCGATGACCGAGGTCTCCATAGCAGAGGTGAACGCCCATCTCGACCTGTGGACTGACGGCATTTGTAAGACGTGCAAGCTGTTGATCGAGATGCTCCCGGACTGGCGAGAACCACGGCTTGAAGTGCGGCCAAACGGCGCCTTCCAGCATGGCAAATTCCGAAGCAGCGTCCCACTGAATGGTGAGGTCCTCGGGCGGGATAGCTTGCTCGATCTTCCGCAGATCGCGCAGAAGAGCAGCTTCATAGAGTGGCTCAACAGCAGCTTGGTAGGGCTCGGCGACGAGTACCAGGACATTGGGCAGGGTGGGGAGAGAGACCTGGAATTTGACGCCTTTCGGAATCACTCCTTCCTGGCGAAGCTTGGTGAAAGTTTGGTAAGACTCAATGGCAACCACGTCGTAGCCAGTGTGAAGCTCCGGGAGGCTCTTGACGGCTCGCTGGATTTCCTCGTCTGAAGGAACAGGATCTACGGGAACTGTGCTCATGGTGGCATCGTATTGACGGAGGATCTGAGGCACAGCCTGGAAGACGGCAAGCTGCCAAAAGGTGAAATTTTGACGATGCTGCGTCTCACCGTCGGGGATGCGTCGTAGTCTGTCGGGAAGTAGCTCCACGCTTTGGCGGAACACATCCTCGGTAGAAGGGAGGCAGACGCTGCCCACAAGGTGAACGCCACGGACTTGGGTGGCCGCCATGATATTGAGGATCTGTGGCTATCGCAAGGAGCTTGATATTGGATAGAGTTTGGGGGTGATGGTGGGCTGCGTGTGGAATGACAGGTAGACTTTCGTACTTACACATGGCCTCAGATACAATTTCTGGGCCCACACCAAGCAGAGAGCTCCCCGAGCGGGGAACACGGCCCAGGCGCAGGGCACGGATCTTCCCCGATGCGCTCGCTCGCTTGGGGGTTCCGTATTGTTGAAGATCACCGGGGTGACACGGCAGCGTGATTGAACACATGAAAAAGCAAAAAAACAACGGCTCTGCACGCATCCTTGTCAAAGCAAGAATTCTCCGTCTGCAGCGTGGAATGGAGACACATCATAGCGTTCTTGGTGGCTGCGCAGCTGTTCGTAAATTTGGGGGAGGCGCCGAGATAGCTTCATGCACACTGAGTCGGTCGGGTGAGGCGTCGACGACGGGGTGGCAGTAGAGTCGGCGCTAGCGGGATGGCAACGGGCGGCAGGCTGGAGGGGAAAAGGCCGCTAGATAAAGGCTCCTCCCGCGCCGCGGGCCAACGCCCGCTGAAGCCGACCGTTTGGCGCGTTGCAGTCGCCTGCAGTGCCAGATGCCTGCTGACAGGCATTGATGCTTGTGAGATGGTTGTTGAGATCTTGGAGCGAATTCGGCAGGGCATGGTCTGCGGCTTCCCCGCCTGGACCTTCCACGCGGGGCTGGTGATGACAAACGCCAACCCTCGAATCCATCGCGCTTCTTGACGACATATCTATTTCAACGTGCTCCAATCCCGTCGCTGTAGCATTCTTCCCTCCACAAATCCATCGCCATGTCGTCCGCCAGCGCAACCCTCGCCGACCCCCCACGCGACCTCGAGTCGCTCGCCGCCATTGAGGAATCGCTCGTATTCCCTTCCTTCACGGCCAATACCGCCTGGGAGCTGGGCAACGCCCTTCGCTTCCGCCTGCTGGATTTCCCGACTCCTGCCGTTATCAACATCACTCTCGCCAATAGCGACCAGCTGCTCTTCCACACCGTCACCCGCTCCGGCACTCTGCCCGACAACGACACCTGGGTCGCCCGCAAGAGAGCCACCGTCCTGCGCTGGGGCTTTTCTTCGTGGTATATGCACAACAAGCTCGGCGGCGACGAGGCAAAGTTTGCCGCTAAATACATGCTAGGCGAGCGTGCAGGCAACTACGCCATCCATGGGGGCGGCTTTCCCGTGCGCGTCAAGGGTGTCGAGGGCATTGTCGGCGTCATTGTCGTAAGCGGATTGAAGCAGGAATGGGACCACCAGGTGATTGTCGAGACGGTCGAGAAGTACCTGAAGAGCCAGTGAAGAGCTAGGAACCCGTCGAAGCCGCAGAGATAAGGTCGAAATTAGACATTGTCGCTTGCCAAATTCAGCGTAGGCGCGATGAGATAGGTAGGTCCACCGACTCTCGCTGGTGCTGCCATGGCTTGCTGACGCCGCGCTGTGCAGAATGCAAAATAATTAGAATCGACTGCAGCCTGCCGGGATGTCATCCTTCTCGAAAGTTTCCCGCTGCAAACTATTGTGCGACGGCGGGAGTGATCGCTTCGTCGAGGCGCAGAAGACGCGTCGCCCAACACCCGTTTCGGATATCTCCTATCAGCACGATTCACGCTTCAATGCGGGGGCGGAGCCTGTCACGTGCCTCGGATCCGTCTGGACAGAACACCTGCAGCCGGGCGGGATTCGACGTTGCACAGTTACTGTGTACGCATATGGAAGGTGATCATGCAATGTTAAGCCCGCCGTCTCGGTACTTGGCTCTTCGCCTCTAAGCTCCCGAAGCTTCCTCTTGCGTGGCGCTGCCGAGATGGCAAGACGCGCCACCAAGCATCCTTTATCTCTTGTATCAGCTTAACTCGTGTCTGCCCACTCTTCTTATCTCTTGTTGCCAATCCATCCAAGCATCGGCTCGTCGCATTTCCCCGTGCCTGTTTGGGCCATCGGTCCAATCAATCCCGGGGCACTCGACCAAAGCCCCGGTCTGTCTACTACTTCCTGATGCGACACGCCTCTATCAGCAAACCCTGTCGGACGCCGCAATCCAACACCCCGGAAGCCCGGCTGCCCCTCCGGCGGTCTTGCTCCCGCGATGCTAGGTCCGTAATAATATCGATCGCTAATGCCTGTATCACACGCTGCATGCACATATAAAACACTCCCCTTGCTCAAGTTCTGGCCGGGTCAGCTCTGTCTCGTCCTACCCATCGCACCCTCCACCTCGCGTGAACTTCATCCGGCTACAATGGAGACCTCCAAGGAGAAGGCCCCTCTTCCTGATGACAAGCGCGGCAGCATCGTCGAGGCCGACGTCCATTCGCTCGGCCATGACCATGGCGCCGAGTCGGAGCTTCGCCGTATGCTTGGTACCCGCCACTTGACCATGATTGCGCTTGGCTCCTCCATTGGCATGGGCTTGTGGCTCGGCAGCGGCACGTCTCTCGTCAACGGTGGCCCTGCTGGTATCTTCATCGGTTACATTCTCGCCGGATCCATGATTTGGTCCGTCTCGCACTCCATCGGAGAGATGGCCATCATGTACCCACTGCCGTCTGCCTACGTGCAGTGGACCTCCAAATTCATCTGCCCATCTGCTGCCTTTGCGCTCGGCTGGTCGTACTGGTTCTCATACGTTATCACCATCGCCAACGAACTTGCGGTAAGTAAAGGAGATTCCCGGTCGAACGTCGCACACAGGTCACTGATCTTATACAGGCTGCAAACACTGTCCTGGGTTTCTGGACCGAGAAAGTTCCTATCGCCGGGTGGATCACTATCTTCTGGGTTGTCCTCATCGCAGTCAACGTCGGCGCCGTCACACTTTTTGGAGAGGTTGAGGTCGTCGCATCGACCATTAAGTTCGGATGGATCTTTGTTGTCATCATCTCCTTCATCGGTAAGTGTCCACATTGGAGACATTGGGATGGAAGGGAAATGAATAACTCGGTCTAGTGATCTCTGCCGGTGGTGCTCCCAACCACGATGCAGTAGGGTTCAGGTATTGGAATGCTGAGCCTTTCACCAACGGCTTCAAGGGTTGGTTGGCCGTTATGCCGACTTGTATTTTCGCAATGTCTGGTGGCGAGAACTCGGGCCTTGTCGCGTCCGAGATGAAGAACCCGAAGAAGGCCGTCCCGCACGCTGTCAGCTCTATCTGGGTCCGCCTTGCGCTCTTCTACCTCATGGGCTCCTTGATGGTTACCATCACCGTCTCTCCCAACAACCCTGACCTATTCGGTGGATCCGGCACCAATGCCTCGCCCTTTGTCATTGCTTACCGTGATGCTGGCTTACAGCCTATGGCCCACATCATGAACGCCGTCATTTTCCTTTCTGTCATTTCGACTGGATCAATTTCCGGGTATGGCGGCTCCCGTACTACGATGGGTCTTGGCCAGCTGGGCATGGCGCCGAAGGTTTGTCGCACTAAATTCTACGTGGTTGATGCGTGCGACATAGGCTAACACCCGCCGCACAGATTTTCACCCGCGCTGACAAGACGGGTCGCCCCTGGGCCGGCCTTATCTGCACCCTCGGCCTCGGTGGTGCTCTCGCGTACATCAACGTTAGCGAAACTGGCGCTGAGGTCTTCACCTGGTTCTCTAATCTGACCTCGCTGTTCACGCTTTTTGGTTGGGGCAGCATCTGCCTCTCCCACATCCGCTTCCGCCGTGCCTGGGCCATCCAAGGCCGCTCGAGTGCCGATCTGCCTTGGAAATCATGGACGTACCCTTACGCCGCGTGGTGGGGTCTGTCCTGGTGCATCATCCTCATCATCGTCGAGTTCTATCTCGCTGTCTCTCCGCTGGGCGGCTCGCCCAGTGCCGAGAACTTCTTCGCCAACTACGTCTCCGTTATCGTTATCCTTATCCTCTACCTTGGCGCTCGTATCTACAACCGTGGACCTTGGTGGCAAGACCTGTCCAAGGTTGATCTTGATGCAGGCAGGCGCTTCTACGTTGACAGCATTGACGAGGAGGTAGCGGCCGCGAAGACGAGCAAAAATCCGCTTGTCAAGGCGGGCAAGGGCGTTGTTGGTTTCTTTGGTGGTGAGATTTAAGCGGTGGCGTGGAGAAAACATGACGAGAGGATACCATTGCACCGGCGCATTGCATGGGGAGGTTGCTTGGCGTAGGGGGATTAATGCTTATCATTGATGTTTGATTGGTGGCCACACTTCGTATCTCTTGCATGCATCATTATCGTGAGAACGGTCACTGAGTCTGATCGAACTTGACTCTCATGGATGGTTTTCGGGAGCAGTGCCAATGTATGCACATAGCTCACCAGGTAGCAGCTATTGTTCAAGTACCGTATTGTAGTACTATTAAGCGCATCTCTTCTAGTGCTGTTGTTACAAGGTTAACGTAGGATGAAGTGATCAGTATTTGCGCGGCCTCTCAAGCAGTGACTGTAAGGCATCATGGTTGAGGACATTCTCGCTATGTGGGTGCATTGGTAATGAATACATGAAGCTGTCTCTGAATGCTGCCCAATTTAGTAAGTGTCACGTGCGCGTTGTCTGGTTGGGTCTCGGCGGAGTTATCGGAAGTCGCTATCGGCAAAACCGCGGTAGAGTTGGAGCTCTCGATCGTCATAGAATCGCATCCGTAATCAACGCCGGAGGCAAGCAGAAGACCTTCTGCCTCCATCGCTGCCCCGCCGCCGCCCCTGCATCTCCATCTGCGAGGCGCGCGCGTCGTCTCGTTCTGCAGCCTTCTCATTCTTTTATTTCACATTCGCACATTTGCCACGCTCCGCACTCCAGCCGCCAAATATCCATCGCCGTGCATCCCGCCTGCCCGCCACGACATGCTTTACGGTCAGAACCTACCATGGCGGGTAGCTCTGCGCCAGGCGTCGCGACAGCCTAGCAGCCTCACCCGTATCTCATCATCTAGCCTCTCTGCTGCTTCGCGTTCTTACCATGCCACCGTAATTCGCGGTACCCCACTGTCCCCGAGACACCGTCCCATTGCCTCGTTCCCTTCACGCCACTTTGCAACTACTCCGGCGCGCCGGAAGGAGAAACCGCCGTCCTCATCGCCGGACGAGAAATCGGAGCAGAAGGAGGAAGAAAACAAGAAGAATAATCAGGAGAAGTTGGCCGAGTCCGAAACCGGAGCGGACGCAAAATCCAAGACGCCGGACCCCATCCCTTCGCACAAGAATGGACAGGGCGCGGCAGCTGGAGCTGGTGGACAAGGCGGCGAGGCACCGCCATCCAGCGGCGAGGGTGGAGGCAGGAAACGCAAGTCAGAGCGTTCGTTGCAGAAGCCGTCGGTGCCGGAGGTCTACCCGCAGGTCATGGCTATTCCAATTGGCAAGCGCCCGTTATTCCCCGGGTTTTACAAGGCCATTACCATCAGGAACCAGCAAGTTGCCGCTGCGATACACGATATGGTTCAGAGAGGCCAGCCATACATTGGCGCCTTCCTGCTGAAGGACGATGACGCGGATAAGGACGTGATTGAGAGTCCGGATGACGTGCATGAGGTCGGAACCTTCTGCCAGATCACCAGCGCGTTCCCCGTGCAGGGAGAGGAGCCTAGCATGACTGCCGTTCTGTACCCGCACCGCCGCATCAAGATGACCTCTCTGATTCCTCCGAATCGTGCTGCAGGCGAGACTGCCGCCAAGGTTGAGACGACACCTGTCGAAGGGGTCGAGCAAGAACAGCCCGCCAAGGACCAGCCTGCACAGGATAAGAAGGGTGATGTTGTGGCCAGCTTCGAGGAGGGCACAGCGGACCAAGCCAAGCAGGTTGCGCAGTACGAGCCAACCTCTTTCCTGAAGAAATACGAGGTCAGCTTGGTCAATGTCGAGAATTTGACAGAGGAGCCCTTCGACAAGAAGAACCAGAACATCCGCGCCCTTGTCGGCGAGATGGTCAACACTTTTAAGGAGGTTGCTGCCATCAACTCTCTTTTCCGGGACCAGATCTCGACTTTCTCTATGAGCCAAGGCGCCGGCAATGTTGGGGACGACCCCGCAAAGCTCGCTGATTTTGCCGCTGCTGTTGCCCAAGGTGAATCTCATGAGCTGCAGGCTGCTCTTGCATCGATGAGCATCGAGGACCGGTTACACAAGGCGCTGCTGGTATTGAAGAAGGAATACATGAACGCCAAGCTGCAGGACAAGATCTTGAAGGATGTGGAGAAGAAGATTTCCAAAAAGCAGAGGGAATATTGGTTGATGGAGCAGATGCGCGGCATCCGCCGGGAACTCGGCCTTGAGACGGATGGAAAGGACAAGCTTGTGGAGAAGTTTAAGGAGAAGGCAAGCAAGCTGGCGATGCCAGAGGCTGTCAAGAAGGTCTTCGATGAGGAGATCAACAAGCTTGCGCACCTGGAACCCGCCGCATCGGAATTCAACGTCACCCGTAACTACCTGGATTGGCTCACGCAGATCCCTTGGGGCCAACGGAGCGCTGAGAACTTCGGGATTCAGAATGCCATGAAGGTCCTAGACGAGGATCACCACGGCTTGAAGGATGTCAAGGACCGAATTCTGGAGTTCATCGCTGTTGGCAAGTTGCGGGGCACTGTTGAGGGCAAGATTCTCTGCATGGTTGGCCCGCCCGGTGTCGGAAAGACTAGTATTGGCAAATCCATCGCACGGGCCTTGAACAGGCAATACTACCGGTTCAGCGTCGGCGGTCTCACCGATGTCGCAGAGATCAAGGGTCACCGGAGAACATACGTCGGTGCTCTTCCCGGACGGATCATCCAAGCGCTCAAGAAGTGCCAGACGGAGAACCCGCTGGTGCTGATCGACGAAGTGGACAAGATCGGTCGCGGTCACCAGGGTGATCCGTCGTCGGCGCTTCTTGAGCTGCTCGATCCTGAACAGAATAGCTCTTTCTTGGACCACTACATGGATGTGCCTGTCGATCTTTCCAAGGTTCTGTTCGTCTGCACGGCCAACATGACCGACACGATTCCCCGGCCCCTGCTGGACCGTATGGAAATGATAGAACTCTCCGGCTACGTTGCTGATGAGAAGATGGCTATTGCGGAGCGCTACCTTGCACCCGCCGCCAAGGAACTGAGTGGTCTCAAGGACGTCGATGTTCAGTTGGAGAAGGAGGCTATCGCTGCGCTCATCAACAAGTACTGCCGCGAGAGCGGAGTGCGCAACTTGAAGAAGCAAATCGAGAAGGTGTACAGAAAATCGGCGCTCAAGATTATCCAGGACCTTGGCGAGGACGTCTTGTCGGAGGATAAGGCCCTCACCGAGGAGGGCAAGCACGCACAGGAAGAGGCCAGCAAAGACAACACCGATGTCAAGGACACACCCGAGAACATCGAGAACGAGACCACAGAGACGCCTCGTGTCGCATTGAAGGTTCCTGACAGCGTCCACGTGCGCATCACGCCCGACAACCTCAAGGACTACGTCGGCCCGCCAATCTTCACCGCCGACCGCCTCTACGACACGACGCCTCCGGGTGTCGCCATGGGCCTGGCGTGGACGCAGATGGGCGGCGCGGCGCTGTACGTCGAGTCTATCCTCGAGAACGCGCTGACGGCGTCGTCGCGGCCGGGCTTCGAGCGGACGGGCAACCTCAAGAACGTGATGAAGGAGTCGACGGTGATCGCCTACTCGTTCGCCAAGTCGATCATGGCCCGGCACTTCCCGGACAACCGCTTCTTCGAGCACGCAAAGATCCACATGCACTGCCCAGAGGGCGCGGTGCAGAAGGACGGTCCGTCGGCTGGCATCACGATGGCAACCAGCTTGCTGAGCTTGGCGCTCGACCACCCGCTCGATCCGACCATCGCGATGACGGGAGAGCTGACGGTGACGGGCAAGGTGCTGAGGATCGGTGGGTTGAGGGAGAAGACGGTCGCGGCGAGGAGGGCTGGTGCCAAGATGATTGTGTTCCCGGAGGACAATCTGAGTGATTGGTTGGAGTTGCCTGAGGTGAGTTTTGCCTTTTCTTTTTCTGATACCTCACCTCTCCCCTTTCGCTTTCAGCTGCTAACGTTTTTCCACGATAGAACATCAAGGATGGCATTGAAGGCAAGCCCGTCAGCTGGTACTCGGAGGTCTTCGACGTCGTATTCAAGGACGTCAACAAGGAGAAGGCGAACCAGCTGTGGAAGGAGGAGTTGAAGAAGAAGCACGAGGGGAAGAAGGAGAAGGAGGAGGACGATGATTGAAAAGATTCCCAACGTAAACCAGTCTTCCACTGACATTTCTCCCCTCCCAACAGTGAGCAACACTACCCAATAGTTGGAATTTCATTCTTTTCTTTTTCTTTCTCTTGACTGAAAGAGACGAAGAAGAAGAAAGGATATATCGCTCGCATTTAGAGTTGGCGTTCTAGAGTCAATTTTCCACAAGGATCATGTACGGTGGATATTTTTGTAAGGGTGGTCGTCGTATGTGGTGGGGTGTAGGAGTAGGAGAAGAAGTATCTCGGCCCTCGGTCCGTGGGGTCTCGAGGGGAGGGATTGGATGCGGGGATGCTGTTTTGTGAAAAAAAGCATGTTCCCTTATTGACTGAAGCGGGGGAAGAAAACGGATATCATAAATCTCCACTCTCATCTGTATGTATATTTGATTGGTGTCGTCGATTTCGCTTCGGGAGTGGAGGTAAAAATCGAGATACGTATATGTCACGTTGTACAGCGGAAGAATCATAGCTAACCATGTAGCGCTGCGTGGCAAGTTATGTCTGCATCAGACAGTCATCAACGAGGCTAACAACGATGCATACAGTATGTTCCATTTGCTTTGGTTTATGTGACCTCTACCAAATATATACTTTGAAGATGTGATATGTGCAGAAAGAATAGGCGGCTCTGTAGCGACAGTTGCAACACTGGAAATGGAACATGATAACCAAACTCCTCCAAAGCGTATGAAAAAGCCGCAAAGAGAGGCGAAAAGTATATACAGGGGGAAACGCATGGGTTGTGGGATGACTGCGACCATCTCAACTCTGCGTCGACTGCTCAAGTCGGGACAGTGTAGACCTTGAGGGAGTTGATGAGCCAGTATGACTCGGAAAAGACTCCCGGGTTGTTGGCAACATAGTTGATGCAGTTGCCGTTGCCAGTCTGAGAAGCGCAGGTGCCGGAGGACCAGACATTGCCGGCCCACTGGCCACAGAAGGTTACGTCGAAGACCTTTTGCTCCGTCAGCCATTCACTCAGTCTAAAGCGCGGGGGCGTTGCTTTGGAGACTTACAATGTTGTTGTTCTGGATGAAGTTGTCGAAGGAGCAGCCCGCGAAGTGGGTCATCGGCTGGCCCCAGTTCGAAGGGTTGGGCGTGCCGCCGGACGAAATGTCGGACGGGATGGAACTGCGCGGGAAGTACCAGACCTGGATGCTGCCTTGGTTCCAGAACGTGGCGTAGACACCGCCGCCGGCGTTGTTAAAGCCGGTACCATACGAGTTGGCGGTGTTGCTGGTGACTCCGCAACCTGTGACGCGCTTAGTAAGAAGTTAATGGAAATGGGAGCTCAATGTCGTACCGTCATAGGCGGTGTTGGCATTGCAGTTGGTGTTTCCGGAGGTTCCGGATTGGCCTCCCTCTCCGACGGTGACGGTACAGCCAGCAGCTGTGTGCAACGTCATCTGATTCACTTGTTGATTGTTCACTCCCTTCAGACGTGGTAAGTTCTTGTTCCATGTCGACTAATCGAAGGGTGCTTACCTCGATCATGTCAATCTCGCCACTGTTTGGCCAGTTCGGACCTTGACGCACTCAGTACGGTATTGGGAAAAGTATCCATGAAGTGCAACTTACCATACATCCAGTAGGCTGGCCAGCTTCCGCAAATGCTCCCTAAACGATTGTTAGCTAAGCGCATGGAAATACGGGCAGTTTGAATCTACCTGGCATGTGGGCAAGGTCAAGGATGAAGAGTCCATGAGTGAAAGCAGTGTTAGACTGTATTCTTACACTGGGTCGACCCGATCCACTGGGGTCCAGCACTGTAGTGCTGTCGACACCAATGTAGACCTGGTTTCCTCTGATCTGATACAAGCCTCTAGACTGAGCATCGGCTTGAGACAGGTAGTTGACGTATCCACCAGTTGGATCGTTAGTCTGGACTAAGTCAGTGTTGTATACTTGAGTGGAGCGATCTACGTACACCGAGAGCCTGGACAGCGAAGCTGTCAAACCAGTTGGACGAGGTATAACTGGCCACAAGATCGTAGGCGGCTGCAGCGTCAACGCTGGCAGTGCTAACGGAGGAGTCGCCTCCAACTTGGAGGTCCAAGTAGTCAGTGGTCAAGTTGACCGGAGTCCATCCTGCCGTAGTGTTCGAGTAGTTGAGGGAGTCGTCATCTTGAACGGCTGGCAGGGCTGTGACGCCGGTGGCAAGCAGCAAGCTTGGAACGGCGTAGCGGAACATATTGACGAAGCGTGAAGTCCAGACTTTGAAGCTTGGTCAAGTAGCGCAAGTGCAACCACGACTGGCTAGCAGTGTGACCGGGGGGTGTGAAGAAATTTTTCAACTGAAGTCAAGGAGTGTCAAAGGTAGATAGAAAGAGAGCCCACCAGACTGCTGAGCTGAAGAGGAAGTAGATTTGCGACGGCGGGCTTTATACTTTTCACGACTTGTGGATAAGGAAAAGCTAGAACAGCCATGGGGCAGGTGGCCATCCCTGTTGCACGGCGGAAGAAATGGCGGTGCCCAGAAGCCATGTGCAACGCTCCCCGGGGGATACCCGTTTTGTTCAAAGGCGTTCGGCGAGTGTGCCGAAGCCTGGATCGAAGGAGCGACTCATAGGGCTGGCGTGATGGTCTACCCATGGGGCCTTATATACAAACAGCCAATGGCGTGGTTCCGGCTGATGTTGGCCGAAAGATGAAGTACCCGGAGCCCGGGTCGCGTGGATAGATGAAGGGCTATTCGTATGCGTGGAATATTCCACGAGACGAAAGGACTCCCTACCTGGCAATCGGTATAGGGCTCATCTCTGCACGACCGACGCCACGAGGGGGGTGTTCCTTGGAAGCCTGGCTCCAACAGGCCTTGTGAGCGGGGGTGCATGCATCATAGATGACGATCTGGGATGAGGAGTCAATGGCGTGCGTGTGCGGGCGTCAGCAATGCAAGGGACGGCGAGAAGAAGTAAACAGACAAAGAAGGAGCACTTGTCGCGGTGGCTTTAACGAAATGAGGCCTCGGCCGAAAGAGGAAAGCAGAGTGAGGTATATGCAGGTGCACATGAGCCAAGCAAAGGATTAGTATTGTTAACATTAGCGAATCATAGGGCCTGGCTGGCGGCCTGCTGAGCGGCGGGGCACGTGTAGGAATTAGTGAAGAGCGGGTCGCATGGTGCGAGAGGGATATGAGTGGCTGTTCTTCAATATTGCGCTTCGGGCCGCGTGGTCGTTTGCGGGGGAAGGCGGTGCGGAATGAGTATAAGCATACCACCTTCTCTTTGGAGCCTGGTTGTGAGTAGGAAGCTGCTGCGCCGACACCGGCAACGGCCCAGGGAGGGCGGAGCGTGGAGCCGAGGGTTTCATAGATACTGCTGGAGGCGAGCGAGACGGAGGCATTTGTCCGATAGTTAATGGCAGTGGTGTGTCCTGGGCGGCAGCGGCGGGTCGGTGGTGTGTTCGGTTGTGAACCGAGTGTGTGCAATGGCCCGGCCACGACATTCGGCACTACACCTGCCCGCGTCACAAGGTCTGCGACAGAGACACCTGGTATCACAAGGCTCCCAGGCTCCGTCACGCCTGTCTTGCACACCAACCCTCCGCTGCCTATTGCCCTGTTGTTATTGCATAGCAGGCTGCCCTACGTGGCTTCACCAAGCTGCTGCCCAGAGTACGTGTGGACCCATCCAACAAGGGCCTTGGCCGATTAAAGTACAGCTTGCAGAACTGCCGTCGTCAGCTCGCGCCAACATGTCTTGAAAGAGCGCGGTGGTGACGCCTGGCGCTCCAGAGGTGCCCTGGAATGAGGCAGAGGCGGCAAGCCAAGCAGCACCTGTGTTACTCCAACAGCTGGCCCTTCATCTGCACTTCACGCCTCCACATTGCTCGTCGTTCCCGCGAGCTCAACACCGCCCCCACGGCTCCTTGGCGGTCGGTCTTTGCGATTCACATGTCGGCTCGGTTTGTCTCTCTTGGTTTTCTCGCTAGACCTGTCAATCGAGGAAGGTGGGGAAGTCCCAGGTGAAGAGTAATATTTTCCGGTCCTTTTTCGGTTTGTCGAAGCTACCATTTCGTCCACCAATGGACGCTGTGGCTGACGAAGGGACAGCTGAAAAGTCTGAGTGTCGAAGCCGCGTTTCGGCAAAACTCTGCTGCATGCCACTTCGCCTCACTCGAGCCTCTTGCCAGATTTTACTAACTTAGCGCAGGAAGAATCGTGCCCGACACTTCATGCGCGAAGGAGCATGACCTCAGCACTTCTCCACGATCTGCACGGCCCCAGGGAAAAAACCAACCAGGCCAAAAAGCAGTCAGCTTCGTGCGCTATGGTCCCGCTTTATCGAGGCCCAGAAGCCGGATGCGGGATCTCCGAGAGGCACTTGAACACCGGACTCGTCCCGCGCGATTTAGGCATCCCAAGCGACGTCAGTGTGCGTGGTGTCGGGAGCAACAGCGACTGAAGACAGAGTTTTTGGCGGCAGAGCGAAAAGTGGCTGCAGATGCCGAGCGCAGGCCAATGCCAGCGACAGGTTGAGGTGGGAAATTAGCCCTCCATCAGCTATCGCACTGCAGCCCTGCGACGCCGATAACGACGGGCGGTGCGGGGTTGCGAAGCATGCACTGCAAGAAGTGACGTATCACCAACACCAGCAAGCTTATTCCACAGGATCACCAGGCACGCCCGCTGGTTGGGCCCCGTTCCTGCAGCTTTGCCAACCGGGCCCGTCGGATGGAGCCAGCAGAGCGACTCTTCTGGGACCCACGTGGGCGTGCAGGCGCCAAGACGAGCATCCGCCCATCAAAGCTTTGCAGCCCATGGGTCGAGAGCTGCTGAGCCGCTTGGCAACGGCGCCCGCGGCTCTGGCAGCGCCGTGCCAATGTTCTGGACGTCGGCTGTTGCTCGACACTGTGTTTCACGCTTTCGGGGATCCTCAGGAACGCGCCATTTAGCCCGGCCCGCTCTTTGCACGTGACGTGGGTCTGGCCTGCAGCCCACCATGGCCGCCAACCGGTTGCCCGCCCGCCGCGCCCGCTGCAGCCTTGCCCGCCGTTGGCACACGCCGTGGGACCGAAGAGCGGGACGGCCAGCAAGTTTGCACCTCCAGCCTGCATGCCGCGGCCGCCGACGACGCAGCTGCGTAATGCCATCGCGGCTGGCGACTCGCGCTGGATGCCCGGCTCCACCGGGGTGTGCAGCCGCCGTCAGCTGGCTCCTCAGCGCGCGCGCCAGTGCCGGACGTGTCAGCGTGCGCTCCCCGCACCGGCGCCGCGCACCGCAGCCCTCTGCAGCCGCCGTGCAAGCGCGCCCCGCGGCGGTCAGCAGCGAAAGAATAGGAGCAGGAGTCTTGGGCTGCCATCTGGTTCCTGGATGCCGGGCGCTTGGCGATTCGCAGCTTGTTGCGGATCAGCTGTTTCTAGTCTCTTTGGGCATAGGCCACAGCCACGCCGGCCGCCTGTTCCTCCCGTATGCGCCCACACTGGCCGCCGCGCTGTCCAAGCAGCCCTCGCCTCCTTTTTCGCTCATCCGCCGGCCCTGCTCTGCGAGCCTGGCGCCCCCATTAGTCGAGCCGCGTGTGTTCCTTTACCCCCACCGGCATAGCAGTCGTCATCCTCCTATCAGCGTGTCTTGCGGTCTTTCCCGCCCACCCATGTCTCCTTAATTACCACCGCCGCTGGGCTCTTTATTATTACTCTTCCCCACGCCCCGAGAACTCTCTTTCTCTCACTCACTGCCAGCTCCGCAGAGGAATACTCGCATCACTCTTTTTGCGTCTATTCCAGTCACTCTCTCGACAACAGTCGTCCAGCCACTCTTTCGGATCCATCCCGACAACAACAATCCAATCCTTCAAAATGCGCTTCACTTCGATCGCCCTCGGCGCCCTGGCCGCCACCGGTACCATGGCTAGCAGCCGCTCCCACGCCCGTCTTCACCGCGAGCACGAGGCCCGCAGCGTGTGAGTGCCACAGACTAAGCGCTAAGGAATCCTGTACTGACGCTTCGCAGCGACGACCGTGGTCTTCTGCTCGACGCCATCCACGAGGCTAAGCTCCTCGCTCTTGGCCTGATCGCCATTGGCAAGAACGCCGTCAGCTCGGCCGAGGCCCAGGTCTGGGTTGGCGATGACGGTGACTACACCAACGAGTACAGCAACCAGTCTGACGAGGACGTCGTCCTTGTTGTTTGGGGCCCTGCTGCCTCGTGGGTCAACGCCAACGACCCGCTCATCACCATCACCATCCCCGCCGGCACCAACAAGACTCTCTCTTTCGCCAATGGCGCCAGCGGTGCCTGGGCTGCCGTCTACCAGGACACGTCGCTCGTCAACGGCCAGATCTCCGAGACCTGGGGCGAGTACACCTTCGGCGAGTGGGGCTGCGTTGACGTTTCCCGTGAGGTCAACATGGGCGGCCACAACATGACCATCGACACCGGCAACTGCGTTTCCGACATGGAGACGTGCGTCTTCAAGTGCAAGGACGGTGCCGAGTCCTGCTGGCTCGAGTATGAGCTCGTCAACTGCGAGAACGGCTCGCAGGAGGGCGCCACCTACGGCACCTTCGACGGCGCTCCCACCGGTGGCTGCGGCAACATGGGCAGCACCGCCACCGTCAAGACCATCCTCTACTAAATCACGACCTCTTTTTTCCCGGAAATTTTTTAATGAAGCGGAACTAGGAGGGCAGAGGAGGGATTGTTTATAATCATTTTTTATTGGAGCTCCAAGCGCGAGATATCGGCCATTGGCGTGGACAAGGGAAAAAAAAGAATCGGCGCCTGGTTTTCCTAGATATTTCGGCTTTTCGACTCTTCGCACATTTACGATACCAGTGTCTGTTTATTGTCTATTCAACTTATCCAATAAGCCGGCTCTTACTGGTTGCTCTCACAAGATGACGACCCATCTTTTCAAATTCTGGTGTAAATATTACGGATACCATTTGATCTTCGACGAACAGTAGCCTCAACTACGAGAATGCAACGATTTTTTCACAGAACTTGAGCGTGCGCACATTCCGTCTCGTTTGTTTTTCGTTGATCAGGAGATCTCGGTCGTCGCATCCTCCGCGTTCTCACACACACACACTCTTCGTCTCTCCGCTTGTCGTTGCGTTTATCGCGCATCGTAACCGACCCCGCTGACCGACCCAGCAGGAGGCGCATCACGGACAGAGCCTCAAGTGAGCCCACGAGCCCCGATGCCGAACCGTGCTCCGGCCCAAAAAAGAAGGCGAGCTCATACAATAATCTCCCTTATCCAGAAGGGCACAGGCCCCTGGGCCCTTCTATCGAAAGGTGAATCCTCCCGTCGTCGCATCCGGAAGGACGCGCCGAAACGTCGAGGTCACGGCCAAGCTTTTCCGCCGCGTACGTCCTGTGACACGCAATGCTTCGAAAAGGTTCTTCATTTTAGCCGCATGCACGCAATTCCGATTGATATTGCGGCTGTGCAGAAGGACGGGCCGGCGACGTTTTGTTGCTTGGATTGGGGGCGGCGGAGCTTGTGCTCGCCCTAGCTCCCTTGACCGGTTCGTTTCTACTGTCGTTGGTGTTCTGTTTTTGGCGGCGACTACTTGGCTAACCCCTGAGCCGGTTGCTTCACTTGACGAACCGAAGGCGCCCCTTCACCCCAAGAAGCCAACCCAAGGCGTTCCACAGCGCACACACGACGACACACAGTTCAGGCGCCGATGATGAGGCGGGGTGAAGGGCAAACGAGACTATTGAAACTTCGTCACGGACTCGTCGCGCGCATCACTTGTTCTCGAACGCCCTCGACGACTGCCAATCTCTCGTGCCAATCTCCGTGGGGGGCTGCGTACGTGCATGCTCCGCCCGCCGCCAGTCGTCGTCGCAATCGTAGCTTGGCAGGCAAATCTCCCCTCCTTCGGCGCTGATTGACCATGTCTCGACTGCCAATCTTCTTTGCTCAACGTCCGCGCGCCAGGAAGGGACCGTCCCTCTGCCACAGCGTCCTTCTGCGTTGCGTGATCACGCCATGCACGTGCGTTTGTTCTTCTTCTGCTGCTCTGTCGTGCAAGTGCCGCAAGGCAGTTTGCTCTCTTTCCCACTTTCCCTTCCCCACAAAAATAGAGCAGCAATCTCAGGGGGATTAACTGTCGTGCCAGCGACGGCTGTTGCCTATCCGTTTTCCGCGGGGCCCGCGCCGCCTGCGCAGCCGCTGCTCCATGCGCGCACTTTGTGAGAGTCGCCACTTGCTTTGGACGAACGGACCCCCGGTTTAGCGAAGAAATGGAAGCTTTGAGCTTTTTTTTGGCGGTGTGCCGGTTACCGATGGTGTTGTGCTATCTTTTGCCCTCTGTCAGGGACATGGCGGTATGTACGAGTGCACGCACGTCTCCTAGAACTCGATCTCGATCGTTTCGGCCGTCATGGTGTTGGGTTCCTCGTCCGGCATTTTTGCCACGCTGGTGGTTGAGAGTAGCAGCGCGCGAATAAGACGAGGATTCTTTCTTCAGCCAACATGATACGAAGGTACCTGGGTATAAGACGGTTCCGTTATACGTCGGTGTCACCGAAGTAAATGGTAAGGGTAGGCGAAGATGCTGGACGCCTGATTGCACATCAGCGGTATGCGCGCTTTCGGGGTCATGTCGTGTCGTACACGAACACACCACACTCAGAACACGGTAAGGCTGAGAGATAAGGTTCGGGAGAATGTGGCTAGTTGCGTCACCTCGTTCTTATACTGTGGGGGAGGGGCGACGGAAGGGAATCTAGAGTGATGTCGTGCATGTTTTGGGTTGGGTGGTGACTGGGATGGGGACCCTGGGCGACACCAGGGGCGACGGCGTGTTGCAGATGTATTGTGTCAGTGCGGCATATATTGTATGCAACAAGCGGTAGGGGATTGCTCGACGGTGCCCAGGGACTTTGCATTGGTGCTCTTCGCCGGAATCGGCGTTCGAGTAGGCCAACTCGAAGGACTCGTAGAAGGTGGACGCCAACGATGCGGGTGACAGAGTTGAGAGACGATGGAAACAAACACATGGATGTAGGTATATGCCCTTTCTAAAACCCCGTCTTTGACTTCTGCGACTTGATATAATTCAACGCCGATCCGGACATCAACCATCGGATCTGGCCCTCATGGAACGTATGATTCAGCTTCGTTTCCCAAACTTCCCCATCCTTCCTTCTCACCCTCATCGTTAGCTGCTCGCTGGGCCTGATGTCCTCCACGCCCAAGATGTCCACTCTGTCGTCAGCTTGAATCTTGTCGTACGCTGCCGGGTCAGCGAACGTCAACGGAAGCATCCCCTGCTTCTTGAGGTTCGTCTCGTGGATACGGGCGAACGAGTTGGCTACGACCGCCACGCCACCCAGGTAGCGCGGCTCGAGTGCGGCGTGTTCGCGCGACGAGCCTTCGCCGTAGTTGTTCTCACCGATGATGACCCAGCGAATGTTAGAACGCTTGTAATTTTTGGCGACTTCAGGGACGGGGAGGATAGCTGGGGTTGGGGAGGTGGTGAGATCCCGAGTGTGACCACGGTTGGATGCGCCAGGGAGGAAGGCGTTTTCGGCACCGATGAGGAGGTTGTTGGAGATATTTTCGAGATGGCCGCGGTAATTATACCAGGGGCCGGCAGGGGAGATATGGTCGGTTGTGCATTTGCCTTCAAGGAGGAAGAAAGTGTGAGCTTAAAGAGTGTTCGCTGGTCTGGAATTACTCCTTACCTTTGACTTTGATGAGGATGGTCAGGTCTTCGGCGTTTCCAGCTTTCCAGGGCTCGAATGGCTGGAGCAGTTGGAGTCTGTCACTCTTCGGGTCTACTTCGACGGTAAGTGCTTCACGGTCCTCTGCGGGGCCTTGGTAGTAGTTCTGTCCGCTCTCGAATGATGCAGGGAGCTCGTCGACGACGGGTGGGGTGAACTTGAATGCTTGCCCCTTGCTGTCCAAGACCTCATCTGTCACCGGATTGAATTGGAGAGATCCTGAATATGCAAAAGCCGTGACGAGCTCAGGCGATGTGACGAACGAGTGGGTTCCAGGGTTGCCGTCATGTCTTCCTACAAAGTTGCGGTTGAAAGAAGAAATAACAGAATTTGCCACCCCCTTGTGAATGTCAGTCGACGCAGTCAAGGGATACTGTTTGAGCTTTGAGAGTTTACCTTTTTAACTTCTGTCCTGTTCCACTGACCGACACAAGGCCCACAGGAGTTGCTCAAGAGAACAGCGCCAGCTTCTTGGAACGCACTCAGGATACCATCTCTTTCCACAGTGGCTCGGACCTGCTCGCTGCCTGCTGTGACGAAGAACGGCACTTTCGGTTTCAGTCCCGCCGACTCGGCTTGACGGATCAGTTCGGAGGCCTTCTTCAAGTCCTCCCACGAAGAATTCGTGCAGCTTCCAACCATGGCATGTGATAGCTCTTTTGGCCATTCACTGCCCTCGACCTCGGTGGGAAATTTAGACAACGGGTGGGATAGATCAGGGGTGTAGGGTCCGTTGATATGTGGCTCCAAAGTGTCCAAGTCAATCTCGATGACTTCGTCATAGTACTTGTCACTTCCTTCGTCGGGGCGGAGAAGCCCCATATTGTTCTTGGCGGCGTCTGCTACGAAGTCTCTCTTCGTTGCTGACAGATACCGTGCCATTGCGTCAGAGTACGGGAAGATGCAGGACGTCGAGCCAATTTCGGCCGACATGTTGCAGATCGTTGCCATAGCAGTAGCACCGAGTGTCTCGGTTCCAGGGCCGAAGAATTCAACGATCTTTCCCTTTCCTCCAGAGACGGATACAATCCCGGCGAGCTTAAGGATGATATCTGTAGCTTGTGTGAGAACGAGACATACCTTTGACAAGGGAAAGGAAGAAAATCACCTTTCGAGCTTGCCCAACCTTGAAGTTTCCCTGTCAGTCTCACACCCATGACCTTAGGGCATTGTAGTTCCCATGGCATTCCAGCCATGGCGTCTACGGCGTCAGATCCACCGACGCCTATCCCAAGCATTCCTAACCCGCCGGCGTTTGGCGTATGCGAGTCGGTTCCGATCATGAGTCCACCCGGGCTTCCTCACGTCAGTACTTCCGCGCGTATTGCCTCAAGAGTTCCACTTACAAGGCGTAGTTTTCCAGAAGAATGGTATGTATGATTCCGGACCCGGGCCTCCAGAAGCCCATATTGTACTTTGCACACGCCGAGGCCAAAAATGCGTAAACCTGTCCGATTGTTTAACGCCGCCCCATTTCGATGCTGTTTTCTTTCCATACCTCGCGATGCTCCCTTTTCGCATTCTCAAGATCAGGCCCCGCGCCCTTCTCTGCCATGATCATATGGTCTCCGTGGATGGTGACAGGCAACTGAGCCTCTGGCAGTCCTGCGCTGATGAATTGCAACAGGGCCATGGTTGCCGTGGCATCGTGGCATGCCGCACGGTCAGGATTCAACTTGAGGAACGACTTTCCACGGTCGAGCTCTTGGATTTCCGGTTCGCAAAGGTGCCTTTATTCAATTAGAAATGTGCTTCAGTAGGAAATTCATGTTTTAGCATTTACGTGTAAAGGACCTTCTCTGAGAGCACAAGCGGCCTGTTCAGACGCTGGCGGAGAAGTTCTAGGTTGCGTTGAAGCTTCGGATAAGGAAGAAAGGCATTCGAAGTGGAGGTCAGCGCCTGGAATCTCAAGAATATTCACAACTCACCTTCTCTAGCAGGTTCATCGGCACTTGCATGCCTTGGATGCCTGTTCCACCAGAAACAGTGGCGAAGCGCCGTGCTGCGCATTTTGTGTGTGGCAGCGAGCTGCGCAGATGCTGTATGTTGCGCAGTAACGTCATGTCTTCTAAAGATCACAGCGGGGTAAGCTCCATGGCAAGTAAATTATTTTTGTGAAGACAGTTTTGTTGTATTAGAGAAGAGAGCTGCTATCCAAAAGGAGCGGTCCGAGAAGGAGCTATGGCCACTGACGGACTGCTCCCACTGCCGCAGCGCCACCCGGAGCCGTCCGACCAATCATATTAGGCATATTGACTACTTGAACGGAATAGTTACGAGGAACTGTTCCCTTCCCGATGACGATGCCGAGGTCATGAGAGGGTGCAGCTTCCGACGAAGGTCCCGCTTTCGGTAGAGCGGGATGTTCGGTAGCGCTGAGACCTTTGTGGTCACATTGTAAAGTTGCTAGACCAATATTATGAGATGAAATCATGTATTGAGATATATTCTAATTTCCATTACCACCAGAAAAGTTCTTGGGGATTTTCAATCATGAGCAGCTGCCACTGCTCATCAGTGAGCCATTCGCGCAGGCTTAACAGCCATTGCCGGTCATCCACCTGGAGATACGGCGTCTCTTTTAATGCTTCCTCCTTTGTACGGAGCTTCATCCGAGGGGTATGCGGCCTGGAGATATTTAATTATTGGTAGTGTTATTGCAATAGGATCACTTACCAGTCACTTCCCCAGAGGACTCTCTTTGGGTTCGTCTTCACCAGTGTCTGCACCAAGAGCTTCATATCATCGTAGTGAGGCGCCTGATCCGAAGAGCGATAGGGCGCGCTCAGCTTAATCCAGAAATTGCCGGACCTCAGAAGTTCGAGAATGGGCTCCAAGCCGGGCTGAGAGAGGACGTCCATGCCTTCGGGGAGCATGCTCGTGCCCTTTAGAAGGGCATGGTGGTCTGTGACGACGGGAACTGGAAGGGTGCGGATTACTGGTGCAAGACGGGCCCAGTTCTCGGGGTTAAGCGGCAGCATAGCCAGGCTCCACCCGAAATGCTGCACTTTGTCGCCGTAGGAGCGCAGCATCCAGATCTGCTTCTCTACGTCCAGCATGGCATTGTGCTTGTACATATCCAGGCGAATTCCTCGCACGCCGAGCGCATGCATCTCCTGCATTTCCGATTCCGGGGTTGAGAGGTCGACCACTGCAACGCCGCGGGTTGTCTCGGGTCCCAATTCTTTCAAGAAATGCTTCAAGGAGGAACAATCATGTCCGTATGACAGCCCATGAACAAGCACCGATTTGGTGAGGCCTTGGGCTTTCTTGAATTCTTGGAATTGCTGGACAGTTGCAGCGGGGGGAGTGAGGTGCCTGTCAGGTGAATAGGCAAATTTGGAAGCTGCAAGCCCATGAGCGATAGAACGGACTTATGGGCTCGGACTTACGCTCAAAAATGTGGTGATGGGTGTCGACGCCCCCATTGGCGAGTGGTGTTTGCGTGTTTGCCATGGTCTGAGGTTTGCAAGTGATTTTTCGAGAGTATAGCGTTCGAAGTGTCTAGAGCTGTTTACATCTCTTGACGGCGGATAAAGCAAGACGGATAAGGCGCACATGGCGGCAGTAGTTCGCGGGGTTTGGGTTGAGGCTCGGTGATGGGTGGTTCCGGGCTCGGCGGAGCGCTCCAGATCGGCAGGGCGATGCTGAGGACGGAAAGACGGTCAGCAGATTATGTGATTGGGTATGTCGCGCAGAAGCAAGGGCGGGGAGCGGGGCGTAAGTAAGTAGGACGTGCGATGCCAAGTTTTGCGGGGTCCCCGGCGCCGTGGTTCGTTCGTTAGGGCAGGCAGTCGTGCTCGCTCGCGTCGCGCACACGCACGCTCTAGTATCTTCAATCTTGCAGCAATCAACATGGACGCCGGCTCCAAACAGCCCAAGAAGGTCCGCCTCGCCTGCGAGCGGTGCCGCGACCGTCGCATCAAGGTATGCACCACCCTGCAGGCCAAGAATGACTGCTGACCCACCTGCACAAGTGCGACGGGAAAGTGCCTGCGTGCGAGAACTGCTCCAAGGCCCAGGTGCCGTGCATCGACGTCGACACGCGCACCTCTGCCGGCCGCATCTCGAGAGCGTGAGACTGCTGCTGCCCCTGCACACCCACTCTGAATTCTCACCACCTGCTCAGCTTCCAGCACAACGCCGCCGCCCGCATTGAGTGGCTAGAGAGCATCATCAGAACCCGGCTTCCCAATGTCGATCTTAGCGCAGGCCCACCGCTTCTCAACACGGAAACAGTATCTCCTGCACCACCCCAAGAGCAATCCCAACCCACCATCGGCCAGAATAGAGGCGTCAAGCGATCTCACAGCGCTCCAGGCCAAGAGCATGGCCAATCCCATTCTGTCGAACAGAGCGCTCGCTCCATGGCCCTCCATCTTGGGCTACTGTCGCTCGACGTGAACTCCTCTCAAGTCCACTATCTGGGCTCGTCGTCAGGCTCCCTTTTTACCCCCATGCTACGCGCCAACCAAGAAGATCCCGCCTCGCTGTTTCCTGCGTCAAGCAATGAGCCCTCTGTGGATGGAAGCCAGGCTGATCCATTCACTGTGTACGAGCAAATCGAAGAGAGCCGGCTGGAACAGACCCATGTTGCCCAAGTCCACCGCCTTTACGCCATGCTCAGGACGGTTCGATGATCGTACCTGCTCGCCGCTGTTCCTTCACTGATCATCTTCACAGGACCTGCCCTCTCGTCGAGACTGCAGCCACCTCACAAACATGTTCTTCCGCCACTTCCACGCCGAGTATCCCTTCCTGCACAGGCCTACAATCGAGTGCATGACTGATGCTCTGTACCACTGCTCTGATGTCGTTGATGAGACCTCATTCCAGTACAACGGCTGGCCGGCAAGCCAACAATGGTTCCCGTGCAATGGCGAAGACGCGCAGAATCTCAACAATGGCAAACAGATTGCCATCTCCGTCTTCGCTGCAGCTACCCAATTATTTCTCATTCTCGGCATTTCCGCAAATCTGAAAACCCAGAAGAGAGACTACCAGTACGACCCTACCAAATTTCACGAGGCCGCAAAAGCAGCCCTAGACCCTGCCATAAGCAAGATTTCTTTGCACGCTTTGCAAATCATCCTTTTGCTCGTGCTGCGATCTTTCACCAGCACCGAGCGTAGCAATACTTGGGCCACTGTGCACCTTGGCATGGCTTTCGCCGTGGAGCTCGGCTTGCATAGAGATGCTTCTTCCTGCGATAGCTTCTCTGAGGCTGCTCATCAGATGAGACGAAGGGTGTTTTACTGCATGTACTCTTTGGAAAGGTAATGCCTCTGCTTTCCTCCGCCGATTCCGTTGCTGACGCAATGCAGGCGACTCAGCGCCATACAAGGCCGTCCAATTGGCTTTTCAGATGATACTCTCGATACTTCGCTCCCGAAGCTTATCGAAATTAGCCCGAGCGATCTCAAAGCGGTAGCGGACCAGTCGTACCTTCCGTTCTCCATCCAAATCTTCAAGATAGCGCAGCTGGTCTCTCGAATCAAGCACACTTTCTATCTTCTGCCCAAGACCAACCCGGGGACCCAAACTGAGGCCGCATTGCGAGACCGTCAGGAAGAGCTTCGCACAGAGCTGGACTGCTGGGATGCAGAGTGTCCGAGAGCAGTGCAGTGTATTCCTCAGCAAGAACGCGGTTGGCTTTCTGCCAAACTGAAGATTGACTACCATGCAACCATGTGCCTCTTATACCAGCCATCGCAGGTCTTCCTAAGGCCGACTGAAGAGTCACTGCAGCGATGTTTCAAACACACTGTGGAGCGCCTTCGGGTGTATGGCACGCTTTACGATAGCGATAAGCTCTTCTTCAGCTGGCGAAACATACACGGCATATTCCTAGCAGGCTCAACCTTGCTGTACTGCCTCTGGACATCACCGTCAATTCAGACATCGAATTCTTTCGCCAAGCTGGCAAGTGACATTGGAGTATGTTCCAACCTGCTTAGCGCAGCAGGCGAGTGGTGGCCCCTTGTTCGCAAAGCCCGAGCGAGTTTCGAGCGTCTTGCGAGCCAAACCATGCAGTCATTGATGGACAGGCCTTCAAAACAAATCAGGCCAACTGCAACTTCGACAGACACGCTATCGGCTATAGATCCTGCGCTGACGGATTCTTCCGGTGCGGATCACTTCCCGACTCCGGACGAGTTGGAGATAGAACACATCCTTAACTCCGTCCTCCAAAGAGAAACACAGCTTCCGGATATGCTTGAGGAACTGGGGAACATGCACCACACTGCAGATGGCCTCTCTGATTTGTGGAATGACTTCCTCTTTCCGCAAGACTTTAGCCATTCGGATCAAGGTGATCAACAAGCGTTTGCGAATGCTACGCAACAGAGTCGGAATGAAAGTCGGCAACTGAATCAATATTTGCAATCACCATCTCCTTAGCGCTGCCAAGATTGGCGTCCGCCAAGGAATGGAAAAAGGTTCTTTGATTTCAGCCAAGGAGCTTCCCATTGAAGAAAGCAAGATGAGGGTGCCAACGCCTTTGATGTTGAATATGATCTTGAAGACTACAGAAGAGCGTTCATGTAGCTCATGTACCACAAAAGTTGACGAGACATTCGAACAAGATATGGACTGCTCCCCGAAGCCGTTGTAAAAATGAGCACATCAATCTCGGACATACGATGCAAAGCCTCGCCTTTACCGGACATTGACCGCTACAAAGTCCCCATTGTGGCGAACATCGGCTACCTGTTTGCGGCCAGACTCATGCAATGCGGACCCGTCAGGATGAGTCCGGGACTAGTCCACAGGCACACTATGAGGCAGATCATGGACCCTTCCGTCCAGGACTTGGCCGGAACTTCCAAAAGCTTGGCCTTTCCCTGTTCCTGGTAGCCGGACTTACTAGTTTCGTCCCCCCGGCGGCTCCCTCGGGCGTGCAGAAAAGGCGCTAGCACCTCCCACGTGCCAACTCGCTCGGAGCAGTCCGCGTCGGTGGCGGTCCCGATCCCGAACTCCACAGCGTCGACGGGATGTCTCCGTACAACCTCAACAGATGACATACGACACGCCACAGTTGGCTCAGGATGGCTCCACAGGCCGCCTAAGCTGCGGAGACAGGCGTCCACTACCCCGCAAACGGCTCCAGCTACCAGACGATAGGATCGGCCACTTACTCGCCTCCAACGCGATTGGTCAAGCCTGCTAGCCATATAAACGTGTCTTGACTTTGCTTGTCCTTTGGCCTTGGACCTTCTCAAGCTTATCTTGGATTTCTTCATACCCTCCCTCAGCCAAATTATTCTCCGAGCCATCCAACGGGCGCAGTCAACATGGGAGCAGCCGGCGGTTGGGTTTCAAAGGACGCCCTGGCAACGACGCCAAAGGAGGTCCTCAGATTCAGGATTTGGATCACGGTCCTGTGGGCCTCGTGCTGCGGAGGCTTGCATGGCGTCAATACAGCGAACATCTCCGGCATCATGAGCATGAAGCCTTTCAAGGAAGATTTCGGCACTGCGGATATGACGACTGACCAGGTTACAAATTGGAGCGGTTGGGCTGTATCATCTATGCTTCTGGTACGTAACTGTCGCTCAGAACCCACTCAAATCGTACTAACGTCGAAAAGGGGCAACTCGTCGGAGTGCTCATTTCAGGCCCAGTTGGAGAGCGATGGGGACGCAAGGCATGCATTTGGATCGCAGCCACGTCCTACCTCATTGGAGCCATCCTGATGGCGGCGAACTTTGGCTCCCTCCCCGAACTCATCGTCGGCCGCGTGCTTTCTGGTCTCGGTTCGGGCTTCGGCATGACAATCGGTGCCATCTACATCGCTGAGGTAGCACCCAAGGCTGTTCGTGGAGCCATGTCGACTCTTTACAACGTCAATATCATGTGCGGTGTGGCTGGTTCCTACTGGATCAATTACTGGGCATTGCTACACCTCCCAAGCTCATCACCTTGGCAGTGGCGCACACCCATGATCCTGCAAGTCATTCCTGCCATCTGTCTTTTCGCTGGACTTCTTGTCTTTCCGGAGACACCCCGATATCTGGCAATGTGCGGTCGCCTTGAAGACACCAAGACGGCGCTGCTGAATCTTCGCGGCATTCCCGAGGATCACCCCTACTTTGTAGAGGAGTACGAAGAGTTGGTCACCAAGGTCTACGCCGACCAAGAGGCCGAACGCGGCATGAAAGCGTTCAAGACGCTCTTTGAGCTCTGCGGAACGGACGAGTCGATCCGGAAGAGGCTCATCTTCGTCATGATTATCCAGACCTTGTTCATCTTCTCTGGTGGCAACTCCATCACCTACTATGCCCCCACCATCCTCAAGTCCATGGGTCTCAACTCGGAGCAGATCCTCCTGTTCACCGCCATCTACGGCTGTGTCAAGGTCATCTCGGTCCTTCTGTACGCAGTCTTCTTGTCCGACCGCTTCGGCCGCCGACCCCTCCTCCTCATCGGCGCTACCCTCAACCTCTGCTGTCTCATCTACCTAAGCGCTTTCCTGGGTTTGGCAGACACCGCCAACTCCGGTCCCACGGTTGCTTCCTGGTTTGCCATCGTCGCCATCTGCATTTTCGCCGTCGGTCAGTGCTCTATCATGAAAAAGAAAACAATGGCAAACCCTTGCTAACTCGAAAACAGGCTACGGTTTCGGCTGGGCTCCCGTCTTCTCCCTGACGACGTCGGAAATCTGTCCCACGCGCTCCCGCGGCGCCATCGTCACCGTGGCGTTCGGATACCAGAACGTGCTCAACTTCCTCATCTCCCGCTTCTTCCCGAACATGACCGTCACAATGCATGCCTGGGGCCCCTTCGCGCTCTTCGCGGCCTTCACCGCCGTCGGCGTCGTGTGGGTGTGGCTGGCTTTCCCCGAGTGCAAGGGCAGGAGCATGGAGACGATGGATCAGCTGTTCGTCAGGAAGTGGTGGCAGGTGGGCAGGCTACAGGGGAAGGAGAAGGGGCTGGGCGAGGCGATGATGGTGGCCGACGAGGAGGGAGAGAAGGATCCGGAGAAGATGGGGCCCGTGGCGAACCACGTGGAGAAGGTTTGAGTTGGGATGCAGGGTCGCGTTCAGGGATGGATATCTGTGTGGATGGGATTGTTTTTGGATACGTGATACGACCACGGCAAGCAATGTATGAAATTACGAGAGAGCTACTGAGTCAGCCCTCGCGATTGGCAGTGAGAACTGAGGTTCGGTATACCAGGTCTTGCCACGTGCTCAATGGCTACCTACAGAGAGCCGCAGTATGTTTAAAAGGAAATAATCCGTCTCGATCACCCTCGAAAGGAACGACACGGCTTTTATAGGCGGTAGAGGCTATTATCTAGACTTTTTTGTGTCATTGTCAATTCTTAGATGCGAGAATAAGAGCATGTGTTAAAATGTCTGGCAAAGTAAGGTCACAAAGGGTCTTCGCTCTATTGCAGGAAATTTACTTTCGCTTGTGCCGCGTTTCGCTTTATCTGTTGAAGAGCTGCCTTCTCGAAATCGTACGCGTTTGTTTGGTTAAACGCGTCATGAGCGCGAATTTCTCGACGACGCGTCGTTTCGCGAAGCGAGAGGAAAGAGCGGAGGCGCTCTTTCCTGGTATGCTTTGTTTTGGTTCCCGATTAGGCTTAGCCTGTAGGGTTCATGAATTCAGCGCGCTTTTCTGTCTCTCAGACCAGTGCTTCTATCGTAACACCAAAAAATATCACCAAAGATGGGTACGAGGTCAAGTGGATGGATAACCTAGGTCTATTCTCAGCTTGTATATTCACGTCATTCGCACCTGCTTTCTAACCACCCCTCGCATCGGCTTCGACGCTCGGAGCGATTCTCGCCTCACCACGGGAGTGTCGCGTTCGCGTGGACTTTGGCTGAGCATCTATCGGCGACGCTTTGATCCACCATGGCTTATCCATTCCTCCTCAACATACCCATTCCGGGTCGCAAGCAAGACGAAGAAAAGGCCCCATCAGTGCCTGACGATGGCCGAGCTTCATCGACGAATGGAGACCCGTACCAAGGTAGCCTCGGGCGCACACCGAATGAACAACAGACTCGCAGCTCAGCTGCTGCTATAAAGCACGAGCTCACGCCTGGCTTCATGGATCAAGACACTAGCAATGAGCCTTTAGCACGCACGGAAAACTTTGACAAACTCGTATCATCAGAAGGTAGCACGCATGGCATGACTACTAAGAGCTGCGCCAAGCATGGCGAAGATAAAACTGTCATTGACCTGACTGAGTCTGATGGCGAAGGTGAGGAGGGAGCTACACCAGCTACTATGGTTTCCAGCAACCCTTCTTCTCAGCTACCTGGATGCGCTTCACCAGCCACTAGAATCAAGTCAGAGAGCACCCCAGACCCCGAGGCACCACCCCAAAACATCAGTGAGCCGCAGAAGATCAAGCCTGATCCAGAAGATCAGGGTACCGAAGGCTCACACTTGGGATCAGATATCAGCACTTCACGAGGGACAAAGCGACCTGCAGATCAAATATCTGAGGGAGAGTCAGAAGACAAGAAGCCACCCTCAAGGAAGAGAGGCCGACCCGCAAAGGAACCTCCACCTCCAATTTACAAAGCTACTACGAAACGAGCGCCAGGAACCAGTGACATCCCGGGAGCTCCGGCAATTGACGACAGCGTTCTCTCGAAGATCAAGAAGTGTTTTGAGCGCGCAGAGCACGAAAATGCTTCTGAAACAGAAGCGAGGGCGGCAATGTTCCTGGCTGGAAAGATGATGCGCCAATACAATGTGGAAAAGGCCGAGGTCATGCAGCACAAGACGCCTGAAGAGCAGGCACAATGTGCCGGATCTAGCGAAGTCACGATTGAACGCCGTGACGGAACCAAGGTGCCGATTCCCATAAGACAATGGGTTTCTGACTTGGCATCGGCTATGAGAAGGTTCTTCGACGTCAAATGCTACTCAAGCACTCCCAAGGATCGTTTTATGGTGAGGTGGGTCTTCTACGGAATCGCGCAAAACACGGCATCTGCAGCATTGGCCTTCGAGAAGATATACAATCTTATTATGGACTGGGCTCGGTTCAAGACAGGCATTGCTGTAACGAATAGTTACTGTCTTGGTATTGCTGACCAGCTCTATCGTGATGCTAAGAAGGAGAAAGAAGAGGAAATGAAGAAAGCTAAGGAAGCCGAAGCTGAGGAATTGGCTAATAGAGAGAAAGAGGAGCAATTGCAACGGGAGAAGGAGTTGGAGCGACTACAGCCGACTGTAGAAGATGAGCCCGATCCAGAGCCCACGGAGAACAACAACTCCGAAAGACCATTTGACTTTGAGATGGATGACACAGGTCTGGAAGCAGATCTGGATGCCTGCTCTGACCTCGAAAGTACCCATTCAGAGAGTGGAGGGCCGATGAACATGGACACTACCACACCCCAGGACAACGGCAAGGAAGACGAAAACGAAAGTGATGACGACGAACCGGACTTCATTCATGATGACGATGAGAACACGGATCAGCACTTGTGCGATACTGATAAGGTGATTGACGACCTCGTTCAGAACATGAACAAGCGCAGTTCGATCTCTCCTCTCCGTGTCCCACGACAGCCTTCTCCGCAGCTTGCTCCTCCGTCGCCAAAGCCCACCACCCCTTCCGCGAGGGAAAGCCCAGAGCCGGAGCCGCATTGGAAGTCGGCGATGCAACTTATGTTATTCAGGGACACGGCGGCCAAGATCGCAGATGACTTCCTCAAAGCGAAGAATCAGAAGCTCGGGCGCCCCAGGCGTAGAGGCGCCAAGCCAAAGGATGCTAAGGCTTTCAGGGAGGGGAGGAAGGATGCAAAGAAGATTGATGTCCGCCAAAAAGCTTTGGAGGACAAAAAGCAAGAAACCAAGGAGGAAGACGATGGTTAAGAAAAAGGTACTGGTCATCCACGATTCACAGCTGAGTTTAGCCTGGAAGCGGTTTGCAGATGGATTTTAGAGGCAAGGGAAGAAAATAAAAGGGTGAATGATTTGAGAAATTCGGGCTGCTTGGAGTTATCTGGGACCTTGGCTGTAGTGATCTTGAATTATCACTTGGCTACTGATGGAGTGGAGCAAAAGGATGATCAGTCAGTAAAAGTAGGGATATGCTCACCACCATCAATCTAACTGATCGAGCAATAAACAAAGAAGATAGCAAACGCGGCTGGATGGCCTAATTGAGGAACGCTAACTCTTTGCTTTTTCTCGTTAGCCGTTTCGGCAAGGTGCATAGGTGAGTCATATCTTCTCTTTTGTCATACCGGCCCACCTGACTTCGCGTGGATGAGGTGCCAGGGTACGCGTACCTACGCCGCGGCTGCGGGGGGTAACAACCAATCGCTCAGGACCGCGACAATGCACGTCCAGCCTCTTCTTGGCGTCGTATTAGCATTTGTGCATTGTGCTCTTAACTGTTTCTGCTCCCCTGTCCATATTATGTGCTTTGGGCGCTGCCGATCTTTCTCAGTGGATTGCATGTGAACATGAGCTGTCATTTTCGTTTGCTGCCGAAGACCTGGTCGCTGTCTCACTGCTGAGGGGGTGATTCTTGCTGTGCCGCTTAGCCATTTAACTTTTCATTCTCCTCCTACCGCTATCATTGACGCTGAATTTCCGACCAAGCTTTTACGTGTTAAAGAAGTCTCTACTGTGCCTCAGCTTTCTTCGGGCTGCCCATTTTTCACCTTTCTGAGGAGTCAATTGTTCTAATGGCATACCCAAGCCTTCTCGGAATACCGATCTTCGGGAACGATGAGGCCGACCGTGGGGAGGGGTCGACGCCAGCCCAGCAGCCCATACAGAGCATCGTCAACAAACGGGACACAGCGGATACTCACATATCGAACTACAGACCACCTCGAGTGTCTGCTGCTCCAGAAGACGAGGCTGACGCTCAATCTGCGAGAAGAGGCAGCCGTACGTTCAGTTACGGCCCATTGCGAGTTTCCTCGGCACCGCCGGCAGACGATCAGGACTCCATTTTTCGTACAATCATCGAGCTTAAGAGCGCAGCGCCGCGTGATGCTGGTAGAGCCACTCGCACGTCTGGCGATGAAGGCTGCAAGCAACCCACCGCGGCTCGCAAGTTATCGCCCCCACCCGCGCCGCTCCAGGCGTCTCCGGCACCCACGGATGACGACGGGTTCGAAGCAGCAGCAGCGATAGGAGATTTTGAATCCGACCGTGAAGGCTTCACGCCGCCGTATGACGGAAGACGCTTCGACTGCACCAGCGGCTTGGATGATCGACGGCACATTGATAAGGGTAAAGGGGTCTGTATCGATGTGGCCGCACCTGTCCCGTCGATGATGCCGCCTGGTGGAGGCACTGCTCGCATCACACCGGATCCAAGTGACGTGGAAAATGTGGACCACATACCCCTGGAATCGGATGATGAAGAGAGCTACATCTGGCGTGCAGATGAGCCTGAACAACAGGCAGGTCCTAGGGGACAGAAACGCCATACAGATTACGGCGCTTCCGGTAGAGGCAATACAGAGCCTCAAGGGCGATCAAGCGCTCAGGGAGATAGATCAGGGGATCCCGCTCAAGCAAAACGGCCTCGTCTGACAGATGAATCTCCCTTGCCCGAGCATCTGCTACATCCCCTTGGTCCTGGGAAAGAGCCTGACAGTTGGTTGCCAGTGCCAGTATCTCGCACAACAACAGTACCAGCGCCGGAGCCGGAAACACCAGAAGAGCAATCCAACCGTCCTTCACGGAGTCGTCGGACAAGCAAGCCGAAAACGCTGCGCCCTGCCACATACCACGCCTTCATCAAGGAGCTCTACAAGGCGCCGGACGAGAAGATGATGCGCATCATCAAATGCCTCGAAAGGTGCAAGCACCCGAACACGACTAAGGCCGAGGGGAGCGCGGCGATGCGGCTGGCGCAGCGGCTGATGGCGGACCACAACGTCGCTGAAGCCGAAGTCCTCAGCCACATGCCGGTCGAGGAACAGGCCAGGCGTGCTTCTAGGAGTGTCGTGTCTGTGCGGCGAGTCGTCGATATCGGAAAGGAGATCCGGCTCGGGGCATTTGTCTGGCCGCTCTCGAACGCGATGGGCATCTTTTTTGACTGCAAGTCTTACAGCGGCCACCGTACCGACGCGAGGGAGTTTACTTTCTACGGTATCGCGGAAAATACGGCGTTTGCAGCCGAGGCATTCAAGAATATCCACAACCTCATAGCGGAATGGGCGAGAAGTGAGAAAGGCTCGCACCGCAGGGACTATTGTATTGGAGTCGCGGAGGAGCTTGAATACGAAGCTACAAAGGCGAAGACGGAGGAGCTTCATCTTGCGGAGAGAGCAGAGGCGGAAAAGCTGGCGGAAAGAGAGGAAGAGGAGCGTATTCAGCGTCAAAGGGAATTGGATCGCCTTAGGCCGTTGGGAAGTGAATCCGAGGAAGCGCCTGAGGCTTCTACAGCCCATGGCACCACAGGGTCCTCTGGCCCTGACATTGTGGATCTCATGGAGGATACGTCCGACAGTGATCCTGAGAGCTCGGCATCCAGCCGCAGGGGTCGTGACAGTAACGGCTTGCTCGACACTGACAATGACGTTGACATGGAGAGCGGAAGCAGCGAAACTAGTAGCGATACTGACAGCAAGAGCGAGGGCGGCAGTGACGTGGACTGCGCCGACGTTGTGGAGACGGGAGAGACGGAAGACGATGTCCTGAATCTACCTTCGCCTATGCCTCCGCCGCCCGTGCCATCACTAGGTCGAGCGACGTCGGCTCGCGAGGAAACGCCGTGGGAGTCACCCGGTCAACTTATTGCTTTTAGACAGCGTGCTACTTTGGTCGCTGAAGAGTACCTCAAACGGAATGGAATCACGTTGACAACCGCCCGGCCACCGGCACCTGTTCGGAATTGGGCAGCCTGGCGGAAGGGGAAAGAGGATAGTAAGAAGATCAATGTCCGCGAACAGGCACAGAGATGAAGTGAAGAAGAAGCAGTGTTGTAAGATGGAAAAATTGAGCTTACGAACCGAGCCACGCATCTAAGCAGCAGTCAATGAAGATTCCCATTGGGGGCTCCCACCTTTAAACCCAAGGAGTGTAGTGCGACGTATTGTCCCCCATTCTTGAGGCTTGTGTAAAGAAGACGCCCACTTCCGTTGGTGGGTGGATCTGAGCCCCGCCTTCCGAGTCCAGATAAGCGAAACGTCATAACTGAAGAGCTTCCCCGCCATGAATTAATCTCTCGAATTTCCTCCCCAACTCCTCAATTCGCTGGCTCAAGCTGCCTCTGCCATGGCCTCAGACCTCAAAGGCAAAGTCGTCCTCATCACCGGCGCCGGAAGCGGCATTGGGTAAGGTAACAATCAGACAAACCCTCTAACCCCACTTCCGAAACGCCCCTTCTCAAGCTAACGCTGCGGCCCGCCAACAGCCGCGCCACGGCCATCAAGCTTCACAGCCTCGGCGCGCACCTCGCCCTAACGGATCTCAACCTCGACGGCGTGCGCGAAACCCACCGCCTCTGCGGCGGCGCCCAAGAGCACTATGCCGCGAAGCTCGACGTGTCGAGCAAAGACGAGGTCGAATCCAGCATCGCGGCGGTAGTAGCGCACTTCTCGAATCGCAGCATCGACCACGTCTTCAACTGCGCGGGCGTCAACCCGACGTCGTACGCGCTGACGGACACGACGGACGCGTACTGGGCGCTGCTGGTCGACGTCAACCTCAAGGGCACGTACCTCGTCACGCGCGCCGCCATGCCGCACATGACGGCCCCCGGCGGCTCCTTCGTCAACGTCTCGTCCATCTGCGGCCTGCACCCCGTCGCCAACCAGGCCATCTACTGCGCCACCAAGTACGGCATCATCGGCTTCAGCAAGAGCATGGCCCTCGAGCTCGGCCCCAAGGGCATCCGCTGCAATGCCGTCGCGCCGGGCTACATCGATACGCCGACGAATGCCGGCGTGGTCAAGGGGCCCGAGTACGTGAAGAGGATGGAGCAGGGGAATAGCTTGGGGAGACTGGGTACGCCGGAGGAGATTGCAGATGTGGTGGCGTTTTTGATGAGTGGGGAGGCGAGATATATGAACGGGAGCGTGGTGGAGATTGATGGAGGTCTGAAGGCTTAGAAGCGATGGACTGTGTGATTGAGCACTTGATCGATTGAAAACAGTTGCATAGTCATTTTCGGTGTTCGAATTTTCACTATGTTGGAGAATGGAGTCATCGTTAAGGTAGTGTATTTGAGCTAATGATGATCTGTCTAGACTGCGTAGAAAAATGAGTAGTGTTCGACAATGTGGTATCGCAAGAACGTGAGCAAAAAGCAAATTTCAGAAAGGTATTGAGAATCTTAACCTCCCTCCTCAGCCAACAGCTGAATCTTCTATTGCCTCTGCACCGGCTTGAGCCTCGCCATCAGCGGGTGCTTCTCCCACAGCGCGTACACCAGCTGGTTGCTCCACTCCTTACTCTCCTCGCACAGCTCGAGGTCAAAGTGCCATAGGGTGTACGACAGGATCAGCCGCATCTCGTGCCAGGCCAGGTTCTTGCCGATGCAGTTGCGCGGGCCGTACGAGAAGGGCTGCAGGATCGCCTTGTCGTCGTCGGCAAAGCGCGGATCCGCGTCGTCGCCCGTCAGCCAGCGCTCCGGGATGAACTGTTCCGGAAGCGCGAAGTGGCGCGGCGAGTGGTAGGCTGCCCAGTTGGTGACAAAAACGGTGACCTAGGGTTTTCCTGTTAGCTTCGCTCGTTGCCACCTGATTTGGAAAGCAAAGGGATGGGGGCAAAGGGGAATCCCTTACATTTCCGGGAACGTGCTCGCCCTCGATGATGGTACCGCCAGGAGGCGTCAGACGTGGGAGACCACCGGGGACGGGCGGGTAGATGCGCAGGGCCTCCTCCAGGCAGGCGTTCAAGTAGGGGAGCTGGGGCAGATTCTGAAGCGTCATGTCTTGCGGGCTGGCGAAGGTGCCGCGGATCTCGGAGACGAGGCGGGCCATTTTGTCCGGGTTGCGCAGAAGGTGGTAGGTCACACCGGACAACAGGGTGGCGGTCGTTTCGGTGCCAGCGATCATGAAGGTGGTAGCGTTGGCGTGCATCTCGGGCACCGTCAACTGCGCGCCCTGGCCCTCGCCCTTCTCCTTGAGCACGTACGACCAGATGTCTGGCCGATCCGTTTCCACAGCCAGACGGCGGTCGACACGGTCGAGGGCGTATTTCTGGTGCTCCATCTGCTTCTGTCTTAGGCCCGGCAGGACGTAGGGCAGCATGTCGTTGATCTTGGGGAAGTAGAAGCGCAACGTAGTCGACAGGCCGAAGAACTTGACGGCTGCGAAGATGCTGTGAACCCAGGCGTTGTAGGCCGAACCTTCGAGCAGCTTGAGCGGCTCACCGAATGTCAAGTCGGCCATGATGTCGAAAGTGGTGAAGTTGTACATATCGACCATGTTGACCTTGGCGTCCGGCTCGCTCGTGCCCAACTCCAGCAGCTTGGCGACCAGCAACTCGACGTAGCCGCGGAAGAGCGGTTCCTGGTCCTTGAGCGCGCGGTCCGAGAAGGCGTGCGAGAAGATGCGGCGCTGACGTCCATGATCGCCTTCATCAGCCAGGAAGAGGCCCTTGGTACCGGTTGACGGGGGGCCATAGTGGTCCAAGTCCTTGGTTACAGGGGCACCGTGGCCGTGAATGTCCTTCCAGGCCTTGGCAGTCGTATAGCTCAGCTCGTTGGGACTGACGCGCACAACGTCGCCGTAGGTGTCGTGCAGCCACTGGAGATGATAAGGCTCAATACCTCTTACGCGTCCGAGGATGCGAGGCAGCGATGTTGCTGCGCTGAACCACGGGCCCGGGAATTTGCGGAGGGGATGGAAGTAGACATTGTAAATGCCAGTGATGATGAGATATGCAACCTTGGTAGGCGTCAGAATTGAGCGTTGAAATGGAGCGGAGCTTGAGTGCTCACCGTGGCGGCTGTGCCGATGTATATGAGATTTAAAAGCCCCATGGCGAGGGACAAGAAGAGGTAAAGGACGAAGAAGAGGGATCGAGGTATGGGAAGGGACTCGTGGTTATAAAACGGACTTCTTGGTTTGGTATGTCCGGGCTGGTAGATCGCCGAGTCAGACCGAAGGCAACGGCTTCGGTTGCCTTCTCACCCGACATGGCGAACGTGGAGGGATAACCAGGATTTTCCCTCGGCTCTTCGCACGAAAGCTCGAATAGGGATGAGGCTATTACCAAGTTGGGCAGCAGGTGATGGATTAGGAGTCTCCTGAGAGTGTCATGGCGCTAGGGCTAATCTTGCACACGTGAGGATCTGCGTTAACCTTTGTGCATCTTGGCAGCTGCCTTGCGGCTCTCGGTTGGTCAATTGCGTTACGAACGATGTCGATTTCGCGCATGAGGCTGGCAAGGACAGGGGCGCATCGGAGAGCCAGTATCCCGCCGAAGCTTCAGGCCAGCCTTGCTGCCGTCGTGACGAAAGTAGCGCACGGACCATGTGCGCAATGAGGGTCCGGAGATAGCGTCAAGACAGCGGTCGATCATTTTAATTTTGGACGGTGATCCGCTATCGTGTTTTGATGTGCAGCGCAATGTTTCCTCGGCCACGGTGGATGTTGAGTAAATGTAAAAGGAGAAGGAAGCGCCGCGTCACCGTGGTGACACTGCAAACCACAAGGAATAGGCTTGGCAGCAGGCCGGTGGCTGCTGATGCAATATAGACCGGTAAGAAGTAGACTGGGCGCGGCAGACACCAGACGTGCGCGGGCCTGGCGACCGTTAGGAACGACGCGAGCGGCTAAGCTGGCGAGCCATTGGCACGGACCGAGCCGGACCCAGAGTATCGTGAACGTTGAAGGTCCAAGCATGAACCCTCGAGAGAGCCGGGATGCAGTAGCGGCAACGGCGGAAGCCGCAGGAGGGGGAGCTACAGGCGATCCCTGGAGGAGGGGCTCGCGGGGAGTGGACGCGAAGCTGCAACATGTGCCGGAAACGTGTCGGGGCTAGCTGCGCTCGACGTATGCGTGCGTGCCACGCAGCCGCTCCGACGCAAGGCGAGGCTTCGGCGAATCGAGTCGCCCTTGGTTGCTGCCCAAACTCGCGTGGGCGCGCGCATTGCGTTGAAGAAACAGAGCGGCTTGCAACCGCTCGCCGGTGACGCGCCGTGGAACCCTCCCTGCAACTTGACCGGCGAGGGCGCCCTTCACAGGTTGCACCGAGTGTGATGTCTCGACCGAGTCACACTGTCCTGGGGTGGCATTGGCGCGTCTTTATCGCGGCTGGACGAGGCGCGCACACTAGCCCGATGGCTGCCCTCCGCTCGCCTGTCGTTGGTTCTCGTTGGGCCCGCCCAGCCCGGCCCTGCGCCTCTCTGCCCTCCACCCTCCAGCGCCCGACACCTCTCACCGAGTAATAAGCACAACATCTGCCGCCCGCGCCTCCTCGAGACATTGTTTCTGCCGCCAGTCTCGCCCGCTCCGCCATGGCCGCTGCCGCCTTTCCGACCGCATGAACCCCATGGGTACCGCAGATCGACGTCGCACACCATGAATTCCCTGCCGCTGTAGAGTAACCCTTTCCGCAACCTATCTTCAGCTGGAGCCTCCCTTCGCATTGCCTGCTAAAGGCAGCGCGATTCTCAGCCTCAACACCCCACACCACTCCTACCCCCGCCCGCCATGAACCCGGACTCCAACCTTCGCAGGTCCAACATGTGGGAGCGGCTCTCTCTGCACAAACTGGGCGGCTGGCTGAAGAAGGACGAGGCTGGAGCCCCGCAGCCTGAGGGCGACCAGCAAGAGCCTGGTGACGAGAAGTCCCAGGAAAAGCTGAACAAACGCTCGTCCCGCAAGGTGGTGCCCGGCTTGCCCCGGCCAGCCACCTTCAAACGACAGGAGTCCGAGCGACGAGACAGGCTGGTGCCCTACGAACCGGGCCATGACGAGCGCAGAGCCATTTCGTCCGAGCCGCGAGCCCAGTCCGTTGATCGCCAGAGCGTAGGCACATCCAAACGTGCCCACTCTCCCCCACCCAGGTTCCATCATCGCTCCTCCGCTCCCGAGTCCCTAAGCCCCTACGCTTCCGACCCCCATGAGTCGTTCATGCAGCACGGCTATGCCCCACCTAAGCGCAACGATCGACCCGATGATGAAGACACTGCTTCCATGGCCTCCCAAGGCCGCGGGGACTTCCCGCCCCCGCTCTCAACGACCGGTCCGCAGTCGGATAACGATGGCACGTCCGACGGCGTCGATGAGCTGGTCATACAGCAGGAACTGGATGCGAAGTGGATTCTGAACCTCAGCATGCACTTCAGAGACATGTCTGACCGGGAGAAGTTCTTCGTAACTTATGCTGAGCAGCCCAATAGGTGGAGGAGAGTGACCGTGTCTATCGACTTCCGTGATGCTGAACCGGAATCCCTGGAGGCTGACCTCAAGAGTTTACACTACCAGCGGGACAAAAGCGCCCGCATCTATGAAAGCATCCGGGACTCGCTGCCCGACATACAGTTTTACGAGACTGTTACCAACCTGAAGCTGGAAACCCGTGAGGGCCGCCTTCACGTTCACGTCACTGAAGACATGAACGAGATCATCCCCTACCCGTCCGTATCTGCCATCACCCACCTGGATTGCCCTATGTTCCGCGAAAGTGATGTCAACTTTGAGTCTCATTTGTCTGGTTTCGTTTATAAAGTCTCTGTCCACGGCCAGGTCTACATCAAGAAAGAGATCCCCGGCCCTGAATCTGTCGAGGAATTTCTCTACGAAACAAACTGCCTCAGCCGAGTGCGCGGCGCTCATAGCGTCATCCAATTTGCAGGCGTCATTGTCGATGACAGACGCCAGCTCGTCACTGGTCTTTTGATCGATTTCGCCGAAAAGGGCGCTCTTGTGGATTTACTGTACGACTGGAAGAATACTGCCGAAATGACCTGGCCTCGACGGGAAAGATGGGCTAAGCAGATTGTCCAAGGCCTATCTGAGATCCATGAGAGTGGCTTCGTCCAAGGAGACTTCACTCTATCGAACATTGTCATTGATGCTGATGACGATGCCAAGATCATCGATATCAACAGAAGAGGATGTCCCGTGGGATGGGAGCCACCTGAGCTGGCAAGGCTCATCGAAGCAGGCCAGAAGATCAGCATCTACATCGGTGTTAAGTCTGACCTGTTCCAGCTCGGCATGGTCCTGTGGGCGCTCGCTGAGCAGAAGGACGAGCCAGAGCGTGAAGAGCGCCCACTCCTGTGGACCCAGGCCAACAAGCAAGTTCCGGACTACTTCAAGCGTCTTGTCGAAGCATGCCTATGCGAGGAACCACGTGGCAGACCCTCTGCGAAAGAACTGCTCTCCCAGTTCCCTGAGATCGACCTCGAGGCCTCGAGGCCTGCGACCACCTCCAGACATAGTCTGTGCACACATCGCTCGGATAAGGAGTATATTGATCCTCGCACTGCCGTTGGCCGTGACGACATCGATCAACACAGGCGTTCTCCTGAGCGCGACAACCAAATGTCAAGCGTCAATCCGTCGAGCGCTAATCTCACGGATGTTTTCCCTCCTACTGAATATGATGCCCACAGCTCCGGGTCGTATGTTGTGGCACAGCGTCACGGACCAACTTCGGACACAAGGCAAACGCCAGAATACTCCCCTTACGTCCGCGCATCCTCCAATGTGTCACTGAACGATAGTGAGCTAGAGAATGACACCACGTCACTTTCTAGTCAACCTGAAAGGTGGGAACAAGTCTACATCGATGGTGACACACGACTTGTCAATCGTGGTGGCCCACTTGGAATCGATGAGCATGAGTTCCCAGCCCACGAACAAAGCACTGCCTGCATACCAACTCCCAGGGGTGAGCAAACCGATCCATTGCGTCTGGATCTGTCAGAACCCGGACCCGAAGCACACTCACCAGAGCTCGCTGGGATAGGTTGTGACCGCGACCTGCCCCCACCACCATTGCCATTCCTCTCCAACCATCGTGCTTCTTTCCTCGACCGAATTCAGCAACGGAACTCACACAATGTTGATGTGTTAGCCGGATTGGTTCCGCAAGTCCAGGGACTTTATGAGAACAGGAACAACGATCTGTTCTCACGAGATCGCTTCGGTCCTCCAACCCACCAGGATTCTGGATTCGGCGACGGCGACATGGACACCGTTCTTCTCGGACTCTCTTCTCCTGAAACACACCTACCTGATCAAATAGACGATTTCGATCTTGGCCTCGAATCACATGACGAGTTCAGCCTTGAGCGGCCCAGCTGTTCTATACCAGATGACAGAGACAACCTACCATTGGGCCGCCGCACATCAGCCAATACTGTTAGAGATAATCGATCTTCGATAACAACAACCGTTCCCGAGAGCTACAGGCCTGTATTCTCGTTGGATACCGCTTCAGCGTCTCCGCCTGCACATGAGTCGACGCCCGATCTCACCCTTATGGGATTGACAGGGTCTGGTGGAGAACCGCTCGCCGATGAACATGATACTACCATGAATGGCCACACCTCCAGTGCTTCAAATGTTTACGATGAGCATCACGACGGCATGAAGGATCCGCACTTCCACCTCGATCGCTGTGATCACCATCCACTCTCGACCTCTTCGGTTGCGAATTCCGCTGTGTGGTTCCCGTGGATGAGCCGCGCCGAAGGTCAATCCGCGTCTTCTTGAACGTGTATTCATTCAATACCCAAGATTTTGCTATTGAGCTTAGTCTTTCTTGATGCGTCGAGTTGACTTCCCGGGTGTCTTCGCAATGCATTATACCTCTTTATGTTGATGGAATTATTTCCACTCCTGTTCCACGCCTATTTTGCCATACTGGCATCGAGTTTACCGCGATTAAAAATACCCAAACATTGTTGATCTTTTTGTTTGTTTTCACACTTCTCATACCCCATTTTACAAGAAATCCCGTGTTTACGTCTTTACAAAAGTGCTCTAAACGAATTTTTGAAAAAACAAGAAAGTGTGCCGCGAGGTTATGGCAACGGCGTTCGAAAAGGGGTCTGCGTTCCGTTTCATTGTTACACGAAAAGTCTCTAGTGGAGGATAGCGTATGGGTTTGAGTGCAGGGGGTTGGAGTACCGGGATGGAGGGATTAGGAAGTCCTGTAGACTCTGAAAGATGATGATGATGACAACAAAGCTCTTTTGGCATGTGCGTTGTTGGTGCGCGTCGCGTGATTCTAATGCTGGGTTGTGCATGCGTCCGGGGTCTGACGTGGAAAGATTTTCTTACCGCTACAGGCAGCCCAAGTATCCTGCCGGATGCAAATGCCGCTTCGTGAGACGAGGAATACGGCGCGACGGTCCGCGGATCTTAGTTCCCCACCTTGTATATGGTTTTGATAGCGCCAAAGCGCTTAGTGCTTGGCGGAGCTTAATATCATGGGGGTTGCCTTTTCGGGCTAAGGCTGCATGCCATTTTCGGTAATCACACGAGGTTCTAGCGCCATCATTCGCTCCTCATGCCAAACCAAAAGCTCGCACATGCATTGTTTCACGGGTCAAGAACACGCGCTTTTGTCCAATGATTTCATTTTTTGTTTTCTCCAAGACAACATATTTACTTAGAAGGTCCCAAAGCAGAATGAACACACGGGGCGAGATATATTTACAAGATTGCCCACCGTTCTTTTACCACCCTCTTTTTAGTCCTCTACAAGTCCCACCTCGACTTGAGGTGCCTGAACCAGTCCCTGGCCATCCAAGCATCGAACTCAGTGATCTCCATGGCGCTGCCGGCGTTCATGATGAAGTTGGTGACGCCGGTGGGGGTCCAGTCGTAGAAGTCGTCGAGGCCGAGGGTGTGGCCCATCTCGTGGAGCAGGATGTGGATGTTCTCCTCGTCGACGTTCTGCAGCATGTAGTCGGCGCCGACCTGCTGGCCCCAGTCGCCGCCGTAGCCGCCAGCACCATCATCGAGCGTGTCGGACAGCCAGAGCGAGACGTCGTAGCGGTCGGCGTCGCCGCCCGAGCAGCCCGAGTAGTCGCCGTCGGCGTAGTGGATGGCGCGGCCGCACGCCGGGTCGCACTCGGGCGCGCCGTCGGCGTCGAGGTGGCCGGTGTGGACCGTGATGCCCGACGTGTCGCCCTCGAGCAGCGACTTGTCCTTGGTCGCCCAGCCGACGACCGACACGTCGACCGACTCGTACGGGAAGCCGTCGAAGCCGACCAGCGCCGCGCTGACCCACTTGTTGTACATCTTGGAGAGCGCCTTCTCGATCGAGGCGCGCTGCGCTGCCGTCACGCTCTTGGTGCTGTCCCAGCGGACGCAGTACTGGACCTTGCCCTTGGTCTCCATGATGTGGTCGTAGCTGTGAGGGATACATGTCAGTAAACGTAACGATATTGTGAAATGGAACCCAAACTTACCCGTAGTTCTTGAACTCAAGGGCACTGGGGTTCTCGTTCATCTCGTGCTCCCAGACCTCATCCAGACCCGTGGCCAGCGACGAGGGAGGGGACCAGGTCGAGGTCGAGTTCGAGCTAGCACGCTTAGAGACGGCTGGGTTCTCAACGCTCGAGCGAGCCGCGAGGGCCGGGGCGCGGTCGAACTTGCAGATGCCGGGGGCCTCCTGGCTGCCCTGGATGGGGTGCGCCTGCGCGGCCAGGGCGGCGAGAAGAGGAAGGGCGGTAACAGCCTTCATTGTGCTTAAAGTATATACGGAAGCGAAAGAACGGGTCGAGACTAGCTCGGAGAAAGAATGTGGTTTGTGGGAGAATGGATCTTGGGCTGGATCTGACTGCACTGGAGGGTGCTACCGGATATATATACAACGGAAGTGCGAATACGACATTTCCGTAACGGCCTCATGCGGGCGGGGGATGGACAGGAGCCAGAAACATGTTGTGCGTGATGGGTGGCGCGCCGCAGATCATTGTCGGCACGGTAGTAGAGCGTTTCCGTTTCTCTCACAAACGCCAAGACTCCGTGGTGTGGTGTCTCGCCAGTCGCAGCGGAGCGGAAGATGCCATGTCTGGCTAAGTCGGCCTGCTGCGAAACATGTGCTAAGCCATCGAATGGTCTATTCCCGGCCTTGGCGCTCCTATTTGTCTTCTTGGCGCAATGAGCTTTGTTGTTTCAAGGAGAGCCGCCCGGTGGGCCTAAATAGATTAAATACTCCGCCCCGGTTTACTACTGCGCCGAGCGATTGGTCAACATGTAGGCCGACCACCCGTATAAACATAGTGACAGCGATCGATCTGACCTTTGTGGATTGCAAAACACTTTCGCTTAAGAGATGGCGTCAGCGAAGCGACTTGCCGGCGGATGCACTTGCCGACTTTAGAGGTTCTGGAAGGAGAACGGCTTGTGTAAGCTTAAACCCGGCCCGGTAGTATATCGTGTTTGCTTCTCTCATCATGTTTGATCTCCATTGAGCCCCTCTCGTTCCCTAAACAGACCACTTGAAGACTCATGGTCACTTCATTGCAGTCATTGGTCACCCACCCAAAGCAATGTCTTGAGACACGGAGAAACTACTCATTTCTCCGGCTGCGCAGAGCAGACTCACACTGTAGAAGTCAGGCTTTCCAATGGAAGATCTATAGCAGGAGACAGCGGTCCGGCCCCCAGCCGATCAGCTTGGTCTGCAGCATGAGGGGCCTTTGCGGAGACTGTTCGGCCTCAATGGAGCGCCTCATCCCTCCTAACGACCAAAAAGGTTAGGCTCCAAAGTTGTCGGATATTGCTCTCTGCAATACATTGTCAACCCTATCCAGTACTCTCACTGACACGAACAGGGGTAAAATGAATAAATGAAAAAGAGCGAAGGCGGAAAACTCACCCGTCGGACTCTGCCCAGCAGGCGGTGGCAACGCGCCCAGTGGCGTATACACGAAGTCTCCAGCATCATAGACCCAGCTCCAAACCTCACTGTTCAGGTAGGCTCCATTCGAATCAATCAGGTCCCACAGATGGTTGTAAGCTTGAAGCACTTTAGCGTACACGGTCGTGTCATTACAAAAGTCAGGGACGTGAGCGGAGTTGCAGCGGTCAAGCTGGCGAGCAAGGCCTACGGCGAGCATGGAAAGCTGCCAACTCCAAACCACCGTGCCGTGATAGACATTATTGGTGAAGTTTCTGGCGTAAACAGGGTCCCCTCCATATGCTGGGTTCGCTATCAACACGCCGATAGGCGTTGAGAGGCCTATGGGAAAAGGTTGAATTATATGCTCTGCGGCTTGGTCGAGAAATAACGTCAACTGTTCCTGATCAGTAGAGTTGACGAGAAACAATCTCAAGCAGTCGTCGGTGTTCATGACCCTGACGATTGACTGATTGTTGTTACCGTCCAAAGCCAGACCATGAAAGTGAACGTTGGTCGATATGTTATCCAAGTCTACAGGGCCTCCAAACCCAGACTCGACGACATATGACTGAACCAAACTCTGTGCTTCCTCGGCTTCAATGTCGACCTGAACGATTATTAGCTGTGCTGAGTTCTCCGTGCCCAAAAAGCGCTTACTTCGAAGAAGTGTAGGGTTTCATCTTCCCAGACCTGGGCGTATTGGCTGGCCGTATCATGCCAGTCAACGTGGGTAGGGAAGAACCCCTCAGCAGCCAAGGATGCAATAGCTCGCAGTGCTGCAGGGACAAGGGCAGTGTTGACATCATATGGGATCCTTCCGCCGCCAATACCATAGGTGCTATCCCTCCACTGCCCCACTACCTGGTCTTCTTTCAGGTGAATAAGATTTTCTTTCACTTGACCGCCTATGGAAGCAAATGGCGTTGAAATGTTCATGATCTTCTCAGCAGTCATAAGGGCCAGGTCGCCGTATTTGAGACCCTGGTTGCCCGGATTAACCGTTGCTTCGATAGCAAGAAATGCGTCTTTTCGTTGCTGACCGGTGGGACTTTTGACGAAATACTCGTACAGAACGACTGGGAGGAAAAAATCGGTGTCGATCATCTTATAATCATACTGCGGCGCCGTGCTTTTGATGTTTTGTTGTAGATTCAGGTAAGTGGCATAGTCGCCGATTGTTTCTTCGTGGCACACGGTCCCATCCGTGCGGTTGATACGCTCCAGAACGGCACCGATGACGGCTTCGACTGCTCCACCGTCTCCCTCACTGAGAACTGGCCGCAGAAGAAGCAGAGAGATCATGGTGTCACGTCCAAAGTACGTCAAAAATCGCCACGCTCCTGCCAAGAGCTTGTCGGTGTAGGAGAGGAAAGCAAGGGAATCGACTTGGTCAGCATTGCTGGTAATCAACGTCTGGGACGCGTTGTTAAGGACTTCTTGAGGACTGAGCTGATCCAGCTGCGGATAGTCAAAGTATGCGTTGAATACATACTTACCGGCTCCAAAACGCAGAGTCGTGTTATTCACGACAATTGGGGTGCCGCCGTCCGAATCATGCGGCTTAAAGGTGAGGGTAGTGCTTGTCACATTGTCGAGCCAGATCCTACTGATTGAAACGCCACCCGACTCATCATTGGCAATTTGATTTGCATTCTGAATTGTGGGAGAAATAGTGCTGGGTCCTTCAGTGAAATCGCGGATCGTTCGGACGCTACCCAGAATGATAGTGCTTAAGACTGCGGTGGTGTTGAGGAATACTACGCCAGTTACGCCGACTCGAGGAAAGTTGCCGTCGGTGGTTGCAGGGTCATAAATGGGGTCTAGGGCGCGCTGTTTGTCGGTCAAATTCCGCAAAGCTATGGCGAGTGAGCCATTGACTCCATCGGCAGGCAAAAAGAAGGCTACAGCGCCACTGTTACCAGCCGGCCATGCAAACTGGGCAATGTTAAAACCATCTAGACAATCGGAGTTGGGTATGAACCAGTAAGCGCGGGCCAATAACGGTGAGGTCGCTGTCCGGGAGAGGACTTGTCACAACGACCTGAGTACTGCTGTTGCAGTCGGAATATAAGTAGTTCTCATAAGGTGGGTCGCTTAGTTCGAGATAAGTGGCATTGACGGAGCAGCTGGAGGATTGTGCAACTGCAAGCAGAAAATGGATTAAAGCATAGATTATGGCCAGCATGGTGGGATCGAAGAATCCGGCGAAACAAAAACGGTGGTTGTTCTATGAGGTGCGAGAAGGGAGTGGTACTTGATGACTTCTGGGACAATGCGAAGCCACGCACTTGGCATGACACAGGTGGACGGCGCGAGCAGCGTCAACGGCGTCCAACAGAGCAGCCAACAGTAGGCTGAAGCATGGCGGGGCAAAGCGGGGTCGAGTGTTGACGAGGAACAGGGATAGCCGACGGAGAGGGAGCGGCGGCGGAGGCGGAGGCGGAGGCGTCCGAGCGTTGGGCGAGAGCGGAGTGGCTTCGGTGGGGAAGCTGGGGACCGTGCAATGTCGTCATCGACGCGAATAAACTCAGCACAGCTCAGGAAAGCACGATGGAGTATTGCGTGAAGCAGCGACGCGCAAAAGCCGGTGCCTGCCGAGTGCGACGGTCGCAAGCCCGATGTTTCCCGGTGCAAGGATTCTGCATCTCCGCTCTCGCCGATCCACACCACCTCCTCCACCTCCATCAGCCGCCTGAGCTTCGTTCGCAACCCAACATCGCCCACTATGTCGCCGCCAGTCCCTGCCTTCCTTGAGCCTGTTCCGGTTTCCATCCGCTTGGCCCAGGCCGTGGGCATCACCGCTTCAGCCTTCATGTGCGGTACGCTCAGGCGACAGTGGTGACCTTGGACGAGGCTGCTAATACTCACCAGGCCAAAGCGCCGCGGCCTCCTTCCTGCTGACTCCCAGCCTGCTTGAAGCCCCCGCCCCGCTTCTCGCACGCCAGTGGCTCAAAGCTCGTAACATTTACATGAAGATCAATCTGCCCTCTGTCGCCGGATCCGTTGCTCTGTTTGGCTGGCTGGCTTCACGAGGTACACCAAATACCACTACCGATAGCATGATTCATGCTGACATGTCACTTACAGAACTCCCGGATAGCATGCCCCGCCAGCTATATACGGCCGCCGCTCTCCTCTACTTCGCCAAGATCCCCTACAGCTTCCTCTTCCTGCACCCCACCGACATGGCTCTGCAGGCCAAGGCAGCATCTTTCGCTACTACAAGCACTGTGGACACTGCTGCTGAGGTCGGACTCGCGAAGGAGGAGACCACCCACGCTCTGGCTGACAAGTGGGCCACAATCAACCTCGGCCGCGCTATTCTCGGCTTCACTGGCGCTGCCTGCGCCGTTTGGGCCACGCTAGGTCGGGTTGATGTCATCAGGTACAGATTGTAATCCACCTCGGGTCTTTTGGAGAAAGCGCTAGGCTTTGCAAACACAAATTGAATGCACGCGGTCAGTCTACGATGGGGGCAGCGGTTTTCCTCTATCGGAAACTTTTCTCTTCCTCTCCACAAATTTTGACGGTGGGCCTTGGTATGTATATAACTCTTGATTCCCCAGTCTGGTTTAACTCGATAAATTCAAACACGCATGCAACGACGGCATCGGGGCTAGAACCCACCGACACGCCGACTCCCCATGCGTTAGTCCTGTGCTACAATGCAGCACGCTAACGTGTCTGGCTGAAATTTCCTGCAAGCCGCAATCCTTGATCTCAGAGCCAATCTCGCTCTTGCCTTTCTAGGGACCTGTACAACAGCGCTAATACACTGAATACTCACATTGAAATTTGTAGCTCTCTGCAGGCACATGTTATCTCCTCTCTGAGCAGGAATGAATACGGAGAATGCCCAATCAGTTTCTTGCCGGTTGAAGATGAACGGAAGCAAGCTGTATACACAAAGCTTGGCAAGAGCTGAAAAGTGAAACTGCCACCAACAAGACAATCGATCTTGGCAGGGAGCCTTCGACAGATAACTCAATCTTGGCAGGGCTGGAATACGAGTGTTTTGATCTGCCTACTGGCTACAACTCCCCTTCGCTTTGACTGAAATAGTGATTTGCGGGGCCACAGACGTCTACGGTTACACGGTGCTTAACGGGCTTCATATCTGGTCCGCACTTCTTCCACACCAGAGATGGTTCAAATCCTACCAGACTCTATTCAACGCACAGTAGCGTCCTTGGCAACCATCATGCAGTGCTGGAGCTGAGCTGTCATGTAGAACAATGACGGATGAGCAGCCACTTATTCTGTCGTACGGCCCGCAAGGAAGACTTGTTACTATCAGCTTGAATTCCGCAGACCAGCCAGGTAAAGTCCCCAATATCGCCACTGGAAAGGGTATAAAGAGCTCCCCTCAAACGATCAACTCGAGGTAAATTTCTCCCATCACTTTGTCCCATCATCAGGATTTGCCCTCCAATTATCCAGGCCAGGCTTGAATCATAGGATCACAGCAATTCATCATTCAACCATGCACGTCTCAACCATCCTCTCCCCACTCCTCTTCCTCCTCCCCCTAACCACTCTCGCCAAGCTCAACGGCCCTTGCACCGGGGCCGCCAACAAACCGGGCGTCTGCATCAAGACCAGCTCGTGCACCTCGGGCGGGGGGACCTACATCTCTGGCGCATGCCCGAACGACCCGAACGACGTCAAGTGCTGCACCAAGGCGTCGTGCGGCAGCGGCGGCACGTGCAAGTTCGTCGACAAGTGCGAGTCGGGCTCGACGAAGGCCGGTCTCTGCCCGGGGCCGAGCGACTTCAAGTGCTGCCTGCCCAAGTCCGGCGGGGGCGGTAGCGGGTTCCCGCCGCCGAATATCCCCGGGGTCGGGGCGTGCAAGAAGGTGGCGGTCGAAGGGGCGAAGAAGATCGTGGCCAAGAACAAGGGCAAGGTGCGCGAGATTGGCTGCGTGCGGAACTGCAAGTGCGGGGCCGCCGGGGCGAGCGATCATTGCTGCGGGTTGGCTATCGATCTGATGTGCTCGAAGGCTGCTGGTGTGAGTTTTTTCTGGTGTCGTCATTCCCTCTCTCTTGTCTTTTTCAATCTTCCCTTTTCTTCATCATTTACAGCTTCTCCTCTTTTTCAGGAATGGGGTATGGGTGTGCTGATACCGATTCGTGGTGGCATAGGTCAAGACCGATCAAGGCAAGAGCATCGCCGAATGGGCGATGCGCAACCACGGCAGCCTCAAACTCACGTACGTCATTTTTGGCCAGCGCATCTGGAACCCGTCGCGTGATGCGGTTGGTCCATGGAGCGGCTGGAGGAAAATGGAGGACAGGGGCAGCGTGACGGCGAATCATTGGTAGGTGTTTGCTCACTACATCTCCCTCTCTTGACGAGTGGTAGGATTTCGATGACGCTGATTGGAAGCTTCAGGGACCACGTTCATGTTAGCTTCAAAGGCTAGGGGGTGCAAACCTTTGGTAGTGTGGAGATCCGTTCGTGCTCATTGACGATTGCTTGGACTACGAAACTTCCATTCGTTTGATGCACCGCTTGTCAATGCAGAAAGGGGGTATCACCTTTTGCTGTTCAAGGGATGGGTGAAGATATTACGGCCAAAATATCTGGATTTTTGAAATGAGAGTACTATTTACAGGAGCATGTATTTACAGGCGAGGAAATATAATGATCTTCCACAATTTAGTTGACAGGGGCGTCAGCGTCATGGTAGTCGGTCAAGTGAAGAAGCTTCTTGGCGTTCTCGCGACCGATCTTCTTGTAGTTCTCGATGCCGCCACAGGCCTCGATGACCTCCTTGGCCTTGCCGTCCCACCAGGCGCAGCAGTTCTCGATGGTCTCGTAGGGGAAGTCGACGCTGAAGAGGATGCGGTCGGCGCCGATCTCGCGGACGACGTACTCGAGGGTGTGGGTGGAGAAGTGGCCGCTGGTGGTGACCCAGATGTTGTTCTTGAAGTAGTGGTAGATGGACTGCTGGCAGATGCGGTCGTAGCCCTGCTCCTTGGCCAGCGGGCGCTCAACGTCCTCGAGCCAGTGGTTGATGCGCCAGAAGTCGAAGGGCAGGTGCTCGCCCATGTGGCCGACAATGATCTTGAGGTTGGGGTTGCGGTCGAAGACGCCGTTGACGATGAGGCCCATCAGGTGCAGGTTGACGCCGTTGGCGAAGGACAGCGGCGGGCCGATGAGGAACTTGCGCTGGGCGTACAGCTTCTCGTAGATGACGCCCGAAGGGGCCGCCGGGTGGATGTACAGCGGCACGTCGAGCTCCTGGCACACCTTCCAGAAGGCGTCGTACTCGGGGGCATCGTAGAAGAGGTACGTCTCGCCGTCAGGGCCGGCGTGCTGGAAGTCACAAACCAGAGCGCCGTGGAAGCCAAGCTCCTTGACGCAGCGGCGCAGCTCCTGGCCGGCCTGGACGGGGTCGTGCATGGACAGACAGGCGAAGGCGCCCAGCTTCTTGGGTTGGGCCTTGACCTTTTCGGCGACCCAGTTGTTGACCTCGGTGGCTCTGCGCTCAGCCTCGGCCTTGTCGAAGATTCCCTGGATGCCCGGGACCGTCAGAGAGCAGATGGTGTAGCCAATGCCGTGGGCGTCGGCCAGGCGGACACGCTCGTCGTTGATGTCGGAAATCTGGCGCATGTAGCGTTCGCGGTCGTTGGGGTGGATGTACAGCTTGGCCTCACGCATCGACTTGGCCTCCATGCCGGCCATCTCGTAGGCTTCCTCGAGGGCGATCTTTCCGAGCATTTTGGCGTTCGTTTCTGAAAGGCTTGATTGGATGAAGTGTTGGTTTCCTGAGGCTCTGAAGGAGTTCTTGGGAAGTGGTGATGATGCTCTGGGACCTGCTCCAGAAGGCCATCTTTATACCACGCCGACAACGCGGTGGACCTCCTGATGAATGGCAACACATTCTGCTACATCTCGACACCTCGCTGCTCGCTGTCTGTTCGCGGGGCCTCGTACGAGGCAACTGGAGGGGTACTGTGGCCTCCAGCGGGGGTGGATTGACGTAATCACGAGATATTCAAGGTGGCTTTGGCGCAAAGAGGCTCCTGAGCGGGATCGGCCCGAGATGCAGCAAAGCTTCGCTCTCTTGGATGTTCCGGCGCGGCCCGATCTCCAGCAGGGAGAGGGGGATCATCCAATGCGGTGTCGGCGTTCCGGGTCAGGATCCGTTGAAAATGAGGCCACACTCTCGAGAGAAGTCGGGGTCGGGTCGCAGCTAAGACCACAGGGTGGGTCGACATCCACGTTCAGGAGAAGAAGCAGCTAGCGTGATTCCCGATGGGGCAATTCGAACGTCACGGTTTGCTCCGTGCGCGTGCTTGGTGTTGCTTGGAGCAGCTTCTGTGGAGAAGCAGACATCGTCCCCAGACCTCGGCCGAGGTGCCGAGCGCGTTGACGCTGCGCATTCGTCGAGAGAGTCGGAAAAGCCGAGATGCTGGAGAACATGTCGTGATGGAGATGAAGAGTCGCGATGCGGTGCACCAGCCGACACCCGAACCTTCGATCCGCTCCCAGATCCGACGCCACAGACACACCCGGAGAGCTCTCCGTTCTTTGCCTCTTTCTTCCCGCCAGCTCCCTGCATCTGCACAGCCACGGCATGGTAGTCTTCGTCACTATTCTGCACGCTTAACAAGCTCTTCCTTGCTACCAAGGCGATCCGGGAACTCCCGTAGCTAGTCTGCTCACTGCATGGAAGTATGTCGCCGCCTCTGTCCCTGCATACGCTTGTGTAATCCACTGCCAGTGGCCAATCTACATGAGTACTCTTTCCATTCCATCTCACTTACGTAACGTCTTGAACCTTTGCTCACAAAATTCGCGCAACATGTTGGCCAACACCAAGAGAAAGCGAGCGAAGTATTGTGGGACCAAGCAATTATCAGTGTCGATACACCTTGCTTCCACTGGCCACGGGCAGCGTCTTTACTGCATACACTTGTCGTAACATCTAGCGGGGCTGAAAATTCCATGATGCAATTGCTGGTGGCAACCGGCGCTTGGCACGTTCTGCTTTCTCCTCGGCCTCGAGACATTTCTCTTCTCGCTACGAGTTAACCACCCAAGTTTTATTTCCAACTTGAGTCGGCCCGTCACCATGAACCGTCTTTCGTAGTGCACAGTACATGTGTTGTCGCCGGCAGCCACGGCACATTAGCACATGTCCCTAAGAGATTCGTCTTTCTCAGACGTGTTTTAGATTAGACGCCTAAGAAGCACCAGCAAACTTTCTTCATGTAGAGTCTAAGAAGCATGTCGGAAAAGTCCGCAAAATCGGTAGGAAGGAAGGAATCACTTTCCCCTGTTCCTACAGCACAGTACTAAGGACTAGATAAATGCGTAAGTAGGACTTCAATGTTCGGATTTAGTTCGCTGATAGGGGGCAGAGGGACAGCACTTCCTCGCCGAGATGAGCAGCACCCCCATGCAGTCGATCACCTAGCTCGGCCGAGCCTATTCTATCTACCACCTCAGGAGCTTACCACGTTTCACTACAACCCAGACGGATCCTGGTCCGGATCTTTCCGCAAACGTTTCCATCACATGCCTTATCCTTCGAATCAGTGATAGCTCCGACTTTCTACTCCTCACTTATCAGCATCGTGATCCTTATTTCCGGCACCGGTCCATACCCTAATTCAACATTCGCTGCAACCATGACTTGTCGAACGCAGGGTGATGCTTATCTATCCTATCTACGCCGGGCCTCGACCACTAATTACAGACACTCGCCAGGAATCTCTTCCGTGGCATTCACCACGAGCCGGCTCAACTCACTTCCTCCGCACTTCAGTCCCTTCACGAACGCCTTGGCTGCCACGTCGGCGCCCTCGGGCTGCGTGTGCGTGTGGTCCATCAGGAAAAAACCATCTACCACCTCCTTCCCCAGCGTCCTAAACACATCCGCCTCGTAGCGCCCGTGATTGACAAACGCCGCCCTCCCTGCCACCTCCCCTTCCAGCACCCCGGCCACGTTCTGCGCGTATCCGACGAAGATCGGCGGCGTGTAACTAAAGCTGCCCGTCTCCCACGGGTTCGTGGGCGTCATGGTGCTGATGACGACGCTCGCCCCCTTGGCCAGGAAGGACCGCGCCGCCCGGAGCATGTACCAATTGTACGTGTGCACCACGACGTCGGTGCCGTTGTAGAACGAGGCGCATGTTTCGTCGCCCTGTCCCGGGCATGCCGGACGCCCGTTGTCCGTGTAGTTGGCCGTGCCCAGCTTCTCGCCGCCGCCGTCGTTGTGGCCGAATTCGATGATGACTTTTACACGTTAGGCGTTCCATATTATTTCCATACAGCCTGATGTTATCTTCTCTTTCACTTTTTCTTATACAACATTCCCATCCATTATTCATACACCGCCGAGTTTTTTTTAATTCTCTTTTTCAAAGAAAACGGTAGAAGGATTGAAGTGTAGGCAATTGGAAGGAATGCTCACCAAAATCACCAGGAACTAGCGCCGCCTCAATGGCCGCAAAGCGGCCCTGATCGGTGAAGGAGCGCGCGCTGCGGCCGGCAAATGCCTTGTTGACCACAGGAACGGAGAGCGAGTATTGCAAATAATGGCCCCATCCTATCCGTACTCGAGAGAAAAAAAAAAGTCAGTCATGCATGACTCGAAGCATTGAAGACGAGACCATTCTTTTCTCTCACCTTCAGTCCCATTCTTGCCGCCTTGTTCCGCCATGGTCGAATCACCTGCCAGGTACACCGTCGGCGTCGCGGCGGCTTGACGGGGGCCAGGAGGCAGCGCCGCCGCTACCGCTGCCATGCAGGCGGCGACCCACGCGGGTGATAACGTGCTAGTGATAAGCTTCATCGGGATGCCGCGCGATAGCCGCGATCACAGTATTGGTACAGTAAGACGAGAGAACGGTGGAGATAAGGCGTCCAAAGACAAAGTAAGACGGCAACATGCGCGATGCTCTTGGCGATGAGATCTGGAAAGACGATTCTTCAGATCGGATCCCTCCATTCTGCCCGCCGTATAATAAAGATACATTGAGCGCCTCCAAAATCTGCTCGGGCAGTATTGCTGCGGCGGCTCGCGTCCATCTTAGCCCGAGCGTGTCAGTGTGAAGAATCGCCTGGGTCCACCAATGGCGGGTTCGGCTGGGTATTGTTTGGGGCTGGTGAATAGCCGGGATATGTGGGGACGAAGCCTTGAAGTAGTGCGCGCTAACGCCCACGTGAGCATTTAGCCAGCCAACCGGCCGGGCGACCGGGCGCATTGGGTGCGATAACTTGGTTATTACGAGGATTGCGGGGTTTGGCGTGCGGGGATCCGACGCGCCCGTAAACGGACTGCGCTTTCGTTGCTGACGTTGCGAACGCCCCGAAAAACATGCGAAAAGGATTCGGTGCCTGGTTTGATTTGAGTTTTGCATCATGTATCAGTGCAGAACATCCTAGGCCCCAAACAGTAAGTCGCACGACAGAAAGTAAGGCGCGTGGCTTGCCAGACACGTTGTGGCTGGCCTTATGCAGTCAGCCTAAGGGGGAAACAAAAAAAAGTAAAAACATGTAAAGTGGCGCCGTGGCGCAGTGCTCCAAACCACGTGGCTGGCGGATTTATTCGTGCTCTTAAACTCGTTGGCAGCGTTATTTCGTGTCCTCCGGTCCTTCCGTCTCTACAGAATGTACCTGAAGCCCTTCCTCTGGTTACCGTTCTCCGCGTCGTCGCCAACCGTGCCCTCCAGAATGTCGAGTTTCTTATTCTCATGTCTCAACCAGAAACGTAGCGCGACTGATGAAACGCACCCGAGGCCGCAGAAGAGTGCCAACGTTATGCCCGCGCGAGCGTACCGCGGCTTGTCTGAGTCGGGATACAGGTATGACGTAAACAAGTGTGTCGAGTTTCCCATGATGTTTACCATGGCCAGAGCCGCTGCACGCTTCGACCTGGGGCGAGGGATCTAGTCTCATGTATCAGAAACTGCACATAGCAAAAGGTCTCGGAGTGCTTACCGTCGCAGATACCCACGAGTAAGTGACGTTGAACGCTGAATACACGCCGAAAGTCATCTACAAAGTTGCTACATTAGCATTGCTGAGCTGGAGATTGGCCGGGAATACCTACCAAAAACATTGCGAAGTATCTCCCAGCAGTTGCCGTAATGGTGATGCACAAGATGTTTCCGATCATGCTGATGGACATCGGCACGGCGACGTGGAAGGCTCGCTCGTTGGTCTTGCCGGCGTGAATAGAGTTGCCAAGGGATCCAAAGAATGCGAGAGCATAGGGAGGTGCGGTAAGGAGCAAGGTAACGACCTTGTTGTAGCCGAGAGTCTTGACGATGGACGGGAAGAAGTAGGTCTGCCAATACTGATTAACCTTTGACGGGAGAAACCGAGACGCGACAGCACTTACGTAGGCCATTCCAGTGTTCAAGGAGAATTGAATCAGAATGAGCATGTAGACCTTGGGGTCCTTGAGCGCCTGAAGGCCGCCGTACCACACCGACTTGCCGTCTTCTCCGTCATCCTTACCGGCAACCTCAACCGAAAGGCGCCAGATAGCGTACTCCCTCTCCTCCTCAGTAAGCCACGTCACATCTACGACATGTCAGTGAGCCCTTAGTAGCAGGTCGACTAGGGGGGTTACCCTTCGGATAGCTCGGCAGCACGAAGCCAGCGATGATTGCAATGAAAATAGTAAAGCAGCCCTCGAGGATAAAGAGCCAACGCCAGGAGTGGATTCCAGCAGCGTCGTTCATGCCGCCAAGAACACCCGCAGCAATAAGCCCACCAAAACAGTTGGAGATTGTGTTACCAGCGTACAAGATGGCAATCCTAAAGGGAAGCTCGTCCTTTTGGTACCAAGACGACAACATGAGCAGAGCACCAGGGCTATTCTCATGGTTAGCACCTGCGCTGGACTTTAAAACCAACAAGCAACTCACAAGAAGGGTGCTTCGGCAAATCCCAGGAAGAAGCGAACTGCCAGAGCCTGTGCAAAATTATGCGTGGCCGCCATGCAGGTGGAAATAGCGCCCCATAGTACGGCCGCGACCGAAAGGTATAGTCCAGGCCGAGGGAAGTTGGATAGGATGATGTTGCTGGGAAATTGAAACAGCAGGTAGCCGACGTACATGATCATCAGACAAGTGTTGTACTGATGATCTGTCAGTTTCAAGTCATCTTCGAGACCTCCGAGGCGGGCGTTGGTGAAGTTGTTGCGATCCAGAATGCTGTGGGGGCGGTCAACCAAGACTCGGTCGATATCTTTGCGAGGAAGACGTACTTCAGCAGAAAGAGAATAATGAGCATGGGCATTACTCTGAAATCGACCTTGCGCAACATCTGCTTCTTCAAGGCGGCGACTTCTTCGTCAGTTTTTCCCCGAAAGTTCTGGTGTGCCAAGCTATCCTGCTTGTCGGAACCAGAATCCTTAAGGTCGTCGATCATCGTGGCCGCAACCGCGTCTCCTCCCTTCTTGTCGGTCATGTCTGGTACTGATGGCGTGTGGTGATGCGGGGAGGACAGGGTCGAGCTGAAGGCTGTTTGCAGATGGACAGAGCCCCGTCGTGAACAGCTCGTCAGGCGTGTTATAGATCTTGCACATCGACAGTTCCGACAGTCCCCTCAGGCGGAAGAGGCACGAGGCGCTCTTGGCTGCCCAGATTGGGTGTGGTCACCGTCGAGGCTCACAAACAAGAGCGGTCGGCAGGCGTGGTTCGCACCACGCTTCCCCAGATTCCCTGGCCCGCCGGCACTTGCAGCGAATCAGAAGTGCGGGCAGCAGCGGCGAAAGCCGGGTCCGTCGTCCGCCCCGGATTCGCGGCCGGCCCCCGCCCCAGGCGCATCTTTTTCCGCCGGCGGAAAAGGACCTGGCGGAGGCTGGCACGGCGGAGCGCTGAGCATCGCGGTGAGTGAGGGCTGCGGTGGCGGTGGAGCTGGCGTTTGCACGCGCGGGAAGGGCCAGAGGGCGGGCGTTGGGAGAGGGCAAACTAAATTGTGGGGGAGCGGTGGTCTGCAGGCGAAGTGGTACCGAGGGCCCGGCAGACATACATCAGAGTTGAGGCAGAGATTGGGAAAGGGAGCAGAATTGGGCAGCTCGATTGGCCCCCGCACGGCGACCATCCTTATCCGCCGCCGCCGCCCGTGGTTGGGATGGCGAGGTCCGGGGAACGGGGAGCTCCCCGCATTTGCAGGGGGCTTGGTGCGAGAGAGCAGCGCAGTCCTGCGTGCGGGGTCTCCACAGGCTGGCAGCGGCGGGAATCCGACGTCTTCGCGACGCGGAAACCGCAGGCGGCGGATCGGCGAAAGAACGCGCTTCTCCGCGGCAGGGGGTGGCGTCGCTGTATTTAAGCGCGTCGGCCGCCGGCACGCCGTTCCCGTTGCGTCTTTTCGTGCGAAAGGCGCAGCCCACGCCGCACCCCTCGCGTTTGCGCCTTCCGTTCGCCATGCCAACGCCGCTGCGCCAACGCGGCGCAGACTATATCATGACGACGCGCGCCGCCGGAAAGTGCAAACGACCGTACGCGAGCACGGCACAGCAGCGGCGCGGCACTGGGCGGACGAATGCGCGCGGGCCAGCCCCCTGGTGCCCGAATTCTAGAAGGGCGCACGCGAGATGCTAACGGCAGAGCTGCCGGGGGCACAGCAGGGCGGGCTGGTGCAACGTAGCACCAGCAAGCGCTCGCCAATGCTTGCGGCTGCTCGCTTGCACCAGGAGGGCAGCTGCGCGCAGCACCTACTTATCGCCGCAATGACGATCGCCGGGCGACAATCAGCAGACGGCCGTACGAGGCAGCGCGGCCGTCCGTTTCATCAGCACGCTTGTTTCGGGCGCGCGGGTGTCGCAGGCCCTGGGCGCATGGCAACTGCCGCCGGCGAGCGCCGCAGCCGGCGGCTTGCACGTGACGCGGCTGTTCCTGCGGAGCGCGCGCGGCGTGGGCTGCGGCTTGGGCGTGCGAAGCGTGGGCTTGCCAGGCCTGCGCGCTGGCGGCGAAAATGGCTCGCGCTCGCTCGGTACTTGGCGGCTGCCGTCCAGAAGCAGCGCTATCTCCGCCAACCACGGCGCACGCGAACCGCCACTGCAGCAGCTAGCAGTCGCGCCTCTTGCCTATCGTGCCGCGGCCGGCTGAACCTAGCAGGTCCCATTTATAGGTTGACGTCAAATTGCCCCTTTCCAGCCACTGGTACGGCGTATAAGAGCCCACGATCGCCCCTAGCCCTCCTCCTGCGCGGAAGCATGCGGCAACCAATGGCCATGCACGTCAAACTCTGCTACAAATAGTCCCCCTATTTCGCCAGCCCTACGCTCCAAGCTCACGTAAGTGCTTGTCGATCGCTGCGTCCTCAAAGACCCGAGCCGATCCCGGACAAGGTCTCATATTTTCCACTCTCAGATCCCCAAGCGCGCCCGAGCCCGCGACATGTCTGATGGGGGCTGTGTAGGCCTCATGCGAGCCGCCGACAACTCCTCGAGCGCGCTCCATGCTGCTGCTGGACCATCCGTCTGTCTCCAGCAGCGCGGACTCCACCACAGCGTCGCGCCCTCCGGCATCATGGCGCGCCCCGCCGCCCTTCTGTGTCTTGCCGCCCTCGCCCTCGGCCTGTACTTCGTCGCCCACGCCGCCTCCAAGCGCTTCCGCCAGCTGGCCCAGTTCCCGGGGCCTTGGTGGGCCGCCCACTCGCGCTGGTGGCTCGTCCGTGTAGTCAACTCTGGCCGCTCGCCCTACACCTTCGTCGATGTCAGCAAAAAGTACGGCCCCATGGCCCGCATTGGCCCCAACCACCTTCTCACCACCGACCCCGACTTTGTGCGCCGCATCCTGTCCGCCCACTCGCGCTACACCCGCGGGCCCTGGTACGACTCGATGAGGATCGATCCGCATGTCCCCAACATCGTCTCCGAGCGCGGTGTCGCCAAGCACCACAAGCTGCGCTACCAGATGAACGCCGGCTACGCGGGCAAGGACATCGAGGGCGTCGAGGCCGCCGTCGACGAGCGCCTCATGCACTTCATCGACACGATTGAGCGCCGCTGGGTCTCGCACCCGGGCACCACCAAGGTCTTCGACATCGCCAAGCGCATCCAGTTCTTCACCCTGGACATGATCAGCCAGCTGTGCTTCGGCCGGAGCCTCGGCTTCGTCGAGGCTGACGACGACGCCTTCAAATTCCAGGCCACGGTTGAGTGGCAGATGCCCATCGTCGGCCTGTTTTCCGTCATTATCGAACTTAGCCACCTTTACTACTTCCTTTCCAGCATTCCGTTCATTCGAAGAGTTATTGTTCCCTCGGCCGGCGACAAGATCGGAATTGGCCCCATCATGGCGGTAAGGCATTCCTCTGCATTCCCGGATTGGCCCCAACTGTTCTGACCGCCCACTAGATTTCCCGCGAAGTGATCAACGAGCGACTTGCCCCGGGCGCGGAACAAAAAAAGGACATGCTTGGCTCGTTCCTCAAGCGCGGCCTTACCCCAGATGAGGTCGAGACGGAAATTTCGATATCCCTGTACGCTCCTGCATTAGCGAAATTTCCTTTTCTGGTCGCTAACCCTTGCTCTTAGCATTGCCGGTTCCGACACCACGGCCACTGCCATGCGCGCAAGTCTCCTTGCCATCATTTCCAACCCCCGCGTCTACTCGCGTCTGATGCGAGAGATCGACGACGCAATCGCCGCCGGAAAAATCTCGTCTCCTATCCGCGACAGCGAAGCCAGGAACCTTCCTTACCTTCAGGCCGTCATCAAGGAGGGCCTTCGCCGCTTCTCTCCTATCACTCAGCTCCGCGAGAGAGTTGTTCCGCCGCAGGGTGACACGTTCGACGGCAAATTCATTCCTGGCGGTACTTTCGTCGGCATCAATTCCTGGACCATTCAGTGCCATCCCGTGTATGGCGACGATCCCGAGGTCTTCCGGCCGGAACGCTGGCTCATCGCCGACGAAGAGCGCTTGAAGCAAATGACGCAGATCCACGAGTTGATTTTTGGCTGGGGAACCACGAGGTGTCTCGGTGTTCCCATCGCCCTGATGAACTTGAACAAGATCTTCGTCGAGATGCTCAGGCGCTACGACATCGAGGTCATAAACCCCCACAAACCGTGGCACAGCGAATGTTACGGCATCTTCTTCCAACGGGATTTCAACGTCCGCATCTCTCACCGGCAGGCCGGTTCCGCGTAGAATTCGAATGAATCCGTAAAGACTTCATTTGTTGGGTAACCTGAGATGGACGCTTCGCTTCTCAACGTCTTTTGTTTATTTTTCCTTTCTTTGGTGGTTAGCGCCTTCACTGCTCCCACAATTTCCTTGTCATTCTCCGTTTTTTATTTTTTCCCCTAGATGCGTTTTTGTAGCATCAGTCACCCGGAGAAGACACGGCGTTAAAAATTTCCTTTACTGTTTTTGGGTCGAAAATACCACGGGAGAGATGAAGGAAGGACATAGAAAAAGTAATTCCTTGGGTCTGGGCGGGGTTATACGGGTTTCGCGCCACTAATCTGAGGGCGTGAAAGGATGCAAAAGGGTGGTGGTTGGGTGGGTATCTGGTTTTTTTTAGGTTTCCTTTCTCCTTGCAGTCATGGCCACAGTACAGCACCGTACATACCTCTTTTCCTTTTTCTTTACAAGTTTGGTCCTTGGCTTTACGCTAAAGTACGAGCACCCTCTCCATCCCTAGTGTCTACTGATCTCCTTACATCTCTCCTCACTCAGTCTTACCTTTTGGTTTCCTATATTTTCCTTTTGGTCCCGTTTCCTTTTTTTTTTTTTTGAGTTTTACAGCGTATACACCCCTACTAGTTTGTGTTTCTTTTTGTTGTTTGCTTGCTTGGAAGCTGAACGCATTTACAGCCGTCTGTAGAGGACGGGAAGACGAAGACTCATTCAGTCGTAACAAATGCTCATGGCTTGAACTACCTCCAAAATTTGCTTCCTGAGCATACTTGCTCGCTTGATTCCATCCATGAGATTAAGAGGTTCACCGTACTCTTTGGTGCTTCTGCCATTTTCCTTGGCCACCATCTCTCAAGATGATTGAGACCATGAAAATTGTCGTTCAAACAAAGTTGGCCCCCAATTCTACATGCATGCACGCATCTTCAAGGGCCCGCTCTCCCCGCCTTGAAGATCCGAGAAGGAGTAGGCGCGCGTGTATGTAGGAGAAGATTCTTGGCGCCACCAACCCCGCTTTTGTCCCTTTCACTTCCCCCGCTCGTAAAGAAGACGGTTAGTTCCTTGCACGAAGATGGTGGTGTGACGATGGTGTGTGAGCATTAGACCAATCAGAGCTACGGTGTTTTCCTGGAGGTGGACGTTGCGTCGATATTTGGTGGTCAGTTCCCCAGGATCGACGACGGGATTTACGGGGTGGGGTGATGATTGGTGCAGATCTTGATGTAAGGATTGACGGACCCTTTTTTTTTCTTTTGTCTGCTCTCCTGTGTCTTTAGAGAAATGATAGGCGGCCTTCGTGATTCTCTGCTTTTCCTTTCCCCTTTCTCCCCTTCTCTGTTCTTGGCTGCCGTCATTTGGTACCTTCGCTCGCAAATGCCGAAACATACGGGATTTTTATTTATCTCCCGACTCAGGGGATTGCGTCATGAGCGGTTTATATACGTGAATACTATAATAGTTGTGTTGTTAAGAGAGACGGATTTATCATCCCCTCGGTAATGGGGAGAGGACCGGAAGACGTCGGAAAAAGCTTCGTCACGACGGACGCTATCTCATCACGAACTGCACCAAGGGCTGAGACATTGACGCAGCTTGCAACAAGTGGATAGGTGCCTTGAAACAGAGACACAAATCCGTTTGTATTTACCAGCTGGGGAGGCGGAGCGTGTTCCGGGTGCAATCTTGGGGTTGACAGCCCTACGCATTTTTAGAGTCGGCGCTAGCTCCTTAGCTACATGCAGCGCACGATGTTAGCGCAAAAAGGACACAGCCGCTCGGCGTGACCGAACTGGCGGGAAGGCGACCAACAAAGGGGCCGAGCAACGAAAGGGAAAAAACGGCACATCTCCGCGTCGCGTGGTAGATGGAATGTGCCGCGGAGGGTGCCCTAGGAGAAGGTTGCATCCGCACCCTCAACGATCCTGTGCCAAGAGACGGCAGGTGAGAATCATGTGGCCAACGATTGGAAGGAATCTCATTTCACGACGATGGGCTAAAAGGCCCAAGCATGCCAGGGACTTGCCGATGTCACTGTGGCGGAAGGAAGGGTGGGGGGTCGACGGCTTGCGCGCGTTTCCCCAATCGGGAAACGGGAGGAGAGCCACTCAGCCCAAAGGATCCAGGGTGTGGCAGTAGCGGCGTCGCGGATGGCCCGTGTTTCGAGGGTCCATGGCATTATCCGGGTGGGCTTGTGTGGCTTGGTTTTGAATTACTCGCGTCCGCGCAATAGCTTGCGCATCCCTTAGCTCCAGAAGGAGTGGGTTGCGGTGTTTAATACTTCGTCTGCTATAGATTGCGACTGTTTACATGGCTGTCTTCGACCGTTTCGGACGTGGACCCGCCTACTTGGGGAGAAAGGTCTGGACCTTTCGATTCTTCAAGGCATCGGACGTTCTAACCAAAGTTCGGTGGCGTCCCGCAGCGCCGCGCTCTTCGGCGATATTCATGCTGATGAAGCCACACGATTGTGGGGACGCGACGGCGGGAAAAAGCTTGGTTGCAGACATCACAGGTCGAGATTCCATCCAATAGACCATATACGGAACTACTCCCGTGCTACTATTTCAAATCTTTTTCTTATTGGCTTGTGTATGCGTATTGAGTTTGTATTGAGTTTGTACGTGACTGCAACATCTGTCGTGGTTCGCTTCATTTTTTCCGGCTCTAATCCCTCCCTAGATGCTTCGACAATGCGCTTGTGCGGGAGGTGGAGTCCAGTCGCATATTGGCCCCGGACGAAAAAAGGCAAGAACATGTCCGAAGGGGTACAAAAGGAGTGGTGAAGTCGCAGACAGGCCTTTGAGCGACTAGCGACCAGCGACCAGCAACCAGCAAACGCTCCCGTGTTAACTGCCGCTAGCATCGGCGTTTCAGGACCAGATCGGAAGGGTCTGATTGTAATGAACGGCGGTAAACCGACATCGGTTACGCTATCGACGGCCCGGCACGGTTAGCGGCAAGCGCATTGCAAGCAACATGCGTAAGCTCGATCGCACCCAAACGCGTGCTCCCAGCCTCGTGCAAATCGCTGTCGCTCCATTCGCCGGATTTCTCGCCGTAGCCGCGCGTCAGAACTTAGCAATGACCAGGGAATATCCTTGGACTGCAATATGTGATCCTTGCCGGGACAATATAACAAGTGTGGCCTTCTCTTCACAAGGCTCGGCAACCGTGGGATACGGCCTTCAAGTCCGGGAGAGGCATGCATCGGCTTCGATTGTTCGGAATGTCTTCCGATGATGCGGGCCAGCCGCTGTCAATCGCCCTGCGGATGCAGGAACTGGGAAGAATCCAGTCCGCCATCCCAGCTTCGTTGGGAAATTTGATTCATCAAGATAACAAAGAAAAGGCGTTCATTTCATCAACCTCTCGATCTGGCCAAGTGGGACTGTCGTGTGTTCAACATTTGCTGAATGTGTGTTGGCTCCGACCCCATCAAAAGCATTGGCTTCTGAAGCGAGTGGTCGTACATGGTCGACGACGAAGGGATCCTTGTAGTGTTTGGAGGGGTCTGGCGTTTCTGCCCTGCTCAGATATGTCCGAAGCTCCGTCTCAGATCCAGGGGTATCGGGGCGCGGCTGCTCCACTCGCTCCTCAGTTCGTACGATGACTTCGTCGACGACGAAAATCTTGCCAAAGGTCAAGGCGGAGATGAGAGGCCAGAAAATGGGAATGCTTGCGCAGAGAATAGCAATATCGACCTCGAGACAGGACAGGATGATTGACGTCGGCGCCAGCCAAGTTGGATCAGCAACAGGATATGTTCCGGCGCGAGTCTCGGCAATGCTCGCTAAGCGTGCGATACTAATAGCCACGACCCTTTACAAGTTGTTAGCATTTGCTTGGTGGTGAGGTAGGTAAGACTTACACAGAGCCCAGCACGGCCAGTCCAGCAATCGCATATTTTCGCTTGCCCTCCAGGTCGATAGAGGATAAGGAGAAGATGGGAAAGGCGAGGACAATGATGTCGAAGGCCATGTTGAGAGCAGAGTGGGTTGCGAAGGTTGCGAAAAAGGTCTCAGGGTCGGCGGACCCAGCTCCAAATCCAAAGCAGGTGCCCGGCCGGTTCCATTCCCAAAACTTTTGAACAGGCGAGCAGGCGAAGGCGAGCAAGGCGGTGTATGTGAGACCCCAGATGGAGACGACAACGATCAAGCCGATAATGAGGTAGTAGATTTTCGAACGCTTCTCGAACAAGCGAAGGTACTGTAGAAGCAGCGAGACCTTGATGATGCTAGTCGACCAGAAGTAGGAAATGGTGCCAGCCCAAAACCACTATAGCAAAAAGTCAGAAGTAGTTTGGGTTAAGGTTGAAGGTGACGTTACGTGTAGGTATTCCGAGTAAGTGCCAGCGGTCAGGGACAGAACGTGCTTGCCAAGGCCATAGTCGGGCACTGTTTTGGTATCAGCCATTTGATACGTCAAGCGGATGGAGCTATGGAACTTACACATTATGACAAAAGCGGTGCCAATAGTCACGGAAATCTGGACCAACAGTGAGCCAGAGGCGGTTGAATGACTGGGAGAGGGCTTACGGCAGCGAGCACGACCATCAAGTCGTCCCAGCCAGCAGCACGGGTGATCTTGACTCGGGCATAGAGTCTGAAAAGCACAGCAACCCAGGCGACTATCTGCATTGAGGGTCAGTATGCGGCAGAGATGGAGTTGCCGGCAAACTCACTTGAAAGACAATGCTCACGGCCAGGACGGTTTCCTTCCGGTTGACAATAGGAACAGTTTCGGTGGTGGTGGATTCATAGCTGGTGGAATTGGTCAGCAGCGAGCTGGTGCGCTGCTCGGGAATGGCAACCATCGTGTATAGCAGGCAAAAGGACAGATTCAGGGCCGGCAGAGGGCCTATCTAGAGCTATATTGTGTCCAGTGCCAAGGAGGTCAGAGACGGAGATGAGAGCAAGTGTTAGTGAAAGGGACCGGGTCGGGCTTGAGCGCACAAAGCCGGGCCGGGAGGGACAAGCGTGAAACTGGGCATCGGGCCAGGGCGCCCAGCGGTGCCCGGACAAGAAAGATAAGCGAGGCTGTTGTTGGTGGAAAGCATGTTTCCCAGCGGCGCGGACGATTTGCAAAACATGGGGCTAACTTTAGCCGCACAAGTGCCGTGCCGTGGCCCCGGTAGATAGATGGTGCAGCTGCAGCAGACCCGCGGTCGGCGGCGCCGACGCGGCAGAGAGCCGGAACTGGCGGCCGCCACGGCACAGGCGGCGGTGAAGGTGGAGAGCGAGGGTCGAGGACAGGGCGTGAAGCGAGATTTTGGAGGATGGTGTCGAGAGAGAAGGCGCGTGGCGCGGTGACAGCGGGCCGGGTTCTGCGTGCGCGTCGCACGACTCGGTGCCACAGCCGCCCGCCGTTGCCAAGGCCCTCAATCTTCGAATACGCCGTTCGCTCGCCTGCTGAGGCAGAAGCGAACACTCTTTCTCCGCCGCCCTCGCCCGCGGGTGCGCCCGCAACCCGCATAGCGGACCACTTTTTAGCCTTCTTCGCCGTCAAACAGAAACAACGACAGCGCGATAAGCTTTCGCGCAGCCAGGCGCTGCCATCCCCGCGTTAGCACTCCAGATCTCACATGAGTCGCAGTCTGTTCAGCGCACGCCGATCGAGGCCCAATGCCGATCTTAAGGCAGGGCCTCAACCCTAATGCTCTGCTCGTCCCCTTGATCGTCACCGCTATCCCCATCCTTCTTACGTACGCCCGCGGAGTAACTCCCGACAGAAGGGACTGTCGCTGTACATCACTGCCGCTGAAACCGCCTCCCCTGCTCCTTCCCGCTGCCGACCCGCAATATGGATATTGTACACCTCACTTCGTGGAAATCCGACGGTGCGAGTCGTGGCCATTAACCTAACCTTGTAGCCCTCGCATAGGTACGACCGGCCAAGATCACCAACACCAAAAAGGAGTCTAGCACATCCACCAGCCTTTCGTGTTCTTGCGCCGACTTTTCCGCGGCACGTACGCTGCACTATACAGCCTCATCTACAGCAATATACATCTGCGGTTGTCTCCGCCAACTCTGCCCTCTCAACTCCATTTTCCGCACCATTTGCCAAAGCTCACGCTCAGCCCCGATCCGTCCCGGCAGAAACACCAGAAAAGCTTCGTGGTTTCTCCACCTGTCGTTGTCCTTGATTTCGTCAGAGCAGGGGGCCGAGTCAGCCCGCACCGTGCGCAGAGCTGCGCCGCTGCCCAGTGCTCAGTGCGCACCAACTGCGAGCCCTCAGAGTGACACAATCCACGGCCCTGACTTCACCAGCCCACTGTTGCGTGACAGCCATTCCACCGGTCCCTCCGACCCGTTGGAGCAGAGATTTTCACACTCCTCGCGCAAATCCTTTGACCTCACCGCTCACCATATTGCCCCGACCACCGCTATACTTAGCCACCCCCCAATATAATACCATGCTTGCTCCCTTGTTCTTTCGCCCCCTATCACTACGCCGCGTGGCTGCACGTACAGGATGCCCATGTGCCATACCACCCCTATTCTTGCTGTGATATCAGCACTCACTGAGGCAACCCTATACATGGCTGACATCACAAGCGTCCGCAGTTATAGGAGCTTCACAACTCTTCAGTTGACATACCCTTTTTTTTTATTCTTTTGAGCAAAATGTACGAGTGACCCATGGCATCTTTTTGGTTGAAAAAGAATTATATTCCCCTGCACCCCCGAGTCTTTCCCGCATGCATAAACAAATCTCAGCAGACCCTGTACCTAATCTAAAACTCCTTAGATAAGTGACGTAGTCCTCCTATTTTCGATCCTGGATCCCTGCACACCAACTTTGGCCTGTGTAGCAGCGTCACCATTTCCGATTGGTTCTCATGCATGATTCTAGAATATTCGCACTTTCGCTAGCTAAGATAACGGGTAGGGATGAAAGAGCAACAAAAGACAGGGATGCACTTCACCCCCGTCACCCTGAAACAAAGCAAATCCGATTCGTACAGCAGAAGTGGATTACTGCCAAGTCCGATCACAACAGTGAGGTATTTGTGAGCATGAGTAAGCCGATCGGACATGCCGAAGACACTGCTCGGGTTGATAAACTTGGAGTCGTCATAAGCCGGAAAGTTTTCGTTATCGTCGAAATTTGGGAGTATTGTTTTGTTTTCCCCTTCTCTGCCCATTGCTTCCCAGAGCAAGCCAAAACTGACCTGGTGCGCTCATGTGTGGTTTGGTGTGGTTGTGGGGATTGCAAGCCTCGCGCGGAAGCACGTGGTTGGGTTGATGGTCTGTTTGCGTAGATATTTGATTTGAGACGTTTCAAACCTGGCCCCCATTTCCAGGTATCGTACGATTGCATTCGGAGAAGAAGTAATGACAGCTGGTCAATTCGGATTCGTGGTGAAGAGGTCCAAAACGTAAAGGCAGAAGAACCCGAAGATGGCGGCTGCGAAGGCCCAAACTGCGAACAGCACGTAGCGGGAGGCTTCGTGGGGCAGGAAGTAGAGAACGAGAAGGATCGAGCTGACGATGATGACGGCTGTGATGGCAGACTTTTGCAGATCAGCCCGCCAGCGCGCCAGTCTCTCTTCAATGTGCAATCGACGTTCGTTTCCCTCCATAGCTTCTTCCATTGCGTGAGATCAAGGTTTGGTGCGATAGAGAGGCAAACAGCAGATCGAAATTCCTTCAAATAAATGCACTCCAAGCACGATCACTGGGCGCGTTTGCTCAGCGTTTGAGACGGGATGGAGCCGAGACCTGTGTCACTCATCTGTTCTTCACATAACGAGCACAGGCGAGGCTTCCGGCAAGCTCGCCATCCGGCTGCTGGAATCTTTCCGTGCCCATATCCGCTCCAAGGACTGGATGGCGGCGGGAATGTTACGGAAGCCCGTCTTGGCGTAAACGCGGGCCATGCGCTCTGTGAAGACGCTTCTGCTCTCCTCGTCTGTGCTCTCGACCGCGCCAAGGAAGCATACCCAGACAAGGGCGTGAGCACCAGGCGCGTCGTGAGGTATCTTGGAAAGCAGTGCTTTGAGGTTTCGAAGGGATTCCTGCAAGTCCTCTTCTGATCGCGTTCTGTTGAAGTAGAGCTTTGAAGCTTCAAGAAATGCTTCTCGCGTGACGGAAATGGTGGCCTCCTCCTCTGACCCCGACGGCAACTCGTACGCGAGCCAGTCGAGGTACTGGAGAGGATCGGCTATCACACTGGTCTCTCCAAGAAGCGGCTGAGCGAGAAACTCGAACCTGTCCAGCAGGTAAGTCAGAACTCAGTCAGGGGCAAACAGGCCCGTGACTCACATGTGCGTTTGCTGTGTCAGAAAGTTGTTTAGCATCGAAGCATGTGCCGCTCCAGCGCTGTTTCTCGAAAGACACAGGAGCATCTGGACCAGATAGCCGTACTCGGAGCTCCCTGTCACCGTCTCGCCGACCAGCAGCACGATCAGCGTAGCCCACGTGAAGACGTTGAATACCTGTTCTTGCGGCGCCTGCATCGCATCCCGGCGCAGCCTCGAGATAACAGCGGCGCGGCCAGCCTCGGCAGCCGCCTGGAGGTCGGGCCTCTTCGAGTGACTCAAGTGCTGTGCCGCCACGACCTCGACCGCCCGCCTGAGCACCTCGTCTTCACACGCCATTGGCAGGATGAAGTCGCGGTAGCCATTGGAGACGTTGTCCAGGACTACCATGACGGGAGCTACGGCTTCGGAGACTGAGGGGGCACGTCAGCATGTATTCTTTTTGTGAGCGTGGAGACCGAAAAAGTAAGCAGAATAAGGGGCCGGCGTACAATGAGAGAACAACATGCGGACTTGAGGATTCATTGGCGCAAGCCATGGTTGGACAGCGGGATGGTAGAGAGTGGCAAAGACATGCCCACGCTTTGCTAGCTGTCTATCCTCACGCTGACTGGGCTCGACTAAGCCTTTGTAGTGGTCTTGCGCGTTGAAGTTGAAAGTTTCAGCATGACCTGCTGCCGACTGTTGCGTATCTGAGCCCGTGGATGCACTGGCCTGCTGGACTACTGCTCCCTTTCTCCGCTTGGATGCAGTATTGCCTGAGCCCCCGCGGCGCTCATTTTGCCAGCGAATACGCACAGGTAATTGTGCTTGTTGCGCTGAAGCATTGTCATCTGCGGAAGCATCCAACGTTGGCAGCTGACAGCCTTTGAGTTTTCCCCGGCGTGCAACCCCATCGTTGAAGCGGAAGCGGCCCAAACCTGAGCATTCTATGCCTTTCTTAATACATTTTCTGCATGTCGGATGGCCTAAATCGCACGTGATACGCCGTTTAGTGCACTGGAAACAGCCTGATTACCCGATTTAGTATATCTCTGCTTCGGAAGTAGCTGGGGGGTGTTTCACCTCGGGGCTTGACGTCGGTTGGCGTTGCGGAGGCGCGGGAACTGGACGGAAACATTGGAGCTGTAGGTTCAATCTTGGCTGCTTTAACGGCGGGCGGGTCTAATGCTACCAAGGGGGCCGGTGTAGGGTTGCGACGGGAAGTGGGGAAAAGGTGGAAGCTGAAACTTCTCCAGCTTCTTAGATTCGGGGTTACGTAATACCGTTGATAACAGACTACCTGGGCTCCTTCAAGCTACCATTGGCCAAAGCATCGAACAGTGTAACCTCCCTGAATCCTTAGAGCATGTGACAGACCAACACTTCATCCGTCTTGTAGGAATCAAATCCACAGGTTATACAAAATGACATTGCTTTGATGAGTTCAGGACTATATACGATGCGAAACACCTTGGACTCCATGCTTTCCCCAAAATCACAACTGCGGGCTTATCTTTCCTGTTTCTGCCAACTCCGTCTTCACGGCCATCGCAGCTCTCGCGCCCTCCTCGATAGCACCATCAATGAAGCTCCGCCACAGAAGAGCCCAGTCTGAGCTCGCAAAGAAGACGTTACCATGACGGGCACGCATGTCTTCCAGATGGTCCGCCAACAGATTCGGCGGCGAGAAGAACCACGCGCCCTTCGCAAACTCATCCTTGGACCAATTGTGGAATACTAGCCGCTGCACATCCATCTTACCCGGAGCTAGGGCCTTCACTGCAGCAAATGTCTCGTCCAGTTTCTCCTCCGGTTGCATGTGGTATTGGTGCGATCCGAACGCAACGATGTGCGTATTTCCTGCTGGCGTTGTGCCGTCGCCGATGGCGTAGATGAGCTTGTTGGATGGATATGTGACGCCCGTCCATGAACGCATGTTCTTGTCAGAAACCTCGGCGTGCACTTTGACGCATTGGTTGACGTGACCGACGCCGATGGCTGCGAGCTTACCATCCGGCAGCGGAGGGTTGAAAGATACAGTGCTGAGGACGTTCAGTGGAACAGTACAGATGATGCGGGCTGCTTGGTATGTGCGGCCATCCCGGGTCGTCACCTCGACCTTGTTGCCCATGTCGTTGACAGATTGAATGGGCGAGTTGAAAGCATACGAAAGCCTCTTAGTGTAGAGTGCTTCCCTGAAGAAGTTGATGGCGAAGCTCGACTGGCCGCCGCTAAACTTGTAGGTGATGAGGTAGTCAAGGCAGCCCTGGTAAGTGTAGCCGCAGATGGCCCACCAATGCAGGAACTCGAGGAAACTCATGCCCTTCAGCGTACCGCCACTGCAGAGAAGGACGAAGCCCTCCAGCACTGCACGCTCACTTGGAGAAAGCGAGGATGCAATGGCGTCGATACGGTCTTGTGCGGACAGACTGTCCAAGTCTCTGGCTTCTGGAACATAGAACATGTTGGCCGGCTGCGGCATGATGTTCCTGCCCGAGGCGCCGTCCACGTTAACAAACTTCTCCAAGGCTGAAGCAAGGAGAGAGTCCTGCAAGGTTCGTTAGTTTAGAGAACGGGTTGTTATAGATGCTGACTTACCTCTTCATCATGGCTCATAGTAGAAGATCCTCCGGTTGTGTTCAGCTGGAAATGGTTGACGCCATACGAGAAATCAAACGAGTTCTTCAGCTCATTTTGCATCTGGTACCGGGAGATTTCACGCCAGACATGAGGCTGGCCCCAGTGCACCCAGGTACCTCCCATCTCGAAAGGATAGCCGCCAATGTTCGAAGACCATGAGCGGCCGCCGATGCGGTCGCGAGCTTCCAAGAGAAGAACATTCAAGCCTACGCCGCATGTCAGTTTTCCTCCACTTAGTCCATGTGCAAAGTACACACCCGAAAGACTAGCATCTCTGGCTGCAGTAAGACCGCAGTAGCCTGCACCAATGACAACAACATCGTACAAAACATTCGAGGATACGACGTTCGTCACGGGAGTGATGACTCCAATCGAGGGGACGCCGGGGCGAAGGCCTGTTTGTTCAGTCCAAGAGTAACCGTCACGGGATGTCATGTTGGCAAGAGCTGGTATTGGAAAGTTGCGACGAAAGAGCTGAGAGATACTGTGAGCAGAGGTACTGTTTATAAGCGTGCCGTGCTCGCTGCAAGATTCTTGTCCAGCTGCCCCCCACCGACTCCTCTCTGGCGCGTCTCATTTTTGCGAGGCAATCGTGTCAGTTTTCAAAGTCCAAAAAAGACAGGACATCCACGGATTACCGAAAGGAGGCAATAGAGTGAGGAAATTAGCGAAAAGCAACCCTCAAAGATGGCTCGTGCGGAAATGTGATGGGTATCGATAAGACATTGCCTAAAACGGGCAATAACGAGAGAAAATGGTCTTGGACAGTAGCACAGGGTTTGTAGACAATGAGAACCCAGAAATGAGTCAGGTGTAAAGTACCAAAGCAAAAGCATTAAGTCGGAGGTACTAGGAATGCTCAGGACAATGCGTTCAAGAACCTAAGGAACAGTACCAATAGGTCAGCACTTGTTGCAATTTCTGACGTCATAAACGATTCCGGTCAAACAAAACATTGCGAAACTACTGATGTGTATGCAGCGCTTCGCCCTCTTCTTCGAGAATAAAACTCATTAAAAAAAAGACTCGGAAGATACTCGCCCGAGCGGCGATGGGTTCATGACGATGTGTTGCAAGGATGTTGGCGATCTCAACTCTTGGCATCATCGTCACCATTGCCTGCCACCACTCACACCCGCTCTTTTCACCTCCACCTCCCTTTCCTCGGACTTCCGCTACCTCCTCCGCCGCCGGTGGCACCATGCCGCCATTCGTTCCCCGCAAACGCTCGCGCTCTCCCGCGCCTGCATCGGTTCCCAAACGCGCAAAGAAGAACATCTTTGACGCGCTCGACGCGCCTTCCGGCAACACGAGCTCCTCCGCCGACCAGGCCTTTCTCGACGCGTTAAGCAGCGACAGCAGCGATGAATGCCTCAGCGACGCCGATAGCGACGAGTTCGAGGACGTAAACATCGCCAAATCGAAGGCCAAAGCTTCCAAAGGCGCGGCCAAAGATGCTAACGATGGCGAAGACGATGAGGACGAGATGGATTGGGAGGATGCTCTGAATGACCAAACGGATACACCGGCGGCAGATACTCCCCAGCCGAAGCTTGCGCCTTGGCAGCGCGGCCTAGACGACGCTGACGACGTGCTCGAAGTGTCGCTCGGTGGCCCCGCTGAAGCCAACGACGAGATTGCGAGGAGGAAAGCGCTTGGAATCAAGGGTCCCTCGAAGAAAGATCGCCAACTTCGAATCTGGACCCACTGCATGCACGTACAATTACTACTATGGCATAATCACATACGAAATGGCTGGGTATGCGACAAAGAGGTCCAGAAGATATTAGTGGAGCAATTACCAGAGGGCGTGAAGAAAGAGGTCCAGCGCTGGCGGAGAGACTCCGGCCTACCGCCAGACCCGTCGCTTGAGCCGCCGCCAAAGGTTAAGGGGAAGAAAGGACCGGCAAAGGGCAAGGGAAAAGAGAAGAGTGATAGACATTCAGAGAGAAATCAGCGGGACTGGGGAGGAACTGCAGGTCGCACCGAACCAGGCACCCCGAATTTGAGTCAAGGAGACCCTCTGTACCGACTTTTAACATATCTGGCTGCCTACTGGAAGAAACGCTTTCGAATCACTGCACCGGGTCTGCGCAAAAAGGGCTATTTTCCTACAGCAAAGTCGCTTGCTACTGAGACCAAAGCCTGGCAGGCAACCAGGGAGGACTCGTCAAAGCAGAAGAAAGTAGAAAAGGAGAAGCCTAACACTGAAGAGTACGACATTGAAAGGTTCGGGGAGCGGATCCGCGACAAGGCAGAGTTTCTGGAGGCAGCACGAACATGCAGAGGTAGTAGGGATGTCGGTGCTCAGCTCTTTACTGCACTTGTCAGGGGTATAGGTCTGGAGGCCCGTATGGTAGCAAGCCTCCAGCCCATAGGATTTGGATTTACGAAAGTGGAAGAAGTCATCATGAAAAAGGGAGAGAATAGCAAGACCGAGGATCCGAAGTCGAATGCGGATGCGCAGGCAGATGCCGCCACCGATTCAAACGCGAAGAAGACTACTGCTAAATCGCAAAAGCCTGTTCACCCAACTGCGAAGAAATCATCTACTAGAAAATCCGGCACGAAACCCTTAGCTGTCGTCCCTGATGAGGATAGTGATAGCTCACTCAGCTCAGCAAAGTCCGACATTTCTGATGCATCAAAGCCAGCCACGGCACTGAGCAAGAAACACTACGACACGGATCTAAAGTACCCAGTTTACTGGACCGAGGTTTTGTCGCCTATATCTAATACCTACATCCCCGTCTCACCACTTGTCATTGCTACAGTCGCTTCAACACCTGAATTTCTATCAGCGTTTGAACCCCGAGGTGCCGCAGCTGATAAAGCCAAACAAGTGATCTGCTATGTTATCGCATACAATGCAGACGGAACTGCCAAGGATGTAACAGTCCGCTATCTCAGGGGTCGCATATGGCCCGGCAGGACCAAAGGTTTCCGCATGCCCGTTGAAAAAGTCCCCGTCTACAACAGACACGGCAAGGTCAAGCGCTACGAGGAATTCGACTGGTTCAAACGCGTCATGTCGAACTACACGCGCGACGGACGCTTGCGCACCGAGGCCGACAAGATTGAGGACGAGGCAGACCTCGTTCCGATCATGCCACACGTCTCCAAAAAGGCCGAAAGCGGCGTGCCTGACACCCTCCAGGGCTACAAGAACAGTGCCGAGTACGTCCTCGAGCGCCACTTGCGCCGCGAGGAAGCCATCCGCCCGACCGCCAAACCGTTCAAGACTTTCTTCACCGGCAAGGGCGACAAGGCCAAGGCCGAACCCGTCTTCCTGCGCAAAGACGTCGTGGCGTGCAAGACGGCCGAATCGTGGCACAAGGAAGGCCGCCAGATCATGCAGGGAGCGGTGGCCATGAAGCGGGTGCCCATCCGGGCGGTGACGCTGATCCGCAAGCGCGAGATCGAGGAGGCGGAGCGCGAGAGCGGCGAGAAGGCCATGCAAGGGCTTTACGCGCGCGAGCAGACGGAGTGGATCGTGCCGCCGCCCATCCGCGACGGCAAGATCCCGCGCAACGCCTTCGGCAACATTGACGTCTACGTGCCGACCATGGTGCCCCAGGGCGCCGTGCACATCCCCCTCCGCGGTACGGTGCGCGTTTGCAAGAAGCTTGGTATCGACTTCGCCGAGGCGGTTACTGGATTTGAGTTCGGCCGCCAGATCGCCGTGCCGGTGCTGACGGGCGTCGTGGTGGCCGAGGAGAATGGCGAGCTTGTGCGTGAGGCGTGGCGTGCTGAGCAGAAAGCGAAGCAGGAGAAGGAAGATAAGAAGAGGGTGGAGACTGCGTTGAAGATGTGGCGCAAGTTCATGCTGGGGCTGAGGGTGATTGAGAGAGTGAAGGAGGAGTATGGAGAGGGCAAAGATGGTTTGGATGACGTGGTGAACCCGTTTGCGAGGAAGAAGAGGGAGGGCGAAGTGGGGAATACTTTCGAGAGGAGGTTCGGGGACGAATTCGAGGATGAAGAGGAAGAGGGTGGTGGATTCCTAAAAGAAGATGAAAAGGATCTAGGTCCTGGTGGGTTCTTTTTGCCTGGCCAGGAGGAAGATCCTGGAGAGGGTGGCTTCATCCGTGAAGAAGATGAGCACACTGGTGGAGGTGGATTCTTGCGCGATGGTGAAGACAACGCAGTCGAAGGTGGTGGATTCATCATTGAAGGCCACGACAGCAAGGAAATACCGACGACCTCACAAGACTACCATGCTGCCGGAGATGCTCAGGACGCCCCATTCTCCCTACAATCCGCTCATCATCATTTCTCAAAGGCGAACGCTGAAGAAACCCCTCATGACGAGGGCGAAGAGAGCGAAAGCAACAGCCCGCCACCAAAGAAACGTGCCACCCGCGGCAACACCAAAGGGCGTGGCCGAGGTCGTGGCAGAGTGCGGGCAGCTACCACGACTAGCACACGAGGCAGGCGGAAGTCCTTTGAGGCAGATGGTCTGGATGAGACTGCAAATGACTCTGATGATCTGCCATCAGCACCATCTGAGTCTGATTCTCCGGTCTCTTCGGCGCCGGACGTGGGCGACGAGTCAGAGTCGGAGTCTGGTGCTAAGCACACGCAAATCAGGGACGTAAGCGAGGAGGTGCCTCGTAGGACTCCGCGAAGAGCGGCTGCAAGGAAAAGTGCGACTGCTGTGAAGAGTCATTATTTTGACGATGGCGAGGAAGTTGAGGATCAAGATGAAGGTGGCAGCGATCAGGCTAGAGGCGAAGAAGCGGATGAAACATCAAAAACACGGTCGCGCCGAGGTGGTCGTGGTCGTGGGCGCGGAAGAGGGAGAGGGAGAGGGCGTTCATGAGAACAGTTCATCACCTGAGTAATTGGAAATTGAGGCTTGCTGGATTATTGTTGCTGTTGGTATGAGCGTTCAAGCGCAGGGATCTCTTTGCATTGATGGAGCTAGGCGGTTGGCTACACAAATACGTTCTGTTTTCAAGCAAAGTCCTCGTGCGGACTTATCAAGTCAAGAAAAAGGCGCCATAGCTAGAATGTTTGCGTTCATCACTAACATTCCTCAATACGATAGCGGGAATTAGAAATCAGGTAGCTTACACTCAAGAACTGCCACGAAAATCTACATTTCAGTCTATGCGGCTGGCACTCGTACGTGAGGCCTCTACCACTCACCGTAAAAACAACCTCGGAATACTTTTATTTGATTTTCGTAAGGAACAATGCCCGGTCGGGTTCTAAGCAATTAATCGCTTGCCCTATACTTTTCTCTATATTCCATAACCCTCTTGATCTCCTCCTCGGTACCTCTGCTCTTCAGGTAGTCGATGATGTCGTCAAGGCACAGGATGGACAAGACTGGAATGCCGTATTGCTTCCTGACCTCACCAATGGCGCTGGGCCTGGGCTTGCCATCGTCATCGTTCTCACTGGGGGTCTTCTCCTGCCTGTCAACGGCAACTACAATGCCAACGAGCTCGCCGCCCTCCTTCTTGATGATATCGATGGCCTCGCGGATAGCAGTGCCGGCAGTGATGACATCGTCGACGATGACAACCTTCTTTCCCTTCAATTGAGCACCGACAATGTTGCCGCCCTCGCCGTGGTCTTTGGCCTCCTTCCTGTTGAAGCTGTAGCTGATGTTGCCAAACTTGTTCAGGTCCAATTCGGCAAGCTTGTCCACGGTGGTAGCAGCGAGAGGGATGCCCTTGTAGGCAGGGCCGAACAGAACATCGAATTGGAACGATGGGTTCTCGGCGGAATAGGCGGCGACGGTGTTCGCGAATGCCCAGGAAATGGCGCGAGTTAGGTCTGCACGGTGGAATAGGCCGGCGTTGAAGAAGTAGGGCGAGATGCGCTTGGACTTCAAAGTGAAGGTGCCGAACTTGAGGGCATCGGCGGAGGTGCAAGCCTCCAGGAAGGCGGTCTTGTAGGCGGGAACGTTGCTTGACGAGGCCATTGTGTCTGGTTCCTAGCGGTAGGTGGAGAGAACGCGATGTCTAACTTTTTGGCGGGGCGACGACTGGGCCGGTGAAATAAGTGGTTGCCGGGCGGCGACGGCCAATCAGCCTAGTGGAACCAAGTTTACCCGACGACCGAGAATCCCGGGCCCTGAACTTTTTTTGCGCCTCTATCGATACCGCGCCAGCACTCTCGCTCGCACATCCTTCCCGACCTCCTGCGCGCCTTAGCAACACCACCACCACAGCGCCAGGCACCATGAAGACCACGTGGAAGGACATCGCCCCGGTGCCTACGTCCCAGGAATTCCTGGACATTGTCCTCAGCCGCACCCAGAGGCGTCTGTAAGTCGGCCTGGCTTCCATGTAGAAAATGTACTTTTTGGCTAACAATGTCTTAAGTCCCACCCAAATCCGCGCTGGGTTCAAAATCTCTCGTATTAGAGGTGGGCTTCTCTCTGAGCTCTGCAGTAACGGACTTGGACTAATAGCTTTTGCGCACAGCTTTCTACACGCGCAAAGTCAAGTACACGGCCGAGACCTTCACCGAAAAGATCCAGGCCATTCTCGAGGGTTTCCCCAAGCTTCAGGACATCCACCCCTTCCACAAGGATCTCCTCAACACGCTCTACGATGCCGACCACTTCCGTATCGCCTTGGGTCAGCTCTCGACCGCGAAACACCTGATTGAGACTGTGGCGAGGGACTACGTGCGTCTGCTGAAGTATGGCCAGTCGCTCTTCCAGTGCAAGCAGCTCAAGCGCGCTGCGCTGGGTCGCATGGCCACCATTTGCAAGCGCCTGAAGGATCCGCTTCAGTACCTCGAGCAGGTGCGCCAGCATTTGGGCCGTCTGCCTTCGATCGACCCCAACACCAGGACTCTGGTCATCTGCGGTTACCCCAACGTTGGAAAGTCGAGCTTCTTGAGGAACATCTCTCGTGCGGATGTGGATGTTCAGCCCTACGCTTTCACCACCAAGAGCTTGTTTGTCGGTCACTGTAAGTTGGGAAATTCTGTCAGAGTGGACGAAGCTAATTTGGTGAACCAGTCGACCACAAGATGTTGCGATTCCAAGCCATTGATACCCCCGGTATCCTCGACCACCCTCTCGAGGAGATGAACACGATCGAAATGCAGAGTATTACCGCCATTGCTCACCTTCGCTCTGCCATTCTGTACTTTATGGATCTCAGTGAGCAGTGCGGCTACAGCGTTTCCGCACAGATCCAGCTTTTCCACAGCATCAAGCCCTTGTTCAACAACAAGTTGGTTTTCGTCGTCATCAACAAGACCGATCTTATGAAGCCTGAGGACCTGGACGCGGAGACACAAGAGAGCCTCCAGGGCATGCTCAAGTCCGGGGAGGTGGAGTTGTTGCAGCTTTCCTGCAACACCACCGAAAACGTCATGGCCGTCCGTGGTGCAGTCTGTGACAGACTTTTGGCACAGCGTAATGCTGAGAAGCTGAAGGCTGGCACAAACGCTTCCGGCGAGATCACTGGCCGTCTTGGAGAGGTTTTGAAGAGGATTCACGTTGCCGTGCCTATGGACGGCATTACGCGTGAGGCTTTCATCCCGGAAGCTGTTAAGAACAAGATGAAGTATGACCCGAACGACCCCAACCGCAAGAAGCTGCAGCGCGAAATCGAGGAGGAGAATGGCGGCGCCGGTGTATACAATATCAACCTCAAGGAGAACTACCTGCTGGAGAACGATGACTGGAAGAACGACAAGATTCCCGAGGTTTTCAACGGAAGGAACGTTTACGACTTCATCGACCCCGATATCGAGGCCAAACTCGCTGCGCTCGAGGCTGAGGAGGAGCAGATGGAGGCCGACGGTCGCTACCAAAGCGACTCTGATGTTGAGGATGCTGAGGAGGCCGACGTCCGCTACAAGGCCGGTATTATCCGTGAGAAGCAGGCGATGCTCAAGAACGAGTCCCAGATGAAGAAGAGCCTGAAGAACCGCGCTCAGATTCCTCGCACTGCGAAGGCCAAGAAGCTGTCACAAATGGAATCCCACCTGGAGAGCCTGGGTCACGATACCAGCTCTCTTGCTCACCGTGCACGCTCACAATCTCGTGGCAGGAGTCTCGCCCGTGGCCGTTCTGAGGGCGCAGACGGCGATGCTATGGACATCGACAAGCCGCAGCCCAGCGCCATCGAGCGCGCGAAGAGCCGCGCGCGCAGCCAGAGCACCAACCGTCGTGATGACGGTGTCACGAATGAGGCTGCACGCTCGAAGGCGGAGCGGATGGCTAAGCTGTCGCAGAAGAAGATGAACCGCATGGCCAGACAGGGTGAAGCCGACAGGCACACAACCGCGTCTCTCAACAAGCATTTGCTTGCTGGCAAGAGAGGAATGGGCAGCACGAGGAGTCGTTAAGAGGAAACAGCGAATGGGAAAAAAGTTCATGGGTTCTGCGGCGTTGGGAGGGTGGGAATGGTGGCCCCTTATTTCCCCCAGTTCTTCTTCTACATCTCACGTACGTTTCACTGGGTGCATGGCGCAAACGCTTTTTATGAAGGTTCTTTATGTGATTCCCTATTCACTGCTCTTTGCATCGCCAACACGGCCGATAGATAGAACATCTTGTCAAAAGAGTGGAATGGAAAACATGATTAATATCCCCCCACCGCAACCCCAATTTCCTCGTGGCTCCTCTTCGAAACGTGCAACTGTGTTGCTTAATTAGAGTCATTTCCAAATGTCGTTCAGGCGCGCACATGAGATTGCTCTACTCCGAACGTAGATTAGATGGATACCGTACCGAAAGACCGACCAACTGCATCACGTTGGACGAGACGACTGCACATGGAAAAGGAACGCATTCCATGGTCCGGGTCTGCTGCTGCCGTTCCTGTAGCCCAACATCCCTGACGGCACCAGTATGATCTTGAATTCCCTAGACAATGATGGAAGAATAGTGAGGGATAGTTAATACAAGAGACATGCAAAAATAAGAAGTGATTGTGTATTGTCAAGTTTTGGGTGAACAAGAAACATCGCTTCACTCCGTTGGGTGCAAATGAAAGAACGCAAAACAGGAACGGGGCCGCTGGAGGCCCGATATGTAATGGGGGTAAGACCCAGATACAGTAAGATACGAATACTGAAAAACGAAGGGAAGTTAACGCTTCGTCATTAAACAGCAGTCAATTGATGGTGATAAACTTAGTGCTCCTCTTTCCTCCTGATATGCCACTTGTAACAATAACTTCCCAGAAAACAAACAGCGAAGGGAAAGGAAAAGAAGAACACCTAAGACTACTAAAAGGGCAATTCCCACATGTGGAGGCCAGAGAAAGTGGAAGAAAATGAAAAACGCCGTCAAAATGAAGACTGGAATGTCTGAAAGAGGCGGTCCCTGCAACGAAAAAGACCTGCTAAATAAGATACGTGTGTAAAAGAGGTTCGCCTCACCACTCCAGTGATTTCCGCCAGTCTATCCAACGCGTAAAAATCAAAAAGCTTTGATAAAAGAGGTCTTCCCTTCAGCCGTGATATGGAGTAAAAGCGCTTCTTTTTTCCTTCCTTTGGTCGTCCATTCCTGCGTTCATTCGCCGTAGAGCCGTTCTATCGATCGTCTTTAATCGCCCTTTGCCCCCTTGCTCGGCGTGCCACTGCGTGCTTCCCGCCTCCTGACACTGTCGGCAGGCCCGCGCCTTCCACTTCCGGTGCCGGAGCGTCCGCGGTTCGTCTCCTCCTCCTCGTCCTCGCCGACCTCGAAGGCGTCCGTCAGCTCAATCAAATCGTTGATATCGCCGCCCATTCCTGCAGGACCTATTCCAGCACCGGCCGCTCGCTGCCTGTCTGCGGCGGTCGCACCAGATTTGATAGGCGTTAGCGGCGCCGGCGGAACGAGCGTCGACGCTTGCGTTGCCACCTTGCGCATCCAACCCTCGATGGCGCCACCAACCTGAGCGAGATCGAAACCGCTGGAGCTACCGCCGACGCCGCCAACTCCGACAGGTGTCGCGGTGCCTGACGGGCCCATAGAATCCCCAGCTGCTTTAGCCTCCGACATCGCTGCTGGGTTCCAGGTGCCAAAGTAATCCTTGCCCGGTGGCGGCGCGAGGTTTGGCAGGTGCTGACCGAATAATTTATTCAAACCATCTTGTGCAGGACCTGGTTTGCGGACATTCCTGTTAAAGGTGCCGACACCTCCAGGTCCGTCAAGTTTGAAACTCTGAGTGATACTTGGGGCGCGCGGGCGGTGGCGGTTAGGAACGTTACTGCTGCTGCTTTGGCGGGGCGATTTGGCGGTGCCATGCGAAGTCATTGATGATGCTGAAGTTATTGTATCGGAGCGGTTCAGCTCGAGCGATGCAGACGGCGTCCGGACGGCGGAGTCGTTGTCCGAGAAGGTCAAACTTTTCCGGCGAGCGGGCGGGAAAAAGCCAAGATCTCTGCGTGGCAGGCGGGCAATCTCGATGGGGTCCTTGCTGTGTGGTAACATGACCCAGCCCTCGTGTTTCCATGGCGGCTCGTTATCGGCGTTCGTAGATGTTTCTGATGCGGTCACGGATTTAGAGAGATTCGAGGTCGAGACAGATGCGGGACCATGCCAGCCGTTGGTAGGGAGGCTGGTGCTGTGAATGGGAGGGTATTCGGCGCCCGGGGTGGGCAGTAGCAAGTCATCTTCTACGTTAGGCTGTTTTGGCTTCTGCTCTTCGGGTGGTGGCACAGGGCGGCCTTTCACACCGCAGGCATCCACAGGGATAACCAAATGGCGGCGCGTCTGCACGCTGTCTTGGGCCCACATTCTATTCGCCTTGCGGAGAGGAGGGGCCTGGCAGTTGTACTTGATGGTGATGCCGGCAAGCGTGTCCTCAGGCCGCACGCGGTGGATGTAGACCAGCGCGTCACGGTCGTCATGCTCCGTCGGCGGGGCTGACGACGAAATGCGCTCGTCCGAGTTCCTCCGCTTGAACTTCCCCGTGGCATCCATGTTCAAGTGTCCGTTTGCCATGAGCAGGTCTTTCCGCTTCATGGCCCTGACCATAGCTTCCCGCTCCTCCTTCGTCCCCGTCCCGATCTGTGTGTCTCGTGCCGCAGGGCCCCATTGGGCGGGGGGCGCACTGGTCGTCGTCTTGCGGCCATGGGTGGCTTCGAAGGGCCTGCGCTTCCTGGGCACGTCTCCGCTGGTGTCGCTGCCAAGCACGTTGGAAGCGAGCCCCTGCAACGTGGAGATTGAGCTACCCCAGAGGCCGGAGAGCTGGGCTAGCGGATCCTGCGCATTGCTGCTCGGGCTGCGGCCGAAGGTGCTCTTGCTGATGGTCGACTCCCTCGACCTGCTTGCGGCCTGCGAGGAGCTGGAGCGCGAGGGGCCGGCACCGGGAATGGGAGAGGCGGTCCTCGAGGTCAAGGGCGAGGCCGAGGGCGAGGCAGCGCGGCTGCCGTCTAGGCTGGCGGCGGCATTGGAGTCGCGGTCGAGGTCGTCGTCGCCGGCCGAGACCAGGCGCTTGTTGCGCGGGCGGAGCGAGGCCTCGGGGGTGAGATGGCTGCGGGAGGAATGCTGGGAGGCATTGGTGGGGTTCATGGCAGGAAAGACAGGACAGGCGGCGGAGGAGGAGTGGCTGCAGGAAAGGTGAGCTGCATGGGAAAGCTATGCGAGTGGTGCGGCACTGGCCATAGGCGGAGGGGTGGTGTCGGCGAACGCTTGCGGCTGGCGAAAGTAAGTGTCAGGGCGCCAGACGATGGCAGCCGGATGTTACTCCTTGGCTGACGAGGCCCGCGAGCTGCGGCGGCCGGGCCGGACTGATTGGTGGACGCGCATCAGTGCAGAGCGATTACGCTGCCTGCCCCCCGGCGCGCAGCCCCTCCGAGCAGGACCGACGGATGAGGCCAGCTTTCGTCGCAGCTGCTGCTAATTGCCAGGCAAATCTACGTGCGACGCCCGCCCGCCGCCCTCCGGCCTCCCTGCGCCCACGCGTCTGTGTTTCTCTCGCGGCCAATGACGCAATGACCTCGCACCAAGCGGCGCCGACTCCGTCAAAATCCATCGTGTATTTCCTGAACTAGGCACAACGCGTGCATAAAGACGCGCTCCGTCGTATTCTCTGATTGGATCGTCCGCCTCTCCACACCCTCTCCGTACCAAGACGTCGTCTCCACTCTTTGCGTCCCACACTCCTCCCTGTTCCTACTGGTACTGCCACGCGAACAGCCCGCCCTCCAGGCTGTTTACCGCAATGTTGATGCCGATGCAAGCGGCATCGAGCACAACGCCCTCCAGCCGGTTGAAAATCTGGTACACGCCGGGCTCGGACGCCGGACAAGCGTACCAACCACCGCCCGCCGCGTAGATGAATCCCCCCTCCTGGAACGCCTGAATCTCTCCGACGATGGAGTTCTCAGGGATGATTCCACTGTGCGCGCGCGTGTAGGCAAGGGCGCCAAGCGCGTTGATGTAGAACCGCTGACCGCCTGGAACGATGACATGCTGGAGACGGCGCGAATCAGCAAAAAAACCATTGGGCTTTGCCCGCTCATGCTCACCATGTTCTCGGTGCCCTCGAGCACCGTAATGTTCACCGCTGCACTGCATGTCTCTGGGAACTGCTGATAGGGGCACCACGTGCAGCTTGAACTTGAACGGCCGGCGAAGAAAGCCCCGCCACAAGCATCGATCGCCAGCTCGTCCATATCGCCGTACCAAGTCAAAACGCGGATCAGGTACGGCCCTTCCTGAGGCGCCCGAGGACATATGGTGCCATTATCGCACGTGTGGTTCAAAGAAGAATAGCATTGGCCGCCACAAAGGTCCTGCGGGAAGCCGTCGACAACGGGGCAGAGAATGTCGTCCCGGCAGATAGCCTGGTTCATATGTTAGCTGGTATGCTTGAAAGGTTATTAACCACCCGGGGTTGACTACCTGAGATGGATCGTATGGGATGTCGCCGCATGTGTTCTGTTTCTGCGCCAACGCAATCCCAGTGACAAGGAGAAAAAGAGGAAGGAGACGACGGAACATTGTGAATGATTTGGGAAAGATGAGTGCCTCTGAGAGTCCTTTCAAAGTTGATGAGAGCAGTCAGTTTAAGTATTCTCGATAGAACCCACCTGTGCACCAGGTGGCACACAGGCGATATCATCAGTACGCCAGTGATTCTTGCTTTTTGCGAAAAGATTGACCTGCTGCTGTGGTCTGATGGTATGCGCTACCATCAGTGGAGACAATGTCCCGGATGGGTATGGACATGTCGGGTACGTGCGTGATATCGCTTTGCAACATTATATCCTTGATCCTTTTCGAAGGAGGCTACAGGCTCTGTGTGACTGTGTTAAGATCACTTACAAGCACAGCAGTTTCAAGTGACTCCCAATGACATGCGCATTCCATTTGCCCCTCGCTCATATTCTTCTTGATTTTAAGATGAGTACACTTCCGTCAGATTCACCGCCATCAATTAGCTCCAAGTGATGACGATATTCCCTGCAGATGGAGGGAGGCATGTTGGTTGCCGTAAAGGTGACATATATTCGATCAACTAGATGCTGTGCGCAAGGTGCGCTTGTGATATATCAGGCCTTGCTCACTTCGTATGACTACAGGCTACTCGCCGAGTCGGGGGACTGCTATCCCATTCTGACATCGATTGAAATGTGATTTGTTACAAGAAATTTAGAATGCTTCCCCGGTCGTGCGGAAGGTTCCGGGGGATTGGTGCACAGGTTGCTTCCGTGTCCGTATTCGTGACGCCCCAATATTAATCGTGCGCCACTGATTAGATCAAAGAACAGCGATCTTGCCTTGAGCCTTCTCAGAAGTTTTAGACCATAGGAAATCTAAAATATGTAAGTATACGAGTAGGAAATAGCAAACATTCTCTTCGTTCTTTGAAATATAAAACATAAAAAAATATCTTGGTGGGAATGCCATGTTGCGGCTACGTTATTTTGGAAGGCTCTGTTGTAACAGTTGTACTTGCTCATTCAGTATCCGCCCCTGAGGCTTGGTATTTCGTGTTGGGGGCATTGTACCCTGTACATAAGGTTTTGTTTGGGGGACATGAACAAGCTGGAAGCACGCTAGCGACGGTGTTGTGCCTTTCTGGAATCAGAAACTATGTTACAATCTGGACACTGCAGCTAGGTCCCGGCATTGTTACAGGAGAAGGTGCGCTGCGAGCATCAGCGAACGCACGAAGGCAGCCGTTGGAGGCAAGGCCTCTTAGCAGATCTGAATACTCGCAAGGCTGTGTTAATTTGCAGTGTGGGTCGGCCTTTCGAAGTAGAAGGCCGCAAACGCAGCCCTTTGTCCCAGATTCCGGCAGCCTCATGGCATTAAAACGACGGTGAATGGCAGGTCGATATGCAGAAAGCCGAGATGCTTCGCTGGCAACCGAAGAGAGTGGCTGAAATTCCTCAGAAGAACAGCGGGGAGTCTGGCCCCGGCAGGCGCTAGCTCGGAAACGGAAGATTGACGATCCAAATTTAGCAAGCGCGCCGCCTCCCAATGAGATCACTGGTGGGCTGTCTCACACTCCCTCTGCCGCGACTCCGCCACTACCTGAATCCTTCAGTCGTCGACTGTTGCCTGGTGCGCGTCGTCCTTTTATATTGCGCTCCTTCCTTTCTACCACAAACTCACCACCCTTCCACATCCACGTACCACCATACTGCGCATCTGAAACCGCGATCATGGGGTTCTCCGACCGTCTCCTAGACCCGCTTTTGAAGCGCGGCGTGGGCGTCGCCGCCGACCTCCTCGACAAACACTTCGTCAAGGCTGTCGAGAAGCGCGAGGCGTCCGGCGACAGCGACGATAACATCGAGGGCCGAGTTCTCGCCATCGTCACCCTCACTGCCTTCGTATTCTTCGTCTTCTATGGCTTGGTAAGGCTGCCTACATGCTCCGCCAAGTACCGCTCTGCTTACTTGATCAGGTTCAATACACTCTTCGCCATGTCGTCACCACCCTCGCCCTGATCGAGACTCCCGCCACGGCTGTCCAGATCTCTGCTGCTCACCCTGATGAGGAATCCAACGTGAAGCTCGATGATAAGGGGGCTGAGGCCCAGGCCTTCCTCGGAGGCTCTCTGCCTAAGCTCACCGTCGTCAACACCAAGCCCATCACCTCGAAGATCCGCACCACCATCAAGCACATTACGTCGCAGACCGGATGGACTGCGCGCTGGCGTGGCATGGGCTATGGTTTCATCTACTCCGTGGCCTTCTCCTTGTTGGCGAATTCCCTTGCCGCCATCACCCCTGACCTTCCCGGCGTGAGCATCGTCACTGTTCTTCTCGCAACCGTCATCATGGCTCCGATTCATATGGTCTGGACGCACGCTACCATTGGTCTTGGCGTAAATTCATGGAGAGCCCGTTGGACCCCTGCCAAGGGCTTGGATTGCTACAAGAACCTCGCCATCCCCGCCCTCGTCTATGAGGGTGTTCAGATCTTGGTCGCTTACATGGCCGTCTGCATGGTTATGCTCGTCCCTCCGACTGTGCTGAATGGCGCTGAGGCAACTCCCTCCCAAAAGGCTTGGGCTGTTGTCCGCCTCGTCGGTGGTGTGCTGCTTCTTGCTGCTGCGGGCATCTTCGTCATTCTTCCTGCTCACACTCAGCTCGTTCGTGTCGAGGCGTCGATGCTCTCTGACGATGAGGAGACGATTGTTCCATTCGACCGTACCTTTGGCGGCAAGGTCGTCCCTAAGGTGCTCGGCGGATCTGGCGCCATCGGTTTCATGGACGCGTGGCGTTCGTTCAACCGCGAGGCCCGCGTGCGTGTCATCAAGCTCTACCTGAAGATCTTCGTCATTAGCGTGGCCCTTTTCCTTCTTTTCGTGCACGTCATTGGCTTGGAGATCCACCTCCTTAGCAAGCACTCCGTCGGTGAGGTCGTTAAATCTGTTAGGGAGCGCGCCCTCTAAACTTTCACATCACATGGCCCTGAACAAAGGTAGCTAGCAGGTTTCCGAAGTCATTGAAGCACACTGCTTGCTAGTAACTCCCAAACTCTTCACTAGACACCCTTTTCCCTTTCTCTTCAGCGTGGCAGCAAGCGCTGTCAAACACGATTCACGTACAAGATACCAAATTGAAACTTTGTTGTATGACTGGGCCGAAATCAGTGAGCGTTGACTATCGCGTGAACAATCCTTCTATCGGGACGATAAGGGTCCGCAAGCCGAAATGTGGCGTGTGGCTAGACAATCACATGCGGAATTACGCTCCGAAAATGAGGGGTGGCCGAGAAAATCAGACGCAGCAGAAGCGGCACGCGGCGGGATGGATAGACCAGGCAGTGGAGGGTGCGCTCGCGTGCCGAATCAGCTGCGGCGAGCAGTTGAAACAAAGGAAGTAACAGGGTTGGCAAGCTGCGTGTTCTGAGAGGACGGCTGTCATGGAAGGCCAGCGTCCCGATGACGAAATGGAACTAGCACCCGCGGCCCCAAAACTCCATTGTCGCGCGACCAATAAACCTGTTAGACGGAACGACGCGCCTGCCACAACAGCTTGCCTGCCTGCCACACAAAAAGCGCAGCCTCCCCGAGCAAAACCAATCCCGAAGCCACCACCTGCTCCCTCCCAATCCCTCCTCCTCCCTAAAGCATGACCACCGAAGCTCCGCCCCAAATCCCTACGCCGGATCTTAGTATTACCAACGGTGGAAACTACGTCGATCTTGATCCCACGCAAGACATTCCCACGCAGAGCGCTCCCGAGCCGACTTCTGCGCCCGCCGCCGAGTCCACTCCGCAGACGAACGGCACGTACAAGACCGCGATTGTCAACTGTAAGGTACGTGCTCCGGTCAGCGAGAGCTATGCACCCTTGTCATCGGCGCTTCCGGAGCGGCAGCTAACGCTCGGTGCATAACCACAGTTCCCTTATCTGCTCTTGCGCGCACACCACCTCGCTCCTCAACTCCTCGCCTGACTCTCCTTTCACAGCTGCGCAATCCGCCATGGACACGGTTCAGAACTCTTCGCTTGCCCAGCAAGCCATCAACGGTAGGGTATGTGCTCTCCGCTCAGCCCGTCATTTTGCGCAAAGATTGTGCGCTAATCGTGCGACAGGATTCCGCCTCGTGCCCGCCTCCAAAACTGCGCCAAATGGCTTTGCTGACCGCTCCTAGGCCCCGTTGGCGAGAGCGTCAAGTCTGAGACTGCAAAGACGCAGTCTGAGTTCCGCGACCTCGCTGACGCCCGTCGCGTGCCGAACCAGCCTGCCGCTACCGGCCAGCCCTTGACCCGTAGGCAGCACCCACAGTTGCGAACAGGTTACCTCACGATGATGTACTGACCAATTTCCAGACTACCACTCCATGTTCTACAGGCTTCTTAGCGTGAGTTTTCCCGCATTGACTTTTTACCCTTTGACGTCACGATAACTAACCAGCACCAGTGGAGGAACCCCCGCGCAACCAGCATCTCGTTTGCCTGCTCTGTCCTCTTCATTTTCGCCGCGCGCTATGTAAACATCGTCCGCTACATCTTCAAGCTCCTCTGGGTTACTCTCGGCTGTGCGTATACAATTGGTTAGAGACCTGATCGGTGGATTCTGACAGCTGGTAGGCACTGCGTTCGCTGAGGTCGCTGGACAGGCCGCTCTGGGCCATGGACTTGCTACACAGATGCGCCCACGCAAGTATTACATGATCCGCAAGGACTCCTTGGAGCGCCTTACGGACGATCTGGAGCAGCTCATCAACTTCTTCGTCATTGAGTTCCAGCGCGTGGTGTTCGTTGAGAACCTCTACGTCAGCGGGGCGGTAAGCATAGAATCGAGTCCGGTGGCTGTTTTCGGAGGGATGCTGACATGTTAAACAGTGCTTTGTTGCCTCGTTCATCTCCTACTGGCTCATCAAGTGGCTCCCTCTCTGGGGTCTCAGCCTGATTGCCACGATCCTCCTCTACATGGGCCCTCTCGTGTACATTCAGAACAAGGAGTACATCGACGAGCAGCTCCGCCTTACCAACAAGATGCTGAACGAGCAGACCCACCAGTTCAAGGAACTCGCTGCTCAGCACAGCACCCGTGCGCAGAAGCAGCTGAAGGTCTACGCGGATGAGTACAGCCACAAGGCGCAGGAGATGATTGGACAAGCCAAGAACAAGGCTTTCCCTACCAGGAGCCGGCCGACGACTCCGGCTGCTCCTGCAGCTGCTCCCGCTGCGGCCGCTCCTGAGATGACGCAGGAGAAGGCTCCGCTTCAGGAGGCTGACTTCCCTGAGGCTCCCAAGGAAGCCCTCGCGGCCGATGTTCCTGAGGTTCCCCATGTTCAGGAGCCCGCTGAGGATTTGATTGATACCAAGGTTCCCGAGCCGGCTATCTAAATCAAGACGCTTCTCCATCCATTGATAATTCTATGGAGAAGGCGGATGGCAGTTGCTGGGACACCGGTAGATGTTCATCCTTACCTGAAATTGTACGGACGAGATGACGGATGACGTGACGGATGCTTCCTTGTCTTCGTAATGAGAACACGGCATCTCGTCATGAAACTCTCCTTTTCCTTTTGCTTTCATTCCCTGCAGTATGATCTATCCGGAACACACTGTATAATTGCATTCGAAAAAGCGAGCCCATTTTCATTTTCATACATCATGCAGCGGTTTCACCCTTTCCCTGTTCGGCTTCATTTCACCATTGGCGGGGCATTGCTGGTGCTGGTATTAGCAGGAATGAGCGAGTGAGTAGTTGATGGTTTGGTAATGTTAGGTTGAAATGGAGTTTTGCAATGCTGCCAACTATTGCGTGCGCCTGACAAGTACATTTAAAACATGCAATGACATAGTGTACTGACCCTTCCTTACGCCTGAAAAATCCTCATATGTGGGGCAATTGAAAGTACATATGTTAGGGGGTTGCCACAAGTTTTTCTTTTGATGTTCATTCCTGCTCGTACTGCATCCACCTAGTCGTCTCGCGATCACACCAATCCCAGAAGCGCTCGGCGATACCCCAGCCTCCCTCATAGTGAAGCCGTATCGCCTGCTGCAAGCCCTGACGCGGTTCGAAAATGCGTCCCCATGGAACAACCAGGCAGCCAGCATTATGCTGGCCGATTGCCGGACTCCAGCCAGCGAAAAGCTCTGTGCAAGCGCCGAGCTTTGCGGGGTAGAGGATGATTTGCTTTTTATTCGTGTCAGCAATGCATTTGCAGTTACACAGCTTCAGTACTCACCATCATGAATGCAAGGATGGGATTGGAATGCCTGAACAGCTCGGTCCTCAGGTTGCCCGGGTTGTAGGCGACACTGACAATGCCAGTGTCGCGGCCATAGCGACGGGCGAACTCGGAGGCGAGGAAGAGGTTGCCAACCTTGGACTGGGCGTAGTTGGTGGCGCCGCTGGCGTGGGTGACGGGTGCCTTCTTCTTGTCGTTCCACTCGATGCCGAACTCGGGGGCGGTGTCGATGGCAACGGAGGCGGCCCAAGTGACACGGACGGCGTTGGGGCCGGAGATCTGGGCCGTCTTCTCGAGCAGCGGGAGCAGCAGCTTGGTCAGGAGGAAGGGGCCCAGGCAGTTGGTGCCCATCTGCAGCTCGTAGCCCTCCTCGGTCGTGCTGCCGTCGTCGACGGGCGTCATGACGCCGGCGTTGTTGACCAAGACGTCCAGGCGCCGCTCGCGCTTGAGGAAGTCCTCAGCCGTCTTCTTGATCGAAGAGAGGTCGCCCAGGTCAAGCTTGAGGAACTCCAGCCGGCCGTCGGAGCGCGGGACCTCGTCCTCGATGTCGGCGATGGCCATGGCGGCCTTCTTCACGCTGCGGCCCGCGATGTAGACGGTTGCGTTCTTGGCATACAGGGCTTTGGTGAGCTCGAAGCCGACGCCGCCATATCCGCCGGTCACGATGATGACCTTGGGTCGTGGGTTAGCCAATAGTTATTGAGTGATGGATATTCATTCGTTCTCACTCTTCCAGACTGGTCATCGAGGTTCTCAGCCGACAATGGAGGCGCCGGGATGAAAAACGACTGAAGGAAGATGTTCTTCAGTCTTTCCACCCAGCCCGACATGTTGATTAGGGAGTAGCTGATAAAGGACAAATAGAAAGGAACCAAACAGACTAGGACTTAGGGGAAAAGTGAAGGGTAACTGGCAGATTATTAGAGCGTAACCGGGGGTGTGGAGCGGGCGAACCACGAGAAGTGGAATTGAGCCGCGTGGATGCAGTGAATCGGGAGTGTGGAGAATCCAGTCCCTGGCCCAGAGTTCTCTGTCCTTCCACAGCTGCGCTTTTAAGTCCGATGACGCCAGACCGCTTCCGGGATCCTTGCGCAGATCACCCTTAGCTCGCGTTCTCGCCAGCTCGACACCCCGCCGAAGTTTGCTTTTCGAGAAGAGGAAAGCGAACAGCAGGATGATAAAGTGGTGCCCTTTAGAAAATCAAGCACTTGCTACTCTATATATATAAGCTTTTGCATCTCATCAATAAATTGGCATTCTCCGTCGCTGGCATCAGATAACTGTTGCCCGGGCCAGGCTTTGCAGCCCGGATCTACTTTTGGCCGGCGCGGCGGCGGGCGGTCGAAGAAATAATGTGAGGGCTCGCGACCAATCCAGAGCACGCACCACAACCTCTCAACTTACCTTTTACACCTCGCGCAATCAGATCACTATGGGCAGGCGCGGAGGCAGAGGCGTATGTCCATTGATCTACGCACGCAATCCTCTATACTTACACATATTTAGGGTGGACGCGGTCGCGGCCGTGGCAGCCGCGGCGGTTATGGCGGCGGATCTCGTGGCGATTGGAAGGAGGTTGAGAAGCACAACGTCAACTTCGAGAAGTACTACAATGAGCTTGGCATTGTGCCCGAGGAGGAGCGTGAGCAGTTCTGGACAGCCTTGAAGAAGGAATTGCCCAACAGCTTCCGCTTCACTGGCTCCAAAGGGTACGTCGCGCCGCCTTGCTCGCTTTGGAAATTTTCGCTCACCTCGACAGCCATGCCCTCGCCGTCCAGCAGCGCCTGATTGACCAGTACATCCCGGAAATCACCAAGGTTACCTTCGACGGCCAGAAGGTCGAGCCCCCGACCCAGCTCGAGTGGTTCCCCGAGAAGCTCGCCTGGCAGATGACCACCCCGAAAAACGTTATCCGCAAGTTCCCTCCCTTCGCCTCCTTCCAAAAGTTCCTCGTTTCCGAGACCACCGTTGGCAACATTAGCAGGCAGGAGGTCGTCAGCATGATCCCTCCGCTGCTTATCGATATCAAGCCTTGGCATACTGTGTTGGACCTGTGCGCTGCTCCTGGTAGCAAGTCGGCGCAGCTGTGCGAGGCCATCCATGCAGGCGAGGAGGCTCGTATCCGCAACGTTCTGCGCAAGCTCGCACCGGAGCTGGGCCGCGAAATCAGCCCTGACGGCGCCGAGGTTGAGGCAGAGAAGGATCAGGTCGGAGAGCAGGAGGATGATTCCGACGATGGCAGGGCGACTGGTCTTTTGGTCTGCAACGATGTCGACAACAGGCGCGCCCACATGCTGGTCCACCAGGTCAAGCGTTTGAACTCGCCGAACTTGATCGTCACCAACCACGATGCCACGCTTTTCCCCTCGATCAGAATCCCTTCGGAGCAGGGCCAGCCTAACAAATACCTGAAGTTCGATCGTATCTTGGCTGATGTCCCATGCTCTGGAGACGGAACAGCACGCAAGAACCCAGGTGTTTGGAAGGATTGGACTGCGGGCAACGGCCTTGGACTCTACATTACGCAGCAGCGCATTCTTGTCCGTGCGCTGCAAATGCTGAAGGTCGGAGGTCGTGTTGTTTACTCGACCTGCAGTTTGAACCCCATCGAGAACGAGGCCGTGGTCGCGAGCGCTATCGATCGCTGTGGTGGTATGTCCAAGGTCCGCATCATTGATTGTAGCCAGGAGCTTCCTGGTCTGAAGAGAGTTCCCGGCTTGAGCACCTGGAAGGTCATGGATAAGCAGGGTCGCATGTACAGCTCCTTTCACGAGGTTGCTGCCAAGCAGTCGGAACAGGGCGAAGAGAATCTGAAGAAAATCGTCGAGGGCATGTTTCCGCCTAAGCCCACAGAGAACGAGGAGGAAAGGATACCGCTTGAGCGTTGTATCCGCGTCTACCCTCACCTTCAGGACACTGGCGGTTTCTTCATCACGGTCATTGAGAAGAAGGAGGAGATCAGAGCTCGCCCCGAGTACCAGGCAAGCGCCTCCGGCGCAAGGACTGTTCCTACGGCGCCGATCACGAACCTGGTCAATGAGATTGAGCAGAAGACGGAGAACGGAGAGAAGCTGGAGGGGCTCAAGTCTTTGGATGAGGTCACGAACACCGACAGCAAGGCTGAGAGCGCTCCGGCTGAAGGCAACGACCCTGCCGCAGTGCGAAGCAACTTGCCTCCGCCGTCTCCTGTTAAGCGAAGCTTGGAAGATTCTGAGGCCGAGGGCCCCGCTGCCAAGCGCACCAAGGTCGATGTTCCGCCAGAGCATGAGGAGGTGCCACCTGCTGTTTCGACACGCGAGAACAAGGCTGAAGGCTCAGCAACTGATCTGTCGAAGCCAGAGAAGAAGAGGCGGGATCAGCCGCACGAGGAGCCTTTCAAGTACCTCGACCCCAAGCACGAGGTCTTGGAGGACATCTTCGGTTTCTACAAGATTGCCCCCAGGTTCCCTCGCGATCGCTTCATGGTCAGGAATGCGTCTGGAGAACCTGCCAAGGCGGTCTACTACACATCCACCCTCGCACGAGACATCCTTCAGATCAACGAGGGCAAGGGTATGAAGTTCGTTCACTGTGGTGTGAAGATGTTCATGAAGCAGGACGCCCAGGGTCAGGATATCTGCAGGTGGCGTATCCAGTCCGAGGGTCTTCCGATTGTTGAGCCCTGGGTTGGCGAGGAGAGGATTGTCCGCCTGTACAAGCGCGAGACGCTTCACAAGCTCCTAATCGAGATGTTCCCCAAGGTTGCGGGTGACGGATGGCAGGAACTTGGTGAGATTGGCGAGAGGGTGAGAGATATTTCTATGGGTTGCTGCGTCCTTAGAGTGGAGAGCAGCGACGCCGAGGACGGATTCAAGTAAGCACTATACCTCTGACGCTCTCAAAGCTTTCGCGACTAACCACAACACAGGGATCGCCTGGTTCTTCCGCTGTGGAGGAGCATCTCTTCCTTGAACCTGATGTTGCCGAAGGAAGATCGCAAGTAAGTCTACATTGCGCTATGCACAAATATTGCAAGTAACTAGAAGCTAACTAATCCAGGGCTATGCTCCTTCGTCTTTACAACGATAACTCGGAGCTCATCGACCACTCCAAGAAGTCGTTCAACAAGCCCAGCGAGTCTGAAGCGAATGGGGAGTCTGGCGAAGCCATTGATGCTGATGTGGCGTCGGGTGCTGCCGCAGAGGAAGAAGTCATTTCGGCCGAGGACAGGGCTGATGCAGCCAAGCAAGAGGAGAAGGATGATACCCGGGAAACGGCAGAGGGGGATGTTGTCGCACGGGAGGACGACGTTGTCAACACCACGGTCTGATCTGCAACATAATTTGGACCTCGCTACTGATACGGTTGGATATTTCAAGCGTAAAGGCGGCCTTTCGAGAAGAGGGCTATGGGTTGAGGGCATAAGCGACGGACTCTCCCGGGTTCTCCCCCTTGCAGCACTGGTTTTCTCATGGGTCTGATTCGTTTAGCCGCACGTTTCCGATGCAGCAAAAAGTTTATTTCTACCGGGCTTGGATAGCATACAGAGAGTACAAATCGACTACATAACTGCTCCTCAAGACGATGGAGTGAATTGGTACGTGTACACCACTCCAGCTTCACCGCTCCAGCTGCCAGCGCATGTAGCATGGCAATCGTCACCGAATCAAGAGTGAAGTACCCCAGGAACCGGAAGTGCGCCGGAAGCGGCAGGGAATAAGCTTGCGGCAGAAGTGTGGGGAAGCTCTGGGCTATGCGGGGAAAGCTGCACTGAGGGCGGAGAAGCTCACTGAAGCCTGCACCCTCTTTGGTCCAGCACTGCAGAAAGCCCACTCAGCTCTTCCATAACTCCGCAGCTTATGCTAGGAATGGCCTGGATCCCCGGTTCCCTGCTTCATCTGCTGCTCCACTATGCGGTTCCATGATAAATTCTGGTTCTGCTTCCTTCTACCCGCATATCATCATTGTTGCACGACAGCTTCTCGGAAAGTCTCCTTCAACCCCTCTCCGTAAGCTAACCTGCCGCGTCACTACACCATTATTCACGTCCCCGGAAACTTCGCAGCCTAAAGGCTCAGAAGAGTCACTTTAGCGTTTGCAACACACCACCACAACAGGCCGAAAAAGTGAAAGGAAGTAAAAACAACCTAAACCTCATCACTGCTTGGTGGGACAAGAAAAAAAAAGCAAAAGCAATATCCCTCCTTGGCAAGACCTAAACGCTCTTTCCCTCCCCAGACGCCCCGACAATAATCACAACAACAACAACAACAACAACAACAACACCATCACTCCAAAGAGCATGGCGTCCTCCGGCCCCCGCAACGCTCTCTCCAAAACCACAGCCGCCGCCACGACGGCCGCGCGCACGACGGCCCACGCAGCGACGGGCACCGCGCACGCCGCGGCGCGCGCACTCGCCCTCGCGCCCACCGTCGCCCTCAACGCCGCCCTCTCGCCGTCGCTGACCGGCCTACTGCTGCTCGTCCTGACGACGCGCGGCGGGCCGTCTTTCGTCCGCGACGCCCGCGCGCGCCTCGAGCGCCTGCTCAGCGGGAGCGGCGGCAGTGGCGGCTTGCGGACGGCGGTGGAAGCTAGGCGCCGCTTGGACAGGGCGACGGACGTGCTGAAGGTGCTGTTCGCGGTCGGCCTCGCGCGGGTGCTGAATGCGGTGTTGAATCGGTGGGCGATGCAGCAGTGGCGGTGGAAAAGGCCCGCGGTAGGGCTGGGTGGTGGCGCGGGGAGGGTGGCTGCGCGGGAGAAGAATAGTCCCGGGTTGTTGTGGGACTTTGATGGGAAGAGGGGGGTTGGGGAGGTGGTGGTCGTGACGGGTGGCTGTGGGGGGATCGGGAAGGAGATCGTGATGGGGTTGGTGGAGGGGGAGAAGGGGGGTGGGCGCGGAGTGGAGGGCGTGAAGGTCGTGGTGCTGGATGTGGTTGACTTGCCGCCGGAGCTTGAGGGCCGTGAGTTTTCTCGTTTCTTTTTTCCTGAACTTTCTTTTTATTTTGATGGGTTTGTGCTGATATAAAGACTTGTAGGCGCTAATGTCGTCTTTTACGGCTGCGACTTGACATCGTCGTCGTCCATCCATGAGACAGCCGCCATGGTCCGCGCTGATTGCGGTAACCCGACTGTGCTCATCAACAATGCGGGTGTTGCTCAGCAGCACGCAATCCTCGAGGGAAGCGATGAGTACGACGAGCAGCTCTTCCGCGTGAATGTGCTCAGTCACTTCACTCTCATCCGGGAGTTCCTTCCGGGCATGCTTGCCCAGAAGAAGGGCCACATTTTCACTGTCGCCAGCTTGTCGAGCTTCTTCACCCCTTCCGGCATCGTCAACTACGCTGCCAGCAAGGCCGCGGTCTTGTCTTTGCACGAAGGTGAGTATTGACTCCTACTCTTACGTCCCAGCATATAAAAGAGCGTGAATACTGAATCTCGCCTCAAGGTCTCAACGTCGAGCTTCGTCACCGCTACGGCCCTGCCGGCAAGCACATCATCACATCGATTATCCATCCGACGTGGACCCAGACGCCCCTCATGGACTCATGGATCGCCAGTCTGAAGAAGAGCCGCACCTTGATCCGCGAGCCCGCCGAGGTTGCGAAAAAGATCGTGCGCCAGGTGCTCCGCGCCGAACCGGCGCAGGTGTTTGTGCCGGAGAGCGGTGCCCTATTTTCCAGCTTCAGGGGCTGGCCGACTTGGATTCAGGAGTTACTTAGGGATGGTGCTGATAAGAAGACGCGGCCGCTTGGCGATTACGACAATTCGAAGGGGAAAGGCCGGGCCAGTGACGTCGGGTATGGCGTTGGTGAGGATAGAGAAGCGTTTGGAAATTCGAGGAGCTATGATATCGTGGAGGAGTAAAGTTGGACTCCAGGCAGCTGGTTTCTTTTTTCCTTTTGCTCTGGGATCCTTGGTAGTCTGGGCTCCGGTCTGTCTTTTCGGTGTTTTAGGAATTCTAGCCCTTGGACTTTTCCTTTGTCGCTACTGAATGCTGGATCTATCTCTTCTGAGCCCCTTCAGCTTTTGATTATTCGCGGTCCTTAACCTCCAATGATTTCGTCCGTTTAACTGTCTTTTTCTAAGTAAATTAGCAAAGTAGTTAATACCCTCCCAAGAATCTTCAGTGATGCACTAGTACTCGGGAATATAGGGCAAAAGATCTTGAAGAAAATACTTGTACCAGACCCTGATTTTGTGAAGACATACTTATTTATCTCCAACATCGAAAGTCACAACTAGGCTGGAGGATAACGAGTTCAGGAACAAAACGGATCTACAAAATTCGAACGCCCATACACAACTCCCGCTACCTAGAAACGCCGGGGCATATAATTTTAAGCCGAAAACGATCTACACAAGCAATAAACACTTCGCGATCCCCCTCTCATAGTATCATAAACACCGCGCCGCCAATCGTCAAAACCACCAACCCCACCGTCAAAATCGCCGCGCCTGCCCTATCACTCCCCGTCACCTCGTCTACCCTGGGCTTCGCAACGCCGCTCCCCGTGCCGGCGCTGGGGTCGCCGGTGCTGTTGCCGCCGGTATTCGCGCTCAACGGCGGCCGGAGCGACGTCGCGCCGCCGCCGCCGGAGCCGTTGTCCAAGAACAGCATGTTGGCCTGGACGACGCTCAGGGCGCTCATCTGCTCGCCGATGCCCTGGAAGCCGTCCCAGTCGTCCTGGTACCAGCGCCTGCCGCACATGATGCCGCCGTCGCCGCCGGCGCACTGCTTGGCGGCGCCCTGGGCGCTGGCGCGGATGCGCGGGGCGATGGCTGCGGCGGTAAAAGGGGCGATCTGCGCCGCGACGGCCATCCAGCGCGACAGGTACGCCTTGAAGGACGGCTGGTCGTTGTCGCACGTCTGGCCCTGCTCGCACGTGATTTCGGACATGATGGTGCCGCCGGCGTACTGTTTGGGGAAGAAGACGTCGTAGGTGCCGTTGAGGAGGGCCGACAGGCGCGTCTCCCAGACGGCGGAGCCGTTGGTGTGGTTGTACATGTAGGCGGCGCCCGAGACGAGGGTGCCGTAGTTGTACGTCCATTGCAGCCGGTCCGCCTCGCTGCAGTTCGCCGTCGTCGACGAGCCGTCGTTGACCGTGTACTTGGTCGCCGACGACTTCACGTCCAGCAGCGGCGACTGGGCCAGCCAGTCCCACATCCGGTCCGCCCAGTCGGCGTACGTCTCGTTGCCCGTGTAGCGTGCCAGCCGGGCCGACAGCTGGAAGAAGCCACCGTTGGAGATGGCGTTCTTGTAGTCGTATCCGTTGTTGAAAGTAAAAATCTGCCAGCGCAACCCGCCGCCGCAGGACGTCGTATCCCAGCGCGCGGCTTGTGTGTTGAAAACAGCCTGGGCTAGTGCCAACCATTGCGGTTGGTCTGCTGGTGGGTTGGGGAAGCCGAGTTCGGCGGCGGAGAGGGCGGCAAACGCCCAGAATACTTGGTCATCATTACCCTACAGATGAGAATAAGTAAAACAGCCTTCGCTGCGGATCCAAGAGCACACCTCATCTCTTGTCTGGTTTGCCGGCATGAAGTCCTTATTTTCTCCAACCTGAAAAAGTAACGCCTGTGACGTAACGTCGTTGTAGGTAGTGTCGCCAGTGTAGTACCAGTACTCGACTAATGTCATGAACATGGATCCTGCCTCCCACCAGTAGTATGGTTGAGGCAAGTAGCCAGGAATTTGGCCCGTCTGGTTCCCTGTGTAGGATTTCATCATTCCGTACGCGATGGTGCTGGCAGCAGACTTGATGCTATCTTCAACTGGTTAGAAGGATACTATAGCTGTAAAACCAACACCAGACTCACTTGAATCATCGATGTTGAGCGTTATGGCAGCTGAGTGCTGCACAAAGCGGCTCAACGAGGCGAGCGACAGCAGTGTCGCAACCGTAGGCGCGAACATCCACATTTTCCGGGGGAGCGAAAGCGAGAGTACTTGGTTGGAGAATTAGCAAGAGCGGATGGCTGAGAAGTAGCCTGAACAGCCATAGCAGGGGCGGCAGGAAGGGCGGGAGAAAGTCGTTGGCAAAAAAAAGTGAGCGGGAGCAGCTGTCATCTGGCACGGCGACGGGGGTGGCTGTGAGGCTGGGTACGGTGTGGATGACTGGCTGCTTCCTCGGGCGCCAACTGCAGCTGCTTCGGCCGGGGAGAGCCGGGGGGCGCTGCGGCATGGTACGAGCGAAATGCGCGCAGCAGCTAGGCCTAGCCGGTCTTTGCCGGCGAATCATCCGCTCGACGGGATCCTTAAGGTTCCCGGCAGCTGACGCGGCCAATCCCTGGAATCAGGCCTTTGATGGATGAGACTGAGATGCGGAGTGTCGCAGAATGGCCGGTGCCCACGGCGAGGAATGGTATGCGTCGATCAAGCTTTTCAAGCTTTGTGGGGAAAGGCTTGTGTGCGCTTGGCACCCTGTCGCACGCCTGGTGTCCCACTTTTCCCCTCTCATTTCTCCCCTTATTGTGCGCACCGGCACTCCTGGGAGCCTTGCGCTCTTCTGCTCTTCGCTCCACCCTGGAACTCAAGCACTGAAAACGGTATTCTTACTGCTTTGTTCTGTTGTCATCCAGTGCTCACTCATCCTGAACGCATCAGCACTCACGAGAAAACCTTTCACGTGTTCAAAAGCGTAGGCCGAAACACTGACGAGTCTAAGCCTCAAATTCGTCGGCGCCATGGCCCGTCTAAATTTGGCTCATTCAGGATCAATGAATCCACAAACCGGACGCTGCTTATTCCCGATCGCGTCATTGGGGTGACACCGACCTAAAACTGCGCAGCGCGTAGCTGCCTTACCATCCGTCCGTGGATGCCTTGCCATCAGCCCTCATACGAAACCACGTCTGTCGGAAATCACACCTCTTCATCGCAGCCTGTCTCCTGTACGACGCATACTGCGTTAACGAGGTTTTGTATTACTGATGAAGAAGATCATGAGGTGTACCTTGACTGATTGAGCCAACCCCCTAGTTGGATCAGGTTTCGCAAGCTATCAAGTTCGGCCCTCCAACCTGCTCCCACGTCGCCATCTTGACCAATTCCTACCCATATCCTACTTTTATTTTCCCTCCTTCTTGTCATCGGCCCCGCAGAGCCGTTCAGGCCCTGGTCTCAGTCCAACTAGAAGGGCGTAGATTGACGCTTCCATTATGCTGATTGATTGTGGAAGCGAGGAAGGCGTGATGAATGCGGATAGCCCGCCTTGGCTGCACGTTGGACCGTGATATGTCTGTGCAGGGCGCTGTTTTTGTAATGAGTAGGCACAGCAGGCATCATTTTCACGCAGAAAGACCACGCTTCTCGCTCTCCGTGAAGAAAATGATCATGCGGTAGATCTTGCGGACCAGTTCCTCGGCTTCCTCGTCGAGCGCCTAGTATTTTGTCAGTATCTGGCATATACAAAGGGGTTACACAAGCCAGCGCCACTTACCATTGACAGCTCATCCACCAAGTCTTGGGGCTTGGCCTTCTTGCGGATGTGCTCAAGGATAACCTCTACAATAGCCTGCTCCTGGATCCCGAGCAGTTCCACAATCTTCCTCTCAATAAACGGCTGCAGCTGTTCGCTGACAACTTCGTCCAGCAGGTGATCCCACTTGACTTCCCAGGCCCACAGGCCGTCGCGATCCACGGGGATCTCGCGAGCAAGCTGCTGCGCTGCCTGCTGGCGCTCTTCCTCTGACATGGTGGCCACGTCTGAACTGTCGAATTTGATTGGAATAAGTTTGCGAGGTTGAGCATTGGCCGAGGCGGCATCCTCTTCGTCCTCGAGCAAGCCCTCGACTTCGGCAGCGGTACGGCGTGGCGCCGCTTGCTGAGCACGCTGGGAGGCGGCAGCACCAAGGGACATCTTGAAACGCGGCGGCTCGCGGGGTGTTGTGGGCGTATTCCGGTCGGCGATGTCCTTTGCCGTCTGGGATAGGAACGAGTCGGCCAGGTCGCGAGCTTCCTGGTTCTTCTCCTTTTCCTTCTGCTTTTCGCGCTCTTCCGCGCTGCGGTCCTTGTCGTCCGCAGTAGACTCACGCGCACGGAACGCAGACCTGTTGCGTAGCCACATAGTCCTGTCCGCGTAGTACTCCTCGGTGCGGCGAGTTGCCTCAGCGTCGTCGTCCCAATCGGCCAGTCTCTTACGCATCGCTTCGACTTCCGCCTCACGCGTGGCTGTCTCCTTCTTCTCACGTGCCTCTTCACGTTCCAGAGCAGAGGTACGAGAAGTCTCACGGCTTACCCAACGACGCTCGTACTCAAGGTAGGCCTTTTCCTCCTCTTCTTCTTTCTTCTTCCTACGACGCTGCTCCAACTCCTCATCACTCGCCGAATCATCCTCGTCAGCGCGGTTGATGTACGGGCAATTCGCCATGTCCCTGGCCGAGATTGTACCACCACCAACGAAAGCGACGCCGTTTTGGTAGTCCTTGGGAATTTGAGCTCCCTGGAAGGCTTTCGGGCCACTAGGAGCGCCCTCGACACCGCGTTTGCTGGGACCAAGAGGGATACCATTAGCTCCACCGGCTGGACCGCTGGGAGCCGAAGCAGGCGGCGAAGCGAGACGGTTATAGCGAGCCCCCGAACTCTTCTGGCGCTCCAGTTTCTCAATCTCCTCCTCACGCGCCAGACGTTCCATATCCCGGCGAACGCTTCTGTCACGGAAAGCTGCAATTTCCGCTGCAACAGTTTCACGCATCTCGGGCGGGATATCCGACAGTTCATCCTCGACTGTTAGAGGGATGGTGACGACTTCACCAGTTGCACCGTCTACCTTGGTCTCAGAACCTGCCATATTAACATCTCCGTCTGCATCCTCGGTAAGGCTCTCGCGAGGGTTCTTGAGACTAGCCAGGACACCAGTCAGAGCTTCCTTGGCAGTATCAATGCGGAATTGGGAAGCGGCCTCGTCCTCATCACGCTTGCCCTTCCACTCTTCGGCGTACTTCATGGAAGCCTCGTCGACGACGACCTACAAATACCGTAAGTAATCTTGGGGTCAAAAATGTGCCTGGGGAGCGTACCAAAAGCCGCGCCATCTCAACCTCCTCGTCCTCACCCTTGCCAGGCTCCTGCTTCTTGGCCGGAACCTCAATGCCATCCTGAAATATAGCGGCGGCCGTCTCTAAGCTCTCGGCATCCTCGAACTCGGCGAAGCCAAACTTGCAAGGCTTGTTGTCCGCATCCGTTGCCCTCGTCCACCGGCGCAAGCTGCCTGCGCAACGTAGAATCCTCTCCAACCCCTCATCACCGCCAACACCTTCAGTGATATTGCTTACGAAGATGGTGCGTGCAATTTCCTCCCGTGTGGGAGGCTGCAGCGACATCATCGACTCGCGTTGTTGTGTCCGCGAGTCCGAGCCGCGATAGTCGCTGCCCAAGCCGGCACGTCTGGCACCTCCCGAGGCAGATTCGCCAGCTCCCTTGCGGTCATCTCCCTTTGCGCTCGGTCCGGTGGTTCCCAAGCGAATGACTGGGGCGTTGAAGTTGATGTTCGGCATTCCAGCTGGCGGAGCAAAGTTCGGGGGCAGGTTGCCCGGGCGCGCGGGCAGCGGCGATTGAGACTGCTGGATACCGGGAGGAGGCGTGACACCGGGGGCTGGCATGGCTCCTGGGGGCGGGCCTACAAGCATATGGGGGTCAGTTTGGTGTCGTGTGCATTAGGATCGTAGCTTTCTGGTCCTTACCCATTCCTGGCGGAGGTGCCATGCCTGGCGGCGCGCCTTGAGCGCCGGGAAAGGCGCCATAGCCTGGCGGGCGGCCGTATTGTCCTCCAGCTAAAAGAGATTAGCAAGGTGTCGTCAACGGATGTAGCTTTAGGCATGCGCGCGGAGCCGACATACGAAAGTTATACATAGTCGTGTGGCGGCGCGTCAATGGATCTCGAGCGGGAGATTATTTAATTTCGAGGCAGACTCCCAGGAGAGAGGGTCGTGGTGGTGAGCGGAGCGCGCAGCGAAAAGAGTGACGCAAGTGGTGTGGTGAAGGTCGAGGAGCGGGCCAGCAAGCAAAGTGCTAGGTAGAGAAGCCCGGCGCGTCGAGCTTCTTCACGCCGCGGTGCACGGACCACGAAACGTCGTGCGGAAGATCATTTTCGTCTCCAGACGCCGTCCGCCAGCAACTTCAAACCATTGCCAACGTACGTCATCCCGAGGACGCCTTGCGAAGCGCTGCTCCTGACCATAAAGACACAGAAGATGGAAGTACGACGGATAGGCGAGGCGCTTTTGCGCTCCCGGCCCAATACCCTTCTCTCGCGGCCATGCCAGAGTCACATTAGCATGCTTTCGACCCGCGCATACTCCGTTTCCGCCGTGAAGCGGCAGCAGCAGCAGCCTAGGCCCTCAGCTAACTCGTCCGCCCAACCTCGCGAGTACACCTCTGAGCAGCGCTCGCAAAACGAAACCGCTCCCTCACCGCCTGGGGACGCCCTGTCCTATCTCGATGCCAGATTGGACTTCCGCAGCCCCAACCAGCGCACCTCGCGCTTCCCGTCCTCTAATGCCCAATACGCCAACAGAACAACCACCGCCTACGATATCCCAAGCGGCTCCTCCGCTGACGACGCGGCAGCGCGCTACAATGGCGCGTCCAGGAGCGGCTTCGGCAACGAATTCGACAACCTTCTAGGCCGCCCAACATCGAGCACCGGCAACGGCGTGTCTGAGCTCTTTGGCTTCATGGTGCCGAAACAGAAGCAGAAAAATCTGGTTGAGCCGCCGGACCCAGCGACGCTGCCGCGCCTGGGCCCGTCCGTCGGCCGCAGCGTATCCATCCGCGACAACGTCGACTTAGCTAAGGGTCTGCGTCAGTTGGACGTTATCTGTGGGCGCAACCGCATCCGCGGTGAAGCCAACAGACAGCGCTTTCACGAGCGTCCTGGTCTGAAGAGGAAGAGGCTGGCGAGTCAGCGTTGGAGAAAGCGGTTCATGGACGGATTCCAGGCTACTATTTCGAGGGTGCAGTACCTCAAGAGGCAGGGATGGTAGAAAGATGGTGCATCATCGGCGCATAGGTTCCGGTTCAAGTGTGCTAGGGGGCCATACTCCTACAGCTGTTGAGCGATAATCCGGGTGGAACAATCATGTTGGGGTTGCTTCTCAATGCGGAAAGCCGGGGGCCATCGTGCTGATTTGGACTGTTGTGCGGAAAGTGGCGGCCCGCGAATAGGAACCCACGGAAGCACTCATAGGAGCAACGGAGACCTGTCCTCCATCGCGCAGCTGGGCGGCTTCCGGTTTCTGTACAGCGGCGGTGCGCTTTTCTTCTCCCCTTCACTTATCTGGGCTCGTCAAGCGGTGGCGTTTCTCTACGCTTTGTTGAACACATCTGGAAACATACGCCAACTGCGACAAGGGTTTATATCAAGCACACCAAGGAAAGTATCAGTCGCATGCTTCAACTGTACTTCAAAATGTATCATCTTGTACATGAAATCTCACTCGTTCGAGATTGTCACGAGCGTCACCCATCCAGTCCATGCTTCGGGATGCGGTCCCAACCACAATGAAAGGTGCTTCCGCAACGCCAACCTTACAGTGCTCCCACTAGATGTTCATAACCCCCGATTTCCAATCCGATTTCAGTGGCTGCCCGACCTACCTTTTCCGAGACTCCACTTCTTGCCCCTGCTACGAGAACCGTCGCCGATTGCGAATCCGCCCAACCTTCCGATACCGACACCCATCGCACGGATCCGGCCTTGTCGCATTTCTACTTCCGACCTGAACTTGCTCCAACTGCGCTCTCGCTCTTCCCTAGTCGATTATTAGCTGAAATGTATAGTCTCTATCGCACCAAGAACACATACCAATCGGCCATCTGGGACAACATGAAATCCCAACTCTTGTTTTCCTGCACTAATCGCATATCGCCATCAGTCTTCAAACACGCCTCCCGATACAACCGCTGCTGCCTGGCCCTCTTCGCTGCCTCCTCACCCACCAACGCCGGATCTTCAAGCGGCAGCACCGGCTCCGACACGGAAGGCGACGATGTCGAGGCTGCCGTCGCCGCCGTAGTGTCATCAGAAGCAACCGAGCCCACATCTGACGCCGATGCCGTCGATCTCTCCGTACCCGCTTCCAGGGCATCTCCCCTACCACCGCCGCCGCCGCCGCCGCAACGATCACCGTCACCAGCCTGGGCCTCCGTTGTGGATGATGATGACGACGGTGGCGGCGGGGGCGTCTCTGCCCTACTTTCGCCACCCACAGGACTAGTAGGCGGATCCTCGCTATTGCTTAGCTTCATGCTCTCCAGCAGCGCCGTGGCACGGTCGATGCCCGCCGCGCGGCTGGCGCGCCGCATGGCGACGCGCTCGTACTGACGCCGTTGTAGGTGGCTGCTCGCCGTCACGCTGCTCCACGTGCCGATGTTGTAGCCGCTCTGCAAGGCATCGTTGTCGGACGCCGCTGCGTTCGGGGCGCGCGAGATAAAGCCTGGTGCGAATGTTGGCGAGGGCAGGCCGCTGACACCACCGGGGCGGGGCAGCAGTGGACGCTGGACATTGCTGTTGCTGTTGCTGTTGCTGTTGCTGCTGTACTGGGTATCGGTCGATGTTGGCCGGTCGGTGGCGGCGGTGGCGGCGGTGGAATGGTTAGATCTTGTCGGTGGCGGCGCGGAAATATCGAGCAGCGATGTGGCGACGTAGTAAGGCTGCGGCTGGCGACGCTGCTGTGCTGGCTCGGAGACGATTATCTGGCTGTCGCGGGCGGAGCTATGGTAGGTGGGCGCCTCGGATGTATAGCTAAAGGCGTCGTTCACGAATTAGGCGTGCGTTTTTGGCGTCTCTAGTGGGGGCAGGCATGACGTACGAAGGCGCCGAGGAGAGTAGAGAGCTCGTTTCAGGATCTCGTCGATACAGGGGGAGTGGCTCGATGTCGAGCGGGGTGGCCGTGATGTTGCAAGTCATGATCACACACAAATTGTTACTGAAGATAGAGAAGAGGAGACGAAGCGAACAGCAGATTGCTGAGGCTGCCAGCAGCTCACTTCTGCAGAATGGTGGAAAGAAAGCAATCAATTCAGCTTTCCAAGGTCGCAGGGCGCAGCAGGCTTGTAATACCTCGCTGGGGTCAAGTCTGGGCTCCTGACGACACAAGTGTTTCCGCCCTTGCTGTAGGGGGAACGGAACCGGGCTCGCGTGGCATCCCTCTATGTACATTTTTGTATGTATTTGCCCGTGCAACTGCCGGAACAGAGCTTGGAGGGTGGCAGCGTTTTGTTGGCAGGAAGATTTCCCGTGCACCAATGCGGGGAAAAAGTGGCCGTGGCGCGGGAGATGCTTCCAACAGCCTTCCATCCTTATCGCCTTGCCAGCCAATCGCGGTCGAACCGCCCTCTCGGGCTTAGCCATGGCAGCTCTCCTTTTCCGCGTGGCCTAAGCCTCTGCTCCCTCCAGCCAATGTTCCCGGCCAGCCTAGGAACTTGGCATGTGGCCGCGTGGACACGCTTCGGCAAACGGCAAGGCCTGCAATATTCGTGGGGTATTGTGATGTGAACGTCTGTGTGCACGGTAGACAACAAAGGTACGACGTTGGAACGAGCGGCTTGAGTTAGGCCGCCCAGAGAAAGCAGATCCCTCGATCCGTTTCCGCTTTGCTCCAGCCACAAGAGCCCCAGATACCAAGCCATCTCCCTCCTTTTGCTCTAGTTTAATTTTGGCGCCCTTCCCATTGCGTCATGCTGCTATTAATCGGCACGCCCATGCCCGTCTGCATCGAGTGGCTGCGCAGTCGTGAGGTCAACACAAAGGAAGTCTGTTTGGACGTCGGCACAACAATCGCATGTTTGATTGTGCACCGAAGGTATGCACTTCTACTAACCTGTTCCACAAGGAATGTGCTCATGACCAACGCTTATCTTGCTGAGAAGGCTGCTCTGCAGTGCTTGTGACCACCTCTTCGGCCATGTCTCAGAGTCGAATGCCTCGTTCAAGGAAAAATCTTGGAAACACATGGTAGAGATAACAACGCAAGTCAAATGCTTGCATGACATCCTCGATTGCTTGCTGTGTGATAGCCGTTCAGAAAGGAAATGTGAGGATTGAATGTTCTCCCCGCCAATACGCATACTCCATGTAGACCCCTCCACTTCCCTGAAAACACAAGGTACCGTCCATACATAGGGTATCAGCCTAATCCTAGTGAACGCCATGAACTTTAAAGAATGCCTGAAATTCCACCTCAAAATGAGGATGGTTAAAAAAAAAAAAGGAAAACCTTGGAAAAAGAAAAAGGAAATAGCAACAAGTGTTGGTCGAAGTGACGTTCCGGACGTACAGACGATAAGGCAATAGTCTTGTCCAGGATGACGCTTCAACTTCACAAGGATTTGTGTTGCTTGACGCAATTTGAAAACTTTTTACCTTTCCATCAAACCTTTCACCACTTCTCCCTCCCATCGAAAACCCCCTCGGCGAAACCCTCATCTTCCATGTCTTCATCCATGGCATCCTCGATTTCGATCTTAGTTCCCAAGGCTTCACGGCCCTCCCTGATCATGTCCTTCAACCGATCGTTGATTTTCCGCATACTAGAATTCCTCTGCCGCTCTTCCCGGCGACGCTGAGCAGCAAGCACTTGTATCTCTGGCGGTATCGGTGAATGAGGCTTATTCGGCGACGGAAGGCTGAACGCGCTTCCAATCGAGTGCGGACGGGATCGGCTCGAGGAAGCGCTATCGGGGACGCGAAATGAGGCTGCACTGTCAGGACGCCGGAGTGAGGCGGCGCTGTCAGGACGTCGGATCGAGGCTGCGCTATCGGGACGGCGGATCGAGGCGGCACTGTCAGGACGACGGACTGAGGCGGCGCTTTCTGGGCGGAGGCCTGGGGAGCCGATGCTGGAGATAGAGGAAGTGCGGCGGGCTACTGGGATCAAGGGGCGCCGTGGACCCGTGGGTCGAGAGATGTTGACTTTGGGCGGCCTACGCTTCGACAATCCGGGAGTGGCAGCTCGAAGTTCTTCATCCATGCGGGGTACCATGATCCAGGACTCCGGGCCGGAATCATCGTGCTGCCGCTTTGGCGCACGAACAGCGTAATCGTCTTCGTCCAGCGGGTATTGGCCAGGCACAGGAGTACGTGAGATGTCGAATGATGATGATTTCCGCGCATGTCCGGCGAAGGTGGGAGAGGTGCCGTAGTCGTCGGTTGGGGTTTGCAGAGTGTACCCCTTTCCTTCTCCAGCATAGAAGCCTACTATGCCGGTAGAGCGCGCATACTGCCAGACCTTGCCAGCAGCGTCTGCGACGAAGGTAAACAGGCAGTTGCTCCAGCCCCCGCCACCTCGGCTGGGGGATTCCGACTTCTTCCTCTTGTTGGCAGCTGGGCTCATAGCGGCAGCTGTTGTGTCCTCCTGGTCAGCACTCGCAACACTCCATCTGCGGCGAAAGTTCATATGAGGATCGTTTCGATGGTTGATGTCGTTGTCGTAGCTCGCAGCGACAGCGAGACCTGGGGTGTCGAGACCGCCCGCGCATGTGTATCTTGTATTCACGAATGGCCCCGGGCTACCCGCGTCGGACCGCATGATCGACGGCGTTTCGATGGATGCCAAATACGGCGTGTTATATATATCTCCGTTTGAAGGGGGATCGGCTCGCAAGCGCTTGCGGCTCGAGCTCGCTTGCGCGCTCTCCCTAACCCCGTGGCGGTGCGCGCCGGTAGAATAGGAATGAGTGGCCGGAGTGCGTGGAGGCTGAAAGAGATGAGCACCAAATGCGGAAGACATGTCGAGGCCCGGAGCGAGACGTTGGCCGCACGGCCCCTCCATCTTGTGAGATTGCGACGGGGTATTGTACTCGCTGGGTGAAAGTTGCGGTAAAGGGCTGTGGGGTGAGGCTGCAGGAGGCGAACCCGAGTTGGCAGCCCGCGACCAGCGGTCACAGAGGACGTGACGCGGGACAGAGTGGCCACATCGGCGTTGCGGAGCGCTGCGCTGGACGACCGCTGGAGGTTGGCGTCAGAGCCTCGAAGAACGCAGCCGTCTCCGCGCGCTGAGGGGGCCGCTCGACAGAGCTACACCCCGGCAACCTCCGTGCACGGGCCACAATCTGCAGATAAGCGGCGATCATGGGTGCGCGCGTGCCCGTGCCGAGGTTTCCATCTCCCCAGCACGGCCAGCCCTGCACCTGAGCAGCAGACATACCCACCAAGACATGTTTCACACCGACGCCCCTGCCAGCTGGTGCAGCGGAACGGCCGGCCCCGCCACAGCTAGGGGACGCCGGTGCCAACGGTGCTGCCTAGCATGACTAAATCAGAACCACCTATTATGTCTGTATTCGTATAGTGCATCTTAATCGTGATAGTGATCGTCTGTGCCCATTTCCTAACATTTAACAAGAACAGCAAACTTAACAGGCTGCTTGCCTTAACCAACCCAGTACTCCTGGTACACTCTACACTCCTTTCGAGCGCAGCCCTTTCCGGATGAACGCCAGGGTATCCAGCACGCACTCGTGGCTCTCGACGGCCGACGCAGGCTTATGCTTTTGCAATCCATCCGCTGTGAACAAAGAAATCGAAAATCTTGCCCCCCTTTCGCTCGTCAATCTTACATATCTCTCTTGCCGCCTTCTTCTTCATGCTCCCACCCTGCCGTATGGCCTCTTGCATGAGCGCATCTTTGATGGCCATGTACGGCTTGGGCTTGAGGTGCAGCGCCGCACACAGCTCCCGCTCTTCCGGTAGGAGCAAGTGCAGGTCCGCTGCATTCTCGTCGTTCAGCTTCATCGACGAAAGGCCCTGGATGGGCTGGACCTGGAACTTCTGCTTGTTTTGCTGCGGGACGACCCCATTCGCGTTCCCATTCGTCAGGGGCTTGTCCGCTGGGGGAACAGAACTTGGTGGGGTCGGCTGTCCGTTGACGGATCGGAGCGGCAGATCAGGGGCTGTCAGAGCGGACGTGGCAGACGTAGTCTCCTGAGGCAGAGTGGGCTTGTTAATGCGATTGGTCGCTAACCGGTCGAACGAGCCGACAGGGGGTCCTCTCGTCAGCCGCGAGTGCTTCTCGGCTTCGTACTTCTCGCCGGCCTTCAAGGTTGTGACCTGCATGAGCCTCCAGTCTTGAAGCTGCGCGATCGCCTGTCGAAGATTGTGCTCGTACTCGAGACCGTCACAGAATTCCTTGAAGTCCTCATGCTTCATCATCCGAGCAAACGGCTTGGCCTTGTTGAGCAGGTCCCTCTCTTCTTTTGTCCGCTTCTTGTCCAGCGCCTGGTTCTTGCGGTACTCAAGAAGCCTGTGCTCAAAGAGGATCTTCTTCCGCTCGACACGGGCCGTAAGACGGGCATTATAGATATCCATAATGGTCATCTTGAGCTCCATTTCCGGCTCCAGCTCTCCCGTCTTGGGATTTATACCATCGCCGGGGTCGAATTGCATGTGCTGCACGGCTTCTTCGGCTTCGTTGAAGTACTCGGTCTCGAATTCAAGACGGCCAGGCATGAAACCTTGGACTTCGTGGCATGCAGGCACACTAGCTGTGGGCTTCTGCTTCGGCGTGGCGGGAGTTGCATTCTTAGCCGCGTCTTTGCGCTCTTCGATCCTGCGCTTCTTCCTCTGCTGGAACTCCTCGCGGGGCACCGCATCGCTGAGGCGAGTATCTTCGGGGCTTGCATGTTCTGGGAGAGGGAATTTGGAGCTTTTGATGTAGGTGTTGATGTAATGATCGCGGACCTCGTCCTTGGACCGGTAGCCGCCGATGTGGTCTGCAATGTCCGCCCATGACCCCAGACCATATGTCTCGGCTCCCTCCAGCAATGCCAGTTCCTCGTCGGCGCCCCAGTCCTCGGTGAAGATGGGTATGGAATGCTGCTCGATGACGTGATACGAATGGGTGCGAGGGTCGTGGTCGCGCGCCGTCTTGCCCTCGGAGAAGCACGGAACACACAAATCGAACTCATTACACGCGGGATTGGCGCATCTTATGCGGACCTACGCGCACGGTGAGCGGGAGCTTGTCGCGTCTGGCGCGTCTGGGGAAGCACGTACTGTGGCGGTTATGTCGACGGAGCACACGTCGCACACGTACTTGACGCCGCCCTCGGTGCTCCGCACGGCCGTCTTCTTTTTGATGACGCCCATATCGGCATCGGCGCCTGATGGTTGCGCGGCACTTGTGGCCTCCAACTCCGCTCGGCCTGGGGATAGGTTGGCCCGCGGTCGTCCTCACGGGCCAGCCAACGAGTCGCGCGCTGCGCAGGGATGGTAGGTGGTCGGGCGGAGAGGCGGACGAGCTTGAGCGCAAAAAAACGTGGAGAGAGATTGTGTCGTTGGCCGTGGAGCGCGCCCCGCACTGCTGGAGTTGGAGTCTGGGAGTCGAGTCGGAGAATCATACGGGGCGTGCTGCGGCAGCGGCGCGATCATTGATTGGCCTTGGCACCCTACCTAATCAACGGGGCCTGACCCCCTCCCCGTACCAGGTATACCACTCGCCCTTCACAGCCACCCTCAAACACGAGTTTGCCGACCCTACTGCGTGCAGGCCGCCGTGCATTTCAGCTTGGTTCTGGTCAGCGTCCTGTCCGATCGCCACTCTTTTCGAACAACCTCTTCGCCCATCAGCCCCGCGAGACGGGCCTGCCCTTCCGCTTCGCTGCCCATCGTTCCGCTCTCACCTGCCGCCGCTCCTCGCGACCCCCCAGATTGCCGCCATGTCTTGGAAACTCACCAAGAGTGCGTTCGCCATGATCGCCCGCCTAAGCGACACGATCTGACTTTTGCACAGAGCTCAAGGAGACCCATCTCGCCCCGCTGGCGAACACCTTCAGCCGCTCCTCATCCACATCTACCATTGTCGACACCCCTAAGCCCACCTCAACAAGCCCTGACGCCAAAGATCCCAATGGAATCGGTACGCCGCCCATCTGCGTGCGAGCTGTGTGGTAATAATGTAGCTGACATGTCACAGCCGCATCTGAAGCGAACGCCAATGCGCCCGCGCCGCCGTTGAAGCCCGGTATTCTCATAGTCACACTTCATGAGGGCAAAGGCTTTTCGCTGCCGCCTGGAGCGGAGCAGGCCTTTGGCCACAGCAGTGGCCATCACCAAGGATCGCTATCGCAAGGAGGCGGATATTCCGTTGCTGGCTCAATGCGCCCTGGCGCTGGGGCAATAGCAGGTTCTTACCAAAAGGGCCACGGCCGACCGCAGTCAGCTACTGGAGCCATCAACCAAGCCCCGACCGTACATGGTCGCTACTCGGCCAAACACTTGCCGTATGCGTTGATTGATTTCGACAAGCAGCAGGTGTTCGTCAACGCCGTGTCAGGTAACCCCGAGAACCCGGTTTGGGCGGGAGACAACACTCAGTACAAGTTCGATGTTTCCCGGACCACCGACCTCTCCATCTCCTTATACATCCGCAACCCCAATGCTCCGCCGAACGCTGGCCGCAACGAGGACATCTTCATCGGCACGTGCAAGGTTAACCCTCGCTTCGAGGAGGCGCAGCCCTACGTGGAAGACCCGAAATCAAGTAAGAAGGACAAGGAAAAGGCGGCGGCGGCGCACGCTGAGCACGAAAAATCACTTGGCCAAGTTGGTGCCGATTGGATCGACGTGGCTTACGGCACGGGTAACCTCAAGGTCGGCGTCCGTTTCGTCGAGAACAGACAAGATCGCCTGACGATCGAAGACTTCGAGTTGCTCAAGGTCGTCGGAAAGGGCAGTTTTGGCAAGGTCATGCAAGTCATGTGAGTTGCCCGGACGTGATGTCTAATCTAGCAGAACGCTGATGGATCGTAACAGGAAGCGAGATACCCACCGTATCTACGCCCTCAAGACCATTCGCAAGGCGCACATCATTTCTCGCTCGGAAGTTGCACATACTCTGGCCGAAAGATCAGTGCTTGCTCAGATCAACAATCCCTTCATTGTTCCCCTCAAATTCTCATTCCAGTCGCCAGAAAAGCTTTATCTCGTGCTTGCTTTCGTCAACGGAGGCGAGCTTTTCCACCACCTGCAAAAGGAGCAACGCTTCGATATTAATCGGGCGCGTTTTTACACGGCAGAGCTGCTCTGCGCTCTTGAGTGCCTTCACGGCTTCAATGTCATTTACCGTGACTTGAAGCCGGAGAACATTTTGCTTGACTACACCGGCCACATCGCCCTCTGTGATTTCGGCCTGTGCAAGCTGGACATGAAGGACGAGGATCGGACGAACAGTATGTACTACCATTTGAAACACGAACATACCCCGCTGACGTTGGACAGCATTCTGCGGAACGCCGGAATACCTCGCCCCTGAGCTACTGACCGGAGGTGGTTACACCAAGACAGTTGATTGGTGGACGCTTGGCGTGCTTCTTTACGAGATGCTCACGGGTCTGCCGCCGTTCTACGATGAGAACACCAACGACATGTACCGCAAGATCCTCACGGAGCCCTTGCACTTCCCCGGTCCGGAGATCGTCCCCCCTGCTGCGCGGGATCTGCTCACTAGACTGCTGGATCGCAATGCGGAGAAGCGGCTGGGTGCCAACGGTGCCGCGGAGATCAAGGCGCACTACTTCTTCCACAGCATTGACTGGAGAAAGCTTCTAGACCGCAAGTATGAGCCGAGTTTCAAGCCGAGCGTGGTAAGTAGCGAGTCATGCATCCTTTGGCCTGGTACGTGGAACTGACCCCACAAAGACCGATCAGAGAGACACCGCGAACTTTGACCGAGAGTTCACCTCCGAGGCACCGACAGACTCGTACGTCGAAGGGCCAATGCTGTCGCAAACGATGCAGCAGCAGTTCGCCGGCTGGTCATACAACAGACCGGTCGCTGGACTGGGTGACGCGGGAGGCAGTGTCGTGGACAATTCGTTCGAGGATGCTGCAAGGTAAAGGAAAGACGGAGCAGCGACTACAATGCCACGAGCAGAGATGGAACATGGCGAAGATGTGCTGTGTCCCCCTCTGTTGTCGCGGCGGATGCGGACGGGAGCGGGTACGGTCAACGGGTTTTGCGGGACGGATGAAAAGGGATTTTGTAGCAGGTGCTCTGGGCGTCCCCGTTCGGGAAAGGAAACATGCAGTGCTCGAAGGGTTCATCGGAGTGAGTTTCTTGACAATTTTCCACGGGCGGATGGCGCTGCATTCGGGAAGGTTCTTCAGTTTTTAGGTGATAGATTTTCCCTCTTTTCTCAGGCTATCCAGACGCGTGGTGACCATGCTCCTTTCACGGCTGACGATCACGCAAGGAACGATGGATACAACAAAAGAATTGGTCTATGAGCGGGCTGCCTGGAAGAATGCGCGCTTTCTGAATTTAAGGTTTACTATTCAAGCTCTGGTATACGCTTACTCGCGGCTGATGCGGAATTTGAAGTATTTGTGAGCAGCTGGTCGAGACATGGCTCCATGTCAGGCGCGCTGCTCCGCTCTCGGGCTTGCTCGCACCGAGCACTGGCCTCTCGTCACTTGGCGATGGGAGAGATCAGTGGATTGCGAGCGCGCGGCCACGGTGCTGCACCCACCAATGCGCCTCGTTCGACTCGCAGCGACCAGTAATTTCGCGCAGGGCCATGTACAGCGGGGAGTTTGCATGCATTGGTGCTGTGTCATCCTTGGAGCGCTGATGACACAGCTGGCGGGAAGCCCCACTTGAGAATCCGACCAGCTGCCGCGCCTTCCTTGACGAGTGCCCCGCCTTCGCCATCGTCCGCCCTTACCACAGCACAACAACCGCAAGCTCCGGCTGATTGCGTCAGGCTCTGCCCCTCCCAACGCAAATCTTCACATCTGCCTCTCGCTATTTACACTTCTCCTTCAAAAGGTTCGCTGCTTGCCCTTCAATTGCTGCTGTCGTCGCCGTCCATCCGCTGTTCCCCGCCCTCAACGTCATAACTGACCGATCTCGCGCTGCACAGCTCAACCATCCACCACCGCACAACATGCCCGGTTTCTCGCAGGCAACCGAGCTGAGGGCCTGGCAGCAGCTCCAGGAGCACCACCAGACCCTCGGCAAGGACATTATCCTGAAGGACGCCTTTGCGAAGGACCCTCAACGCTTCGAGAAGTTCTCCCGCACCTTCTACAATGAGGCCGATAAGTCGGAGACTCTCTTCGATTTCTCTAAGAACTTCATTACCGAGGAGACGCTCGACCTCCTCGTGAAGCTCGCCAAGGAGGCTGGCCTTGAGAAGCTGCGCGATGACATGTTCGCTGGTGAGAAGATCAACTTCACCGAGAAGCGCGCCGTCTACCATGCCGCTCTCCGTAACGTCGCCGGCTGGCCTATGCAGGTCGACGGCAAGAGCGTTGTCGAGGACGTCAACTCCGTCCTGGAGCACATGAAGGAGTTCACTGAGCAGGTCCGCAGCGGCGAATGGAAGGGCTACACCGGCAAGTCCATCAACACCATCATCAACGTTGGTATTGGTGGCTCTGATCTGTAAGTGGCCCACTTGCCAATAGCACGCACGGGTCTAGGAGTCTATATGCTGATAACTCTCCAACAGCGGCCCCGTCATGGTCACCGAGGCTCTGAAGGCGTACGGCAAGCGCGACTTCAAGCTTCACTTCGTGTCCAACATCGACGGCACCCACATCGCTGAGGCGCTGAAGGAGTCTGACCCGGAGACCACTCTCTTCCTGATCGCCTCCAAGACCTTCACCACTGCCGAGACGACCACCAACGCCAACACTGCCAAGCAGTGGTTCCTCGAGAAGGCTAAGGACGAGTCGGCTATTGCCAAGCACTTCGTCGCCCTCTCGACCAACGAGGCCGAGGTCACCAAGTTTGGCATTGACAAGAAGAACATGTTCCCCTTCTCCGACTGGGTCGGTGGCCGCTACAGTGTCTGGAGCGCCATTGGTCTGAGCGTTGCCCTGTACATTGGCTACGACAACTTCCACCAGTTCCTTGCTGGTGCTCAGGCTATGGACAAGCACTTCAAGGAGGCTCCCCTGGAGCAGAACATCCCCGTGATTGGTGGTCTTCTCAGCGTCTGGTACTCGGACTTCTTCGGTGCTCAGACGCACCTCGTTGCTCCTTTCGACCAGTACCTGCACCGCTTCCCTGCCTACCTCCAGCAGCTCTCCATGGAGTCGAACGGCAAGGCCATCACCCGCACTGGCGAGTACGTCAAGTACACGACCGGCCCCATCCTCTTCGGCGAGCCTGCCACCAACGCCCAGCACTCTTTCTTCCAGCTGCTGCACCAGGGCACTAAGCTGATCCCTACCGACTTCATCCTGGCTGCCGAGAGCCACAACCCTGTTCAGGACAACCTTCACCAGAGGTAAGTTGATTCGACGCGCTACCTGATGCTCTGGAGACTGACTTTGGCAGGATGCTTGCGTCCAACTTCTTCGCGCAGGCCGAGGCGCTCATGGTCGGCAAGACGCCTGAGGAGGTCAAGACCGAGGGTGCACCTGAGGAGCTTGTCAACCACAAGACGTTCCTTGGCAACCGCCCGACGACGTCGATTCTTGCTCAGAAGATCACGCCGGCGACGCTGGGTGCTCTGATCGTCTACTACGAGCATGTGACGTTTACTGAGGGTGCTATCTGGAACATCAACAGCTTCGACCAGTGGGGTGTCGAGCTGGGCAAGGTGCTTGCCAAGAAGATCCTGGCGGAGCTGGGTGACGGCAGCGAGTCGACGTCGCACGACGCCAGCACCAGCGGCCTGATCAACGCGTTCAAGAAGAAGTCGGGCATCTCCAAATGACTTGATGCGGAGGACGGAGCACGCTCGAGATACCGACTATGAAAGGGAGAAATTTCGTGCGGGGTGGAACTGGTTAGGTTGAACAAAAGCATATAGCAAGATGCTAGTAACGAATTGAATACGATGTAATCACCGGTGCCATGGACGCGGAGTCAGTGTTCTGTGCGGCGTTGAGCAGCATGTCGATCTTGCGGGTTTGCAGATTTAGTGGGCTGCTCTAGTTCCCACACAGCTGGCCTCTCCGTAGCTGCTGCACCACGCACCTCCCGCGACACCCCACACGGCCACGGTTGCCGCCACAATGGCACTGTATTTTTTGTAATCTCAGGGTCCAATTGTGCTCCTGCCGCAGCCGCCGCATCCAATTCCACCCACGATCGAAATGGCGTCGCGCGCCCTATCCCTGCGGCTGGTGCTATCCCTGCTGCTCAGCTTCTATCTGAACCTAGCACATGCCGTCTCCAGCCAAGAGCCCTTGAAGCCCCTGGAAGCGCGCGGATATGCAATCGGGGAGGCAGTTCCAGTCTCTTGCCTGAACAGAACCATGTGAGAGGCTTTCCCGACACGACGTCATCCAATACGAACTGTACTGACTGAGCTGCAGCGACACCGGCGAACACGTACGCGCAACCCTGAACCCCCCATGCGAGCCGGCTTCGACACGCGAAAGCACTGGACAATGAAGAACATGGCGACTGATGGCAGACCGTATTGCAGATTACAGATGCGTCGGGTCAACTCCAGTACATCCCTTTCCCGGTCTGCAACGAGACGGGCAAGCCTCTGGAGCTTTATTTTGGCGTCGAGAAAGGTGAGTAGCCCCCAATCCTCTGCTCCGCAGCATTCATGCCCCTTCTGCACGAGTAAATCGAGGCTGACCTGCGTTCGCTGCCTTTGCGCAGAAATGAACTGCACCATCGACTTCATCTCCGACCCTCTATTCCACCTGCTCGAGTTCTACGTTCACAACGACGCGCCGCTCACCTGCCGCATCCCCGCCCGCCCTCTCCCTTCCTCTTCTTCCCCGGACAACGACGACAAAGGTGGCGAGTACAGCGTGGACGACTTGACGGAGCGGAGCGGAGCGCTGGGCGGGCAGAGCGCGCTATACACGCCGCTCATCGTCGCTCTGACGGGCACGCTGCAGCTGTCGCACCTGCACATCTCCAACCACCTCAACGTGCTCGTACACGCCGCGCCCAAGGCCATCGCGCCCGGCACCATCGACGCCGCCGCCGCGTACAGCGTCTCGCACGCGTCTAAGAACACTAAGATCGTCATCGGCGACACTTTGAGCCTCAAGCTCAGCGTCAGGTGGTACCCTAGCCCCACCCTGCCGAGCGGCTGGGCTGGCGTGGGCGGACATGTGTACATGAGCACCGTGGTATATTGCATGCTGAGCGCCGGAGCGGCGACGGCGGTGTGTTTTGCGTGGTTCAGGGGGGTTGAGCTGCCGAGGAGGTTGAAGAGGTATGGGAAGGATAGGGCAATTGGAGTCGAGAGCCAAAGAGGCTACAACGGTTATGGACTGGGCGGAGGGTATGGCTATGCGGGTGGAAAGAGGGATTGAAATGGGAAGGGGGGTTTGATATTGGTAGGGATGAGGGGCGGCAGTTTGAAATGGATAGATCCATTGGTAAAAGGTTTCACGAGAATGCGTTGAAGGTATACTCTGCATATATTGCTTACGACATTTTATTCTTGTTTTAATTTGGCGCACATTGGTTATGACTCTGGAAGCATTTGGATGGTTGACAGAGCATAAATGCTTTCTCGGGCCCCTAATCACCTGTACCATGAGCAGCGGGCCTAAAATGGAGCTAATGCCTTGCGGTCTTGACTTGTTTCCAGTAGATAGCGCAGTGGAGTGTAAAACATAGCCCTTTACTCGTCCTTTGAACGAACTAAATGTGCGGTTATCAGGTTTTAACATTGTAATAAAATTGAGAAGAGAGTCGCCATATTTGTGTTCGCCAAGTGGTTTTCGGTGTGCGGTGCATCATAGGTCTTGCTTGCCTAGTTCAATTGAAAGGCTACAAGACTCGGAAACTCCGGGAGAATGACAACCGTGAGTTACGACCATGGTGTGAGAACATTGGATACACTCGTTTAAGAGCTTACGGTCTACGATCTAGTCGCTTGCACCAATGTGCAGGCGACACATCGTCAATGAGCAGTTACTCATGATTGCTGTATAAGCCTGGACGCTGGTTCATGCATCCGGTCCGTTTTAGACATGTTGTATGTACAGCGGCTGAATCGTTCTTTCAAAAGGCTTTCAATGAGCGTAGACGTTGATGATTGAAGCGTTAGCGGTATGTACAGATTTAATTGAGGGGTGTTGATTAAAAAATAAGGAGAAAGGCTCGATGAACACCAGCGTCGCTTGAAAGCTGTTGCCCTGCTTAACTTACGCCTCCTGCTGCCTCAGTCTTAAGTACCTGACTACTCAAGCCGTGCAAGCGCTTCTACCATCTACAATTCTTTTTCCTTCTTCGAACCAAGCTTCGACTGAGCATGGCGCAGCTCCTTTTGGCCCGTTGCAGGAATTCCATTCACTGCGTCATGACCATACAGGGTCTCCAACGTCTTATGGAATGTCCACTCCACTGCCTTCTCAACCGGCTCGTCAAATATATAGGGTAAGAAAGGCACGATAGACAGACCAAGCTACAGACATACTGTCAGCTGAATATCGCCACGAGCAAGAAGAGGTCAACTTACGCCTATCGGACCCCAAGTTCGAATCTTCGGATTCTTATGGTTCTTCAGCGCCTTGCCCGAATACTTGACGGTGCTATGAATTGTGAGCGCCGGCAAGCCCATACTCGCGAGGCCCTGGAACACGGCCCTTTGTGCCATAACGGTCCTGTAGTCCTCGAGTAAGGGCACCTTGCCAACCGGTTGCTTCTGCTCGCCACCGACGATACCCGGACCCAGTTTTGTCTCTTCGGGCTGCGGAGCGGCGAGTTTGTCCGAGCTGACAACGGGCTTTTCGTAGTCTTCACCCCACAGCGTGCGCTGGTTGCGCAGGTACGCCTTGTAGCCTTCGTGCGCTACATCGCCAGCCAAGTATGCCCACGAGACGCCGTACGCGGCTGTGACGAGGTACGGGTGCGCAACAGGGCGGAACGACTCGCCGATATCTGAAGTGTAGGCTACATAGCGGTGCGCAGAGAGGAGTATTGTGCGCACTCGTGATGCGTAGGCAGCATAACGGATGTTGGAGTCCGTGGATTCCCGAGTGCTAAAGCGGAGCGCTCAGTCTCATGCAAACAAAGACGATGAGGGTTTGCATACTGGCCCTCGTACAATGCTTCCCACAGCTTCTCTTCGTCGTCGAGTGTAGCTTGGATCGAAGGCGGCAGCTTCTTGCGCGGTACCGGCTGCTTGCTGAAGTCCGGGCGCGGTTCGTTGCGCTCGTGCGGAATGTCGCTGAAGTCGTCGTCTTTAGGCATGGTGAGCGAGTGTGGTAGAGCTGATGGCACGCTTGGAGATGAGGCAATTGCGCAGCTTATGTATCGGCGCGGGCAGAGCTCGGCACGCGCGACTTGTTACCCTCCTGTTCTCTCCGAGCCACTGGATTGGATCTGACGGGAGGGCACGACCGGGGACGGCATAGTGACGCATGAGATCGTGGCTGGTGTGGCGCAGGCGGTGGCTGATGAGCGCATCACGTGAGGCTTCCCTTTCGGCGTCGGCGCGGAGGAAGCAGGCCCGGCTGTGCAGACGACGAAGAGCGAAGACCAGAGCTCTGGCATTCCCCATCAATTGCACCTGCCACCCGCCCGCAACCCCATCAGCTCCTCCGAACCCCGCAACCATGGTCGTCTACTACGAGCTCGCTGGCCGCAAGATCGGCTCCCACGTCGTGCGTACCCTCCAATCCGTCGCTTCCCTCGGCGCCCGCTCGCTGTCATTCCCTTCCGCTGGCCCAGCTCCGATTGCGCAGCGCATATTTCCCCAGCCCTCACCGACTGACGCCTGCCCGCGCGCACGCATTTCCCGCTAACCAATCGCTCTTTTTGCAGCTCGCCATGGGCGTCCTCGGCACGCTCTTCGGTGGTATCTTCGCGGCCACCGGCGGCAGCAAGAAGGTTCCCAACGCCGCTCCTCCGATCAACGCTTCCAGCAAGGACGAGGAGAACTTCATCCAGTACGACCCCACAATACCCACGTTTCGACTCTTGCTCAGCAGCCTCTATCGCTTGTTGCAATCTTCGCGTACAATGGAACACCGGTAGCTAATACACAATTACAGGGAGTTCTTGAAGGAAGCGGAAGGAAAAGACTCGAAGCATTAAGATGTGCCTGACTTTGCCCGGTCTTGAAAGAAAGCGAGAAGGAGTGGATTCCCCGTTTGATGGCTCTCAGCCTCTGCATCTGGAGCGTTGACGAATAGACTCGGATGGGAAAAAGACAATTGCTCTGACTACGGCCATTGCAGATTGTCTTTGCTGCAGTGCGGGCCTTGAATCCTGTACATACGGCAATTGTACGAAAAACAAAGACATGACATTGTTGCTCGTGACCTCATCTACTGTCTCCACGGGCTCCACTACCAATTGACTACCAAGGGACTGGCATCATCACCCGACCAACGAAGAAGTCGCCTCTCCGAATTCGCTTCATTTCGCTACATCCTAACAATCCTAGAGCACTGGACCAGGCCGATGGATGAGAAGCAGTCACATACGCTGGATATTTTGTCTCTACAGCTTCATTCAATCACTTTACAACAGCTTTTCAATCCTGAAACGGCAGAATAATGCACAATGACCTAAACCATGATCCAAACTTTTGAATTCCCAAACGACTGATGGCTCTATCCATCTACTCCGCCCAAACATCTCAATAGTCGACAGAATATACGTTCTCCTAAGTACGGTATCATCACTCATCTCAAGAAACAGAAAAGCAGCGGCATATCAAACAACTCCCCTCATGCCGCGTCAACCGGCAACCCAGGCGTCGTCGGCCTACTCTTCTCGATGGTGAAGAATGCCACGTTCTCCCTTAGAGCGATATACTCGCTATCAGCATACCCCAGCACATCATGGATTTCGGTACTCTTCACGCCCCTGATCCTCTTGATCTCCGCGGCCGAGTAATTCACTACTGCGCGGCCCACCTCGAACGGGGCCGGGTTCTCCCTCTCGAAGCCGCCAGCCGGCGAATCCGCTCCACCGGCGTTTGCGGGGGCACGCTTGGGGGCGCCAGGAGTACGCTTGACGACGACTATGCGCACGGCTTCCTGCTGGTGGAAGTGGCCGTCGCAGTCGACAACACCAACAGGCAGAAGGCCAGCCTTGTCGGCGAGAGCGCGGTAGGCGCCTTCGTCGATGTAGATAGTGCCGTGCGGCGCGAGCCCGTGTAGGAGCCAGAAGTAGCGGTCGCGGATCGCGTGCACCTGCGGCAGGAAGCGCGTGTGCAGCGGTGCCGCGAGGCCGCTGACCGGGTCGACGATCTCAGCGCCGATAGTGGTTGGGCCGGGAGTGCTGGTGCCGTCGGCTCCAGAGAGGTCCAGCGCTGCGGCGGCCTTGTCGGCAAGTTGTTGACCGTCGTCGCCTGTTAGGGAGTTGCGGCTTGAGGTCATGGAGGCCTGAAGGGCTTTCTGCGTCTCGGCGTACTTGACAATGGCGGCAATGTTGCCGGGCTTGGAGGACCGAGTGATGACTGTCGTGACGCCTGCGGACGTGGCCAGACGTGCGGCAACAATCTTAGTTGACATGCCGCCCGTTCCCAGCGCGGAGCCGGCACTAGACACGTCGGCTACCAGCTCCGCAATATCCTCGACGACCTCGATGGGCTTGGCGTCTGGATTTGTGCGCGGGTTCTTGTCATACAGGCAGTCGACGTCCGTCATGAGGAACAGGTAGTCGGCTTGCACCATACCCGCTGTGATGGCTGAGAGGGTATCGTTGTCACCAAATTTGATTTCCGTGACCGCCAGCGTGTCGTTCTCATTGACAATGGGAATCACGCCCATGTGTAGCAACTCGTGGAAAGTGTTCTGGGCGTTGAGATACTGCGTCCGGTCCGCAATATCGTTCCGTGTCAACAGGATTTGGGCGACTGGCTGGTTCATGTGGGCGAACAGTTGGTCCCAAAGGCTCATCAGGCGACACTGTCCGATGGCGGCCAAAGCCTGCACCTGGGGCAGGTGTTTTGGGCGGCGAGGCAGGTCCATTCGCCGCAGGGCGACGCCAATGGCGCCGGAGGAAACGATGACTACACGGTGGCCATCCTTGTGCAGCTTGACAGCGGTCTCGACTATGGTACTGAGGATCGAGAGCAGCGGCTCATGGGTCTTCTCGTCGACGATGGATGACGTGCCTAACGGAAGCAGTTAGCAACTTTTTTGCTCTCCCGCAAGCCGGGATTCCAAAGGTACAGGCGATGCTGTACCGAGCTTGATTACTATTGTCAGATGCTTCTTCATCTTGCAAAACGTGTCCGCGACATCAATGGCGAGAGCGGGGCCTGATATAAGGCAGTTGCGCGGCCGGAGTTCGAGTGACTCCCCCAGGGTCCGCGCACGCCCTACATGACTCGCCGATGCCGGAAAATTGACTGACCGCCTTCGCGGGAATCCATTGCTCGCCGCAAACCACCATCTCGGCAGTTCGGCAGCGCATCTCATATCCAAAACCGTCAACCTCTCGCCTTAACCTGCTGTTTCCCACCCGTATACAGCTCGAGCCATCCAACCCGCCGCTTCCCCGCTATTGGAAATCCGGAATACCCAACATGGCCGAAGCAATGGATCCAGAAACCAAGCCTACAGCCGCGCCGCCTCGCCCGCCCACAGACCAGCCAGATCCGAGCTTCTACAACTGGCGCACCTTCTTCTCGATCCTATCAGGACAAGCGACGCCCGAGGAACGGCGACAGTACTTCCTGAACCGCGACACGATCAACGAGGACCGCGACATTTCGCGCGTCGAGGCGCACCGCGACTGGGCCTTCAGCTACTCGCCAGTCGTGCGCTTCATGCGTGAGGAGATTCAGAAGCTCGGTGGAGACATCGGTCCTCACAATGTGCGATGCCGCCGCTGCACCACGCCTCAGGGCGGTGGTATTGATCAGGACTATGGCGTACTGATCTGCGCAAACCATATGCGCAACAGAGGGCATGTCGAGGATACGATTGCACACGAGATGGTGCATGCGTATGATTATCTGCGCTTTAAGGTTGACCGGTGGAATTTGAGGCACCAGGCCTGCACTGAGGTACGTTTAAGTGGTCTTTGGGGAGATATGTCGCAAAGTTTAAAGGAATTGGGTGCCGCTGTCGGAGAAAGTTGACTGACTAGATGACCCTCGGCAGATCCGCGCTTCGACACTGAGTGGAGAGTGCAGATTCACTCGCGAGTTCTTCACTAGGAACCAATGGCGATTCACAAGCCAGCTGCAAGACTGCGTCAGGCGGCGAGCAACTCTCTCATTGATGGCCAGACCAGGCGTCAAGGATGATGTTCACGCCGCGCGCCTAGTTAATGAGGTGTGGGACAGCTGCTTCGTGGATACGAGGCCGTTTGACGAGATCTATAGGTAAATGAGGAAAGCAAAAAGGTTGCGCTGGAGTTGTGGGAAGTTTCCTTGAATTTGAGATGATGGATATCCGAATCTTGTATCATTACTTGTTGCATAGCGGCGGCGTTAAGATTGCCTTTGTACCGCAAAACCAATTCAACTCCTTGCCTGAATAACCCGTAACTCCGTGCCGTATGCCAACCTTGTCCTGAGTACCCTGACCCATTCCTTTCCAGCGCCGAATTCAAGAAAAAGAGAAAGAATCCAAACCACCTGCACCCGCTTGAAATCACTCGCCACCAGCTTTCTAGCCTCTTAAACATCCTCTCGCAACATAGACAAACACACGTTTGACTTTCGCAAAATCATGCATCGGACTTCTCACTCGTGCGACTCTTGCTCGAGCCGGATGTACGAATGTAGCTCCTCTCGCCCTTCACACAGTGCTTAATGATCCAGGGATGCTTCTCAACATCCTCGAGAGGCAGACGCTTCTCAGGGTCCAGGACGAGCAGCTGTAATCTTCGTTAGCGCACCATTTCAGACGAAAAAGGGGGACTCCAAGCTTACCTTCTTGATCAGGTCCCTAGCCTCGGGGCTGACGAAGCTGGGAATGGTCATCTCGGCCCTCGCGATCCTGCGCTGGGTCATGACAGGCGTATCCTCAAAGGGCGCCTCTCCAACCAAGAACTCGTACGTCAAAACACCCAAACTCCACAGGTCGACCTTCTCATTGTAGTAGTTCTCGGAGCTTCCGGGCTTGATCATCTCCGGGGGCAGGTAGTCAAGAGTACCGCACATGGTGTTGCGGCGCTTGTTCGGGGCGTGGACGCTCCAGCCAAAGTCGGAAATCTTGATCTCGCCGTGGATGCCGACAAGAATGTTCTCGGGCTTGATGTCGCGGTGCATGATGTTCTTCTTGTGCAGGTACTTGAGGGCGCCGGCCATCTGGGCGATGTACTGGGCGGCCTTCCACTCGGGGAAACGCTGCTCCTTGCGCAGGTGCTTGTACAGCTCGCCCTTGCCCGCGAACTCGAGGATCAGGAAGATGCGCTTCGAGTCGTGGAAGTGACCGAAGAGACGTAGGATGTTGGGGTGTGCCAGGTTCGACTGGATCTCGATCTCGCGGCGCACCTGCTTTTCGACCTTGCCCTGCTGCAGCTCCGACTTGTGCAGCACCTTGAGCGCGCACACGAATCCGGACTGGCGCTCCTTGGCCAGGTAGACGCGACCGAACTTGCCCTTGCCCAGCGGCTTGCCAATCTCGAACATGTTCAGGTTGAACTGGCGCGGCGCCGAGGGCTGCTTGTAGAGAGCCGAGTCGGAGCTACGGTGGTGGAGCTCGTCCGAGGGCCGCGAATCGGTGCGCTCGCGCTGTGCGGTCTGCGACGGGAGGGTGATCTTGGCAATTGTGTTGCTGCTGTATGCCTTCGGGGCGTTGGGTTGCTGCAGCCTCTGCAGCGGAAGCTTGACGCGGCTGCCATTGTTATTGGCTCCCAGTCCAGCGAGGTTCACTGCTGTGGACAGCGAGCCCTTGAAGAGCGTTAGCGACCAGTTGCGAGGCTGTTGGGACGTATCTTCGTACCTTGGCCTTGTGGCTGGCGTGATGGCCGGCAATGTTCTCGTTCTCATTGTTGATGGAGATGCGCTCGAAGGCGGATTCGAGAGTTTTTGTTGCCATCGCTGGTGATTGAGTGGTATGGAGCAAGAGATGGGTGGTTCCAAGCGGGCTCCGGGGTAATTGGAGAAGTCGTCCTTGGGGAGGGAGGCGGGTGGTGCGCGGCGTCGCAGAAGAAGCGCGCTCGCGGAGTGTTTACGGCTATCTCCACAGCAACAATCGCCGCCATTCGCCCAGCCACTGCACTTCTCCTCACCATGACGTCGGCCATTGCTCTACCAACTGGTGAGAGCCGGTTTCAGGTCGCCAAATATACGACATTATCCGCACAGCTCCGGCGCCCGTAGGAACGGGTTAGCCGGGCTCCAACGGTGCAGGCGCAGAGCCTCCACATGATGCGCGGCAACGATTACTGACCTAGGCCCCGCTCTCCGAAAATGAGCCGCCTACCTACCTAACTTCACTATCACCGCAACATACCAAGCAACGCCAGCCGCTTCTGTCGTCCCGAGCTCCGGCTTTCTTGCGCAACATATCACGATGAACACAGCGTTCCCCGCCCCCGCCGACCTGGGCAAGTCTATTACACATGAAGGATGGAACATCACCACGCGCAAGCTGCCCATACTGAAGGCGGCACCTATCGAGGACATGACGAACAAGCTGGGCATCGCCGTGCCTGAGATGATCTTCGGCGACAACGCTGTGCGTCTCGAGCATGTCGCGACGGGATGGAGCATAGAATTCAACGCCTTCGATGCGCTGGACCGCGTTGACAAGACTGGCGAGAAGATGCTCGAGGTCGCCTACTCGAAGGAGTGGCAGAAGACAAGGTGAGGCGCGGGCATTCGCTGAGCTTCGTAGTCGGCGCAAGCACTAAGTACCTGCTGCAAGGCAAAACCACGCCTCGGAAATCAAGGAAGTAGTCAAGCCTTTCGACTGGTCGTTCAGCACCGACTATGCCGGCACTGTCCCTTCGCACGCCTCGCTCAGCTTCGAGGACACGGAGTCCATGATTCCCCTGGCCCTGCTCAAGCGTCCCGATCCCATCCTCTTCTTCGACGATGTCATGCTCTACGAAGACGAGCTCGCCGATAACGGCATCTCGCTCATGTCGTGCAAGATTCGAGTCATGCCCGCCCGCTTGCTGCTGCTGTGCAGGTTCTTCCTCCGTTTAGACGACGTCATCTTCCGTATCCGCGACACCAGGGTCTTCGTCGAGTTTGCGACTGGCGAGGTCATCCGCGAGTACACCGCCCGCGAAGAAAAGTACGACGTGGTAAAGAAGAAGATGGCCATTACTAGAGAAGATGTGCCTGCCCTCATGAGGGACCCGAATCGCCTCATCGAGCACGTGCCCATCATCGACGGAAAGTTGGAGAAGTGCATCGTCAAGTAAAGACTCATTGAGGGCCCAATTAGCACGGTGGACCGCGGTTTTGGCCCGAATGCCCGTCGTCATATCACCGAGCACCGCCAGTTGGCAGAGTCATCGTGCCCCTGTGCAGAATTGGGGCCTGGTCGCGTGCACTCGGTGTGGCCGCGTAAACAAATTTCTCGCCATGGACCCGCGGTTGGCTCTCCTGGCACCATCAGACGGGATGACTGACGCAGAAGCGTGGACCCGTTGCCAAACCGGTGGTCGGACAGCCGAGACGTGGAACTGCCCGGCCCAAACTATGGGTGAGCTCGTGCGAAGACACCCAATCACAACCTATTGCCATAGTAGTTATCCTACGATCGTCTAAGCGAACAGCCTTGACCGTGAAACAGTTGTAAATATTTATCATATGATCTCACTTCACCAAGAAATTGGCCTTCAAATCCATGGTGAGAGCTTTATGCGTGAACACAGGAGAAGCATTGGCTCCAGGTATGCACACTTTCAACGGAGGCCGGCAGGGCCCTGCATATTCAATCCGTGGTAAGTCACTCCTTTGCTCCTTTGTAAATTGGTTCTCAATCGTCAGTCGTCAGACTTTTGCTCCTCTGTGCATTGGTTCTCAATCGACACGTGGAGAAGAATTTTCTGTCTGGTGCTAGTCTTCGAGTTTATAAGGTGCTCCTCAGCCGCCCTCTAGCCTACAACTCTCACAACTTCTCTACGCTACAGCTTCTCTACACGACAACTTCTCTGCACGAAAACTCTTTACCAGCACCCTCTCAATCCACCAACCAACACCCTCTCCACCAAACAACCAACAACCAACATCACAATGCACACCACCACCACCACCACCAACACCAAGGTCTCTAAGGAGATCAACTCGACTGGCGTCTCCGGGTTGGATAACCTCACCATCCCGCAAATTTCAGGAGCCTTGTGCTTCAGGAACCCCGACCCTATCGGCGCTTTGCGCATGCAAAACGCCAGCTCTCTCCACTGGGAGCGTCGGCAATACGACGCTAAAAGGGCGGCCAAGCCTAATCACCACTCAACAAGCGCGTGGTGTTCCAAGGACAAGAAGAAGGAGCCAACGGTCAGATTCGCTGTCCCCTTGGCCACCCCGGATCGCGAGTAACCAGCACTCTTTCCCCCTCTTTTCCCCTTAAAATAAAGGTTTTTGAGGGTTTTAATGAGGCTGGTTTGTTTGGATAAAAGTTTGTCAGAGATACCCCATGGATGGGCTGCACATGTTCACTGTTTCTGCTCGATCTACTCTTTGTTGTCTTGTACGATGGCCCATTCAATTGTAAAAGTCGTGTTTTAGATAGCTTTTGGTTTTTCGCTACGACCCTGCCGCAGCTGCCGTGACCTGCGGTACTTTAAACGTATAAGCGGTCAGCGAGGCATCTGGTCAGTGTGGTAAACCTAAGTTCAATGAGAGTTCTATTTCAACTAAATAACTACTAGCTCTACGTGCAGTATGTGATGTGTGTGTGCTGATTATCCCAAATGACTAATAAGGCACGGCCAATAGCTTCATCCAGTACATCTTTGCCACAGTGTGCATGTAACAATTATACCAGCGGGCTTCTTGGTAAAGGATCGCTCGCAGTGTGGTCTCATATACCACAGTGTCTATCTTCCATGTGATTGTGTCGTGTCTTCGTGTGGTGGATTTGCTACGTGGCTCACACACGCCGCAGACATTCGAGCTACGCAGCGGATTACCACAGGTGGATAAACGAACTATAGAACTCCAAAAGGAAAGCCGATAAATCTAATAGAGCCTTACCATTCGCCCAACTGCTGAGTCATGCGACCCTTAACAAAACGGTCGAGACACTGAAGGCCAAAGGTTCTTGAAAGTGACAGGACTCATAGACTTCCCGAGACCATCCACACCGCGATTTTCTTTGTTTAGCAACTTGTGAGGCGACTTTTTTTTGAGTGGATTGATTATACATCGTTAAGGATGATCTCAGCAAGCACACGGATATTAACAGCATCGGGCAAATCTGTATGGATTTTTACGACACGATCATTGCCGTTGATACTTAAAATGCCGGAATGAAATTTGGAGTGTGACAGAACAAACTCTCCGATACACCAATGACTGCAGATGTATCCATTGACTGAAAACACAAACTGATTTTCGCCTCTTCGGCGAGTGTTTCGAACAACGGGGACGTCATTTTGCAAGATTTTCAGAATGGGACATGAAAGAAAGGCTGCAAGACCCAAGGATGTAGTATAATGTCACAAGGACATTGAGATGGAGCCCCCGTGAACGTCAGTACTCCCACGAGAAAAGGGAGGAACGGAAGGAATGACTTTGGAGGCTGCACGATTGAGCAGCCTGCGAGACTACGTGCAATAATCCCATCACATAAATTTTGTAGACATAATGAACTGCTTTTTGAATACCGGAGATCTATCTTTAAACGAGCTAAGGCCCTCAAAGAGAGCTTGTTCCACAAAGTCCTGTCGAAGATGACCTTCCAGAGGCCCTAGAATCCCTCTACGGGTATTGTGAGATCGGTGCTGAAAGAGCAAAATTCTGGTCCTCGTTCCCTGCAACTCCTCGCAAAGTATAACACCCATGAGATGTCTATCAGGGTTAAGACAGCAACAAAACCATTGTATCTGATCGCCGCTATTCGGACGATGACGAAGATGGAGCTGTGGGATCCACAGGCTGACTCGAGTCGTAAATGAAACTAGGGAACACCACAGGAGCTTTCCACGCTTCTAAGATGACCTGGAGGCGGGAAGGTGCATCTTCTGGAGAAACATCTGTAGATGTAGTCAAAGAGTCTAAGAACAATCGGTAGAGGAAAGTTGCTACTGGCCTTTGCCTGGATCTATTTCGGCGTACTCAAGCCAACGGTTATTGCTTGCCTTCTTCCATGTGCGGATGGCACCGTCGTCGCCGGTTGAAACGAGCAGGTCACCTGCGTCACTGTTACCAAAGGAGAACATGTCATCTTCACAAAGCATTGATCTCATACCCATCTGGGAGAACGACACACGCCAGACGGCCCCGTGCTGAGCGTCCATTTCTGCGACCATCTTGACCTGGTGCTTGACGCGACCAGGATCCTGGTCGTTTTCATGACCGTCGCCGACGCGAGATGCCCCGGCAAGGCCTGCTCCAATTCCTGAAGGCGCATTACGGCGGCTGCGAGGAGATGGTTGGGGCTCGGGCGCGGCTGGAGCAGCAAGGGTGGACTGCTGCGGGCTTTCGGGAGTGGAAAGCTCATATATGCGGATCATGCCGTCCTTGCTTGCGGTCGCTATGATATCCGTGCCGCGCATAGAGCCATTGGCCCATGCCACGTCGCGGAGGATGTTCCGTGAGCCGATGAGCTCGGCTGCAACGTAGAAACGGCGGTTCTTGTCGCTACGATAGACCCTAACCATGTCCATGGAAACGACAGCAAGTGACAGAGCGCGCCTGTCCAAGCCGGCGTTGACAGCAGTCCAGCATGGCAATTGCTCCTTGTGGAAGCATACTCGGAAACTTGCCTCCTCGGAGCGCGGAGGAGGTGGCTGCAAGACCTGCGTCTGCGCGAGTATCTGCCATTCAGAGAGGTTTCCATGGTCGACGGGCTCGTTGACGGTGAGCATGCCATCGCGAGTGATGAGTGCAACCCAGGTCTCCTGCATGATCTGCTTGAAGTCGAGCGACATGAATGGGGTGCGCGTTTCAGAGACTTGGGAGTAGATGAGCTTGAAGCGGCGGCCAGAATTGGCGATTTCGGTCACATCCTCCTGCCAGATCTTGAAACGGCCGTCTTCACCAATGCTCCCGATAACCTCGCCCATGAACGGGCCATTCCATTTGACCTGCAGGCCATCAGTGTCACGGCAATGGCCATGGTGTAACAAGCAGAGCAAGCCAATTGCGCGGCTAACGCAGAGGGGGCAGAAAGAGGAAGGACGGGTTGGAAGCTGTGGCACTAGCGCAGGTGAGGACTCACTTCGACAATCTCGGCATCATGCGCCTTCCAGCTGTCGACCAGCGACCAGTTTTCGTCCTTGCGGTCCCAGACCTTGAGACGGTGGTCGGACGAGGCGGTGACCATGCGGGTGCCGAAGAAGTTGAAGTCGACGGCCAGAACCAGGTCCTGGTGGCCGTGGTCGAAGGTAGAAAAAGCCTGGTTGGCGGCCATGTTGCGCGTGGCTTGACGGGCCTTGGCCTCGGACTCGCGCAGCTCCTGGTAGGCGTCGAGGTGGGCGTCGGCTAGAGGTCTTGCTCCATATTCGAAGGTCAGTAGCGAGGTGCTCTTGCGCAGGGCGTCGGCATGGTAGGGCTCACTGCTGGCGATGCTTACGCGCGGGCTGATGCGTGGAGCGCGCGAAGTGGGGTCGGGCGAGAGCGACGCGTCGGAGGCAGCCTGCGAGGGCAGGCGGCTCGGGGTGAGGGTCTTGAGAAATTGCGGGCGGGCGAGCCTGGTGGTGACCAAATCGAGCTGGGCCTGGATGGTGTCGCGGCGGGGCGCGTGAGCAGCTGCGAGCGCGTTGACGTTGTCCATGGCGCGTTGGCGGGGGGCCCGTTTGCGGCTAGAGCGGCACTAGGGCTGCTGCGGCTGCGTGGGCGCTGGGAGGGAGGCCGAGCGCCTGCGGCTGGCAGAGGGGAAGAGGATACGCGGCCCGATATATAACATCTGGCTTCAACACGGCCTGCAGCTTCCCCGTCCCGCATGACATTCGTTTGATAATCCTCACCTGCACGCCATGGCCGGCAAGCTTTCGCGCGGCGAGAGCCTCGCCCTGCTCTCGCTGCTCGCCGCCTGCATTGCCATCCTGGCAAACACGTTCCACGGCGACGGCGAGCCGCTCATTGCCTCGCTGGCCTTCAGCGGCATTGCCTTTGCCAGCTGCTACGCCCTCATCCGCTGGCTGGGCGATGCCTTCATGCGCGCTGGTTTCAAGGGACGCGACCTGTCGAAACTCAAGAATGTCGAGATGTGCGTCCTCCCACGTGATGCTACCAGCGCCTTTCGCGCCGGAATGGAGCTGATCCGGAGATAGTCCCGAAACCATGGGCGCTGTGTGCGCCGTCGTCTATCTTTTTGCTCTGCTCGTCTTCATTCCTTTTCCTTTCTACAAGGACATCGTCGCCGCCACGTCGGGCGGCGGCAACAGGGACATCATAGTCCAGGTCCAGGAGGTTGAGACGGGCCGCTTCCTCCACCGATTTCCCCACAACAAGGTCGGCATCCGGCTGCTTCGCTCACTCGCTCCTCATTTGTTGATGTTTTCTAGCTTGCGTCGTACCTCTCCGCGATCCTCTCCCTTCAAACTGTGGTTCTCCTTGGCATCGGCGATGATCTATTCGACATCCGCTGGCGGCACAAAATCCTTATTCCCGCCTTTGCTTCCATCCCTATGCTCACCGTTTATTTCGTCGACTTTGGCGTCACCAAGATTGTCGTACCGACCCCGCTGCGACCCTACCTCGGGGTCCTCCTTGACATAGGTACGGCTGTGCCACCTTCTCAGTCTTCTTGCCTAACATGTTGCAGGATGGCTGTACTACGCCTACATGGCTGCCATCTCCATCTTCTGTCCCAACAGTATCAACATCCTCGCAGGCATCAACGGGATCGAAGTCTCCCAATCCATCATCATCGCCCTCCTTCTAGCCTTCAATGACCTGCTCTACCTCATTCCCTCTCCTCCCCCGGGCTATCCTGTTCCGCACCCAGCAACAGACTCCCACCTCTTCTCCCTCTACCTCCTCTTGCCCTTCCTGGGCGTCTCTTTCGCGCTCCTCGCGCACAACTGGTACCCGGCCCGCGTCTTCGTCGGCGACACGTACTGCTACTTCGCCGGCATGGTCTTCGCCGTCGTCGGCATCCTCGGCCACTTCTCCAAGACGCTGCTGCTGCTGCTCGTCCCGCAGATTGCCAACTTCCTCTACTCGGCCCCGCAGCTCTTCCACATCGTGCCCTGCCCGCGCCACCGCCTGCCGCGCTTCAACCGCCAGACCGGCCTGCTCGAGCCCAGCGTCGTCGTCTTCGCCGAGCAGAAGAAGCCCCTGCGCCCCGTCGTCGCCGAGGCCCTCAAGGCCCTGCATAAGCTGCGCCTTGTGCGCGTCAGGACCGACGACCAGGGAAACGTGCTTGAAAGCACCAATCTGACCATCCTCAACCTCTGGCTTGTTTGGTTCGGCCCCATGCGCGAGGACAAGTTGGCACTGGGTCTGTGTGCTTTGCAGATTGCGTGTGGAGCGCTAGGCTTGTTCATCAGGCATCGGCTTGCACTGTTGATCTTCACGCAGGACAATTGGTTTGTGTAAAATATGCATGTGGTTAGAATGTTTTTAGACGAGCTGCTGTATTATAGACTGGCCCTAATAAAGCATATAGACATTCCGGCTAAATGTACAAAAGTAAAATTGATTCCTTGGTTGCAGTGCGGTCCATTGCAAGGTACAGCAACTCTAGAAAGGCAAAACCCAGTCGCTTGTTGGCACTTTCATTACCTTCGCATGCTGTCTATCAATGTAGTTTTGCAAGAAAGCTGAAAACTTCAAGGGTATAGCAAACATTTAACGTCATCTCAGCGACACCTTCCGCAGCATCCGCGACACCCTGGAAAAGGATGTCTGATCCCGTCCCTTAGCGCCTCGGCGTAAACGCAGGCGTAGCCGCCCTCCGCCTCGACGGCGTATCCGGCAATAATTTCTGGCCCTGGCCCTTGATCCTGGTAATCTCTTTCTCAACGCACTGACGCTTCCGGCTGACGGCGTCGTTGCGCTTGCGAATTTCGTCTTCGAATTCTTGCGCAATGTTGCGCCGTATCTGGCGGGCGTTCTTGAACCGGCTGAGCAAGTCGCCGAACTGCGTGAGAAACCAGCCGCCGGCATCGTCCCACTCCCTCATACTAAGGGAGGCGAAGAAATTGGACTGGTCTTCTGGGCGGAGTTCGCGGAAGGCGGCTCCTAGTCGGTCTTCGAGTGGCGAGTCGGCGAGGTGCGAGAGGGGTTGCTTGGTGAGATCGGCACGAGGGTTGTGGTCGAAGTCTTCCTGGTCAAGCTTTGAAAAGTCCATTTTGAAGAGTTCCTCATTGTCGTAGTCCAAAGGAGGTTCGAAGCTTTCATTGGACGGTGAGATTGGATATTGCTGGGCGGTGGGAGGGCGGCTTCCGAAGAAGTTGCGCTCGTTGATAGTTTCGGCATCAGAAGCTGTGGAAGGTCTGCGAGCATAGCTAGCAGGTTGCGTGCCCTTCCGTTGAGGTTGGGTAGACGGAGGTGGTTGTGTGCGATGATGCTGTTGCTGGTTTGCTTCTTGGACTGGTTTGGCACTAAGAGGTCTGGTAATCTCAGACTGAACACCTCCGATGCGAACCGGGAGACTAGTATCGGACATAACCTTCTTTGGCGCTGCTTGGCGTAATTGGTGAAAAGGATCTAGTGCAGCATAGGCATGGGGCCGCTGAACTTGTTCTTGAGGCGTCGGGTATGGCACACGCTGGCTGAGTTCAGGGTTCTGTTGTTCGTACTGGTCATCGTCATCGTAGCCACCTTCGAAAGCCCCTTCCTCCTCCTGTTCCTGCTCCCCCTCATCGTCATTATCATCGTCATCGGGAACAGATGTGCTGGGGTACGATTGTGGCGGTGGGAAGATATTTTGTGGTAGAGTGGAAACCCCTGCTTTGTTCTGTGCTGCATGAAGCATGTGAAATTCTCGGGCACTCATGCCGGATTCTTGGCCATCTTCTGATTCTCCGTCTGCGAACTGGGACTCATTGCCATTGAAGCTGCCTTGATCATCCTCGACATGGTAGGCCTGTGTAGCATATGAATTTTGCTGTCTCAAGTTGCCATGAGCAAAGTTATCCGAAAAGTTCGTGACGGTCGTGTCATCGGCATTTTCTGCATCCGTGTCGAAAGCATTATAGTTTTGCAGGTGCGTCTTTTGACTGTGCTCTGTCGGCTGAATTGTAGTCTGTTGGCGCTGCCGACTCATGTTGCGTTGCGGTGGCTGTCCACGCTGCACCGTATTGTCGACGTTAGTCCTGGGGACATCGACTCTAGCTGCGGCTCCCAGACGACGGCGCTCAGCTAGGTCTGCTTCGGAGAGCTTTGCGGCAGGTGTGTGCGAGCGTTCAGGCGCCGGACTTGCTGTACGCTGCGTGTTTTTCCCCTGGATGAACCGGTGCATAATTCCCGGCACTTGACAAGGAACATCGATTTATGCAGAGGTTGAGTGAGGTTGGCCTCGTGGATGCGAGGGACGCGTCCTGACGGAAGTCGCGTCGCTTCGCTTCGCGCAAGGCAAGAGCAAAAACCCATTACCGCAAATGGACTAAGCTTAGGGCTTTTCTTATCGCCCCCGTTAACGTCATTTGCTCTTTATCAACGCCATGCAGTCCAAAAGCTCCCCTCATCCGTATCTCCGCATTGTGTTCAAACCTCCACGCCACTGATTTGTACGCAGATATGGCTCATCTGGTCACAGACAAGGGCCTTCTGTCGTTACCGAATGAGGTATGCTGCATCACTGTCTTCCATGGAGGGGCTGAAAACAATTGACAAGCGTGATGGCAGCTCCTTATCCATATCCTCAATTCATTGCCAACACCTGATTTATTGCCGCTGACTACGGTTGCTCACCGATTCTATGCTGTCATCCTACGCATCGTCCATAACCGTCTGATAGCTGCCGCCAACCTTCATGAACAGGATCACACGCTCCTGCTTGAATGCTATCACCCCAGCGCCAAGCTGACAGAACCACCTCTATATTGCAGATACCTGGGTACAGATGGGCTAGACGTGCCTGACCCTGACTTCGATGAGGCGGACCTGGTTGGGCGACTTGGATACTTGCGCAACCGGTATTCGCGGTTTCGACCGTATCGGAAGGGCCCTGAAGCATACTCTGCACGGACACGGCCGGGCGATATCCCTGGATCGCGAACGCATCCGTCAAGCTCTGCCCCCCAATATACAGGCGGTGGTTACAATGACGATGAACTTGTCCGGCAGGTGCTTTCGCTGGATAGCGAGGAGCGCTTCACGCAGCTCTGTGCCGTCATCAACCTGATCAAACTTGGCCCACGTAATGGCTTGTTCCGGAGCTTTGTGGAAGTCGAGGACAGTGTTTTAAGAGTCTTTCGAGACTGGCTACGGAAGGTTGCATTGCCGACAGCGAACCAATTACCCGACTTACAAGCCGCATCGGGCGAGAGCACGTCCGAAAAGGGCAAAGAAACACAAAGTGATGAAGAGATGGCGGATGGCAAGCGGCTTCTCTGGGTGAGCCCTGCGAAAAATGTAGGATTAAAGTTCCGGGTACGACAACGCAGGCTCAGACGGGACACGCCTATACTCATTCTCGCGGATGAGGAGACAGCCGTCAGTTACGACATCGAGTACGAAGGTAAGGGAGACTTGCAGACTCCGAAATCGCACGACACTTTCCGCTTGGAGCGGTGATTCTTCGGGGCAATTGCTAATGCGAAATTTCGCAGAGCTCCTTGTCCGAACATCGCATCTGCTGCTTACGTTTGAAAACTCGCTGTTGGATCAGGATAATCAGCCTGGGCGAAGGGCTGTTGTCTTTGGCTCTTTTGGTTGAGTGGCAGGGCATCGGGCCAGATCCGAATCTCGCGGAAGGCAGCGCCACAGCCGCCACGGTAGAGATCAGCGGTGTCCCGATGCTTGTGTCGCGTCGGAGATTCTGGCCTGGATGCGCCGATTGAATGATCTCATGCTGCCCCTCCTTCCAGATTTGGTGGCAGTAGGGGCAATGTTCCTCCAACCCCACCTGGTGGTGGCGGGTGGTTCAGTCATGAAGATAATGAGTCAAAGCAATAAAAGAAATATGAGGAGCGTCTCAAATCTGTTGAGAGGCTTTGCAGTCGTTGCGTCGGGCCAATAACAAGCATTGTTCTGGATTTCAAGGAATGCATCTAGTCGCCGATTCCGCTCGTCGTAAGCGCGGGGCACAGAGTCACATCACGCTTTGAGCAACGCAAGAATTCTTGGATCGGATGGGCACGGCACCCAGGGCGGGAGTGAATGCATAGGCGTAAGTTGACTAGCTGCGTTTCGGGGGAGCATCTTGTCGCAGTTTGCAGCAGAGAGGTAGAAATACGGGGGTCGCAATTGGCTGGGATGCGTCGGAGGCCAGGGGCTGCGCGCCTCAAAGTCACTCAGGGCAAAGCTAAAGAGCGAGAGTGCAGGATAACCCCTCACGGCTGGGCGCATGTGCCGCGCTTGGCCGGGCGATGGAGACTGGTCCGGAGCCGGTGAGGCACTGCAGAGGTCAAGAGTGGTGTGGGCTGCGCCCCGCGCGCCACTCGGCCAATGGCAGGCGGCGAGATTGCCGCTTATCCCAAAATCTTCCCCACAGTCCGATACCGGCCGTCGCGCTGGTAGACACGCCAATATTTCTAGCGGGCGGCAACCGCTGTCTCAGCACTATCAATCCTCCCAGTTCCTTCTCTTCCCTCTCTCCTCTTTCCTAGATACCCATTATCCCGCTTTCAAAATGCCCGGCGCAGTCAGAGGCCCGCGGACCCTGTACGACAAGGTCTTTGAGGATCACATCGTCGAGGAGAAGGAAGATGGCACCTGTCTCCTGTACATTGGTGCGCTCCAGCTCGTCCTCTGTCGCTGCTCGCATCGCTGACACTCTGCACAGACAGACATTTGGTGCACGAGGTCACTTCACCGGTAAGTGTCGCCGCCAAAGCATGCGCTGCCGATGACGTGGGGCTAACGATCGCCACAGCAAGCTTTCGAGGGGCTCCGCAACGCCAGCAGGAAGGTCCGGAGACCGGACTGCACCCTCGTCACCACCGACCACGTAAGTTGCCCGCGCCTGTGCACCGAGATCAAACACTGATGCGCCTGCAGAACATCCCTACGTCGTCGAGGAAAAACTTCAAGGATGTGAACACCTTCATCGAGGAGGATGACTCGAGAACGCAATGCGCTACTCTCGAGGAGAACGTCAAGGCCTTCGACCTCACCTACTTCGGTATGGGCGACAAGAGGCAGGGCATCGTCCACATTATCGGCCCTGAGCAGGGCTTTACCCTTCCCGCCACCACCGTCGTGTGCGGTGACTCGCACACCTCCACCCACGGCGCTTTCGGTGCCCTGGCCTTCGGTATCGGCACCTCCGAGGTCGAGCACGTCCTCGCTACCCAGACCCTGATCTCGAAGAGGAGCAAGAACATGAAGGTCCAGGTTGACGGCGAGCTGGCCCCCGGTGTCAGCAGCAAGGACATTGTTCTCCACGTTATTGGCATCATCGGCACTGCTGGCGGCACTGGATCCGTCATCGAGTTTTGCGGTTCCGCAATCAGGAAGCTGAGCATGGAAGCTCGCATGTCCATTTGCAACATGTCCATTGAGGGTGGTGCACGTGCGGGCATGATCGCCCCTGACCAGATTACCTTTGAGTACCTCAAGGGCAGGCCTCTCGCCCCGAAGGTCGACAGCACTGAGTGGAAGAGGGCCATCGCCTATTGGTCTACCCTCAAGACCGATGACGGTGCCAAGTTCGACGAGGAGATCTACATCGATGCCAAGGATATCGCCCCCACCGTCTCTTGGGGCACCTCGCCTCAGGATGTGGTCCCCATCACCGGCAATGTTCCCAGCCCCGATGACTTCCAGGACGAGATCAAGAAGAAGGCCTGCGTCCGCGCTCTTCAGTACATGGGCCTCACTGCCGGCACCCCGATGCAGGAGATTCCTGTCGACAAGGTTTTCATCGGCTCTTGCACCAATGCGCGTATCGAGGATTTGCGCGAGGCGGCCAAGATTGTGAAGGGCAACAAGATCGCTTCTAACATCAAGCGTGCCATGATTGTGCCTGGCTCTGGTCTCGTGAAGAAGCAGGCCGAGGCCGAGGGTCTCGATAAGATCTTTTTGGACGCCGGTTTCGAGTTCAGGGAAGCCGGCTGCTCTATGTGCCTTGGCATGAACCCTGATATCCTTTCTCCTGGCGAGCGCTGCGCCAGTACTTCGAACCGCAACTTCGAAGGCCGTCAAGGTGCTGGTGGCCGGACACACCTGATGTCCCCGGCCATGGCTGCTGCTGCTGCCGTCACTGGTAGACTCTCCGATGTCAGGAAGGTCGCCCCTCCCTCTGCATCCGTCGACAAGGGTTCGCCGAAGCTCGAGCTCGAGGCAAACGTTAGCGACATTGAGAGCGATGCGGATCTCGACAAGATTCTTGACGACCCGGTGGATTCTCAGGGTAACACTGTCGAGACAGGTGCTCCTTCCAGCGCTGGTGGCATGGCCAAGTTCACTCAGCTCAAGGGCTACGCTGCACCAATGGACGTTGCAAACATCGATACCGACGCGATTATTCCCAAGCAATTCCTCAAGACCATCAAGCGTTCCGGTCTGGGTTCTGCCCTCTTCAACGCCTGGAGATACGACCCCGCTACCGGCGCTGAGAACCCCGACTTCATCCTGAACAAAGAGCCCTACAGGAAGTCCAAGATTCTCGTCTGCACCGGCCCCAACTTTGGCTGCGGTTCCTCACGTGAGCACGCCCCCTGGTCTCTTCTCGACTTCGGCATTCTCTCCATCATTGCCCCTAGCTTTGGTGACATTTTCTTCAACAACTCCTTCAAGAACGGCATGCTCCCCATCCGCATTACCGACCAGGCTACCCTTGAGAAGATTGCGGCCGAAGCCGAGGCTGGCAAGGAGATCGAGGTTGATCTCCCCGCCCAGGTCATCAAGGATGCTGATGGCAACGTGCTCGCAGAGTTTGAGGTCGAGGAGTTCAGGAAACACTGCCTTGTCAACGGTCTCGACGACATTGGTCTCACGATGCAGAAGCAGGATAAGATCAACAAGTTCGAGGAGAAGAGGACGCGCGAGTGGCCTTGGTTGGACGGCCAGGGCTACCTTTCGAGGCACCGCACCGGCCCTGTAAAGGTCGAGGCAGCGCCTGTCCCCAAGACGAACAGGGGCGAGGTTCTCAAGGAGCCTTTGGAGTGGTAAACTTGTCCAGGAGGAATGGCGTATCGGGATTGCGGTGCAACAACATGGGCGTTTAATGATGGGTCAACGAATGCGGAAAATGGCGAGCGTAAAAAGGCACAGTCTCGTCGGTTATTTAATGGGCAACTATCATCATATGAGATTATGTCATGCATACTTGCGAGAACGCAAGAAAGTAAAGAAGAAATTCAAAAGAAATACTTTGACGAAGCAAGCACTTTTCGGATATTACATGAGGTTGTCAGAAACCCTGGTATCAAAGAACAACAATCGCGTCCATGCCATGCGCCAGTCGGAAGGCCACTAACTACCACAACATCGTACAGCCCCTATAGGATCTCTTTCGCGTAATATGTCGTCTGCTGTCAGGCCGCGCGCATCCCAACAATAGTAGGTATCAAAAAGGTGTTCACCGTAGCTCGGCAAACTCGTGACGACGCCGCATTCATCGATGATGTCGGTATCACAAACGCTGTTTGTGCTGGATATTACGCTGTCCTGCCGTTCGCGAACAGGCACGAACAGCTTGGGGAACAGATTCGCGCTTCCCTCCTGCTCACACACCGTCAGCCTCGCTCCCTCCCTGAAGTTGCTAGACAGGTACGTTCTACACTTACCTCTTGCGTGGTCTTTTTGCCCTCGTCCTCGACGCTCACTTTCGCCTGCAGCGTGTACCGCACCCTGATCTTGTCGCCATCGTGCACGCTCTGCACCAGCGAGTACGGCGCCATCGGTAGCGGTAGTTTCAAGTCAAAGTAATTGGCTGGTGCTGGCGTCGGCGTACTACTGTTGTTGTTGCTGCTACAATCCCCACCACCACCACCATTACTACTACTGTCCTTGTCATCACCACAACCTCCTCCTCCTCCTCCTCCTTCTCTCATCTCCGTCTCATCCACCGCCGTCTCCCTCGCCGTTACCAGCTCGCTCGCTGACACTGACCTGCTCACTGTCGCCACGGACCGTGTGCACTTGGTGCCGCGGTGCGGCTCGCCGTGCTTGTCAGTGACAACGAGGTGGACGTTTTGAAGTAGTTCGAGGCTGAGGGTGACGATGCGGTTGGGATTCGAGAGCAACGCATTGGTGTCGGATTGGTCGAGGAGGAGAGGCGTCAGCGCGAAAGTGGTTTCGAGGACGCCGCCGCCATTGTCGGTGGGTTGGTAGGGTTGCGAGAGGGTGACGGTGGCGTCGAGGCCGGATTTTGGGAGTGTGAGGTTCGCGGTTTGTTGTGTGATCTGAAGATTGGAGATGTGTGAGCTTCATTCTCAGTGGCCTCCTTTTCTAATTTTTTTTTAGGCGTGTATAACTTACCTCTGGCGCGAATTGGAGCTCGTCGATGAAGAAGGAGGGAGATTTGAAGAGACGCAGTGGCTCGCTAACGCGCAATTTTTTGGTTAATATTCCGCTGCCGATGGTGGCCTCTGCAGTGATAGAGTAGCGGATGTACGTGTCGAGCGGGAGCCACGTTATCGACTCTGGGAGCGATGAGGGGAGAGTGAAGGAGAAAGGCCAAGTGTAAAGGCCTGGTGCTGCTTTGCTGGGTTGGCCGGTGCCCTTGACGAAGACGTAAAGGAGGCGGTCCTGAAAGAATATGGAATCCCTTTGTCGAACGGTTTGCGGTTGGAGGGTGTCGGTCAACCAGCTGCAGCACTGCGGTCAGCTTTTCTGGTAGCCCGAAATGCATGAGATGGTGGCTCGTACTGGACTTTGCGGACTCCATGCAATGACACCTTGACTGCTTTTATGGCGGTTGGATTTTGGGTGCAGAGGACGACCTCGCCGTGCACAACCTGCTTTTGGCCATCTCGATGTTTGCGACGGAAGACGATGTCGTGAGTATCGAGACTGAAGTAGGCGCGCAGGTCAGTGCCAAATGTCTGAAAATCCGATTTCATCGCCTACCTTATTTTCAGACACTTGTCGGATCTGCAGGGTGCCATCTTTTTCTTTGGGTGGCAAATGCCTTTGTCCTTGGCTCTGGTAACTCGACGAAGCCAGCGCAGAGCATGGAACGCTTCATGAAGAGGCGCGAGGGGGGTCGCCGGTTTATGTATGGCTAAGACCATGGCTGAGGTTACCTTTACCAATATTGCGTCACGCAAATCTCTCGTGTCGTGTCACTCGACACTGGAAACGGGTGGGTTTGAGGTGAGGGGAAAGCATGCCGAGTTGGATGTTGTGCTGACTAGCGCAAGCGGGCCGCTTCCCGTTTCTGGAAGCACTCAGCACCTTCTAAGAAATTGCTCCCCTGCCAGCGAAAGGATCGTATGCTAACGCCGAACGCAGTAATGACGTCTCCGAATCCAGCCTATCATGTTGCACTTGTCAGCCCTACCATTATTTCTGCAGACACGGCATCTCCTCTGCAATCAGCACCAGCTCTACGGTGTATCAAAACGATCAACGGTGACCGTCGATTTCTAATCGTGAGTCACAACAAAGAAAACTTTTCACCTAGATAGTATAGACTGTTGCGAATTTTGGTGTTGTGTGGCTACGGACTGGGTGACCCTGTCCGGAGCTTGTGGTAGGTCCGCGCTTGTCTCCGGACTAGCCCCTCCGTCAGCACTCGGTGAGCCGAAAGAGAAGTCCTGCTATCGAATTCAAAGATAACAGCTGTCTAATCTCCGGGCTCAGTCCTTCTTATAAACTTCCCCAGCGCGTTCGATGTTCCAACTAAGAATTTCCACACAGAGCGGGTCCTATGATGTGGTGCGCTGGCTCAATGCCATGACGATCTATGGCTCAGGTTGCTGAGCACCATTTTCTCATCTGAGGTAGAGGGTGAAAATTTTCGAAAGGGGGGCTTCCGGAGATATGTCCTGGGTGGTGATACTCCTAGGGCTGTCAACTTTTTTTTTCTTTGGTGTGCCGTTGCCCCTTCCATTTTTCCTTTCTTGCGAAGCAAACGTAAGTAGGGACATCGGCTCACAAGGAACCGGGCCACACGCACATATATATATGTGTGTGTGTAAAGCTTGTCGGTTTAGCTGCGCGGCGCAGTGATCGTCGGGTATAAAACGTGTAATATTTAACGAAGATTTTCGTAAATTATTCGTGCTCCTTCCTCATTCCGTTAGCAAAGTCAATGAAGTCAGGAAATCCACTCGCGGGCCGACTCACTTTTCATCGACTGACAATCCGGCCACCGAATACAAGAAATAGGCAACTCATGCATAATAGCAATACTTGCTTTCTCCACTCTACGTAAGGCGATAACAAGGGTCTGGGCGAAGAAGGGCCGTTTTGTTTCTGACATAACGTGACGCCTGCAAAAGGTGGTTCGTTCTAAGACTGCTGCCAAGATGCCCCAAAGAGGAACCAATCCCAACCTTCGGAGCACGTGTCCAGCATCACAACTCAGTGACTTCATGGATTTCATCATTGAAGATATTGCCCTCGCCTCCGTAACCTCCGCCTCCAGCTCCATTTACCCCAATTAACCCTTCGCCTCCACAACCGATCGCATCAGCCACCCCATCCGCCACCCCTCACACATCCACCCAGCATCGCGATCCCCTTGAATATCCATCGAACAGGCCATAGCACGACCAGCAACCCTTTCCCCAGCACGCTCAGCATGTACCAGCCCGCGACGATTGCCCATACGAAGGCCAAGGCTTGTACCAACGTGACCACCGCGCTCTTTGACACCCGCACGTCGATCAGCGGCTGATTCTCCGCCTGGGCCATCTCAACCGGTTCTTCCGTCTGCGCTACTGTCGGAGCCGCTGCGACCGATTGCGCCGTTGCGGCCAATGCCTGCTTGCCCACGCTGCAGTGGTGCGCATGCTGCTCGCGCAAGGCAGCTAGCGCAGCAGCACGCTGAGCGGCAAAAGTGGCATCGTCCATGGGGGCTGCGGCCGTGGTTACGACCGTGGGCGCCTTGCTACTAGTGGTGGTGGTGGTGGTTTTGATGTTGGCAGCCGGTCTGGCGGCCGCCGCATGAGTCGCTGACGGCGCGCGTGTAGATGATGGTCTGGATGCAGGTGCAGGGGTGGAAGCAGACGCAGACGCAGCGGTAGACGCGGCTTTTGGGACGCTCTTCTCCCCGGACGAAGGTTTCGCAGAGGTGGCTTTCGAAGTCGGGGCCGATTTGGTGAGCTTCTTGCGTGCTGATTTGGCGATGGCTACTTTCGGCGGCTTCGCTGGGGACAAGGCCCTAACTGTTGATGCGGGCTTCTTCATCTTTTCCGCAGAGGCATCTGCTGTGTGTGGTGGAGGAGGCCGCTGGATCGAGATTCTGGTCTGCTGCGCTTTATCTGCGGTGCTGCTGGGGGTTGCAGTTTGGGTGCCGGCTGTTGCTGTTGGGACTCTGTGGCTATCTGCTTGGCGTGGTTTGCCTGTTGTGATGACCAGTCGCTGTACGCCGGTGCCGTTCAGTCGTGTCTGAGCCCGTACAGATGGTGTCTCGAATGATGGCTGGATCGGATGTCGTTTGTACGCGCCAGCAACGCTGGCACGAGTTTGCGTGCCGCGATTGTGTGTATCTGGGGCGGGCCCTGGTGGTGGGGCGTTCACCAAGATGGGCGCAGTCAAAGGTACGGGATGAGCCTCAAACGAGGAAGCAGGAGGCGTGTCCAGAGGAGGCCTGGACGAAGCGTTCCACTCACCATGGTGATGCGGCCGACCAGCCTCGTACCTGTGAGGTGGCGGCAACGGTGGAGATGGATAGTCGGCTGTAATCGGCGACCTAGCTGAAGATGGCCCGGCAATGTCATCTGGCCCATGAGGTGCCGAAGATGGCGAGGCTACATATTCACCCGCAACTGGCTTCCGTGGTATTGAGCACACCCTTCGGGGCACTGCAGCATTCGCGGGTCTTTCCCACGGGTGCCGCGGACCGAGCACTCTTTCTCTTGACTGGGCGCAGAAGGCATCGCGCGCGTCATATGAGGAATACGATCGTGCGCGCGTCAGAGTTGGAACTTGGATCTGGCTCTTTGATTGTGAGCGCATTATTCGCGGGCCACCAGGAGCTTGCCCACGTGCGAGCGGTGATTCGCCCGGCGTGAGAGGCCCGGCGGGCAACTCGAAGACCCTGCGACTTTCTTCTGCAACCCATGTAGATATCGCGTCGGTGCCACCGCTCGTTACAGTCTTGATTGGAGGTGTTATCGTTAGGGCGCCAGGCATTCGGAGATGGTCAGGATCGAATGCTGCGTAATGATCGGGCGTTGGCTGAGATTGGAGTGGCTGGGTTGAGCTGTCGAGCGCATCTGGGGGCTCTTCGTCCTCGACAGTCGGTCTCGGTGGCCTGGCGGGCGGCGAGTCATGTTCTGGAGGCGTTGGGGGGAGTTCTTTTGCAAAGATGCGCCAGCGAAGGAAACGCTCTTTCTGCTGCGACTTCTGCCTGTTGAGTGTCGTGTCCAAGTCTTCTGTCGGGCCATGAGGAGGCTCAGTCCGCTCAGAGACCAAGCTCAGCACGCTCGGGCTCATTTCACCCGTATGTGGATTAGGATTCTGTACGGTAATGAAGTCGTCCGTGTCGCAGATGCGCAGCCCTGGTTTTCCGTGCGTAGGGTGCTCGAACAGTACCCCTTCTGATCCCGACGAGGAAGACAATGACCAGGTGTCGTAGCCGCTGTCGTCGCTCCAACCGGCGTTGGCTTCTGGGCTCAATCTGTATAGGAATTTCTCACGCGCCCATCGGCGGAAGCGTCTGTTGCGTCGTGTAGAAGAGAGCTCAACACGCTCCCAGGATTCGAGAGGCTCATTCTCGCTGCTGCCGTACGGATGGCTGGTTGGCTCACTCAGGAATGCGCCAGGCATTGAGGAATGCGCTCCCCACGTCATCATCTACCTCGCACCCGGGGAAGCCACAAGGAACGAGTGTGTGTCTCGCAAAAACGAATGCAAAAGAGTGCTGAGGGGACGTTTGTTACTGTGTAGTGATTGTTCATGATAGCCATGCTAATGGTTGATGGAGATGCGGCATTGAAGGCGGCACTTCAGCATTTAAGTGCGACGAAATAGAGAAGTGACGTCTCCGATCTAGAGGAGATCGCGCTTGCCATCATAGGTCCACAGTAGAAAAGTGATTGATAGCCATGGTTGTATCATCGCAGAACTGGCTACTCCCGGCTCGTCAAAGGACACTTAATTCAGTATTGGTAATGATGTTGCTTCTTCTGAGATGTCCAGACCAACGTGAATCCGGATGCAGGAGTCCGCGAAGAGAAACGTTTCGCATCCGAAAGAGTCCACCATGGTTGGTGATTGCAGTTCGACGGTTGAGGCTAAACCATCTTTGTCAGCGACCACCACAAAGACATACGGCTGCTTAACGTCCGGGTGCAACCCACTCGTCAGACGCTTTGTCTACAAGACACTTACGTATCCTGTCCGAGAGCGTCGTGTTCATTTTCATGTGGGCCATTAGCTGAATCACATTGTCGCACAGATTTGAGCCCACACCCTATCCAACCAATCCCCGTGATCCAGCTTTTGATGTTTTGTCTTGGCTTCATTGCCATGAGCAAGGTATATGGCGCATGAACACCGTTTCCTAACCAACGCCTGACGCCGCCGCTGTGCCCCTTTCCACCCATTATGTACCGTCTACCTTCCCACCGGAGGTCCCTCTTTCGTCCAGCCCTTGCCCCGCATGCTGAGCTCAATGGCATTCCAAATCTTCTCCACCTCCTCGCGATCTCTCCAGCGGCCCGCTGCACCCTGATGCGGGGTCCACTTGTCGACTTGCGCAGTCATGACGCTCCGTCCCCATCCCTTCACTGTTTCAGGAACCGATTCTCCACGCCAGCCGACGTAAACTCCCAGAGCGTGGCTGAACAGCTCTGCGGGCTGCGTCCACTTGTATGACTTGAACTGCCAGGTCTGGCCCGTTGTGAAGACAGCAACCACGCGCTGCCAGTAGTCCGGCTTGAATTGATCAGGAGTATCGACGAGGATGAATCGCATGGGGCGACTGGGATCAATGCTAGGAAGTGTACGAGTAAGATGGAGCAGGTTGGGACCAGCACCAGCGGAATCAGCTGGAGCGTAGATACCGCCGTCAAGGAAAGACTTGACGTTGGACATGCGCAAGAGCGAGGAGGCCGACGGGGACAGGAGGATGATGGGTTCCGGGCGGCGACCGGGCTTCTTGAGATTTGAGACGAGCGCAGGGTTGGTGACGTTGTTGAGAGGATTGGGTACAGCGGCTGCGCCTGACCGCTTGCCATGGCCGAGAAGAGCGGCGGCGTGTTTGCGCACATGAGAGAAATCCTAGCAGAGGGTCAGCAACCATTGAATGCAGAATGAAGCGCTGCTATACTCACAGTAGGCTTGATGCCGCGCAACACGCTATTCCTGTCTCCCATCCGCCGCTCGCCATTGTAGATTTCTAGAAGCCGCGGGTCAGGCTGCGACTTGCCGGCCTTCGGAGCGCCGCTGGGCACAGTCGGTATACCGCCAGTGGTACCAGCGGCAATGTTCGCAGAGCTTGTGGCAGCCGCGGCCTCAGACGGCAGCGGCTTGATGTTCTCGCTCTCTTCAGAGCCACCCTCGAGCCATGTGATAAGGTCGAGCTTCTCGGCGAAGACCAGGTTCTTGACGGACCCCCCTGCGTTACCCGGCAGCTTCAGCTCGTCGTTCAGACGGCCTACGGAAGTAATGTACTCGGGGACAGCGGCGTCCTTCTTCAGCCAGGTGAAGTACACGCTGCGCAGGTCGACGGGCTGGCCCTCGGAGACGAAGCGCGTCGGGGTATTCAGAGGAATGGCGCGGTGCTGTCCGTCTTCGTGGTTGAACTGGAGGAAAGTTGCCTTTGCGAGGTCCTGCTCGACATCCTGGGCATGCGATGCGTCGGCGCTCTTTGTGGGGATCGGGGGTTTGCTGGCCGCGATGGCGTTACGGAGGTTGAGCAGCGGGTCGCTCTCGGCCATTGTTGCGGTATGCGATGGCGATGGCGCGGGAAAGGGTAGAGGAGCGGGCGGGAGGTGGTGTAGGAAATGCGGCCGTCGTGGAGCTCGACGTGAAGGTCGACGCGCGCAAGATCGTCCGAGCTTGCACCGCGCGTGCCTGCCTGAATCGGAACCCTTTCACCTGTGCTAGGTACTCGACCCGCATGTCACACAAACAACGCACTTCACTGAAAAAGAGCATGCCGAATGGCGCTCCACTGGATTATTTCATAACAACGACTACCCTTTCATTCAGTTCCTTTTCCTTCGCAAAGCCCTATTCCTACGCCCGCTCCCCATGATAGATTCATATAAGGCCGATGGGTCAGGTATGTAGGCGGGTCGGTCTTTGTTGAAACCAGGCTCGCTTTTGGATACTCCATCTGTGTCTTTGGAGATGATGTGCAAGACGGCACCAAGCGCATCGCTGTACATTCGAATTGTTGCAACTCTCTGCCTGATGCGGTTCGCAAATACTTCAAGGAATCTTCTGCGCTTAAACTCCCTAGTCCATACTATTCTTCGCCATCTGTCGTGGTTCGAATTCAATCTTGTTGTAGACAGCTGCATCTCGGCGGTGATTGCTCGAATTTCTGCTAGGACAGGTCGATACTTTTGCAGGACGCTCAAGAGCTGGCTGGATTCAGTCTGCTCAACAGCCAAGCACACAGCACTGGCATAGTCGCCGTCATGGGATATGCTCAGCTTTGCTACCTGGCCCTTGCACCCGTCCAATGCCGGGTCTAGATCAGGATGGCTTTCCAGGTCCAGGTCCGGATCAATCTCCGTAGAGAGCGGAAGGCTGAAACCGCAATTTCGATTCAGATAGAGGCGCTGGACATGGGTCAAGATGGGCGATTCATCGAGCACGATGGCATAAGGCTGGCTGCCCTGGGTAGCCACCAATACATCTTTCAAAAAGATTCGGCGGGAGGAAACGGCTTTGATGACCGCTTCTTTGGCAGCAAATCTATAGAAAGCACTCAATCTCACGGTTCCAGCTATAGTGCACGAGCGTCTTACCGGCCGGCAAGGTAGCGGACTGCACTGGTAACCAGGGCTGGATCACGACTAGCGGCTGGCTCGTGCAGCAAGCCTTCGAAGCGCTGATTGAATAGCAAGATCTCGCGGAAGGAGAAGATGCGTGCTAGGAATGGCCGGAACGACGGCAGAGAGGAGTGGGCGGGAGCGTGGCGCTGAAGCAGAGTGTTGACGCGCTTGATACTGCAGATGTCGATACCCACGCTGAAAGGATGCGGAAAGGGGCGTGGAGGCATGTCCAGGGCGGCTCAGCCACAATGGATGCGCGCGGGAGGGAGCGAGGAGTGAAGATTGGAGCTGCTCAGCAGCGGCGGCGGCGGTGATTTTCCGGTAGGGCGGCGGCGGGCGGACCATGAGGAGCGCGGGACGGGAAGGTTTGTGCTAAACCCCCGGCTCCCAACCCGTCTCCCGCGAACCATAAGCTGCCATTGATGCCCAATTGACCCTGTGCTCAGGTACAAAAGTGCACCTGTTCACGGCTCGTCGAGGGGCAATCCAGATCTGATGGTTGCTGGCTCGCGCCCATGGCCTCGCCCCACTGACGCACCCGTCTTCAGCTTCTCGAATCCAACGCGTGGACACGTCGCTTGCTTGGCCGCGATTGGCAGCACTGCCCCGCCATGCGGTGCTCCTACTGGCTGCGCGCGCTCTTGCCCTTCGAACCCATGTTTCAAGGCAGGGCTATGACGCAACCGCGCTAGAAGGCCCCGGCGCCGGTCGCCGCAGCCAGCGCGACAGCTGCAAGCAACGCGGGGCTCCCGCTATTTGTGCAACCGCATCGCCAACACTCTCTCCAGCCTTTCCCCCGAACCTCTATACAGACCGGCATCATGACTTACAACAACTCAGTCATCACCTGCACCCCTCACGCAACCCCCGATCCCTTTGTCACCTTCCACAATGGCAAGTTCTACTTGGTAAGTGAGGCGCCCCTATGCCCCTCCACAACAACACTAACACCTCGTCCAGACCTTCACTGCTGGTGACCGCATCGAGGTGTGGTGCTCCGACAACGTGCTCAGCTTCCACAACGCCTCCAAGCATGTTATCTGGTAGGTGGGCACTTTTCCTCTTCTCTCTTCCGTCACGTGAAGAATCATCTTTCGATACCAGTCTATTTTCGTTTGCTCTGAGCGTGATGCTCGCACGCTCATAACCGCGTCAACTTGTATTCTTGTCAATTTTCCCCTGCTAATGCCCACCAGGAAGCCTCCGCCGGGCACCGAATACTCTGGTGGCATCTGGGCTCCTGAGATCCACGTCCTCGATGGCCGCTGGTACGCCTATGTAGCCTGCGAGAACCCCAAGGAGGGCAACAAGTCTCACAGGGTATGCACCATTGCTCTCTTTAGATTTCAAATCAGCTAACATGCCTCTAGATGTACGTTATCGGCGGCCCGCCTGGCCACGAGGACCCGTGCACCGGCCATTGGGAGTTCCTCGGCCGCCTTCGCGGTGTCCCCGAGGATCAATGGGCAATTGACGGCACCGTCATCCAGCTCAATGGCCAGAACTACTTCGTCTACAGTGGCTGGCCGCTTGGCGAGACCAACTCAGACAAGACGCAGGAGCTGTTCATCGTGCACTTGCGCTCCCCCACCGAGGCCGATGGCTCTCGCCCGCCCACCAAGATCTCGCACCCTGACTTCGACTGGGAGCGTAGCGGCCCGTCCGGCATCAACGAGGGTCCGCAGTGGCTCGCATCGCCTGATGGCTCCTGGAAGGGCATCGCCTACAGTTGCGCCGGCTCTTGGACCAAGGACTACAAAATGAACACGATCCGCTTTGCTGGCGGCGACCCGCTCGACCCGCGTTCGTGGCACAAGAGTGACAAGCCGTTGGTATCCACTCCCGAGGGCGCTACGGGCCCCTATGGCCCCGGCCACGGCAACTTCATCCCCATCGCCGGCAACGAGATTCTTGCTGTCTTCCATGCTACTGACAGCCCCACTGATGGCTGGGAGAACCGCAAGGGCCGCTGCCAGCGCGTCAACTGGACCCACCATGGCCCGGACATGGGTCACTGTGTCGGTCCGTTGTGCGGAAACGTCGACGACTTCATGGCCGGCAACCATGCCCAGGCTTGGAGCGGCGGCAACAGCAGCGGTGGCGGCGGCGGCGACAACATCGAAGATAAAATTTCTGGCTTCTTGCACAAGGCCAAGGATAAGGTCGAGCAAAAGTTGAGGGAATTGTAAGATGTGAAGAAGCCGACGTGAAAAATTCAAGGATGCTCTTCATTGTTGTATGAGGGGATACCTGTACGATCAAGCCTCTGCGGATGATCCGCCACGAACGTAATTGAAGTGACGAGAACTAGAAAAAATAAACAAAGCATAACTTCACAAGATACTTCATGCATGCCATATTGAGACTCTGAGATTCGAAGCATATTCACTATAGTATTTAAAAGATGCTTCTATCGATACCGTGTGTGCAGTCTAGAAATGGAAAACGCAAAATTGGAATCAACTATACTCTTCTTCTCTCCCACAACCCTTCCTTTGCCCACTCCCATCATCTCGCGCTTTGTTACGTCCCGTCATTAACTACGCCGTTCACAGCCTCAACAACGCCCCCATTACCACCAACCTTCTCCGCCACCCCGTTCGCTGCCTCAACCACCTTCTCCTTGGCCTCGACCGCCAAGCGCTTCGCATCCTCAGCGACGACGTCAAACTCGACGCCGCTGACGAACACCTCGCTGACGCCCTCGAGCACGGCGACGAAGACGCACAAGCCGCTCGCGATGCAAAAGTGCGAGATGCTCGTGCCAATGTCCAGCCACGACCCTTCGTCGCGCACCATCCAGAAGAACGACACGGTCATGACGTCGCCGACGGCCATGACGACCATGAACAGGGCCGACGGCGCGACGCCGAGGCGGCGGTTGAGGATGCCGAGGTTGGCCGAGAGGGCGGCGAAGGGGACGAGGATCTTGAACATGAGCAGCGCGCCCTGCGAGAAGGGGTCGAAGACGGGGATCAGCCGCGCCACGGCGTCGAGCGAGAAGGACGAGATGGACGCGATGTTGCCCGTGCTGAAGAAGGCCGACTGGAGCAGGAAGAAGAAGAAGAGCGCGATGCGCACGTCCGACAGCGTCAGCGAGCGGTAGTTGCCCTTGGCGAGGTTGGTGAGACGCTTTTGCGCAGCGTCTAATGCGGGCTTGAGGGGGTTGAGCTCCTTGATGGCGGGCTGTTGTGGTGCAGGAACTTTCTCTCCTGCTACAGTGTTGGTGTGTTGGGAGATGCGGTGCTCCAGGCGCACCCAGGTAACTACGGTCATGCAGAAGGCGAAGTAGAATAGACCTTCGTACGAGATGGTGAGGATGACGAAGATGGGCGAAAACGTTAGGAAAATGACGACTAAGCGGTGGATGTAGTGATTATTCGGCGCCAGACCGTGGAGGAATGGGACCATCAGAGATGCAACTGCAGGGAATTAGTCAAAATTCAATTTGCAATACATTTGCATCACTTACTTAGTACAACCCAGCCCACGACCTGGGTGCCGAGAGGCAAGCCCTCTTTAGCTTGCAAAGAGGCAACGCTTGACTTGGTGACAAGCATTGCGAGGGCGACCAGGCCGACTTGGGTTCCCAATATGGTCCGAGACAAGGCATCGGCCTTCTCGGACGCGAGGCCCTTCTTAGTGGCCGTTGACTTTGCGATAATGCTCTTCTCAAAAAACAAGTAAAGCGCGCCGACGGTAAACATAAGAGCGCCGCCAACGAGACTAAACGCAAGCCGTTAGTACGTCTTCTCCTGCAAGGTCGACATAATACCCACATGAGATTGATATCCTCAGTCTTCACAGCATCCAGCAACGTGAATGCACTCATCATGATGCAAGAAAGCCACCAAGTCGCAACGATCAGGAAATTCTGTTTAATAAAGCTCAGGCCGTAGAAAACAGGCCAAAGCGTGGCCAGAAGGTAGCAGATGGTGAAGACTTCTCTGTAGAAGTAACTTTGCACCTAGACAGCAGATATCAGCAGGTTATTCTCACGACAAAAAGAAGTTTGGCTTACAATAGCTTCCAGAAATCCAATAGATGCCACAAAACTTATGACCAGGCCAATCTTATCCTTTGGCGTCTTGATGTCCGCGAAGAGCACATCTTTTCCCTTTTTGAGGGCTGCTCTCCGCGCATATACCTCCTCCCAAAACATGACCGGGAAGACCGCGTATCCATAGTACGTCAAAGCCGACTTCTGCGCAATCAAAACAGAGAACAGCGCAACGCCAATCGACGAGAATATGATGGTCGAAACAGTCGAGCGCGACGTCTCGGTAGAACCATGCAAGACATGCAAATCAATGACGGTCGTAATCGCGAACGCCATCCATCCCAAATAGCCCAGCGTCACCAGAGCACGCAGGAACAGCCAGTCATACGTCTGGAGATACCTTATACCCTCGAGAGCCACTTTGATGAGTTCGGTGCACTGCTGAATAGCATCCTCGGCATGACCGCTGTCGATTAACTCCCTGATTCTTGTGATGCGGTGCGCCACCGACTTCTCGTCGTTGCCAAAAGCAGAAAAGGGCCTGTAGTGCAGCTCGGTGGACTTCTTTTGCTCCTCCTTCACGTGGTACATCTCGAGAATCTCCTTCGCGTTGACCAAAAGCGCCTCAGCTTTCGTGGTGGCGTCTGCGTTGACATAAGCCAGTGGAAGTTCACCAACCGAATTGACCGGGAAGGGGATGCCAACGAGGTAGGCCATGAGCGCCGCGACATCTGCCTGCGCAACGTCGTTTCTCTGGATGTGGTTAAGGTTCCAATCCAAGGAGAAGCCGTCCTCGTGGCCCGCGGCGATTCCCTCCGGCACCTTGACCGGAGGGGCGACACCAGATCCCCAAGCAATCAGCGGCGTCCGCGTGTTGTCGGGATGGCCGTCTCCATGACTGCCCCAATCACTCATCCCATGGTCCGCAGTAAAGACAAATGCTGTCTTCCCGTCACCGTAGAAATCTTCAATCAGCTCCGTGATCTCCTTGACGCCTTGATCCACAATCTTGATGTTATGCAAGTATTCCTTGGAGTACGGCCGGTACATATGGCCTGTCGTGTCCAGTCCCAGCAAGTGAAGGAAGAACACGTTTTTCTCCTGCTTCAGCTCCGCACCCAGCGTCTTGTTCGCCTTCGCGTCGCGGAAAAGGGCCTTGACCCGGTCAAACACCCAAGTGTCCAGCTGCGTCGCGTCCGACGTGAAATCCTCCGCCTCGGCGCCATACATGTCGGCGTCCACACGACCGGGTACCGCGCCCTGCTCGAACATGGGTAGGATGTCCGGGCTACCCCAGCTCCACGTGTGGCGGCTGCGGTTGAAGACGCTGTCGAAGTTGACCGGGTTCAGCTTCCACCCCGTTGTCACCGACGACACATCCTCGTACAGGCCCGCAATCAGCGCGACGTGGCCTGGCCGCGACTCGGTAGGCACGCGCGTGTGCGAAACGCCGAAGGTGCCATGCGACAGGACGCGCGAACGAAGGAAGGGCGCGAGCGGCCGCAGCTCCTGGGCCTCGGGGGCATTGGGGTCGGCGGGCGAGGGATCCTTGAAGTATTGGAACGCTTTGTCGGCGCGTAGTCCGTCTCCTGAAGGACATACAATGATTAATACAAGCTCATTATCCTACAGATACGGGGCGAACAGCGAGCTCCGGGAGGCCTTAGGCGGCGCACGCTTGCGTGGGTACACTCACCGACGAATAAAACCAATCGCTTTGCCGGCGGCTCTCTCACTTCAAGTCTGTACTCGCGCATGCCACTGACAATAGGGCTGACGAAGTAGATGTCGAAGATGGAGTATATGTAGACCAGGTGGAAGACCACAGCGATGGCCAGGAAGCCCGCGCGGCTAAGTCTCGCCATGGCTACGCAAAATGAGCGGCGCGTCTCCTCGTCGGCGGAGGAGACTGCTGTAGAGATTGGGCGGGAAAGGAGGGTGAATGAGCGGTCGTTAGGGACGACGCGCGGTGTTTTCACGGAGAGCGTGTACCTGCATGGATAATTGTACCTAGCCAGACCGCCAAGGCCAACGTCACCCCGGCACGCTAAGGGGACGATCGTACGCATCAGGAGGCGGTCAGCAGGCATGCTCTTCGCGCGCCGTGTGATTCGTGGTATTTTGGACTGCTCAATGTGTCCTCGTTGGCACTCAACTTCAGAGTGTGTATTCATACTTTAATTTGGCCGCCGTCTGATTATCTGCATACAAACATCCTCGATCATGCTGAAAAACGCCTTTTGTATCCCGATGACCCTCATCGTCTAGACGTGACCTACGCAGCCTCCTCCGCAACCTCCTCCGGGCTTTCGCCGTCGACCTCAACCTCGTCGGCTGCGTTCTCTACTGCAACCTCGCCCGCTTCCTCCTCCTCCTCTTCGACATCCACAAGCTTGACCGAGCCGCCTTCCTTCTCAAGCTTGAGCCACTCATCCCACTCAGGGAACATGTCAGCGTCGCCCTCGTCATCGGCGCTGGGCGGCTGACCCAGCAACCGTGCAATCTTGCCCTTGCTTTCCTTCTCCAAGCCCTGCTTCCACTCCTTGACGAGTGCGGGAGCGCGGCTCGGCTTGTAGGTCTGCGCAAAGAGCACGGCTTCCGGCGTGCGGCCCGTCTTCGTAAGAATGTCGATGCAGCCGTCTACATCACCAACCTGCCACAGGCAAGAGAAGGCGACGTTGTGTGCACTCGACTCCTGAGCTAGTTCAGAAAGCTTGCGAAGACCAGCGGCGTTTGAGCTCGAAGAGTAGAGGAGGAGGAGCGAGCCCATATCCTTTGCATGCGTGAAGCACTCCTCAGCAAGCTTGAGGTTCCATGCAGTAAGTGCTGCGTCGCCGACCGTCTTCCACTTGTGCTCCACATCGACCTCCTTGGCGAGCTCGAGGGCGACATCCAATTTGCCAAGGCTCAGCGAGAGCTCGAAACGATGCTCAGGGTCAGTGGCCACATCGAGTGCCTCCTCCTTGAAGCCCTGGCCCTCAAGGAATCGTGCAATCTTGTTCTTCTGATCCTGAGGAATGTCTTCGAGCATCTCCGTCGCCGTCTCGAGCTCTCCTCTCAGCACGAGCGTCTGGTATTCAATCACCGAGAGGGAAAGGGCGTACGACATGACGCCGACGTCCTTGTCGCAAATGTAAACACGGCCATCGCGGGGAAGGTAGCCGAGGACGTAGATTGGGGTATCGAAATGAGAAATGGTGTAAGTCTGATCACCAACAAGGTAATTCAACCTGTTCGTGCTGTTGGTGTAGACGAAGCAGTCGCCGACCCACTGACCAGTACGGACACTACAATCGTCAGTCCGACATCCGTGCTTGAAATAATTAACAACTCACCTCTCGTTGACGTCCGTAATAACTTCGAAAGCAGCCTCGACGCCGTCTTCGTCGACCTCACCAGCTTGCAGAGCAGCGACGTAGTTCTCTCTCGAGAAGCGGAGGACGTAGTAGGTATCATCGCAGGCGAGAGTGACGAGCTCGCCGTTCTCAGACCAGTAGACCTATTTCTCTTAGTTCATGCTCGCACGGAGTGTCGCAGGCGTTAGACTTACGTTTCTGGGCTCGACTTCGATCCTCCTGACAAGCTGGCCAGACTCCCAATCGAAGAAACCGATTCCGCCCTGACCCTTGACACCCAGGAGAGTACCGCCGCTCAAGCCTTCCGCTTGGAACCCAACGTTCAGACCTCCGCTGCCTTTCTCCTTGAAGTTGCGGAAGATCTTCACGCTGGTGCCAGACTCACGAATGGCGTAATCCTTGTCATTCTCCTTGGAAGCCCAAGCAAAGTCCAATGCCGAACCGAAAGCTTGGTTTCGCAGAGCCAGCGCAGTGTAGATGATGTATTCACCATCGCCACAAACCGCGACGAAACGGCCGTTGGGGGAGTGCATCAACGATTGCGGGTAGATCTCCGTGGAACCCAGATCCTTCGAAGGGATAGTCAGGCGATCGCCATCCTTCAGGCTCTTATCACCACCCTTGATCACAGCGGTAAGAATCTCGGAGTGCTTCGCCCAGATAATCTTGCCAGAAGCATCCATGCTAACTGCAGGCTCCTCGCGGCCCATCTTGACAACGACAGCACCATCGTCGAAACCCACGGCGACTCCTTGCTTTCCACGTTGGTAGCTCACACACCATGCACGCTCCAGACCATAGTTGAGGGATTGCTCGAGGCGGTAAGTGTTGGCATGCCAGATCTTGACCGTGCCATCTTCGGAACCGGAGATGATAACGGGCAATTCGGGGTGGTAAATCGCGAATGAGACGTTGCTAGTGTGGCCTTCCAGAGTAGCGATCTGTGCCTTGGTTGTGTAATCCCAGACCTTTACGGTCCTATCATCGGAGGTCGTCAAGAGATAAGGCTTGTCGGATTGGGGGTAGTAATCGACGTGGTTGACACCCTTAGTTTCGTGGGCCTCAAGAGTGAAGTTGGGGGTGGAAGATCCCAGGCTCCAAATTTTGACCGTCCTACAGTTTTGTCAGTAACGATATATCGCGCCTGCAGAACATCGCGTACCTGTCAAGACAAGCAGATGCGAAAGTGTTGGTGTCCTTGGGGTTGATAGCAAGGCCCATGACATAGTGAGCATGACCCTCAAAGACCTGGACACACTTCCAGCCGCGCTCCCAATCCCACAGCTTGATGGTCTGCCCGGTTGTCAGCTACACTTCACGCCGAACCTAAACCACGCCATCTACGCACCATGTCGTCGGAAGCCGTCAGAACGAAGGGCTGGGTCGGGTGAACGCATATCGCACGAATGTAGTCGGGATGCGCCTCGAAGCTGGTTATCTTCTCGGAGGTGTTGTAGTTGTAGACACGAAGCTGGAAATCGTCGGAACCGCAGACTATCCAGTTCTTGCGCGCGATGAAGCGGCCAGCGCGGACAGGGACATCGGTGAGCTCGAAGGTCTTGACAATTGCCTGCGGAGCCTGTCAGCCTTACACATGGTAGACCGAGCCGGTGTCCTTACCTGCGTCTCATAGGACCAGATGTGACAATGGCCTGGCTACGTCAGCTCTGCGGTCTCCTCCGTAATCGCGCCGCGACGACGTACCGCTGTACAGGGTGGTGAGAACCTGCTGAAGTTAGAGACGCGCCCTCATCTAGAGACGTAGAAGTAACGTACCCATGGCTCCGTAGGGTGGAAGTCGATTCCCTTCACGCGCTCGCTTCGGGCGAAGAGCTGCCTCTGTATAGCGAACGTTGGGTTAGCTATGTTCGCAAGCGGGACCAAGAAGTTGCTGCGCGCAGCCATGATTCCGGTTGGAGCTCCAGAGCAGGGGCTGCTGCGCGCAGCCGATTCTAAGGCCTCGTACCTTCACGTCAAGCCGCATCTTGTTGTCTCAGGGTGTGTCGTGGTACGCAAGGGGAGCGGGAGCGGGAGACGTGGCTTATGAGCAGCCAGTCCGGTCAAAATTGAAACGGGTTGCGCAACGTGACGCCCGGTATCACCGCTGCGGAATTGGTCGAGGAGGATTAGCGCGGAGGATTGGGCGGCGGTCGAGAGTGGTGTCGCAGGCTCGCGCTGGACAGGTGGATCGTTGCGGCCTCCAGGGTGTCTTCGGAGTCGGTCTCGGCCGCCAAGATTTCAGCTCTCTCGCCCGTTGAGCCCGCCGCAATTTAGTAGTTGCCGCGCACCTGCTCTTTCGTGTCCTTTTCTCCCCGCCAAAATAAAGTCGAGAATCAATGCTCTACGCAACTGCTTGGCGACTAGACGGTGATCATCCTATCTCTACCAATTACATCGAAGCTGCACAGAGTTTTGCGTCCACCGCTGTAGAGTGACTCGTGCAGGGGATGCATCCGCTGGTTTCATGCCATCGAAGGACACGATGCACCTCCTCTGCACGTCATTGCACGTTCTCACCATTCCGTGAACCACTTCATGCGAAATTTGTCGAAACTTTTTACGCGACACGTGGACAAATTTCTCATTCATCACTACATTTATTCAAAATTCTCGAACTATGTACTTGACAGCCAGCCTCCCCAGGCGCTGTCACACCAAACAACCATGGCAGCAGAAACATGTGCCAAGTTGTCCGTAGTCTCCTTTCTACCGTATCGAAAGGAATCAGAAATAGTCTAACTTCTCAGCAGAAGTCGTAGACAGGTATCTAAGAAGTGAAGGGAAATGTGATCAATAATGTGGTAATAAGCTTGCGCTGGATGACAAACTGGAAATGCATAGACAGGTATATAGAAAAGGAGATAAGGCTGAGGGTCTGAAGAGCAGTGACCTGTAGAAGGATGGGACGATCGTCGCTAGGCGAGGTGGAGCCCGCTACTCGTCTGCTGTCGGACGGAAAGAATGGTAAAGTGGTCTGGCCAGCTGCGAGACTGCTTTTCAAATATGATACAGCGAACGTGACCTCATGTGCTAAACATTAGGCCGTCAAAGATAGTCTAGGATCGAGCTTGGCGCTCAGTTCCATCCCAGCGAGTTTTCGGCCATGACTGGCGCCGAGATCTGCGCAGTTCTGGCGCTACGGCCGTTGCTGCTGCCACTGCCACGGCTGCCGTGGCTGTCGCGGCCACCCCGAGCTCCAGACATCCAAGGGCCGCCGTTTGTCGAGCCGTAGCCGTTCGTTCCAGTGCTGGGGACGGAGCTAGAGCGCTGGTGACCGGCCCTCTTCTTCTTGTACCTGCGAGCAACAAGCATCATAGCCGCACCGTAGACAGCAACACCGCCCATGGCAGCGAACACGATACCGACAGCGGTGCCCTTGACACCAGAGCCGGAGTTGGAGCCGTCATTCATAGGATCGCCACTGCCGCTGTTGCTGGAAGAACTCGAGGACGAGCCGCTGCCGGTCGAGGAGCCAGACGAACCATCATCAGGCATGTCGCTACCAATGATCGGGAACGTAGGGTCGACAAAGCTCGTCAGGAAGTTGATCGTCGATCCAAGATCCTTGTCCTCGTTGTTGTAGAAGACGGAGTTGGAGTTCAGGAGATCCAGGTGGAGCGTGTCAACCAGATCGCTGGGAACATACAGCAAAGCCAGCGTGGAGATGTAACCCAGCTTGTCAGTGGTGTTGTACGAGGTCAAAGTCACCATCTCAACCTTGTCATGGTCGATGCCAAGTCCATCAGCCACAGCAATGGGCATGTAGGTGGTGAGCTGCCAGCCAGTGGTGTCGGCGTGGCCCACAACGAACGGCCAGTTGAAGCCACGCTTGAAGCCAATTTGGATCTTGGTCGAGTTGGTCGGCGCAGCGGGCATACCACCCGGAGGAGCGATGAACTTGGGGTACGTGGTAGCAGAGGCAGTAGCCGCCGAAGAGCTAGACGAGGTGCCAGTGGTCGAAGGATCGAAGACGATGCTGGTTGCCACAACGTAAGTGGTCGCCGAATCAGTTCCAGTGGGGCGGATCGAGAAAATAGGCGTGGTCGACGTAGTCGAAAGAGTGGAGGACGCAATCTCGATCGTGGAGCTAGTGCTGGGAGAGGGAACAACCACGATAGCTGAGGACGAGCTAGAGCTAGTAGTGGAGGAGGGCGTCTGGACAGTAGACTGGGTCGTCTCCGAGGCAACGGGAGTGGTAGGCGCTGGCGTCTGAGTCGAGCTAGGGCTGGATCCAGGTGTGGAAGACCCCAATGACACTGTGGGCAGCGGCGTAGTCGGGGTAGTCGGGACAGCAGAAGAGCCGCTTGGCGTTGCGCTAGATGCAGACGTAGCCACAGGAGTCGACGCAGAGATGGGAGTTCCGGTCAGGGACGAAAGAGCCGAAGAGAGATCAATGCTGGTAGGGGTGCTGAGCGGAATGATGGGCGTGGTCGGGATCGAAATCAGCGGCGTCGAACCGAGGAGAGAGGACAGAATCGACTCAACGCCCGTGAGCGAAGATGAAGAAGCAGGGCTCGAGGCACTCGATGGGGTTGGCGTGGCGACTGAGCCGCTTGCAGTCAAGGGAATGCTAGGCAGCGGCGTCAGAATCGAGGACAGATCACTGCCAGCGCTGGAGACGAGGCTGGTCACGTCCGAGATGAGCGAGCCAAGGGCGCTTGTAATCGGCAGAGGAATCAGTTCGCTGGTAGTCGGCGCCGGGGTAGCACCCGGGGTCAAGACACCGGTAGCCGATCCACTCTCGCCAGTTGCAGTGGGAATAGCACCACTGATGGATGAAGTGACCGGTGGGAGCTCAGTTCCGGTGCCAGCGTAGGAGGAACTGCTACCAATGATAGGCGTCAAGATAGACTCAACAGGCGTCAAGACAGACTCGACGGGCGTGGCGACAGAGCTAAGGATAGACTCGACGGGCGTGGCGACAGAGCTGAGGATAGACTCGACGGGCGTGGCAACAGAGTTAAGGACCGACTCAACGGGCGTGACAACGGAGCTCACAAGAGACTCGACAGGGGTGACAACAGAGCTCACAAGAGACTCGATCGGGGTGACCACAGGGGTAACAATGGAGCCCACGGCTGAAGTAACGCCTGATACAAGACCACCAAGCAGGCCGGCGCTGGAAGTCTCAGTCGACGACGGGGCATCAGTCGTGCTGCTGCTGCTGTCAATGATCGTCGAAAGACCGACAATGATACCAGTTCCAGTCGATGACGCCGCAACAGGGGTGGCAGGGCTTGCGGTTCCGCTGGTGGGCGTAACGACGGGGATCGAGACACCACCAGTGCCAGCGCCGGAGCTCTCAACAGGCACGGGCTCCGAGCCGCTAGTAGCATAGCTCGGCGCATCACCGGTTCCCGTGGCGCTAGCAGATTGCTCAGTGGCCGAGGTCGGGTTGAGAACGGGGCTGAGAACACCTCCAGTGCCCAGGGCGCTAGTGACAGGGCTCAAGATTCCGCTCGATCCAAGAGCGCTAGTGACAGGACTCAAGATTCCGCTCGATCCAAGAGCGCTGCTCAAGGGAGTCAGAACTGGGCCGAGAAGGCCACCGTTGGTGGAAGAAGCACTGGACTCGGTGGGAGTGACCTGCGCATCAGTGTTGCTTGAGCTGGTAGGCTGAACAATGGGGATCGAAACACCGCCAGTGCCAGTGCCGGCAGCGCTAGACTCGGCACTCGGAGTAGTGGCAGCCGTAGAAGACTCAGACTCGTCGCTCGAAGCTGTTGTCGTCGGCGTCAAGACAGGGCTGAGAATACCACTAGTACCGAGAAGGCTGGTCACGGGAGAAACGATGGGGTCAAGAAGGCCAGTGCTGGAAGCCTCCTCGCTAGCGGTCGAGCTGGTGGGCTGGACGATCGGAATCGAAACGCCACCAGTGCCTGTTCCAGCAGCGCTCGAAGCAGCCGGAGTCGACGCGGCAGCGCTCGTCTCAGAAGCACGAGCTTCTGAGGTTTCCGACTCGGTGCTGGTAGTGGGCTGAATAACCGGGCTCGAGACACCACCGGTGCCAACATAAGTGGATACGGGAGTCACAGTCGATGAAACATCGGCAGTCGTCTCCGTGTCGCTGGTGGTGGGCTGGATAACAGGGCTCGAGACACCACCAGTTCCAACGTAGGACGGTGCGGTCGAAGATTCAGCCACCGCGGTGGTGGTGATGGTGGACTCGATAACCGTCTCCTCGATGGTAGTCGAAGGCGTGACAACGGGAAGGCTAACGCCGCCGGTTCCAACGTAAGACGACGCGGCGGGAGTAGATTGAGTTTCTTCGGGGGTGCTCGACAGAGTAGTCGTGGTGAAGGGCGAGGAAACCTCGGTAACAGTTGACTGCGTAATGATGGTCGAAGTTCCGGACGGGCTTTCGCTCACGGTAGTAGAGTTGACCACGTAAGTGGAAGTGGATGACTCGGCCGCAGGTTGCGGAGTGTTGAAAAAGCTGCTGAAATCCTCATCGCTCTTCGAGAAGCTCTCGAAAAAGGAGGAGAACGAGCTGGACGAATCTTCCCTCGAGGTCAAAGTCGAAGTATCGCTAGCGGGGGGCGTAGAAATCCCGGGGGTCGAGACGAGGGCATCCGGAGTCGAGATATAGACCTCTGGAGTGGAATTTTCCGGGGTCGGGGTAGAGGTGTCCGGAGACACAGCCGGCGTGGTAGAGTTGTAAATTTGCCTTTTCACATGACGAGGGAAGTAATACTTCGGCCTTTGAGGCGCGGCGGTCCGTCTTGCTTGTGCCGGCGCAGCTTCAGCGGTGGCCCCCTGAAGAGACAGAAGGGCCATGCAAGCCGCCCAGGTGACGGTTGAGGTTTTCATCTTGTATTATCGGATCAACCGCTCGGAATCCAGCGTGAATGGCAATGGAGGCGCAGGCAAATGCGAATGCTACTTGATGTTAGATATCTCCCCAAATTCCGGACCCAAGGCTAGCGTACTGTCAGGATGTTCGTGAAAACGAGTGTACTTGACGAATCAAGGTTAAGGAGTGTGACTACAATGATAGTTAGCTCAGTAATTTTTTTTTCTTGCGGACGAGGTCCCATTTGAACCAGCTAGTGCAGCCAAGGGTCCTTACCGGACTGCAACTCAGTCGCGGAGCGCAAGAGTAAAAGCAAAGATGGTTGGTAGGTCGGCGAATGAATCCACAGCCCTCACAATACCATTCTGCAAATGCTCACGAATTGCGTAGCTTCGAACGAGAGGACGCGAAAGCGGTAGTCGCGGGAGGTGCTGAGACAAGGGCGCGACGGCTGGACGGTAATATCCAACGGCTCTAGGCGTCTTGTCTTTGTCCTGTTCTCTAGCGCACGACAATGGCGAACTGAAAGGTGGCGTCCACTCGATCAAACGGCCGGCGAGATCCACGTGCTCAAGACCCTCTCGAACAAAGAACAACCAAAATAAAACCACGAATTACAGCTCCCAGGCTCTAGATCAACGGGCGAGAATGACAGGCTAGGCAATCGCTTTGTCCAGCAGGCCAGGAATCGCAGGGAGGCAGTACGGCGGAATCCGGTGGCTATAGTCGGGTTGACAGTCAAGGATTGGCGGCGCAGTCGTCCAAAGGCGGTCGAGAGGCGGTATTAGAAAGCGGCGAAAATAATTGCAAGAATCGAAGTAGCAAAAACGAGCGGTGGCGATTCACTGGGGAATCGAGGCGTGACGATGAAGGAGCGTGGGTTGAGCCCTGTGCGAGACGGCGAAGTCGGTCGGGACGAGGTCTGCGGCGGCGGCGAGCACACACTGGACGCTGCAGCTCCAGTGCTGACCGGTCGAGGATTGCCGGGCTGTTGGGGAGTTGGTGGAGAGGTCGAGGGTGCGGCGAAGGAGGGAAATGAGACGAGGTCGCGCGGGAGAGCGATGAGAGAGGCCGGCGGCGAAGCGAGCGAGCACAGGAGTGGCTTCTGTGAGCGGGCCTGACCAGCTGCAGCCCCGGGCGCGGAGCAGGGACGTGGGCAAGCAGAGCAGAAGCGACGCCAGAACAGGCGGTGCTCTGCATAAAACGTGCGCACAAGCACCGGTCAATTGCTGCAAATAGGCCGGGCGCGCAGGCGGTTCGCAGCGCCGACGGCGATCGTTCCCGGCGCTTGTGACTAGCAGGCGGATGTGCGAGCGGGACTGCTGCGCGGAAGCGTGGAGAAGATGGCGGGTTCGTTCAGCGCAGCGCATGCTCCTGCGCTGCACAAGTCGAGGCAGTTCTGATGCGATGCTGAGCGAGCGCTGCGGGCGGGCGTGCGCCCGGGCGTCGACGAGTGATTAAGGTCACGTCGCAGCACGACTCGCGCGGCCAGCAAGGAACGGGCAGGTGGGCGGCGAGAAACACAGCGTTTCCCTCGCCGGTGGCAGTGCCGTGCAGCCAGGAGCGCGCCCATTGCGCCGCGCCGCCATCAGCAATCCCGCAGCAGGGTGGTGAAATTGCCAGCATCGCGGCGGGCAGCGCTTCGGGCACCCTGCAGCTGCCGGGCTCCGCTATGCCCGTCGCGGCGTAGCCTGCGGGCCATGCGCCGGGATGCCCGGCCCTGCGAAATTAGACGGGCGTCGCCCGCGTCTCATCAGGGTCATGGCCGACAATTTCCACCGCCGGCCATTTAGCCAGGCCGCCAGCGTCGCAGGCTCCACGCCGCGAGGTGTCGAGAAACACGGCAAACAGCGCGCGCCGTTGCACGCAGGCCCATCAGCCGCTCGCCGTCTTACGCGCAGATTCACCACCCGCATGGTGTGCGACCCGACCTGCCTGCCTTCGTTCCGCCGTGCCGCCCCGTGCCTGGGGACGAGGCAAGCGCCCACCAGCCCCATGTGACGCCTCTCTGTCTACGCCATACGCGCCAGCACATATTAATCCAACAGGTAGACAGGTGCCAGTGCGGCGCGGCATGGGCCCATCTGGCGTGCTCTTTCATAAGTAGTAATGTTGCACTTCTTCCCAAGGCGCGCTCATCTCCGCCCGCCGAGGCCCAAGGCCCTCGTCGACCGCTCCTGCACATGCACAGGCACATGGCTGCTTCCCCGGCAAACACGTTAGCTCGCGGCTGATGAACACCCGCTCCGCTTCTCCTGAGCACCATTCGCGCGATAATCTCCGGCTCTCACCTCTCCAAACCCAAACTGGACCGCAGCGCTCGCTTTGGGATCCATCGCCGCCCTCAGCGCCTCTTTGCGGTATCCAGCCCGTGCTACGCGCCAGCTAGGCGGTGCACCAAGGTCTTTACGGCCGCCCGCCTGCCTCATCAGTGTCTTATTGGCAAGGTGTGTTGTATCGTGTGTTGCCCTTTCTGTCCGACGCGGCGCTATGGAATGCTAGGCCATGGTCCTTTCAGCTGTCAGATCTGCCATTGCAGAAGATCGCGTTCATTCTGCACACCCACGATCAACACCGAGTCTCGATTCCTTACGGCCAGGCGCCAGGGCCACGGCTGTGCAATCCGCCTCCACCCCTAGCGTTTCAGAGTGTTTGCCATCTTTCGGCACCGACTCCTCCTTAAGCTTCTCCAACGCCCGTTCGTATCGTCACGTTGCGCTTCCCCGAAAGGTTCGGAGCGTCTGATGGCCACCTCTGGCCTCGCTGCCCGGATCTTCATTGACTTTGCGTGGATGAGTCGTGGCGATCTGGACCTGCGGGTGTCTCCTTGAGCATTCGTCATGCGGTGGATCGCCTATTCTTAGGGACCAGTTCCACCTTGCTTCGCTCCGAACAACAACCATCGTACGTGTTCGTGGCGTAAGCGCTCGCATTGTTCACTCGCCGAAGACGATCCCTTATGCTTGCCGCCCTGCATTCCTTACGAGTACAAGACGTGACCTCCTTCATGACTAGTGGCGAAACCATGACCTCGCGCCATCGAGCACCCAGGGGGTTCGACCGAGTAAAAAGAACTCACCAAACACCAGCCTTCGGTGCTTCAGTGTCCTCGTGGCTTTTGCGCCTCAGCAGATCAGGATTGACGTTTCTCGATCTCGTCTAAAAGGCATCTTAAGCATCTTTCTTTGCTGGTCGGTCCCCGTGCCGTGACGATCGCTTTCTGCAATTAATTTCTTTCGCTTTTATCATTTACACGCCGAGCAGGCGTTCCAAAAGACCATTTTACTATAGCTCTGTATTATAGCGCTCCGTCCGCTATCGTTGCTTGTTCAAAGCCTCATACGAGGCCGCCAGCACAATTGCTCCAAATATCTGTCACATCGCACGGCATCGATTCCGGTCGCATTGCCATGCGTCGCCCTGGCTGCAGCGTCGGGATATTCGAATCTCAACGCAAATGTTGTACGACGTCACGTTCTCTGGCTCGTTGTCCAGACCAGAGCGCTTGAGCTGGAGTTCCACATAAAGACGTCGGTCGTGCGGCCTTGGCAACATCCGACGGCGTGGTTGGTCCAAACATGTGCGTTTTAGAAGGTGCGGAAAAAAGTCCATGTTGCCGGCGCTCTAGCCCAAACGCCTTCCGTCTCTACCGTTGCACCTACGTCATGCTTCCAGGTCCCGATTTGCTGGCTACATTGCCGTTGGGAACCACAGTCAGCCCTATTCAACATGCCCACCATCGCTCCTTGCCATCCTGCGTCACCCGTCGAGCAGCTGCGACGAGAACCACATTCCAAGTGCATGACGCTCTTCGCTCCGCTTCCGCCATACGGAAATCGGGACGTCAATCTTAAAATCCTTCCAGAAGATCACGTTCCATCCCATCACAATTAAGAATCGGCCAACCTTATCCTCAAACCCAAGCACCGGGATCTTGCCGGCTACCCACAAAATGCTGAGTGGTAGGCGAACAATAGTGACTGTAGATATGCGTTTTTCCACTCTCGCGTCAGCCAACCGGAAGCCCATCCACTCCCCGTACCATCCTTCTGCCCTCCGCGCCGCTCTTCGTCCCGACGATCCGCTACACAGCGGCCATGCATGCGTACATACATGCAGCCGAACAAATTCCCGAGATCCTTCCAGAGGCCGCGAATGTGAGGCGGCGAAGGAAAAAGCAACCGCTGACTAGAGAATTTTCACACCACGTACGCATCTCAACCACGACACGTCCGCGATGCCCTAAGACTGGGCCCCACTCCATCCGCGGTCGAGAACAACTGTGATAGATGATGTGCGCGTACGCTGCGCGGATGGTTCGCTAGCGGGCGTGACGCGTCATCCAGAAAATGTGCTCAGCATTCCTTCCCCTTCCTTCCATTCCTCGTCTTCCATGCCCGCCCACCGGAAGACACCCAACCGCTCACGGGAGCAGAGCACGTGTCGCCTTCCATCCCGGCCGTATCACTGACATGCCGTGCCCACCCTATGGGAGGAGACAGCAACCCTTGTTTCCCCCCAGCCTCATTGCTCCAGCCTGCGGCGTCAGCCACACGCATGCACGTCGTACGGCAGACGGGAGGGGGCGCGGGCATGCAACGTAGAAAACGAAGGCTCGTAATCTCCCAACCACCCTCCCGTACACAAGAAAGAAAAAAAAAATCGGGAATGTCTTGTCTATGGTTATTTTTGCCTGCCACAAGGCAAGGCAGTGGAAACAAAGGGAGGAAGGTGCAAGAAGCCTTGCCGACAAGCCAAGCAAGCCGTGGGCGGCCTCCCGTCCAGACGTGGCACCAATAGCCGCCCCGCATCCGTGTTAAATGGAAAATCGGACTCTTCGATTGGTCTGTTGCTTGCCGCTCATGTGTGATGGGGTTGTGCTATATTGGTTATGGCTTGAAACGGCAATGTCACCGTCATGCTTATTGTCCGCCGGGCATGTAGAGCGTGTCTTTTCGATACGGGTAAGTGGGGGGTGAGTACAGACGAGGAGGGGGAGGGGCAACCGGCAGTACGAAGGCAGGGCAAGGAAAAAAAGGTTTATTGGCATGAAGATGGCGCCTTCGCGATAGGAGAGTAAGAAGTGGCTTGCTTTGGTGGCGTAAGGCTGAGGTGCATATTCCTTCGCGGCCCGCTACTGCAGGATTCATGAGAAGTCTCCCCATAGCGCACGCTTGTGCGTATGCGGGGAAGGCTGGAGAAGGATCGCGTGGACCGAGTAGGGCTAGATCTGACTTTCCAGCAGCTCAAGAGCTTGAAAATGACGGGGATCAGACCGCCTATCGCGATGCTGTTTATCGCTGTTCGACGTTGTGGTGGGGAGCCGGGACATATGAAGAGGGCTGAACGAGTACCTTTTCGACACCGCTTAAGCGGTATCTTTCCTGCTAGAGGCTTATCCGCTGTTTGCGTGCTTACGACGTGAGAATCTAGATCCGCTGCAGATGTGTCGGCTTGCAGGTGGCGGTAGGTCAGACTACTATGGAAAATGTCCATTTCCGACTCTGTCGGCAGATGGTTGTGGTAAAGGGCGGGACCTGAAAGACGCAGTGAGAATCCTTCAAAGCCTAAATTGGAAATGCTGAGAACATCGCCTCGTGGCGATATGTAATGTACAAATAGTCTCGTACGCACGCTGTCATGAGCAGAACAAGTAGTGATCCTCCGTCTATCCCAAAAGTCGTCTTGGCACACATGTGTGCGCATGCTTGCAAGCTTTCTTGCCCGTACCGTGATCCAACGCCGAACTCCGTCCCTTGATATGATGCCGCTCATGCAGTTGAGCCTTCCACTGTAGGCCGAGAATCACCTTACAGGCGCAACGTATTCCTCTTCGGCCGGCGAGCTCGAGGCTGTTTCGATCTTACCAACATCGTCGCTGGAGCTGTCTCCATCAACACTCTCTGCCTCGGGGATCGCCCCCGCCTTTTCCGGGTCATGCATTGAATGCACCGTACCCTTCCTTCCCAAGAAATCTCCGGTGCGCAGCCCCCTCACCTCTTCCGGATCCACACCACGCAGCGGATCCCCGCGCTTCTTGCGCTCTTTGATAAACTCGCGGACGGGGCACATGGCAGCGTCACGGCAGGCCTCCTTGATGTCACTGCCACTCATGCCTGCCGAGACTCGGACGAGATAGTCAAGGTCGAAGTTTGCGCGGTCGATTTTGGTGTCCTTCAGAATCAGCTTGAAGATGCCGCGGCGTTGGTGGGCCGACGGGAGAGAGACGGGGAATTTCTTGGGCATGCGGCGGAGGATTGCCTCGTCGATGTCTTGAATGCGGTTGGTGGCGCCCAGAATGCAAATGCGCTGTGGCATGCCAGCGGCATTAGTAGATGCAAGACCGTCCCAGTGGGTCATGAATCTGTGGGGTATTAGCACCGGAACAAAGCCTCAATCCACTAGAATACATACTCGGCTTTGACCATTCCACTAGCCTCGTGCTCGCCGCTTCGCCTTTGTCCAAGCACAGCGTCGATCTCATCGATGAAAACGATGGTGGGCTGGAGCTTGCGGGCGAGCGAGAAGACGGCGCTGACCAGCTTATTCGAGTCGCCGTACCACTTCTCAGTCAAGGTAGAGATGTGCAGGTTGATGAAGCAAGCACCACTTTCGTGCGCAAGCGCCTTGGCAAGCATAGTCTTTCCGCAGCCCGGCGGGCCGTACAACAACACGCCCGACGGCGCGGACAGCAACGAAGAGGTATGGCCGTAGAGGTGGGGGAGTGTCAGAGGATAGATGACAGACTCCTTGAGCTCTTCGATAATATCCTCCAATCCTCCGATATCTGCGTGGGGTGTCAGTGTGAACCGGGCTAACGCATTCCAAATGGCCTTTTATACCTTCGAAAGAGACGGGTATCTCTTCGGGCGCGACGACTTCCATGGCAATGGACTGCTCGTAGGGCGTGAGCACCAGCTCATCGCGGTGCAGCCGCTGCCTGATGCTGTCCTGCTCCTCATCCTCTTCGTCTTCTTGCCGGGCGAGTATACCCTTCAGCTTGCGGTTGGCGGCGATGGATTTCTGGCGGGCTTCTTCCTTGGAGGAGGCGTCGGGATCGAGCTTGGAGAGGAGGTTGCGGACAACGAAGTACATCAACACTGGCTGCATGCGTCTGTCAGCAGAAGTTCGAGCACGGCGGCATGAGATGCAGCGGCGGAGGCGGAGGCGGCGGAGGGTGGTCCTGGACTTACGGCGGCCGTGATCATCAGCAGATCGCCCAGGTACGAGTACTTCTTCCATCCTTGGCTCGTCATGGTGTGTATCGAAGGGTGCGCAAAGGCGTGAGGCCTGGGTGCGCACGCAGGATATTTACAGGGCGGCGTTGATGGGCAGAAGTTGAACAGGTACCCGAGGTGCAGCTAGTTGTTCGGGACTGTGGCGCGAAGATGTGGCGTCAAAAAACGCCGGGGTGCGGTCGCAAGTGCGGAGCTTCGCGCGTCGAGCTTCGAGCTCTCAACCACCCCGCAACCATGGCCCTTCTGCCACGCATCGTGCGAGCCGAGTCGCTGGCCCTCCCGCTGCGACGCGTATCGTGTCTATCCGTGCACAGAGCGGCGGGCGCCAGTAGATTTTACGCGACTCACAGCAGCCTCGGCGGCGCATCATCCAAGAGCTCCACCTCCCGGCGCCAGGTCACCGTTGCCAACGACGACGGACATGTGCGGTGGGGCGACCTCACCACCGGCGAGAAGGTCGCTCGCTCGACCCAGCAGTCGTTCAACTTCCTGGTCATCGTCGCCGGTGTCCTTGCAACCGTTCGTCGCGAATCCATCATCGTCGAGGCATGTCTAACTGTTGCAGGGCGCCGTTGGCTACGTCATCTACACCGAAGTCCTCTCTCCCGAAGGCACTACAAACCAATATCACCGAGCCCTGAAGAGGATCAAGGAGGATCCGAAATGCGTAGAACTACTTGGTGATCCGAAGAAAATCGTCGCATATGGCGAACAGTTTCATAGCCGCATGGCGAGACAATGGTCGATAACGTATGTCTCATTGCCGCCACCAGCCAGTGCCCCAGGCTAACCCCGCCACAGTTCGAGGAAAGAGAAAGACCGTGCAGGCAACGAGCTCCTCCACCTACGCTTCTACGTATGGCCTTCACCTGCATGTTACTAGAGGTGTGGACTCATTCAGTGAACAGGTCGAAGGCCCGCTCAACAAGGGCACAGTTTATTTACACATGATCCAGAGGCCCGGTGAGAAGGAGGCCGAATATCAATCATTGACGCTTGACGTTCCGGGTAAGCAGGGAGCTTCCTTGATAATGGCCAAACTGACAGAAACAGGCCACAAGCGTATTTACCTTGAGCATGACAGCCCTTTCAAGGCAAAGTCGGGCAAGCTCTTCGGCGTACGGTGGTGGTAAATGAGCGAGCTGAGTTATACGGGCGATCACCCCAACTCCACGTGAGACTGAAGCTGCGAAACTTGCCTCTACCCATCTCCCCATCGGGTCCCAATCCCTCAATGGGTTGCTTCAGAGCAGCAGCGGAAACCAACATCACCTGATGGTCTTTGCGGTGTTGCGTAGGACCATGTCTCCATAAGCGCCACCTTGAAATCGCAGCGAGGAACAAACAACAGTCAGGCTTATGTGCAGCATTCTAGAAAGTCGTACTGGCAAGAGTAGCATACTCGCGCTTTCTGTACTGACGATTAATGCCCACGGTTGTCCATCTAGGCGTTGTCACCAGAGGTGGAATTGAAGCCGTATGCTATCTCAAGGTGCAACTCCAGAGCAAAGACTTCGGTGCGTGTAAGACGAAGGAATTCTCACAAGGCTTATGGGTCTCATTGTTTTCTGTCCCCCAGTGCCCCACGGCCTTGGTGAGTCCGAACTCGCATTCGCACTCGCACCCGTGCTATCGCTCCTACCTTTTGGGGGCAACCCAGGATCAAACGTCAACGCGACGTTTCCCAACTCTTGCGTCATTTGGGGCGGACTTTCCTTCCAGAGGGGGTCCCTATTACTCAGAAATTTGGCCTAAAGAGCTTTTCTAATCAGCGAGCTAGAAGTGACTAGGACCGTGCTTCTTATGGCAAACTTGTGAGACCCAGAGCACAACTTTGTTCCTCTGCTCCTCTTTTCCTTGGCTTCCCTATTCACGTCTACTGTATTGCTATCATCCTCTACCCCGCGACGAATTGACATTGTCACAGCCTTACATCGAGTGACGGCTAATGTAATGGGTTTCGCCCCCATCAATGCAATCCACACACGCGCAAGAACGGACACGAACCGTGACAACCCACCTCGCTTCCTCGCTCGTCCCAGCACATTCGCAGACATGCCCATACGTGCTACAGTGGGCACTAGACGGCACATTCTCTCCGGAAGATACGCCACCAATCAAAGGACCGACGCCTTCCACAAACCTATGTGCGGACGAATCAGATCCCAACAGTGGCATACGAATGTCGTCAACATCGACTTTGGATCGCCACGTTCGTGCAACAAGTGAACACACACAGACTTCGCATCGCCCAGCAACTATCACCCAAAATCCTAGTGATAGCTCTTTTCCTGATTCACACAAGACGTCGGCGCGCTCTTCCGTTTCTAGCTTTGCGCGCAGAGTCATGAGGTCTGGGCCGGACTTGAGGCTTATCAACGCCGACAAGACTGACCTTGCGGAGAAATTCTCACCCGGAGGTGGCAGGAGGAGAACCATTGCCAGCCTGAGGAAGGTGATGACTTACGAAGATCCCAGCAAAGCCAGTGAAGTTCCCCCGGCCAGTCCTCCGGCAGTTGCTACACCGGAGCCAAAGCCTGCCGCCAATAGGTCTCACTGGTTCAAAGCGTTACGGAAACATGACTCTGAGCCCGAAAGGCCCGTTGAGTCGACGGCGATATCTCCCATGATCACGCCGAATGCCTCAATGCAGCAGCTCCATTTCCATTCCAAGAGTGAGGGGTTCGCTGCGAGGTCGAATGTTTCCACCGACGATTCGCATAGCGAGTATGCTTCGTCCGTAGAGGGGATTTCCAAGGCATCCGCCGAGAGGGAAGGGAGGTGTCCGAGCAGGGGTTCTCCGCAGAAGGCATCAAGGCCAATATTCGCACACCTGAGGTCCCACAGTAGTCACCTACTCAAGTCTAGCAAGCCGCAGAGTCCCTTAAATATACGCACACAACCCAAGTCTGCAGCACAAACGCCTTTCTTAACCTCCGATGGTAGTCATAATCAGCCTTCGACGCTTTCCCAGAAGAAAAGATCGATAAAGCGCCGGCTGTGGCGGGGGCCGTTTGCTCCCGGTGATATTCGAAGCATTGCCAACGTGATCAGTCCGGTGAAAATGTTAGCAGAGAAACCAGACGCAGAGCAGAGCAAAGGTTACCAAGTCGATAACATCCATGTTTTCGGGCGGCTAATACATGCGCAGTCATCGAGCCAGACGCTCTTGCTCTACCGAAACTATCCACTCCTCAAAGGCATCTTAGATTTGGATCCACTCATCAGTCGAACGGAGGGGAAGAACGAGTTATTCATCCGCTCCCTCTCACCCAGGATAATCTCAACGAGGCTGCGCTTTTCACTCCCTACACTCGCAAGAACCGCCGAGAGGGTAACTCTTATTTCTCCCTCGGTGGACACTCAACTCCATCTCCGTACTCCAAGCATTACAGCCCCGACTTCATCGGAACTTCCCTTGGAGGAATTTCACCGCCAGAGAGCCCTGGAAGCTCGACGAGGGGAAAACTCGATTTCCTTCAAACCGCCGAGCATCCAAGCCGTCAAGATGCCATCCACAGAGGATCAATGCTCGCAGAGTTTGTTCCTCCAGGCCAAAAGCGCGTCAACACACCACCGGGCTTCAGCATTGACCGCGTCGCCGCCGGCAAGAACGCCGGCTTCTTCTTCGCCGGGCCATCGCCAGAAAATAGAAAATCGGCCGGGCGAGCCCCGGGTGCGCGTGGAACTTCGACACACCACACAACCCCCAGCAGTGGCGTGTGGGACAGCGACGCGGTGCTCATGAGCCAGGGAATTGCCGCCGAAGATGAGTGGAACGCGCCACGACGACTGACATCAGACACGCCGCCTGTTCCCGGAAACGATTGGTTCAGGGCTCAGCTGAGCCATATAATGGCAGAGGAGCCCCCAAAGACCAATTCAGACGTGGACAGACAAAATCCAAGCTTCGCGTGGGATGTCCCAGAGCATTTGCCCGGCAGCCCACTGTGTCCGCTTCATCCAAAGCATAAGGGCGGCGGTAAGGGGATTTGTGTGTATCATGGGCGAAAGAAGATGTAAAGCGGCGTCCTCATTATTTGATTTGGAAAAGCCGAGGCAGCGTTTAGGGACGTGAACAACGGTGTTGGCGGTGCTTGAAGCAGAACAAGCACGATACCTAGACCAAAATACGTCGACTGCATAAGTCTTCTGCTAAAAGAACTCAATAATCAAAGACAATTGACCTCACGACACGTGCATCTTGACAGGTTCATGTTCACATCATCATGGGTGCAGTCAGCTAGCAGGGTGTACCCTTCTCGTCCATATTGATTTCTTATTTCCGTTCAATTTTCACATACTCTTCAGAACTCCATCTACTCTCTCGTTAAAAGAACAAGAGAATTCAGCGGCGCCAGGGAAACAGGCCAGGGTGGATCCTCCGCCCTTTGGCCGTCTTAAGCAACCGTCGCAGTCTTCCTCGCACTGGCAAATGCCAGTCACAGCAGCCGTACAGATGGTGTTCACAAGCCATGCAGTTCTCGGTGCTACCATGGTTGCGCCTGTGGCACTTGCAGCAATACCAGTAAATACTGCCTGACATGTTTGCGGATTGGGTAGAGTTGGAAGGATGTGATTCTCGAAATTTTAAAGTTGGGAAAGTTAGAGTGATTTGACTTCGCGCTTGAGCGTTTCTATACAAAGCGGGGCTGGCATTATACAAAGACTACGACGCAGTTGATCTCAAGACAAACTGTCTCAGACATTTAGAGATTGGTTGTCTTGGTCGGAGCGAATGTATGTACCAGCGGATGAGTAAAATCACAAAGATACGCAAGTCATTTTAAGCAAACTTCAATATTATGGTGAGGGCAGAAGGAATTCAAGGTTCCTTTTATTTCTCTTTAGCTAATCAATGTGTGGTAGTTCAAATACGTTTAGACAAATAATGGCTAGACTCAAATGGAATACTCGGGACTGTTGCACATAGTATGGGCGTGTCTCCTCGGGAACCATTTTACATTCAAGTTCTGCTAGTAGGCCAATAGAAATGTTATCTCTGGTCCCACAGAATCTAGATCCCTCGTATATTAATAATTTACAGGACTAGAAGTTTATAAGCGGGCCCACACGGAAGGATATCTCTATTTCAAATAGACCCTGGAATGGTGCATTGACCTTCCAGATGCAGGGTCCATCGGATGCACGCAACCGCCGCGCTAAACGACGTCATGCGCCTCTCTCCAATATAAACTCCCAAACCATCTCCGCAGCCCGCACCACTGACACGACGCGTCCATCTGTTCGCACTCTCACAGTCACCGCTAACAGCCATGGAAGTCGCTCTCAAAACCTTCTTCACCTCTCCACGCTTCGCCGTCGCGGGCGCAAGCTCCGATCCCGCAAAGTTCGGCCACAAAGGTCCGTAATCGGTCGTCCATTGAAACAACCCCGCTATGCTTGTCTCTTCGACTCACACATGGCTGCAACAGTATTCGTATGGTACCTCCAGCACTCCCTCCCCGTCACCCCGATCAACCCGGGCTCGTCCAGCATCACCGCCCTCAGCAAGCCCCACACCACCGCATCCTCGCCCAAAGCGCTCCCTTCTCCATCCGAGACGGCGCTTTCCGTGATAACCCCGCCGCCGGTGACGCTGAAGCTCCTGCGCGAGGCGAAAGAGGTCGGCGTCCGGGCCGTCTGGCTGCAGCCGGGCACGTTCGACGACAAGGTGCTGGAGTTTGCAGAAGAGGCGTGGCCCGGCGCCGTGATTGCGGGCGATAAGTGGGGCAGGAATGGCGGTCATGGGGAAGGTTGGTGCGTGTTGGTCGATGGCGAGGAGGCGCTGAAGATTGCCGGGAGGGAATGGTCCAGGCTGTGAGAGGAGCATCGGAACTTCTATGAGTTTTTTTTTTTCAGGTCGGTTGCAAGAGATTATTGAGTAATGACAGCCGTACTTCCTTCTATGAAGAACTATTACCATGCTGCTTGCTCATGCGTCGAAACAGCGTCGTGCACCCACCATTTAATGCTGCGGTAGGCTGCAACTCAAACTCTCTCATTGCAACTCAAACTCTCTCATTGTTGCTTACTGTACTAACTGGTAGAAGCAACTTGAGAAATCAGGGGGTTTTCGTATCAGGAGTGTGCTGAGCCGCCTTAGAAGACGTATGATACCAACTTGCTTCTACCAGATTTCTCAAGTTTGTGTCAACCATGGTAGAGTTTTTGTGCAAGCTCAGTCGATCCAGCTAAGGCTGCCTGTTGTAAGGGTCGTGATCTTGTAAAACATTTCTTTTCCTACCCGAGGCCTTGGCTTCTAGATCCAGTCTTCTGATTCTAATTTGACCTACAAACGTCGGCGCTGGTGGTAATATTTGGGTATGGCATGGTTGCACATGTTCAAGGCTGAGACAGCACAGAGACCTCAGCCCCAGATGTGCTACCGAGGCGTCCAGTTGCAATACATGCAGCTGATAACCAGGAGAGACTGGTCACTGCAGATCTTAGCTCCTTGAGAAACCATTTTTGAAGCACTGGGCCTTTTAATCAAATACATCTTGCACAGCCTCGAGTTCAGCTCATTCGAACGTACATCCCTCTGCCTAATCTGCGCCACTGCTCTTAACATCCCTGGAAAACAGCCAAATCCGCGATGCCTTGATGATTTCTATAAAAATAAAAGCTCCCCAACTCTAGCCTGATTTGGGTTCCCCATCGCTCCATTCCTTCACCTTTGATCCATTACATCCTTCCTTTGTTACGATCCACTGCGATAGCTGCCAAAAACACTAGAGTCCGTGTAGGATATAACATTTCCGTGCACGATCTTTCACCAACTTCCCATCAATAAATGTCTCCTACAGTTTCGATAACACAACTTTCTACTGTCGGTATCAGCTTCTCTACCACGAAAGTCCTCCCTTCAATTTTCACGCCTCCATCATCCTGCATCTCCCACTGGACGTACGAAAATGAAGCGTCAATAAGTATTGAAGGCGGGCTGCTGCTTCAGAATGCCGAGGATTCCATGGAATCTTGAGACTCATCTTGTTTCCCGTCTGGCTTTTCCGGCCATGGGAAGCTATGGAATTCCCAAGTTTTCAGCCCAGGGGCCTGTCCGCATGGATGCACGATAGGCCTCTCAGTCACCCACGAGCTTGGAACGAGCACGGAGAAGAAAACCGAAACAGTTGCCATCTGCTGTAAAGAGTAAGCAGTAACTTGTAAACCCAAAACACTCAGTCACTGATGCCAATGACCAGGGGGTTCGAACTTTTAGGCTTGTACACGCTGACCACATCGGACGGCATCGAGAGAGCCATCATATCCACAGCATGCCTTTCGACCTTCGCTAGAGGAAGCAAAACCACCGTAGAGGCAGTCTCCGGGGGCCAGACCGTGGTCACAGGTGTCGTGACGATGTGGGCGCAACCAGTCGACGTGAGATGGCAGAAGACGGATCTGGTCCTGTTTCCTGGGTTCCCACCAACAGCGAGCGTGGACGTAGTTGTTACGTCAAATTCGTCGGCAGACGCACGCACTTCACAGGTTGCTTCGCAGACCTCACCGCTAGCCTCGATCTCTAAAACTGGCTCAAGAGCGGCATCGACTTCCTCAAGTGTACCCTCAACTCATCCTCATCCGGTAGCACCGGATCTCACTTCTTAGGTATCGGGGTAGGGGTCGGGATTGGCGCAGCGTTGTTGGCGGTACTCCTGATGTCGCTAATATACTGGCGGCGAAGCGCTCGAACGAGGGAGAAGAACGTTGAAGGTGAAGAAAATAGTTCGGACGCCGCTAAGGTGATGGCAGAGCTGGAGGATCAGCCGCATCCGTGCGAAATGGATGATGACCGGACTAGGTGCGAGTTGGAAGTACGCGAAGAAGCGCAGGAACTTGAAGAGAATAAGAAAAGAGAGCCTGCATTGCCAGTCGAGCTTCCTGGGTCACCTCTACCAGGCGATGTCCCAAGGTGAGAAGGTGACCTGCGTTGTGTACATAGCGCTTGAAGAAGCAGTTCGCGGGTGGGAGTCGGACTTACGAGAGACAGCGCTTCCTCAACCATGAATCAGTGTACGGCATATCAACATATACAGCAGGTTGTTTGGCAGCGCCAAGGGTTCGCCGGCTTTAGACCACGGTGACTCCATCTCTTGTTCTGTTTACTTCGGCGCGGGCGTAATACAGTTGCGCGCTCCCGCTCAAGTTTGAAGGCACGCGTGCGGTCTTTGCGCGGAGACGCCCATGGGTGGGGATAAAAGAAGGATCCTTTATATCAATCACCGAGTGTACCTACCCCGCCCGGGTGCACAACACCTGGAAGGGGACAAATATTCTGCCGGCCTTCGACTAAGACATCCTATTTCCCCCCTTAGCTCTCTTTGCCTTTAGACTTAGATTAGTAATTAGCGACTGAAGTCGCTAGAGGCACTCTGGGTGAGGATTACCCTGAAAGGTTGGGGTGGATGGTTGAGGGAAGCTCCCTTGAAAAAAAAAGGGGGGTCAGGGTTGCTTTTTTTTTTTTCGAAATGAAAAGGTTAGCGTGCGATAACCTGAAAAGCCAGGGCGACTATTACTTACAGAAGGTCGGGGCGGGTGGGAACAGCAATCTAATCTATTGTTGGAATAAGATTAGTTCCTGGTCTTCTTTTGTCATTTATTGTGGGCAACTCTGGGCTTTGAATCAGGAAGACGAGGAGCTAGGGACCCGAAGACAGAATGGCAGGCGATGCATTGCCTCTGGCATGATTCTAACGCGGATTGATTGTCGCTTGGCGTGGTCCAGACTGGTGTTTTGCGAGCCGAAGTTTTTCCCGCAACGGCATTTTCAACGACGCGTAAACTCGTCGCAAGGGCAGGGTTCCTCCTTGAACAAAGTCGTACCGACACGAGTATCCGGCAACGTTGGGGTGCTAATATACAATGTCAGCTCACCAGCTCGCGCAAAAGGCCTGATGGCATGATCGGCGTCGCACACACCAGTAGCACGCAATCACCCGAGCGATCGTATCGTGGATCATTATTGCGATTCGCATTTTCGTGATGGCCGACACGAGGCGAGGAGGAGTTGGCTCGTCCATCTGCCGAAGGCGGACCCATTTCTCGGGACGGATCGTTCCGGCCGCTGCGGCACAGCAAGCGCGCAAACAATCACACCCTAAGAGAAAAAAAAAATTAGGGAGGGAGCACAGACGCCGTTACGCACTAAGCTCTCGAAAGTGCTGATTGGTCAATGGACGCGCTCGAAGCTGCGAGTTGTCCCTTTTTCTATTTTTTGCGCGCTACTCCCTTTTGTCTGATTTTGCCATTGCGCTCCGTTGCTTGGCTTCGCATCGACGTGATCGCATCTTCGTTCAACTCCCCCGATCCTTGCCTTACGGGACGGCAGATGTTACATGCGCGACATGCAAGCGGCCGACGACAGCGGTCTGAAATTCACCGCAACTTCGACCCAAAGCATGCAAAACTGTTGAGGAACTGGTAACGAGGAACGCAGAGAGGATGTGGATCCACACCCCAACAGACGAAGATGGGTGACGTAGAGGCTAACTTCTGTCATGATAGATGGCTTAGCGTACAGGAAGAGATGTTGGAGGTAGCAATGGAACAAGAAGAAACATATGAGATTCCTTTAACATGGTTTGTGTTTGTTTGCGCCCGAAGAACCCCTCGCTCCAGTGGAAATGATGATGATACGAAAGAAAAATATACCCGTCACTGAGAGCGTTGTTCTCCTACGCCAATATCCAAGTGAAATGATGTCAGATGTGAACTCCCCCAAGGTTGATTCCCAAGAACCCCAAAATCCAATGTTGAGAAAAGGCCATTCCAATTCAAGGAAAAAGATGCCGAGTGCAGCACTCAGGCTCGCCCAAGAAGGGCAGCAAGGAGAAGCGGGGGAAAGATCGGTCAGTCAACGTAACAGCTTGAGCTTTTCTCCGTCTAAATCACGGCCGAGAGGTCAGGTGGCAACTCTTGAGTGGTTACGCGACGCTCGGCGGGAAGTGAGGTATCCAGGATTTCGCGAATTGATGGTGCGTAAACACGCAGACAGAGAGCAACTCTTGGCGAGGCCGATCTGGACGAGAAGATGGCGGTCAGCCTGCCGCTCTGCCGGGCCGACGCGAGGGGTGAGGAGCAGAGATAAGGCGGGGAAGGCGGACAATGGTCGCTCACCAACGCTGCGGCTGCGTACTGCACAGCCTCTGCAAGGCCACCTCGGCGGCATCTTCCTTGGCCTTGTCGACGTACTGGCCGTCGTACCAGAAGCGCGCCGGCACGCTCATGTTGCCGATGTGGACGCTGCTCGACCAGGCGGTACGTCCTCCTGCGCGAGAAGCAGTCAGCGGCAATGTTTCAAAGGGAAAAAATGCGGTGTGGGCGCGGGTGGTGGTGGGCGGGTGAGCGTTTTGGGTAGTTGATATTGAATGATTGCCGGCCTCGGCTGTTTCGGGAAAGAGGATGATGCGTCGATGGCGCTCTCTCGCTGATCCGGGGAAGCAAGGGGGGGTACCCAGCGCGGCGGGAAGAGAGAGCGGTCCCAAGGGCAGCGGCGGCGGATAGGAAAAAAATTGACAGGGTGCGTGGCAGCGGACGGGGAGGGGTCGACTCACCTCGACGGTCAGAGAACTCCTTGTAGACGGGCGGCGGGTAGGAGATGGCTCTGCAGTAGTCTGCGGGCGGTCAGCGGGGCGCGTCGCTGGGCGGGAGGGCCTTACCCTGCAGCTTCTCCTGCCACGAGCTAGGACGACTGGCCATTGTGAGGGTGGGAGGCGAGTTGGGTGGTTGTGGGGAACTAGCGGAGGTTGGGTTGAAGTGAGTTTTGGAGCAGGGGAGGAAGGAGCGGTCTGGTCTGGGCTGGGGCGATGTGTTGTTCACCGCAGAGTGTGATGTGTGCTCTGGCGTGGTGGTCTGGCTGGGGCGTCATTCTTATATCCCGGGGCATCGCGCAGCTTGGGCGTGGAGGTCGCAGAGCAGCAGTAGGGAGCCGTTGCGAGCAGGGGGGGCGTGAGACGGTGTGGTTCAAGCGTTGACTTGGCCGGCCGGTATCCAACTATTGAGCCGCGCTGCATCATTGCTCAGTTGCCATTTCGCAAGCGATGATTTGGAAGGGAGGCAGAGGCGCGCCGGGCCCGACTGGCCGGGCGAGTGGTGGGCCGGGCCGCCAGAGGGCAGCATGGGGAGCTGCTGCTCTTCTCATCGCTGCCAGCGCAGCTGCTGCAGGCTGGCGAGCCCATTGCAGCGCCGCCAGCGCGCCCGCTCCGCCCGCACACAAACCAATGCGCGCCAGCAAGGAGAGACCGCGAAGCGGAGCAGCCGGCCGCCAACCCCAAGCTGCGAGTGTGAGTTGGCCGGCTCGCGACGTGTCTTTCCCACAGTCCGCGCTAAGCCCTAGCCACGATCGACGTGGGCAATGTCCCGCAGCGCAGCAAAAAAAGATCAAGCTGCCGTTTGCTCGGGTCTGCTGCCCAAGCCGTTTTGCGCCCGCCGCCGCTGACGACCCGCGCGCCATCCGCCGGCTGCGACAGCAGGTGAGGTGCTGGCGCGGGAGCGCGTCAGTGCGGGAGAGCCGCACGCTGCCATGGGCCGACGGCGGGTACCTACTTCCTCGCTGCTCTCCCAGTCGCACCGAAACAAGCCTCCCGCATGGCGTGACGGCTCGGCAATCGGCGCGACGGTGAGCCATATACTCCAGTCGTGCAGGAAAAAACTTTTCTCGCCGCCCAGCGCGGCGGTGAGAGCTTGATTCATTCATTCATATGCGGCCCGAGGGAATACAAAAGGGAGATGCCGTCCCGGACGCCAGTCATGATCTTGCTGCGTGATCCATCATCCCGTCCCGTCTCTGCTGCCCTTCCAAGGTTGCCGGTCCCGATTCCGCGAAATAAGCAATTCCAATAATTCCCGGCCCCAAACACTGGACGAACCGAGAGCAAACAATCCCGCCCAGATGCCCTTGCCTCACCGCTATGCAACCGATGCCCTGTCTCAGGCCCATGCTGATTACGAAAAAAGCGCAACTCTCGCGATGCGGATATCCGGATCCCAAACCAATTCCAACCGGCCGCCTGCAGCTCTGCACCCGGCGGTGAGCATATGCCGTGGGTAATAAATGTCTATGAAAAGAGAAAGAGAACTTTGTACGAGAAGAAGGGGTGGTGCAAATTACATCCGCCGTCACGCTTCCATCGACGTCCGCCGCAGCGGCGTGGGCCCGCGCGGCGACGTGTTGCCCCGCGTGGTACGATGGAAGACTTCGTCAATCAGACGCTTCGGGCCGACATAGTCCATGTTCAGTTTGAACGACGCGTTCCTCGACAGCGGAATGTGGATCTGAGTCGACTCTTTGGAGTGGAAGTGGTTCTTGATGCTGTCGTCGACGAGAGCCATGATTCCCGATGAGACCACGACGCTGGGAAACGGGTTAGAACGTGCGCGAGGCAATATATAACATGCATGTACTCACTCAGCAGTGTCTGCGCTACCGTCGATTATTGACGGCTCGCTGATCCACATGGAACACGGAGGAATCCAGCCGCCCTTGGCCGCCTCCTCGCGAGCCTGCGCATTGGTGAGGGGCACGGGAACGATGTGTGCCAGCGCCACGGGACTGTCGCTCCGGGTCAGGTGGTAAGAGACTTCTTCAAAGCTGCCGTCCTTCTTCGACACGCGCTTCCAGGCGTAGTTGACTCCCCAGTACTCGAACTCATATCTCTTATTTGACTTGGTTCCGCGGCGCTTGATGTCTACGTGGGCGTAGTTGGAGAACTCCATCTTCATCGTGTTGGTAGGCATCAGCTGCGCTCGCTTGGGCTGACCGGCTGACCTAGGGCGTGACTCATCATCGCCTGCAACAATCGATCCGTACCCGGAATCTTGGCGCTTGAGGCTTGACGTGGCTGAGGCTTTGCGCTCCGGCTTGTGTCGGAAAGTGGCGATGGCGCTGCTGAAGGACCGCTGCAGCGCTGGCCGCTCCGACGGCGGCTTCTGATACTTCCGGATGGCGTGGCAAACCTCGCGGCCAGAGTCCCTGCAGTACCGGCGCAGCGAAAAGTCGCGACTCTTCAGGTCGTGCATGCGGAGATGGAAGAGGGTCACGAGCTGCTTTCCCCGCCGCGTCTCGACTTGGGTGTCGACGCGCAGGTTCATGTTGCCGTCAATCGTGGCATCGTCGTGCTGGATGGACAGCCTGTTTGCCGACGGGAACAGGTCTGCGAAATCTCTCGGTGTTGCAGGGATGGCGTCGGTTGGGAACGCCTCGTGTCTGTACTCGGGGATTTCGTAAGGCGGGTAGTCATCTTCCTCCTCTTCCTCTTCCAGCTCTTCTTCCGACGTCGAGGCGTACGTGTCGACCGACGATCGGGCCTCGTAGTACTCCACGGGTTCGTCGTAAAACTGCTCGCGGCGGCGGTCGGTGGGCGCGTGCCAAGTCTCGGGCTTTGGGAGCGACGGGCGCTGATCGCGCGGTGCGGCTGGTGCGCTGCGTCTTGACCGGTAAGACTCGTCGCTAGTGTCGCTGCCGCCGCTGCGTCTTGAGCTGCCGCTACTTGTTGTCGATTGGTAGTCGGTCCAGTGGATGTTGTGAGTCGCCATGGTGGGGGCGGAAAAGTGTGAGGATGAAGAGAAGATTACAATATGCGTATGGAGAAGGGTTGTATTTGGGGCATGGGCTGTGGCACGGCGTGGGATATATTTATCAGACGAAAAGAAACATGGGCCACAGGTGGGAGCCGAGGGAGGGCGGACTCTTGTGAGAGAGACCTGGTCAGCCGCAGGCTGGGGGTTGATATGTCTCGGTGGGCGGTGCGCAGGCAGATGATCGCGGGGGGTGCGGCGAGGCAGTCAGTGTTATTGTAGGCTGTGGAGGGGTCGTTCGATTCCAGCGATTCATGGAGTCTCTCGCAAGCCACGGCTAAGCGCGCAGGCCGGCCTCGCCCAGGTAGTGCTTGGCCGCAGCAGGGCTCTCCGGATGACGCCAAATGGGGAGCGAGCAGACGCACCCAGCCACGCCGACCTCTCCGATCAAAGGCTCGATCGCCCTCCGCCCTCCCACGCGCGCCCAATCAGCAGCCCCACGCCCACACCTGTTCGAGCGGCGCGCAGCACGCCTCCTCCCACCCGCACGCCGCCGCAACCCTCCCCGGCCGAAGCAGCGAACCCACGCACCGCGCCGTCGTCCGAGTCGCTGCTGGAACGGGGCGAGCGCGAGGGCTCGCGGCTCGAGCAGGGCCGGGGACCGGGGCCTAGAGCGTGGTGGGCCGTGAGTCGGGGGATCCCCGTTGCCGCAGTGCAAAGTCTGCGTGCGCCCCGGGAGCAGCCTGCCCGCTGCCGCCGTTGGCGCATCACCCTCCCCATCGTCATGATCCACTTGCTTGCTTGGGCAAGCTTCCGTCTCCTCATCCCACGTGCCCGCTCCGTTGTCGACACGGCATCTCGTGAGCGCGCTGCCTTCTTCGCCAGACGTCACTGCGGCGCCTTTTCGCCGTGCCACAGCGCGCCGACAAGCCAATACTGCGACCGCGCCGCGGCTGAGGCCTGCATGCACGCTCACCCCCGATGCTGCAGCCCGGGTACCGGACGAATGTTCTGGCGGTGTGCTCCGGACAGGCGCCAGCTCCATCGGCAGGATCGCTCTTGAAGACGGCCGTCGTTCTTAGCCCTTTCCGACGGTTGCTGCCCGATCAATTGTTGGGGACGCCGGCCCGCAAGTTGCTTTCACGTCTGCTGCTGCTGCGCGCTGCTGCTCACAGATCTGTTCCCCTGCAGGGCTGAAAATAAGCTACACCGAGTCGCGCGAATCATACGCTGACCTGCAGCACAGAGGCCGTGGTTTCTGTGCTGCCTGTCGCTGTTTCCCAACCCGTCAGCTGATGGCTCTCGCTGCGACAGCCTGTGCGACAGGCACACCCGCGAGCGTAGCACCAGGGCCGCCATTCTCAGACCATGGTTCTTCACGAAGCTCCCGTGCTTCGGCGGCGCTCGGCCTGGGCCGGCCAGCGCAGACGACGCCCAATGGCCGGCGCCAACGTGGGAGTCGAGAGCATGACGGCCTGGCCAGGAGTCCAGACGTCCACGTTGACAGCAAATGCAGATTTTCCGCTTCGCTTCCGAGCGCAAATCGTTGGATCGACTCCCGCGCCAGCATTCCCTGCTCTGCTGCGAGTCTATGAACACCACGCGGCGCTGTTCGCATGATTGGCAGGGGAATGCAGCGTGACCAGCGCGCTGAGCTGCAGCCCGGCGAATCGCGGACCGCGTCCATCCACTGCCGCTGCACCCAGAGGCGCAACCCCGCGCGCCCGCCGTCCTGATTCGCCGTCGCTGCGCCAGACAGATCTCTCCGATGGCACGGCTCCCCGTCCATGCAGACATCCGCGTCTGCTCTCGAGGCGGCGCCGTCCGAGCTTGGCGTGAGGGCGATGACATCGCCACTACCGCTCTTGCGCTCTTGATCTGGAAGTCCGCTGCATCGTGGAGTCCTGCTTCCAGTGCGGATGTGCTCTTGATCGCTCCATTCAGCACCCAGGCCTGCGAGATGGCGCAACCGCCTGCAGGCCACTCGACAGCTTCCTCGCTTCTTGCGCACACGTAACAGCGCCACCACGCTCGTTGTACTACGTTGGCATCCGACCGAGCGGCTACTCCCTGACAGCCGCAGGGTTCGGAGACCGCCAATACGTACCGACTCCATCCTCTGCTTCCACGAACACGTTCCCCGTCTATTACTGACGGCATGCAGTGGAGTCAAGACATCATCGCACAGCCGTTGCCCGGCAGGCTTGCCGGGCCCGCCTCCTTGCCTGGGGCGAGGCGCTGGCCCCGGGGCACATCGCCCTGCGCACAGCCTCGAGTCCCCATGTTTCCCGACCGCAAGGAGTCGAGCTTCGCACTTCCACACGTTGCAGCCTTGAGTCGCCTTGCCTTCGCCTTCAGAAGCCTTTCAACTGCGGGCCTGTTGGGCATCAGTCATCAACAAGGATATCGGAATGTACGCGTGTAAGACGAGCGCACCTGGTCCGCCTCCACAAGCCATGGCTGAGAAAGCACCCATCCAAATGGTGCGTCTCCGCAATCTCACAGCCTCTCTGATGTACGTTTATGCTCTTCACTACGCTGCTCAGAACTGCTTGCCTAGCGTAGTCGATCACCCCAGGTCTTCATGCCAGTCGCGTTTGTGAGCAGTCCCATTGTGTGGCGGATATGACATCTACCTGCGCGTAAGACGAGCCACTCCCGTTCAAACGGCGTGAGAGGGCTCGGGTATTATCAGCAGGACTTCATCCGTTCGTCTCGTCTATTGGTCAATGCAAAGCTCTGTGAAGGGATTACACATCTTTCCGACTGCAGCGCCCTATCGTGCTTCTGCATGAACGTTTACGGGCAATTGCGGGTTTTGTGCGCTACGCATGGTGGATGCAGTAACAGAGCAACAGGGACCGCACCCGCTTGGGCAGGCCGTTGTCTGCGCCCGTTTTTCGCGTTGTCGCACCGCGTCTCGACATGTTCACAGCAGAAACCGACTACTGCCCCCGTTCCAGGTGACCAACGCCCCTGATAAAGGGGCAAGTCTCGATTGGAAAAGAAGAACATGGGCATGTTCGAAGTGCTCGTCATCGTTTGTTCCTGCTGCTCAATCACATCCAACGTCATGGCAGATCAAATCCCATTCGCGGCCCCGCTGTCTCGACTGTTTCGCCGTTTTAAATGAACTGAAAACTGGCAGTCTACGCCACGCATTCTAGACCCGCTGCAGGCAAGCCATCCAAACGAGTCACCGCAGGACCACTAGACGGCTAGCATCAATTTCCGCCTTCTTCGCGCCCCCTTGTCGCGCAGCAGGATGGCATAATTTGCTTTCTATTTCCTTCACCGAGGAGGGTTCTCGTCTTACTGACACTACGCATCTGCGCACATGTGCGCGTGCCTGCAATCTCTCCGTTGCGCATATAGACGCCGTGCCATCTTCGGTTGCTGCCTACTACAGTCTCTGGGGGCCGCGCCCCGCGTGTTGCCTGCCTGCCTCTCTGACCGCTGCTGCGCAGCCTACTGCCAAGCCCTATCGTACGCACACGAGCTCGTGCGCATCTGCGTATTTTCTTTTTTCGGGCGATTTGCACAAAGAACCCGGATTGGGTCTATCACTTCACCGGCGAGATTGTGAGTCAAGGTGACCATCTCTTCTTCCGTACCTTGCTGAGTACAAACCCCTGCCCTTGCTTGGGCTATTATTGGAGTTCGCGGCTCTGGGGCGAGGCCCTCGAGTCTGAAACATGGGCCGCTAGTGAGTGTGTGGGGCGCGGGGCGACCGAGGTAAGGCTGTGGACACCAGAGTCTGGGCCGTCTATTGCCTCAGCCTACCTCAGCCTCTCAAATCTATGCGCAGGGGGGGCAACTTTAGGTGGCGAATGCGTGTTAAACGTCTTTCGCCCTCCGTCCTCCTTCTTATCATCTATTTTCTGCTCACCGGTCTGGCAAGAAAACTCAGTTCGTCGCCTTCATTTCAGCCTATTGCTTCTGTGACGTTTCGCGTCCTTGACCGGTCTTTTCTACTTTCTCTCTGCAACAGTCTTTCAACTTTTCCCGAGGCTGTTCAGAACAACCGATGCTACAACCTCTCGTGTCGAAATTCCGTTGGCTGTTGGGGCAAATCGCCTCCTTTTTTGCTTCACTTCACCCAGGAGTCATGCCACACGAATGGAAAGAGAAGAGATTGCCTTGGCCACATTCGACTTGCAGATCTGCACTGAATCTGCAACAGTTCGAGCCCCTCTTCGTTCTCCATGGCCCGCCAAGGAGTAATGAGAGAAAATCGATAACCTTCCGGGTTGCTCACGAATGCCAGAGGCTTCTGCCGTGAGCATTTTAGTCCTGACAGACTAGCAGATATATCGCGCTAAAAGGTAGGTTGGCTGCGAAGAGTGCTTGTCTGGGGCGCGAGGTTTTACAGGGTAGGTTGACCTCTCTTCTCCCCTCTCTCTGTAATTCGTCTATGATTTAGAGCCCCTTCTCTGCATTTCTAGTATTATCACAATTTATGGTGCATCCGCGCCACCGGCTTCCCGCTGCTTGGTATTGACATTAGGACGAGATGGTGCATGACGGAACCAAGCAGCATGACGCGTGGTCGTTCCTTGCCTGTCGGTATTCGAGTGCAGGACTTTATGTAGTGAGTGTTGATATCAGTACACGCGCTGAAACATGGAGCACATTGATGCACATAAGCCTGTAGAACTAGCCCTCTGCAGTGCCATAGAGGAAGAACACTCAAGACCAGAGCTTGAGGGTGCTCGTTACTCCGCCGTCATTTTGAACCAGGGCGAAAACACAGTAGGTCAATGGAAGAGACTACGGGAGATAAGGACACAAGGCAGCTCCACAGGCACCCTTTTTTCTAGCTTGGATTTATCGGACATTTCCTTTTAGTCTCCTTCTTATCACCTTTGAACTGGCACATTCCTGATCACAGCATCTCATGAAACGCTAGATGATATACTATCTAAACTCTGCCCATGGTCTAGCTCACTTCCGATTATCAGCAGAGCTAGGTAGAAGGAAGGAGCTGCCACCATCAACTCGGGTAAGATATCACGCCATGATGGGCAGAAAGATTTGTGTGGAGATAACGAGTGAGCATGCCTAGAGCTGCTTGGGAATCTACGATCAGGATTGGCCGGTCAAAGACTTCAGGAATATCATACGACAAACTGCTGTGTCCTTGGCTGCAGCTCGAGAGAGAAGCTAAGATGGTTTGCAGGCACAGTCCGCGAGCGCAGTAGTTGTGAACTATAGCAGGGAGTGCATTATTGGGTTTCCAACCACACATCTGACGGCCTTATAGGGCACGATCGTTCTAGATCCCAAGCCAATCCTCAATTCTGTATTGTGGAATCTCAACACAATGCAACACAACACAATGCATATGCGACTTCATGGGACACAGCACGATCTGCTGCACCAGCACAGCACAGGCCCCATATAATACCCCGCACGTACCGCTATGGGACGCCAAGGCCAGTAGGTTACTCAGCGCCGACTTGGCCATGACAACGACGACCTCGCGGATGATAACGATGATCCTCTTTCCTGCCATACTGGCCAGCCGACCAACCACTGCCAGGGTCAGCCCCAGCGGCTAACTCGGCCTGCAACATCTGGTAGATGAGCCGTTCATCGCGTTTCGGGCCATGCAGCTTGAAAGCGGGGCTGGACGCAACTATTCATCCACAGACTATGAGTGGACGGTTCCATCTAGACACAGAATACTTGCAATTGTTGCTACAAATGCACCTCGCTGATCTTTTGGGCCGAACTGCTGTTCGCAAACACAACGCAGTTCTAGATGAGGGGTCGGTGTTACACGCATCAGGGGGAGCCAGTAAAATGAGCGAGTTTGCAGGAACTGAATGACGACTGCAAATTGGAAAGAAGAAAACCAGAAAAAGCGCAGCGAAGCCGGAAGATCCAGAGCAAAGACGGGTCATTACATATCGCTCAACGTAAATCGACGGTGCAAATCTCCCGGAAATCCGACTGTTAAGCAAGGCTTGGGAATGCCACAGGTACGCTACTCATTGTCAAGGCGGGCAGCGCATAAGTCCTCGACACGACAGAACAGCATCGGCCAATGTAACATGAGTCCGTTACGTGGGATTCCCCCTTGAACAAAAGACTAGTTCTAGAGGCGTCGTGCTAGGACACACAACAGGGTGGTGCTTCGAGCGGACATCCGAAAAGTCCGATGTCTGTGGTTGGTCGAAGGCGGCCATCCGTAGGTTAAGGTTGATGAAGAGCGGACAGGAACTACTATTTTCCTGCGTGCTAGTCACTTACCCAGACACCCGTCACGTTTCTTCCTGATCCTCCCTTCGTGGGCGATAAGACTCTCGGCATTTGCGCCATCAAAGCCGGCCGGCGATCGCGCTCCGCATCCCGGGGCGACCGACGGCCCCCCGGGTATGCAACTCTAATTTCTGCTTGGACCTGCCGGCTTCAAATTTCGGCGGACCCATCTGCCAGTCCGAGTCTTTGCGGGAATCCGGGAAAATGCCGGGGGGGAGTTGAAAGGTGGGATGGGAAAGCTGCTCCAGCAACACACCCCTCCGCGGCGCTTCTTCTGCGCCCCGCCCCGCTGCAACGCCGGTGCAGATACCGATACCGCTCGTGATAGGACATCGTGCTGTTTTCCGTCGAGATAGTCATCACGGGATTCGAGCACGAGCTTTCTCAGAGTTCTGCCGACGGCCATCAGCAATCGTTAGGCTTACCGGCGGTCCTCTTAAACCGCCTCACCCCCCGCGTCGAGTTTCTGCTTCGATTTCATTTAGGGACCACTACTCGTGACAAAGAGAACATGGGGAGCATTGCACCAGCCAGGAATATACGCATAGGCGTCGATGTCGGAGGTTCGTAGAATCAACTTGAGCAAATCGAAGAAAGGGCCTTGATGCAAAAACAGCGGGCAAAGTGTAGACTGACGTGTGGCTATCAGGCACCAACACCGATGCCGTGGCGCTGGACCTCTCTGCACAGCACACGGAAAGCCGGGGTGTGATTGCTCACTTCAAAACACCCACCACGCCCGACGTTACCTCCGGCATCGAGACGGCCGTCGGCACCGTCATCAAGGCAGCTGGTGTATCGCTGGACAGTATTGCCTGCGTGACCATCGGAACAACTCACTTCATCAACGCCGTAGTCGAGCAGGATGCTCGACGTTTGCGCAAGGTTGGCGTTCTTCGCCTCTCAAAGTCCTTCCTCCGCCAGATCCCGCCATTCAGCGAGTTTCCCACTGGTCTGACACGCCTGATGAAGAGCTACATCGGTTACGTCGATGGCGGTCTGCACATTGACGGAGCCGAAGAAGCGCCCATCGTCGAGGAGCAAGTGGTCCGCGAGTGCGCCGAGATCAAGAAGCACGGCTTGTCAGCGCTCGTCGTGGCCGGCATCTTCTCGCCCATTGACGAAGAATTCCAGCAGGAGAAGCGCGTTCGAGACATCATTCTACGCGAGATCCCCGGAATCGATGTCGTCTGCTCGCACGAGGTCAGCAACATCGGCTTCCTCGAGCGCGAGAATGCGGCCATTTTGAACGCTTCGATCCTCAAGTACGGCCGCCGTACTGTCAGGGGTTTCCGCGAGGCGATGAACAGGCTCAACCTCAAGTGCGGCCTGTACATTACTCAAAACGACGGAACCCTGATAGATGCGGCATCTGCGGCTCGTATGCCCATCAAAACATTTTCCTCGGGCGCTACAAACTCAATGCGAGGCGCCGCGTACCTAGCAGGAAAGTCCCTTGACGGTACTTCGGCCATTGTCGTTGACATTGGAGGCACCACCTCGGACGCTGGCGTTTTGCTGCAATCTGGTTTCCCGAGACAAGCGTCTGCGTTCGTTACTGTGGCTGGCGTTAAGGTCAACTACAGCATGCCATTCCTGCACTCGATTGGTCTTGGAGGTGGCTCGATCGTTCGAGAGGCTGCCACAGGAAAAGTAACGGTGGGCCCCGATTCAGTGGGCCACTACATTACCACAGAGGCCAAGGTTTTTGGCGGTAGCAAGCTGACAGCAACAGATGTCGCAGTCGCAGCCAAGAGAGCGGTAATTGGAGATGTCTCAAAGGTCAGCGATGTGAGCTCTGAGCTTGTCATCAGGGCCCAGGAGAGGATAAAGGCTATGCTGGAAGGAGTCATTGATCTCTGCAAGACTTCTCCGGACCCCTTGCCAGTCCTCCTTGTTGGTGGTGGTTCAGTCGTTGCCCCAGAAACTTTGAAGGGAGCGTCGAAAATCATATGCCCACCTTTCCACGACGTCGCGAAGTAAGTTGGTCCATTGGACTGCTACGAATTCGAGTGCTAACGTTGCACCAGCGCTGTGGGAGCCGCAGTTAGTAAGGTTGGTGGCGTTGTAGATCTCGTTCAGAGCACAGAGCATCAAACGCAACAAGAGGCCATCCAAAGGGCCAAAGACCTTGCCATCAAGAGAGCAACAGAGGCTGGCGCAATTCCGGAGACTGTCACCATCACCGAGATCGACTCGCTTCCTGTGTCTTATGTGGCAAACAAGCTACGGACCGTCGTCAAAGCTGTTGGCGAGCTGGATATCGCGAGGCAGCCGACACCATTGGAGGAAAAGGATGATTTCGGGGAAGAAGAAGTTGAGCAGAGCAAGGATTACGGGGAAAAGTTCGTGGAAGAAGCGTCCATCGACCCGTTCACCTACCGACCGGACGTCAAAATCAATCCAGAGACGGGCATAGCCGAGTGGAACGTTTCAGAGACAGACGTGAACTGGCTTGCGGAAGGATGCTACGTGCTGGGCTGTGCAGGAGGTGGCTCTCCAGCGGCCACCAGGATCCAACTGCGGGACCAGCTGCGGGAGGGATACACTTTCAAGATCGTGGATGCTAGTGTATTACCTGACGATGCCTGCGTCTACTGGGGCGGTCATATGGGTTCTCCGGCAGTTTCCGTTGAGCGACTGAATGCCACCGAAACGGTCGAAGCGTTCAGAGCGCTGATGGAGTACCTGAGACACGACTCCTTCGATGCCGTTATCGGTCTCGAAATTGGCGGGGCGAACGGCCTGGAGCCGCTTCTCGTGGGCAGTTCCAAATACTTCAACCGGCCAACCATCGGTGGGTAGCTTGAACAGTTTGATGGATACAATACTGACGGGTGCAGATGCGGATTTCATGGGTCGAGCTTACCCAACATACTGGCAGACGACAATCGCGGTGCACGAGCCGGGGTCTCTCATCCCCTGCGCCATCGACTCTGGTGACGGTAAGACCATCATCATGACAAGGGCATCGACGGATGAGATTGTCGACCGGGCGCTCCGTGCATCATGCGCTGAGATGGGATCTCGTGTCGGAAAGGCGGGAGCGCCGACAACTGCGAGCATTGGTAAGGATGACAGTGCCACATGGCTACATACAACTGCTAATCTCCGTCAGTGCGCCGGACGGCGGTGATCAACACGTATTCGCTTGCATGGCGCATCGGGCGGTGCATTGCGCGCAGTGAAGCCAGCAACACGCTGTCGAAGGTATGTGAATCGATCGTGCAGGAGGTGGGTGGGGAGGCGACGGCTCGCATTCTGTTCCGCGGCAAGATTGTCGCAGTGGAGCGGCGGCTGTTCAAGGGCCACTCGTACGGAGAAATCACCATCGCAAGCATGCCGGCAGATGAGGAGGACGAGGGGGCCAAGGACGCTATGCCGGCTTTGGCAACAGGCGGGACGCTGAAAATCCCATTCAAGAACGAGAACCTGTATGCGGAACACATTGCGGAATCAGGCGAGCGGCGGATGGTTTGCACGGTGCCAGACTTGATCGCGGTGCTGGACACAGGCTCAGGGCGTGCGCTGGGAGTGCCCGAGTTTAGATACGGGCTCCGGGTGACAGTGCTCGGAATCACGGCAAGCCCGCAGTGGACCGGGACCGAAATGGGGCTCAAGATTGGTGGGCCCAAGGCGTTCGGCTATGAGCTTGAGTACAAGCCGCTCGGGGTGTATGTCGAGCCGAAGAGCGTGATTGCGGAGTATGTGTGATCAGTCGATAGACAAGCAGGTAGAAACGAAGCTACTGCACAAAGCGTCAGAGTTGCTGACTCCGTCAGGTGAGCGGTGAGGAGGTGAGCGGACGATCACGCTGGGTGAGACGCGGCGGGAGGTGTTGAGGCTTTGAGCTGGACTGCCCCGCGCGTCAGCTCAGTTTCATGGTGTTTGCGGAGGGGCAGTTGGTAGCGAGGCGGGGAGGTTTGCTCCCGTTTCACGCGGCCGAGCCGAAGGAGCGGATTGCGTGCCTGCGTCCGTGAGCGCGGTGCTCGGAGCGGCTTTTATTTCTGGCTCGTTTTGCAGCGCCGCCAATGGCCGCGGCGTCTCAGAGATAGTGCGCGGCGCAGCCGGGCAATCCTCGCGTCGGCGGCGATCAAACGCGGTGCCTGGACCAATGGCAGGGCGCAGCGGCTAGGCCCCAGGCTGCGGCGGGCAGGCGCGCTCGCCGCCGTCCCCACACGCAGGGCAGCGGGTATGCAGAGGCTCGGCGCGGGCGTTTCACGCATCGCCCGCCAGCAGCGGCTCAATTGCGAGAGGCAGCGGGCGATGCGTTTCAGCCTTTTTGCGCGGCGCGGATGAAGGCGGCTGTGATTGGCCCAAATGCGCGGCCAGATTTGCGCAGGGATATGCGCGACTGCATAAGAAACGAAACGGCGTCTGAAACGCTGAAGCGAGCAGCCCCGTGTGCGCCGCGACTCGCCGCAACCGCTGCCATTAATATCCCATCGCTCCCTAGCCTCCTTCCTCTTGCTTTCCCTGTTCTGTTCAATTTCTTGCACACTGCCGCTGCTGGTTCAGCCTCTCTAAGCAAGCCCTCTATAATGTCTGAACAAGGCCTGCCGCCCGCCCAGCAGGGCACAAAGCGCACTTTATCCGGCTCCACCCGCCCCAAGCATTCCAAGGCCCCGACCGCACATCTTTCCCAGGCTCCGTCCGCCACCTCGCTTCTGCAGGAGGAGTCTCCAATCACCCCCGAGATCTTCGCCCACATCGACGCCATCAAGCACATCGATGACAAGCTGATCTTCGAGCTCCTCCGGAGCGCTCGCTTCTATGGTACGCCTAAGACACCCGTACATCTGTGCGCCACCTATTAACCGGATCGCAGCAAGCATTGGAGCTGGCTCAAGCTCATCGGCCGACTCCAGCAGGCGCAACTCCACCGTGCCCAGCCTGTGCTCCGACAACCGCTCCGACAACCGCTCCTCAATTGCCTCTTCCGCCATGTTCTCCCTTTTCAGCAAGCCCAGCCTCGGCTCTCTGAGGTCTGCTACCTCGCAGTCCAGTTCTTCTAGTCTGTCCCGGAGCAAGTCCCACATGGAACTTCGCCAGCCTTCCATCAAGTCCGACCGCTCGGCCTCCTCGGCAAGCAACTCTTCTCTCAGCAGGTCGCGGTCTGTTCGCCACGACTCGGCAACCACCATGGAGAAGCCGCTCCCTCCGGTGCCCATGAAGGATGCTCAAGGCCAGGCCGTGCCATCACAGCCAACCAAGAACTACGCCTGCACTTTCTGCGACCAGACCTTCAAGCACCGTGCTTACTGGCTCTGCCACGAGGAGGAGCTGCATGAGCAGCCCCGCCGCTGGACCTGCCCCGACTGCTACCGCAGCTTCTTCGCCGAGAAGAAGTACCGCAAGCATCACTACGAATCCCACGGCTGCTCTAGTTGCGGAATGAAGAAGGATGCCGAGCGTTCGCTGAATGCCACTGAGCGCTGTTCCATGCAGGGCGTCATCGAGGGCAGGGAGGGCAAGCCCGTGCGCAACAAGACATGTGCTGAGAAGGCCATGCTTCGCGTTCACAACAAGAAGGCTTACGGCTGCGGCTTCTGCGTGACCTTGTGCCGCAGCTGGAGCGAGCGCTGTGATCATGTCGCCCGCCACTACGAGACTGGAGTTTCCAAGAACGATTGGTGCTTCACAAATGTCGTCAAGAGCCTGCTCCTCCAGTCCGAGCTAGCCATTGCCTGGGAAAAGCTTATGACTAAAGAGCACACCATTGACAAAACCACCTGGCCGAACTTTGTCTGGGATAAGCGTGAAGCGCGCGACTTGGTGCGCTCCATGGAGCAGAACGGTATGGTGCACGACAAGGTCAAAGAGATCGCGCGCAGCGCCTACGACCACGCCCACATTGAAGAATCCAAGACAATCGAAGAAGATACGCCGTCTGTTTCAGCGGAAGTTCCACCCCCCAAGCAGGAGCCCCTTGAAGAGCAAAATCCGACACCAGCCACCCAATATCTCCTTCCCATGCCAACAGAGCAACGCCCGCACTCCACCCCCGTTCTCTCTCAGAATCCGATCCAGCATCCAATCCACCCGCACCACAGCACTTTCTCCGTTTCTTCCATGCCGGACCCGCCCGCCTACACCGGCACTCAGCGTGCCTCGAAAGAGTTTGAGCTGCTCAGCCAAGCCATCGACGAGCAGCTGGCCTCGGGTCCTTTTGTCGTCGACTTTGACTTCAACCCCCCCTGGGACCCCATGCAGATGTCGCCGCAGCAGCCCCCGCATCAGGAGGACATTGTCGCCTTCACCCACCCGGGCGCGTATTCAGCCTTTACCGCCGCGCATCCCGACAAAGGAGCGTGGCCGCTGTAAAGAGATCCCTTGGGCATGACTGATTCTGATGATGGCGGTGCTGGTTCACCTTCTCTATTTACACACCCACTTGTACATTGACGGTTTGCTTGATTCACTTGATACCCACGGTTGAAAAAAGGAAAGGAGGGACGGAGCTTGTATGATATCGAAGAGACATTGTTGGTTTTTGTATCAGTATTTGGTGGTGTGCGAATCATTAGCTTGTGTTTTGTCGGCGGAGCTGTCCAAAAGGACCAACATATTTAATGGTAATCACGAAGATTGATCTCTTACACCTTCAAAAGTGCGTTTCAGTGAAGAGGACAGACACCATGCCTTTGAAGATCGATGGCCTTGTGCTAAATATTAATAACCAGGAGACGTGAACATACTGTAGGTACCCCTTATTCCAAATCATTGCATGTTTCTACTCGCGGAGTTTTTGGGGCTTCTTTGCTTTCCATGCACTAAAACGTCAACATGGTTTACGGGAAAAACCAAACTAATAATTCACCTTCGCTGTGCCAGGTGCTTCAAGAAGACGAGATTCGTTCCTTTTCCGTATGATCAGTGAGTAAAACTTGTCTAGTGTTTGACGCAAACAGTAGAATCCCCCACCCTCCATTTCAGATTACTAAATCTCCTGCTCATACGGATACAGAATTGAGTAAAGGCCCAAGAACAAATAATGGCCTATCAACATTATGTAAGACTTGCCGGTTTGGAGAGATATAGGCTAGGTCCAATCTATTAACACTTACTACAAACATGACACAATAACAAAGCAACAAAATTGTAGGTGGCCAGAATCCCGGGCTATTTTCAAGGAGATAGCCCTCTTACTATGTAGGCTCTTCCTACCATGGACATAAGATATACATGTTGTATAAACCAATAAAATTCCAATTCGGAGTTTATGCTAGTACTCTTTTGTTCTTAGGGGCCTGCATGGCAGCGTGTGCAATGGACAATGGTAGAACTTTTGGAGTTACCTTTATACTTAAATCTTTCTAATCTAAGCTTCCTTTGTGCTGTATATTAGGTTAAGTAAAAATTTCTGCATACTATTAGAGGCATAGTGTATGATATACACTGGACACGCTTGCTCAATGGCTCGATATCAAGGAGCCAAATAGGGCCCCTTCCAAACAAGTGCTCGGTGCGGTTTCAGGCAAGCGCGCTTGCCGGAAGCCCCATGAGCAGTACGTTGCTTCCAAGTTTGGTCCTGGATTTGGCGCTTGTAAGGCTATATCTTGCTCATTTCCGCCGCTCCGCCCGTTCCTCCTCCGTCTATGACAGAGTCGTCTTCTGTCTCACTTCCACACGATGGCCGACCCTAACGATTTGTGCAATGCTTGCCTCAAGCCCTACGCTCGTCACTGTAGCTACTGCAAGGTGGTAAAGTACTGCTCTGTGGAATGTCAAAGGGCGGATTATCCTACCCACGAGCTCCTTTGCCGGGAATACGCTAATTTTGACTTCAACTCACGACCGAGTTCTGATCACAAACTTTGCATCGTATTCCCGCAAGATCAACGGACACCACAGCTTTCCTGGGTATCCTGCTCGTGGAAATCTTTTAGTGATGGTCGAAACTTCCAAAGTCCAGATACAACGCTTCCCTTCGATGGAGGCATACCAAACACAGACATTATTGAGTTCAGCAAGGCGCTCGATTGCAAATTGACGGAGAATATCTGCTTTATGCGTCGTGAAGATGCATTCACGGACGGATCCAAGCCCAATCGCTCCATGTCAGTCATTGCCGCCGCCTGTGGTGCAACGTTTTCTGACTGGCGCGGACCATTGTTGGCCGCTGGAATGACTGGACCATCGCGCGACAGATGTCGTGACATCAACCTTACCGACTTTCGCCACATCATTGACTGGCTTAAGGTCAACGTCTGCACAGATGAACGCTTTCATTACTACACCCAAGCCGGCACCCCCGTTTTAGACGGTACGCCTAATGCGAGAGCGAACGCCAGGGAGGCTCAATCATACATGACCTTGGAACAGAAGTCGAAAATTGGATTGACGGAGCCCCCCAACACAAAAGGCATCAGAATTAACTGTCTGGGCGACGCGAAAACTTTCGGTATCCCCGTGTTGGAGGAGGTTCTTCTGAACATCACCCACCCAATTTTCAATTGCGACAACGTACCAGACATTCCAGAACGCATCGGGATTCCATTGATAACGATGAAAGAACCGGGCTCTTCGGCCTGGCTCAATGCAACGGATCTGGCAAAATTTGATAACCACAGTCCTTTTGAGAACAAGGCGGCCTCTTTTTTGCACCTCAGCTGCCGCGATGACGCCCAAACCGGTCGATCCTGGGGAAAGCCGCAGTCACCCTGGCAGGAAAAAGCAGGAAGTGTGCTCCTTGTTCGCAAGGATAAGATGCCCTTGGAGAAATTGCATGTTGATATTCTCTGCCAGTGGATTGAACGTACCATGAAGTACTTCTCAGCAGCGATGGGTGAAACTCCATCACTTGACAAGGAAGAGGCGCTGCTATTCGTTTCGAAGGCATCCTTTGCAGCTTTCTGGAAGAACTTCTTGGAGCCGAAGAAGGTGAAGGGAGACGTGGAAGCGCTGAAATCTTACTCACCATACGATACAAAAGAGTTGATGAGAGTTTACCGTGGATTGCTTTACAACAAAGAGTTCTTCGGAAACTGATTTGAAAATACACATGGCTGTCCACCGGAACGAGAGATTATCTGAGGAATAATGGTCGATGACAGCTCACGGATGGGAACCCCAAAACAAGGCTCAGCAGCGAGAAGGCCTGATTGAAGTAAAGTCATCGGAGATTCGGACGGACAGAAAGCATGGTGAAATTTGCAATCCGGCTAATTGGGTATAAAGAACGTAGACCAAATAGGTATTGAATGTGGACGGCCTTTCAATAAACAGGTGATACGCCTCATGAACGTGAAAGCAAGAAACTGCTCGAGCGGCACTGCTTCATAATTTCCCTGTCTCCTTTTGCTCCCCTCTGAGCACTTGCATATGTGATCGGGTAATCGGATCAACTGTGATAATCGCAATAATATGACTTCAATGCGACACCCTGTCCTGGCCGGAATCCACTCCGCACAGAGTCATGCATCAAGGGATGGAGTCATTGCGCCTAGGGAAAGAATTCGTGGGGCCGCGCTAAAAAATAGTCCTGCTCGCCACTCAGCAAAAGCGCAGAAAATAGAACAAGACAAAGATAACGTGCTGTCAACGGACGTCGAAGTAAGGGAGGGGGGGTTCTGGTAGGAATTTTCCGGCAAATTTTCCTTTGTCTAACTCTACCGGTTTCTGTCTTTGCGAGACCGAACAGGATCTTCGAACCAACATCTCCGCTCTTGACAGTCCGCCGGTACGTAATTTCCATGCTGTTCGGACAGCCAACCATTGCGTAAAGAAAGGGTCCGGTGGTCATCACTGCCTAGTCCACTGACCGGTGTATGCAAGCATCGGATGTTTTCCATGGGCTTCGGCGACCGTAGAGCGCAGCTGAGGAATGGAGAGAGCAAGCAAAAGCAAAGACGACCAGCATAGGCCTTCTCGTTTTCAACCAAGCAGGCGGAGCCGCACCTCACCTCCTGCCAAACTCAGGTCCCGCAAACCAGAGAGACTCGTACGAGGCTTGATCGACGCCGTTGGGCATGTTCTCGGCAAAAGGTGCTGACGACCCTCAGATGCATGTCTTTATTCCGTCTCCCCAGTGAGGCGAGCAGCAGCCACCCGGAGGCAAGTGAGTGGGGTCTGGATCGGGGCTGAACTGGGCCCCCCCCTCTCAGCGAGAAGGAGCTCCTGCATAGAGGACGCCTGAGAGGTCAGCCACAAAGATAAGCCAACGGTCTTAAAGCAAAGGGGAAAAAAGCCTCGTCGGGAAGCTTGGAAGACAGGTCTCCGCTCAGACTATCACGAGAACAGGAAGGTGGAGGTGATAAGACACAGCTGATCCATTTCTTGCAGACAAGACAGGAGGGTGTGGAGGCGGGAAGCAATGCTAACGGGCTGCCTCATCACCTCGCTCCTGCATCTACCTCTCCCTGTAAAAATCAATATCGCAGACGGTGGCGAACCCCCCGCTCTCCCACCCCGCTCTACTAAGCAGTCATGAGCTAGCCGGGCCCATGTGAGATGACCTAATGTTCGATTCCATCACGCACCAGTGCAAGGAACGCCCATGCATGGAAGAAAAACGCGTGAGCACGAAGCGATCGTCACAGTTCGGTGCGACACGAATCTTGGATGGGGTAAGAGAACCCCGGTACGGGTGAAGGGCCAAGGGGAAAAAGAATAAGGAGGAACAATCGCAACAAAGCAACGCAACACCACGCGCTTCGCTGGCATGTTAGACCAAGTCTTAGCCCCAGGCTCTCCGCTCGCCGACCCGGATTCCAGGGCAGCATCCACTCCCTAACCCTGCCATTCGCAACCTCATTATTTGAATGACGCCAATCTTGTCTGCAAGCAGAGCGTCCAACCAACGCTAACGGCCCCAAAAATAGAGTGCCCGCGCACAGCCTTTGTCGCCACCTACGAGAAGGACGCCGTTGGGAGAGGCAATTCCAAAAAAAGGGGGGAGCATGTCGTGGCAGTTTGGCTTGCCGCCTCGACAGCTATATGTTAGGATAATGAGGGAATTATAGAACGCGGGTCTGGTGGAAAGAGGAGATCACCTGCTTCTGCCGCCAGCCAACCGAGTTCACGAACATGTGGGTGGCTCATAGGGGGCCGACGTGGCGGAGTGTCGGCGGTAGCAACGCTGGCAGCCAACCTGATCTCCGCGCTATACTCCGAACAGCCCTGCTCTTTATCTCGGTCTCGTATGATGCGACGGGGGATTTGGAAGCTGCAGATACCCACGCGGCTGGGAAGGAGTGGGCGCATGGCGGGTGGCCAAACTTTGTCCTGCCCCTGTTGGATCCTGCGCCCTGCTTGTGACAGATGAGTTGGTGGCTCGGAGGCAGGATGCCTCGCCGCGGGGAACAGGACGCAAGCTGCATTGTTTGGCCCTGGATTTAGAGATAGGGCAGGCAGCGAGCGGGAAGGCGGAGGGTGCAACGGGTTCGTGCTTCCCCGCGAAGTGACGAGTACCGGCACGGACCACGCGTTCGTCAAGCCAACGCCGGCGTGAACGGATCGACTAGCAGCACGGAAATCAGGTGGTGCAAGTGAAGCGTGCCCTGAGCACGCTCGAGCTTCTGCTAGCTTCGTCGACGACGCAAACCGTGGCGTTGTGCTTCCTCTCGGAAGCCGCCGCGATGGTGCTGTTTTGGGAATGAGGAGATTACGCCCTGAAGAAAGTTGACTCGCATGCAGCAAGTGGGTATACTGCAGCCATGGACATGCTGGTAGGCGCGGGGCGTGTCTGAGCGCTAGGGAAGGCTTGCCCTTTCGGTGTCGCCGTGCCTATAATAGACGCCAGCTAGGCCCAGGGATCCGCGTGAAGGCTGCTCTGTGGCAGATGGACGTTTTCAGGACCGGTGCAGACAAAGGGCCCTCGCGTCATGTGGCTTGGACCGTTTACTCGCTCGGGGCCAAGCAGCGCCGGTAGGCTAGGCGAAGAGCGTCTGGAAGACTGACCGGCGGGCGATCTGCAAGCGGACAATATGATGGCAGTCGTGCAACTCTGTTCGTCTCGCTACCAGCGAAGCGGCGTGGGGAGGCATGAGCTTCACACAATCCTTCGAGAAGGGCCATTGTTTGCCGGCTGACCACGCATTTGGAATCCAGCAGCGCGAGATCTCTGCGGCACAACAATGCACTGTTTTCTGCACCAGCTCACGAGACAGTCGAAACCGGGACGAGCACATAGCCGGCGGGAGGGCTCTCGTGCGGACCGCTGCCCTGGCGTGCAGCAGGGCGGTGGCCGGTTGACATGTGGGATTAGCTGGCGGCGTCGCACCGAGATCTTCTGTGCGAGTCCTGTTGCGACCAGATGCAGTTGGCCTCGTCCGCCCGCCCAACGGCCTGTCGGAGTAATTTGCGAGCCGGGTGTTTCAGATGGCTGGGTGGTGCCTGGCCATGTCACTGCAACGCTCTGCCCCATAAAGCAGCCGTTAGCCGCTGCTGCCTCTGCAATTCCAAATCCTCGCTTCATGCGGAGCGCGATGACATGCTTGGGCGAGGCTGGAGTCAGGCGGCCATGCAGCGCGGCGGAATGCCTGGGCCCAGTGGGAGGCTACCAACGGCCCCTTCAGCCCCAGCAGCGCTTTTATGACGTGCGGCGATCGCCCAGCGGGGTATCGGGAGCTCCGAGACAGGCAGCGCCTATCGGGAGGCGCGCTGGCGACCAAGCGCCCCGATCGAGCCATCCTTCAGAAGAATGCGTCTCTTATCTGGGCCAAGCGGCTGACACTTGTCTCTGGCCTCAGAGCCGGCCCGGACCGCTGGGACGAACGTTTTTCGAGGCCGCCCGCCATCACGTCAGCCCCCCAGAGGCACGCCCAATGGGCGGGGATCGGCCGGGTGTTCCTGTGCGATGCTGAGGTCACTAATCGGAGAATTGAGGGCGATCCAGCCCCGCCGCCGCCGCTGAGTGGTCCGATGGCCGCGCCGCCTGAAACCGCAGCAATGGGCCTTCGCTGGAAATCATGTGGCCCTGGCGCGCCGGCATCGTCTGCTCCAAGTCCTCCGCACGCTCCGTGCACGCTGCGGGCTCTGCGGATGGCTGCAGTTCGTATCGCGCGGGCTCCAGCTTCCCTGCGTCTTAACAGCAGTTAGCGTCAGCTCCACGGAAAACGCAGGCGCTGGCTGCCCGTAGCCGCGCGCCGATCCACCCGCGGGCAGAGGGTCCGCGGCAGAGGGCAGGGTCAGATGACCGGAGGGAAGGGACAGCTGAGGCCGAGAGACATGTCGGCTGCATCGAGGCAAGGAACGAGGGCGACGTCCATTTGCGGCGGGCAACGTGCGGAACCACATGCAGCGGCGACCCGGCGGGCCGGCGTGCGGTTGGCGAGGAATGAGGGCCGCGTGGCTCGGCGGCGCGCTGGTTGGCCGCCGGCGGCTGCAGGCTGCGGGCTGCGGTGCGGGTGCGGTGCGGTGCGGTGCGGTGCGCAGACAAAGGCGAGCGGGCCGCGCGCTGGCCAGGACGAGGCAGTTCGGCGTGCTCTTCACGGCGGAGGCACAGCGGGGGCAGGGCGTGCCGGCCGCTGGGGCTCACGGGCCACGCAGCTGCGCCGGAGCCACTGGCGGCAGCGCTCTACCGCCGGCTAGCGGCTCGCCTACACGCCGCGCTCATGCGTCTATCTGCACGTCACAACGACCCTCGAAGCACCTGAGCGCCTGCGTGGGTGCTATCCTGGCTCCAGGGCCGGCCGATCCAGCTGCTGCCCCGACCCATCGCATCTCACCTCGCCCACCAGCCCGTCGCGCGAGCCCTCGGCCGGCCCTGCGCCGTCAGCAGCCCGCCCCCGGAGCCCCAGGAGGTGGCGCGGAGCGTGGCCGTGGTCGAGGGCAGCGCGCGCCCGTCGCCCGCCCGCCTGCCTAGGTGCCTGCCGGGCGCCTGCCTGCTGCGAAAGCGAAAGCGCGCCGGCGCCGGCGGCTGCGGCTGCCCTGCCCCTGCCCTGCCCCGGCCACACATCTCACGCCGCTCCACGCCCCCGCGGTCGATCGATGCCCGCCAACCCTGCTCAGCCGCCCCGGAGAATTGCGCCAGCAGACCAGGCCAGATCTGGCGCAGCCCGAAGGAATTTCAAAGCCGCGCTAGGGTTGCATGCGCGCCCATTCCAGGCGGCCCGAACGGGAAAAGGCGGTGGCGCCTGCGTGTGCTGCTCTGGCTCTGCCTTTTCGCGCGCTGCTATAGGCTTTGTGACAGGTAACGGTCGCCGCCCATCTGCCCCCAGCCCGGCTGCCAGCCCGGCGTGACTCGCAGCGGGCTCCAGCGCGGCTGCCGGCCCGCAAGGACGCGCGGTGCGACTTGGGCAGGCGGGGCTTGGCTGGCACTGGCTGGTCACCGATACAGTGCTGACAATGCTCGCTGCTGTCATGCGCAGCCAATACTTTCCCTGCGCGGATCACGCTGGCCAGGATGACCTGCAGCTCCGCCGCGCCCCGTGCGCCTGCATGGGGTTATTGTTAGGATTATCGACTTGAAACATGGCCGCGCTGTGGCCTCCCGGCGAGCCAGAGGATTCGACGAGCTGCGTCGACGTTCCTGCGTCGCTGCATGGGCGAGATTTGAATTGGGCGGGCGATCAGGTGGGTCTTCGCACTCGCGGCGCAAGGAATGCAAACCTGCGTGAGCGAGAGACGCTTCCCAGAGCGCGGTGCCTTGGCCCTGGGGCAAATCAGTCCTCCCTGGCTTCGGGGACATAGATAGACCGTTTGGGGCCACATCCGCTGCTGCAGCTTGCCAATGCTACCGTGGTGGTGCTAGAGAATAGAAATGGTCTGAGCCTGGGCAATACGGTCATCTTGGGGCTGAATCTGATCCATCATCAGCGCTGCCTGGGTACATATTTTCTGCTTTTGGCCAAACGGCCGGTCCCATCCCAGCTAGCCCTACTCTGTATCCATCTCCACAGGATCTGTACTTTTCCTTCACCAAGCGTTGTAGACTCAAAATTGTCCGATCTCCCCCAGCCTGCTAGGCGCCGCCCCTGTTCGTGCACCGCCGCTGCCTCTCCTCCTCGATTCCCTCCGCTCCTCTCTTCACTCTTTGTCTGCGCTGCCCGCCGCTGCGCCGCCATCACGGGGTCGCGCCCAAGCCTCGCGGCCGAGTTGCACAAACGCCTCTGCCTCCTGGCAGCAGTATATCAACGCCGCCTCACACGCTCATCAGCGCCCACCACACGCCCTTGCCCCCTCAGGCCACCGCGCAGCTCTCCGGTGAGTAAGCAGGCCGCCCCAATGGCAGCAGGCCGCTGTACGCCGTCATCGGCGGGTCATGCAGATCACTGACCAGCACCAGACGACCAGTCGAGCCTGCCGCTTGACGCCATTCAATTTTGGCTGCAGCTCGAGAAACCCGGTACGTTGAGCCTCGAGCGGGCACAGGCTGGGCTAACGCGCAACGGGCAGATCAGATCTCACCGCTGCTGCCGTCGAGCAGGGGAGCCAGCTACCCATTCTGCAGGAGATAGACGCCGGCTCGGAAGACCCGAAAAAAGCAACGCAAAAAGCAAGCCGTCCACAGCCCTTGCCTCGCGCGCCCAAGCCGGCGCGGACTGCCGTCGAGACCTGTTTCGTGCGGATTGCCTCACCGCACTGCGCGCATTTTTCTCTCGCGCGTCTGCCGTCTTGTCTATCCGCGTAAAAGCTGACGGACGACGAAGAGAAGGCGGTTGGAGACTTTACGCCCCCGCGGATCATCCCTCCAAGGTCGCCGGCTCAAACATTCCGGATTGCGCAGCACACCCGCTCTGTTCCTGCCTAACGTGGCAACGACGTCCCCCCCCCGCGCAGCACCGCCAACGAGCTCCGACTCGACGACGCAGTCCCGCACGACTGCGCAGCAGCAGACGACGCCTTCTGAGAGGGCCACGCGACGACGCGCCTTTGGAGCAGCCAGAGCGCGCAGCCAGCGCGGGTGAAGCAGCCGGGAAGCAGGCCCTGCTCTACGCGAAACAGGGAGCTCTCGGGGCGCGCGCGCAATCTATATGTGCGCGGCAACAGTCATGAATCAAGGTCAGTCAAGCTCGCCCTCCCCGTTCCGTTCCCCGTTCTCGTACCTGGCGGCCGGGAGCGACGAGACTCGTCCGCGGCACGCCCACCCAGCGAAAGGCTGAGGCGCGGCGCGCCCGCCCTGAGCGCCATTGGTGCTATATTTATGGGCTGGGCGTGTTGGGCAGCTCGCGCGCTCTCTCAAGCTTTTGGCACCCGACTCGGCGGAGGCATGTGTAACCGCAGGCTGGCCAGCACGCTGGCGGTCACGTCGTTTTCGTCCCACGTCCCGCTCGAGGGCTGCGCGTCGGGAGCGATTGGCTGACGGACGGCATCCAGCAGTGACCATTCAACCCCTCCTGGGGTCGCAGTACTCGCCGCTGCCCTCGGACAACCAATGCATCGACGGCATTGGCTCTCATGCACATCATACCTCCTATGCAGGAGGCGGAGGAGGAGAAGGAGGGGTGCCGGACCCGCTTCCTCTTCGGCGTGACGGCGCGCTGGGCCAGTCAGCGAGCGGCTTGCAGTCGCTCCCATCAAGTACTGGCTTCCGTTACCTGCCACACTCACACGGCCGCTCCGCCACGGCACATGATGGCGGCCAGTAAGTAGCCCTCTTTCATTGGAGCCCAGCACCCCACGCACTCTGGCCCTCCCGCAGCGCCGCTTGGCCCCCAGCCCTGCCCCTACTGGCTGCCTTCGCGACCAGTTGCTGCCCGGCGCCCCAAGCCCCCCGAGCCACCATCTTCAGGCGCCCGAGCAAACACGTCGTCATGCTGCCCGCTACTCCCGTCGTACGCACCTAACCCAAGCCCTCGGGAGCCCTGTCCTCCCGGCAGCGTGGTTGTCACATTGATCACACGACAACCCTAGGCCGTGTCATCTTTTCCAGTCAAGATTGTCGAGCGCGCCGTGCCACAAGGCCCGTCACGGTTACACATCGTCAGCCTTCTCGCACTTTATCTCAGCACCCGCTATTGTTTGAGTGTAGCCTACAAGATAGCTGACGCCGAATGACTCTTGCAGATTTCAGCAGGCAGGATCTGGCATCTCCGACTCCAGCTCCGGCTCCATCTCCACCAGCCCGCGCTCCAACGCTTCGTCTATTGCCTTTTCTTCCTTTTCCCAGCCGGGGCTCTACTCGCACCAGTCGCTGTACAGCCAGCCCCAGGTCTACGGCAACCACGGCAGCTATCAGCAACCGTTCGGCGTCTCGAACATGTCGCGACGCATGTCTGGAATGTATGTTTTGAGTTTCGCTTCCGTCGTGGCGCTCTTAGCTGGCAGCCGCGCCAGGCCAGAGCGGGTGGCAGCTGCTGACAGAATCGCAGAACGGATCCATCGCAATCCGGCATGTTACCTCCGGCACGATCACCAGGGATGGGCAATCCCGTGTCACCGTCGCTCAGTGCGACCGCAAGGGACAATTATACAACTTCGACGCCGCACCTCAACCGGCACGCTCTGTCGCCCCGCAGCCACGCCGAATCCCTGAGCAGGACCTACACCTCCGTGCCCGACACCCCCCGCACCGTTCTAACTTCAGGTGGAACCCTCTCCCTCTCGCCGCCGAGCACTCTTCCTTACGGAGGTACAGGTGCAAGCATGCTCTCCTACCAGGCCCAGCACGATGCCCGCACCCAGCCCGAGTCCCCGCCTTTCTCCCCCCAGGAGAACTTCGGCGAGATCACCGCGGGCGAGGGCCAGGCCGTCACGCCGCACATCGAGTGCAAGGTTGAAAAAGGCTTCTTCTTCTCGAGCGACCGGACCTGGACCTGCTACCGTAGAAACTACTTCTCCGTCAATTGCTCGTACACGTTGAACCCGCACGTCCCCAACAGCCGTCTCTTCCTCAGCCGCGGCGGCCGCAATGGGCCAGAGCAGATCCAGGCAATGGCCGTCACCCTTTCTGCAGCCGTCGACGGCGCGGCAGGGAAATCCATCGAGCTCGTGCAGCACACCCCCAAGCGCGACAAGGGGCCGCAATTGCAGATCCAAATGGAGAAACTGCTCCCGATGCCTCCGGGCAAAGGAGCAGCTGATACTCATGGGTACCCGCTTCAGTTTACCCACAGTGCAACTGCTATGGCGCCCCCGTTCCTCCCGCTGCAACAGGACGCGGAACAGTCGTACTCGCCAGCCGGCCATTCAGCTACGAGCCATCAGCACACGTTCGAACGCATCCAGTTCAAGTCGGCTACGGCCAACAACGGCAAGCGGAGAGCGCAGCAACAATACTACCACCTGATCGTCGAGCTCTACGCAGACGTGCGACGGGCCAACGACACCCACCCTGAATGGGTCCGCGTCGCGCAGCGGGTTTCTGCTGCCGTGGTCGTGCGTGGAAGATCCCCGAGCCACTACCAACACGAGGGCCCACACAGCGCCAACTCGTCGCGTGGCGGGGGTGCGGGTAGCGGTGCTGGTGGTCCGGGACACGCGGCCTATGGCGGCGCGGGCGCACCGGGCAGCGCCGGTCGCGGCATGTCTAGCAGCCTTACCATGCTCGGCAGTTCTGCGATGGGCGGCAACGTGTATCGGGCGGGTCACTATCAGCTAGATCCCAGCCCGGTCGGAAGCCATTCCGTTAGCTCGGCGAGCTCGATGAGCGGAGGGCCGGTGGAGGGCATGGTGGGCGAGCAGACGGTCATGGAAGAAGAGGAAAGCAAGGGTATCGAGCCGTATGATGGTTACCAGTACTACCCCAGTCCGATCGCAGAGGCGGGCCTTCCGATCGGTACGAAGCAGGAGTTTGACCATGCCAAGAGAGTCAAGGTTGAGTTCAGCGAGGCATCCTTACCATCGTCATACAGCGTTGGCGGATGCGGGCGGTACCAAGGAGTCGACACGAGCCGCGGATATTACCCAGACCTGAATGCCACAGGTTATTAGCCTCGGCGATCGACCTGGCTTGAGCTCAGTCCTTTCCCTCGCTCACCCTCGAGAGCTTGACAGCCTCGAGACGTCATTAACGGCCGATCGACTGCTTCACCAACTCCTTCGCTTCGTAATGCGTTCTTTTTCTCCTTTTCGGCACCTTTCCAACATTTTAGCCTCATCCTAAACATAATTCCTGTCCACGACCCCCGATACCACTGGCTTCACCCACTTTCTCCTGCGGATATTCAGCGGGCATTTGCCGGCGTTACGGAATGAGGATGGCACCCGTGCCTCGGAAGGCAGCTGCCAACATATACCACAACTGGGATCTGATCATGAAAATATCATGGGAGTACGACAAGAAGGGACATCAGCGGCGCAAATTGGTCTGTTCTTCGAACAACGACGAGGCGACGGGATGAGACAATGGCGCTCTGACCAGCCGCCCTCGCTCGCTGCTCATCCCCTCGCTTCCGGGCTATTGCCTCTTTCCTTTCTTTTTATTTCGTTGAACTGTCTCCCGCTTCACCCTATCATCCTGTTCTCACTTTGGACCTGCTATTCACATGTGTGCCCATGTGCCTCAGATGTTACGATGTCATGACTGCATGCTATTCTTGTTTCGATTCGAATCAAATTGTTCACCTTTGACGCCTTCGAGCACCAGCCCCTCTGCCGCCTTGGTTGCTATGATTCGGGCCTTCTTTCCGCACGTGGAAAGCGCACGGCTTGCGAGCCGGAGGGCACAGGCGTACTGGGATGACCAAACAAAATTAAGACCGAGTCAAAGGTGTGGGAGTGGACGGCGAAGGTGGGACTGGATAAGACGGCGGAAGGATGCGACAGGTTCACCCGCCATGTCACGTAAAGAGGGCGCTTTTGCTTTTCCTTTTCCCCAAAACCAGATTTCAAATTTTCGGAGTCGTCTTGACGATCGGTCAGAAAAAAAAGAGCGCGCCTCGGCAAGAAGAGTGCGGCTGTATGCAGACGACGAGGCAGGCCCTCGAAGACGGCAGGAAACAAGTGCCCCGTCTTCTCGCAACTGCTACGGCGAAGCCTGTATGATTACTAGTATCTTCTTAATTCTCTCTTTCACTGATATCCACTCTTCTTGCAGCATCTGAAGCGTCGTCCAAGAGCAATCTAACCGTTAGCTTCGGGAGACCCAGTCAGCATGCCGACAGGGGATCCTGATCAAGAGCCGCATACGACCCCGCGCAGCAGGTGGCAAGCCCTGGTGTTTCCTTTTCGTCACTTCTCCTTGTGATCAGCTCATATTTGCATCAACGCCCGCGCCGGCTGCTTTCTTTTTCCTCTCAGCCTCATTGCTTTTTCCGCGCCCGCCCAAAGAAATTTCTTCCAGTGCACGAAGCAGCTACCCAACGACAGATCCTTCCCACAGCAGCAGTTTCCCCGCTCGAGCGAAGCGAAAGGAGTCGCAAGAAGAGCCGGCACAAAGCGCAGCCTGTTCTTAGTCGTTGGGCTCCCTCCCTCCCTCTCGACTGCTTTTTCGCACCCTCCCTGCACATTAGCGAGGCGGGAACGGATCTCTGCTGTCGCTCGCTTCACACACACACATCTCGATCGCAGGTCAGCTCATCATCACCCAGGGAAAAAGAGCACCGGAGCGCGCGCCGCAGCCACTAGGCGTCGGTCATTTTGCGCGCTCCCGCAAAAACCCGGCTTTGGACCAGCCCATCCTCCCGGGGCGCCCCTCTCCGTCGGGTCAACCAGCCAGAAGTAGATTCGCTCACGGCGGAAGCGCAATCTCTGGTTTTTTTTCCTTTTTTTATTCCACAAGCGCCGTAGGCGCAAGGGGGTAAGGTGATGAAAAAAAAGGAGACTTTGCAGGTCACAAGCTCTATCGCGTATGGGCCGTCATCACCAACACACACACAGGCTTTTATTGCGACACTCGCGCCCACCCACCACGATGGATGAAGTGCGCTCAAGACAAGGTTCGGCCCGCACCGCTGCTAGGCGGTAAAGCAAAAAACGCTCTCGCACCGTCCCTCCCGCCCCTTTCCGCCCTTCCGGCCGCCTTTTGCGGCGAAACTTTACTCACCGGTCGAATCGCTGGGGCTGGATTTGTTTACCGCCCTCGCCCTTGGGGCCCCAAAGCAACCGACCGAGCGACCGAGCGACCGCATACCCGTCGACCGTGCTGAGCGCACGAGTCATCGGATCTTGGAAGGCTTGATCTCTCGTCGTTCCCGACCTGCCCGTCATCGCGTATCGCAGAGAAATCTTGTCGCTTGGGGAGGAACGTGGGCGAATGGAGAAGCGTGGAGGCGCTTCCGGATAGAAGGATTCGCGCGATACGAGTCATTTGGAGGGGAAATTAGAGTTTGACGGCGGTGAGATGTTGGGGGCGGCCGAATGAGCCTCACTTTTTTTTGGCCCTGTTGGATGCGGCTGCTTCTCTGTCTTTGCGCTACCCACGGCGTGATGGGACGACGTTCAACGGGAGGAGGAGGGGGGCGCTGCTGCAGTAGCAGGGCCGGGGGATGTTGGACGGGGGGCGGTGGTTTGCGGCAGATGCCGGGCGTCTGTTTCTCTCTCTTTTCCCAAGAGACATTCCGAGGTTCTGGATGAGGCAATGAGACGAGACGAGACCTGGAGAGCCGCATCAAGAAACAGTGCTGCTGCGGTTTCGTTTCGTGTCTGTGCTGCCTGCCTGCCTGCCTGCCTGCTGCAGCCGCCGCCGCCGCTGATGCACGCGCGCGCGCACACCCGTCGAGCCACCCCTCCCTTTCTCCGCCCCGTTTCGGGCAGTCGGCGGGAACGATGCGTATGTATGGGTGCACGGGCGCGTGCGATCTAGGTCGTGCTTGATTATGCATGGTTCGAGGGAGCATGCAGCAAAGAAAGCGGCTCGAAGGCATGTGCATTGCCCTGCTAATGTATCCCTCCTTGACCGGTCAGACACATGTTACACCAGGGGACATGCAACTTTTCGACGCGCACTGGCGGCTGGCTGCAGACTGCGGGCGGACATTTTCCTCATTCTTGATGGGGGGGGGGGTAATAAGGACGTTACTCCAGGACATGACCAAGAAGGGTACCCTGTCGTCGCTTTAAACAGCCGTAGCATCCGGAAGCTTGGATGACGCGGACGACCGCCGGGCTTAGGTCCCATAACTAGTAGCTGTGAGCGATATGGCAGCGTAAAGCTTGAGAAAGGCGCAGTGCGGTCGGGATCGATCATGTGGTGAGTAGATGGGTGTGAGCACCTCGAGCCCGACCGTGTAGTCAGCGTGCGGCCTGATGGCCAGGGCGCTTGATGCGCTTATGTGATTGGTACGTGTCGGAGAGGCGACCAAGAGGCACCGGGCGCGGGCGAATAATGGCCAGGCCTATGCTTCGATAGAAGATAAATCTAGTGACACGGCTTCCACGTGCGAAAACATACGGCTGGAGGCGGAGAAGGTAGGAAGTGAGACTGCACGCACCGGGAGTGAAGAGACACGTTGCCTGTATGGAACAAAGCGTCTACGCCGCTGCTTATGGTCGCGCGGCTCAAGAGAACAACACACAGCAGACTACGCCTGATGGCACAAAGCTGGGATTCCGCCTCCACGAAGTACTTACCAGTAGCTCTGGCTTTGCACGACGCATGTAGGCATGCATCATAGTTGTTCTTATAGAAGCAGTTGCACAGATCGGTTGTGCTGGATTTCCCGGTAACACCCGCCTCAGCCACGGTGCGGCGGGCTGGCATGGGGGGCGGGGTGCAGGCGCAGAATACGAGTATCGCCCTGTCGCTTAAGTCGGTATGCATCAGATTCGCCTTGTGCCGCTTTCTGGTATGCCAAACGGGATCTCCACGCGGCCAAGGCACATGCTTTAGATGCGGCGCCGGGAGAGAAACTGATTGGAAGCCCCAACGTGAACTGGTCCAATGGAACGTGGGGAACGACTCAGCCTGGATTGCATCTGCCGGGTGACTACGTTGCTGCCTTCAGCACCTGATGTTGGTTGGTCCACCAGCGTCAGAAATGGTGTGGTGCGGTGTAACGAAGGGCGCTGCAATAGTGCGCTGACACGACCGTGGTGTTAATCCCGGCCCAGTATGGCCACAGAGTTTTGGGTTACCCGCTGTGCCGATCCTCCCGATGCACTGGGGCAGTGTGACCGCCTATGAGAAGTGCCGGCAGCAAGGCGACTCCGCCTCAACAGGACCGACTGCCGCGTTACCGTGGTCCATGTCCGCAAGGAACGCTGAAAAGTGCCAGAAAATGACTGTGCTTCCCTGTTCAAATCTCCTTCCTAGAAAGAGCCGTGAGATTCAGCCTGTTCATCAGCGTGCCAGCGACTCAAATGTTGCCGGGTAGACTAGGTGGCACTGTGCTTACGAGATTGTGGGGTAGCACAGAGCTACGTGGAGAGCCAGCCCGACCTCATTGAAGATACGTCTCTTTTTGGCAGGGAACTGGACGAAAGATGCAGGCCAATGAGGAAGCTGCTAATTACTGTCAATGTAGAGACTTCCCAGGGGCCGACTGCTGTGGCTCTAAGCGATATTGCCTAGTGCTCGTCACAGCGACCCCTCAACCACCCACTGCGGTGGATTCAAGACATTTTTTCTTTTCTGCCCGCATGTGCGCAATTCATTCAGTTCAACAAAATACATCACAGCAGTCCCCACTCACGTTGGTGTGGTGGCAGAAGGCCGAAGACTATCTTGGGTCTGTCAGTCGCCCTAATTGAATCATTTCATGTTACTGGGTGGCTGGGATGTGTTGCGCTGTCCTCCAGTCATAGTGCTGGGTACTGGCAGGCGCCCGTGCAGACCAAGGTGACGCCGACCACCCGCCCACTAGGCAGTTCAACGCCTTCACTCTCAAGTTCTGCAGCGATGCTTCTGATTGAAACATTTACGGATACGAGATTGGATGAGTTCGGTGAGGATGCTACTTCAGCGAATGGTGATTGACGTTTTGTTAGGGGATCGTTCTCGCGTTGAAGCCTAACGCACCAAGGCCACCGCTCATCGCGGTCTGGTCCAGAAT